CGATCATACCATGGGCGCGGCTAGCTGCTTTTGCTCTGCTGTTCCCGTGGTAGTGTCTAGACCAGAGGTCCTCAGTTGGCCGGTCAGATGGGCCTCTCCGCTCAGTATGCGCCCTGTCACACGCATTTCTGGCGTCCTCCTGCCGGCTAGCAAAGAGAAGAAATGTTCGTAACCCCCTTGCTCGTGGCAGCCGTAGGACAGCGCTCTGATTTGGAGTAGAGCCGTGCAGGGGCGACGGGTCGGATGTGAAATGTCTTGTGGGAGGTTTCTCAAAGACGGACCCAAATCCGACTGCAACCCATCGCGTCAGGGCGTAGCTGGGAAGGGCTCGGCCTGATTCTCTTCCAAATGCGAACAACCTCGCGAAAGTGCGACTGCCCAGGCACAAACCTAAACGACATCCATGACCCCTTTATTAGCAGACAGGCGGGTAGATGGAGCTTACCTGTTGGAAGAGCAGTCTCACTTTTGACCGGGTCACTGGATGGCTTGGCATCAAAGCCAGCTGGCTTCCGTACTGGGTAAGTCATGAGTCGTAAGCGGTGCCGTCAGGCCTGGCACGTCTAGTAAGGATGCAAGCAATGCTAGCCGGTGTGAAATTGCCCAACTTGACCGCACTACTGATGATGGAAGAAGTATCCTGGGTTGTGTCGCCCCTATCATCCTGCTTATGCGGCACTTTGTAGGTTTGGAAGCGTTGTTCACGATGCTTTGCCTGCAGAGACGCATTGGCGAACGGCGTCAGCAAGGGTCGAGCGCGGCCTGCTGCAGCGCAGAAGGCAATTGGCTGCGCATTCTTCATCATGCGTGGCAGCACTGGGAGCTTGTCGTTCATCCCAATCTTGCGGCATTGACACATCTGAGCGCTTTATGAACGCCACTGCGTATCGCACCAGGGTTGTTGAGCGGTTTCGTCGGTCGCGCAACAGCGGGTCAGCGGGTTAGACACCGAGATCAAGTTTGATTGCAAGCCAAGATGTTATTGGACGCATCTCGGATGTATACCACGGTAAAGAGATCTACGTCGAGCCCTGGGGAGCCAGGAAGCGTGGAGTGCGATGGAAATTGGAGGACATGACCAGCAGCTGGGGGCCAACAGCCGGTCCTCATCACGCATTACATCAGGCACAGAGGAAGTCAAATCTCGGGGATGGATTCGCCGGTGGTCCGGGCTCTGTGGCCATCCGTCGGGCTGGTAGGGATGGCCGGGGGGAGGAGAAGGAGGGAATGGGGACAAAGACGGGGGAGTGGGAGTAAAGTACCGGAGTGTGGGCTGGCTGGCTGGCTCGTAAGGTTGGGTAAGTTGGCTGGCGGACCGATTGAGACGAGGTCATGTTGCTGCTCGCTTGGCGAGGGTACCGTTGCAAGATGGTGGCCAGGCCGAAAATGTCTTGCCTCGCTCGGGTCATCTGTGTAAGGCTGACGATGATGAATCAGTTCCGTACAAGTACCGCAGGGTAACGTTCGGCAATGATACAGTGGTTGGTACTAAGGGGAGGGTTCGCCGATCGTGGATCGCTGGGGGGAACTTGTAGGTGGATCTGGCGGCTGCATCATCAGAGGGAGAACTGCCGACAGGGCAGGTCAGGGCAGCGGGGCCTCATCGGTAGGGAAGCTGAGTGGGCCTGAAGGAGCCCCTGAAATAAGTCGTACGTCGCCGAGACCAGCGGGTGTCATGGCATGGGCGTGGCTGGCCGGTGAGGTGCAAGCGCCATCTCCTCTGCCTTCTGGCGCAGCTGTGGCTGGAGATGTGCTATGAGCCTGAATTTGGAAGCATCCTGGGTTGGAAATCCTGTACCCAAGGTATGGATGCTTCGGTGAGAGTGATGCACTCGAGGACGATCCGGAGGAGGAATCGGACGATGGCTGTAAGCCACATCCATAAGCAGGCCAGCTTGTCCCGGGGGTCTGGCAGCCTGGGTGGTATAATCGATGGATTGTGCCTGGATCGCGGATAGAGAGAGAGGGCAGGCATCAGACTGTGCTGGACTGTGCGTGTACACAATAACAGGCGGCGTGGTCTTGTAGGAGGAGTGGGTTCGCTCACGCGTCACGAGTCGGAGGGCAGCGGGGGGGAGTGGTGACGTGGGGATGGGCCTGGGTGGCCTGGCCGCCCTGACTGCCCAGGATGGACAGCCGAGACCCAAGGTTTTTACCCCTTTCGAATGCACATCGTTGATGGGTGTGTGTATATGTGCGTGTGTGTGTGTGTATGCGCCGTGTGGGTATGTGGGTGAGTGAATGTGTGTGTTTGCGTACTTCTGGTGCGTACCGCGAAACGGGCGGGCGGGATCTCTTGAGATCTGACAAGTGGCTGGTACCGGGTGGTAATCCATGGGCCCATCCATGATTGAGCGGAGGATCCACAAGACGACAGGCCCCAAGATCATCATCTCCCGAGGAGGGCGTGCTGCCCGCCGCCCGTTCTGCCCTGTACGTACTCCGTACATGCCCATTCCAGTATCTAGGCCGTTCTGTCAGCCGTCCCGTGACCCACAGGTTGTCTGTCCGTCACCAGCAGCAAACGTTGCCAAAGCCAGCCACGTTTCGTCCCATCTTGTCTCTGGCTGCCTGCCTTGGTAGTGCAGTTTGTGCTGCCCCGGCTCCCTGTCAGCGCGGGCTCTGGGCATGTCAAAATAGTAACAGCGCGACTCTGGGGCCACCGCGCGGCGCGTGGGCGTCCATTGTTCCTGCGTGTCGTGCGTGTTCTGCTGCTAAGATTATCGAGGTTGGCGTGTCGGCACCAAGACGGACAGGGTTGTGGATTCTGGGGGAGCTCTTGGAACGGAACGCCGGCGTTTGATGGGAAAGCCGGGCCGTGGGTACTGGGGTCGTGTGGCAGCCCAGTCCCTGATGAAACGGTAGGCCATGTTGGCGAAATCTTCTGGAACTGCAGTTGGCCTTGCTGACCCAGGGCTTGGCCGCGGCCTTGGCCCATGCCCGCCCTGGTCCCGCCCGCCCTGGCGCCCTGGCCGCCGAACGAAGCCTCGGTCGCTTGTGGCAGGCGGTCCTGGTGGTCACGTCTGTCGTCGAGGGTTGCTGCCCATCTCTGGGCACCTGGGCACCTTGGCACTGGGCAGTCAGTTGGCTGGTCACGGCACTGCGATGTTGACGTGGAGATGGACCACGATCTCGGCCCCGACCTCGACCTCGACCTCGACCTTGTTCGTCCCTGCCGACCTCGTCCCTGCCGACCTCGACCTCGACGTCAACCTCAACCCCATCTGGGCTGCATCGCGCGCGGGATGCTCGACGTTCGAGGTATGCAGCATGCTCGCTCGGTTTCGAGCTGCGTGTGCGGAGTACGTATGTCTCCGTACGTGTGCATGTCTACGTACATGTACATACACAGTACTCCGTATGGAGCACCACAGATTGCAGTCTCCACCCTGGGAACCTGCCCAAGACCGCCTTCTTGCCTGCCCTGCCTGCCCATCGTCACCTTGGCTCTACCCCAGCTCGTCGACAACCCAGCAAGTCACAACCATCCATCATCGTCGTCACTTTGTCCAGCCAGCCCTCGGGACGCAACATCACCACCACAGGAACAGCAGTAACTCCGAGCCGGGTCGGCTGGGCCTTGGTTGATCACCATGCCCTCCCACATTCTGGCCCGACAGTAGTGACACAACCAACAACTCACACCGGCCACCATAGCCTACCCCCTTCTCCTGCCTTCCTCTCATGTCTGGTGGCACTACGGAGTCAGGCTACAGTAGGGCAATGTAGACGTCGAGATATCGCTCTCTGTTCCTCTCCTGACTTTCCTCTTTGGTCATACCTTCTCAAATAGCGTTCTTGCTTCCGCACCAGGCTTTTCAAAACCCACCAGAGCGATGTCACGCAACGGACCACATCGACGGCGATCGGACTAACAGCTGATCAACCCTTGCTGGCTCACTACTCAGTCTGCCGTCTGCAGCGTACATGGGTTTATTTCATTCTTGTGCAGTTCGCGCGTTGCAAGCCAGCCAGCCAGACTGACTGACTGACTGACTGACAGAGACTGACAGACAGCACAGTGCACCGCTCCTTGCACACGGGTCGAGAACCTTGCCCTTGCCCCTGGGCCTGGCTCACACTCACGCTCACTCACTCGCGCAGTCACGCTAACCCATGCTCTCGCCCTTGCTCTCGCCCTGGCACTCACCAGAGTTACCACACATCACCATCTCGCTCTTCAATCACCGAGCTTCATCTCGTCCCGTCTGACCCTTGCCCGGGCCCAAGCCCAGGCCAAGCCCAGTATCACAGCTGACGGCCGTCGCTGATATGCCTGCATGCTAACGACCTGATCCGGGTGCGGTGACACTGCTCACTCTGAGCTGGTCTGACACCCACCTCCTTGAGCCGACCGACCAACTGCAGCTTCTGTCCATGCGTGCCAACAAGTTGGTGTTGGGTCTGCCCTGAATCATACCTGTGCCAGATACGGTTTTTTTTTTTTCAGAATGAAAGGGGGGGCGCGTTGGGGCGGCAGTCTACCCACGCTTGGTGCCCCGGCGGTCGAGAATCATGGAGGTTTGAGCTTCGACGTCTCTGCCACACCAAGCGCCGGCAATCCGTGATCTGACATTAGACTCTCGGGCTGGCTTCCCGTGCTGATCGTCTTGATCGTCTCGCTACATACCGTGACAACAAGACAAATTCCCTCTCGCGGCCAACGTCCGTCGACAAGATGCTGTGGCTCCGGGAGATCTCACCTGCGTCTATCAAAGCTTAGCCGTCTTGAGCGAAGCTGGAAAATCCGGGGTACTGGCAGCGCCTTTCATTAGTGTCCCCTGGTCGCATTATACACGCCTGGATGCGACTCTGCCACCACCTGCCCTTATTGACATCCATCCCAACCCAAGTGCCTGCTTCGCTAGCTCGGAACCAGATATTCGATCGTAGCCTCGCCCACAGACGCAATCTGTGCCGCCGGCTCTTGGTCGACCCTGCGGCACAAACAAGTGCACTGCGACCGGCCGCTTTGCCTGTGCCGCCTCAGCCCTGTCCTGTCACCCTTCAAGCTCATGGTCATGGTTCTGGTCACCGTCGCGCTCCCGGACGCGGTCGCCGACCGGCCTCTTCTCCCTCGCGACGAGAACCCGATGCCTGGGGCCATGGGCGGGCGCCGGACGGACAGGAAAGTCCCTGCTCGCCTGCACGTCTTGGCCGCCTGACAAGAGACGCCGACAGCAGCTTGAGATCTGCATCAGTGATCTGTCTGCCCGTTCAGCCCATCCTTCTGTCCTGCACACCCCTGCTATTCTGTAACCATGATTGACCGGGGGGTTGCCATCGAGAATTGTACCCACCCTGGCCCTCCCCACCTCCCGCATCACCCTCCCAGCGAGTTTCGCAACAAAGCCTCATGGTGGGCCCTTGGCCACGCCCACCCTCAGAGCCATGTCCTTCCTCTCTGCGCTTCAGCTGCTGCTATTCATACACCCCTCCTCCTGAATCATCATGCTCTCTGATTGGCCCGTGTCAGGGGCAGGTTGAACAACGGTCATGCTTTCATCCGTGGAGTCAACACAGGACTAATGTAATCAAGGACCAATGAACACTGCTCAGATATTCCAGCCGAGACGGTTCACAACGTTGTTGTGTACTCTGTACAGGCGTATCCTTCTTCCTGTGCGGAGTCCCTGGCCGCTTCTTCATCTCCCTCTGAACCTTCACATCCAGCATCACTTGCGGCGCCCTTGGGTTCACCTGGACGCTTGCTTGCACGGGCCTTTCCTGCCCAGCAGCCAGGAACCTCTGCTGCTGGTCAAATCCTCGTGGGTCGAGGCCGCTGGACCCAAACCCAAAACCAAAGTGCTTGCTGCTGCAGCTGCATGAACACACGCTCCTGTCCATGTCGGCCAAAGGTGCCTCCTCCAGCCCCCCAGCAGGAGCCGCAGTTACTCCTAACGGCACACGGTTCAACCATTCCGTCTTTTATGCTTATCCCATCACCTTTATAGCCCTCGCTACCCTTCTCTTGCCCACCTAATAAGCCCAACAGCTCTCTGTGTCCTCCTAGTGCCCATTCATTGTCTGGTTGGCTCCGGCCCACTGATACTACAGCATTAGCCATTCAGCCGGGACTTCTCCCACCAAGTACTCCTTGGTCTGCGTGCTTTCTGGCCCTTGCCGGCGACCCTCGACCCAGCCTAGAGCAGAGTGGTCCAGGCTCAGGCTCAAGCCGTGGCGCCCTACCCCTTTCAAACGAAAATAACACCACCACACTACTACCCGCGGGCCGTACTTGAGTCGTGGAGTTGTCGAGAAAGTAGGGCACCGGGGTCACCCAGGCATTACCCACCGTCTTTGATGAGGTATCAGGTACATGCTCCCGATCGCACCCATCGCCCTTGCGGCTGCCCGTGCAGGCCCTGTTCTACTTTTCGGATTCTGCCCTGACATTTCTCCGTCCAGCCTGGCAGCCCTGGCGGTACCTGTGATATTGGATCCACCCGTGTTGTACTAAAGTACAAGGGCTCCTCTCCCCCATAGGGGTTGACCTTGTTGCAGCCACGGCTATTTCTAAACTCCATGCAGACCGGGGGACCTGTCACTCCCAGCAGTACCTTGAAAATCAGCCAACCCCGCCGGCTCCATCAGGTTTGAGACCCTCGAATTGTATACATTACAGCCCGCGGTCCAGTCCTCAGGGCTAGCTTCACATACTCCCTGTTGGCTTCTACTTTCGTCTCTTCTTGGGAGGATCCTATAAACACCAGCTCGGCCGTCGTTCTCGGCAGATACATGTCGTTGGATACCCACCTCGATCTCCTTGACGACCTGATAGTTCTCTCCATCTCACCGCACTTGCGTGTGTCACGACTTTGTTGCTGGGCACTTCTCTCTCTTCCTGCTAGCCATCTCTGTTGAACACAAAAAACCGGCAGGCTTGTAATCTCGAGGACAGACTTGAGTGCCCTCAATACACCCACCCGGCTTGCTCGACAGACTCCTACAGGACGTACTCAATCTACGCAGTCTGCAACGTGGAGCGACCGTTGACGACCAATCTTTTTGGATACTTCTTGTGGAATTCACCATAATCGGTCGAGCCAGTCAGATATACCGCCCTTGGCCGAAGTCAAACACGGTCTATCATCTACAGCTGGCCTTTTGTTATTCTATCCTTTGCTTCCACGTCGACTAGCGGACACATTCTCTGAGCGTTGACACGCCCCTTCAGTTGACCTGACTCTCGTTTGTGGCGCAGCCTCTTCACACTCGCTTCTCTGGGACTCAGACCAGTGGTCCGGCACTGACGACACAACACTCGTCGTCCCCCACAGACAAAAGAAGGCGTTTTCCCCGGATCACCCTCAGACGCCCTTCCAAATGCTTGTTACCCGGCAACGCGATTCCGAGAAAAGCCACTGGTCAACAAGCAAATACGAGAGCTTCTACCACAGGTCCGAAGCTAGTCCACGCATGTCGAACAATTTTGACGCTCCTTTGTCGACACAGTCTGACTGGCAGGGACAGCAGTACTCGTATATCCCTCCTGGGGAGAGCTCCGTCTTTGCACAGTCCTATGGTCATGGAACAGCGTCCGGTGGCAACTCCGAGTCCCAGGCACACCCGCGCAGTGCCTCCGAGGCTAGCAGCTCCATGGATATAGAGCCCAAGACGGAGCCGAACACGCTGAGTCCGCCTCTGAGTCTGCGACGTGGCACAGACCCCTTGGGTCTGCATCAACAGAGACAACCATCACCAATCGCGGAGCAATCAGAAACTCAGGGTGATGTATACGCACAGAGGGCGTCAGACTCTGTGAAAGAGGAGTCAGTGGCCTCGACAGACACTCCCGGGATGTCGCTCTCCTCAAATCCAGTGAGCTCGGTCTCCTCTGCTGGTCAGGGTGCGGAAATGCCAGCCAGCCAGTCTGGTCAGGAGGAACAGGTACCCAAGCAGGAGGACGACGACGAAGTGATTGACGAGGATGACATGGTCGACGGCGACACCGAAGCAGCACTGCAGCAAATGACACCTGCCGAGAGAACCGCAGCGCGGAGAAAGATGAAGAGATTCAGGTAGGCAGTGCGAGCAGATGGTGAAGGCACGCACAAGGCTGACAGTTTCTAGACTCACTCACCAGCAAACACGATTCCTGATGAGCGAGTTCGCGAAGCAACCACACCCTGATGCTGCGCACAGGGAACGACTATCGAGGGAAATCCCAGGACTGAGTCCCCGCCAGGTGCAAGTCTGGTTCCAGAACAGGTAACATCAGTCCTTGTCAGCTGTCAACGAAAATCAGCACTAATCACAAACTCCAGGCGAGCAAAGATCAAGCGCCTCACAGCCGACGACAGAGAGCGCATGATCAAGATGAGGGCTGTGCCTGACGACTTCGACAATGTCCAAGCCCTTCATTCGCCATATGGAGCCGTACATGGGCTCGGTACCCCAATGGCATCTCCTGTTGGCTTTGGTCCGGGCCCCTACCCGGATCACCTCATGAGGGGCCCACTGGTGGTGGACGTCCGACGAGCCGAGGGTGGTGAGCACATGTCTTCGAGCGGGCTGAGTCCAGCTTTTGGAAACATAGGGTTCAACACCTCTGCATCCATGAGCAATCCGGACTTGTTGACTCCCATGTCTCAGGATTCCAGCGACCGTTATGACTACTCGAACCACTTGACGCCCCTGAGCGCCGGGCCCAGGACGTCTAACCCTTTTGCCAGACAGGGCAGCATGGAGACGGGCTTGACCGTCCCGAACCACCACTCGAGGCAGCAAATGAGACCTCTTCAACCACTACAGCTCCGGGAGACACTCACCCGATCCAGGTCCGACAACCTTCAGTCACCACTCCGGTCGAGCATGTCCTGGAAAGGCGATTCGATCGACTACTCGTCCTACCATCCCGCAGCAGCAAGCCCAACACCTCTGAGTGGGCGACAGCAGTCGGTCTATCAGCCTTCAGAGGGGCTCGGTGGCTCTCCCTCGACCACTTTGGGGGGCTACGAATCGAGCACCTATGCTGGTAAGTAACAAGTTTTACTCTACAGGGGGAAAAGTCCAGGTTGCTAAAGCAGACGTCCAGGTTCATCTGTCACCTCACCAACACACATGTCCTACCCGAACTTCCAGGCCAGCTCTTTCCAAAACTCTCAGAATCGATCCCGCCTGCGCGCCTCGTCTGCGACCCTCCCGCTCGGCCTCGATCTGAGCGCCCAGCGGTCGTACTCCGCTTCCCACCATGCCCTTCGCTCAGCAACGTCACCAACGCATCGCCATGCCGCGGTTACTTCTGCGCCATACTCCACCGGTTTCCCTACCGCGCCTCTGACAGCGCCGAGCGACTTTTCTCTGCCAAGGACGCCAGGGTTCCCGACAAGAACACATGACTATTCGATGCCGCAGATGAGCGCGCCGATCGCGCCGCCCAACGACTTCTCGCAGGCTTTCCACGCCAGCATGGGCTCGGGCCACAGCTCGAGGACACCAATGCGGGACCAATTCGGAGGCGGAGGCCCCCTGGGCGACAGGAGTGGTGATGACTACGGAGGACCCGGGGGCGAGCTGAAGAGGAAGAGGAGTTTCACGATCCCACAAGGCAGCTCAGCGCATTGAGGAAATTTGCGACGGAAGGACGGAGCTGTGGTCAAACTCGACACAGACATGGGTCTGCCAGCGCCACAATGAAACACGGGGCTGCGAGCCAGGCTATCAAGTGGTTCCATGGCATGCTCCAGGACACAATCTACATTTGAAGCAACACGTCCATATTTACCTGGTCTGAAATTGTTTCCTTATGACGCCGACTTTGCCAGCAAGCCTCTGGAACGGCCGGGAGTTGAGCGACCCGCGCTGCAGTGCTTTGCGAGATGGAACAGAGGGCAACCCCAGGAGCCTGGCCGGCTAGGATCTACGAGACACGCTTTTTTTTGTCAACAACATGGGCCACAAGCGGACAGGTTGGAGTGGGCAGTCTACGGCTGAGGCTACGGCGCATGGCATCACACTTTTTTCAACCGACATCGAAGCAAAGCATTCGGTCAAAACAAACTGGGTACGGGGTGGTCAGGGGTTCGTGGGGCAATGGTAACAGGCAACAGGGGGGGTGTTTCTCTCTCTCTCTCTTCGGAACTTCGGGAAAAGGGGGGCGGGCGGGCGGGCTGGAGCCAGCGAACCACGGAGAGGGCCAAGAGCCAACCTCGAAGATGGTGATATCCTGCCACACGTCCGGCTCGAAAATGGGCAATGCATCTTCCCTTTCCCTTCCTTTTTTTTCCCATCGGCTACACGATGTGGGGGCCAGGGGCCAGGGGCGCGAAGGAACTAGGCGGGTTGTGCCCAGGAAATAACTCGCGGGACGAAGCAAAGCACACCACGCACCACACACACACCTGCTCTCTCCTTGTCACCCTCCCACCACCCACACCACCATGACACTCACACGACGACACACAAAACATGCACAACACGCAGGCTGGTCTGCTCTTCGGATAGACAGGGGGCCTCTTCGGTTTCCGGCGAGAATGGGTATTTTGCTTCTGCCGAAGCCCCCCCCACCCCTGCCCCCTTCCCGGAATTCTCTGCATGCTTCATGTACAAAGTTTGATGGGTTTTGATTTTTCTCCCTCTGGTTTTTCCCTGTTCGGGTAACGTCTTCTTTTCCACTCGCGTCAGCTCAGCTCTCTTCTTTATGTCGCATATTTAGGTTAGGTACATTATTTCCCGCCGGTCGGCCGGTCTGCCAACATGATGGTATTCTCCCTATTTTTTCTACTTCCGCCTTCGTCCCCGCTTCAGAGGTCTATTTACGATAGCTTCCTTCTAAAATGGCTTTTCCGTTTTTTGTGGACTGATTCAATTTGGGCTCTTCTTTTTTCTGTCTGGTCCAGGGCTTTGTTTCAAGATACCTACCTGTTCCTAAGCGTGTGCGCCTTGTGTGTGTGTGAGAGAGGGAGAGAAATGGTGGGATCTGGCTTGCTTCTACTGTGCTGCTTATCTGGTCCGATACATTAAATAACGAAAAAAAGAAAAGAAAATCACATCAAAAAAGGAACGTAGAGGGAAAACGGGCCCTGCTGTGTGACCTGAGAGAGTGTGTTGCTGTCTAACCGTTGGCTCGGGGAGAGGACCAGGCTGCCAGGCAGAACGACCGAGAGCGGGCCTCTCTCTCTCCCTCTGTGCCAAAGCCCAGCCAGCTGGGCCCTGCCTCTTGTGTCTGCAGGCAGGTCGCATTCCCTCCGGCCTCACCTCGGCCGCTGCTCGCACCCGTTGGGCAACATCGGCCCCCATCTGTGGGATGAGATTTGGTGTATGTTTTTGGAACTACCCGCAGGCGGGCCAGCCACACCTGCTGCTCACACGAGACTCTGGGGTGTTCCATTGGGAGAGGGTTGTTGGTGCGCGTGGAAATAAGCTTAAACTATTAGTGACGGGCGTGGAGTCCCATTTCGGAACTGGTTAGAAGTACAGCATTTCTACCACCAAAGAGAATTACTGAGAGGAGCTGGGGGACATCGGGGCGCACAAAGGTCCAGGGGGGAGGGGGCTGCCACCTAGACGCTTCTCACCGCCCCCCTCCCTCCCCACTCCAAGCAGTGTTGGGCCAGCGTCTGACCCCGACTGATCGCAAGGTGTTTCTGGTCGTCCAACCGGGTCTTTATTGTGGGATGCAGTATGCATCCGTCAGGTGGCTTTGGGAAATTGTCCACGGCAGTCACTGTCAGCAGGCCCCCATCGACGGTGTGCACCTCAGCCTGGATGGCTGACTGGCCGGCCGGGAGGGTGGAAGCCCGGGCGGCATGCGGAATGGTTTTCCCATGGCTACTTCTAGGCGCGGAACGAGGCGCCGTTAGCTGCCAGATACAGCGGGCCAAACAGGGCAGGCCCCGTTGGCGATCACCCTACTACATCGTCAGACCGTCAAGTCGAACCTCAGCAGTCCCCATCGTCGTTTTGCCGTGCGCTGACCTCGCAGATCAGAAGTAAGCAGCGGCGGCTACAGGAGTCGACCATGCGGTGTCATCTGCCGCCTCCCTGGCATCTCGAGATGCCATCACGGAACATCCCTCCGGGCGCGCAGCGTGGTGGAGCGGCAGATCGGCCACGGTCATGGGGTCTGACAGGTTTTTGGCGGGAGGTCAAGTTAAGCTTGCAGGACGTGGGAACCGGATGGGCGTGGGAATAGCGGCGTTGGGGTCTTCGGGTCCGCCACTCGCCCGGAGCTGCCATGCATCTCTCACATGACCTCGGGCCTAGGTCTCTCTTCTGAGGGTTACATGAGGGTGTGAGGGCCGCTGGTGTGGCTCTTGCAGCCCTCTGCACCTCGCTGCAAGCGCACTGATTGATGCCCAGCAGGGTATAGACTGGAAAGCTTCAGTCTCTTGGTCGGGAACTGGATGGTCGCACAGAACGGTTCAGCCTGGCCGCGGTCGAACGGCCCTGTATTGATGTCAGGGTCCCGATCACCACAGACTTGGTCGGCCAGACGGCATGGCTTGACAGCCGGCCCGTCTTTCTCCAGAAGAAAAAGACTCAGCCCCTGACCGGTGAGCCGTGCTGCTCGCGAGACAGCGGGAAAGGTTCCATCAGTTGACCTTTCACATTTCGCCTACAGGTAAGGCTTGTGAGACCGTGGCTGCTGTAGGGCGCCGTCCCGTGCCGCTCGGATGGATCAGTGTCTTTGACGTCTTCAGTCACTGATGCATGGCCCAGAGGCGAACGTTGAGCCGTCATCGTGCAGCTTGACCCTCGCGATCCACCTGCGGCAATATCCGGTGGAGGCAATCCCAGCATGTTGTTTCTGAAGCGCACCTGCAGCGCGCATACAGTGAAAGGCGGCTACTGTCGCCTGACACTGAGCGTGATGTCGAGATTGATGGGCATATCAACAGTACTCGACTACGACAGGTGGGAATGGCCCGCCTCATGTGGAGGGTAGACAAGATGGCGGTCATAATGCACACAGCTCCTGCGCCACGTCTCCTTCTTCACTTGGCTGGACCATTCCGTGAGGCATGGTAGATGGCGGGTGCGGGATGCTGCGGTCCCAACTCGAGCGGCGGGCTCATTCGCCTGGTACTCTCGTCCACTCGATGATGGCAACGAGCCGCGCTGTGACTGTCGGTCAGTCAGCCAGTCAGTCAAGGTTGTGGAGCGTACTACAGGCACAAGAGGGCGGGAACTTGCACCCCCACATCACCAAGGTCCAGCCGTGCTTCGCATCGTCGCACCAGAAACGACCGAGAGGCCGACGGCTGACCTGGTGAGTGGGCGATGTACCGTGTACTCCGTACCCGAGCGAAGTTGATTTCTGAGCCAGGCCCGGCGATGACGGTTGGATGACCCGGCTCCGAACAATAGTGGGTGTAACGGTAGCAGTCGACTACTGCCTCGTCCAGACGGATCGCCCGCCAGCACCTTCCAGCACCTTGGTAGTCAGCCACACCCCAGCAGTACATGCCTAGATGGACATTACTGTTAGCAAACTGCCAGACACAGCGGGTGTAGCGCCAGAGCTGAGGGTCTGCGCAACCATGCCATGCTCCGGTAGTGAAGGTATCCTGTATCCTACACCAGACGAGTGAACGCAGTCGAGAGTGAGAGGAGGCCCCCGGCCGCCCCCATCCCAGCCCACCCACCCAGTACCTCATCCCGGCACCTCATCCCAGCAGGCCCGGCCCTCAACGTCTTGCAAATGACAGGGCAGATGTGTAGGAAAGTGGAGACGCAACTAACCGGTCGTGGCCGGCGTCATGGCCTTGGGTGATGCAGGCGTCCATGGAGCCAGAGGGGCAGCGACCCGAAGCGGGTTGGCTTGGCACGGAGGAAAACGTTGCGCATGGAGGGAGGGAGCCCTTCTGCCCCAGATGCTTTTCTCCCCAGCGCCGACCAATCCAACCATCCCCATCCGGTGTGCTGTCAGGCAGGCAGGCAGGACGCAGGACTCAGGACGTCAGCCAGGCGGTGTATGGCCAGAACTGAGCGTGCCACGACGGCGGGAGCCGATGTCTGTGTTTTACAATGCACAGGCGCTGCATGGTTGACGTTGGTGTTGGGAGCAACGAGTACATGGCATCCAGGTACGTGGGGCCTTCAATTGGAGAGAACCTGCCCATGTACTCCGTACTCAAGTACCTAGGTACCTCTGCTGCACCTTCAATGTTAGTTTCCTCTTCGGGACTGACAGCTGAGCTCAGCTGGTGATCCAGTCTCGACCAGCTGGCGCCTCGAGACATCGATCGTGACCCTCGACGACATATTGTGAACTGCTCCTCGACCAAAAGTTTACAATATCATCGGCTATTTGTGTTTCATATCAATTGGAAGCTCTTCAACACATCAAGACTCCTGAGTCGTGACTCTCCTTAGCTTCACATTGACGTGCTCATAGTCCGGCGTATGTATCTCACCCGCAGGCCTCGTCCAACCTCCATCACTGCATAGTTAGAGAGACCAAGGGCTGACAATGACTCGTTTAGAATTTGATAGATGCGCAACTAGTGTCTTGAGGTGAGGCACGGTACCGCCAAAAACACAGATCAGTTCCATGATACGAAGCCGTTCTGGTTGGTCTCCCAGCCCTGGAATTTCCCCAGTGCTTTCTGCCTAAATGCAGACAGTGGGCCTTGCAACGAGCAAGCTGCTCTGGTGACTGGCCATCGGGAGGCGTTGGATGCTGAGCCATCCTGTCAACGTTCTGACTATTGACGAGGATCCTGCTGCTCGGCAGTTGGCACTAGGACCTCCGGGCCGTTGACCTGCGATATCCAGGGGCATGTTCGTCGACCCGCTGGCCTACACGATCCTATGCACACCTGACGCTACTGGGCCCGCCAGGAGGCCAAGGATGACAGGCTGCCGACAGAGGAACGTACCATCGAGAGCACACACGATACTGCTCCCGAAGCTTTGGCACTCGTGTCGGAATATCAACACCGCTAGTGAGGCTTACGAGCTGCAGATATTGGTAGTATAATTTCACGGCACTCGATGCAAGATCGACAGGCATCATTATTCACCCAAGATTCGCCCTGCGGAGGCGGAGCATCAGGTTGCTAGAAAAATGGCCGAGCCACCTCAAAGTGCACCCTATGTTGGGAGACATGGTGGCAGGGACACTATGTGAGCGCTGTCCCGTGTAAATGATTCCCCTCGGGCCCAATATGCCCCCATATTTCGGGGAGCACAAGTATCACGATCGTTCCATTAATCTCGCATTACAGATAGCCGGCGCGCCTCGTGGGCGGGCAGCCTCGTGAGAGACATCACCGTGATGCTACTGAGGGGCCCCCAGGCAGTACTATGGTGGCTGTATACTACCGATCAAATATTGACAATATACCGCCCACCCGAGAATACGCAGGCACAGGATGGAGGGAACCGCTCTAGGATCAAGGTTTCGCGACAAGGGCAGGGACCAGCGTTCCGGACCCGTACTACTCGACCATGACAGCCAAGGTATCAACCGCATCTCCGCGTCTAGCCTGCCTCGCCCATCCAGACGTCAGCCCCTCGGCGGGTGGAGCGAGGTGATCAGCACCGCGCAATCTGCAGACCGCCCAGATCATGTCAAACCACCCGAGTCAGGGTTACCTTGCCCACAGCAGCCAAGACAGATGGGCAGGCAGCGGGGGGCTCGATGCAAGTCATTGCCCCCCAAGGAAGCGGCGGCACGCACAGTCAGTGAGTGACTGACTGACCGCAACCCCGGGGGAGTGCGCCTAGGCAGCGCACCGCAGCAGCGCGGGGCGCGGACGATGCATCGCGAGGATCGTCTTCCAGAGATGGTCAAGCTCTGGCTCGGAACCTTGGTAGACGCCGGCCCATGTGTTCGACCCAGGGAGAGGAGCAGGAGCGGGAGGCAAAGGGCTGGGGATGAGTAACCCGCCACCGAGACGGGGATCCCTCGACGCGGCCGGATGAGCCGCCTGTTTGCCCACAGGTTGGCTATTCGTCAGAGCTCCGTGGGCGCATGACACGATGGTGGGATAGGTCTGTCTACCTTGTGAGGATCTGCTGGTTGTGGGGAACATGCTTGCCAAAGGCTGGCTTTGTACGAGAAGGTGGTCATTGGTACTACAGGTCGATTACGGCCATTTGCTCGAGAATGAGCTTGAGTACTGTAAGAAGTCCAAAGAAAATCGGAGTCCAGAATATTTACTGTTAAGCCCCTTACGTTCACCCTCAGGAAACATTTTAATTTGACTAGAGTGATGCTCGCCATGGGGAGGTCAAACCATAGAAGTTAGTCAGTTGGAAGCTTGCCGCACGAAGTTCTCCTGTAGGAGTGTATGTCGCAGAGGGTTATCATACGAATGCTGTCCTAGAGGAGGACACCTCGTAGGGGTCAACCCAAAGGTGATCTCGAGGACGAGTCTGTATCTGAAAGCACAACAAAGAAGATTACATGCCATGATAATAAGCAGTATCAAGATAAATGCTTCGCAAGATACCTTCGATCCCCTGCATGATTGCAGCGTGCCATGCCAGACCCAGACGCGCAAAGATAAATCTCGAGGTCCTGTTACGGACGGCGAGCTCATCGCAGCTCAAGCGACGATGCACGAAAATCTATAAGCCAATTTATGCCAGTTTCAAGCGCTCAAGGATCCTCATCAACATGATCCAAGCACTCCGCCGTAGGCACTCAGCATGAATCCCTGGACATGTTCGTCCTCTGTACAAGCGAGCTCGTTCTCACATGATCCTTTGGCGGTGAGATGTGGTAGTCGAGCCTGTGAGAGTCGCGGAATGTAGTAGCAGACAGAAACAGAACGTGTTGCTCAGCAAATAGGCCCGCCATGTCAACACAGTTACTCGGTAGCCATCTGGAAGTGATTCCGGTATCGAGAAGACCAACTGATCAACCCACTGCCGAAGCTGCGGTCTCTTTGTACTGTTAGCAAGTGTATCATACGCCGTCGAGGCAAAAGGGACGGCAAACAGCATCGGGAATAGTCCTGACTACACGGGTGGAATCTGTTACCTGCACAGCATCACAGAGGAAGTGAAAATGAGTCTCGCATCTTCTGAGATATGTTCTCATAACGATATGTTTCCTGAGCCAAACCCAGTGACCTTATGATGGGCATCATCCTCATGTTATGTTATGAATGCCTGGCTACCATATACAACTGGTGATACATAAAGGAGGCCGTTTGGTCGAGAGAGCTCCATCCTCGGTGCATCATGATCTCGTGCACTACACTCATAAAAATACGTTGAGACTGTAGGTTAAGACTAAACTTGTATTGCTCCTTTTGCAGAGCATGCCTCATCAGAAACTGGCCTGCCTCTAAGGCCTACCGCCGCCCATGTCTCTCTCGAGCATTCACGGTCGGGGTTTCGAATACTGCGAAGCCACTCCCACCCTCGGACCGCGTTGTTCTCTCAGGCGCCTCATTTGTAACGGTTCAGTAGGGGTCTGCATGACAGGCGACCGGAAGACGCTCGGGACGCGACTATGAGACCCCGATCGGCTCTGAGATGCCCACAGCCCACCGTCACTGTCAGCCACCGGCTGCAGGAGGGGTTTAGGCCTGTTGGGGATCTTGAAGCTCACCTCTTTCTTGCACTCCCGCGAGACTGGCTGGGCAGACCGTGACAAGGCTGCGGACGTGGGGGCGGACGAACGGGTCTCAGGGGCGAGCCCTTCGTTCTCGGCTGGCTCCCGCTTGACCTTGCTCTCGAGTGGATGCCGCTGCTAACGGCGTCGACTTGAGCTGCGGTCCCGACGGTCACGGCGCGGTGAGCGATCTCTGGCTCTGTCCCTTTCTCGATCTCGGTCCCTGCCTCTGTCCCGGTCCCGGTCCCGATCTCGATCGCGGTCTCGGTCCCTGTCACGGTCCCTCTCGCGATCTCTATCACGGTCCCGATCCCTGTCCCTATCACGGTCCCGATCCCTGTCATGTTCTCGAGCCCGGTCCCGATCGCGGTCACGAGAGTCGTCCCGCACTCGGTGGCGAGGCCGACTCCGGCTGCGGGGGGACCGGCTGCGTCGTCTGTCCTTGGCCCGGTCTCTTGAGCGCTCACGTTCTCGACTGCGGCGCCGGGTGGTAGTCGAGGCGCTGCGGTCGCGGCGAATGATGGAGTCCCGATGTATAACGGAATCACGACGGCTGTCTCGCCTATCATCCTTGGCCCGGTCCCGCTCCTTGTCGCGGTCGCGGTCGCGATCTGGCCTGTGCGAATCGACCCGCGCTGGCGGCACATAGCGATCGATGTCTTCGGGAGCACGCCGTCTGACGTCGGGAGACCGCTCAGAACGCTCGCCACGCTCGTCATCCACCTCGAAGTCAATGCCGGGTACAGGCTTACCCTTCTCGCGCGCTTCCTTCTGTGCCGCGAGGTATGCCTTCGCCTCACGCTCTCGCTTCTTGACCTCGTCTTGCTTCCAGGCTTCTTTCTCCTCCTTGTCGAGGTATGCTGGAGGGCGGTCGAGACGGCTTTCCTTGGACCTAGATCGCTTTCTCGTCCTATCCGCACTCTTCGACCTCTTTCGGACAGATCGCGAACGATCTCTCCTCCTTGATCTTGAGCGAGATCTGGCTCGGACCCTCGACCTTGAACGGTGTCGCGGGCGGGATTCAGATCGCGACCGTCTCCGTCTGACCGAGTCACGTTGATCTGCTCGATAAGGGCTCCGTCTCCTTGGCGACCTTGATCGCCTGTAAGATGAGTAGTGGTCGCCACGCTGGCGCGAGGGGCTGCGAGTTCGTCTCCTGTCATCTCTCTTAACCGACCGACTCCTCGACCGGCGTCGTCGGACTGATCTGCTTCGTGATCTCCGAGGCTGGCGATCGCGGCTGCGACTGCGGTCACGTCGCGCATCCCTCCCCTCTCTCGGGGCCTTGGCATCCTCAGCATTCCTTTTATCGCGTGAGGTGGATCTATCGCGGCGGCGCCGAGAGTCAGAGACACGGTCTTTGTCTTCTGCATCTCGGCGACTCGGTGGAGAGGAGTCGCGGTGAGAGTCCTTTCGCGGGTCGTCCTTCAGCGACGATGTTCTCGCTTTGGGACTCGGTGTTCGATGACGGCTCCTGCCACGAGTGTCCCGCGATGCCGCAGTAGGGGGTGGAGAACGCGACTTGCGGCGAGACGGTGGTCGATCTTTTGTAGATGCGGAAGCATTCTGCTTCTCTTCCTTAGGCTTGGCATCCTTGGGCACCTTGTCCGCGTCTGCCGGTTTGCTTTCCTTCAGAGGCTTCTCATCTTTCACCACTGAGGGCGTCTCGGGTTTGGACTTGGTCGGCGGCGCCTCAGGGACCTTTTTCACCTCCGTCACTTTTGGTGCTGTCTTTCGGATAGGGTTGATCGCAGACGCCGGCTTGATTTTGCGAGGCGGTGGCTTCAATTCCTCGTCAACCTCCAGTTCAGGCTGCTTAGAAGCGACCCGTTTGCTGTCCCGGAGTAGGTCAGCCAAAGCCTCTTCTTCGAGGCGAGACATCTCCTCCTTTGATAATTCCTTCTTGGCTCCTTCCTGGCGGCCGCGGCTCTCCTCTCTTGGGCTCCGACGCCGTCGGTGTCGATCCCTAGAGCGGTTGCGTGAATGATCTCGTGAGCGTGCTCTTGACCGAGCTCTGTCACGGCGATCCCGATCCCGACTTCGCTCCCTGTCCCTGTCACGGTCTCTGTCGCGGTGGTCCCGAATCCTCTCCCGGCTCCGGTCGCGGTCCCTGTCCCTATCGCGGTCCCTGTCCCGGTCTCGGTCGCGGTCCCTTTCTCGGTCGCGGTCTCGCTCTCTGTCCCGATCCCTCTTTTCACGTTCTCGTTCACGCTCTCGTTCGCGCTCTCGTTCGCGCTCTCGTTCGCGCTCCTTCTCCCTCTCCCGTTCTTTCTCGCGCTCTTCTTTTCGCTTCGCCTCCCTTGCAGCTCTCTCGGCCTCGCGTTTCTTCTGTTCGGCGCGCTCCTCCCTCTCGGCGATTTCTCTGCGCTGACGGGCGATCTCTTCCTCCATGGCCTTCAGGTCGGCATATTTCTTATCACGCTCGGCCCGTCTGGCACCAATCTCGGCAGCGTACTCCTCATCCGTCTTCGCGCCGTGTATGCGTTCTTCTTCTGCAGCCTCCTCGCCAATCTCTGCCTTTCGAAGTTCGCGGATCTGCTGTTCAATTGCGCCGACATCGATGAGACTTTCGAGGAGGACTTCAGCTTTCCTGTAGACACCAGTCCGGTCTAGCGCTCCGTCGATAAGAGCGACAGCTTTGCCACGGTCGAGTGTCAGCAGTTGAGTTGGGTTCCGTTCGATTTCCTCCTCGGCGACCTCGAGCATCGCCTTTGTGATCTGCTCCCGCTGATCCTGTAACGCACATTTGCATCAGTGAGTTTTACGTTTACGAAGAGAGTCTCATATATACATATGCCAAGAGTCGTCCTGGACGTCTTCAAACGAGTGGAGCATGGGTCAGTACGTACACTTGCCTCGAACGTATCCCAAACCTGTTTGCGCGTCGCGTCATAGCCTCCCTTTTTCTTAAAGGCGTGGGCAAGTCCATCGATGGCGGTGCGGGTCGCCGAGGTGAGCGGCAACTCGGATGCCTTGAACTTGGGAGGATGGGTGGCGGCCGGCGCATCGGCCATCTGGACGTCGCCTTCTGCATGCTGGTCGGCAGCGGCAGGTGGGACGTTCGCGACAGCTGCTGCCATCGCGGAGGATGCCACTTTGGCAAATTATCAAGCCGCACCTGACATGGATGTATCTGCTTCGCCGTAGACCGTCGCAAAATCGCGGCTCGGAAAGGCTCGTCCAGAAAGGAGCGACAATAAATTCGGATGGTTGGATGTGGGGATGGTGAAAGGAGCAAGTCGGCGCAGTCGCTCCCAAAAGAATCAATCGCGGTTTGATGGATTGGCACGCAGGGATGGGAGAAGCTGTGTGGGGTGCGGCCCATGCAGTGTGCTTTAGCCGCATGTGGGGCGCTGTGCTTGTAGTGCTTGGGGGTCCGCCAGTGACACACTCTGCTGGCTGGCTCCACACGCTAAAAGTGACTCGCGCCAGGACTGCAAAAAGACCTCAGGCCGCCAACGTCGGCCGGGCGCCCGGGAAAGCTCCAACCAAGCTTGAGCCATAAGTCATCAACCCACCCTCGGGATCACGACCCTCCCACCCCACGCCACCACTCCGACGAGTACAACCGACCAAGGACTGCTCAGCAGAGCCTCACGTCTCCAATTGCGACACATCTCCACTCACAACCCGGCTGGTTACCCCCAATCGCGCCGCCAATATGGTCTCCCGCATTCTCTTCTGGACTGGCTTCGGTACGCACCGCCCTCCATGAACCCCCCGACAACGCCCGAAAGCTACATTTGGAATGGGAGAAGAAGGGTCTAACACAATGTCTACGTACAGGCGTCGCCACCCGGCTGTGGCAGCTGGGCCTCGAGATGCGGCCGCTGTTCAACCGAGGATCGCTGTGGGCGTACCCCGTCTTCGCGGGCGCCGGAGCAAGCTTCGGGTACTGGCTCCAGACCGTCGACCAGAAGCAGACGGCACTCCTCACAGAACGCAAAGATGCAATCCTGGCGAAGCGGGCAAGGAGGGCGGCACGGGAGGCTGCTGCCGGCGAGACGGCATAGTTGGGATACGTGAGGGGTGCATGTGGCCTGGTCACAAAGAGCAGCTAGCTTCAGGAATGACGAAAGAATCAACGGATTAGATTCGACAGCCAATGAGTTTGCGCCGAGAACGTCTCCTCTACGTGGCTACAGTGTATATCTACATGCCCGTGCTTCCAAGGGGCTTGAGCCGTCCATGCACCTGAGTGCTCGACTTATATCGCCAAAGCATACCCTCGAGTCACATGCTGTAGCAATCTTCTGACTACCTTGAACCGTGTTGGTCGCCTCTAGAATTCCTGCTGCCCATGACTCCTCCGGCGTGCCTTCTTGGCTTCTCCACTGGTCCGGCCGAAATGCTACCACAGCGGAGATCACCCACCTCATCAAGCAAAATGGTTTCAGCGAGACTTTCCAACAACATTCCGCAGGCCGAAGATTGCTGATAAATTCTTGCGATGATACCATGTTGAGTCGTAACATCAGGAACCAGGCCATTTAAAATCTGGCCTGCCCGCCTTGATAGCTGCCACTGCCACAATGGAATGGGCGTAAGGGAGGGTTCCGCAATCGATTCTGATGTGGATGGGCCAGGTGCCTCATAACGTGCGCTCGTCCATTCTCCTCAGCACCGGCAACATAGCGGACGTAGACGCAGTGGCATTGCCTTCCTCACTCTCAGTAATCACTGCCGTGATGTACTTGTCTTTCGTCGCGTCAAACAGCAGCCGCAACGACTCGGCGCTGTTGCGCTCGGGGTCGATCTCGTTGTACGTGAGGGAATCTGCGGAAACGCGATCCCTGTCGATATTGACCGTCTCAAGCAGGACGATCACGGCGACATCGGCGTCGTTAGCGGCGATGGCGATATCGGAAGTACCAGCAGGGCCGTAAATGTATCCATTGGCGAACATAGCCTCCGCTCCTAATAGGACCTTGGACGCACGCTTGAGGTTGACGCTCAGCCCTGCGAGGCTGGGATAGTAAAAGACTCGTATCCCCTCATTCCTGAGGATCTGGGCCAGCTCCTGGCCGGATCGGTCATACGGGTCATCTAATACGGCGACTTCGAAGTCGCGTCCCTCGGCATGTGCTCTCTGGAAAGCTTTCCGAACGAGTGTGTCGTGGCCGTATGTGAAAATCGTCTCGCCGTCAGAAATTATCGACGCAGCCTTGGAGACAATGGAGTCCTCTGCGTAGAGTATTCTCTCCTGGATGAATAAGTCTATAGCATCACAGAGCTGCTCCTTGGATGTCTCGTCGGACTGGTCGAGCTCAAGCTTCGCAATCTTGGACTTGAGCATGCGGATGGCGTTGCCCATAGCAAAACACATGGGCCGACACTCGGCAAGATAGTCGATTTGAGGGTTGAGAACATGTGGGAGGAAGTGCCGAGAAAAGACATGTCCTGGTGGACTCTCATACTCCTCGATGACCTGTTCACACTGTCAGCCTGAAGTGTTATGCGCACCAAGTGACAGAACATGCAAACCTTCTTGAATGCAACGAGAGTGGCCTCGAGTCTGGTGACGTTGTCTTTCAACGTGAAAGTTGCCATTTGCTGGCCAAGAGCCAGGACAGTCCGGTCGACATCCTTATCAGTCTTTGACAGCGGGAGCTTCTTAGCCATGGGCAGATGGCTGAAGCACTCAGGCACGACTGGTCCAGCAGGCTCCTTGGGCGCTGGGGCAGGAGTTGGGACAGGCTTTTTTGGCCTGCTTGCAAGTGATGTTGCCGGTGCATCCTGCTTCGGCTTGTTCTGCTTTCCGGAACCCTGCTTCTCGTTTCCAGCTGGGGCGGCAGGACTTGGATCTGCGGCCTTGGACTGTTCTCGGCGAGCAGCCTTCTCGGCCTTTTTCTGTGCTTTCAGCTGGGCATTGGTGAGTTTCGGGGCAGCCTCTGAGGCAGGGGCTGCTGCAGCGGCCGGGGCCGGAGCTGCCGCTGCCGCTGGAGCTGCTGGAGCTGCTTGAGGGGCCTTCTCTGGCATGCTGAATAAATGCCGTGAGAATTATGTGTTTAGGTTGAAAGCAGGGCGGGTTGGTGGACAGGAGTGAGAAAGTTACAGGGCGATGTGCAATTACTAGGGCGAGTGAGTCAAAATCCGACTGAGCTTGTACATTGATGATGTACCTTTTTGCGCCTGCTGCCCCGCGCCTGCACGAGCTGGGATCCGCCCTGTAGCGCTTTTTCTGCTTGACACTAAATTCGGCTGGATCCGAGCTTTCAAGCACTGTTACCATCAACTCTGTTACTGTTATTTCAGTGACTTGAGTGTAGGTTACCTGGGTACTTGACTTGCTTGTGGGACTGGTTCAGAGCCTCATTGTTGGGCATCTGCAGCATTCAATCAAAAGTCGGCATGATCCATAAATTCATTCTAGCACATGTTACTTACTCTTACTCTGGGTTCGGTTGCCTGTGTCAAAGTGCTCCACATTCACCACAGGATGCACAGCTTGGTCTTGTCACAAGAACACAACATGGCCAACTGATGCAATCCACCTGGTGCCGTAGTTTATTCACGGCTTCCTAACTGTGTGATAGATGAGGAGTGTCTGATGGTATAATACAACATACATTACCAGTATGATTTATTCTGTTCACGATGCTCGTGTAAATGCTGTTGCAGTGGCCGGAGCAATCATGCTTGGCTCTGGCCCACGGTGCTTGTTCCCTCACTGGTTTCTGCCACATCACTGCTTGCAGCTGGAGTATCTTTGGCCACGTCTTTCGCCACAACAGCAGCTTCGGCAGCAGCTTCACCCTGTGCCTTACCGTGCAAGAAGATCCTGTAATTGCCCAAGATCACGCCCTCTCGTCCCTTCCACTCCTTGGCGCCGTTAACCTCCTGAATGGCCTTCGTAACCCTCTCAATAAGTTCCTTGGCGTCGGATTCGTTCGCAGTTGCCTTGCCACGGACCTTCTTCTGTATGAGGACCTGCACCTTGTAGCCCTTGTTCAGGAACTTCTGCAGCGTCTTGAGCTTGTGGTCGAGGTCGTGGGGCGCCAGCGTCCACGTCAGCTCCACCTCCTTCTCCTTGACGGCCCCCTTCTTCTTGCGGTCCCTGATGTCCTTCAGCCTGGCCATCTCCTCCATCTTGTTGACGACCCTGCAGACCGGCCACCGCGGCGAGCCCTTCTCCTCGGGGTCCGGCACGGCCAGGGCCTCCAGGTACGTCGTCTTGCGGTCCAGCTCCGCCAGCACCTCCTTGAGGGGCCGCGGGATGTCGATGGACGGGTGGCCCACCGCCCCGGGCGGCGGCTTGACGTGGACGTACGGCCAGGCGATCTCCTCGTCGCGCGGCATGCGGCCGAGCTTGACCTTGACGCGCTCCACCGGCGCCTCTTCGGTTTTCTTCTTCTTTTGTTGTTGGGACGCGCGGGCTGTGCGCCGGGCGTGCAGGCTATCGAGGGCGTTCGGGGGTGGTGTCCGCGGCGCGTGGCTCTCGCGGTCGAACAGGGAGCTGTGCCGGATCGGTGTGCTTTTCGTGCCTTGGTCTCGGCCTGCCCAGTAGGCCCGGGCTTGTGGCGGCAGTTCGAAGAGCGCGGGGACGAATATCCTCGTCAGGTGTAGCGAGTGTGCACGTCCGACGTTGGAAGGCATGAAGACGCGGCGCAGGGCCGTCGCCGGGTTGAAAACGCATTGGGAGCCCGTCATGATGACGAGAGGTAAAGAGGCAAGCAGAGAGAAGTTCTGTCCGTGTTTCGGTTCTGCAGCGAGGTTTGGAGGCTGGGTAAGGAGAGACTTGGTATTGATAGTGGAATGGCTCGGTGAAATTTTCCAGGTCCAAGTTGGGAAAACAGCTTGGAGATTCAAATTCGTCCTCCAAGAAGGCTTGTAGCTCTCCAAACCAATCAGGAATCAGGATGGGGGTTACGTAAGTGCTCATTGTACCTCACAAGGCCAGGGTCCATTTCCAGCAGGTCTCACCAGTCTTTGTTGACCACCACTGCAGGTTTCGGAATCTTCTCATCTCCCGAGCTGTCACTCCTCTCGGGCCAAATATGGACGACGGAGCACAATAAGAGAAGGTGTTTTCGACATGTCACTCTCATAAAATCACCCCAACATGTCGTCCTTTGTCCGCTTCTTCCGCGAGGGCAAGGGCCGTCTCACGGCCCGCTTCGCAACGCCCACGGTGCGCTTCTTCCTTGGCCGGTACTACGGCCGCCCCGTGGCCCTCGTCTCCGACGCCGGAAAGGTCCTGGCCGCCGCCCACTTGTTCTGGTCCTACGGCTATGACTGGGGCACCGTGTCCGGCCCCTCCATGCTGCCGGGCTGGTCCGTCTGGGGCGAGGGAGCCATCATCTCACACCGGTACCGCCGCGGCAAGGACATCAAGGTCGGCGACCTGGTCCGTTTCAAGATCCCCGTCGACGACGGCCTTGCCATAAAAAGGGTCCTCGGGGTCGCAGGGGACTACGTGATGATGGGGACCCCTGAGACGGGGCAGGACTCCATGATACAGGTGAGGCGGGCAGCATGGACAACACCTTGTATTTCAGAGCGGCTGATGTGTGGCTTAGGTTCCACCTGGGCATGTTTGGCTGATCGGTGACAACCTGCCTGCGTCTCGCGATTCCAGGCTGTATGGCCCGGTTCCAATGGCTCTGATTGATGGGAAGGTGGTTGCGCGGACTGGCGCATGGCCGTGGCAAATGCACGCCATTGAGAACCCGTTCGATATTGAGGAAACAAATGAATCCGATCGAGACTCGGCGGCCATCTCGCGAGCAGAGCAGACCAGAAAGCCCTGAAGTGTTCGCCCCCGTTTAGGCGGCGATAGTAAACTGGTACAAGACAAGCACCATGCTCTCAAGAAGGTATGGGCTATCCACCAGACCGGACTGGATCGGGCTTGATGAAAGCAGCACAGGGCTGGGTACACCATCACTCACGTACGGGGAGGAAGCAACGTGATCGATTGTTTCGTCAAGCTGTGGGCTTGCGCGCAGTAATTACAAAAGAGACACACGGTCAAGTGGGACTAACTCTTTGTGGTAACGCTGTGCGGTTTCGAATTTCCGGCACAGAACAGATAAAGGAAGCATATATGCAGAACAAAGACGAACAACAAGAAGCGCTCTCCCCTTCCCTAATGTTGTATATAGTCATACGCCGGGAAACACCGTGCCGGTTTGCCGAGTCCAAAGTAAATGCAGGTATAGGAGACGTAGAGAAGAGACGCCGACCCAACCGGTAAAAGTAACAATGCCATAAGTCTCCATACAGTCTTCATCATCAACGCGCGGTGTTAACGGGTCTTACCCCTCGATGTGGGCTTTGGAACCGCTCTGTCCCAGAAGCTCGAGGCACCTTTGGGCGAGATTTACCACCTCGCCCTCGTCGTCCTCTTCCGGTTCGTTCTCCTCGGCCTCGATCTGCTTGTTCGCGATTTGCTTGATCACGTCGACAACGTCGTCTGACTTGCCAATCAGCCCAATCAGCTTCTTGTCTTCAGACTCGAGGAGTTGTAGCAATGTCCAGATCGCAATGTGTTGAAAGGTCGCATCGCCGCTCGCAAGGAATCTGCTCAGATATCCGTGGATTCCTCCGTGCGGTTCAGTCCACGCCTGGATGAAAATAGCATATTCTCCCACTTTCATTTGGTCAGTATTCTAGGTCCGCAGAAACGTCGTGAACATGACACGCACCTTTGGATGAGAGATTGCCCAGAGCTGCGGCACTGTTACCCTGAACCTCAATGCTGGACGACTGTGTAAGGGGTATCAACACATCAAAGACACCGAGATCCAAGAGGTGTGTCTTCAACTCGTCACTCAGAGCGAGGACCGCTATAGCAGCAGTCATTTCAGACTGCACGGTGACTGGAACGTCGAGCACCAGCTGCTTGCACTTCTGTACTGCCCCAGCCTCCAAGACGAGCGCCTTGTTTCGGTCTGAGCTGGCAGCAAGATTCCTCAGAGTCGAGATGGCATGGCACTGGATCTCTTCATTGTCGGTAGAACCGAGCAGATCCACGAGCGGTTTCAGGAAGCCGGCTTCGATGATTGGTGATTCGTTCATGGGATGTATGGAGATATTTCTTATACAAGCGACTGCGGAGAGTATGAGGGGGAGGTATGATGATTGAAGAAGCCGGAGCAGAGGGTGCAGGCCATGAGACCTCACGATATCGAGCTGGTACTTTTCGTCCGAAGCCAGATTCCGGAGGGCCAGAGCAGCTTGACACTGAACTTTGGGAGACGACGAGTCCATCAGATTGACGAGAGACTGGACCAGTTTGGGTTCCGATTGTGCCAACTTCTTTCGGTTGGTCGCATCGACAGCTATATTGCTCAGGGCTGTCGTACAGTAGTACTGTACGTCGACGTCGGACGAGGAAAGAAGTTGCACGAGGACTGGTATCGCGCCAGCATTGACGAGCTGTTGGCGATTCTCGTCTGGGAAGGAAGAGAAAAGGTTAGACAATTTACTATGAGCCACAGGCATCCGAGCAACATACCGGAATGCGTCATGTTCAAGAGAGCCCCTGTGGCGTTTCTCTGCACGCGCATATCCCTGGACTTTGCCAAACGGGTGAGTGGGCCAAGAGCTCCAGATTTCGCAATCTTGGCCTTGTTTTCTTCATGCGTAGCGAGGTTTGTTATGCACCCGACGGCATTGCACTGAACCTCGACATTTGGCGACAGCATCTGACGGATGAGGGGTGGCAGACCTCCCAGTTGAACGATGAGGACCTTGTTCTCCGCTACGAGGCGTCAGTCGTCCTGTTTTCATGCCTTGGCCAGGTCAGACTTACTGTTGACTGCGAGATTTCCAAGAGCTGCGCTGGCTGCCCTTTGCACCTCGATATCGGAGCTCTGGAGCAGGAACAATATCGGCTCGAGGGTGTCGCGGTCGACCTCTCTGACATCTGCTCGGCCTCACATTAGCCAAGACTGATGCAACCAACCTTGCCGGAGCATGCACCATGCTATCTCAAGCGATGTTCTACACAAAGCCTCCTCTTTCCAGCCTGTGTGTGCCGCCTGTAGGATACGCACCTCTCTCGGTTATCTCTGCGAATGTGAGACTCGCGCTTCGTTGTAGATCTATGTTGTCGGAGAAGACGAGGGTGCTCAACGCTCTAAGAGGCTCCCCTGAAAAGAAGTCGGTTTCGCCACGCTTGGACTTGTCAATACTCGGCGGGATATGCAAGGGGCCAGAGAGAAACGGACATTTTCGAGATACTGCAGGAGGTCGGCGACTGCCTCCCGCTCGCTGTCGGCGAGAACAGGCTCGTACAGGCCATCGCGGGATTTGGCTGGGTGGGATCAGTAAAGGGCAGGAGGGATGCATCGTGACGACGGGGAGGCATACCTCCACAGCAGGAGGAGCTGCAGATGCCCATCTCGAAGGTGGGCGGCGGGCTGTTCGGACCGGCTTCAAATGTGCTGGGGTGGGCCGTGTCAACAGATTCGAGACGCCGGAGAAGCGGCAGCTGTGTGCCTCGGAGGCGGCGACGCTGACTGCACCAGGGCTGGCCGGAATGTCTGTGCAGTGACTGCTCGAGTATGGGTTCCAGGCGAAGACGGAGATGGAGCTGCCCGAGGCTTTGAAGCCGGGTGTTGAGCGCTGCGCCGGAGCGTACGTAATTGTATGGGGTTTGTGTTTTGATGAGCAAAGCAGAGCAAAGCGAAGCTTCTTGAGTTGCTCTGTGCTCCGAAGGTGCTGGGGCCGCGAGGTGGCGCGGTGGGCAGTGGGTGGGTCACAAACGGGCCCCAGTGGAAAAGCTCCCGCCCTGTTCCCCCAGCATCTGGTCACCGTGCCTACCGGGTACCAGGAGGTACCTGTGCCGGTAGACCACTAGCGTGCGAACTGGACAGGGAAAGCTGCTTGCTATCAGTAGACGCTGGGTACCTGCCACCCAGCTGTGCATTCCGAGCTGGGTTCAACTGGGGTTGGATTGCTGATCCGCCCAACGCGGTTGGTTGCTTTCTTTTGATCTCACAAATGTGCCTATCATCAGGCATGTCGTCTCCGGCTTTGGTCTTTGTTCCTTGTGTAGGTAGACTATCAACCACTGTTTTCATGAATGGTAGAATATTCACGTGTGCACTGCAGCATCACATTGTTATCCAGGTTTCCTCTTAGTTGGCTATCTAGGTACTGTGGTATGTATTTACGGTGTAATCTGCGAAGAGACCGTATCCATCCCTAGTCATCCCTAGTTTTCCCGACGTACTCCCATTTCAGATGGGGATAACTGGACGCTTTGAACCAATTCAACCTGAGGTCAACCAACACATACACCCTCGACGTGTCGTAAGAGATAGGCGACAGACCTCGGAGAGCGGAGACGCTTGACGCCGCAGACGTGTAAATCCCCGATCCGTTACCGGATCTGATCACATGGAGGGAGTCCAGTGTGTCGAGGAACAGGTCGTAGCTAGCAGGAGCACAGTCTTTTTAGTGTCAAGCACAACCAACGGGAGGGCATCTCAAAGACATTTGCACATGGCCATCTAGCTTATGAGGGGTCATCCTCAAGCAGGTCAAACCTCCCAGATTTCTTAATCCTAGAGAGGATCATCCCACTTGAGATCATCTCAAACTGGTGGGTTGAAGCAAGAGAACTTGGAGATCTGGCACTGAGTTGGGGATGACATGTGCCATTAGTTTGTCGTCAGGCCGGGTAAGACACTTAAATAACGTGAGGAGGCTTGGTTTAGTATCGAGTAGGCTTAGTACTGTGTATTCTAGAGTAGAAGGAACGAAAAAGATATCGTGTATTTTGAGCACTAGAGTCTTCAAGGCAAGAGTATCGATATGGACAGTTCCTACTATTAGCGATGGAATATCCTCGTGGCTCTTGGCAAGAATCAATCCGAGTCCCTGTCCAACGTCGTTGGCCCGCCTGCACAGCTCATCATAAGTCGACTGCAGCCCATCACGTCCAAGGGTTCTCTCCCTGCATTTCTCAGCTTGATCGATCTTACCCGTCTGGTTCCACCGGCAAAGGTACCTAGGCAGTTGTGTGTATTGGTTGGGCACCTGTGCGTGGTTACGGCAGGGAGAGATATCAACCTCAGACACCTACCTGCATCTTTGTAAATACAGGCTGGGCTTGCTTGCCGATGCCCGCGTGGACGAGGGAATCGGTAGACGCGTCTGTCCCCGCAGGGACGAATTCTCAATCCTTGACTAAATTCTTTACGCTCTGGGTGTTAGACATCCGACTCGGAGAGTGTGTTAGATGGTGGTTGCACTTTTGTTGCGCTCGATTGCCTGTTTGGGCATGCTGCATCCTGGGAGCTGGGGAGCTGCCCTGTTGCCACAGAGCAGCAGGTACCTGGGCAGCCCTGGGTATTGAAAACGAGAGGTCGGTTTTTATGCCGATCCGGGATAAAACAGGATGGCACTGCAGGAGCAGGCGGAGGAGACGTCCAAGGTTGCCCTCGTCTGGTGTCGTCCGCACATGTGAAGGCAATCGCTTCCAGACCGGGGAGGAACCCCCCCCGGGATGTTGCTTATCTGATAAATCGGCCGCTCTCGCGACCAAGCAGCCCAAGCACAGCAGGTCCTCCAGCTCGGCCCAAAACCCCCTTCGTCCACACGGCCAGAGCTCGGGCGAACTGCAGCAAGTGGGCGGGCAGTAACACGGAGCACCACCTGGGAGGAGGAAGAAGAAGCATCATTCACCCGTTGGTGGGTTGGACACAAGACTGACTGCAGCAGTCAGTGCCTGAAAGGAAGAGAGACAGATATCGCCCGCAGCCATCAGGCCGAGAGAGCCTGACTTGTCCTCTGTCATTTCCCTTCTGTCCCTCTCCTGCCACTTGCTCCGTCACCTCGCCCTCTGACCTCACCTCGACCAACATTACCACCTGCACTTGCCTGCTTCGCCAGCAGCTTCTTCGCAGCAATCAGCCTTCATCCCAGCACGACAGGCTGATCCTCCTCGCACCTGGCTCTCGACCGAGCAAATCCCCAAATTTAAAGTGCTGCCGGGAGTCGCGAGGCTGAAGCCAACTTTTCCCCAATTCCCAGGGCGCGGCGCACATGTTTCTGAGCACCCAGACCAAACCGGCGGCCTGAATCGACACTAGGGCCAGGGCCTCGACCCCGACATTCGAACCGGCATCCCCCTTCATGTGCAACCGGCGAGGACCACAGTCATGACGGACCCCGCGAATCCAAGCGAGGGTGGCCCCCCAAAACAGCCTGCCGCCATCGCAAGTGCAAGACACCCGGGTCACGAGCTGCCTCTGCCTCTGCCGTTCGCAGCGCCCTCTACGTTTCTTCAATTGCGGGCTCCAGTCGCCAACAGGCCTCCGGCCAGCACTCAAAGTCGTACAGAGCACTCCTTGGCACCAGAGAAGCCCCTCATGACGCCGCTCGACAAAGAGCAGATGCAGGGTCTGGTAAGCCTTCCTGTCCTTCGGGCCATGGCACATGTGGCCCCCCGCGCGCCTCTTTCCCTCTCACCCTCGCCCGCGCCGCTTACCTGGGGCCCACGTCCTGATCCCTCCTATGCCGCTGGTGCCACGTCTGCGAGGCCACTGCCGGGCTGCATTCACCGCAGGCCCCATCCAACGTGGCTCAACGTCGTCGCGCGGCCTGTGTGAGGGTGCGGGGTACTGCCGGCGAACACAGCGAGCTTGCGTGGACGGGAGCAAGCCGCACGCCCCTGAATTTGAGCACCACCATCGTTGAATGCGAGAGACACGCTCGAGGGTCGGTCCGGAAGTGCTGACTTGGGTGACAGAGGGCCATACGCGAATTCCTCAAGGTCCGAACCAGTTACGATGTCCTGCCCCTATCCTTCCGACTCATCGTCCTCGACAATGACCTTCTTATCCGCACGAGTGTGAACATCCTCATGCAGAACAGTACGCTAGACCCAGATGCCGCAATCCCGCGTACACCGCACTGACGCACCTGGCCCAGATATTGTGTCCGCTCCGCTGTGGGATTCCAAGACGTCGACCTTTGCTGGTCTGCTTACGAGCACAGACTACATCAACGTCATTCAGTACTATCTACAAAACCCCGAGAGGTTCGAGGATGTGGATCGACTCCGTCTAAGTAGCTTGCGAGGTATGTGGACAGCATGGATCAGCATGCCCTGACACTGGCTGGAAGGCTGACCTGGTCGTTGTCTGCCATCAGAGGTTGAAAAGGCCATTGGCGTCACGCCTCTAGAGACCGTTTCGTTCCACCCAGGGCGGCCCCTCTATGAAGCATGCCGGAAAATGCTGCAGACCCGAGCGCGCAGGATACCGCTGGTCGACATTGATGATGAGACAGGCCGGGAGAGCGTGGTCAGCGTCATCACGCAATACCGAATACTCAAGTTCATCGCCGTGAACAATGAGAAGAACACGATGCTCCTGAAGAAGACCGTGCGGGAGCTCAATCTCGGTTCCTATGATGACTTGGCCACGGCGAGCATGAACAACACAGTCCTGGACGTGATCCAGCTTATGGTCAAATACAATATCTCGGCGGTCCCGATAGTGGATACAGAGAACACCGTTATCAATGTCTTCGAAGCCATCGACGTCATCCCGTGCATCAGAGGTGGTGCTTATGATGAGCTCCAGGGCACCGTTGGAGAGGCGCTGTGCAGACGGTCGGATGACTTCCAGGGCATTTACACCTGCACGGAAGAGGATAGGCTCGATTCGATTTTCGATACGGTTCGAAAGTCCAGGGTGCACCGATTGATTGTGGTAGACGACCACAGCAAGCTCAGGGGCATCATATCCCTCTCCGACATCCTGAAGTATGTCCTGATCCACGGAGAAGAAGAGCACATGCGGGAGCAAGCATGACCAGGCAGGAAACAGTCCTCGGCCCCTGGCCCACATTCCCATCATCCCAGGCGTATGGGACTATTCTGCGTTTCGAGGCATTTGCAGGGCGTTCGGAGAGGGTCATGGACGGAAGAAGGTATGATTAAGGGAGGCTGGTTGCATCGGCACAATCTGATTGCTGTGTCCGGCTGTTATAGACCTTTCGGCGACGTACCGGGGACGCAGTACCGGAAGGCCGGCCCCCTCTAATTTTGGGATATCAGAAGGAAGATCGTCGACAACGAAAATGTTTGTGCGCTTTAGATATATCCAGAAGGGCAAAGGGCCTGGCTGTCGACAGCTGAGGACAATATCAGTGTCCTCTTACGACTAATTCACTTGACTTTTGTCTTGCATCGCATGTGCCAATGAGCAGGTTTCACCGCATGGTGGAGGGCCGTTGAAGGGCACAAGGCGGGTTTGACGGAGACAGGACACTGCCTTGGTGCCGGGACACCAAGAGTGTATGCCTCCAGGTGAAGTTGTACCAAGGGGTCTAATTGATTTGCTGTGCGATCCAACCATCCTGATTCACTGACGGGAGCATGAGGCCAGCTGCAGCTGTGGCAGGTGCAATGTCGGGAAAAGGCAGGCCCTACCCAAGAGCACATGGAAAGGGTAAACGGTGCACCACTGCCTCCTCAGTCAACTGTCAACTACAACGCCAGGCAAAGCAGAGCAAGTAAACATGCCGACCACATTCCGGCTTCCAACGAACACCACCTGATCCCCTCGATTATCCGCGTTGGCATATACCGGTCCCTCTTGGATTGCGCCACCTGCAGTATCTCGCTATCGTCCTCCTGTACTTACCCGTCGGCAGTGTTGGCTACCTACTGCACTCAATCTTCTTTATTGGACATCCTTGAATCCTCGACATCGACCCCAATTCGAGCCACGGATGGCGACCGGACCCATCTAGTTCAACATCTGCTACGCTCCCTTGAGTTCGTTTCATGCGCAGTGGTGGCTTTCAAGTTTGTTGCCAATGTGATTACCCCTTATCTTTCGCGACAATGACGGCGTCCCGAGAACCATCTACGCCGGATCTGCAGCCTCGCCCACCAGTCACGGGATACCATGGCAAGCTGTCTGTTCCCGTCAAGAAGACATCCAGCGGTCTTCAGAGCAGCGCAACTTGGACGTCAAACAGCGGCGATTACATGTCCGACACTGATGAGATCGCGAATCGAGATGATTTCGTTCAAGAGTACAACAGGCTGGCGAAGAAGGCACGCATGCCCATGTACAGCACTGTACTTCGTTTGACTGACCGTGCAATAGCATGGAGTGCGTCCACTGGTCCCTGATCCGCCCGAAATTTCCGAGGTTCGTCTGATTTCATACAATTCGACTGTAGGCGTGCGGTGTCTGCTTCAGCAAAGCCCCTAACTTATCAACCAGTTCGATGGGATCGCTCCGAGACGGAACTGGTGGTCACGCACCTTCAGGAGGACTTCAAGCCAGTCTACGGAGCATAGTGTGAAGCGCAAACGCAGTGTTGGCCATGTGACGGCTCACATGATGCACCCGAAGAGGGACAGCCTCAAAGACCAAGATCTGCAGGGCCTCGTACGGCTATGTGGCAAGAGCTTCTTATATCTGCCGCCCGAGTATGCGCCTGGATCCCTCGTGCTGCCAACATGCTTCCGCGCCACTGCACAGCACTTGGTGCATTCCGGTTGGTAAACTGCTCACCTAAGCGTCCTGGTTCATTAGATAACACTTGGCAGCACCGGAGACCCGTGGAGTCTTCAGAATTCCAGGTTCGATTCGAGTGGTCAACGAGCTCTACGAGTTCTACTGCGCACATCAGGCAGGAGGCGATGTCGCCAACACTGTTCGAAGCCCAAATCTTCCCCTTCACATCAACGCCGGTATCCATGATGTTGCGTCCCTGTTCAAGAAATTTTTGGCCGGCCTCCCCGGAGGTATCCTTGGATCTCTATCACTGTTTGACGCACTGGTTGCGATCAACAGCCAGCTGTACACTGACCCCGAGTTCAGCAGGACAAAACAGAGCAAGCTCCGTGCGCGGCTGATTGCTCTTGCTGTCGGAACCTTGAGGTCGCAATACAGGAGAGAACTCATCTGTGCTGTTTTTGGTCTGCTGTGCCTGCTCGGAAGAGCTGCGGAGACAGCTCCGCGGGAAGATGATACGGGAAGGCCGTTGCCCACTTCCGACCTTATGGGCTACAGTGCTCTTGGGATCGTCTTTGGCCCTCTCCTGATAGGCGACATGCTTGGCTCTCATTCCGTGAAACTGGCAGACCCCAGCTCTGGGCTGTTCTTGGTGCCAGTCTCACCTCAGCCGAAGTCCAAAAAGGAGAAGAAAAAGGCCAAGGAGCAGCCCGAGGAGCCGCCACAACCTTTCTGGGACGTGGACAAGATCCACGTTGTCAACGATATCACTGAGATGCTAATCACAAACTGGAGAGATGTTGTTAAGCAGATGAGAAACATGGACGGAAATTTGAGCATCTTGCGCCGTCGCAGCCGTGCCTCTATTTCCGATGACTCGAGACTAGTGAAGAACTTCACGAGGACTCCGGAAGACGGCTTCGCTCATCACAGATCTGTCGACATCGAGACGTCAGAGGATCGCCCGCCTAGTCCTATAGCTTCTTCCTCTAGTGAGTTCAGGAATGACTTGTCGAATACTGAGAGACATACCTAACGTTTAATAGGGGCCGTGTCTTTCAAACAGACAGATAGAACCAGCGAAGCTCTTTCCGTGAAGAAGACGCGCCAAACCCCTGCCCGCTCCCCTTCGAATTATACCCGGGGCCCAAATTTGGGATTACTCTCACCCCCAAGAGAAGAGCCTAGTAGCGAGGACCAAGAGATAACAACTACGACACCCTTGAAAAGCTCCCTCAGATCACCAACCAAGAGTACAACGCAAAGTCAGAAGACAAGTGGGCCAGAAAATCACGAAAACATCCCACCCAGCAGCGAGGGTGAAGTCACAACGATACAACAGGTCTGCATCTCATCCGCGCCTGCGAAATCACTAGAACGGACAAGACCAGAAGCTGAGGCCACACGCATTGAATATCTGGAATCAGGCAAGACTGAGAGAGACAAAACAACACACGAGGCAAATGTTAGTACTCCACAACGTCGTGAGCATAGTAGAACACCATCGAAAGTTCCAAAGCCCAAGAACCATGAGGACCTGGGCGTGGATTCTGTGAAGAACCTGAAGCCCAAGTTCTCGTGCGATCTGGACTCGATGACTGCGTGCACGGTGGTCCCGGGCGCGAAAATATTGAGTGGTACTTCCACAATGCATTACCGGCCCAAGACGTCTTACACAGACTCGACCACTGAGTCGACAAATGTTGGTTCGGCCAGCCGCTCAATTAGATCCACACAAGGAAAGGAGCACCAAAACACGCAGAGATTGGCCATAGGTTCGGCGCATATCGTCACCCCTGACCAGATGGATGGGGCGGTAGATGTTGCCTTGACCAGAAACTTATGCCGTGGATCGTTCCGGGATCTCAAGGACCAATTCGAAGCACGAAACAATGGTGTCAATCGACCATCATCGTATCCTATCTGGAAGAGCAGGTCCAGGATTGATTTGCCGCTGCACAATGATGCGAACGCCCATCATCAGACACCGTCCTTGGACACTCCACGAAAAGGCTCTCCCGTGTCAGCCTTTGGGAGCCGTGATGACCTCAAGCGTGGTGCTGGCAAGGTGCTGGGTTTGGCCGCGAAGTTCGACAGTGCCGCCAAAACCTCCCGTTTCGTGCCTGTCGGAGAGGGCGGCGAATGTAAATATCGACGAGAAGCCGCTGGATTAGTGTCGCCATACACCAGCAATCCATCACCTACTCATTCTATTACTACAACGTCAACGCCAGCCTCGTTGATGTGTCGGTCGCGAGATCCGATGGTCTTGCCATCAAATGTCGAAAATTCCAGGAAGTCGAAAATTCCAAGACCACAGCATGCCGACAGTGGTGGCAGGTCTGCACGTGAATTTGGTCCTGAACCTGCACGAACCGGAACAGGGTCCACGCCATCGCATCCTGAGAGATCAATGTTGCTCACCCCCTCAAAACCACCCATCAAGGAGGTCTCTGAGGCCACCGTGGTATCCTTGGCGCAGCTGGATGGTTCACCGAGAGATTGCTTGTCAAAAATACCAAGACCTGCTCCCACACTTTCACCTGGACACGAACTGACGCCCGTTGCCTATCACTCTAGCCCCATTATGCCAACCGCAACGACTTCTAGTAATAGTGGTTTACCGCGCCTCTCACAATACAGCATGACACCGTCATCTGGCGAACCTCTGAGCTATATCCAGAAGACAAGCTTACACAACCTTAGCTTTAGCCCAAGCAACGGTCTAGGCCGAGGCCGCAATGCCTCCTCTCTCCGAGACCAGATTCGGAGTCTAAGACAAGAACTGTCGGCCAAGAATGAAGAGTGTGTCCAGCTTCGTCTGGATTTCGAGGAGAGGAGGAAGGCAAGCGAAGTGAACGAAATCCTACTGCGAGAAGACCTTGAAGGTGCCAAGGCGGATTTGGCCAAGTGGAAGCGGAGGGCCGAGAAGGCAGAGGATAAAGTCGAAAGACTGGAGAGTACTGCCAGAAGACTGCACAGTGGTGGGCGTAACCACGACTTCTCCTTCGTCAGCGGACTGCCCGACGCTATCGACATTAGTGAGCGGGCCCCGCAATATCAGACACTGTCACCGAGAATGAACCAGAGCGCAAGGAGAGCTCCTGAGAATATTCGGCCGACTGGTCCTCCCTTTCTAATGGGTGGTGATGCAATGTCAGATTGTTCCGGGAGTACGGTTGTGAGAAATATACGAGGGGCTGAGGAGGGACACTGGGCTCCTTTCGATGAGCAGGTTGGGATTCCCGCTCCCATACCTATGGATGAATTTTTGTAGGCGCTGTTTGCTTGATGTCGGCTGTTCGCCGGGTCAATTTTGGTGCGAGTGGCATGTTTGGCTTCAGAGATGGGGTGTACCACGAGGTACAACGGGTTCCTACTTGTCAATAAGTTTCCTTATGCAGCCTAGAATTCGAGGTTTTGTTTTGGGGGGACGAGAATGGGTTTGGGTAAGATCGCATTGTTAACGTGGCCAAAGTGGCCAATTTCAACAAGTCCTGCTTAATAGACGAGCCGACCTCCTATTGAATCTACGACTACACCCAGTTGGTTCTGTATGTATGTGCCGTGATACTAAGCCACCCAACGCCGACAAAACACTGTGCCTTGGGCGGGCCGTATGAATGTATCCTGAATATCCGTCTCTAAGCACTAAAAAGTCCACGGCGAGCTGTCCTCGCCTTGGATAAATGTAGCCATAATTCTGGCCTGTTGCTAGTCTAGCATGCACCAAAGTCAGTAGACGACACCTAGAAGCAGAACTAGACCGAACCAGCGTTTCTATCGCCGGCCCGTTAATCTGTCCCATATACCAGCGGCGTCGTTGCTCTGTGCGGTCCTCTCAGGCGACAGGACCGTTGTGTTCCAGGCCTCGGCGCCGTCGACGAAGAGGCGGTACGAGAGGCTGCTCCTGCCGACCTCGGGCCCCTTTTCGATTGTGATGGCGCCGAACTTGGAATTTCCTTTGTTGATGTACCTGAAATTCTGGTCAGCCATATGATCTGCGCGAAGTGGCCGGGGTGGGGAAAGGGGGAGGGGTGAGGAAGGGAATCGAGATCAGACGCGTACTTGATCTTGACATCCGTGTCGTCAGCTTGTTTGTAGGTCCCAATGGGCGAGTAGAACTGGCTCAGGGGGCTGGCCGAGAACTCGTACACGGTCGCCTCCTCGGCCCACCTGGAGCCCCGGGGCGGCGGGAACTTGGTGGCCGCGAACTCGTGCCTGTCCCCGGACAGGACGACCACGCCGATGCCGCGGGAGGCGGCGTCCCACATGGCCTCCAGGATCAGCTGCCTCTCGGCGAGGAAGCCGCCCCACGTGTCCTGGACGTTGACGGGCCAGTTCTTGGTGAAGGGCACCGAGAAGGCGATGATCTTCCAGTCGACGCCCCTGGGCTCGGGCCTGCGCAGGAACGCGAGCAGGTCCGCCAGCTGCGCCGCGCCGAGCATCGTCTTGTCCTTGTCGCCGTGGTCGACCTTGTTGGACGACCGGTAGGAGCGCGTGTCGGCCATGAAGAAGTCCGCCGGGCCCTGCGCGAACTCGAACCACGTCGGCGCGGCCCTGGAGAACGCCCAGGCGGCGGGCTTCCTCGCCGCGGGCGGGTTGACTGCTGTGTGGTAGTGGTGCCACGGGTCCACGGCGGCCGCGTACACGCCGGTGGTGTTGCGGTCCCAGTCGTTGTGGATCTCATGGTCGTCCAGGACGTGGATCCAGCTCAGGTTCTGTCCGACGCTGGGCCACTCGGGCGAGGCGTAGACGGCCCGGTACTTCTGTCGGAACTCGGCGGCGCTCTCGCCCCATTCGCTGGGCACGTCTGCGTAGATGAAGTCGCCTAAGAACAGCATGAACTGGGCGCCCAGGTTCGGCAAAACGTCCCTGAGGTATCGCATCCCGGGGATAGAAAGAGGGTGGTCCATGGGGTTGTAAGGAAGGCGGTTGACGATGCAAGAGGTGGACAGGAAGGTAAATTTGCCATCGTCTGGGTATTTGCCGGACTCGGGCGCTGACGTGAATTCGCCATGGTGGCCGTTCGACGTCCTCCATTCGTAGCTGCGTTGCGAGTTGTGGTTCAGGGCAACATCAATCACAGCAGTGTAGTCTGTGTCATCAGATGTCCTTTTGACCGTGCCGGCCACGAGGTAGTCACCAGTCTTGGCGAAGGGAGATTCGTCTTCCTTGACGCGTATCTCGAAACGGACGGGCAGCTTGCTCTGGTCAGGCTCTCGGATGAGGAACTTGGCCTCCTTGTTAGAGATGAAGCCTGGTCTGACAAAGGAAAGGTCTTCGGTCGGGAGCATGTGCTCTGAGTAAAGGCGGTCCGCAACCATGGTCACGCAGGCAAGGTTGATCAGGAAGGTGACCAGTGTAAGAACGAGGCTGCGTGGGTTCGGAACGCCTGCCAGAATTGTGCGCCAGAGGCCGACATTTCCGGGTCCATCTACGCTCATCTCTGTGCGGGTGACATCGACGTCCTCGATCACCTCGCCGTCAACCTCCTCGAACCGTCGAGTCCTGGTGGTCCTGACCACCTCCGCCTGTCCATACTGCAGCGCAGAGAAAAAGCTGGTGATGCAGGCGGGAATGTAGACCGCGAACGCCGTGAAAGCGACAGGGGCGAGTGGCTAGTAATCTCATCAGAATCACACAAGAGTGAAGCTTGTCCCGAGATATCTGGACTTACAGGAAGCAGACCCTACCCAAATTGGTTAGCTATCTGCGGTCAAGAACACGACAATCAGCTCATCACACTTACCCAGCGCAGGAAGAAGTAGGAGACAGCTCTTAAAATGATGGTTGAGGTCGTCGTGAGCACATTATCAACGGCCATCTTTGCGGCTGTAAGGCTCGCTGTCTGATGCCAGGCTGGATCAGGGGTGATGTTGTCACTGCCTCGGCTGAGTTGTTTCCGGTAGGAAAGCGTACCAGCTTTATGACCAAGTTGGTATTTCCGTACGTGCAGTCGAAAAGCGAGAGGCCTAGAACAACGACAAAAAGTCAGGACACCGAGGCATATAATTTCATAGTAATCAGTGAGCTGTTGAAACAAAGCCGGGCAGGGGTGTTAGAGCAGCGATCCGTCCCTATTGCGAGGGCTGATGTCATTCATAACCAGCTGCTTGCTTCCGTCTGGCGCCATGCATACGGTGGACTATTTACTACGTGGTGCTACTGACAGACGCGCTGCACTACGCACAACGGCCACCGCAGGCTGCGTGTGCAAACTTTCCTTAGGGCACTTCTCCCCGCCTGAATCTGCCTCCGAGATGTATATGGGACAGCTAGCTCTTGTACTGTAGCGCAACTGTATTGAGCTGCAATACTGAGTACCTCCGTCAAGGTACAGATTAGGTCCGTACCTACCACAGTACGGGTACAGCAGGGTACGTACCTGTCTACCTACTGTTAGGCGAAGGCCAGACGCCCTGACGCCCAGACGGGGTCTTCCACCTGGCCCCTGCATGGAGACCGCTCCGCTTCAGGCATAGCGCCATATCAGCTGGGAAACAGGTGCACCGTGGCATGTCGCGACGGAGCTACTTGGTTGCTTGCTGGCCGTCCAGAACCTCGACTGCCGTCTACCGACCTCTTTGTGCCCCGTACCCAAACCCATCGCAGCCAGCTGCCGCCCGACGATGAAGCTCGCATCTCTCGCAACCGGGCTGGTTGCCCTGTTCGCTGGCCATGCCTCGGCAACAGCATTGACCTACAAGCTTGTCGCAAACGAGAAGGCCTGCTTCTATGCCAACAACCAGGACAAGGGCCAGAAGATCGCATTCTACTTCGCCGTACGACGCATCCCCGGTTGCCGTCTGCCCGGCCACGACCCTGCGCTCAAAAATGTGCTAACGAGTTGTCCAGGTCCAATCCGGAGGTTCATTCGATGTCGATTTCGAGGTCACGAGCCCAATCGGCAAGATTGTCATCGATGGCCAGAAGGAGCGCCAGGGAGACTTCGTCTTCACCGGCAATGATATCGGCGACTACTCTTTCTGCTTCAACAATGAGATGAGCACTGTCACGGACAAGTTTGTCGACTTTGAGATTGCTGTCAGTACCGCCCAGCCTCGAACCCTACTACGACTACTCTCTAACGCTTGCTTTCGTATACAGGTCGAGAACGAAGCCCGTGTCAACCTCCCTTCCAAGCAGGGTAGCTCGCCAGAACAGACGACATCCCTCGAGGAGTCAGTCTTTAAGATCTCCGGCCAGCTCTCCACAATCTCCCGAAACCAGAAGTACTTCCGCACGCGCGAGAACCGCAACTTCAGCACAGTCCGCAGCACAGAGAAGAGGATTGTTAACTTCAGCTTGATTCAGTGTGGGCTGGTTATCTGCATGGGCGCGCTGCAGGTCTTTGTTGTGCGCTTCTTCTTCCAAGGCGCCAGGAAGGGCTACGTATGATCGCGCGGCATGGCCACGCTGTTTTTCTCTTTGGACTCGTGCACGGCGTAGGAATGGAAACTGGAATGAGGGCGTATCCAATGTATTTCCCCGGTATAGGGGGCTCGACTGACCTTACGAAGCATGAAAGAGTGAGCTGGACTTGAGCGTGTGCTTCTGTCGGGGCAGAACGTGACCGGGAGACCAGAAGGCCAAGTATGGCACATACCCAATGCATGACAGGGGTTTTGTCAATATGAAAAAGTATTTGGAGACATAGAACCGGCTATCGACCATAGTCCTTGCCTTTTACCAGACGTGGGAATTGACGACAATCGTATTCCACTCCGAAAGTGCTGACCATCCATTTCAAATCCGTACTAAAATATATCCTGAACATCTACATAGCAGGCACTGTCCAGAAGGTACTGACGTACTGTAGAGCAGCCGATAGGGTGCCTAGATAGTTGGGCCCCTGCGGGGTGGCCCGTGCGTCTGCAAACGTCGGGACCTGATTTCTCTCCTCGCCCGTCAAATGAAGACCAAGCGCGTACCCTCATAACCTCCATACTCACCCTCGCCGTCCACCAACCATGGCTTCTCTCGCAGCTGCACTGTCCCAGTCCCTCCCCAAGCCGAATTACACGGGCGAGGAAGAGGAGCTGCCTTCGCGCGCCAGCAAGAATGGCCCAAGGATCGTTGGCCCCGGCCACTTCGACGAGTCCCAGATTGTCCTGAAGCGGGCCGGCGGGCCACCGCCTTACGGACAGCGCTCTGGATGGCGACCACGCAACCCCGAGGACTTTGGCGATGGCGGCGCGTTCCCCGAGATCCACATCGCCCAGTACCCGCTCGATCTAGGCCGCAAGGGCGGCTCGAACAAGTCCAACGCGCTCGCTCTGACCGTCGATGGCGATGGGAAGGTCAAATATGATGCTATTGCGAGGCAGGGCCATGCCGAGGGCAGAGTCGTGCAGGCGAGCTTCAAGGACTTGATACCGCTGCGGCAGCGTGCCGATGCCGGCGAGATCAACCTGGAGCGGCCGAGCGAAGAGGAGGTCGCCGCCACGGCTGAGAGGACCAAGGCCGCGCTGGAGAAGCTGGTCAGCGGCGCAGTGGCGTCTCAGAAGCCCAAGAATGTCAACACTGGAGGCTCGCGAGACCCCACGTTTGTGAGGTACACGCCGGCGAACCAGATGGGGGACAGCTCCAAGAAGCAGGATCGGATTATGAAGATTGTCGAGAGGCAGCGTGACCCCATGGAGCCGCCCAAGTTCAAGGTCAAGAAGATCCCACGTGGCCCACCCTCGCCTCCGCCTCCAGTGCTGAGGTCGCCGCCAAGGAAATTGACGGCGCAAGACCAGGAGGACTGGAGGATCCCGCCGCCCGTGTCGAACTGGAAGAACCCCAAGGGTTTCACCGTCCCCTTGGACAAGCGTCTGGCTGCGGACGGACGGGGTCTACAAGACGTACAGATCAACGACAAGTTTGCACAGTTTTCAGAGGCGCTATTCATGGCAGACAGGCATGCCCGCGAGGAGGTCAAGCAGCGAGCTCTCATGCAGCAGCGCCTGGCGGAGAAGGAGAAGCAACAGAAGGAAGATCATCTGCGCGCACTCGCCCAGCAGGCCAGGGAGGAGAAGGCCGGGCACAGCAGGCGGAGGTCAAGATCAGGCAGCTACGACAGCCGCTCAGATTCCGGGTCATCCTACGACAGCGACGAGTCGGCAGTACGTGAGCGTGAAGAAGCACGAAAAGAAAGGCGCCGCGAGGAGGAGCGCAAGCTCCGGCAATCCCGCATGGGCGCGGAGAGGCGCGTCCAAGTCATGGCTCGCGAGCAGAATCGTGACATCTCCGAGAAGATTGCGCTGGGGCTGGCAAAACCTACGCAGAGCAAGGAGGGGATGTACGATTCACGGCTTTTCAACCAGTCAAGTGGCTTTGACAGTGGCATCAACGAGGACAACCCGTACGACAAGCCTCTGTTCGCTGCACAGGACGCTATCAGCAGCATCTACCGCCCTGGGGTGACCATGGACGATGATGACGAGACGGCCGGGGACAGAGAGATGGACAAGATCCAGAAGTCGAGCCGGTTCGGCGAGGTATTGGGCAAGGGCAAGTTCAAGGGCACGGAGGACGCAGGAGAGCGCGAAGGGCCAGTGCAATTCGAGAAGGAGACGGCCGACCCGTTCAACGTTGACAAATTCCTGTCCGAGGTGGAGCAGTCGTCGGGCAAACGGGGCTACGGCTTGCAGGAGACTGACGACCGGAAATCAAAGCGGCCCAGGGTGGAGGATGACGACGACGACTAGGGTGGAAAAGCACTGGCAGCCGTAAGTTTTACGGAGGTCCGGTGCACGTCGAGTGCATGAATATCGAAGAAACATATCACTTATGTTTTACTGCCCGGGATGTGATTAGTGTCAATGGCGTACATGGCTGCGTCCATCGGTAATGGATGGGGATCAATTCCTGCTGCTTTGGCCCATAACCTGAATCCCATCCGCGACACCACAGCGCACACGAGTCGTGGGCGAAAGCGAATGATCTTGATGCCTCACGAGCGTTGAGTTGGTCACACGCAGTAGTCGCAATCTGACTTTCGCGTGAGAGGAGGAAATCTCGACTAAGTTGCGATCACAGCACATCTATATAACCTTCGAGCGATGTTCTACGCTCAAGCTTGCACCACGCGTCCTACCGTAAAAGCTTCTATAACCTCCGACACGATGACAGAACTTAGATCTAACAAGCCTTTATCATCGCCGGGTGCACACCTTAAATGTGCCCGAGTCTGCTCGCAAGTTTGGCTCGGCCCCTGCCGCTGTCACAAAAAAGAGGCCGAGACGCCGAGACGCCTGAAGAAAAGCACGGATCTCGGAGTCGTCCCTGATTCGCGCCTGATGAGCACGGAAGCTGGGGCTTGCTGGCTATATGACATGGAGGAGATGATGTCTCTTGGACCTGGGTCCTCCACTGCTGAAACCCCTTGGGTCCAGGGCATAGGCCGCAGGGCAGACAGCTACCAGCTGCCAAGACCAGTCAACGTCTGGAAGTCGACCCCTTCCCCATCATTTCTCGCGGACGATTGGGCGGTAGTTTGAATATTTCCCTGTCCCCTTGATGACACACGTCGTCCTCTGATATGCTGCCTCACGACGCGACGTGACGTGGTGACGATGGTGAGGCGACAGCAATATCGATTGATTGCTGAGATATCACCTCCTGCGACACCAGAACACCAGACGCAACGGCAGTACGTCTGCACGTCTGGATAACCTCAGAAGCTTATGAGTCACTCGGGGCAATCATGGACTCAACGGCGCCGATCGCGATCATGTTCGCGCCAGCCCAGCCCAGCCCAGAGTCAGGCAGGCCACTCAGCCACCCAGCCGGTCTCGAGGGCAGCCTCCCACGAAACGCATGATAGAGCTTGAACCTGAAGCAAGCCTGGGGTGGCCCCAGCTTGCCAGCTTGCCGACGAACCTGATCTGCCGCCGGAGTGCTGAGCTTGATTCTCAACTGCCACCACCTACACTCGCTCGCTTCGTCCCGAAACACCACCCTTCCTTCTGCCGCCCCTTGTCCCGCCCGCCGTCGAAAGCTAACCATCTGAAGTCGGAGATTTAATCTGATCTTTTGGGCCGGCCCAGCACACGGGTCTGGGTAGCCTTTTGGCAGCGGTGATCGCATGGACAACACGGTCCCACATGCGACACGACCTCCCGTCTCGCTTATCCGGGGTGCTGGAGCTCGCTCTCCCCAGACAGTCCCGGCAGTCAAGCTTTTTTTGTCTGGCGCGCTGCAACTGCAAGTGTAGTAGTACATGCAAGTCAGAGCAAGATCAGGGCGGGCAGGTCTGTGCATTACATGCAAGGCCGGGGCGCAAGGGCGGGCACATTAACGACAGCCCCGTGGGGGTGTCTTCCTGGTATCATCTGCAACTCGAGACATCATATGGCAGGGCTTGGGCAGGGCAGCGCATGGCATCAGACATCCGAAGCCATGCTCGACCCACCACGTCGATCAAAGAGATATCTATGTCGAGACTGTCCCTCGCTTCCAGATTCTTTTTTTTTTTTTTTGAAGGTGGACGAGAACGTACGTTTTCCTCTCCCTCACCGATTCATCTCATATCATGATCCTCATATACATTCCACCTTCTCAAACGTCCCCACCGAGAGGTCATCTATCTCGAACAATACTTGTCAAGTAGCACCCGAATATTACTCGCTACACTGGGTCACAGTAGCAAACCCGCCAGGACTGGCATGCAGGCCTAGCTGTCAGATCTGTGTCATATCCTCCATATCTACCAACAAGATCTCGTATTCCCGGCCCGCGTCGAATCTTGCAGCCGTTCTTGGGCTTCCGTGGGCTCGGCCCCACGCCGGCTAAATAGAAAACATGCCACGTCCCTCATCCTCCTTCTACAGCCAAGACGATAAGGCGCAAGCAAATCTAGGCTACACGCCTTTTGAATACTGGAAGGGACCGAAACCGGTAGTCTGGGCTGCAACCCGCCAGGCACCCGTCCACAACAGCATCGCCAAAGCCAAAACCCACGGCCGGAAGCTCTCGAGCTCGCGGGCCGCGGCCCGGATCAGCGCAAAGGCTCACCCGGGCGGCAACCCGGTGAACTCGCTTAGGCAGTTCGAGCCAATCCAGCCGTCCAAGCTGTACTCGGCCCAGCAGTTTGTGGCATCCCTGCAGGCCGCGAAGCTTGCCGATACGAAGCACCACAATAGGCACCCGCACGTGGAGTACGTCGGGAGCAGGGGTGACATTGGCCAGTTCCGCGCCGCTACTGCTTTAGGAGACAAGAAGTCGTCGGCCAGCACCAACCCCTGGGGGGACCCCGACGATAAGGGCAGGCTCAAGAGGCTGGAGGCGATCCAGGAATCCGCACAGAGGGGGTGGGCAGACGCATCCTACCCCCACCACGGCGACTATAAGACGCCCGCTGGCGTGCGGACATCCCACAAGGAACTACTGCTCAGCCGGAGCCAATCCACCCGCTCCAGCCCTCCCGACTACGCAGATCTGCCGCCCTTGAACATGTCCAGGAAAGCCTCCAAAAACCTGCCGCCAAGGTACGGATACTATGGCGATGAGCGCCCCGACAGATGGTGGGACTTGAGGACGTGGCGGAGGAGGACGTGGGCCATCCTCGTCGCTATCGTCGTGGTCATTGTCATCGTCGTTGTCGTCGTCGTGACGATGCTCCAAAAGAACAATGCCTACCCCAACTACAAGAGGCTTGTCTACACGCTGTCAGATGAGTACTCGGGTTCAGAATTGTCAGTTCCGCTTTCAGTTAGGGATACTACGCAGCACCTGGGCTCTCCCTCGGCAAGGGCTGGCGCCCTCATTGCTCGACCTGCGAGCGCGGGGTGAGATATGAAGGAGGAAGAAAAAAAGAAGAAAAAAAGTAAACACTGCAAAGCAAAGCAACAGTTTAACTGACAGCAGCGGGTCTCCCCCCCTTCGCCAACAGCTTCGACAACTTTGACTACTTCACGGGCTACGACCCAACACACGGCTTCGTGCACTACGTCCCCCGCGAGCAGGCCGAGGCGCTCAACCTCACGTACGCGAGCCCGTCGTCGGCCGTGCTGCGCGTGGACACGTCGGTGGGCCCCTCGTCGACGCCGGACGCCTCGACGGGGCGGTTCAGCGTGCGCGCGACCTCGAAGCGGCAGTACGGCAGCTCGGGGCTCTTCGTGTTCGACGTGATGCACACCCCCCACGGGTGCGGGACGTGGCCGGCGCTGTGGCTCGCGGACCCGGCCAACTGGCCCGACAACGGCGAGATGGACGTGATGGAGGCGACGAACCTGGGCGACGAGGGCAACGCCATGACGCTGCACACGAGCTCCGGCTGCGGCATGGGCGGCCACCGGCGCAAGATGACGGGCGAGTCGGTGCACGGCAGCTGCGCGTCCACCGGCGGGGCCGACAACGCGGGCTGCGGCGTCGAGGGGCCCGCCGCCACGTACGGCGAGGCCTTCAACGCCGGCGGCGGCGGCGTCATGGCGCTCGAGTGGCGCAGCGCCGGCATCCGCATGTGGCAGTTCCCCCGCGCCGCCGTCCCCGCCGACATCACGGGCGGCGAGCCCGACCCGAGCACCTGGGGCACCGCGCTCGCCGACTTCCCCGACACGGGGTGCGACATTGACAAGCACTTCCGAAACCAGTCCATCATCATGAACATAGACCTCTGCGGCGACCTGGCGGGCAGCCTGTACGGCGGTACCAGCTGTGAGTTCCCCCCTCCCCACCTGCTGCCTCTTGACTGCTGGCACCTGGGCGACACGGGCGGGCAGATGCTGACTTTTCCTGTTATATAGGCCCGTCAAACTGCACTGATTTTGTGGCCAACAACCCAGACGAGTTTGTCAATGCTTACTGGGAGGTTGGGGCCTTCCGGGTTTACACGGCAGCTTAGGGTGGTGATAATTCTTAATGGGAATGATGATGATGCTTTTATATCTTCTCTTCTAGCTTGGTGTTCCTTGGTGGGAAAAGTGTTTCGCTTATTATATCGAGCGGGAACTAGCTATGTACATATGTAGCGACATAAGATGGAGGTTAGGAGAACGATTCAAACTAATTCATTTTCTAAGTGGGTAGAGAGAAATACCAAAGGGTTGGGAGGGGAGACAGTGTGGTTGAGAAAGAGCACCTGCTACCGGTAGTAGTTAGATATTTCCAGATGTCTGAGCCTGCTTCACGAACGAAGTGGACCAATTGAGACTGAAGTGCCATGACCCATTAAGACTGAAGTGCCATGACCCATTAATAAGCAATTGTGCCCTTTGATAAGTCATGGTGTCTCTTTTCTATCTCGTGGATCTCTGTCTGGCGTAAAATGTTCTCTTGCGGTTTGTTTCCGTAGTGATGGTGGTGTTGTTGTTGTTGTCATACGTCAGGAGCTTGTGGCCATGTCAACAACCAGCTTGAGCTCCGCTAGGTGTTCAACATGGAATGGAAGAGCCACCCCACAAAGACATTAAAAAAATAAAGTTCTCTTCTAATGGGGGCCAGGGCGAGGAGGGCCAAAAAGGCAAAAAGAGTTCAGCGCCCGCACCTACATCTCTCATCGCGTACTTTTAGCCTTCCGCGGAGTACTACCAGGGAGGCTCGAACCAGCGACTTATCCCGCGGCAAGTAGTACCTCCCGCCCTAAACCGAGTGATGTGGAATAACCACTTGACTAGACTGGTCTTATGGGGGGAGCTGCCGGTATTGGTTGTGGTTGGGTCCGGGGGGGTTATAAGACCAGCAGGCGGGCGGGCAGGGAGGCAACGGAGGGTTGGGATGAAAGCAATTCATTGCTCCCAGTGGCCCCAATGGTAAGTGGCGATGACCAAGTCCCCCAGTCCGTCCATCCGTCTATCTCCCCCGAGTATATCTATCGAACTTGATATCAGATCGCCAGCCCTGAACGCCATGAAAACCCTCCCCACCCGTACGCCATGATCACATTCGTACCTTGCTATGCGCACACACACACGCTCAATGCGAAAGCGTAAGCAGACCAAACGCCTCTACCTAACCAACTCACTCAAGGCATTACCGTCTGTCTGTCAGTCGTCTTCGTCTTTCGAACCAAGGGCAAGAGGCGATCCACGATACCGCCGTCTCCCCCCCGCCCCCCCAACCTCTCGAGTCGCCAACACTCGTGCCGCCCACTACTCCTCCTTAGGCTGCCTCATCCAGGCCTCAATGGCAGCAGAGAAGGCCGCGAAGCCGACACACCCGACACAAGCGGCCTGCGGCCCCGCGTTGCGCGCCAGGATCGCGCCCGTCACGCACCCCGACGCCACGCCGTTGGTGATGTCGTTCTTGGCGCGGAACCCCTCGATGCCGCACTCGATGCCCGTGAACAGCGCGCCCACCTTGCCAAAGTTCTTGGCCGAGCTCCACGACCGCGCCCCCATGTCCTTGAACCCGATCTTGAGCTGCTGCTTCCAGGGGAGCGACGACACGGGCGTCTGCTGCGCGCCCGCCGTCGCTGCCGTGTGGTAGGGGGTGTCGTAGGCCATCTGTTTGTGTGCGCGCGTCAGCTTGCTTTCTATCTATCTCTCTGCCCTGCCCGTGGATAGGTTTGGGCTCTTGTCAATTGGGGGCGGGGAGTTTTAGACAACGCACCGAGGCCATGAACATGCCAAACACACCACCCAGCCCGAACCCGGCGACCCCGGACATGGCTGTCTTGGTGAGGCAGTTGTGCTGCATCTCGCTCATGAACTTCATCGTTTTTTGCTGCGCACATTTCCCGAACGTCAGCCACGCTGCGCAACCAAGAAGAGAAGAGCAGAGGAAAAAAGGACACCAAGGCCGTCGCCAGCCACGGCGTGCGTCGTGTTCCTCTCCAGAAGCTTTCACCCACCATCTGCACGGCGTTGGGATCATTGGGGTCCACGTTTCCGCCAGCGCCGGGCATGCCCGGCAGGCCACCTCCCATGCCGGGGAAGTTCATGATGTCGTCGCAAGGGTTCGGCCGATCGGGGCTCGTGGGGCTTCGTGGGTCGCTAAGGGCACGCTCTTCAGCTGCTGGGACCGGTGGTTTGGCGGCGGCGATGCTGACAGGAGGAGACTGCTTTGCGAGATAGAACGAGCGACGCGGGTGGAAGCTGTGGTCGTCGACAGTCAAGGATGGATGAGCAGTGGTGGTTCGGGAAGTGGATTGAAATGCGCTTGAGCACGGCGCGATAAAGAATTTTGGTCCTTATCGCCGCCGTTGCATTTCGCCGTTTCGGAGCCGCCGAGCTAAGGCGACCTTCTACTACCCGCCCGTCCGTCCGTCCGTCCGTCCAACCACATGCGCCTTCAAGAATTCATGTTACACTGACAGGCCGAGACACTTTATTTGTAAAATGCTGCTCGGGTGAATCTTCGTCGTTCGTTTGCCCTATAATTTGCGTACAGGCCTGGTCTAAGGATACCGTTTATGCAACGAAGAGACCAGTCTTTGCCTCTGCCAGCTCGTGCTAGAAAAGCAAAGAAGACAAGTCCGTCTGGCTGTCCACTTCCTCCCTTACAAACCCCATGTCCGCCTAGTCATGTTACCCAACCCTCTTGCCGCGTATTGATTGAATGACCTCTTCCGCCTCCTACGCCGAATCCCTGCTGCTGAGTATAAGATATTGTGCTGGGGCTGGAATCATGGCCAGCCTCCACCGCCTAGGACATATGAGGCTTTGCTTTCCGCCGCATCGAAAATAACACACGCCAGGGACCACAACCGTGACATCATGCTGGATGCCTCGCCTGGCGCTCTCTCACACTCTCGTACACTTCGCCTTTCCGGGTCTACTTTAGGAACAGGTCTCCCGTGCCATTGCGCATAGACCTTGTCCGGTCTACGTGGTCCAAACCGAGGAAATCATCATCATCTCCCGACAGGATCTCTGTGAGCACCTCGTCTGTAATTTTCGCGTTAGCTCTCTGTGGGTGTCTCGGAAACCCATGCAGACGTACCATCCTGAAGGTAATGCACCTTAGAGTAGGCTGATCGCCTCACGACGGCAAACTTGATCTTCTCGAAGCTCTTGCCCTTGAGACCAGTCCGCCTCTCAAGGCGCTTCTTGGTATCTGCGAACGTCTCGCCCTGCGGTACGCGTCAGTAATGTTCCTCGCATATGCCGGCGCCCTCGTATCATAACTAACCTCCTTGAGCAGGAACTTGAAGGGCATTCCGTGCACGCGGCTCGGCTCATTTTGGAAGTGGAAACAATTGATAAACTCCTTGTCCGAAGCCTCTGCTTCCTCCGGAGACATCCGCTCAGCCACTAGCAACGTATATTCGTTGATGCTGATGACTGGGTATTCGCGCGACATCTCCCGGAAGAACTTGTGGTTGTTCACCTCAAAGACTCGAATCTTCCCGGCCTCAGCTTCTTCGGGGATTTGAGCCTTCTTGATGACCCCGTTGATCAGGTCTTCCACAATGCCGTTCTTGGGGACCAGGATGTCGAAGTGATCCTGCAGCTTCATGTCAGCGGGGTTTCCTGGTAGACTCACGGACGGGGGGGGGGACTTACCTCTTTGGTGATGCCTTCGCTGAGCCATGTGATCTTGACATTCTTCTTCGTGTCAAGCTCTGCCAGGCTCATGTCGAGCACTTCAAAGTACAACGCATCGCTTCTCTGGGTTTGGTTCATCTGAGAATAACCTGCCGGGTTCAATATGCTCTGCAGTGTCTGGTTCGTAGACAACCTTTTCACCGCGACCCGAACGTTTCCGCTGTTGGTGTTCACGGTGTAGAATCGAAGATGTGTGGGGTCCACGTTCAGTGTGTTCCCAACCTTCTCAGCCAGTTGGTCATAGCTGATCTTTGCGCTGAGAACGAGCTCGAAGGGTGGGAATTGGTTGGGGTCACACCGCGTTGGGTGAGCATGGAACTTAACCGTCCTCTTGAACATAAGGAAGTCGTAGTACTCGCGAGCATCCTCGCACCGGTCCGATTTCCTCGTCCTGGGCTGATCAGCATGTGCAGGTTAGTCACAGGATAGGGCCGTGCACTCACGTCTCCTCGGGTGTCTTGTCGCCGAGTCCGAGCCTCTTCTCAAGTCCCGACTTCTTCTCTGTCACCCTCTGGAAGCAGACAATGTCACCGTCCTGCAGCTCAGCAGCCTTTAGCGTCTGTTTGGCCCGCAGGGTCTCGATCATGTTTGGTTTGATCTCCTCCCAGAGCATGACCTTATCATCGCCTGGCAGTTTCTCGCCCCATCCCATTTTCTTGCATATCAGTGGCACGATCTCCTCAACCTTCTTCTCCTTGTTGATGTAGGCGTGTCCAACACCCCGGAGCGTCTGTGCTTCGGCATCGAAATGCTTCAGGAACAGGAGTATCAGGTCATTTTTCACAACTACGCCGTTGCTTTGACTCTGGTAAGTAGGCCAGATGGCATCGCCTTCGGCGTTGACCTCTTCTGCTACTTCGACCCAGACACGAAGGACGTTGCTGTTGTGAGTGGTCGACTTGTTATAGCTTTCTTCCACTGTCACCCTCGTATCCATCATCGGCGTGTCAGGGCGCGTTGTCTTGTTCTGACGGTTGACCATCATCCAGAGCCGCAGCTTCCGCGGGTCCTCATTGACATCTTCAGCAATGCGGTTGACCAGATCCTGGACAGTAGAAGACCGCAGCGTTCTGTAGAATCTCGGTGCTGCAGGGTCCAAGTCGGGGTTTGCGTCGAAGGATGCGAGATCTGTACCGCCGTGCTCCCGGAACGTTGAAGGAAGGATAGCTTTGACGCCCATGTAGAGATGTTGCTCCTCTCTTTCTCTTCTCCGAGTTTCCCTGATGGCTGCCTCTTCCTCGAATCGGTTACCTGAGACAAATCAGCAGAGATCTCATGACGGCTTAAAAAAACCCTAAACTCACGCAGATGTTCGGGGATATCCTGTTCAGTGACGGGGCAAATAACGTTGTCTACTCGTGATTGGCGAATGTACACCAACATGTAGGCACTGTTAGGCCGCATAATGGGCGCCTTCCTTTGCAGCGGACTCCGAACGTTGTTTGTTGGCTGTCGGTACTCGCCACCAAAGTTGTCTTCCAGAACTTCTCGCATTGTCGCCTTGGTCACCTTGTCGTCGTCATACTTGTAAAACCATCCGTCCTTCTCTGGCTTTAGAAATGCGTAGTAGTGCCCGGCGTTAAGGTCGCCACTGTGCACAAGGACGCCGTGCAACTGATATGTCCAGGACTCGGACTTGTCGGCGTCTTCTGACAGGTACGGAGCCGCATCGAAGACCTCAGGGAACTCGTAACGGTCGTTGATTTTCGTCATGGTGTCCCTCATGTAGTCGTATTCGAAACGTTTCAGCTGCAGGTGCAGGACGTCGGGGAAGCTCATAAAGATGACGCCTTTGTTGGCGTCCTGCAGCTTGTACTGCTCACCTGCCATGTACTGGTTTTCGCCTTCCATCTTCTCAACCTGTATGTAGTCCTGAAAGCTTTCCAGCAGGTTCTTGTTCCCGGAGACGTTCAGCTGAACATCCCAGAAGTCCTCTATCCGGCTGGATTCGTAGTCGACATTAATACAAGAAATGTATGTCTTGATCTTGCCACTGAACATCTTGGGCAGCATGTTCTCGGCCTTTGTGCCCTTCATCCTCTCCTCCATGCGCTCCATCAGCTTCCGCGAGAGCTCCTGAACATCTTGTTGTTCAAAGATGTGCCTGGTCTCCCAGCCGAAGGACTTGGTCAGCTCATTCGTACCGACTGCGGCGTTGGAGGTCTGGAGCTGGTAAAAGAGGCGCTGCAGGGTGTATGCGCTGTTGGTCATGCTCTCATCGTGTTCTGTCGGTATTTCGTACACAGCCTTCCCAAGTTTGTCAGCGTTTGCCAGTCACGACGCCAGGGATGTGCGGTCAGTACCTTGCGGAATGCGTTTGTAAAGTAAAGAGACTGAAGAAGAGAGTTGAGGTAACATGTTGCACCCTGATTCTTAAGGCCGACGAATCCCGTCTCCTTTTTGGAATCATAGTTGTTGAAGTTATGCCATAATACCCCGGTCTCGTCCTCGACAATCCTGACGTACACGGTGATGTTCGCGGCGTCGTTCTCGATCATGGGTCGGTTCGCATTGTCCCAGATGCCATACATCCTACGAGACTCCAGGAACTTTGTGAAGCCCCAATCACTCTCTTCCTTGGTGAACCGGTGATGGGCACTGTGATGAGCAAAGATGGTAGGCTCTTCCGGATTCCAGAGGACCAGTGCGAACTGGACGCAGCAGCTCCAATCCTCGGGGACCTCGTTCGGTTCGAAGCCATGCTCCAGGTATATGGAGCACTGATCGACATTGTTGCCAAACGGAAAGAGTAATATCCGCCTGCACACAGGTGTCAGTTTTTGAAGACATGACTTTGCGAACGGCCTGGTGGGGCTTCTCACCAAGGGAAACCGCCGGCTTGGAAGACAGGGCCACGCTCTTTCTTGTTCAGCGACCTCCAGTTTGTGATTTCCCAGGTGTTGACGACATCCTCGAGCACGCGAGGCTCTTCGACGAGTGGTATAAGGACAATGTCTTTTATGGCCTCATCTGCAGGGGGCGTCAGCATCTCGCCGGCGCAACACATGGCCTTTGTATCCCGGTTCACGTACAGTCATCCGCCCTGGTCAGGTCCTGAAGCTGTTCTGCCTCTGTCTCTAGGTTGTCTGGGTTGATGATTGTGAGGTTGTCCTTCTCGACACCGTTGGCTGCTGGGTCGACAATGTGTTCCTCTGTGTCGACGAGCATGTCGTTCGGGGAGTGCATGTCAGGGTTGAAGGCCTCGTCAGAGATTGCGATGTCAGCACGGGTGCTATCAAGAAGCCTCCAAAGCACGTCGGGATCAACGGGTGCTGAGGGCGGCGGAGGGGAGTGTGGGGCGTGTGTCAAAGACGGCGACACCGAGACCGACGGAGGGTCGACATGGGATGGCGTAGATGATGCGGTTCTCGGGGTGGTGGAGGGGGACGGCGAGCACTCGGCCGGAGGGCTGCTCCGTGAGCGCCGCCACATCTTCCAACGCCTGGTCGGAAGGGGCATTGCCAGACGAGTGGATGGGGTGGCCCGGGCAGGATAAGATGACAAGATAGGATGGAGCAGCGGGACTGGTGAAAGCTGCGGCGAGGGCATGCAGTGGATAGGTGGGTGGTGGTAGTGGTAGTGGTGGTGGTGTTGGTGGAGGTGGAAGTTGGTCGAGGTGTGTACTCACCATGTCTTAGGTTTGCGAGCAAGCTCGACTTTAGGAGGGCCGAGCTGGATGTATGCGGTGCGGTGCGGAAGGGAAGGAGAGGCTCGCAGGGCAGAGTGCCGTGGTCAGGGCTCTCTCGACAGCCCGAGGAAGCTGCAAGCGACGGAGGTGGCAACGAGTGGTTGGCGATGGACGGGGGCCCAGGTAGGATGGTGTTTAGGAGAAGAAGGGCGACTGCGGGCGAGAGATATGCTGCGCTTGGGAAAGCGCGTGTGGCCAGTCGACGTCAGGATCCACCTGAGGAGGGCGATTTTAGTTGCGATTCCTGGCCTGGCCTAGACGGGCTGTCTGGGCGTTGGGGTTGGCGAGGAGAAGGAACAGGTGAGACACTGTAAGCCAGGATATTGGAGCAGCACGAAAAAAATGGGGGAGCGAGTGCCGCGTTTGGATGATATGGCAGATGCAGGGCAGGGGACAGAACAGCAAGACTAGAGCAGAGGACAAGTCAAGGCGAGCAACAAGGCGTCACGCTCTGTTTGTTCCCTTCCGTTACTCGGCCCAGTCTTGGCCCAAGTAGACAATGCGTTGTGGTGGAGGAGGCGGAGGGAGGTGGTGGTGGTGCCGGGCAAAGCATCTGCATGAGCATGAGCAAAGCCTGGCAAGCCAAGGTACGTAAGAACTGCGGGTTGTGGATGCGGAGTGCTTAGCTTGCTGCAGACAGAGATCATTCAGGGCGTCCCACAAGGCCGGGTCAGGCGTGGCAGAGGCCCCCAAGGGCAAGAGGGTGAAATGTAGGTACCTACTCTCCGTGCTACCGGCGCTCCTCGTAACCTGCTCCCAGCCTGTCACCACTGCCCCTCCTTCATATGACGTCTCCCTAGTCCATCCTGCCGTGAGAGACCGGGTGGCCTTTGTCAGCTTCAATGCGGGTGCCAGTGGGTGACTGCTAGTAACGGCGAGTTGCACAGCCCCAATTCCGCTGCCAGCTCGCCCCAAAGTTCAGCAACACAAGAATCCGTTTTCACAGTTGACTCTGTCGAGTACTGAAGTCAAAAGTTACGTGGTCACATAAAAACATTTTGTCAGTGCTTGGGGACACATCCGGGGTATAGGTGAAATTCATTGGTACACTGTAGACCTATACATGCCCAGGTACCTAGGTACACAATATTTACCACATTCGGGGTATGCAGCATTCCCGTGTTGAGCAGGGGCTACAAGGCCAGCGTTGTCTCTTGCCGTTGCACACTAAAAGTTGCTGACACGTGCCATGTTGTCAAGAAGACTGGCAGACTGGTTGACTGGGTGCCAGCACCGAATCACTATGCAATACGTGCATGCGAGGCTTGTGACAATGGCGGGGTAAATGCTGTCCCGTTGGCTAACACATGTGCTCAGTACAGGCCATGTCGCAGTCCTCGTAGCCCAGAAGAGCAGCAGGCCAGCTGCTTGAGGACAGGAAAGAGAAGCTCCCCACTTTTCCAGCAGCAGCACCACGCCAGGTCCACCTTGCTTAGGTACCTAGGACCAGCCAGCAATCGACTAACACCAGAGCAGCTGTCGCCCGACTCATTCAACACACACTTGGATATGAGGAGCCTTTGTTACTGTTCCTGACAAGCGAGTCACCTACCATGACGAGAATGCTCTGACAGCAGACACATATACAGTCACACACACCTTGACCCTCCCCTCTTGTACGGCGGGCTCTCCAACTACCAGCAAACATTCGTTATTCGCATGGAATCATCGCTGGGATGTCGACCTTGCGGGGCAGCATCGCCTCAGCAAGCTTGGGGATGAGACCGACCCTCAGACCACCGGCCGCCAAGCACCTGCCAGGACAAGGTCGACGGGCAGTGTACCGCCCACGCGACCTCCAGACGCGCTCCATGAAGCACAACCACAGGTGGAGGGCCTTTTCCGCCCTCGACGAGTACGTCTGGCCAGCCATGTCATGCCATGCCATGCCCATCCTCCCCCAAAAGACAGAGAGAGAGAGAGAGAGAGCCTCGATTTCCTCCCGCTGACCGTGAATCAGCTGGGTCGGGAGGGAGGCAAGGCCCATCAGCCTGCGCCAGCTCATGGTCTTTGGCCGCTCCCTGAACGAGCAGAGGCTGATCAGCTCTGCCAACTATGTGAGGACGGAGCTCCCGAGGAGGTACGTGAGAGGCGGCCGGGCGACTGAGCCATGAGTCAAACCAGCTGCGCAGCGTTGCGTCGCGTGCGCATGCTGCGTCTCCCGGCCCTTTTTGGGGTGTTGGCCTTGTTCGCTAAAGCTATGACCGATGTAGGATCGCACATCGCATCCGAGACATGCAGACCCTCCCGTACTGTGTCGTGGCCAACCATCACTTCAACGACGTGTACGAGCTGTACTACGATGCCTTCGACAAGTTCAGGAGGGTCCCTGAGATCCGCTCGCTCGAGGAAAATGACTCCTTCTGCCGGGAGATCAGCACCACCCTCAAGGCCCACCTGTCGGTGATCCCAAAGCTGGCCATGGGCATCCTCGAGGTGAGCGCCGACGACCTGATGCCGGCCGAGGAGCTGGACCTCTTCATGAACGCCATCCTGCGCTCCAGGATCTCCCGCCGCGTCATCGCCGAGCAGCACCTCTCCCTAACGGAGACCTTCCACTCGCCCACCTTCGCCCCCGGCGTCACCGTCCCCGACAGTGACTTTGTCGGCAAGGTGTTCCTCAAGTGCAACGCCGCCGACGTGATCCAGCGCTGCGGCGAGGCCGTCCTGGACCTGGCCAGGTCCGCCTACGGCGACGGCGTCGCCCTGCCCGAGATCAGGCTCGCCGGCCACCAGGACGCCAACTTCCCCTTCATCCTCAGCCACATAGAGTACATCATCGGCGAGCTCCTGCGCAACTCGGTCCAGTCCCTCATCGAGCGGCAGATCCAGGACGGCCACGCGGGGGAGCGGCCCCCGCCCATCGAGGTGACCATCTGCGAGTCGTCCAAGCACGTCGAGTTCCGCGTGTCCGACCAGGGCGGCGGCATCCCGCGCGACGTCCTCCCCCACCTGTGGTCCTTCTGCAAGGGACCCAAGAGCCAGCAGATCCTCGCAAACCTGACCCGCGTCCCCAGGATGGCCGCCACCCTGCAGGAGGTCCGCGTCGACCACCCGCCCGAGTGCGAGGTCAAGGCGAGCGCCGCGAGGGCGAGCTACGTGAGCTCCCTGTCATCCCTGACGAGCAGGCCGCCTAACCTGCGCCTCGGCATGGGCCTGCCGCTGAGCCGCATCTATGCTGAGTACTGGGCAGGTGGTCTGGAATTACAGAGCTTGTGGGGCTACGGCGTCGACGTGTTCCTGCAGGTGTCAAAATTAGGTAACAAGAACGAACAATTGCTCACGAGGGCCATGATGGACGCTGTGTAGAGAGCAGTGGGGGCATTCACGGTTTACTAGCATATACGAACAACCTGGGGATTGGGTGCATATCTGATTTACTTATACCTATATCATATGAATGGAGCACTGGAGGAATTGTGAATGGGGCTAATCCAAGGCATATTCAATCACATCGTGTGCCCATGTTTGCAGTGAGGTCTCAAGGGGCAGCCATTCTCATTAATTGGTATCATGAAAAGGTCAAGGGAATTACATCAAGGCTATCTCGAAATCGAATAAAAATGGGGGGTCGGGTCTGAGAAAGGCCGCGAAATAGTAGCAGAACGGCACATACAAAAAGGGTATGGCCCTGCTCGCTGCTCCAATATTTCTGCCTTTTGTTTTGATCTCAGCCCTTTTGAAGGACGAAGAAAGAAAACGACGGCGTGCCGGAGGAAACAAATATCCTCTCTTCCCCAAGGCCGGTCAGCGCGCACTCCAAGTCACAAGCAAAGCTCCAGAGCATTGTCGCAGGCGCGCGTCCTCGCAGCTCCACATGTCAGTAAACCTTGTTGAAACCCAGCCTCTTTAGGCTACCATAAACTCCGGAACGGTGAATTTGGTCGTTCCCAAGAGGTCGACCGCTGGATCTATACCACCACTTCGTGGCCCTAACGACGACCGTGGCTGCGGACCGCGCTGCCCTGCATCTGCTCAAGCTCCTGCTCCAGTGTCTTGATCTGGGCATGAGTCTGCTCCAGATCCTTGTTAAGACGATCACGCTCAGCAATGAGCTTCTGCTCCCATTGTCTGAACCGCTGCTCCTCGATCTTGACTTGCTCGGTGAAGCGCTTCCGGAGTGCCTCCTCTTCCTCCTTGAACTTGGGGTTGTCCAGCTTCCGGGGGCGGGCTTCGCCGAACTTGCGCGTCTCCATCTGCTGGGCGCGGTAGGCCTCGTAGTGAAGCTCCTCGGTGGTGTGGATGAGGTCGAGCATGTGAGTGCGGATGAGGATCGATCGGAGCTTCTTGAAGTCGCAGTGGTCCTCGTTCTCAACCTCGGCAACACCCCACGAGTACTGTCGGCCCTTGACGATGCGGCCATCGCCAGTCTTGACGTCCTTCTCGGACCCGATGACGGCAAAGGGCATGGCGGCCATCAGGCTGCGGGCATGCTGAGCAGCTGCCTCGTCGTCCTCCTCAACAGGTGGCTGGTAGATCTTGATGCTCTGGGCCTCGATGACAGCTCGGATCTAATTTGAATGTTAGTGCCTGGGAACACGTGCTTCGAGGGAGCAGCCACATACGCGTTGCTTGAACGTGGCCAGGTCAGCAGGGCTGAGAGTATCGGCCTTGGCAATCACTGGGATCAAGTTGACGCGAGAGCAGAGCCTCTTCATGACCTCGATGTCGAGAGGCTTCAGGGTGTGGCCGGTGGGGCGGATGAAGTACAGGCAAGCGTGGACACGCAGGTCGATCTTGTCATTTCGGCGGGGCTGTTGCTCTTGCAACATATAAGACTCGTGCTGGTCGTCGAGGAATTCGATGATTGGCATCCAGGAGTCGCGGTTGTTGACGTAGTCACCGAAGCCAGGGGTGTCGATGACGGTCAGGCGGACTGTGTGTGGTCGGTCAGTCAGTTGGTGACACGCGATTCCGGCAATTCGCCAGAAACATACCCTTGAAGAACTTCTCCTCCAGCTCAGCCTTTGTGATCTCGATCTCGACGGTCTTGTCGACCTGCTTCTGGTGTCTCCGCTTGTGGTCGGCATAGTTCTTGATGGTCGTGGAGAAGAGGGTGTTGATGAAGGTCGTCTTGCCGAGGCCAGATTCGCCAGCAACCTATACTAGGAGTTAGGGGAGGTGTGCGACGAGCTTCAATGCCTTTCTCACGAACCATAATAGTGAAGGCGGCACCCCTCTTGGCGACAATCTTGTGTCGCTGGTTGGGCAGGTTGGCGATACCTATTGGGGTGAGCAGTCGCGTTAGCATGACATGGGGCGCCTTTCTCCGCGTTGGTCGGGCCTCTTGTAAGTCTAGTCATGCATACCTATGGGGCTGGCGCTGCTTTCGGTCGACATCTTGACGGTTTGTTACTCGTGAGATGAGAGGATACAGTTTAGAGAAGATGGCGTTCGGTCGAGAAGCTCTCAAGAAATGGCAATTGAGATGCGCCTCCTGGTGTTTGACGGAGCAATTGATCTCTGTTGAGAAGGGGAGGGAGCAATTTCGGTTTGGCCAGTCTTCCCCTGAAAGCTCGAGCCCCTTACTTAGGTTGGCAAGTACGGGCTGGCCCAATTAACCAGGGTCCCTCTTCTGCAGGCATGGCGATAACGGGACGATAAGGACGGACCCACAAATAACTTCAAAAGGCTCGCTAGAGTTTGGGAGATTTCGTCGCAAGACGATGATGAGGAACATGGCTGTACTTTGAAAATGAAGACGGATTTCAAGGTGCGCACATCCTGTTTGGTCCATCCACATGCCATTAAATCACTGACCGTGCATCTAGTTCTCCAACCTCCTCGGAACTGTCTACAGCAGGGGCAATCTGGTCTTCAGCCCAGATGGGACCGACCTCTTCTCGCCCGTGGGCAACCGAGTGACGGTTTTCAACCTTGTTGAGTATGCCACCCTGCTTTCCTAGCGGTCATGTTGTGAAATTTTGCATATCTACGTTCGGGACCCAGCATTGACGCTTTCTGTAGCAACAAGTCCTACACACTTCCCTTTGCCCACCGAAAGAACATCGCGAGAATAGGGCTCACGCCTCAGGGCAATTTGCTCCTTACAATCGACGAAGATGGCCAGGCCATATTGACCAACATTGCCCGGCGTATCGCGATATACAACTTCTCTTTCAAAGGTTCTCCCACAGCCCTTGCGTTTTCGCCCTCCGGTCGTTACTTCGCCGTTGGCCTCGGTCGCAAACTCGAAGTATGGCACGTGCCGTCCACCCCCGACGCGCATCCCGACGGCGAGCTGGAGTTCGCGCCCTTTGTCAAGCACCACACACATACCGGTCACTTCGACGAGGTTCGGCATATTGAATGGTCCAGCGACTCAAGATTCTTCCTCAGCGCCTCGAAAGATTTGACGGCAAGGGTGTGGAGCTTGGACCAGGAGGAAGGCTTCATACCAACAGTCCTGTCAGGCCACAGGCAGGCTGTCGTAGGCGCCTATTTCTCAAAAGACCAAGAAACAATATATACCATCAGCAAGGACGGTGCCGTCTTCGACTGGAAGTATGTTGCCCCAAAACGCGACGACGACGAGATGGACGACGCGGACGAGGAGAAGGATATGCGATGGCGGATCGTTAACAAGCACTACTTCATGCAAAATAACGCCTCTCTCAAGTGCGCCGCATATCACGCCGATTCAAATCTGCTCGTCGCGGGCTTCTCAAATGGCATATTCGGTCTGTACGAGATGCCCGACTTCAACATGATCCACACCCTGAGCATATCGCAAAACGACATCGATTTTGTCACGATCAACAAGACAGGAGAGTGGTTGGCATTTGGTGCTTCGAAACTGGGCCAGCTCCTTGTTTGGGAGTGGCAATCGGAGTCCTACATATTAAAGCAGCAAGGCCACTTTGATTCGATGAACTCGCTCGTCTATTCACCGGATGGACAACGAATAATCACAACAGCAGATGATGGCAAAATCAAGGTCTGGGATATCGAGTCCGGATTCTGCATTGTTACCTTTACAGAGCATACCAGTGGCGTGACGGCGTGCGAGTTCACCAAAAAGGGCAACGTGCTCTTCACATCTAGCTTGGACGGGTCGATAAGAGCGTGGGATCTCATCAGGTACCGGAACTTCAGGACGTTTACAGCACCTACGAGGCTCTCATGGTCATGTATGGCCGTGGACCCCAGCGGAGAGGTGGTCGCAGCCGGCTCTCTTGATTCCTTCGATATTCACATCTGGTCTGTCCAGACGGGTCAGCTCCTGGACCAGCTTGCAGGCCACGAAGGCCCTGTCTCGTCTCTTGCGTTCTCTCCAAATGGCAACACTCTGGTCAGCGGCAGCTGGGACCGAACTGCAAGGATATGGTCCATATTCGACAGGACACAAACGAGTGAACCATTGCAGTTGCAAGCTGATGTTCTTGACATTGCGATCAGGCCGGACTCGACACAATTCGCCGTCTCGACCCTGGACGGCCAGTTGACATTCTGGAACATGACAGAGGCGCTGCAGGTCGCAGGTCTTGATGGCAGGAGGGATGTCTCTGGTGGCCGGAAAATCGGCGACCGGAGAACAGCCGCCAACGTGGCCGGCACAAAGGCCTACAACAGCATCAAATACAGCGCAGACGGCAGCTGTCTTCTCGCGGGTGGAAACAGCAAGTACATCTGCCTGTACTCGGTCACGACAATGGTGCTCCTCAAGAAGTTCACAGTCAGCGTCAACCTGTCGCTATCAGGAACGCAGGAGTTCCTGAACAGCAAGCTCCTGACGGAAGCCGGCCCACAGGGCGAGCTCGACGACCAAGGGGAAGCCTCGGACCGGGAAGACCGCATCGACAAGTCCCTCCCTGGTTCCAAGCGCGGAGACCCGTCCTCCAGGAAGAACATGCCCGAGGTGCGGGTGTCGGGTGTCGCCTTTTCGCCCGCCGGCACGGCATTCTGCGCAGCCTCGACGGAGGGCCTCCTGATCTACAGCCTCGACAATGTCCTCCAGTTCGACCCCTTCGACCTGAACATGGAGATCACGCCAGCAGCGACACTAGCAGTGTTGGAGGATGAGAAGGACTACCTCAAGGCGCTGGTCATGGCGTTCCGCCTCAACGAGGCCGGCCTGATCAAGCGGGTGTTCCAGGCCATCCCGCACCCGGACATCGCGCTGGTGGTGGAGGAGCTGCCCGTGGTGTACGTGCCGAGGCTGCTCCGCTTCGTCGCCGCCGAGACGGAGCAGTCGCCGCACATCGAGTTCTGCCTGCTCTGGATCAAGGCGCTGGTGGACAAGCACGGCGCGTGGCTCACGGCCAACAGGGGCAAGGTCGACATGGAGCTGCGGGTCGTGAACCGGGCGGTGACGAGGATGAGGGACGAGATCCGCAAGCTGGCCGACGAGAACGTCTACATGGTGGACTACCTCCTGGGACAGGCCGAGACCAAGGCTGCCGCGGAGAAAGGGGATGCGTTTGCTAGGTCGCTCAATGGCGAGAACGGCACAGGCCTCCTGACTTCTGGTCAGGAGGGCGCAACTGTTGCTGACCTCATGAGCGAGGGCGAGTCTGAGGAAGAGTGGATTGGTGTAGAGTAGAGTAAAGTTGTGGCGTTACAGGATATAAAAAAGAGAAGCTATGAATACCAGGCCGCTGATACCCATACCGTCAATCCGTGTCCACGATGATTTAGTCATACAAAGTATTGTACAAGGGTTTAGAGTGTGCCAGCACCAGCGCCAACCAAAAACTTTCCGCAGGCACTGGCCGTGAAGTAGCGACTGTCGCGATGGTCCTCAAGCAAAAGCTCTCTTCCAGTCCAAGAACTCCGATGTTTAGGGTCCTCTGCAGGAGAACAAGGGCATTGGCCCGCCTGCAGGTTTACAATTTTGGCACTTCCTGTTTGTCGTGTCAGCGGAGGCTTACTCGGCGGCGTCAATACCTGCTGCACTACACTTACCGTCCACGCCTCATCCAGCCCGGCGCTCCTCACCCAGTGATCGCCGGGCCCCTCTAGCGAGTCGATCACGAGGTGGTGGATCTTGGACCACGTGTCCTCCCCTTTCAACAGCACCCAGTCCTTATCCTGGTACTTCTTGGTGAGCTCCTCACACACCCCCACCGCCCTTGCCAGCTTGATGGCGTGGCCGTCGTCGGGCATGGGGTGGATCCTTGAGGCGACCTCTGTGGGGACATGATCAGTCTTCAGCGTTCATCTAAGCTGGTTGTGGGGGTAACTCGGTGACTCTTACCGGCTATAGAAAGAGGACTCCCTTGATCCCTGGGTTTATATCCCTTGATGTGGTCCAGTGACAGTTCGGGGACGGCCCTGGCTGCGTACTCGACCAAGTCGTAGCGTATCTTCCACTCCAGCAGCCGCGCCTTGGTCTCGGCTGGTATCCAGGACTGGGAGTTGATGGTGAGGTGGAATGGAGCCGAGTTCAAGTGGTGTCTGGCCAGAAATCAAACTGTAAGCCTCTCTTTCATCTTCCTCGAGAGGCTCTGCCCTGCATGTAGGCGGCCCAAGAGGGGGGCTTCACACTTACATGATGAAGAAATCGAACTTGTTCATCTTCTGTGGGTGGAACGAAGCACCAGCAGCCATGAACATAATGGCGTCGAACATCTCTGCCGTCCTCTCGTCCACCTCGTCAGGCCTCACCTTGACCTTGCTCATGATCTCCAGCATCTCGTCCCCGGCGCGGTTGAACACCGTGTCCCGCAGGCTATAGCCGGCCTCGAACTTCAGCTCCTTGCGCAGCCTGGGCTGGTCGCGCACCTCCCTCAGGAGCGACACGATGCTCGGCATCCTGGCCTCGGCCCCGTAATCCTCGTCGGCCCTCCTCTCGGCCGCAAACAGCTCCTTCTTGAAGTTGGCATGGTGCACGCACGTCTGCGCCAGGGCCTCGGCCACGATGGCGGGCTGCGCCCACTCCATGCCGTACATGAGCTGGAGCAGCGGGTGCAGCACGCCGGCGTACAGGCGCACGAGGAGGTCCTCGGCGCCCTCGGTGCCGGAGAACAGGTACTCGGACACGACGGCCTCCCACCCCTTGGCCTCGATCTCGCGCTGGAAGAAGGCCAGGAAGTCCGGGTAGTGCTGGTCCTTGCCGAGGTACCTGCTCGCGTGCGACCACGTCCGGAAGAGGTCCTCGACGACGCCGTCGTGGGTGGGCCTGGCGGGCCGCTGGTAGCCCAGGTTGCCGTCGAAGCCCTTCTGCATGTCGCCGGCCCCGGCGCCGGTGCCGAAGAGGGCCAGCAGGTGGTGGGCGATGTGGTTGTGGAACCCGCGGTCGTTGAAGTAGACGTGGTTCAGCTCGAGGTCCTTCTGCAGGAGCTCAGAGAGCTTGTTCGCGGCCTCGTCTGTCTGCCTGACCCCCCAAAGGCCCGTGTTCTCGGGGGTGATATGGATCCTGTGAGCCGTCGCCATGGTGCTTGATCTTCGCAGGAAATTGATAGAATTGTTTCTTAGGGTACAGCTCGCTAGCCTGGACAACAACATCTGCTACTTGAATGCAGTTGGCTTGATGAAGTCTTAGACTCCATCGCCAACCCCTTATCCCGGCCAATGCTTCCTTTATGCTCTCGAGCTACGTTCTCCAAAAAAAGTTGCCAGCATACAATGTCTGCCCTCCTGCCGCTCTTCGGACAGGGTGACTAATTTGCGATCTGGCCTCTGGTCGTGAACGTGTATGGCCTCTGAAGGTGACTGGTCCGGGGCAACGTTGAGGGCTCGTCACCGAGCGGAGATCACAGGAGATGCTCGGGGCTAGACATGGCTCCAACACTCGCGGGGCGACATCAACGGCGAGACTGAGCTGCGGGCCAGCAAGCAAGAGGGTAGTGGCGGTGACATGCTACGTACGTAATCGTCACAGCTGGCTAGGCTCTTGACGGCGGATGAAGCTTGGAAGCTTGACAACGAGGGCCGCAGTTGCTCCGTGGTCCGGGACCCGAGAGCAATGGGTGTCTCCCCAATTGTAAGCAAGATCCCACATGGCCCACATTGACGTCGCTGCCGCTGTGGGGTTTGTGGGAATTAGGGCGCGCCAAGTCGACAGAATTCCATCTTCGCGTCACTGGCATTCTCTTCGAGCCGGGACGGCATTGGAGCACTCCAGCAAGCCGGATCGCCCGGAGCTGTAAATGCCTAGCGTAGTGTCGCGGGAGCTAAGAACGGGCCCTAATAATCCGAACTGACAGCTTCATCCAGGCCTGCCATTTGAGAAGCCTGGCATCATCCTCGACAGACTGGCAGAGAGGCACAGCGGAGGGCCACCATCCTACCAGAAAAAGACACGATGCGATACACATTCGGACGGATCTGCCATCCAATCCATGCCCGTCGCCCCTCAATTTCCTCTTCTGGCCGGAGCAGCTGGTCCAACAGCAGGCCTCTGGAGCCGGGCAGAGGACAAGCCGACTGACGTCGGAATATAGCCAAGGATGGAACGAGGGCGGCGATTACGCAGTGCCAGGGAGAGCTCCCAAGCTCTCCTGGTTGATATCAACAACCTCGAGGTTATAGCATAGGCCGATCGAGCGTTTTCCGAGACGCATTTTCTGGACTGCAACGGCAGGCGGTCGTCAAAAGTGCACGAGTTGCCGCGACTGGGATCCCGCATCTTTGCTCAGAGCGTATTAGCTCCAAAGCGTGTCCCAAAAACGGCCACACAGATTGACTCGCACATCGTACTACACTACAGCACATACATACATCACTCGGCATGGGACGGCCTCAGATGCATGGGTTCTCGTTTCGAGCGAGGCTTGACAAGCTTGGCCAGCTTGTTGCGCATTCCCACCTCACAACGAGTGCTTCTCTTGACGAGACCAGGAATATGGTTCACGCTTCATCGACGTCCCTCGCAGAGTCACAGCACGGCATCAGGCGCCCATGCGCTCGCTACAGGCCACGGAAGCGGCAAAGGTTGCACAGCTGGTGCGAAGGAAAATACGACGTGATGCACGTGAAAGCACGAGAAGTAGCTGCTGTCCCAGTTGCTGCAATGTGCACGTTGAACCCGGGCCAGAGGAGAGAGATGACCCTGGCAGCCGGGCCCAGATCTGCGGACCGTACCACGGTCCTGACAGCCAGCCTGAAACCACCTCCTTCAGGCATCATCGCAGCACACCAAGGGGGACCAGGGGACTTACACGCTTCCTGCCGCCCAGGACTCCCCTCGGCCATGCTAACCGAGTCCAGCCCTATCCGCACGCCGCCACCGCATATCCCAGAGGCAAAGAGGCTCCATCTGAATCTGATCATTGAGTCTGTGAGCCCTTCGCATCGCTCCCGGATCTCCCTCCATCTCTTCCTCTCCTTCCGTGCGCCGGGTTTACGGCCCCCTCACTCGCCAGGGCCAGCGTGATCGGCGGCCGGGATCTTGCGACGGCCATCACAGCAATTGGACCGCCCCATCCGAGTCTTGTTTCTCTATTATTGTATGCTACTGGGCGCCGACGGTGTGTGTGGGCCGCGATCGGTTATTTCTCGCCTGTCAACTTGTCAGCCTGGCCCGATGAGGGACATACTCCGCACCTGTCTCATGTGACACCTTGTGATGCTCCGTAAACCTGTACAAGGCAGTACATGAGGCAACACGGTCGATGGACCTCGAAATCAGACGAAGAAATGTTGCGGGCCCGTTCCTATTCGGTGGGGCCCTCGGTCTGCCGCCGCGTTTCTTGAGAGTCAAGGTTTATCTTATTTTGGCCGAGTATCCCATGCGGAGGCTTCATCTGGTCAGTGCCTGGGAAGCACAGGTCGTGTCCCGCAGTTCTCGCCGTGCTGTCTCGCCCTGGCATGAGTCTGTACTTCTCGGTCTCGTATTTCGCCTTGAACTCTCATGTTTATTCCTCTTCTTTGACCCCAGGTGGCTTCGTTCACACGAGTATGGCTCTGGAGCCTCGTTTATCTCTCCTAGACTATCATGAGAAAGCCGTGCTTCTCTGAGGTGGCAAGCTTATGCTGGCTAGTAGTATGTTGGCTTCATGTAAGCGTGGCATACGCGGCAGTTTTGCGAAGCCGACAAGACCCCGGGGCCACTTCCTCGGCCGGATTTATTCGCCGGTCTTTCGCTGTGGGGACGGTCCTGGGTGACTTTGTATATATCGACGGCGGTGAGGTATCACAAGCCAACGGGAACCAGCCCTCGGGCAACAATCCGTCGAGTCTAGGTCAGTGGGAATCTCGGAGGAACCCGTATATCAGAATCAATATCGTTCCTGTGTTCCTCGGCTAATATTTCTGTATAGAACCCTCAACGCTGTCGATAGGTCTCCGTGAGTCCTGGACCAACACCACCGTCCCCATCCAGGCCATCCAGAAGTCAGCACCTCTCCTCAACAGTCAAACAATATGGACCGATGAGCCAGGGAACTCCTTCTGGATATGGGGAGGAGCAGTTACCGACGGCACTCCTCCTGCTCCAGATCAGTCATGGAAGTTCTCCGTTGACGGTAATGGGGGAGGCTCTTGGAGTTTGGAACCGCCATCAAACCCGACAATTTTCAATGAGCTGTCACGCCCCGTTGGATGCGCCCACACTCAAGGCGGTGGCGTAGGATACTGCATGGGTGGCCTTCTGACCAGCCAGTCCAACACCTCGGTGGAGAGCGACACCGCTGTGGCCGGACTTGTGAGCTTTGGCATGAGCTCGTCGGTATGGATCAACACTTCAGTCCCTCGCACACTCGTCAATGCCCAGGCCGAGTACGTGCCCTTTGGCCCCAACGGCATCGTCCTGCTCCTAGGCGGAACAACAGGAAGCTCGCCGCCCACGTTCAGCGATTTCACCAACATCACATTCTTTGACACAATAACCAAGCAATTCTTCTCCCAGCAGGCCACCGGGACCATCCCCACCGGCCGCCAACGATTCTGTTCAGTCACGGTTGCCGGCCCGGACAATACTACCGAGATATTTCTGTATGGTGGCCTCACGGCCGACAACACCGTCTCCGACGAGGTGTTCGTGCTCTCCCTGCCGGGCTTCGTCTTCGCAAAGGCAGACAGCCCCGGTGCGACCACGGCTCGGGCAGACCATGCGTGTGTCGCCGTCGGCGGTGGCAAGAGGCAGATGCTCTCCATCGGCGGGGCCGACGCCTCCAAAGGGTACCCTGCCGCGTTACAAGACCCGGACCCCTGGGCTCAGGGGCTTGGGGTGTTCGACATGACGAGCCTGCGCTGGACGGATGGGTACAGCAGCGATGCTGCGGCTTATGACACCCCGGATGTTGTAAAACAGTTCTACAGGGACGGCGGGCTGGCCAAGGTTCAGTGGGCCAGTGACGAGGTGGAACGCCTCTTCAGACCTGGTAAGTTTGTACATTGGCGTGGCACCACGCTCGTAAGCTTCTCATTCTGGTAAGAGTACGTACTGACTTGCAATCTAGCCGAACCAGGCTTTGATGGGGCTTCTGGAAACAATAGTCCGGGTAGCACCAGTGGCAACAACAATAGTAATAACAACAACAATAGCAACAACAACGATAATAACGGAAATGATACAAATAGCCCCAATGGCAGTGGGACAACATCGGGCTTGTCGAGACAAGCCATCCTGGGCCTCTCAATCGGCGGAAGCGCAGCCCTGCCCATCCTAATAGCCGGCATATACCTCTGCTGCCGGCGACAACACCGGCGGCGGCGGGACCCCTCGTCCAGATCAATATCCGCCACCACAACCACAACCGTCCACCACCACTCCAAGCGGCGGCGCAGCTCGGACGCCACCAGCAGCGACGCCTCCTACGACCGTGAGCTCTCCGACGTGAGCAGCCACCGGCGCCCCTCGGTAGTCCGCTCCTCCGACAGCAACCAGAACGAACGGGGGGGAGCAGGGTACCTAGCCGTCCCGGCCCCGGCCCACCAGGCGGACTCCCTGGCGCGGCGGTCCCTGGACCAGTACAGCGTGCACATCAAAGGCAACGCGACCCCCATCATCATCGACAGCGCCGCCATGACGACGGCGGCGAGGGAGAGGGAGGACGAGAGGCAGCGGCGACAACAGCAACAACAACAACAAACACAAACACAAAAGGCTTCTGTCGGGCCACAGCCGAAGCGCGTCAGGTTCTCGGCGCTGCTGAGGCCGCCGCAGCGCAAGCCCGTCGCCGCCCTCCAGCCGCAGCAGGCCCTGGGCGGCAACCCCGTCACCATCCACTCCGGGCTGGCCGACCGCCGCGGCCGCCCTGCCCTGCAGGCCATCCGGACCCGGGCGGCGGCGGCGGCGGGGAGCAGTGAGGGCGATAGCGATGTTGCCAATGGTGGTGTGGTTCGTATCTACCAGGATCGGCCTGCCTGATGGTGGCTGGGAGGAGGGGGCGATACAGATACATCACACACTACCTGATCTTTCCATCTCTCAATCAGTTCTCGGTTTGCCGCCACGCCTTCTTCTCTGCATCCACGTGATTCACTCAATGGCCGCGTGGATGCATCCTGCATGGGCCAGGCCAACATTGAGACAGACTCCTTGGGTGTCTCGCCCGTTGGGGGCATAATCCTGTTCCGTCACCAAACAGGTGGGACGAAGTAGCAATGATTGAATACCAATAGGGGGCAGCCCCCTTTGTTATTCACAATAGTAATTATGTAGTCAACAACCATGTAGACCGTTCCGTTCCGGACCCGTGATATCGGATATGCTCGCTTTTTAAAAGTCATCGCCTCGGAATCAACTCAGAAAGGATTGCCCACCCATCACCTGAGAGGCGGCTTCTCAAAAGTTCCCTCCCCTTTCTCCCCAATCAACAAGTCACGCTCTGGTTGTCATTGCGCCAGACCACAGATCTAAAGTTTCTGCTTTTCTCTCTTGTTTGTCTCTTTGCACCGCGGCCAATGAGAACTGTTGCCACAGCTCGACCGCTGACCTTTGAACCGAAGATGATATCTGTTTGATGCCTCCGTGCGCCGTGCCCATTGTCTCTCTTTTTTGTGTGAATTCGTTGACGTTGCCCCCATTTGTCTGGGTATGAGGGCTTTCTGCGATGTCGTGATCGTTTCATTTCATCTATTAGGGTCGCTCCTCTCGTGATGCTACCAGGCCGCATGGGCAGGGACGGTTATTGGCCCTGCCCATGGCCCGTCATGGCTGATCTCACTGGCCTCAGCGATCACTGATTAGACTTTTACTTGTTGCCGTGTCGTACCCGATGACCTGGGTTAGATAGTACAGCCTGCCATGACTTGTTAGCTTCTCAAGTCCTAGGACTATCAGGAGCCATCGACGACGGGCGCTTACTTTTCAACCATGAGCTCCTGGGCGAACGCCTCTTCGAAGCTCTGCTGGCACTGTATCCAAGCCATCGTCCTCTTCTTGGGCGATACCTTCTTGACTGTGAGTTTGAACTTGCCCGTGACAGGCCTGTGATCCGACACCCTGACCTCATGCCTCTTGTATTCGACTTGCTGTATCCTGCCTTTGCCACGGTACAGCAGACGATCGCACCACGCCGGACTGCGCTTCTTCTCGCTCGAGTCGTAGTTGTCCGTGCCCACGTCGTACTTGTATGTTGGGGCGAACGTTATGGGCATCTCCTCGAAGGCGCGGAGCTTGAAGTCCGGTTTCCGTCGGCGCGCCACCAGCAGCTGATCCCGCTCGAGGAGCTTGGGAAGGTTGCCTTGCTTTACGGCCATGACCACGGTGTCGCGGCTCATGGTGTCAATCCGGTAATTGAGATCGCCGTTGAGTATGACAAGCTCGTGGTCCATGATCATGGTGCCATCACCACCCCCGGCATAGCTATCGATGCGAACACTTGGGTCGCGTTCCGGGGGTAGGATGGGCGCCTCTAGAATCGCAGCAATGTCGTTGTTCCGGCTTTGAGCCTGCGACTGTCCTGCTGCCAGATGGCAGTTGAAGAAGCACAGTGAAGTGTCGTCGACCATGAAGCGGACTATGATGGCACCTTTGTTGCCGTGTAGACCGCCCATGCCCCGCTTGACCTCGGCTGTGCTGAGATTCGAGATGCGATCCCTGACGTCGGCCTTGACGAATATGCAGTAAAAGAGACCGACCATATGGGAAGTTTGTAAGAGATGGTACAAATCTCCGGCCATATAATCATCAAGGCTTCTGATGAGGAAATCTCTCCAGTCCCGGTATTGATGGCTCATGCGCTCCTGGTCCGATTCCTTCTTTTTGGATTTGAAAAATCGCTTGGCGGTAGCGGTCTTGTCCTCCAGGTCAACGAGTTCCTGGAAGCCAAATATCAGGATATCGGGAGAGCCGCTGCCCTGTAGCAAGTTCTGTATGAAGACAGAATCCGTCTCGGAGTACCGTAGGCTATTGGGCGTAGAAGCACCGGCGTTCCACGTCATGATCATGGCCTTGAGCGTTTGGAACTCGCAGTATTGGACGTCTTTGGCCTTCATTTCCGCTTCAAGCCAGTCATCTTGCAGCATGCCGTCCCACACCCTGATCATGTTGTCCGCACCCAACGAGAGGACCTGGTGCCGCTCTTGTCTGTACGAGCTCGACCGGTCGGCGATGATCTTGAGCACCGGTTCGTTATGAGCTTGCCACTCTTTCTTGACAGCCCACGGGTTTTGATGCACATCATAGACAGCCATCTTCCCGTTGCTGTAGCCTGCCCATATGCTGCCACAGCTCCCCGATAGCGAGTTGATCTTGAACGCGCTAACGTTGAGGACCTCCAAGCATGTGTAGTCTTTCTTTGAGTACACGGTGACCTTTCCGTCGCTGTGACCGAAGAAGACCTTGTTGGGGTCGGAGGGGAGCAGGGCACCAGCAGTGACATCGCCAGCGGCGTCTTGAAACAATGAGCGAAGAAGCACCTGGAACTGGGCCTTGCCGTCGATCGTCGGTAGGAAAACGCGTATCTCCCTGCCCGTGGCATGCCAAAGCTCATCGCCAACGATCATTGAGAACGTGTGGCCCTTGGGTACTCGGTACGACTGGTGCGGGTGGCCCGTCAAGTCTGGCGTTCCGTCGGCCGATGGGCCCCAAATGTGAAGAGTCCCGGCCTCGTCCAAGGTCCACAACTCATTGAAGTGCCGATATATTTTGGCAACCTCATTCCTCTGGTGTGCACCCGTCTTTGTGGCAACAAGGCTTTGTGTTTGGATGTCCGCCTCCATCAGGTCCCCATTGTTGTTCCCGATCCACAGCCGTTTACCCTCCTCGTCGACGTTTAAGCCTGGCTTGAAGCTCACAGCTGTGGCCTTCAGTCCCTCGCCGTGCGCGAAGCTCATTACAAGTTCCCCGTCCCTCAGGCTCCACACCCTAGTAAGATGCCCCGAGGTGCATACGAGGTCCCCACAGGCATCGAAATTCCTCGCATCTGACTTGGTTACGATTTCTGGCTGTCCGTGCTTCATGTAAGGAGGTCTCCTGTTGGTGTTTGAAGCGTCTGGGTACGTCCCATTGACGGCTGCAGCCGTGTCGGCGGGTTTGGCGAGAACGAGAGCCTGCGAATCAGCAGTGCGCGGCTCGGCGGGAGGAGCAGTGGGTGCTGCTGGTCGCCTGGGCTCAGGAGGCGCCCGGTCGGCGCCCCTGTGAGATACCGTATTTGCCCTGCCGTGCATCGACGGAGGCTGGTGCTGCGCCACAGGCGTCGATACAGTGCGCTTTTGGTTTGCCGCCGGGACCAACGCTTGACTCGAAGCCGTGACTCCTGGCCGCGGAGGTCTAGGAGGTGGTATTTTCTCAGGTAGAAGCCCTGGCTTCTCCATTGTTACACTGAGCGGTCTATTAGGCAGTGTCGGCCGCGCTTCCCCCGTAACATCTGGAGTGAGCTGGCCCCTTGCGGATCCATCCACCATCTCCTGCTCTCGATCCCTCCTCTTGCTTGCTATCGACGGATGCAACGGCGGCGGATCGAATCCAACCTGGATGGTCTTGGCCGTGGCAACGGGCTCCCTTGGCGGGCGCGGCCGTTGTGGCAGTGATGGTGGCGAGCCTTCGGCGCTGGCTGAGCCACTCGTTGGAGGACTGCTGAAGGGCGATACTTTGTCAGGCATACTCCTCCTCGGCTCTATGGCACTGTCTGCCGTCCAAGAATTCCTAGACCTAATGAGCAGCTTCCCAGAGCGGTTGATAGGCGGGGGCACAGGGTCGGCCTCGCGCTGTCGTCGAAGTTCGGCGGACCGTCGAGGAGGAGGCGGTGAAGGCGGTTTGAAGGCGACTACTTTTGGCGATCTCCGAGGATCCAAGTTGGGCGTGCGCGAGCGGCTTGGGATCTTGAAGTTCTTGCCCGGCACCGCCGGCGAGGTAGCCGGTTTCACGACATCGTCCGAGTTGAGGAAATTGGGCTGGTCGTTCACGGCTATGTTCAGATGTCGGCCCTTGGGAGGGGACTGTGGCGGTTCCACCATGAGGGCGGGAGCTGGGACAGGGCGGGGGGTGAGCGGAGGCGGAGGGAAGGCATTGCGCGCGGGAGAGCACGGAAGGCCGTTTTCTTTGGCGACAGGGAGAGCCAAACCAGGCTTGTTCTTAGGTATGGGAGGCGGCTCCTTATTGATCGCATTCGTGTCTCGGGGCTTGTCGGGGCGTGGCCCTGGGGAGGCATTCCGGCTCGAGGGTTGGGCCGGCTGTGTCTGTTGCGGTTGGGGCTGGTCACCAGCCTTGCCCATGTTCTCGAAGCGGGAGCGGAGGGAGGAGACGGGTTTCTGGCAGTCGGTTGTCAGTCATGGGTATGAAGCCGGGTTTGAGGACGACAGGAAGGGCGGGGATGCCCCCTTGGACATGCCCAGGGTCCTGGAAGAAGTGTAGGACTCACGATGGAGGTTTCATCGGGCCCTCCTTCCTCTTGAGGGGCCGCCATGGCTTGGTGTTGTAGAGAACAGACGCGGGGCAGAGGTGGACGACGGCAGCGGCGCTGGTGACGACGGCAGTGACTGCGATGGTGGGGCTTGCGGGCGCGGGCGTGGGCGTGGGAGTGAGAGTGGGCTCGTCGTGGTTGGGGTTGGGCGTGGGCTTTGGACTCGGGCTCTGGGTCTTGGGGCGCCCATCACTCCAAGATTGAGCAGTGACTCGCAGGAAGAAACATGCACTTGGAGGCCAGGCAGCGTGGTGTTGTTTGTTGTTGTTGTTGTTGTTTCCGTGAGAGTCGAAGAGGGAAAAAGGGGGCTGTTGGCTCCAGGCGTGCTGGGTAGGCTAGACTTTGAGCAGACGCGAGTATAGACAGCAGTCTGTGTATTAAGATGCGATGCTGGTATGTGCTGCGTACCGCTTAATGTACGTAGGCATGCAGACTCCAGACTAGCTGGCTAGGTACCCGTCCGAGGTACCTACAACTGCTACGGTGGCCGCCCTCCTGACTAGGTGAGCAAGGTTGTGGGTGGTTGGGATCTTGGTGGGCTGGTGGGCTGGCAGTCTGGCTGGTACGGAGTAAGTTGTAAGTTAGCTACTTAAGTTAGTGTGTGTGACAATGTTCGTGCCTGGATTTGCCCAACGCTACGGGTACCCTTTCATGCGCGTACACTGTCCTCGTGTGCCCTGTCTGCAGAGGTGCAGAGGAGAACCTTTCAGCCTGCCAGTACGAGAGCTATCTATCTAGTGTGCTCCGTACACCAATGCAATCGAGGCATCCGGATGGGGCCAGCCGGGCGGTGCTTGGGGCTGGCCTTGAGGGATTGCGTCACAGGCCCGCCCTAGCAGCCCCCAGCCCGTTTGTCTTGTCTCTGTTCTCTAACAAGCACAGCGGTAGTCTACTTGAGTGAGATAACAATCGCACCAGTCATGCTCACCCACCCTGCCACCAAGCCCATCCGCCGAAACGGGCAGCGTGATAAAAGGCCAGATAGATGCAGGTACATGGTTTCTCCCATGGGCCTGGTCGCTGCGGCCGTGCCATGTCCTTTCTATGTTTAGACACGTTTCTGGCCTAGCTCGAGGCCTCGCGGGCCCGTTCTGCGGGAAGCACGTCGGTGAGGTTGGCTGTTTGGGTGGTGCGGCCTACACAATACAGCTTCGGTGGGTATTGTGATTCCAACCTTGTCGGTCACCAAGAGGGCCCTTCTCGCGGCCACCCAGCGGCCAATCTCACCCCCCTGAGTTGCTGGTGACCAGCCTTGAAACATGGTTGGCCTGGCCAGCATTGGAGTCCGCCACGACTCTAATTAGATTGTTGGATATGCACATTCAAACAACCACACATCGCTACAGAATGACTGGCAGGGCGTCTGGGTCCGCCCAAATGATAATCAAAGTGGACCTCCAACGACGACTTATGAATTCCATCTGACTGACCACCAGAAGCCAGTCAGGATGTGCTCACACTGAGTACCTCGGTATATACTGGCAGTTGCTGGGCTACGTTCCGGGTAGATTCATATTTGTATATATGTATAGATAGATGCACAGACATACAGACAAGTGCCACTCAGAGATGAGATGAATAGGGGCCCATGCCCGGGAACCTAACGTGCAGACATCAATGCTGCCCCACTAGCTGTTGTTGCAGGCTGCAGTTACATAGCTAGCGCCACGGCAGGCAGGCAGGAGAGGCGGGAGCTAACGGGAGCTGTCCCATTACATTTTTGGAGGACGGCCCTGGCGACCCCGATTCGAATTCGCAACTCACCGGCTACCACTCGCAGCGCCTACTCAACCGCACAGCAAACAGCCCTCCTCAGCTTGCTGCTTGACGCATCTGGACGGCACCCCACCTTGCCCGATAAATACCGGATAGATAATATCGCACCCATCAAAGATTGGTCTCTCCTTCCCGACATCGCCCACCCAACACACGGAGCAGGCCCTTCTTCCTCGACAAGCGCAACGACAAATCCAACCACCTCATCACTCTCAATTGCAAAATGAACACTGTACGCCTTCTCCGAGTTCTGCATGACCTGCCTTCGCATTACGAGCTGTTTTTCGCTGACGAGAATTCCCTAACAGGTCAAGTCCTTCTGGTCAGCAAGCCGGCCCAACGAAAACATCGGCCCTGGACATACATACTGACTAGGCTGTTTCTACAGGCTGGGCTGGGGCTCTCTCTGTGTTGGTAAGCCGAACCCAGTTGCCCCTGTTGCCCTCCCTCTGCCTCATACAGAGACAATTTGTCCTTTGACGACGAGGGTTGCATGCCAGCCAACGACTAAACTGAATTGTCTCTCCAGCCGGCGCCGGCGCATACGTAGTCGCCAAGCGAAGCATCAACGCCGACCGTCAGGCCCGCCTCGAGGAGCAGCGCAAGAAGAAGTCCATGATCGAGTCCCTCGAATATTCGCAGAACGTCCCGTCCCACCCCGGATCCTCCTCGGCCATGGGGGGCTCTCGACCACGGACCGACGACCAGAGCCAACGCCCGAGGCAGGATGAGGACCGCGTCGACCATGCCTTCCACCCAAGCCTGGAGCAGGCTGCCAAAGACGTCACTCCGACCGAGTCTCTGTCTGACAAAGAGTACAACCGGCTCTATGGCAAGAGCAAGTACGAGAGCTCTACTCCGTTCAGGAGCCCGAAAGGGGACCGTTTTTCTTAGCTTTCGGGGACAACAGCTTATAAGCCATACAGGAGGTGACAGGTAATCTGTCGCCCGGCCCTGCCCGCCCATCGACGACCTCGCGCGCGAACACCGGAAAGACGTACCAGGGAGCCGGAGGACTCGGATGATCCAGCGGAGAGCCATCTATCTTTTTGGAGGCCTGAAAGGCCCAGCAGGTCATTGCAATTTAGGCGACTGGCGCCTTCTGGCACATGTATATTATTATGACCGAGACCGCGCACCGGAAATGCGGCAATGAAATGCAATCGCCACTTGATCTTGACACCCCTTTCTGCAGCGATTCGCGTTCCGTTGCTTCAGTCCGTCGTCTCATGCGCAGCATCATGCCTCTCTCTTTCTATGAACGTCCACATTTTGCATCCCCGTTGCGACAAACAAGCGATCTGAGCAAAAGACGAAAACCCCTGCCTTCAATTACCAATGAACGGTCTGCATCTGTTGTGACTGTTTGTTGCATCGGGCCCGAGTCGGCAGACTGCCCAAGCCACGCATGGGCGGGCCCAGCCCTGCGGCCCAGCCTGCCCTGCCCTGGCCAGCTCCAACTCTAGTGCATCTTGATCGGAACTTTCCTCTAGCTCCCCCCTGGTCTCTCCCATTTGGCTTCGACCAACCCTCCACATACAGTCGGTTCATCATCCCCGGTCCCTTCCACGTCACTTTGTCAAATCATCCCCTTCCTCTCGAGGATGTGCCCATGATACCTTGAAGGGCGCGACACCGTTCCACAACGCCCGTGCTCATTCGCCCAGGGCCACCCCGCCAGTCAACATGGCGGCTGCACAGCTCGCCATCGCCAAAGCCTCCCTTCTCGCCTCCTTTCTCAAGGCAGATGCAGACGCCGGCCTCGCGTCGTGTTCTCGCGACGAGATCGAGCAGTTCCATGGCCTGCTCAACGCAGCCGTCGCCAAGTGCTCACCAACCAACGTTCAGGTTTGGAACACACACGCCACTCCGTTTTGACATGAGCCTTTGAGCCCCGGCTAAACATTTGCTTATATTCTCTTTTCGCCGGCAACAGAAATGCAAGCAATGGATCCTCCAGCACCTGGTCGAGTCTCCCGCCCGCGCCGTCGCCTTTGGGAAATACCTGGTCGCCCTCGCCTCCTCTTTCCCCGGCGGCGCGCAGAAGGCGCCTGGCCCGTCGTCGAAGCGGAGGAGGCTGCATGTGCTCTACGTGCTGAACGACGTGCTGTTCCACGTCAAATTTCGGACACGCAGTCCCAACGGCTTCTTCGACAAGATTGCACCACATCTTCCTGCCTTATTTAAGAGCGCTGCCTCCTTCACGAATGCCCCAAAGCACACAAAGAAGTTACACGACCTGCTCCAGTTGTGGGACAAGAACTCCTATTTCTCAACCTCCGTGTTGGAGTCCTTGCGCGCCGCCGTCGAAGAGGGGCCAAAATCGGAGGGCTCTGAAGCCAATGGCGGGGATGTCTCAAACAAGGCACAGGCGAGCTCAACGGCACGAGAGGCGCCTTTCATACTGCCGTCCATGCACGGCGACCCGTCAACGCCCTGGTACGACCTCCCCGCCGCTAATTGGCTCCCTGTCATAGAGCCAAACTCCACGAGGCCTATGAATCCGAACATGATCAAGCCGCTCCAACTGGCAGGCGGGCCGGCCGACAAGAACCTCGTCGACGCAGTGAAGAAGCTGCTGGGCGATGTCGACAAGATATATGCGAAAGATGCCCACATGGACGGCGACTCGGCGTTCGATGTCAGCCAGATGGGCGAGTTCATCGAGCGCGACGAGCTAGGGGATATCGTCGGCGGCGAGACATACTACGGCTGGTCCAGGAACTTTTGCGACAAGATGAGGGCACGGCGGCACAAGGGGGACGGGATGGACATCGACGATGACGAGCAGAGGGGTCGGCGAGGCTCCTCGCGCTCAAGCAGCCGGTCCAGGAGTCCCAGCCGCCGGCGCTCGTCAAGGCGAGACCCCTCACACCCGGCCACCAAGAGACGGCGGCTCTCGCACTCGCGGGGCCGGAGCTGGAGCAGGAGCAGCGCATCACGGTCCCGCAGCCGAGGGGGAAGGGGGAGCCGCAGCCCGCGGCGGCAGCGGAGCTACTCGCGCTCTACGTCTCGGTCCCGGTCCTCGCGCCGCGGCCAGAACGGCAGGGGCAGGCCGAGGTCACGCCTGCGCGACTCCTACTCCCCACAGCCGGTGCTCTCGGGCGCCCAGAACTCGCACGGGGCGGGCTACGGGCCCCCGAAGGGCTTTGTGCCGCCGAATCCGCAGCCATATCATCAGCAGCAGGCGCCACCACTACCGGTGCCGCCGCCGCCGCCGCCTCCTTCAGGCCCATACGCCCACCCAAACTTCCCCGCGGGGGGACCACCTCCACCACCGCAGCCTAGCAGGTTCAACTCGTGGAACGCCGCTGCTCCTCCCCCTCCGCCGCCGCCTCCGCATTACCAGGGCCAATGGCCTCCGCCTCCACCCCCGCCCCCCATGGCAGGCAGCCACGGTCCGCAGCAGCAACAGCAGCAACCACCTCAGGGCTGGTTCCCGCCCGTCCCGGGCCCGTTCCCCCCGGGCCAGTGGGGCGGCGGCTGGGCGGCGCCCCCGCCTCCGCCTCCACCGTATCCCCCCCAGGGAGGACACCCAGAACAGCATCAGCAGCCGGGCGGGTTCCAGTATGGCAGGGGCGGGAGCGGCGGCGGCGGCGGCAGTTACCGGGGCAGAGGCGGCGGGGGGTACGGCAGGGGGAGAGGATGGTGATCGATCGACCCTGATGAGGCCGGGACAAGTCGTCGTTGGATGATACTACAGTGCTGGATGAATGGATGGTGGGCATTCCGGGAAACGGTCAAACGGCATTCGTAGAAAGCGTTTCTAGTAGCAGTGCTTTGCGAGCACCGTAAAAGGCGAAGGAGGACTACCAACCCGGCCAAGATGTCACGACAACAACGTCTAACTGCGACCCACCACAGCCCCCCCCCCCCCCAGAAAGTCCATATCAAAAAAGTACTTAGCATGCATTACGCAGAGACATGCGACAACGTCTTGGTTGGGGAAAATGACATGCTTCTACCTCGCATCGTCGTTGTCGTGGTAAACAGTATGTAGACAAGAAGAAAGTTCAGACAGATTCAAGAGAAGAGAAGGAGGTGTGAAAAAAAGAAGGCTGCCTTCTTTTGAAAGCGTTGTTTCGTTCGTCCCCCGTCTCCCCAAAACCACGGTATCGGTACGCCGACACGCCAGTATGTCCCGTCTTTTTGCCCTAGAGGTGGTTTTGCAGAAGCTTTGTTGACTAAAAATTCGTACAGTTAAAAATCTTCCCTCGAAAGGTGGCCTCTCGCCATATTTTCCATCGCCAACCGCCCCCCGTCCTCATCCCGCAAACCCCTCCTGCCCAGCGGGAGCACCGCATGACCGGCCTCTGGAGAATAACAGAAGAGAGCTCGACTCCCCTTTGCCTGTACCATCCGGTCTTTCGTTGCCACAGAAACATTGGCCCTAATGCTAGTCGGTCTACCAAATCAACAGCAAACCAAAAGTCTGCTAGAGTACTCGAACAGCCCCCTTTGACAGCTCGTGTGTTCTAATTGAAAGTGTGAGAAGCAGCGCCAGCAAGCGCAAGTTTGTCTGGTCCTGCCACCAGAGACGACCAAGTTCAGCCAAGGCCATTGGGTCGCATGTGCCTGTTCCGTGCCCCTGGTTCCTTCTCTAAGCTGGATCCGCTGATGCCCAAGAGAACCTCTGGCATTAGTTTTGCAAAGAATGCTAGAAACCGGGCTTTCGTCATTACCCGTCCTCGGAACCCTCCACCTGGTCGATGTCCATATGCCACCCTGAGCCTGATCCGGTCTGACGCACTGCTGGGGCAGGACACAACAATCTCAGGTTATCGCCCGCTTCTTGACGACCCCGCCGAGCTCTGCCTCTCGTGCGTACCCGGCCGCCGATCTCTTCGGTCTCCGTCTTGCAGGTTCAGCGAGTCGAGCCGCTTCTGGTTATCTTCTGTGCCGTCAGTCTCTTCCGTCTGCTCATCTTGGGGTGCCGCTGACCCATTAGCCTTTTGTTTGTTGGCCAACTCTTGAATGGCCGCCCACTTCCTCTCTCGCTGCTGCTCCCTAGCCGGCGCGCTGTTCTGCTGCTCCGTGTACTCCTGCGAGCAATCATCGAATAGTTGCGGGTTAATCTCCATAAAGAGTTTCATGGCATTATAAACCATCCCGTGAATAGTTCTGGCACTGTGTCAATAACGCGCGCACAAACTTCCCAACGCGTGGATCTTACCTATTCCAGTGGCCCTTGGAGTTCTCGTACAGCGGCGCGAACATGATGGGGAGGATGATCTCCACGTTGTCGCTAACCAGGTTGCAGAAGTACTCGTTGTTCCAGAAGTACAGAGCACGCTCTGCAACTTGGAAATGCGGGCTCGCCACCGATTTTGCGAGCTGGTGGAACAGCGGCTCCTGAACCTTGGCGAACTCCGCCGGGTCCATAACCTCGAAGATGTCCTCTACTTCATTCAAGAACATGACCTCCTTGGTGCTGTTTACCTTTGGCCAATAGCGTAGGAGACCAAGCACCACCTAGAAGACGATTAGGGAATTGAGGTGCACGCGGCTGGAAGGGGGACGGGACTGACCTCTTCCGTAAGAGACGCATCCTTCTCCAAGAACTGAACGATGCAATACGCAAGCTGTGGGTGGTACATGCTGAGACTCTTTGCCTTGTGCAAAGGTATCAGCGTACGTGTGAGGAACAACTTGTGCTCCTCCTTCAAGGGCAATGCGAATCCGTTGATAATGGACCCCAGAATTTCGAGGAGTTCGGCCACGCCGTTGAACCTTTCCGTCTCGTACACAAAATGGAAGAAGACATTGTTAATGGACCGTCGAATGAAGCTTCGAAGGTTGAGGAACTTTCCGTAGATCCTGTGCAGCGTTGTCTTAAGGAAATCGCGCTCACGAGGGTCTTCAGAGTCAAAGAGCTCGAGCAGTCGGAGGACGAAACTGTGGTCAATGTAGGCCTTGGCGATGTTGGTGTTGAAATCCTGGCTCTCGATGAAACGCAGGAAGAACTCGTAGACGACTTGAATGTGAGGCCAAGCAACCTCTAGCACGGGCTCGTCCTCTTCAGGGTCGAAGGCTTCTCCCGATGGGTTCATTGGCGGCGGCAACGGGCGGAACAGGTTCTTGGCGAACATCTCGACAACTCGCGGGTACATGGGCTCAGTGATGACCTGGCGATTGTTGGCGACGTAGTCGAGTAGCTCGTGAAGCGCGAGGCGCTTGATCTCCTTAGATTTCATGTCGCCACTGGCGTCGTTAAAGTCGAAGATGACATTGCACTGGTCGATTTTCTGCATGAACAGCTCCTGCCGCCGGTTAGGCGGCACCTCGTGAAAACCAGGCAGCTTTTCCAGCTCGCGATGCGCCGAGATGTCGAATCGAGACGAGTGCTGGCGCTTCGGGGTCCTCAAGCCCTCGGGCACGTCCTTCGGGGTCTGTTGCAGACGGTCGAACATCAGGGACTTTTGGCCAGCCTTTGGAGGCGCCAGGTCGTGCGGCATGGTCTCGGCCGCGCCGGGCGGAGGGACATGAGGAGCACTGGGGCTGATGATGACCGTGGGCGGGAGACCGCCGGAGCGCTGGGGCGTGCCGCCGCCATTGGCAGACTGGGAGGAGGCGCCAAAGGAGCCAGATCCCGAGGCGGAGCTCATGTTGCTCAAGGGTGACTGCCCTGGGATGCCCTGCTCTTGCCCATGTGCTCCAGCGCTGTTAGGGGGGAGAGGCTTGTTTCGGGTGTCGGGAAGATTGGAAGCGGAGGACGAGGGCGTGAGTGTGGGAGACTGGTTGGAACCGTCCCTCGATGCTGAGCTGTTGGGGGAGGCTGTGCCGTCTTTGGAGTCCTTCTTCTTTGATGATTTGCTGGAGTCTTTCCCGCGCGACAGCTGTTGGGGGTCGCGAGCCGAGCGTTAGCAGACGTCGGACGAGGGTCGGGCCGTTGGGATGTCGCTAGTGGGCGGGCGGTTGGAACTTACGACTCTCTGACTGAAGCGCTTCATCTTCGAAGAAAGGTGCTTCTCTGTGGCGAGGGGGTCAGCAATGGCCAGCTGAGAGGCAATGGCGGGGCCTGAGGGGGGCAGGAGACAAGCTCCGCGGACGGCGGATGGCGGAGGGCGGAGGGCGACGGCTCAGCGCAAATACGCGGGAGGGACCGCGTGTGGCTGGTCCCAGAACCTTGGGGAAGAGCCCAGGCAGTAGGTGCCTGTGTGGGTGGTTGGGTGTGATATGTGTGTGATGTATTATGTGGGAGGTGTGGGAGTGATGCGGGGGGAGGGGAGAGGACAAATGTTGAAGATCTATCTACCTGTTCAGCCTCGCGGGAAATGGCAGGGGGAACGGCAGTAGGCGCTGACGGACAGATCAATGGGGTCGTGGTCCACGTCCAAGGCAGTCTCGCTGTGTGGTCCGGAGGAGAGGGAGGGTGATTGGCAACAGGACGGCAGCGGGAGAGGAGGGCAAGGCGCAACCAATTCGCCAGACGGCAGGCAGGTCAGACTGATGCGCTTGGCGGGTCCCGAGGTGGGAGGTGGGTGGGTGGTGAGGATGTCGGGATGGCGAGACGACTGGGAGCTTAGGTAAAGGTGAGGAGGGCTGGAGAACAACCTTGGGGGCAGGGCAGGGTGCTGGGCACTGCTGGCTCAAAAGGGGGCCCGGACAGGGGTTTGCCGAGTGGTTGGAGGGAAGAGCAGGGAAGCTTGGAGGTGACAATAGGGTTTATTAGGCACAGCCAGTGAGCCAGTAGACTACCTAGTATCTAGGCAGATGGGGTTGGAGGCCGAACGGGACGGGCAAAGATGGGCTGGGGACGACGGCGGAAGGAGCAGAACAGGGCAGATGCAGGTGCAGACGCAGGTGCTGATGCAGAGCAGATGCAGAGGATGCAGACGAGGTGGTCAGGAGGAGAGGCAGAGGCTTTGGGAGGCTTGGGAGGCTGGCTGGGCTGGCTGGGCTGGCTGGGCTGGGCTGGCTGGCTCGCTTGGTCGCTTGTTGGTGCTGGTGCTGGTGCCGGTGGTACACAGTATTCGATGTTGAGGCACAGGCAGGCGTGCAGAGGTGAGTTGAGGGAGGCGGATCGGAGGTGCGTCAGGGTGATGACAGGCAGGGTACTTATTTACCGTTTGAAGGGGATGAGCCGTCGGCGTCTCTAGATTCTTTGGTGGAGGGCATCCGTGATATTTGGACGAGGCCCATCAAGCCTGAAGCAGGAGCCTGTGTTCAGAAGTGAGACTCGACGATGAGGCGTAGCAGTCAAGAGCACGGTAGGAAGGAAGAGAGTGAGTTCGTCCAAGATGGCAATCCGCAATCCGCAATTCGAGAGGGTGGGAATCGGGAAGGTTTGGGTTTGGGTTTGGGGTTCGGAGACACGGTAGGCGCTAAGGGTGCACTGCGGTGCGGGTCGAAACGGTGCGGCAGACGGTAGCTCTCTCTGGGGAGTTGGAGCTCCGAGGTGTGAGTGAGAGGAGGGACCCGGGGAGAGAGTGAGGGTGAAGGAGTGTGTGCGTGCGCATGGGATTGAGTTTGGTTGCATGTGCCAATCATCTCAACGGGGAGAGAGAGCACCAGGTACGTGGTAGTAGTAACAGTAACAGTCGCAAGTCTTGGGCACAACGCATCGCTCTGCCAGCCTGGCGGATTGCTCGCTGGGGCCGGGGCTGGGCGGTGGGCTGCCGGCACCTAACCGGGCCACTCTGACCTCACCCAGTGCCCACCAGCATGGAGCCCCACTGGTCGCCCGCAATTAGAGCCCTGCAGTTGGAGCCAGCGCCCGTGGACTTGGGACGGCGGGGCTTGCAGACACAGACGGGCAAGGACAAGACAAATGGCCATCATCTCCCGCTAATCATGGTCACAATTGCTGTAGGTGACGCGAGAGCCACGGCACTCGTCCGCAGGCTGCAGCTTTATTTCGCACATGGCATTGCGAACAAGCAAGGTGGGCGAAATTTGGCCCACATGGGCCAAAATACCCGAGCGAGGGTCGAGTTGGCGACGCTCGCCAGGACCACCCAGGGTCACTCGACATTACCTCGAGGCCTGCCTGGGACTGCTAGGGACTGCCGAAGCTAGCCCTGTCTGTTGCCCGCCCATCTTTCATATGCCCTTGGTATCTGATCAGACATTGTGTCTGCTGCACCTACACAATACGATTACCTAGGTACCTAGGTACTCAAGTAGGTTAGCATACAGTACTTACACATGGATTTATATCGCCATGAGGACGTCATAGACCCCGGCCTCAATAGCCGGGGTTGCTCAACAATGAGGCACGAGGCGTGCGGCTGTTTTGGATGATCTGTGAGACTTGATCCATGTTGTTGCCATGCCGTGCCATGCCGTGCAGTACCAAGCCTTGAGTTGAGTGCCCATCTCCCATCAGGAAGAAGGGCAGATCTGTTTCGAGAGGCCGCGGGAAGCCTGGGTCGATGCTCCGGGCCCGCAGCTCCTGCGCCTGCAGGGCCCATCCCGACCTCTAGTGTACATGCACAGTGCCTAGGTACCTAGGTACTTGCATACCTCGGTCTCTGACATCTGGTTGCCAGCTGCGAGACCCGACCCTTCGCTCTCGTCTCAACATCGCGAAGACCTCTCACCTATCCACTAATACACGGGCTGCAACGCAGTTTCTCAGTCAGACATCGTTCAAGTGGTGTCAATGTCATCTTGTGGCCGCAGTGAATGAGCCAGCGTCTCAAGATCTAGCCCAGGCGCGGCCTAGGACCTTTAGTACATACCAGCACTAATAACAGAGAAGTTCCCTCACCCACGGTCTGAGTTGATGGACTGCTCCGCCTGCTGCAACACCCAACACACAACATGTCGTTCATAGACATGAATGACGCCGAGGAAACCGATGCGCTCTTGAGTGCTGCATCGCCCTCCGAATCCTCCGTCTCAGATGCCCAACCTCAGGCGCCCGCTTTCAAGATACCCTCCCGCACCATTGCCGCCGTCGAGCATCCTTTCCTGATCCAAAATCTCGACAAGGGTATCGAAACTTTCGGTACAAACCCGCAGTTTCAATCAGTGAGATCGCATCACATCCTTCTTGTGCATGGGCCGTTGGGAGTTCTAACCATCAACACAGGTCTTGGATCCTTCCAGGCCCCAACTCTCCGTGCCTCTGTATTTGCACCCCAAAGATCCTACTTCAAGGCCAATGATGTCTCACTATGCATCATCCCACAATGTACTCTTCAAAATAACAGTCCCAAAGCGCACTGGCCGGAAGCGAAAGAGGGGCAGTAATGGGCCATGGCAGGGAGAGGCCCATCAACCCGCTGAAGCCACCGGGCGAGGACCGGAAAGCTTGCGCTCAGAGTCAAGACTGGATGAGCCCAGGATCCTGAGGCGGAAGCTTCAGGACAACGTCGATAGCTATCAGGCCGAAGCGGTTGGTGTTATCAAGCATACCCATCGCTACAGAGGCATGGCCGACTTCAACTACTCCATGAAGAACAATGACTTCATGAACGAGTTCTCAGACAAGATCTTGTCTGGTGACGGTACGTTTCCCAACGCTCGCTTTTGTTGGCTTCTGGCTCATAGATTTCTGCAGTCTCCAAGTTCCGTCAATTCGCCATGAGGCCAGGCGTGGACACGACCCCTAAACAAGAAATCGTTGCTCCGCCTCTCATGACCCAGATCAGCGTACCCTATTACTATATGTACTCCCAGAACCCATATGTGAGGGTCGTGAGCACCACGGATGGAGGCTTCGAGATGGTCAACACCACTTCTAGGGTCAAGTCCGTGGGCTACTTCATTGGCACACAGGACGCAATTCCCACTGGCCCTACTGGCAGGCCGAGAATCAGGGATCCCTTATTTGATGTCATCGTCAAGTCAATGAGGACGCTCCTGGACGAGCGGCCGGTCTGGACGCGTCGTTCGATCATCAACCGGTTGACCGACTTCGCCTACGATCCTGAGAACCCGGAGAAACGGTTCCCGCCCAACCTGTCACAGCAGCTACTCAAGAATGCCATCCAGTACGCCGGCTACCAATTCAAGGGTGGGCCCTGGCGTGACGCCCTCTGCCGATACGGCTATGACCCTCGCAAAGACCCCTCAAGCCGCGTATACCAGTGCCTCATCTTCCGGTTGCGGCGGCTCCAGGTCGGCGAGATGGGCGAGATGTGGCAGGAGCTGCGGAAGCGTGACCTCTCGTCGGTCAAGGCAACCACCGACGAATACACCGACACTCACCTGTTCAATGGCAAGAACTACGCCGACGACGGCAAGGTCTGGCAGGTGTGCGACATCACGGACCCTCTACTGGCCAAGCTTTTTGCGGACGCGCCCGTCCGACCCGTCTGCGACATCGAGGGCAGCGGCTGGTTCCACCGCGGGCTGTGGGCGAAGGCGAGGGCCATTATGAAGTGCAAGATGAGGGCGATCCAGTTCGGGAGGGTCCTCAAGGACAGCGACTTCGAGCAGGCGTTGCAGGCGCGCGACGACAGCCCGGACCCCGACGCAGCCAGGAGCATCGCCATCCCGACGCCCGACCTGAAGCTGACGGATAAGGAGCTCGAGCTGATCCGCGGCAAGAAGTACAACAAGGGTATCGGTAGGAAGCGGCACAACAAGCGCACCTCGTACCACTTCCCGGGGAGGAGGGTCAAGGTGGGCCTCGGGAGGTCGGGCCGGGCTGGCGGGCCCTCGCAGTCGCAAGAGGGAGATGGGGATGAGACCGCCCTGGAGGACTACCAGGAGCCTGAGGACGGAGATGAGACGGGCATCGTGGACGGTCTGCCGACGGACTTTGAGGACGGCAGCGAGTATGACGAGGACGAAGGGGATGAAGACGAGGATCTTGTAGAGGGAGAAGACTACGGCGAGGACGATGAGGACGACGAGGACGATGAAATGGCCGAGCAGACGGACTATCAGGCGTTCCAAACCGACTATGACGAGGATGAGGACGAGGAGCAGGACCTCGAGGCCGACGATGCGGATGGCTGAGACCAACATTAAAGGAGCCGAGGTGCCAATGGAACGACTGGGCGGTTGTAGTGTGATTGTCCCCAAATTGATACCCATTCTAGACAGACGGCTATTGATTTGCTGGTGTATAGGTCATATTAATTACTTTGAAGAAATTGCATCGTTCGTTGCCTCTGTTTCGTGGCTTGAAGCCTTGTGTTTATTACAACTCCAAACAAGAACAATTCGAGGAAAAGGCAACAATAACATCAACTTAGTAGCAAGACGAACCAATTTGTCATTCTGCTACTTCGTCAACCCCATCTCTTGTAAGTGATTGATGTGCCAGAAATGGTGAAACAGGAAACCGAAATATCATTCTGGAAAGGGAAAGCGCCTGTATTGTTGCAAGTCGCCCAAAAATCACCAAACGCCGCACCTGATAGAAGACCCTGAATCGTTGCATGCAGACTACCTCCGGGCATTTACTCATTCCCTCGTAACTCATGGAAACGTCTAATTATGCAGATATGCCAGCCATACTGCCCGGGTGCAAAATTTCTTCTTCGCACACCACCTTTTCGGCCGTCTAATAACGGGAGTGGGATACCAACCATCACTATCACCACCACGAACAACAGCAAAAGAAAAAGAGAGAGAGAGAGAGAGAGTTGCGTAGGACAGAGCGAATACTTGTTGTCCTGGTCCGTCACTGCACCTGCAACACCTTGGTCCTGCTCGCCTTCTGCCTCGTCATCGCCTCGACCCAGTGGTCCGCCTCGGCGAGCGCCCTGCGCGGGTCCTTCTTGCGCTTGAGCAGGAACCCCTGCAGCTCCGCGGGCGAGAACCCGTCCGGGATCCTGGCCGCGAACTCGGCCGCCACCTCCCGGAGCTCCTCGATCGTGATCTCGAGCCGGTGGTCGTCGAGCGCCTCGCTCGAGATGGTCCCGCCCGCGCCGCCGCCGCCGCCGTTGACCACCCCGTTCGGGCGGTGGTGGTGGTGGTCTGGCTCCGCCGTCCCGGGCAGAGGCTTCTTCTCGGCGGCATGGCCGTTGGCCCCCTCGTGCTTCCCGTTCACCATGGCGGTTGGCTGTGGCGCGGTGGTGGTAGTGGGCTTGCGCTTCGAGTCGGCCTCGTACATGCGCTCGAACAGCTCCCGGGCCTGCTCCTGCGTCGCGTTCGTGAAGGCGACCTGCAGGTCGACGCGGCCGGGCCGGATGAGCGCCTCGTCGAGGGCCTCCGGCTTGTTGGTGGTCATGATGAGCACGCGGCCCTCGTGCGAGGCGACGCCGTCGATGGCGTTCAGGAGCCCGGACAGGCTGATGCCCTTCTTCTCGTCGGGCCCGCCCTGCTTCTTCAGCTCGCGGGCGAGGTCGGCCACCTTCCAGTCGTTCATGCCGCCGTCTCCGGTGCCGTCCCCGCCGCCGCCGCCGCCGCCGCCACCGCTTGTGCCGTTGGGACGGCCGCCCTTGCGGCCCCTGCCGCCTTCTCTCTTGGTGCTTTCCTTGCTCGCCTCGCCCTCTGCCTCCACGTCCTGGTCCTGCTCCTCCTTGGGCCGCGCAAGGCCGGCGGTATCGATGTCCTCCAACAGGATGACGCATCTCCGCGGCAGGGAGTTGAAGAGCGCGAGCAGGTCCTCCTCCGTGAGCGATGGCTCCAACAGGCTAATAACGTATATGTCAAGGCCGAAAACGCCGGCCAGCGCAAAAGACAGTGACGTCTTGCCGGTCCCGGGCGGGCCGTGGAAGAGATAGCCCCGCCTCAGTGGGATGCCGCGGTTGGCGTACCACCGCGGCGTGGCGGGGTGCAGGTACTCGTTGACGTCGGCCAGGAGCTGGACCTTCTGCCTCGCGTCGAGCACGACCGTCTTCATGGGGCGCACGGGGCGGTTGGCCACCTGGGCCCAGGCGTGGCGGCCGCCGTAGCGGCGCATGTTCTGGGGGGAGGGCCGCTTGACGATGGTCTTTGCGTAGTGGTCGTTGTAGTAGGACTCCTTTGCGTGGCGCAGCAGGCGCTTGATGGGCTCCGGGGAGCGGCCCAGGCACGAGATGACGAGGTTCTCCTTGTCCTTGAAGGTCTGGCCCCCGACGCCGCTGTCCTCGAAGAAGTGCTCCTGCTTGCGGTGCAGGCGGAAGTAGTTGCCCTCGAACCAGAAGCCGTGGACGCCCAGGGCGGGCACGAAGCGCGGGGGCATCTTGGCCTCCTGGTTGGAGAAGTTCAGGTAGACGCCCTCGCCGTCGGGCGAGATCCTGGTGGCCAGCACGTCGGCCTCGTCCTCCTCCTCCCATGCGGTTTTTGAGAGGGTCTCGGCGGTGAGGGAGCGCGAGTTGACGAGCCTGGGCTGGGAGGCCAGCCACTTGATCATGTGCAGGTAGATCTCGTCGCCGCTGGACACGTGTATGCTGGCCATCAGGTACTCGGCGATGAACCTGTAGATGACCATGAAGAACTGGCGCCATATTCTATTTGCGGCCCAGGCGAATCCGACCAGGGTCAGGATCATGGTTGGGTCGATTCCTATGCGCGAGCCGACCATCTGGTGTAATACCATGAAGAGCTGGACCAACGGGTTTCGACTGCCGAGGAGGGTGATGATGCCTTCCAGGCCAGGCATGCCCCCACTCATATTGGCCGCAGTCATGTTCGAGCTGAATGCGCCATTGTGCAGCTGTTTGCCAAGTATGGACTTGAAATCCATCTTGTGAGGCCCTAGTCAAGACAACTTAGAAGTCTAACTGTCTTTGACTTTGCTCTCCGCCAGATCCCAAGTGCCCGCCTCCAAGAAGCTGACTGAACAACCTGGAAGAGTAGGAAGCGGTGGTTAGAGGAAAAACGTAAGAGACCAAAAATGGAAAGACACTGGTGGGCTTAAATATTTAGGGATCTTACCACCTCTGCGGTGAGGAGGACGCCAAAGAGCCTCGAGGAGATACCTGGGTGGTACGCTGGTACTCGCTGCCTAGCAGGCACTGGTTTGGAGGGTGTGGCGAATACACGCACTTGTACCACGGGAGAGCCAGCCTGCAGACGACTTTTTTGCCCAGCTTTTGCTAGTTCCCATATGCTGATTACTCACTTACCAACTAACACTTTCTACTGGCTTTTTGACTTGAGTCAGCCCTGAATCAAAGAAACAGCACACCAGCTGACCTGTGGTGAGGTGGGCCAAGACAAACCAGGAACGTCAGACGTAGACCAACTGCCTGGAGTCCTGGAGTACATACGCGGACTCACGTTCTACAGCACTGTTCTGCTCACATCGGTGCCTGGCTGCCGTGTTAAATGCTCTTTCCACCTGCCTTTACCCAGGCACCTATTAGGCACTAAACACTCAAGTAAGTACTTAAGTACCTAGGGTCCTACGCGGCTACGCGGCATGTGGCCGCTGAATCCTGTCGACTTCTTTCACCGAGTCTGAGGCTAAATGATGCGTACTTGAGCAACGCACGACAGGATTGGCGATACCAGAATTGTGCAAATAAATCTACTTGTTAGGAAAAATCCTTCTGCACAGAATCTTGTACGAAGGAACACCATAGAAGGATTTCCTTTGTAAAATTCCATGTGTGTAAGGTTTTGACTGGCTGTAAAGATGGGTCTTTTGAGGGAGGGCTATGTACCACTTTAGTATGCCTCGACCACAGATCGTCGTCGTCGTGTCGGTTTCGCCACGTCAGAAGCCCCTCGCCCGCCTTGTACTACAAATGACAACGAAAGGCAGAAAACAGCGATAACTGACGCGGAGATGGTGTGTACTTAAGTAAGTTTGCACTGCACCGTGGGAAACAACACACTGTGTACTAAATAGGTAGAACATGTGAAGCCCTGGGGAGCGAGCGGTGACAGGGACTACCGCTCTTCGCTGCGGGGCACCGGAGCAGTGCTCGGGTTGGTATGCGAAAGAAGCTTTTTTGAGCCGCTGACGACAGTCCCCGCCTGCCTGCCTGCCTGCCTGCCTGCCTGCCTGCCCAGCCTGCTGGGTACTGCTACACACCTGCCTAACCCGCCTGGCTAGCCTGGCGCTTGAAACATTTCAAGTAAGCTGATCATATTGGCTCCATAAGAATGGCTTGTCTTTCATCCGAACTCCTTCAAACATTTCAAACTTAGTCTATCGTGTCTATCATGTCTTAAACGCACATATGAATCCAACCATTGAGGCTCTGCAGAGTTCCAAGGCTGCCCACTGCGACCCCGGGGCGCCCCGCTGCTTGTGACATGCAACCAGGAAGATCCCGTTCTCGTCCTTGTCCAGTGCTTCGAGGAGGCCCAGCCCAGCCTGCTGCGAAGATACTCTTGGGGGGCGCCTGCCCCCCGTCTCATCTCGTATTGTAGCCCTTCTCGACGGCTGCCAGGATCCGCAAAGATGCCCTGAACGCAAGCAAGGCGCATATATCACCGCATCAGTCACACAACGTGCACATCCAGCCAACCTCCGCGACCCAACGGGTGTTCGTGCCTGGCCTGGCTCCTCAATAGTCTGTTCCCGAAACAGCAGCTTGCATGTTGCACTTCCAAGCATAGGCACAGTCGACCATACTTGGCCCGCAATATCCAGCCTCATTGTTTATATGCTAATGCACACAGACAAGCAGGCTGTCGGGAGGCAGGCTGGAATGGGGTAATAGGCCAATCTCGGCCGGTGGGGGAAGGACTTGGGCAAGTCAAGTCATGATACCCCTCGCTGATAGAGACTAAATCAGCCGGGGGTAAAGGATTTGCAAGATGGTAGTCCGGTAGGGCGGAGATATGGACGGACACCCATCACATCCCCGGAGACATTGGCCGGCTCAGGGGGAAGTCCGCAGATTTCGGCGTGGAGGCCCCGCTGCGGGCCCTCTCGTCCACCCAGAGGTGTCCTCCGGCGCCCTCGAGCAGCTCCACGCACTCCCTGTGGGCCGTCCGCCTGGCCAGGAAGAGCGGCGTGTTGTTCGCCGAGTTCCTCGTGTGCACGCTGGCCCCGCGGGTGAGCAGCTCCCGTAAAATGTCCACGTTTGCGCTCCTACGGGCTTCGTGTCAGCCTGATCGATCGTATGTTATACCTCCCGAAGTAGAAAAAAAAAGGGGGTCTTTCGGGCCGTTTCAAGGGCTAAAGGGCAACTTACATAGCCGCAAGGTGGAGGGCTGTGTTTCCGGCATAGTCCGCCATCTTTAGCAGCTGGTAGTTAGCCTCACCCCCATCGAGAGCCTCGCGGACGTTCCGCAGGTCGCCTCTCTGGATTGCATAGCCCAGTGCGGTAAACGCCGACTCGGCAGCCGTGAGGCTTCCCACGAGCGCGTCCAGGGTTCCCGACGGGTGCGAGAAGCTGGGTGTTGACATCTCGGTCACTGTGAGGCAATGTGTTAGTCACCAGGTCATCAAGACTCGTAGAGACTCCCGAAGAAGCGGGACTGCTTACTTTCACCGCGGATGGAATGGGCCATCTGCGTGGTAATGTCCGTGTAAGAGAGGTTCTCAACGGCCAAAAGGTACGAGAGCTTTGTCAGGGCGGCCTCGGTTGTCAGGTCGTAGCCAAAGACCACACCAAGACGCCCCAGCGCGAAGCCCGGGGCGTAAAGCGGCGACACGAAGCCGTTGGTGCACTGGCTCACATTCACAACCACGATCTTCCTCTCGACGGCCTCCTTGATGACCTTGGTCAAGCTGCCGTCCACGCCGCCGGGGGCGTTACCCATACCGAACGTCTCGAGGATCAGGCCCTTGAGGTTAGGCACACGCAGGACAGAGTCCACCATCTCGGGCTTGATTCCCGGGAAGATGCGCAGGCAGGCCACGTGGGCCGTGTCGATGTACTTGGTCACCTGGAACTCGGCTATCCTGGTGGGACGCCTCACCAGCGACCATTTGACGTCGACGCCCAGGCTGGTCACCTTGGCCAGGGGCTCGCAGTTGGGGCTGTCGAAGGCCTCGAACGCCGATGCGGACACCTTGGTCGTCCTGTTTCCCCGGAAGAGGGTGTGTGAGAAGAACAGGCAGACCTCCGGGATCACAAAGGTCCCTGCGATGATCAGGGAGCCCAGCAGGTTGTCCACCGCGTCGGACTGGAGGGCAAAAATTGACGCTTGGGAGCCTGTGAGGATAATTGGCTTCCCCAGATCTGTCATCATGAAAGACAGTGCTGATGCCGTATCTGTTCTCTTGTATTAGCACATGTTTCTGCTCGAATGCCCACGTCTACATAATGAGAACCAAAAAAATGGCCTTGATTAAAGATCCCGTAGCCTCAAAACACTTGTATGAGGAATCAAGATCATTGTGAGTCGTATACGTGACTGTTCAGGAAAGCTCAGGCTAGCCAAAACATGCCATGGAATAAACTGATGTACCTCCACAGTTCGCTTTGCAGTGTACTACTGTCACTGTCTTCGGAAGAGGCAGGTCTCTCCTTGATATGCAAGCAACAACATTTTTCCTCCATGGACTGTCGTCCGTAGAAGGTCGTCACATAGAAGACTCTTATACAGAAGAGTAACTGGCAATTGATGGCTCCAGGGAGCAAACCGCGCTGAGAACCCAACAGAGAAACCCGAGAAAATGATTACTCACAAGCCAGCGAGTCCGTGCCGTGGAGAACCACAAAGCCATCAAACAGGTGATAGTTCTCCTTGACGGTCAGGGCGACCTCGGTCCAGCCGACGGACGAGATGGAGCTGGAGTCGAGCAGCGGGGAGAACTCGAGGATGCCGTAGCGGACGTGGCGTGAGTACGAGCTGGGCGGGGTCCTCAGGCTGTCGAGGCTCAGCTTCTCGCCGCCCTTGTAGGCGTGCATCTGCACCGGCGGCGAGCCGTCGTTGAAGGTCGGCCGGGGCGCCATGGCGTTCTCGAGGAAGCCCGTCATGGGCACCAGCCCGTCCTTGGACGGCTGCATGCAGATGGTGCCGCCCGTCATGATGATCAGGACGCGCGACTCGGGCAGGTTGGCGTCGGCCCCGTTGGCGCTGGGCGCGTGTGCGTACGCCGTGGCCATGGCGGTGGTGGAGATTAGTCCTTCCCCTGTTGGATTTGGTGGTCGATTCGTCCGGGTGAGTGAATCTTGAAAGATTGTGTAACAGCCTGTCTGATCGGGCTAGTATCTGGCAATATCGAGAGATGATCTCTAAGATGAAAACCTATGAGTCCGACTGGTGTCCCTTTTTCCCCGCGAGAATAGGTTTGGATCGTGCCCGAGGACAAAGGAGTAGTTTATCTGGATCATCTATCATCTTGGGCGAGCTGCGGGCCGTTCCTTTCTTTTCAACGTCGGACTTGAGTCGCTAGCCGGTGTTTCTGAGGCAAAATTTTTGGCCTATTACCCCATAATAACCTAACTCCCCAGGTGACCGTCAAATCCACATCGACATGACAATCCGGGGCAATCTTTCTGGGGTAGGATGGTGCATCGTGTGATCACAAGGCATCCGATAGCGGGAATCTCTTAGATAATTGTTGTTGAAGCCAAGATCCAGCAAAAGCAGAATAGATGTGGTAAGGGATGTGACGCCCAGTGAGAATATTATTGTCACAGCCGAAGTTACGTTAAATCGACCATGGCTCACTAACCAGCACCAATTGGATGACCAAAACCTCCGCCCTCCAACCAACTAACACCAATATTCACACCAACCCCTTCAAGCTCTGCATAGTGTGGCCCTACCCAGCTCGATACCCCCTTGAACCTTTTCTAGCCGATCGTTTCCCTTGGGCCAATTCGGTCTCCAGCCATCTCGTTCTCTGGCACACCATGGCAGCGCGTGTCCTCAGCCGAGGCCCCAGGTGAGAACAGTCTTCCCCTCCCGTACTCCATCACAAGCGAGGTACGGGTTCGCCCGCGGGCATAGCTGCACAACGCAGCGCCGAACAACACGTGTTTGGTCCGGCGGCTGAAGGATTCTTGTGACATCTAGTGTTGTTCTGTCCGCTTTGAGAGGGCCAGCTTGGAGATTGCCGGGCAGTTGCCCAGCCTCAGGTAAAGTCCTCGCCGGGGTGAGCAGTCGGCGGTGGAGCTCCCAACTGCCCCCTGGCGTCCAAGATGGAGAGGCCCTGAGCTCAGTTACCAGCTCTGTGTCAAAGGGCAAGGAAGAAAAGGCCCCCGAGGCCCTGAACTCAGTTCCTGACTCCGTGTCAAAGGGCAAGGACGAGACGGCTTCCGAGGCCCTGAAATCAGTTACCAACTCTGTGTCGAAGGGCAAGGAGGAGAAGGCTTCCGAGGCCCTGAACTCAGTTCCTGGCTCTGTGTCAAAGGGCAAGAAAAAAAAGGCTTCCAAGGCCCTGAAATCAGTTCCTGGCTCTGTGTCAAAGGAGAAGAAAAAGAAAGGCTTAGAGGCTTCTGCTCAGACTGACCCCCCGATGAACTATGATGATCGCCTGAAAATCGAAACTGTCAGGGAAGCAGTGGATGTTTCGGGCGGGACTGCACCTTACAAGGCGTTAATTTCCCCGGCTGGTGTCTTTTTCTACAAACAAGACGGTACTACTCCATCGAAACATCGAAACTTTATGTGAGAGTTCCCTTGGGTACAGGCTTGGATGCCTCGTCCTATCCTAATACCAATTCCCCTTGTTAGCGACTGACGTGATACTACAGGCCGCACACATGGTTGAGGTGAGATGCGACTTCTGACGAACAGTGGTAAATCAGTGCTCACATTCTATAGAGACAACTGCCGTTGCCCCAAGTGCGTCAACCAGGAAACCATGCAGAGAAGCTTCAACATCTTGACAGTGAGTTGAGAGTCATTGCAGCACTGGAATATGATCTAAGGCATGCGTTCTCAGAGTCCCCTTCTCACCCCGCGGCCCCTTGAAGTCCAGACTGAGGAGCGTGGTGTCAAGATCATATGTAAGTAATAAAGGATTTTGCAACTGCCGAGCTCGGGAACAAATCTTGATCATTTCTCACGTAGGGCCGCCTGAACGCCACGAGAGCTTCTATGACTGGGCTTTCCTGGAGCACTACTTTGGGAACCACGCCAGGCTCACACGCCCCCAAAAGTGCGTCACAGCTCCGAATCCCTTCAACGCCATGCTTGCTGACCATCATAGTCGCGATTTATGGGGTGCCGAGATCAAGGAGAACCCACCGACCGTGACATACTCTGAAGTCATGGACTCGGAAGAGGGCGTGGCCAAGATGACCAGTCTTATTGTAGGAACCGGGCTGCACACATTTCATTCAAAAAGACCTCTGATGAATCTGACTCGTCCCGTCGCAGATGAAACTTGGGCTCGTGTTTGTCGAGGGCACGCCGTTCGACGACTCGATCCACACAAAGAAGTTGCTGGAGCGCATCGGCCCCATCCGAGAGACGCATTACGGCGGCTTCTACGATTTCATTCCAGACATGGCCAAGGCAGACACGGCATACACCAACATAGCATTGGCTGCGCATACAGACACGACCTACTTCACAGACCCCGTCGGCCTACAAGCCTTCCACCTGCTGTCTCACACACCGGCCCCAGGGGAGACAGAGGCCACCGGGGGAGAGTCGTTGCTTGTTGACGGGTTTCACGCTGCCTCCAAACTAAAGTCATCTGCACCGTCATCGTTCAAGGAGCTGACCCAGAGAGATCTCCCGTGGCACGCGAGCGGCAACGAGGGGGTCACTATCACGCCGGACAGGCTGTTTCCAGTCATTGAGCTGGGCCCTAAAGTCACGGTAACGAAGATCAGGTGGAACAATGACGACCGAGGCGGTAAGTTGCCCTTCAGATGACCAGAGGAGAGACTAGGGTCGACAGCTATCGACCGTGGGCACACGCGTGCTCATACACATCGCAAATCGACTATGGACACTGACATGATTTAAAAACTTAGTGGTACCTATGAAGAATACCAAGACTAAATCAGGAAAAGTCATGGCGTGGTACATAGCTGCGGCCAAGTGGGAGAAAATACTCAGGAGCAAGGAACTGGAATACTGGTACCAGCTAAGGCCGGGAACGACGGTCATCTTCAACAACCACAGAGTCCTACACGGCAGGAGCGCTTTCACAGGGCTGAGAAGAATCTGCGGTGGCTACAGTGAGTCTGCCCTTCACCTACCAGCCCGAAGAAGCCCCCCCTCCCGCCAGCGGGTCTCGAGTATATAACTAATTCGTGTGATGCGGCTGTAGTCAACATGGACGACTTCGTGTCTCGCTGGAGAAACACGAACCTGCCGCGAGAACAGGTGATGGCCCAGGTGATTGGGTAGATGGTGTCAGTCCGCAGGACGAAGGACGGCAAGGCTGCGAAGGAAGGCGGCCTCAGCTGTCTGCCTTGGGCCTTGGCGGAGCGGGATGAACGAGATTTATGTCTTGGGACCAGTGTGACAATAGGCGGTGGGGGCGAGGGGGGGGGGCAGAAAAGGGAGTAAGGGAGCCCTCGATTGCAAGCAGTCTTGTCCAGTACATACTTATATAGACTTTCAGATGCAGATCTTATATACAGAGTCTATGCTATGCTGTGACGTTTGAGTGGTGCAACTATAGTCTAGTACGGAGTGTATACTTGAGTAGGTACCTAGGTACTTGATACACTACAATCCAAACAGTCAGGGCTTGTGAAGCACTGGGCTGGGCTGGGCTGGCTGGGCTGGCTGGAGGGGCGACCCTACTCCGCTGCCATGGCTGGATGTTCGGCACCCCTTTTTTTATTAGCTCTCTGTCGATTGGCCATACAGGTATCCCGAATAGGGGCTTCGTATTCCTGGGCATCAGTAGTCTGAGTCCAATCTGCTCAGTAGCGTGCTAACATCGGGCCTGGGGAGCCTGCCCCGGGCATGATAGCACAATATCCACAGCCTGACAGCCTGACTCCCAGCGCGGTTGTAGTTGAGAGACGGTCAGAAAGAGGAAGTCAGAGGGGACCGAAAGGGGAAAGATACCAGGGTAGCACGCCCACCGATAAGCGGTGCGGATTATTAGCTGTGCTTTGTTCTGGGCCGCACTCAACGTGCCACCGTAGGGGCTGAGGGGGAGCCCAAGCTTGGGCGAGGGGGTTCAAGCGAAGGTCCCCTGGCCGTTGGCGGGGCTCCACTCGTTCGGCAGTACCCCATCTGGCTGCGATTTTCCAGCTGTCTTACTGTCTGCTGCTTGTCCTTCTGGGCTGGTTGCTGTCTGTTTCTCCGTCCTCCAATGCCCTGGTACCTGTTCTCAGCCCTACCTCACCAACTCGCCATCCTCGCCTCCTGCAACCTCTCGTGACCCCTTCAAGGCTCTGGCGACCGCTTGCCCATTCCACATCACCAGCATCCTGACGACCGTCCTCGAAGCTGCCGCGTGTCGTACTGCTGAACCTTGCCGGGCCGCCAAACAGCCTCTAGACTTGAGACGACGGACAGCTCCTCGCTGATTTGCCCTCTCGTCTCGTACCCCTCGCTGCACCTCGCCTCGCCTTGGGTTGCCTCGCCTTGTCGTCCTCGCCGCCCACCATGGACGCAGACGGCGCCGGTTCGGACCCTCGCAACGCCCAGGTCGACAATGCGATCCGTGCCATACAGCAGAAGAAGCCGCTGCCCGAGATCGACTTCTCCATCCACCAGATGGAAGATGGCAGCCAAGTCAGCACCATGGAGAGGGTCTGCAAAGGTATGTGTTCCCCTGCCGCCCACCCCGCTTGCCAACCCCCTCGACCGCAAGCCACAAACACCGCTGCAGCACGTCACACGCTGATCACCGCCGCCCTCCCAACCCAGATGTCCAAGCTCCGGCCATGCTGAAGCCCACCGACGAGCAATTCTTCGAGGACGACACCCAGAGCAAGCCCGACATCGCCTTCCTGAAGTCGCACTTCTACAGGGAGGGTCGCCTGACCGAGGAACAGGCGCTATGGATCATCCGGAAGGGCACAGAGCTGCTGCGTTCCGAGCCCAACCTCCTGGAGATGGACGCCCCCATAACCGTCTGTGGCGACGTCCACGGCCAGTACTACGATCTCATGAAGCTTTTCGAGGTCGGAGGCGACCCCGCCGAGACGAGATACCTTTTCCTAGGCGACTACGTCGACCGTGGCTACTTCAGTATCGAGTGTGTCCTGTACCTCTGGTCGTTGAAGATCCACTACCCAAAGACACTGTGGCTGCTCCGGGGAAACCACGAATGCCGTCACTTGACAGACTACTTCACCTTCAAGCTCGAATGCAAGCACAAGTACTCCGAGGCCGTATACGAGGCTTGCATGGAGTCCTTCTGTTCACTGCCTCTTGCCGCAGTCATGAACAAGCAGTTCCTGTGTATCCATGGTGGTCTGAGCCCCGAATTGCACACCCTTGACGATATCCGAAATGTAAGCACTCGTGCCGCCAGCCAGTCGTCACGAGCACCCACCGCCACGTCGTCCCAGGCTGCTGACCAGTTTTACAGATTGACCGATTCAGAGAACCACCCACGCAGGGCCTCATGTGCGACATCCTCTGGGCCGATCCGCTCGAGGACTTTGGCCAGGAAAAGACCAACGATTACTTCCTGCATAATCACGTCAGGGGCTGCTCGTACTTCTTCTCATACCCGGCAGCATGCGCGTTCCTCGAAAAGAACAACCTGTTGTCGGTCATCCGCGCACATGAGGCACAGGATGCGGGATATAGGATGTACCGTAAGACGAGGACGACGGGCTTCCCAAGTGTTATGACCATTTTCTCCGCCCCAAACTACCTCGACGTTTACAACAACAAGGCCGCCGTGTTGAAGTACGAGAACAATGTCATGAACATCCGGCAGTTCAACTGCACGCCGCACCCATATTGGCTGCCCAACTTCATGGATGTCTTCACATGGTCTCTGCCTTTCGTCGGCGAGAAGATCACGGACATGCTCATTGCCATTCTTAGCACGTGCAGCGAGGATGAGCTCCGTGATGATTCCTCCTCGTCCCCCGGGCCGGTGTCGCCGCCCATCACGCCCTCGGCCAACGTGGACCCAGACTCGGTGGAGGCGAAGAGGCGGGCAATCAAGAACAAGATCCTCGCGATTGGCCGTCTCTCCCGCGTTTTCCAGGTCCTCCGAGAAGAATCTGAGAGTGTTACGGAACTCAAGACTGTTTCTGGAGGAAGGCTGCCGGCGGGTACCCTTATGTTGGGAGCCGAGGGCATCAAGAACGCCATCAGCACGTTCGAAGATGCCCGGAAGGTCGACCTTCAGAATGAAAGGCTACCTCCTACCCACGAAGAGGTTCAGCGCGCCACTGAGGAGGAACGCCAGCAGGCCCTGGAGAGGGCAACACGGGAGGCGGATAATGATAAGAAGCTCCAGTCGCTCTCCAGGCGACTTTCGACGTGAGTACTTGCCGATTGGACTCATTTCTGACCAGTATCGAATTTATTGACTGACGTGCTTTACAGTGATCGCGATACCCGCAAGAGATAATTTCTACTTCCGCACCGCATTCTCCAAGATCAGGCGGCACAGGCTGGTGGATGCCCAACGAAGCTTCAGTCAGGGATGGGACGCAAGCATAAATGTCGAGAACGCCCGCTCACCTGGTAAATGGCAGGCCACGCGGTCGGTGTGTATTGGGACAACGGCTGCAACAGGGTCAAAAACCGGCGAAGCATATCCTCTTGTCGGAACCAGCAAGCTTTTTTCATATTCTTGTCCGCAACAGGCTCATGATGCCTTATTCCCCCCTTTTCTCACAGGTTTTCTGCCGGCCCAAAGGGCCGGTCGTGATTTCGTGGCACCACTGTATACAGCTGTAAAGGCTGAGCAAGAGTCTAGACACAGCGAGGCGAAAGGAAGAGAGGCTGCTTCAAACAGTTCACGAGGGAGGGAGGTCAGGGGGGATGGGGGTGGGTTCGGTACGTGCGTACGTGGAATGTGTGTACCTCTCACCTCGACACATGATGGAACATTTACTTCAGTGTTTTCTCGGGCCTGTTCAAAACTGCATGTGTCAAGGGTGAAATTTGCACTGAATCTGAAGATCGTGATGGCCCCTGAGCCAACATGTACTGAACACTGCCTACCTAGGCATTTACAGCTCCCTCTTCCGGGCAACGTCAGTCCCTGCGCGTGCACTGCCCACCCCCCGGTCCTTTTTGATGACGATGGTGATCTCTTCCCGTCGACGCCGACTGCGACGTCACTGTCGAATTCCTTGTCAGTCTGGGTGATCAGAGATGTTGATCCCGGAGCAAAACGACATATCTGATGACAGGAGCATATATGTGGGTACCTAGCAATATATACATGCTCTATCAGCATGGGGTAAGACAGACACTTGCAGAGATAGCGTTAACCCGTATTCGCGTCCATCGTCATAAACATCAAGAGACACAGCTCTTCCCCAACACACCCACGGCCAACCCGCGACGGCGTCCCAACCCCATGCCTAACACCCCGCTTCCCAACCAACAAGAACTCACTCAAAAGATGGCCAAGATATTCGGCGGGCTCGCAACACCACCGGGGACATTACAGGGCTCGCTGGCGACGAAGAAGCTCCACCTGCCCTCGCGCGCGCACGCCTCGGCCAGGCCCTCGAGCCAGAACAGCTCGCCGATGGGGCACCCGTAGCCGGCGAGGAGCACCTCGTGCAGGGCCCAGTCCTCGCGGCTGGGCCAGGCCTCGAACGACGGCTGGTCGCCCGCCACGGCGGAGAAGTTGTCCCACACCCAGCGGATCATCTCCTCGGACTGCTCGACGCCGCCGAAGCGGTGCGGGAGCCGCGCCTGGTGCGCCCTGAGCTCGGGCTCGGGGAGCTGGGCGTGCTGGGCGTGCCAGCCTGGGGGGAGGGGTAGGTGTTCTGTTAGCCTCATGTGCGAGTTGTGTGCATGTTCTTGTCTGAAGGGGGGAGGGGGAGGGATGGGATGCTCCTCACCTGTGCGCGTGAACAGGATGTCGCCGAACTTGACCTCTGTCCCCTGGGCCTCCAGGCACGCCTTGATGTCCCTGAGCGGGATGGACGACGTCTCGAAGCAGTTGAACTCCCTCAGGGCCGGGTCGTCCTGTTTCTGGCGCCAGCTGTACAGGTCAACCAGGATCCCTCGGCCCACGATCCCCTGCTCGGTGAAGGCTGTACACCCGTCAGCCCTCAGGTCAGATCCCGACGGCGCTGCGTGTCTCTCAGGATCCCCGGGCGGTCACACAGACTCACCATGGATTCCATTCACAGTCGTCTTCTTGCCGTCGGCGTCCCTGCCGTGGATATCCTCCAGCGTCACGCCGTTGTAGAACTTCTTCTCCTTCTGGTACCCAAAGTGGCGGAACCCGTCCCACTGGCTCGACACCTGGGTGTTGAAGGTCCAGATGTCATCGTTCACGACCCGCGGCGGCTTCTGGAAGAGCTCCTGGTGGAACAGCTTCCGCTGGAAAAAGCCGGACTCGCCCTGGGCGTCGAGCGGCCAGTTGAGCGACACCCGGGTCCCCTTTTTGATCTCATCCCTCGCGGCCGCCGCCACCCGCTCGTCGGTCAGGCGGTTCAGGGTCCCCAGCTCGTCGTTGTCGCCGTACAGGCCCCAGGCCGAGTGGTGAGGGTCCCCTTCCCTGAGAGGGAGGTCGTCGAAGCTTGGGATCCCGTTCTCGTTCAGCTTGGGCGGCATCTTTAGGGTGTTGCTTATTGCTTTTAGTCTCTCGGCCATATGGGAGGCAATATTAATTACAGGATTTGGTCTCTAGAAACAGTTGACTACTACATCATCGCATACTGCACCGTAGATATGTATAAACAAAATACGTAACCAGGGGCGGGGAAGCAGGCCCGACTCCAAACGGGCCGGGAGGGTGTGCCAGGGAAACGGCAGCTCCGACATCGTCCCACACCATGTACGGAGGTGGTGCCGGCGGTGGTTGCAAGAGCACCTCGGCCACCATTAACACGAAGACGGTTGTTTGACGTCTCAGGAGTGGATACCAACGTTATCAGTCGATACTGTGTAGTTATCTCTGAGGATGGATGACCTGCATCAGGGTATAACCCCAAACTGATAATAGGTGCTAGTGAGGGTTGGGGGTTAGGAACATTTCAATGTTTCCTTTGATATAGCCTCTTATTACACAGTGGACATTCTTTGGAAACTCTCAGGGATTCCCCCAAGTCTCAAGCAATCGGCGTCTTCTTGTGCTGTCAAGGTAAACCAATACAGAACGCTGTGGAGGAGCCCCCTGTTTTTTTTTTCGGGGCCAAAGCAGTTGTATAAATTACCCTGTCCTACGATGCCGTCCACTTGAAACCACCACAAGTGTGCGCGTCTGTCGAGACAGAGCAAGGCTGGTGGAGCGGACTCTCTCACCAATGCCTCGCATCACCCCGGGTGCGATACGCCAAGCCTACAGAATCTCACCGCACGCAGCAACACTCCTGCCAGCCTGCCGGGACCTGCCCTCGACCCTCAACGAGCTGCGATGGATCCGTGAACACGTCGAGGAGCTCCAGCGCGGGAGGCCGGCGTCGCCCTCCAGGGCAGAGCACCAGCTCGCCTCGCTGTGCCGCCGGCGCGGGAGGGGCGAGCCCCTGCAGTACGTCCTAGGCAGCCAGCCCTTTGGCAACCTGGACCTGAAATGCCGCCCTGGCGTCTTGATCCCAAGGTATGCTCCCTTGACCCTTGACCCTTGAACCGTCCGTCCCCTGGCCAGAACCTCACCATCAGAACGCTGACCATGAGAGAGAAAACAAAAGGCCTGAGCCCGAAGCATACACAACCCACCTGGCCGGCCTCATCAGGCGAGGGTCCCTCCCAGGCAGCAGCGGGCCCAACACCACCACCACCAAGCCCCCACAGGCCCTCCGCGTCCTGGACCTGTGCACAGGGACAGGCTGCATAGCCCTGCTCCTCTACTCGCTCCTCCGCGCCGCCATCCCGGGGGGCCTCCACGTCACGGGCGTCGACATCTCCGCCCACGCCGTGCGCCTCTCCCGGGAGAACCTGGCGCGCAACATCGCCAGGGGCCTCGTGTCCGAGGCGCCCGAGGCCCCCGGGCAGTCGGTGCGCTTCATCAGGGGCGACGTCTTCTCCGAGTCCCTGTTTGGAGGGGCAGGGGAAGAGGAGGCAGGTGGTGGTGGTGGTGGTGGTGGTGGTGTGCCGGCGGCGGTCGAGGGCTGCGATGTCATGGTCTGCAACCCGCCCTACGTCTCCCGGTGGGCCTTCTCCCACCAGACCGCGCGCAGCGTCCGCAACTACGAGCCGAGGATCGCGCAGGTGCCGGATGTGGCCTACGGCGGCGCCGGCGCCGTCAGGCACGAGGACGTGTTCTACGCCCGGCTGCTCGACATTGCAGCGCGGCTCGGGCCCAAGGTCATGCTGTTTGAGGTCGGGGACCTGGGCCAGGCGCTTCGCGTCGCGGAGATGGCGCTGCGGCACGGGGGGCTTGCGGGTCTGGGCTCCTCCCCTGTGAGCGTCGAGGTTTGGAGGGACTGGCCGGACGCGGCACCCGAGGAGGACGAGCTTGTATCTGCCAGAGTCTTGGAGGGGAGTAGAGCAGTGCGCATTAGAGGGAGCGGCCACGGTCGTTCGGTATTAATACAGTGCAGCTGAGAGTCTGCTTTTGTTCTACCACTTAGGCCCTGCCTCCCAGCCTTGTTTGGCGGCAGGGTGGAGGTTCTATGAATGCATATGGGTATCATCCTCCGTCTACAGCACAAAGTTCACGACCCTGCCGTTCTTGACGACGATGATCTTCTTCGCTGCGCGAAGGTCCTCCACGGCCGGGAGCTTCTTGTCTCCGGCCTTCCGCAGGATCTCCTCTACAACCAATGCTTCCACTTCTTTCTGACCCAAGCCCTCTGGTGGCACGGCAATCTCCAAAACGTCCCTAACTTTCCCGTTGATCTGCACAGCACAAGACTGTTCCCTGGGTTTCATGAGCGACAGAGTACCGTCCTGCACCGGAAATTGCACTGCACCGGAGAAGAGTGGCTCCTGCATCCCCAAACTCTCCCAACACTCCGAAGCGATTGCTGGTGCAACGGGGGCTAGCATCCTGACAAGCGTCGAGACTGCAGCGGCTCGGACTACCTCGGTGGCGCTCGACTGGGACGCGATTGTGTTGGACAGGATCATGAGGTCCGAGATCACAGTGTTGAGGGAGTAGACCTCATGGTACGACTTTGTGACCGACGCTATGGTATTCTGGACGTCCCGCCAGACGCCAGTGTCGATGTCCCACTGGGCAAGCTCGGCACCTTTCAAACTGTGAACTCTCGCTGCACGGGCTTTGATATGCTCGGTCGCCTCTTTGTCCACGGTGTCTTTGAGCGTGGCAGTAGCCTTCGCCAAGTCGTGCACCCGACCAAGCCAACGTGTGACGCCCGAGATCTTATCCTCGTCCCAGTTGACCACGTCGCTGACAGGTGCTTGGAACAACATGTGTGCCCTGGTTGCATCAGCACCGTATCTGGCGATGAATTCTGTGGGATCCACTCCGTTGAACTTGGACTTTGACATCTTCTCGTAGCTAATGACTGCCTGGTCTCCGGTAGCAGTCACTCTTGGCTTAGAGGGGTCCTCGAGGTCCACCTCTTCAGGTTTCAGAAACCGACCATTCGATGGATCAATAAATGTCTTCCCGTGTACCATTCCCTGCGTGATAAGGCGGGTAAATGGCTCGTGGACAGAGCCTGATGGTTCGGCGGGGCCAAGAGACGAGCCCATCAGGAATTTGTAGATGAATCGCGCGTAGAGGAGATGCAAAATCGCATGCTCTATACCGCCCACGTAGAGATCCACGGGAAGAAGTGACGCCTTGTCTTTTGAGAATGGTTCGCCATCATTCTTCGGATCGATGAAACGCATATAGTACCAGCTCGAGTCAACGAAGGTGTCCATGGTGTCGGTGTCTCTCTTCGCAGGGCCACCACACGAAGGACAGGACGTGTTTACCCAGTCGGTTGCCGACTCAAGTGGGTTTCCCGGTTTACCCTCAGCCCAATGGTTGTCCACCTCGGGCAACTTGATCGGGAGTTGCTCAGCAGGGACCGGCACCGCACCACACGAGTCGCAATGCACGATCGGGATGGGTGTTCCCCAGTACCTCTGTCGACTAACGAGCCAGTCTCGCAATCTCCATTTTTCAACAGATTTTGCTACCCCTACGGACTCGAGGATCTTGATCAGCATCTGGCCCCCTTCTCGGGATGATTTGCCCTTGAATGGGCCACTTTGAGCGTTCATAACGCCGTGGTCCAAGAAGGGTTCATTGGCAATTGCTGTCGTGGATTCGTCTTCGGATGCTGCTAGCACGGTTCGAACAGGTTGGTCATAGTGATGCTCTTTCCAGAAAGCATTATCCCGCAGGTCGTGGCCTGGCACGCCCATGACCGCGCCCTCGCCGTAGTCACCAAGAACGTAGGGTGCGACGTACACCGGAAGAGACTCCTTCGTTGGGTTCGGTGTGTTCTCGTGGAACGCAAGAGGATTAATAGCCCTTATACTGGGCAGCATATAGCCGACCTTGGAATCGGGTGGGAGACCTGGCAGGGTATCCAGAAAAGCCCGGAGCTCAGGGTCAGTCTCTGAGAGACGGACGACAATAGGATGACTTGCAGACAACGCCAAGTATTGTACGCCGAACAAGGTATCGGGTCTGGTGGTGTAGACCTCGATGGAAGCATGGGCGTCGTTGCTGTGGGCCATGATGGGGAACTTGATCATTGCACCCTGTGATTTACCCAGCCAGTTCTTCTGCATGGCGATGACCCGCTCGGGCCAGGACTCATCTTTGGCGAGCACCTCAAGGTGTTGGAGAAGCTCCTCACGGAACTCTGAGATTTTGAAGAACCACTGCTTCAGACGGCGCTTCTCAACCTTGGCGCCGGACCTCCAGGAGCAGCCATTGGCATCAACCTGCTCGTTTGCCAGCACAGTCTGGTCAACGGGGTCATAATTGACCTCGGCTTCAGCCTGATACGCGAGACCTTTCTCGTGGAGCATGAGGAAGATGCGCTGGGTGTGCTCGTAAAACTCGGGGTCGCACGTGGAGATCTCCTGTGGGCACTCTTGCGTCAATTACCATGTTGACAGTAAGGGCGGTCAGGGTATAACGCACACGCTCCCAGTCCCAGCTGCCGTTCATGCACTGCAGCTGCTCCTTCATCTTCGCTATGTTGCCCTTGGTCCACGTGGCAGGGTTGATGCCTCGCTGAAGGGCAGCGTTCTCCGCAGGCAGACCAAAGGAGTCCCAGCCCATGGGGAGGATGGTCTTGCTGCCCTGAAGGGTATGAAAACGGGAGAGGACATCGGCAATTGTGTAGACCCTCAGATGGCCGATGTGCAGGTAGCCCGAAGGGTACGGGAACATTGGCAAGATGTATTTGCTATCTTTGTGCTGCTCGCCATGGCCGCTGGGGGGCCGGCTGGCCTTGATGCGATCCCATTCCGCCCGCCACTTCCTGTCCAGGGCTGGAAGGTCGAGCTTCTGCGATGCTGTTGAGGCGGCGCGCCATGACGGCACGGCGTGACGAGTGCAAGATATTCTGCTGCCCAAGAGGAAGGGCGTTGTACTGCCCAGGAGGGGCAATCGCCGACCTATGGCCCTTGCGTGTGTCGACAGCATGGTGAATGCATTCTTTGCTGTGCTGCGAATTACAGGTTGAAGCCAGGTGCTTCGTTTGCGCGGCAGGGGAGAGTAATGTTTTGTTTATTAGTCCATGCCGTCAGATGTCCTTCTGGACAAGGACCTGAGCAGAAATATTCGAGCTCCAAGCTCCGGTGACAGGTACTTTGTGGCCATGTAGTTCAGGGTCCTGTCATCACTCATGGACGATCAGACAGGCACCTTACGGTAGGCGCCATACGCTCAAGTCGTCGAATCTCAGTCTATCCAGTGATACATCGTGTATTTGAAGTCACATTCTGTGCTTCTATATATGTGCAACGAGATCATAGGGGACCTGATGTCGTTGTGACCAAGCATGCTGAGTTCCTCATCATGAGCCGAGGTACCGCGCACCTGAGTACCTCGTGTGCAGGGGTCACTACAACCTTCCACTTGTGCGCCCTGTCAAGCCCCTACGGAGCGCATACGTAGTTCAGGAGCTGCCGAAACGCCCCCAGGCCCCATGGCCGGGCACGGGCCTTTGCAAGGGGATTTCTGGACCACTCGACCTTCGTCTTGGCCTTTTCGGCTGTTCTAGCGCTGCAGGACCGGGGCACGTTGCGCCCCAGAACAGGGCCAGATATAGGCTTGATAGGCTCCCCCAGCCAGCCAGACGGCCCGGGTGGCTCTTGGCTTGGATGCTTGTTTGCCCACCTTTGGGCAATGCCTGCCGTGTATCGCCCGTCTCCTTTCCGCAACCGTCATCTGTCTCATAACACTCTGATTTCCGACCTGGCAGTCCTGGATACTCGCACATAGCAGACTTCGCTCGGCTCCTTTTTGGAACAGACTAGGCTTTGGGATTTCTTTAACGGTGCTTCTTTGTCGATACGACCTCTCCTGCCGCGCCATCTTGGCCTTGCTCCAACACGTGCTGTCCGCACCCTTGTGAGCAGATACGCCCGACCGCAAACTCGGAAGACGACGCCCACGCCGCGGCCTCAAGCAGAGCGCGAGAGGCGACGACAAGTTCCCGACAAGACTGATTTGTTCCGAACATGTTTGTCTTAGCTGGAACATTACAATAGCGGAAGCATTGGACTTGGTGGACCACGATATAACACCCAACCAGCCGGGTGCGCTCGGCTCGCACTCTTTCTCCTCCTCCTAAACGATGCCACCCTTGTACTCGTCGAACCTCCAAGGGCACACGCGCGACTCGCTGGAACTCGCGTCGCTCGCGAGTTCCGACCAGCTCGACACAGCAGAGACCGACTCGCGGCCCAGCATATCCTCGTCGCGGAAGCTGTCCCTCGAGCAGGATGACCCTCTAGACGCCGGCAACCCGGCCGCCAACGGCCGCCCCGGGGGCCACGGGCGCACGTTCTCCGTGTCCTCGGGCTTCGACTTCACCGCAAACCTCTTCCCGCTGTCCTCGACCACCGGCGCCGGCTACACACCCATCGGCGCCCCAGCCGCGCCGGCGCAGAGTGGCGGTCTGGGCGGGGGGTCCCTCGAGAAGAACAAGACCCTGACATATCTCAACGGGCTGTCTCTGATTGTTGGCCTCATCATCGGGTCTGGGATATTCTCGTCGCCGAGCCAGGTGAACGCCAACGTCGGCTCGCCGGGCGCCGCGCTCATCGTCTGGGTAATAGCCGGGATACTCGCCTGGACCGGCGCGGCCAGCTATGCAGAGCTGGGAGGCGCCATACCCCTGAATGGAGGGTCGCAGGTGTATCTGGCCAAGATATTTGGCGAGATATTCGGGTTCCTCTTCATGTGGTCCGCCGTGCTGGTGCTGAAGCCCGGCAGCTCGGCCATCATCTCCATCATCATGGGGGAATACGTTGTCCGCGCCGCCATTGGCGCAGAAGCAGAGACCATCAACCCCTGGATCAACAAGTCAGTGGGCTTGGCTGGGCTTTTCCTGGTGACATTTTTGAACTGCGTCTCGACCAAGCTCGGGACAAGGGTTAACGATTTGCTCATGTTCATGAAGTTTATTGCATTGCTAGGCGTCACAATTACGGGGGTCGTGGTCGCAGCCACTGGGTATTCCTACTCGGGGAAGCCGAACCTAGACTGGAAGAATCACGAGTGGTTCGAGGGGACCAAGACGGAGACTTCAGCGTGGGCGGTGGCTCTGTACGCTGGTCTCTGGGCCTACGACGGCTGGGATAACGTGAGTAGTGCTTCCGACTGATCGACCGAGTGACTAAGTCATCCCGCATCCCGCATCCCGCTGACACTGTCTCAGACAAATTACGTCGTGGGGGAATTCCGCAACCCAAGCAGGGACCTGCCACGGGTGATCCACACGGCCATGCCCCTGGTCATCCTCTCGTACGTGCTGGCCAACATCTCGTACTTCCTGGTGCTGCCCCTGGCGGCCACCAACTCGTCCAACACCATCGCCGTGCTCTTCGGCTCCAAGGTGTTCGGCCCGGTCGGGTCGCTGCTCCTGGCCCTGATCGTCGGCGCGTCGTGCTTCGGCGCGCTCAACAGCTCGACCTTCACGAGCAGCCGGCTCGTCTACGCGGCGGGCAAGGAGGGCTACATCCCGGCCCTGTTCGGGCGCATCGGCGCGGGCTCCAGCGCGCCCGAGAACCAGCACGTCTCGACGGTGCGCACGCGCAGCTGGCTCTCGGGCCGCCTGGGGCGGCTGCTCGGCGACGAGGACAAGGGCCTCTTCTTCACCCCGATCAACGCGCTGGCCCTCAACTGCGCCCTGACCACGGCCTACGTCGTCGTCGGCGAGTTCGACACCCTGCTCACCTTCTACGGCGTCGCCGGCTACTCCTTCTACTTCCTCACCGTCCTCGCCCTCATCGTCCTGCGCGTCCGCGAGCCCGAGCTCGAGCGCCCCTACCGCACCTGGATCACCACCCCCATCATCTTCTGCTGCGTCAGCCTGTTCCTGCTCAGCCGCGCCGTCTTCGCGGAGCCCCTCCAGACCCTGCTCGTCATCGCCTTCGTCTCGGCCGGCGTCCCCGTCTACCTCCTGCGCGTCAGGACCTCTGCGCCGCCCAAGCGGCCCAACCGCGACTACGACGAGGACGAGTCCGGGCCGTGGTGGAAGTTCTGGAGGCGGTGGCGGAGCTGAGAGAAGGGGAGGAAAATAAAACAAGAAATTCCACAGGAGCTTCCGCCCGGTGTCTTTGTATTTTAGGCTGCATTGTTGGGGGGGGGGGTTTCCGGCAGGTGAATTGTGCACATATAGAGATGCATCACCCCCCATGGCCCGCTGGGGCCCAAAAAAAGAGCAGCGGCAGAGAAGCCAACAGGAAATATGATGTACTTAATATTTTTGGCACTATAATCAAGACGAGTCGGTGTGTAAAGCCGCGCCTTTTCTACCCTCATGAGTTGGACATTTGTTGAAATGCTCACTGTTTAAATATGGTGGGTCTGCACATTTAACCCGCCCAAAGTACTTGGATTCGACCAGTTGACGCTACGTGATGCCTGGGTATACTGACAATCTTGACAAGTTGGCTCGAAGTCATTTGCCGACGCTGAAAGAAAGCCGCCATGTAATGAATATATTGTGCCAGACGAAAGCTGCGGCAGGAGAATATCTTCCAGCTCACCGTCGCTCAGGTAAGCCTGTCTCATTGTTGCGGTTGGCTGTAAGCTACTTGTTTACAAAATTGTACTTAGGAATATGGGAACCGTACATAGGCCAATGCTTCCATAAACGCCCTACCCCTTGAAACATGTCACCAGTGGTACTGTTATTTGTTACTTTAAAATTTTTATTCATTTATTTCGTTCATTTACCTCCAAACTATATGAGGCGTGGGAATCATAGCATCGTCATCTTCCGATTATAAACAAAATAACCTTCCACCGAGCATGCCGTCCAATTCATGGCTCGAGATTACCGCTGGGAGCTCAAACTTGACTCCTCATTTATTTCTTGGCGCGCTGGCCGTACTGTGGAGAGGGTTAGCATTCGGTTGCGGGTGTCACATGAGAGGGGGAGGGCGGGTGCGGAAGCTTACAGCCTTGGTGGCATAGTCGCCGTTGGTCACGATGAGATCCTCGGGCCGGTAATCGAACTTGCCAGTCAGGTACGACTCCAGGATAGCCTTGGTGCCGTCGGCATAACGCTTCTGGGCATCGAGGGAAGTACCGGACATGTGAGGAACCATGGCGTTGCCGCCACCGAAGGGGTTCTTGGCGTAGCGCAGGACGTGGTCCTTGGGCGCGGGCTGTGGGAACCAGACGTCACCACCGTAGCCACGGAGGTGGCCGGACTTGAGGGCATCGGCGACGTCCTCCTTGACGACGATAGCTCCACGGGCGGTGTTGACGAGCCAAGAGCCGGGCTTCATCTTGCTGATGAGATCCTTGTTGAACAGGCCACGGGTCTTCTCGTGCAGAGGGCAGTTGATGGTGACAACGTCACACTGAGCCAACATCTCCTCGAGGTTCTCGACGCGGCGGCAGCCAATCTCAGCCTCCTTCTCGGGGCTCAGGGGCTGGTAGTCGTAGTAGAGGAGCTCCTTGCAGTCGAATGGCTTGAGACGGCGCAGCACACGCTCACCAATACGGCCAACAGCGACGGTACCGACAACCTTGCCCTCGAGGTCGAACTCGTTCTTGGCGGCCTCGGCGACGTCCCAATCTCCACGCTCAATCTGCTCGTGGGCGGGAACGAAGTTACGGACGAGAAGAAGGATGGTCATGACGACGTGCTCGGCGACGGAAACAACGTTGGAGCCGGTGACCTCAGCAACAGTGATGCCACCGTTGGTGGTGTTGGCAGCGTTCAGGTCGACATGGTCGGAGCCAATACCAGCGGTGACGGCAAGCTTCAGCTTCTTGGCCTTAGCGAGACGCTCGGCGGTCAGGTAACCAGGGTGGAAGCTATGAGATTGTGGATCAGTTTGAGTGCTTCACAAGCCAAGTGAAAGATATGAATGACTAGCAGAAGTGGACGGCCGGACAGCCGAGGGCTGAGCAGCCAGAGGAATGGAATGAGACTCACGGAGTGGTAATGATGATCTCAGCGTCGACAAGCTCCTTGTCGAAGGTTGAGTTCTCACCCTCCTTGTCAGAGGTGGTGACCAGAGTGTGGCCTTGGTCCTCGAGCCACTTCCGGATTCCGAGCTCGTTCTGGGTGGTGCCAAGCAGACCGGGGACCTGGGAGCGGGAGGATTATTGTTAGCGATCTGCGCTGCACTTGTTTTCCCCAGGCCGCGCCCAGACGCGGCAGCCGCTTCTCCAATCGAGCACCCCGCACTTCCCCAACTGTGTGTGTGTGTGTGCGCGTGCTGCAGCTTTTTCTCCAGCTACCCGCCGCAACGGGCGTAGAGGTGTAGGAGGATCGACCCGCTCGTCCATGCGATTGACGTCCACAGCACGCAGTGAGGGAGAATCGACAATCGGATCGAGCGTGCGATAGATCGCCCACAACCACCAACCTCCGACCCCTGCTCTCTACCACGAATGCTACCCCGCAATTCTGTAACCAATCTACCGGGCCACAGAAAAGCTGGCCGTCTTCCGTAGTGTGTAGCATCGCGTAGTAACGCTGAGCAAAGCACGCAGCGTATAGACTAGCCCGGGAATTCGCGTTTTGGGAGAGAGAGGAGATCGGGGGGTTATCTGCAGGGGGCGATTCGCTGCGCGTTCGCGCGGACCCGAAGAGACGAGGAGCTGCTGTCGGCGGACGGCGCATTGGGGGCTCCTGGGTTAAGACACAGGAAGAAGGAAATATCTGGTCTGCTTACCTCCTCGGCGTGCTTGCCACCATCGTACAGGACCATAAGCACCTTGACCTTTTCACGGGGGAAACCTGTCAGCGACCGGATCGACGTCAGTGGTCCCAGCTTGCTCCGGCATATTGAGCCTGGCAGAACTGGCGAGTTTGCGGCAGCCTGTCGAGATGTGACGCCCCCAGACCGAGAGGCAGAGTTCCTCAAGCTGGAGACGGCAGAGGCGGAAGCTAGAGAGCTCAGGCCTCTGCTGCGCGAAGCAATGGGACCAAGTGAGCGGGCTAGGGGACGAGATGCAGAAGTAAGTACCATTTTGGCGGTTTGTGAGGCTCAATTGATGTGTAGAGAAGAGGATGAGGGTGAATTGGATGCGTTCGAGCTGTCTGTGAGAGGTCAATATGGGCGAGCCTTGGGAGGGCGAGCTGGTCTTATAGGTCTCGCGGGACGATGGCCGCGCCTTCCTGGGTGAGAGGGATGCTCGGGGCTGGGTCGGGTTTACTAACGATCAGGCCAGACAAGGCAATGACAAGGTTAATTCAGAGGTATGATCTGATTACGACACGATCATCTCCCAAACAGGTCTGGGAAGGAGCAGGGCCAGGTATTTATGTGTGTCCCAGGGGAGGTCCGATGTAAGGATATGCAAGGGGGGCAAGGAGGAAGGAAGAGGTGAGTCTCTCTCTCTCGCTCCTCCTCCTCCTCCTCTCACACAGTACACCACACACGTACGACACGTTCGTTCTCGTGTGTAAGAGATAATCCGGTAGTCCTGCGCTCAAGGTTGGCTGCATGAGCTTGGGAGAGGGCCATCTGACCCGGATCCCTGTGCAGGAGCTGAGGAGCTGGGTACACGATACCAGAGGTGCACCCTGATGTCTGGGTGGCGGGAGCCGGTCCAGAGCTTGATAGCATGGCGTACATGGCAGGTGTCGTTGAGGTAGTGGTGACATCAAACGCCGACATTCAAGCGGCCTGGGTGTGCCTGGATTCTCCATCCTGCCAATGCCATGTCCCAATGCCATACCCAGTCAGCACCAGTCTGCCACTTAAAAAGGGCGGGTCCTGGCCCCACCCGAGCTCTGTATGGTGGATCTACTACGTACTACGTATCCGTACTCCCGACTCCGTGCCTGACCCATGTCTCTGTCATGGCCAGCTCTTGTTGCTGCTCTTCATCAACCACACGCCGCACCCGCACCCGCACCCGCCTCGCCTGGCCTGGCCTGGCCGCAATGCATGTCTCTGTTCAGCCGGAGCAATGGGGTGCTGGCACGATACAAGGCCAAGCCAGCCTCGGTCTCACTCGATGTGCAGCAGAACCCATGAATGGCCACGACCGGCGAGACTGTCGCCGACCCCGCATGGTGCTGCCCTCGAGTTCCTGGGCTGTCTGGGGCTGCCTGGTTCGCCCTGGTGGTTTCGGCCGTGTAGTACTACTGGTCACCGGTCGCGGCTTGATGCTCGATGAGGAAAGATGTCGGCCCCTCGGGGTCTGCCTGTCCTGACACCGCCGGCGCGTTGCCATGGCGTTGGCGGTCGTTTCTCGGGCATCGCTCGGCTTCCCCCCGCTCCCAGGTTCTGGCGGAGCTTGACGTCGGACAAGTGGGACGGCAGGACGGGGCTAAAAGAGAAATGTGGGGTAGGTAGCTGGTAGCCCACCCCTCCACCCCTCCAGTCCTCTGCTCATTTTAGTACAGTTAAGCTAGACTCGTTAGCTAACAACAGGTTGTCCCCATCCAGCCGTTCAGTCCTCCACAGCGCAGGCTACCTATGCTGTCAGCTTGACACTTCAAGGTTGTTTTATAGTATGTGCTGTTTCGGTGGTCTAGCCCATGCAGCAGCAGCATCAGCCACACTCCTTCTGATGGCACGGTACCATCCATAGCAGACAGACAGACAGACAGACAGGTCTGCATATTGTAGGATATGCGGGCATGAACCAAGCGTGTGTGATATGCCACGCGGGCTGCATACAAGGCACACAATGCATACACACGCACACATACACACACGAGAATAGCAGTCTACTGGGTGCTGCACTTGCACCCCGTACTCCCTTACCATTGGGACCCTGCATGGTCCATCCCATCTTGCCAGGGCTGGACTGGGGCCAAGCATCCAAAAAGCTTGTCCGCCAATTGGACCCCCATAGGAGGAGGCTGTCTGACTTGCTCAACTACCGCCGGCGTGTCATGCTCGCGGCGACGGGGAGGATTGACAGCCCGTGAGACACTGGTAACGGCAATCGGGATGGCAATCGCAGAGGCAAACAGATACATAACACACCGGTGCCGCTGTGGAAACACAGGCGGCAACAGAGGCGGCACAGAGGTAGGAGGAGGAAGGGGAAGAGGTAGAGGTCACGCCCTGCCACCCACCAGCGGTGGTGTTATGTTAGTAAATACTACTCCGTAGGGACTTGAAGGAAGTCGTGCCAAAAAGTATGTTTACTCGCAACCGCCTAGTCTAGCTGCTAGAATGGTAGAAGTACCGGATGTATTTACAATGTGCCAGAAGTACCAGCCCCCAACACCTGGGCACCTTCCCAGACAGCTCCCGAGGTCACGTCCGCCTCCCCGGCTCCCCCCAGCATGTCGCCTCACTTCTTCTTCTCTTCATATCCCCCCTCCTACTGCGAGGAGAAGCCAAATACCTTTGCAATCCCACCCCACGGCCTCGCCTGCCTGCCCTTTCTCCTCGCCTTGACCAGCAGGAAGCGAGGGATCACGCCCTCCACCCAGTCCGGGTGCTTCCTCCCGGCCTGGTTGGTCGCGCCCCACTCGTCCATCTTCTCGACCTCGAACCCGGCCTCGCGCATCGCCTCGAAGTACGACGTCAGCGTGCGGTGCTGCTTGATGACGCCGTTGACGATCCAGTCCACCGACCGCACGCCCTCGGTGAAGTAGCTGTCGACGGTCCACTGGTCGACCTCCTCGCCGCCGTCGGGCTGGGCGGTGCTGTTGTTGGTGTTGGTCCTGGGGGTGCGGATGAACTTGGGGCAGGTGGGTGCCGTCAGGAACGGGTGCTCGATGGAGTAGACAAACACGCCGCCGGGGACGAGGGACGAGTGCGCCTGGTGCATCAGGCCGGCCAGGTTCTTGACGTAGTGCAGGGCCAGCCCGCAAAAGACCAGGTCGTAGGTCTCGGCCGCCAGCTGCAGCGTCTCGAGGTCCACGCGCGTGAACCGGATGAGCCCGTCCTCGACGTCGTCGGCGCCGACGCCCCTCGCGCCGCCGCCGCCGTACGCGCCGAGGCCCAATGCGGAGGTGGTCGTGGTGGATGTGGTCTTGGGCCCTTTGGTGAGGCCCTCGGCCTTGCGCAGCATGTTGACGCTAATATCGCAGGCGTCGACTGACTTTGCGCCGCGCGACACGCACCACCGTGCGAACCAGCCCTCGCCGCACGCGAGGTCCAGCACCCTCTTGCCGTTGAGGTCGTGGGGTAGCATCTGCAGGAGCTCGGGCCATTCTGAAGCTCCTTTCTCTCCTTCCTTAGCGCGAGGGTACTCGGAGTAGAGGTCGAAAAAGACAGGGTCGTCGTAGATGTTCTGAGGTGCCATTGTCTAGGTTGTGGTTCTCTTGTGATAGGTGGGTTGGTTTGCAGGTGGGCGGTAACCGCAGACTTTCTAGTGTTTCTACCGCAACAAAGGAAGTTCAAAGAGGGCCGTGATGTGTCGGTCGTCTGGTCTGGCTGACCATGGGTCGGTCTCAGGGATCTGATGATAATAGTGGTACGATGGACCTTTTTCACGGGTTTCGACTGACTTGTAATTATAGACAAACGGACAGTCAAACGGACAGACCTGCCGATCAACGAGCCACGACGCTCGTTTTTATAATTGACGGCGCTGACTTTTCTCCCCTGCGGCTGCGGCCCCCATCTCTGGACCTGACTGTTGCTCTTCCCTCATCCATCTACTGACTACTCGTCTAGCCTCAGATTTGGTGCCTTCGCTCTTTCCGTGGCTCCACGGGCTGAGGATGATGGTACACACGTCTCGCTACATTTGGCCTGTACGACTTGCCTGGGAGGCTGCGGCTGCGCATATCTTGGTTGATAACCGACCAGCTCGTCTGTGGCGCCTCGCCGGCCTGGGCAGGTCCACCCCCTTCCCCCTTCGTCCCCAGGAGAGGACGGGCACTAGGAAGGCTGCTGCTGCTGCAGCAGCGAGCGGGTAGCGGGTAGCGGGTACAATATCACGGGAGGGCGAAACTACTCTGTCTGGCCCTCGAGTCCCCCCATTCGTGGTGACCTCGCAGCGACGAGCAATGTACCGGCGTCCCAAGGTCACACGGGACCAGTCCAACCACGTTGTAGCCGCCATGGGAAGCATCCAACCGGGAGCCCCTTTCCAGCACCCACGCACCCACGCTCCTCCTGAAAGCCCTGCGCCGTCCGCAGCTGTGCCCAAAGGGCGGGAAGGATGGGGGGGGGGGGACCTTTGACTACATTGTAGCCTAGCCTCGGTATATGAAGGGCTAGCGGTACAACGAGATACAGTGTGCACAGCGCGGAACGGGCGACAGCTCGTGGCTCGGGTCGGTCAGGATGGTACTGTGTACAGGTCTCACATCACCAGACTTAGACCCCTTCCGGACGCGATCTAATCCTGCAGGGCTGCTGGATCTGAAATGCCCAGTTGCCTCAAAGCTGCGGCCCCGAGCGGAAATCTGTGCCTGGCCGTCCTGGCCGTCTGACCAGAGACAGGCTGGCAGGCTTGGTTGATTATGTGCGCTGAGAAAGCTTACATAGTTGGATCCTTGGGGGTCCCACAGACGAGTACGGCCGCCCATACACGAGACACAACCGAGCGAGGCGCAATAAGGTCAAGACGGCCCGCCCGCGATTCCTGCACAACAAGGAGAAGGAGTCGAGGAGGGGCCAGGATTGGGGGAAGGGGAGACTGGGGGAGAGACTATGGGAGACAAAGTGGGAATAAGAGCTGTAAATGTACGGCTGCCCTGTGTGGCGTGATCTTGATGGCATAACGTTTGGACGTTCTGACCGTTGGTGGCTTGGCCTTGACAGCACTTGCCTGTCCGCGGCTTGGCGCAGAAGGAGAAAACAAAAAAGTTGCCCGTAGCTGTCCTTTTCAACACCAGCCCGCGCACTCGAGCGGGCCCTGACAAGGTCGAAGAAGTAGCCCACGAGGCACCTTCCCATGTCGGGCGGTGGATTGCCCTGTTGGCTTGTTGGCTGGGGGGAAAGATAGAGAGAGCGGGGCAGGTACGATACAAAGGAGAACAACGCTCTCGGCACTCTTGTGCCTGTGCCTGTGCCTGTGCCTTCCAAGGGCTGGCTGTTTTACCAAAAATTCCAACCTCGCCAGCAAGCCAATATCCCGTCCTGTGCATCAGCCCTCAGCTCGGTCTTTTTTTTTTCTCTTGCCAGGATCTGCGCCCAAAGGACAGGGCCCGGCTCCAGAGTGTCGCTTGTGTGCACGCCCCCGAGAGCATCAAAAGACCCGAGAATTTGACGCACGCTGTCACGTCCGTAGTCGCTTACAAGTGGAACCAGAGCGAACGAGCAGTCAGTCAGTCAGTCAGTCAGTTAGCCAGTCAGTCAGTTCAGCCAGTCAGTCAGTCTAAACACGTCTCGATGCCATGCGATGTCTGCTGTTGGAATCGGCTGTTGGTCTGTCCATCAGCCCACGTATTGTATTCACAAGGCTCGATGTTTCGTCTCAAGCCAGTGGAGACATATGCTCTGACAGTGCCAGGCTGTCCCATGGGAATTTGAGTTTGAGCCTCCCGCCAACGACGAATTCCTGGCGCTGCTGCCCTGCTGCCCTGCTGCCAGGCTACCCGGCTGACAGACCGACCGTACGGAACAACCCACATAAATTGGGCTAGGGAATGATGGCTGGGTCAATCTTAACATCGGCATGTTCGTCGACCCCTCGGAGGAGTGGGTCCAGCACAAGGCCTGAAGACCAGAGGTCCGACCTCCCGACAAGCCGTAGATTGTGGGCCTGGGCCCCGTTAGTGTACAGGCAACGGCAGACACGGAAGGGATATCGACGGGCGATCGACGATGGTCCAACGGGTCTCGACCACTGAACGGCAGGGGACACATAAAGAAACCAAGAAAGAGATGTGGGGGGAAAAAGGCGAAAAGGCCACTCATCATTTTCCACCTTGGTGCCGGGCGTCGAAGCCCCACGACAGATGGCCAGGCTGGGCCCGGCTGGCTGTAGAACAACAGCAGGGATGGGTCCCGTCGTCAGGCCCGCCAGGCCCGCCAGGCCCGTGTATCGACAAACGGTGGAACCACGATGCCTGCTTCCACGGGTCTTTGTGTGCTACCGTAACGTTGACGTCGATGTGTCAAGTTGAACGCGCACGCGTGTGGGCCGCGACCACGACATCGGCCTAGCAGCCTAGATCAACTCCCTCCCGTCGCCGTCCCAGGTGAGGTGCAAGCTGTCAGGGGCCGTTGACGTAAATCTGCCCCATCCTCTGCCCTGACCCATCGACGGATTCAACGGATGCTGCACGTCGCCCGTCCACTCTTTGCCTCCCCGGCCGGGCTGCCAGCGCTGGCTCTGGTCCTCTTCCTGCGTCCCGCGCGCGCCCCCAACAGACGCGGTGCTGCAGCTCTTTACGCATCCGGCCAGGGCGCGAACGTGAGGCAGGGTTGACAGCTACGTATGTCTCAGCGGCGGGCAGCCGGATTGGACGGGGCACGGCCCGGAGCTTTGCTTTGCGGAAATGACGCCGGTCAAGGCGAGGGCGACAAGGGACGTGAGAAGAAGGAACAGAACATTGAGGGTGAGGTAAGAAAAGAAACAACACATACGCTCACTCGAAAAAAATTCGATCGAGTCAAGTCGCACCGAGGATTAGACAAGCCACGCGCAGATCTCCCTGTCAGCTGCGTGCGACCCCAACATTTGCAGATGACAGGAACAAGGGGGGCGGGTGGTTACACAACCGTTCCCTGCGCCAAGGAGGCTCGCGACCTACGCGGATGTGGGCGAGGGAGGCTACACGACTTTGACTGGCTAGCAGGCAGGCAGGCTGACAGGCACAGGAATATCACGGTATTAGGAGTCACTCGGCGTCCCTTGGCCTTTTTTTCTGGTAACATGGATATGTGCAGCTCGAGTTGCACGAAAGAATGGTGGGCAGGGGGTGTGAGAGAAGAGCCAGCAGAATGCACGGGAGAAGAGATCGTCGCCCTGCTTCTTCGCTGTCATGGGCAATAAATACCAGACTACCGCGCCACAGCAACGGTTACACCTGCCGCCGTCCGAAAGAGGGTTGGAAAAGAAAAAAAACCAGGTCGGCAGGTCGGCAGGGAGGGCAAAAGGAGGAAGGACTAAGAGAGCGAGAATGGAATAAGAGACAACAACCTTGGAAGACACACCGAGAAACGAAGATTTCAAGGACAGCAATGACAAAAAATCGCAAACACGAGGTTGTAATAGCCGAGCACGACGTCCCTGTCTCGGATGTTTCCACCGGGCCTTTGCTCGGCCTCGAGTGATGACAACTGGAACAGAGTACTGACGGCCTTCTAAGAAGGGCACACCACGGTGAGTAATCCCCACGTTGTTATCCAACGTCAACGTCAAACTGCCGCCCATATCGCCGATTTTGGGGGATGACAGAGCCGCCTAAGAGGGGTCTCAGCTGAGGTGAGGTGAGGCTGATACCGCCGTACCCTCTCCCCGGTGGCTTGTCACAGAGTGGCAGAGACATTCCTAAGGGGCGGTCACGAACCAGCCAACTCAAAAATCCTACCGGGCGGCCACTCCGGCCCGGTGAGTTGCCCCCCCGTCCCAAATCCTAAGCTTCGTCTATTTCTCGTCTCGCCTCCAGGCTTCTTTCTCGAGATTGAAACAAGATTGGAGAAGAGGGCAGAGCGCCCCCAAAGACGTTCCAAATAGAGCCACCACGAGATTGGCCGGCGAATGCGGCGTTGTCTAACCGCGGAAGCACAGGGTGTTGATCACCCATGGGGCCTAAGACGGGGTCGGCCGCACACACACACCCACTCATATACCCATCCGTATTACACCCCGGCCGGTGGAATGGCCTCGCGTCACACCCCACGTGGCTGCGAACTTGACAGGTCCTTAATCGAGGTTTAGTCGAGGGGGCGTTTGGCCCCCGACGAATCTGAGTGGTCTTTTCGTCTGTTACAGATATGTTGTCTAATGTAGTACGCTATGAGCCCCGAGATGCTCATCAACATCTACCCTCTCCGTCCTTGCTTCTGTCTGGATGCAGGTACGAAATGAAGAAAGCGAAACGAGAAAGAAAACAAAAAATACCAAGCAAAAATTCCATTGCGTCGAACGCTCAACGAAATGTGTCTCATCAACGCCGTGCTGAATGCCCCGTCTAGTGTGTGTACCTCCTGAAATCTCCACGCGAGCCCTGCCGTCAACCCGGAGCCTTGTCCCCCAACAACACGTTTCTGAATCCTCCAGGGCTGTCTTATGGCCTCCCACTCCCTCGGCAACGCCCTCGCCTAAGACCACAGTACATTCCTGTTGATCCCAAGTACCCCTTTGTACCCGCGCCGGCCAAGACCCGCCGGAAAGGTTCTGAGACTTCCGCGCCTAGTTCATCTTACTGTAAGGCGGCGGAGGCGGTAGTTGCTGCTGCTGCTGCTGCTCAGGCTGAGCCCCGTTGATGGTGACCGGGATCTGTCGCTGGCTGCCACGGCTATCTGACGCCTGGGCGGCGGCGGCGTTGGTCCACGACATGGCGCGCGACATCATCTTGGTGAAGTACTCCTGGACAAAGGACTCGGTGTAGTAGCTGTGGTTGGCGTCGTGCGGCCCGACGAGGTTGTGGGCGAGCTCGTGCGCCACGACGACGAACCACCAGATCCCGGCCTCGGCCTTGGTCGCCGCCCCCGAGGGGCCGGCGGCCCTCATCTTGTCGTAGTGCAGCTGCCTAAAGTACCGCAGGTTGCAGAAGATGCTGCCGTTCAGGTTGAAGGCGATGCAGGGCCCTTCCTCGTCGAAGTGGATCTGCAGCGCCGTGGGGGAGACGCCGTAGACGTCCGCGACGTCGCGCAGGAGCGACTCGAAGGTCGAGATCGCGTCCCCGTTGGCGGTCAGGAAGCTCATCTGGTCCGTGGAGAGCTCCCTGGAGAGGTACACCTTCATGCCGCGCGGCGCCTGTGCCGCGAAGACGATGTTCTGGGCGGGCTTGCTGTCGCAGTATGTGGCCTGCTCCTTGACTTCTTGTGTCTGCGGTGGGCTGAACACAGACGACGAGTCGTGTGGCCTTGTAGACCGGATGGCCTGCAGCAGATTATTCTGTACAACAGCTGGGCTCGTTACTCGGCCGCTGTCACCTGGACCTTGAGCCTGGGGCGCTGGGGGAGCGGGCTTGGCCTCGGATCCCGGGTTCGTGAGCAGCTTGTCCAACTGCTGCTCCGCTGCCCCGTCTCTATCCAGACCAAACTTGCGGGTGAAGTTTGAGAAGAACCCCTTGCTGCGCCTATCCTGTTGGTTGGGAGGTGGTGGCGGGAGCTCGGGCGTATCCTCGGGAGAATCAAACGCACCCGGCATCTTCGACGACGGCTCTGCTGGTGTGCGGGGACGCTGCTTGCTCTCAGCCTCGGCAGCAGCTTTGTTCTGGCGAGCCCAGTCCGCTTCTCTCTCCCTGATTCTCTGCTCCTCAGCCTCCAGAGCCTTGCGCCTCTCCTCTTCTGCCATCCGCGCCTCCTCGGCCTTCGCACGCAGTATCCTGTCAACATTGTATCCACGAGCCCTAAGATCTAGGAGACCAAGCTTCAGGAACGGCTCGAAGAAGAAGTATGACTGTTGATTGTGGCGTGTGAGGATTAGCGAACAGACGGCCTGGCCCACCTGGTACATATCCGGCTTCCCCTGATCAGCAGAGATGTACAACTTTTGTCCTGTGGCGGACCGCATGGCCATCGCTGACCGCTTCTCCGTGTGCGACTGGGCTTGACCCCGTAATGTGCGCCTAAGTTGAACGCTCTGGACGACCTCAACGGCCAGGTTCTTCTCCAACCATTTCGCGTCATGCTTGATTGTATCCCTCCGGATGTTTCGGTACTCGTGTAGGAACAACTTCGTGCGCTCTAGGATGTGTTTCCGCAACCATTCAGCGCCATCCTGGGATGGCATTGATCTACCGACACGCGCGTCCTCTTGTACCAAGCTACTGATTGTAGGAGAGCCCAGTGACAGGTAGAAGGCCTCTAGGGCATCATCTTCGGGAGCCGAGAGCAGATGTTCCTTGAACAGTCGGAAGCTGTAGAAGTCATCCGATATGACAATCTCACCAGGTGCGGCGAGCTGGGCATGTCGCATGGGTTCGTTGTACTCGTCATCTTCCGTACCCTTGTTCTTAGGGGATGGAACGTCCTTGAAGGCCAACAGCCATTTCTCGGTCTTCATCTTCCTGTAGAGATCTTTGTCTCGTTTCAGGGTTGGCAAGTCGCTTGCAAGCGATCTCAAGACATCTAGGTACTTCTCAGACGTCTGAACCGTGGTCCACAGCCGAACAGGCTCGCTGCAGGCAAATGTGGCGATCTCATGCTGTGTCTTGTCAGTCTCTGCATCGTAAAACCGAAATTAGGGGCTTTCTATATCTCACCTTGGTTGGTTCCAGCTTTGCTCCGCACTTGAGCAAGAATGCATTTGCCGTGCGACCAAAGTCGATAAAATCAAAGATCTCCCCGTACGTCGACGATGAACCAAGATAGACACTCTGGGGAGCCACGAGCGTAATGCTCTGAGACTGGGCTTTCTCCCCTGACGATTCATCATGCCGTCTCTTGCGACTGACAGGTACAAATGACGCCGCTCTCAACTTGGCCAGACTGCCCTCACCCAAGTCGTTCATTCGAGCAGTGAAGTATTCAAACAAAGTTATTGCAGAATCACGACTCTGTGGGGGTTTAGTAATAAGTCTGTATACACAGTTCTCGATCGGGGGATCACGAGGAACCCCAAATTTATTGGCATGCTGGTGGAGGTCCCTGGCCAGGATGTTGAAACCTAGCACAGAGGCTGATTCGTTGGTGTAGCAGGCAGAGGGTGGCACCAGCTGCTTTGCGTCGCCCTGCAATGGAAGGATGGCCTTGTTGGTGTTCGCAATGTTGAAGGCAACGTATCCATTTATCTGATGGTTTGCAATGAAGTAATTCCTGGCTTTTTCTCTCAGTGATTGGTCAGACGACGCCATCATTTCCACAAGCTCCGGGACAGAAGGATAAGGGCGCAACCCTAGGCTGTAGAGAAATTTGCCCTCCTTCGAACTGGCCCTGAAGCTCCCTGGTGGCCCAGGCCACTGCAGAAGAGGCAGCCCGAGAGCTCGAAGATCTGATTTGGGCTCGAAGAGATCAGATAGCTTGTATAGCTCCTTTGTGCCCTGGGTAGATTCCATGCCTGCCGGTCCAGCTTCTGCGGGACAAATCTGGGAGTTCTTCAACTTCTTCTTGTCCTCTGCGGGGATGTCATCCGTTACAGAAGCCAGATACTTGATGAGCTCCATATGGCTCCAAGGTTTGTGAGTTGTTTCCCCGGAAGGATTGAGCAGCCGCGAGAAAATGGTGTCCAGATCGAGTGTTCTTCGGACTCCCAAGGCGGACAGAAATTTCTCTTTGAGAGTCTGGCACCCTTCTATCGTAGGCAAGTCGTCAAACAGCTTTACTGAAGGGAAAAAGGATTCTGAAGGTTTCTTCATTCCCATCTTCGTCGGCATTACTGTGATGCCTTGTAGCAAAGACATAATAGTGTTCTTTGAGCCCAAACTCATGTTTTCCCAGTTTTTCGACAGGACAGTCAAGACTGACACGGCAAATTTGGGTGACTTGGTAATGTTTTCGTCCTCGGCCCGGCCGGGTGCCGTCTCTATCAGGAATCGCAGCCAAGGCACAGTCTCCAGTCGCTCCCAGCCTAGGGCCTGGAGCTGGGGTTCCGTGAGGTGGTTCGTGAATGCAAAAGGAATTGTTGTCGGAGGTATCGGCAGGCTCGGTGGAATTTTGTTGCTGATGAGATAGTTCTTGACAGAGGCCAGTGCAATGATTTCGCCTGAGTCGTCCCCATCCCCAATCGTGGCAACAGTCACATCAAAGAGACGCGACCTACTGCCGGGATCCAGCTCTCCACTCGCTGCCTTCTTGCTAGCCCAGCTGATGAAGTGTATCAGCTGGTCCTTGTTCAGCGCTTTCGCTTCCAGCTCCTGGCGGATATCGTCCGCGGTGATCCGTTGGATGAGACCAAAGTCCTCGAGCTTTCTCATAAAAACAGCGTCTTTCATCTCATCCAAGACAACTGGTATGCCGTTGACGAACTTTGCCAACTCGTCAGAGCCCATACGGACTTTAGTGGAGGACAAGACACCACGACTTGAAAAGACTTCGATCGATGCTTTCTGAAAGGCAAACCAGAATGACTCCTCGATGATCTGTCCAACGTTGGCGCTAGGGGTCGAATCCTGAAATGAATATGTTTTCAAGATGTGCAGGGCTTCGGGAATAAATTTCGCGACTTCGTCTTTTGTTGGTTGAGAGCCCTTGGCCCTCGCGTCTATGACCCTCCGGAGCTTCAGCTCCAGATCAGACATCTCATTGGCGAATGCCAGGCGTGTCATAATGCCAGCAACTCGGAGCATCTCGATGTTCCAATTCCTGACCCAACGGGCGTTCAAGTCGATGGCCTCACGTTCGACTGTGGGGATGACAGACGGCGCTGAGATGTGCATGCCAGCCCCCGTGGTTTGTGTAGTAGGGAAACCGATGAAAATCCTGCCACCGGGTTTCTTGTTTGGCAGTACTGACGCAAAGACATCGGCAGCCTTGGCAGCCGGGCCTGAGCTGGATGAATTTTCAGAAGCCAGAGTCTCGTCGTATGACGATGTCAGTATCGCCAACTTTGTCGTCTTGGGCGGTGGCTTCTTCGTGGCACGCTCCAACTCCGCTGCAAAAGAAGCAGACACCTTGGTCTGTATTGAGCCAGTCGTGACCTGGAGGAAGATGCTCGAAGTCGACTGAGCAGTGATATCCTCAGCAATTGCTTGTTGAACAGCGGCTTCCTCTTTGGCTGCCTTGCTTCTGTTTGCTTGCACAGCAGATGTGGCTAGCCTTGAGAAGAAGCTTCTTATGCTAGGAACGTCGGAGGCAGCGCTATCGTTGGACGCATTCGTTGCAGCCACTGGTTTCCAGCCGATAGCCCCCATGAAGGAGGCATCGATCTGGGCGCTGGTGCGGTCCACCATCGCCAGTTTCATAAGGCCATCACGAGTCTTGGTCTCCAAGTCCCTCGGAATGGGCACGTTGACACTCGGAGCGGTCTTCTTCTGTAAGGACAAGACCTTGTAGTCGTCAATCCAGAATTCGATGTTCTGCAGAGCCACAAAAGTCAAGCTTGTCGCAAGAAACTGGCTAATGGACAGTAGATTCGGAATTGGTGTCGTCGTGTTACGGTAATCAAGGACAAAAGCAGTGTCCTTTGTACATTGCTCCGGCGGCAGGACCAACTTTCTTGTGAAGAGGGCGTTTCCTTTCCAGTAGAAGGCCATGGCTTCGTTACCAGAGCTGACAAATGGATCCTCGCAGTCGGCGAAGACGCTGTAGAAGCCTACTCCGAAAGCACCGATCTTGGTCTCGTCCGGGTTGCCCTCAGCAATGCGCTTCAACCTTCCCCAGTCTGTCTTGGCGAATGGCTGGCCGTTGTTCTTCACAACTAAGCGACGAAGTGTGTGGTGAGCCAATGTGTGCTTCAGCAGTTCCGATCGGTTTGGCGTGGCAGGTAGAGGCGTCGTGGTCGAGGGCAGGGTCTCATAAGTGATCGAGACAGTTGTGGCCTGGGCATCGGCGGCGTTCTGGATGAGCTCTCGCAATGTCGTCCATTCTCCCGAGTATCTTGCCAGCACCTTGTCAATCAGTGCTCTGGTATCTACAGTGACGGCTTCTTCATCTTCACCAGCCGTCAAGGCGGTTGCTCGCAGCTTGGAGTAGTCCATCACGGCTACCACAGGCTGCGCCTGTTCGGAAGCGGCGGGACCGAGTTGCTGCAGTGTTATTACGGTATGGGTGGTAATATAGTCGCGAGAATCGATATCGGTGTCTGGGACAGGTACTCGGGTCTCGAGTGTCGTGGGAGTCGAGTCCCTTGTGTCAGCTTTACAAAGGCAGCCGAGTCGCGGCGATCTGGTCGGAGTGAGGGGAACGGAACACGCAGTCGGTGGGGAGTGCAACGCTTAGGACGAGGTAGAAAGAGTGAGAATTATGGTAAACAAGTCTAGTTCTCAAGGAATGTCTTTAGTCTATGGAAGAGTGAGGTAACAGGAGAGGTGGCGTACAAGGCTGCCGCCGCCTTGCGTTTCGTCCGTAAGTACGTACGTGACCTGTCGCCGCCGCGTGCCTGCCCGGGCGGCCACCAGCGTCATGCAGGAGGTGCGCCTACCCACTACCCTGAACTAGGGGTCCGCCACCCACTAGCCCCTGGGCTGGGCACGCGGACAGCCTTGCCCGCCTGCAGGCTGTGCAGGTCCGCCTTGCGCCCCAGTCCGAGTCTATCGAGCCCCGCCCCCTGGATCAGGCCTATTGCAAGCAGTCGCCTGTGTCTGAGTGTTTGCTGATGATGACCAAGAAATTCGCATGTATCTTCATGAACAATGGGATGTGAATAATTTCTGCGCCGAAAAAAGGCAAGATTGAACGCCGATCCTGAATGACCAGTAAGCAGCAATCGAGAAACGCTCGCATGCATAACTATCCACCATACCAGTCTAAAGCACTATCCTTCGAATTCGTCTACCCATGACCATAGCAGTTTTCCGGCCAACCACTCGGGGAGCCCTATACAAACTCCTAACATTGACACAGCTATCCTCCTGCAGCTGTCTCGGTGTCGGAAATTTAGAGTGCTCATCGATCACTCCGCCTATGTCCAGGGCTGAGACTCCTCCGTCTGTCTGGAGACCTCTGGCGACGTTCATCTCTCCCTAACCGCCGATGTTCCCGGCTTCGACTTCTGCTCCGTGTGGTCCCGTGGTGCCTATGCCGTCTGCGATGATCACCGTCCCGGCTGCGACTCCGGCTCCTGTGCGATCTGCGGTCCCGGCGTGAGGACGGTTCACCATCGTTGTCTCGGTCTCTCCTCCGGTGCTCCCTGTATCCTTCCCTGCTGCGACTTCGGCTTCGGTGGCGATGCCTGTGACGATGCTCGCGGTCACGACCTTCCCTCTTCCTCTCATCTCTGCCGTCTGATCGTCGTCCACGAGCTCCTTCGCTCTTCTCCGGTTTTGTGACTCGGAGTCCACCCTCTGCGTCGTCTTGGTCGCCGGTGACCCTTGATCCAGAGACTTCAATAGCGTTTGCCCCTGACTGATTCCGTACCGGGGGCGGCAGTCCTAGTGCTGCTGCCATTGCATCCTCCTCGGCCTCCTTGATTTTCTGAATCTCCTCCCGACGTCTGCGAGCCTTGGCCTCTTCCTCAGTCTCGTTGGAGTTGGCATCATCTGCGTCCGCTTTGGCATACCAGCCGAGGTCTCGTCCTTGTTGCCATCGCCCAACAGGTGCTTTCAGTGAATGGCCGAGATAGTTCTCCCGGTGCGCTGAGTTGGCGACGTCGTCCCAGCTGAAGTTGACGCCGCCTCGGGAGCCTGATTTGCGGATGGTCGACACCAGATCCATTCTGATGAGTGCGACCAACGAAATGAGGGTTGTCTTATGAGGGTGAGTAATAGCGCAGGTTACAGTTCGTGTGTTTGGCTTGGAGTGACGGATGGATGAGATAAGAATCAACCTTGGAAGAGAGAAGAGTCTCAAAATTCTAGAAGGTTAGAAGTAAGTGTTGCAGCATGCCAGAGCTAAATGGACATCCACCATCCCACTAGCGACCTGCACGGGCTGGTGGGGCACAGCTGGGGTAACCCAGGCACCTTGGCCTGCACCTGCCCCCCCCCCCCGGCCCCTGTCGGGCGAGCTTCTTGGAGCTCCAGTTGAACCAAGCGTTCCCAACTTCATCCTCGAGCTCGCATTCAGCCTTTCCACACCTGCCGTGCCCACCACTTGCTATCAGAACTCGTCTGCGCTTTCGAGGCTATTACCACTGCCTTTGAAATCCCTGGTGAAGAGAGGAAGCCACCTTGCTCACATCCGATCGAAAGCATCCTCGGTGACCGCGGAGCAGAACCGACTTCTTGTGTCCCAATCTCGAGGAACGGGCGGCTTTCAAGATGGGCTCCGCGGCGAAGGAGTCCGCCATGGACGAGATCCAGTGGAGGAACCCAGCCTTCATCATGCAGAATGGTCCATTACATACGAATACCGTGCTGCACTACTTCGCGACATCCCCATTCTTCGACCCAACGTCCAACAACAATGTAATCCAGAACCAGGCCATGTACAATGCCAACCTCTTCCACGTACTCGCTACCCGAGAGGCCTTCGAGACTCGTTTGAGGAGTATGCAGGGACTCGAGTACATTGTTGCGGAACAGCCCGCCGAGACTGGCCCGGGCCAGGGAACAGGCGTATGGGTGATCCGCAAGCAGAACAGGCGGAAGAGGCCCGGGCAGGAGGATGAGTTGACGGTGCATAAGGACTATTTCCTGGTGGGAGAGAACCTATACGCTGCGCCGACGTTTGCGGACCTTATGAGCTCCAGAATGGTGGGTTGCAGCCTTCACCCGAGGTGTCCTCCAGACCACGGCATTAACGGACGTATTGTTTTATAGGCAACCGTTTCCACGGCAGTGGGGAAGATCCTGGAGAGTGCCAATAGCATACAGAAGTGGACACCTGCGAAGGGCCATGTCTACGCCAACCCTCAAGTTCCAAGAGCTTCGACCTTGGAGCCAAAAGAGGCAACGCCAATGCCCGAAGCCCCCGGTGCCAAACAAGGCCAACCGCCCGCAAAGACTTCGACAAGGGAGGAGGAGTTGGCGCGCCTGGCCGAGGAATCCTTCCGTATCCACATGAAGTACGGCGGCGACTACATGGATGAGATACCCATCACGGGAGCCCCAGGGAACTTCCATTTCGCATCAACCGGGCGCAACGATAAGCTTGCCGTGCCGAGTGCCCCTCCTGTGGCCCTGAAACCGCCCACACTGGCCCCCCTTAACACGAAGGCTGTCGAGGTCCTCTCTGCGAAGGAGACCAAGAAGACCAAGAGTCCAAGGCCAGGAGGCAGCGCCAAGTCAAAGGAGAGGAGGAAAAGCAAGGGAGGCTCAGGCATAGCTACTGGCACGCCTACCCCATCGTGATTCGGTTGGCTTGCCAGTTCCAGGAAGCTTTCATTTCCTGAAGGGAGTTGTAGGGAGAAGCATACCGAGGTAGGCTGCGTGGCGTTCTGTGTTAAAAGTTTGGTACGATACCCCCGCCTAGAAGCCACAGAGATGGCAGGTGAAATGAGAATGGCACTGGTTTTCCTTTTCGAATATTTCTTATGCCAGCACCACACGTTAATGTTTTCCAATCGAACGCTCGTGGGCAAATCAAATGCTCGGTTCTTGGAACAGACTTGGACGATTTTCGCCGTCACGGTTTTCGATGGATTTTCAACATCCCAGAGTACGTATAGTCACAGCAACATCAGGGGGCCAGGGGTAAGAAAACAAATTGGTGCTTATATGTATCAATTGGTTTCCTGTAACGGTTTTGCAGACATGACTACGCTTCATTTCAGGAGAGCGTGGAACACGGAAAGTGTTCTTCTGCCTTACTAATAACGATAATTCCCAGCAAACAGCAGCACACTCGAGGCGTCCAACTCCAATATCAAGTCTACCATCATTGCATCAAGGACTCTCCTACTTTCCCTGCCACTCCAAGCTTCCCAGGCAAGAGGATGTCCACCTATAAGCTTCCATCGTCACTGTCATCGTCATCATCACTGTCAGCGTAGGGCGGCGGGTATTTCATGTCCACGATCGCCGGGCCACTCGGGCTAACGTATTCGAAAGAGCGCAGCTCATACCTCGGCTTGACGTCTTCCCACTGGTGCAAGGCCGCAAGCTGCTGCATCCTCGTGACATCGGCATCGTCGGCACGACCGGCGGTAACACCCTCAGCTAAAGCGTCACCGGCGGCAGCCGCGTGGCTGCGGTTATACACAAAGGGCATCAGGGTCCCCGGCCTCGCCCAGGAGACGTCAAACGCGTCAAAGTACCCTCTCGGGCGTCCCCCCGGCGGGTTGCGGTAGGCCGCCACGCGCGCGGCCGCGGCCGGGTACAGCGTGTCGACCATCCACCTCGAGGTGGCGGGGACCCGGGCCAGGGGGTTGTCGAGCTCGCTGATCTCGGTCCCCGTGTCCATGAACTCCCACTCGAAGTTGGCCAGCAGGCCGACCAGCTCGTCCGAGTAGTTGGGCACCGAGGCGTCCCGGGCGTTGAGGTCTGCCATCCTGATGTTGTCGGGCCGCCGCGTCAGCCAGTCCGCGGTGCCGACGCCGCCCTCGTCGTAGGGGAGGTGGGCCTGGCACAGCCGGCGGAGGGTGTTGCCCGCGCCGTACGTGTCCTCCCACAGCCGCAGCTCGTTGTTGTCCGGGGTGTCGCCCCCGCACACGTTCAGGGGGAGCATCGTCGGGTCGTCCCCGTCAACCCCCGAGTTTCCGAAGTCGCCCACGACGATCTGGGGCAGCGCGAAGGTCTCCGAACCTGCGGCTGGGGGGCGACCAGGTCCGCGCGGCGGGTAGTTGATAAAAATGTTATTGGGGAACTGAGAGTTTGTTGTCAGACCTGTGGGCGGACACAAGCTGCAGGTACTATCACACAACATCACTCATTGACTTACCAGATCACGATGATATATTGTATTCCAGTTCGCTGGCGCCTGCTGTCCAGGTACATCAGGTTGCTCTCCAAAGTGTAACCATGCGATCACTAGACAAAGCTGCTCTGCTACAAGCCTGTGGAACAGCCGTTAACAAACGTCTATACTGTCGTGGTTGAGTTAGCGAAGATTAGGGGCATTACCATATAAAGTGCTCAGAAACGGCCTGGTTCCTAACATTGTGCGTTTCTATAAAATGACCCAAGTCTCCGCCATTGCAATATCTTTAAGACGATTAGTTGGGGCAAGATACAAAAAAAAAAAAAAAAAGGCGGCCCTGTAGCCAGAATATCTCACTCAAAGTACAGCGAATACGCTGGGTCATTATCGCTATCGTCAGGTGGAGTATAGTACTGCCAGAACTCCAGGGAGTTGAAGAACGGAAACGACGAGTCTAGCACGCCCACCGGGACGGCATTGGGGAACTGGCCGTTGGGAATATGGTCCTGCCACGTCGACACGCGGAGCTCCAGCGGCTCTGGGTACTCTGGCAGGGCTGGGTCGTCGTGCTTCGGCCGCACGAACTTGTGCACGAAGAGCTCGCCCGTCTGGATGGACTGTACGACCTGCACTTGCGACCTCCCGGGGAGCAGTGCGACTAGGAGAAACCCTTTGCTTGCGATGTGTGAGCTGTTGACTATCCTAGGCCACTCTTGGGACACACGAGCCGGATCGTCGGTGCGGGTCTGCGGTGGGAGGAGGACGCCGACGTGCTTGAGGCGTCTTGACCGGGCGGATGACATGGCTGGCGGCCCAACCACATATGATTGCAGAGCTACACGAGCCCGTAGGTATTTTGATTATTGCACACGCATCTCCTATCGAGATGTCCGAGTCCGGAGAGCATGTCAGTATATGTAAGACATAATCCTCCTTTGTCTGTGTCCGTCGTGCTGTTGACCAAGTGCTTCGTTCGTGAGCCGACCCTTTGTCTATACATCCTGACCCCTAAACGGCTTTTCTGTACTCGACACTTATCCCAATTGCTAGAATACAAAGAATTCCGGCGCTATGCCAACCAACCCTTGCCTACTCCACGACCCAGTTGCCCGCAACCCTGCGCTGCGTGACCTTCTTCGCAGGAAGAGGCCACCCCAGGCCGCCCTTGCCCTCCGCATTCAGCGAGGGCACGACCCACACCTCCCGCAGCTTCCCGCCCTCCGTGTTCTCCAGCTTGACCTCCTTGATCGGCTTCCCGTACGAGATCAGCGGCGTGCCCTTGGCCAGCGACGCGAGCTGCCTGCCCGTCACCTCGGTCAGGGTGTGCATCCTCGTGCGGCCGCCGGACGCCTTCTGCAGGTGCGAGTAGATGACGTAGTCCGGGCACTCGTCCGGGCTGAGGTGCGCCATCGGGGACGACGGGTGCAGGTAGACGGCCCTCTCGCCGGGCTCGGCGGCGGCCGGCACCGCCAGCGGCGTCAGGGGCAGGTACGCCACGTCGATGGCCCGCCTGGGCTTCCGCCCCATGTCCAGCGGCGTGGGCGCCTTGTCGTTCCTGATGGCGACCTGGTCGATGAAGCCGGCGGCGACCATCTGCTTCAGGGCGGTGATCTGCTTCGCGGACGGCGCGGGGAGCTTGGCCTGGAACGAGAGGCCCGCGAACGTCGCGATGTTGGTCCGCAGGAGCTCCGTGATCTGCTGCCGGAGCTGGAGTATCTCCTTCAGCGTCTTGTACCGGACGAAGTGCGCCTCGCACCACGCCTCGGTGGGCTCGTGCGCGAACTCCCCCACGACTTGCAGCAGCTTGATGGCATCTGCCTTGTCGTCGAGGAAGCAGAAGTTCTTGTGCACGGCGTTGAACGCGCGCCGGGCATTGGCTTGTCGGGTCTCCGCGAGCACGTCCGCGTTTGTGCGGATGCTGTCCTCGCCGTCCTCCTTGTTGGCGAGTTGTGGGATTGCGTGTGATTCTTGCAGGAATATTTCTGCAGCCGAGAGGCCGGCGACCAGGGCAATGGTGTAATGAATGCAGTCGAATTGGTGGCCGACTAAGAGGATGCGAGAGAAACGGGGCGACAGCGGGAAAATCGACATGGTTCTTCCGATCTGGGTCACCTGCCCGCTGCTGTTGATGGCGGACAGATAATGCAATAGCCTCTCTGCCTGGCGGAGGCTTTGCTTGTCCGGGGGCGTTGGGAACGGGAAGTTGATGACATTCTGTAGGTTCATGGCTTTGAGCTGGAGAACCACACCCTCAATGGGCATTCGCAACAGTTCTGGTTCGGCGAATTCTTGGAAGTCCCTCTCGTACACCGCAGAGGAGTATAACCTGTAGCAGTGGCCAGGCCCTGTACGACCTGCACGTCCAGATCTCTGGCTAGCGCTGGCCTTGCTAATCCAACCAACCTCAAAGCTTTGGACACCAGTCAGGTGATCGTACTTTCTCTCCTTCGATCGCCCGCAATCGAAGACATATCGTATGCCTGGGATGGTCAAACTGGTCTCGGCGACGTTGGTGGCCAAGATGACCAGGCGGGAGCCATCTGGCGGCGGCTCAAAAACGCGCATTTGCTCTTTTGTAGGCAGGAGTGAGTAAAGAGGCAAGACATGCATGCGCTTCGGGCCAGATCCCGTTTCGCCCTCTTCCTCAGGGATCTCAAACTCGGCCTCGTCGTCTTCTTCCTCGTCGCCAGAGACCAGGCCATCGTCGTAGTCCTCAACCTCGCGGTCGTCATCAACCCCGAAGTCTATGTCCTCCGCCTCGATCGATGCCACATTTGCTGGCAATCTTACTTTCGGCCCGGTTGCCGAGTCCATACCAGTAAAAGTTTTCTTCAGTTTCTTCATGAGTTCTGTGATCTCATTTTGACCAGTCATGAACACAAGGATGCCACCGGGCGGAAGCTTCCTGTGGCCTCTGCTTATCTTTTTGAAAGCCTCTTCAACGTAGTCGTGCTGAGTCCTCCGGGAGAAATGAACGGTGACGGGGTACTGCCTGCCTTCCACCTCCAACACAGGAGGAGGGGTTTTGAACAAGGTTGGATTCTGGGTCATATCTTCTATGCGCAGTGTAGCGGACATAATGACCAGTTTCAACGGCTTGATAGTGGGGTCCTCCTGGGAAAGCTCCTTGCGCAGCTTAACCACCCTGCTGAGCATACCCACGAGGATATCAGTGTTGACGCTTCGCTCGTGAGCCTCATCCACGATGATGGCGGAGTATTTCTTGAGTGAAATATCCTGAGCCACTTCTCGGAGTAACACACCATCGGTCATGAATTTGACAGCCGTATTTGGGTCCACCGTGCCTTCGAAACGGATCTGGTATGCCACCTTATCGCAGTGGTCCCCAAGCTCCTGACCCACACGTTTTGACATACTGACAGCTGCAACCCTCCTGGGCTGTGTGACACCGATCAAGCCAGGAGTCGGGCCGTCGCGAGATCCGTATCCCGCTTCGAAGAGAAATTGAGGGACCTGAGTGGTCTTTCCGGATCCTGTTGAACCGCACAGGACGACGATGTCATTGTCGTGAATTGCCTCCATGATCCGCTGCTCCTCGCCAACCACAGGAAGCTTTAGCCGAGCCTCCTGGATGTCAGGAGAGCGTGATACCGTAACGCTGTAGGCCTTTCGGTCCACATTCTTTGTTGGCAGCAGCTCGCGGGGCAATGGGTCTTCCTCGAGCGGGCGGGGAGTGAAATTGGCGGGTTTTGGCATGTCAAGTACTTGGGCCACAGGTGTGTACCCCATGGCCTCATTCCGCTGTTGGTGAGCCCACTGCTTGAAAGCGGAGGAGCGTTGCTTCCGTTTGGATTGCTGCTCCTCTTCATCTTCTTCTGAATCGTCTGAATCATCGTTGGACCCTTCATCGCTGCTGTCTTCGCTGCCACCCTCAGATTCCGACCCTTCTGATCCGGATTTCGATTCTTCATCGGAAGCCTCTTGCTCTGATTCATCACTGCCACTGCCACTGCCACTGCCACTGGCTGACTCTCCTGCCCCATCGTCGGAGCTGAATCCGTTCCAAGCATCGTCATCGTCCTCGGACTCCTCTTCGACCGGTTCTGGTTCAACAGGCTGGGGAATGGCTACTTTGGACTTGACGCCACCCCTCTTTTGCCGCTTCGCCAGCTTGGGGCGTCCATCTTCACCAAGGTCCAGCGGTCGCTTGAGGCCGGAACCCACGCCACTCGTAGGAGGCACAGGCGCAGGTGCAGCCGCAGGCGATGCTGTCTGTGGCGGCGGTGGTGGGTTGGGTGCCGCGGTCCTCACTGGAGGCTCATCCTGGGCTGCATCACTCTCATCGTCGCTCTCCTCTGCCGCAGCCCGGCGTGCCTGATACAGTAGCTTCTCGTTGGCGTCCTTGTTGATCCCGGCCTGGCTCTCCCTCAGGGCTCTTGCCAGGGCCTCGCGGGTGGTCTCGCGATTGTGGCCGAGTGAGCGACTGCTCGCGAAAAGGCTGGTGTCTACCTTTGTCTCAGCGAGCTTGGCGAGGAGTTCTCTGTTTTCGTCCTTCTTGAGCTTGTTCTCGATGTACTTGTCGAGACGCTTTGACTTTTTGCCGCTGACTTTGACGCCCTGGTTTTTCAGCTCCTCGCGCATGCGGGCCTTGCGCTCCTTCTTCTCCTGGATGTGCTCAGGAAGAATCTCCTCGGCATTTGCTGTGTCGTCGCTTTTGCTATCTCGGTTCTGGTTGCGAGCAAGATTCCGGTCTCGCTGTTTCCTTGGTTTCGATACGTGCTTTTTTGCCGCCATTTTGTCCCAATGTTGCGGTGTTTTTGAGATATCTTCAGAAATCTCGGCCGGTTGACTGCTTCGCAGTGTCTCTCTCACATGAGAAGGCGATGAAATCTTAGACTCCAGAAAGTTTTTTGTGGGTCTACACTACTAGCGCGGCTAGTGGAGTCAGGGTGTGTGCCGCTGAACTTACAGTGCGGCCGCCCACTAAGTACCTAGGTACCTATACCCGGGCACCAGGTACGGATAGATAGCCTTCCACTGGAGAGCTTCACCTGTGTGGTGGCCGGCAGAGCGGTTCAGCACTCATGTGGAGCACTGGGCCCTTAAAGCGAGACCCAGGAGTGCGGGCGGGCCGACATTTAGCGGGGTTGGGCTCGGGCTGCCAACCCCGGCTCAAGCTTCCTTCCAGGCTCAGTATTTGGTCGCAGCCTAGTACTTCAGTCCTCTGTCACTGTTGACTACTAAGTAAACAACATCCCGTCACTTATCCTGGGCAGTACCTTCGCTCCACAAAGACGCAATTCCAAGATGGCGTCGACTACAAGCTCTGACGTCCGGGAGGAGCCTTTTCCAGCGCCCTCGAAACTGGCAAACGGGACAGTCAACGGCGTGCCAACTCAGGTCTCGTGCACCAATTTCGCCGACAAGATCCTGCTCACCATCTCGCAAGAGGGCCGCCTGTCGCAATGGGTAGGTTGTTACCCCAGCCATCGATCACATGGAATTCAAGTACTGATGATAAATTCTCAGGTCCAAGTACCGCTTGCCGCCCCGTCTCCGGCCCTCGTTGACATGGCCATGCCAAGGGCCGAGCTGTCGGCGCTTCCCTCTCTTCACCTGACCCCCAAGACTCTTCTTGGTGGCGGGGGACAGGACAGGGAGACTATGGGCCAGCTGTACGCCGCTCAGATCGCCAGCCACCTGGCTCTAAGGAACCCTGATGACCGAAGGACGCTCTTGGTGGGCCTGGGCATCACCAAGTTTGACGACCAGAGCCGTGAGGCCTTCTTCGATCTCCTTGAGTTGGTCACCCAAGCCCTGTGATCGCGGAGAACTTGGGTCGAATGAGGCCCCAGCGAGAAAATGGAAAGGAGAAGACGACGGTCGTTCCCAGCACGCAATGTTGACTGCCGAATGCCACCAAATGCATCATGGGCTTGCCTCACGGCTGAAGCATTGTGGTTGCCTCACCGTCTCTAAACATCGCGCATTGGAATCACTGTGGCCACTATATGACTTATACAAGGGTCATCGACTCTGCCACCTTTTTCGGCACCAAACAAGCAGTAAGGCTTAGCCATCAAACCACACCGGACGCCTTCACGTCTCACACCCACCGCAGCGGTTGGAACCCCGAGAACATTTGGGGAAATTGTGGTCGGGCCGAGCTGAACTTTTTAACACGCCGTGAAAGTGGTTGAAATAGATGTAGGCAACCATTGGTGATGGTCATCAAGGTGTATGACACGGCTCGTGGCTGCAACCATGTTCATCCTGAACAATGTCGAGGACCTCGCCCGGTTGCCAGAAAGCTCGGGTATCTGAGAACGTGCCGTTCCTCGCCGCGCCGAAGGGTGACGAGTGCCATTGAGGTTGTAAGAAAGAATTAGACAGATAATATTGACCCATGTGACCACTAAGGGACAACCGAAGGGGAGAGTGGCCTGATGAGAACCGACAGTTCTAAGTGCAGCAATTTCGACGCCAGGGCATTCGTTGTTTGAAAAGCCAATTTGCGACTTGAAATGGGGAGATGATACCTTGGAACGTGCTGGACTCTTATGATGCCTTTTTACTATCCGTGAGTACCTAGGTAGTAACAAAACCTACCGAACCAGAGGCCATCCTGTGTATCACGATATATGCATGCTATTCTGAAGTCCTCTACAATGCTACAGTATGGCCGAAAGTACATCAGTCTGTTCATGTACTCCGCATTGACGAAGAACTACTGGGGAAGTACTGAGCCACAAACGAGCGTCTAAGTATACGTTCTGAATCTGGATGCTGCGTGTTGTGTAGTATTATTTTTTCCTTGGGGGAGGGGGCGGGCGGCTAGGGTGGGCCGTAGGCCTTCTGAACCACAGTGAATCCGGAGCTGGTCTCGGTGACCGACCTACTAGTCTAGTGAGGCCAGAGTTTGCGTGAAAACTACATAAGGGGGCAACAAAAGCGTATTATAAGTGCGTCACTACTCGACCAACACCCAGTCACTTCGAATTCTCATGAGCAGGGGATTCAACAGCCTGAGATGCCACCACGCCCGCCCCGGCCTCTATCAGGCCTGACCAGCCGGCATTTCATGCTCCCGGCGCAGAGGTTCTACAGCGCGGGCGCGAGGGCGCCAGCCTTCCCGACGGTGCCGGCCTGCCCGGCGCCGACATGCGAGTGCGCCGCGACGCCCGCGATGCCGGCAGGGCTCGAGATCGACCACAAGGGCAAGCTGAACGGCCTCATCTCAAGCTACAGCGAGCAGGTGCTCGTGTGCACGGGCGAGGACGACTGGCCGTCGCGCATCGAGGAGGACAGCAGCGGCGACAACCTGGCCGCGGACCTCAAGGAGCTCTTTGGCCGCGGGGGTGTCTACAGTGACGTGAGTCGGACCGCCCCTGTGGGCTGTGCGATCGCTGGCTAACGGTAAGTCTCCTTGTCGTTGCGCCTCGCAGCCCTTCCACAACATCTCCGTCCTCAACTCGTCCTTCGCGTCGTCTGCGCCCAGGAGGGCCGAGCTCGTCACGACGTCGGTCTACCTGCTGCCCAGCTTCAAGTACGTGCCCTTCCTGCCGAGGGTGTCCTTCGACAGCGTCGAGGCGCTTGCCAAGGGCTTCCTGCTGCCGGAGAAGCTGCACTCTGCGCACGATGGCTTGTCGCCGATACATCGCGACCGCCTGACGCGCAAGCCCATGTATGGCCAGCTGCTCCACGGTGTCAGGGACGTCGAGGACATCCTGGTCCTCATCTGTGGCCACGGCGGGAGGGACATGAGGTGTGGGGTGATGGGCCCCGTGCTCAGGAGTGAGTTTGAGACCCAGCTGGCGAGGCAGGGCGTCGACGTGCTGCGCGGACCTGTTGAAATCGACGGCCCGGGTGAAGCTGCGGCCATCACGGGAGCTGTTGGAACTCCGGCCCCGGCGGCACGGGTCGGCCTGATATCTCATATTGGCGGTCACAAGTTTGCTGGGAACATCATCGTCTACCTGCCGCCGTCCATGAAGACGGCCAGCGGGGAGAAGCACCCGCTTGCCGGACATGGCATATGGTACGGTCGGGTTGAACCACAGCACGTCGAGGGCATCATCGCGGAAACAATTGGCCAAGGCCGAGTCATTGAGAATATGTTCCGAGGCGGGATCAAACAAGACCGAACCATCTTGAGATTATAGACTTAGAAGAAATAATACGGAACGCCGTGACTTGGAGTGCTGCCGTGGCCGTAAAATACGCAACGTAACTTTCAATCCTTGAATCTTTTCCGAGACCTCATGAATACAGAGCGCCTTCAACTCGCGACAAGCACAGGAGTGATGGCTCTCGGACGAACCAAACAAAAGAATTCCGATCTAATACTCACCGATTTGACCTCCTGACTGCAGTACAGAGTCTGCTGCACGGCACGTGATTGTTGCCCAAAACTTCACCCTTGAGCCTTCAGGTGTCCGCCATCTCGTCGTCATCAACATCAACCCCTAATACATTCATCTTCTTGCCGATCTGATGTTGTTGCGGTTTCACTATTGCAATCCAGCATGACAAGCCGGGCTCTAACGAGGCCGGCAATGAGATTCCGGCCCAATGCCCTCGCAGACGCCGTCCCATCACCAACACCGCTCACATGCATGCGGCTACAACCACGCGGTGCGGGCATGAGACCAGGGGCCTGCCATTTATCAACAAACAGCAGAGCATCCACACAACGACACAGGCCTGAACCCCTCGGGGCCCCTCGCTGCTCGGCCCGCCGGCCAGACGGGACCGCACGGAGCTTCGCAAACACAGCAACCAGGCGCACCACACCCAAGGGAAGTGGACAAGGCAGCAGCAGGACGAGACGCAGCCGTCAACTGGCCACCCTGACACTCATCGCCCTGGGCGCGGTGCTCTTCAGCGCCGCCACGGACATCGGCAACCCCTTCGCCAACAACACACCCAAGGGCGTCCTGAACAGCGAGAGCTTCGTCCCCTTCACCGTCACCTCGAGGGAGCAGACCTCGCCCACGACCTTCATCCTGACCGTCTCGGCGCCGGCGCAGCACCAGCCGGCCAACGCCGCCCTGGTCCGCGCCGCCTGGGCCCACGGCCTGTGGTCCGTCGAGATCAAGCAGCCGCAGCTGCAGATCGCCCGCAGCTACACGCCCCTGCCGCCGCCCGTGGCCCCCGGGGAGGGGGAGGAAGACGACGGCGGCCACCACCACCGCCAACTGCGCTTCCTCGTCCGCAGGTACGACGGCGGCGAGATGTCCACGTACCTGTCCCGCCTGCAGCCGGGCGACGACGTCTACCTGCGCGGCCCGCACCTCGGCTTCGACGTGGCCGCCCGGCTGGGCGGCAAGGGCGGGCGCGTCGTGTTCCTCGCGGGCGGCACGGGCGTCGCCCCCGCGCTGCAGGTGGCGCGGCACCTGCTGCAGCAGCGGCGCGGCGAGCAAGACGAGGGGAAGTTGTCCATGGAGATCATCTGGGCGAGCCGGTCGCGCGCCGACTGCGCGGGCTGCCCGCGGCTCCTCCCGCCGGGGAGGGACAGCGGCCGGGGGTTCTGGGGCCGGCTTGGGCTGGCCGGCGGGCCTGCGCCGCCCACCACCACCACCGCCGGGGCCGAGGACGCCGGCGGGGGGCCCGAGCATCCCGTCGTGCGGGAGCTGCGGGGGCTCCAGGGCGCGTTCAGGAGCGCGGGCCACGAGCTGGAGCTGCGGTGCGTCGCGGACGACGAGGCCGGCGTGGTCGGCGCCGCGGACGTGGCGAGGGCGGTCGAGGGCCGGCCGCACAGGACCCCGTCGCCACGGGCTGTGGGCGCGGAGCCGGCGTCGTCGTCGTGCTATTACCACTCGCAGCAGCTACTCCAGCACAGCACGCACGAGTCTGACGTCCGGCCGGGCGGCCAGCGCGGGGCTGGCGAGCCGGCGAGGGGGTGTACGTGTGATGATGGCAGAGGCGTGAGCGGGAAGAACCTGCTCATGATCTCCGGCCCGGACGGGTTCATCAGCGCGTACGTGGGACCCAAGGTCTGGGCGGATGGGGCCGAACGGCAGGGTCCCGTGGGAGGGCTCGTCCGCAAGCTCATGCAGAAGAACCCGGGGGCCTGGGGGGACTGGCTCGTGCTTAAGCAATGAGGGAGGCTGATGATGGGTCTGGTTGGGTCGGGACTGAGGCAGAGGTGGACGGCTTGGTGGCAAGCAGTTATAGCATACTAGTCACGGCCTATATTTTGTGGCATGGAACAGATAGACTTCACCAGCAGTCTCATTCTGGAGATAGAGTTATATGGCAAGACAGTCGAGATGGTCGTTCTAGAAACACCACTGCTGGGAACCCAACGCCAAAGCTATGCGTGCAGCAACGGACTGGAAACAAAAGAGAAGCACAGCAAAAACGCATTCACATTCACAAGCCTGCAAACCAGGCCAGTTGGATCAAATTCCTTGTACCTTTCGGTACGAAGGCGGCTTCATGGTCCTCCTGATAAGCTTGCCGGCGTATGGTGGGATGAGCGAGATCGCACCGATCGCAAGGACTCGCCAGTAGAAACCCCTAGGGATATGGTCAGACAGTGCCGTGGGGGAGAAATCCTATCTATTGAAGGGGTTAGAAGTTACTCACAAGGTTAAGAGGAAGGCCAGATCAAAGTAGCCGCCAAGGAATGGAATGGACCCGATGAACATCAGGAATGTCCCGATGATGCATAAGATCATAACTGGGTGCCACGTCGTGATTTCAATTGCAACCATGAGCAGCTCGTTGAGCACGAGCACCGTATAGCTCACCGCGACCATCCTAGGCCCATCGACCTCGGTCAACAACTGAGAAAGGCCTTGGATCATGCTTCCCTGGTATATCGAGACGAACACCCAGACGAAGAATGTCCTGTAGGAAAGGGACCGACCTGAGGTCAATTCCTTGTACAGTTCCGGGTAGAGGTTGGCCAACTCCTCATCGACATCCTTGTCCAGGACGAGGGACAAGACCGGCATGGCGGTGTAGACGGTTGCATATCCGACCAGGAGCCAGTCCTTGTACAGGCCTTCGGGCTCGAACTTGATAGCGATGCTGTACATGGTCTGGCAAACGGCTATGATAAGGCCACGGTGGATGACGAACTGCGCGAGCTTGGCGCTTCTCTTGTAGCTGTTTCGACCGTGCCACACGAGCAGTTTGGTCAGGTGGTAGAATTGCTCAATCGAAAAGTCCGCAGCAAGACTGGCCTGGCGACCCTCCTTGCCCACAATACCCACGCCGACATCTGCGGCCTGGATCATACTCACATCGTTGCCACCATCGCCGATACAACACACGCGCTTCTTGGTGAACTCCTTAATCAGCTTTGCAACCTCGGCTTTCTGTGTGGGGGAGCATCGACACGCGACAACGGTAGGCAGCTTGACGGCTGCCGAGATGAAATCTGTGCGGAAGTGCGTGAGGAAGAGGGCGAGACTCTCGCCGTCAATGAGGAGGCATGAGTCTACCTTGCTCCGGAGAAAGTCGAGGTGGTCCTGAGCGTGGTCCTTGCGCTTCATCTTAGCAACGGTGTAGATGTACTGGCCGCGTGCGACGAGCTTGGAGCTCACGGCGACGCAGCGGGCTGTCTCCACCTTGTCGCCTGTCAACATCCAGATCTTGATGCCCGCGTTCCTGAGAAGCTCAAGAGACGGCTTGACATCCCTTTGCAGCTTGTCCTCCACGCCTGTGACACCAAGCAGTTCCAGATCGCGCTCCAGATACTGCGAAACCACTTTCTGCATGCCGGTATCACGCCCACTGATGGCGAGCGATGCTTCCTGGTATTTGGACTGGAATTCGTGATATTCGGCAGGTGAGAGGCGTTTCCGACCCACTACCAGTGTCCGCAGGCCTTCTCGGGCCATGTTGGCGGTCTCCTCATCAAGCCAGTCATTTGCAGCTACAATCGAACTCATGACCGTGTCTGCACCCTTCTGGTAGAACCAAATCTCACCATTGTTGAGATTTGGGACACTACCCAGTCGCTCGAAAAATTGAACGACAATCCCCATCCTTTTGCCGTCGGACGTGAAGGGAAACACATCTAGGATGCGCACCTTGACAATTGGCCGGCCAGTCTCTGGAGACGCGAGCACCATGCTTTTGCGATCCCGGTACGAAAGCCGCAATCCAACGGCCTCTGTCCACTTCACGATGGCAATCTCGTCGGGAGACGAAGCCTGATATGCAGTGACCATCTTGCCATCCTCCTCATCCGTTGTAGGGGTAACATTGTGACACAATGCCAGTGCCAGCACAACGTCACGTACTCTTGTACCAATCTCACGTCGAGTGCGTGTGGCTCCAGCATTGGATGTTGCTGTGAATGTCGACGATGGTGTGATGAGTGTGCTGTTTGCAGCTGGATCCGTGGACAGGGGGACTTGGAATCCCTGGCTCACATATGCTGAAACCTCGTCCATCGCCTCGTTGGCGTAAGATACAGTTCCCACGTGAATCTTCTTCATCTCCATCTCATTCTGAGTCAGAGTGCCCGTCTTGTCGCTCAGCAAATACTCAATTCGACCAAGATCTTCTGGTATCGTGCTGGTTCGAACAACGGCGCCCGGTATATCGGGGTCTCGTTGGATGAACCAAGAGTACACACTTTTGCCCATGTCAAGGTTGACTCGAAGACTGATGGGCACGATTGTCGAGAACAGGACCAGAAAGCGCATGATCTTAACATACCAGACATTTCCAGGCACGTTCTCGAAGCCTTCCAGGGCGACGAGGATAATCGAGATGCCGAGAGTCAAGGCGCAAAGAATCTTGGTCAGTGAATTGATCTCATACTCCAGGAGCCCTGTTTTGGACCTGGAAGGCGCCGTGGAGAGAGCAGATCGGGTTTGGGGCCCGGTGTAGATGATCACGGCCAAGGTAGTTGCGTGAGACGCGATGACCGTGTTTGCCCAGGCAGTGTTGTCTATGGACAAAGGTGCCGTGCCAGACAGGCTTTCATCAGTCTGGGCGCTGGTAGTATTGCCCATGGCTTCTTGTCTCGACGGCAGAAGCTCGAGAGTGCCAACAAAGTCGTTAACCTTCTTGTCCGGCTTACCACCGGTAACCCGGAGACGAACCAATTCCTCAATGGCCAGGTTCTGCGACAGAGGCGACGCGACGCGAAGCTTCCAGTCGGTCTCGCCATCCAGTTGGTCCGTCCTGATGAACGTCTCCCCGCCAGGCCCCGAGCTCTGCTCAGGCTCAGTGCTCGCAGGCGGACCAGCACTGCTTTCCCCCGACTCGTCGATACTGCCCAGAAGATCCGGCTCGGCCTTCTGGGGCACTTCAGAGTCGCTTCCTGCGTTCGCATCGCCGGACAAACACTTCAGGATGATCACATCGGCGGGAACTCTTTGACCTTTCTCCAACTTCAAGACGTCACCAACCTTCAGGTCGCGAGACTTTTTGCTAATGTCTCGAACTTGTGAAGAAGGTTCCCTGCGCATGCCAGAGCCTTCAGCTTGCTCCTCTTCTTCCTGGATGTCAGAGAGTCTATCCCTCTCCGGAAGCTTTCCCTTGCGCCCCTTTCGTGCGGAAGTGGACTTCAGCGTTCTTCTTGGGCGAGTAGACGAAGCATATTGACCTGGTTCGTCAAACGCCAGGACAGCGTAAGGTTCTGAGTTGGCCTCATTATCCCTCCGCCTCCGTTCTATGTCATCATATGCCTCTTTTCCCATCGTGATCACCAGGACAAAGGCTAGGGGCGCGACGTAGGTAGAGAGGTAGCCGATCCTCAAGGCAGGTATCGCTTGTGAGAGGGCAACGAGGAGGAAGTACATGTTGAAAAAGAATGAGAATTCGTTATATAGCGTAATAGGAAGGAACGTGAAGGCGGTGTACTTTGCGTTGGACACAAGGTTTGGCGGGAAACGAGTGGACTGGGCAGAGCCGACGGCGACGAGCCTGGACGCCGAGGGGTCGTCTTCATCCTGGTCCTGCTCTTCCTCCTCCTGACGCTGCGACCCGGTGGAGGACATGAAGCTGGGCAGGCGCAGGCCACCGGACGAGCTGGGCCGCCGCTTTTGGCCATCCTTAGGGCGGCGTGAACGGTCGTCGTGGTCTCGCAAGAAGGGGGCGTCCTCGCCGGAGTTCTCGCGACTAGACTGGCCATCTCCGTCTCCGTCGGCGTCACCTAGCAGGGCCGCAGCATCGTCGAGCCCAGCATCCCTACCCCCACCAGCGCCAGGATAGCCTCTGGACGACTTTCCCTTGCGGCGCAGACTCCCCATACGGAGGTTGCGCAGAGCTATCCTGGGGGCCCTCTGTTCAGCAGCTTCTCGATCGTGTCCTAAAAGCCCAGACTTGTTGCCGGGCGCATCGGCGGGAAGGGGGTCAAGCTCTTGGAGGTCGAGGTCAAGGTCGGAGTCGGAGTCATCGGCGGGCGAATCTGGAGGCTCTGTAGGGTGATATGGAGTTGAGGGAGGCATCCCGCAGGCAGGCGAGTCGAGTAAGCCCACTTGCCTCTGGGGGGGGGACCTAATATTATGGGAGGGAGCAGAGATGATTTATCCTGCGGCGTGGGCCGGGTGAAGTGGCAGCCCTCCTAGCTCTCATGTGGTGGTGCCGGGACTGGAGCTAGATGTTGTCATTCTCCAAGTCCACTTGCGCTTGCAGGGTCGCTGATCTGAGGCGGATCTGGCGCGTGCTGCGCTGTGACTGCGGTGTGCTGGTTGAATGTGGGTATGGGATCCTCTTGACTGGGTTTCGCTGGCTCAGCAGCGAGGCTCGACGGGGACAAAAACGGGGTATCAAACAAAGAGGACAGTCGGTCCAGGCCCAGGGAGAAATTTATTCGGTAAAAGACAGATATCTGGCGGATGGAATCCAGATCTACAGATCTATGGTGTGCATGTGGTCGGCTAGTCGGAGACTGTCACAATAACTCGACGGACCAAAAGGACAGACAGCTGGCTTGGGCATTGCGGGACGTCACTGCCAGACTGCCTGCAACAACGCCACGGCCACGGGTCACCTAGTACAAACGCACTACCCGGGTACAAGGTTCCTCGACCATATGCACCTCCAGGGGTCTTGCTTAGCACTAAAGACAGCAGGATAGCTGCTCCGAGGGAAGAGGCGAGACTGGCAGGCAGGCTGGCAGGCAGGCAAAAGTCCAGGCCAGCTTTCAAGTCTAACGGGGTTCGAGACGACACCGTGCAGCGCAATACTAGTAGATGCCAGCAACAGCACAGCAACCCTTGTCTATCCCGTTCTGCTTCATCTTCCGCAACCCAATCCTCGCCGCCTGCCTGTCTGCATCACCTCACCACTCGAGGCTCCCTCCTGTGTCCTGACTGCGGGCTCTGTCGTCCCTTCATCCCTTCCAGGCCGCCTTTCACGAGACACGAACCCAATAGACTTGGCCGCGGCCTCGGCAGCTTTCCACACAAGATGAAGCACTGCCTCTAGGGATCGCATACTTGCAGCGTATTTGAATTTACTGTATTATACAAGTGAGGTCCACCACCTGTTCTGTTCCATATCTACCTGTCTCCCACCCAGGAAGCGCATCAGTCACACCACGAACGGCCTGGGTGCGCGTCGTGCCTCGGGACTGACGCGGCCGTCTTTCGTGATCGAATACGTCGCCAACTCGACCTGCATGCTGACTACAACGGGCCTTCCCAGCTCCATATACAGCCTGTCTGCGGACATCACGTCTCGCCTCTTTTAGTTCTTGGTTTCGCAACTAGCTCAATAGCCAGCCACCATGTCGTCCGACGCCCCGACGGCCGCCTGGCATCCCGCCTTGATGCCGAACTTCTCCCCGGATGTTGCGGCCGACACCACATCATCCGAGTCGGACAAACCTTACGACCCGCCCTCCGAAGCTGCCCCCAGTGCGCAGCCCGAAGCTCCCGCCGCCCCAGAACCTATCATTGACCTCTCTCGTACTCGGGAGAGCTCGGTCGCTGATGAGTGGTTCCCAAATTACGAGGCTGGCAGCCCGCGGAAACAAGATCCGGAGCCCCAACCCGTGGTGCCAGTAAAACTTGAGCAGCCGGAGCTTGGATCAGAGCTCCAGGCTGAAGACGCGCCGTTGCAGGAGCAGGAAACTCTGGCGCATCACGAAGAACAGGCGCCGGCCGATGTGGTCGAAACGACGGAACTCGATGGGGCTGCTGAAACTCCGGCCGAACCCGTTCAGGACCAGCAGGACTCGAATTCGTCGGCGCCCAAGCATGTGAGCAGCGATTCATTCGCGCGCACCGTCTCACACCAACCGAACTGGATGAGCGATGAAGAAGAACCCGAATGGGGATTGCCTAGGGTCGAGACGGACCTCTTCAACAGGTATATGCCGCCGAATGAAAGGACCAATTCTTTTCCTGTGGTACCACAGTCTGGGCACCATGAAAATGAGGTTGTTGAACCGCTCCCCTCAAATCAAGCAGAGGATGTGCTTCATGAAATAGAGCACGAATCCGAGTCTCACGAGCATGAGCACGAGCACGAGCAAGACGAGAGCATCATGCCGCAAGCAAACAACGCGCTGCAGCAGGATAATTTCTGGGGCGATGATGATGCTGAAGTAGGCTTCACCACACAGGGAGGCGATCTGCAAGCTCCAGAGGAGGAGGCTTCGGATGCCAGGTATGCTGAAGGACTGCCCTTGATCGACCACCAGGAAACCGAAGAGCCGACCCAGCCAGAGCCCAGCAAAGCGCAAGACCCGTTTTCTGTCGATGGAGAGGGTGATGACTTTTTCGATCAGGTCGCAGCGGGCGAAGATAATACAGAGGCTGTGCAATTCTCGCCCGGGCAGCTAGAAAGAAAGTCGACAATGCAGGTGCTCAACGGACTCGACACGACCGAATCCAAAGGGCTGGCTGGCCTGGTTTCAGACACTCTGGAGGAGGAGGAGGAAGACGAAAACCAAGGTGGAATCGAGTCCTGGGCTGCAGAGGAACCCCAACACCCGGCAGAGGAACCGGCCGTGGCAGAGGCGCCCGCTGCTGCCAGCAAAGGAGCCGAGGAACCCCGTGGTGAAGACATCGCTGCGAAATGGTCTGAGGCCTTTGCGAGTGATGATGACGACGGCTTCCTTCTGGAGGATGAGCCCGCCGAGGATGGTTCGGAGCCAAAGGCAGTGGATCCCTCGGCCTTCTTTCTCGACGACGACGAAGGATTTCTCGAAGACGTCGAAGAAACAACAACTTCACAGTTCCCCCAGCCCTCTCCCAGCGCCAGTCAACCGGCTCAAACACCAGGCTCGAGTGCTGGCAGCAGATACCTGCCCACGAGCACTGCGCAGCCTGGCGCGGCTCCCACACCGAATCCCTATATCCCCAGTGCTTCACCTACAGTGCCACAACCGCCGATTCTCAACCCCGTCTCACTGATGCCTGCCGTTGCCGGGAATCCCTATGCTGTTCAGCCTCCACCACTGCAGCACTCAACGACAGCGCCTCTCGGCACACAGCCTGCGAGGCCGCCCGCGGTCAACAAGGCGCAGAGCTTCGCGGACAAGGCGAAGGGTGGTTACTCTTCTCCGTACGACCTCCCGATGGAAGTTGTCAAGCCGAAGAAACGAGCCAGTCTACAACAGATGCCTCGAGCGTCGCCAGCCCCAGTATCTGGGCCTCCGGCACCCCCAAGGAGTTCAAGCATGCATAGCCAACCTCCTGTGCCGCAAATCCCAACAGCGCCCGCTCACGGCTCCATGCCCCCTGTGCCTGACCAAACGCAAAACTCTACACCGAGTATTTCGCCGCAGTCAGCTGTCCACCCTGGCCAGGGACCTTCAGACATCAAACCTCCCCAACAGCTGAAGCCCAAACCTAGCTTCTTTGAGGATCTTCCATCATCCCACAGGGTACGACCTGCCTCGCGTACGAGTAACAAGAGCCAACCCTCGCCTTCGCAATCCAGCTTCAACGGGCCTCCTCAAGCCCCGCCACCCCCGCCATCGTCGACACTTGCCGTGCCGCAAGACTCTTTGGCACCTGGCCATCCAGCCGCACCAGATATCGCGAAATTAGTACCACCGGCACCCACAAACCCATATGTTTCGCTCCCATCTGGACCGGCTGCCGATGCAGGCGGGCCACCCCCAAGCGCGTCACGGTACTCCCCAGCGCCACCGCACGGCGCCATCCCCAGTAGCTCGGCACCTCCGCCAGTGAGTCGATACTCACCCGCGCCTCCTGCCCAACGTACCGCAGCGACGCCACCTACCGTGTTGCCTCATTTGCCCAGAACGTCTAGCCCACTGGCAAACTTTGAAGTCAGCCATGACCGGCAAAGACCTCTGGCTGGCGAAAATGGCCTGCATTCAAGTCGAAACAACTCCAGCTCGCACGAGCCAAGGCTGAACAGAATGTCGTCCCTACCCCCAACGCGAGAGGTCGAAGAAGAGGATGTTACTGCGCAACCCGCAACCGGTGCTCCTCCGCCAATGGCTGCTGTCCAGAGAGCCGTGACCCAGGACTTTAATCAAGGTCAATTTGCACCCCGAAGCCCGCAGCGTCCCCCGGTTGCTCAGGCGACCTACAACCCAGAGGTTATGTCTGCCCCTAAGCGAAAGATATCGTACGGACCGGCTCCAGCAACTTCGATAGTACCCCCTCCAAGGTCCAGCACCGGTTCGCCTGGCGCCATGTCTGGCCTCAGGTCTCCCATCAAAGCCTCAGAAATGGTCCCGCGACCGTCTTCAGCATACGGTCCGTCGCCGGCGTCGATAGCTAATGTCATGTCGCCGAACAGCGTGGCAGCAGCCCCCACCTCAGCAGTCTCGGGCCGACCTAGGGGAATGTCACAGAAACTGAATCTGATTCCACCTACAGATGGCCGTGAACATGACCCACTGCAGCGATGGAGAGGGTGCCCGTTGATAAGCTGGGGTAGCGGCGGAATGATTGTGACCTCATTCCCTGTTGATGTGCCGAGGTACGGTATGAACCAGCCTGCCCCGATGATAGTCCGCAGTCCTGGCGAGGTTGTCATCAAGGCTGTCAAGGACATTCAACCATTGGAGGAGCGTCTTGCCAAGTTCCCTGGTCCACTCAAGGGCAAGTCGAAGAAGAAAGAAACTATTGCTTGGCTCACAGCTGGCATTCAGGAGCTTGAGCAAGGTCTGCCGAATCCAGGTCTTCAGACAAATTTGTCACATGAGGACAAGCGAGCCACTGAGCGTGTGCTGTTATGGAAGATTTTGAGAACGTTCATCGAGAATGATGGCGTGCTCGAAGGCAACCCAACGGTAGAAAAGGCCGTACGTGACATCCTCTCCGACACAGCAACTGGACAAGCCGGTATTTCGTCGCCTTCCTATACGACTGGTGCCGACCTGGGAAGCTTCACGGGCGAACCTTCCGCGCCGCAAATGCAGTCAGACTCCATAGACCCAGCAACCATACACCAGCTCAAAGAATCTCTGATGGCTGGAGAGAGAGAAAAGGCAGTTTGGGACGCTGCCGACAAACGTCTCTGGGGACACGCACTGCTCATTGCCAACACGGTGTCACCAGAACTATATCACAAGGTCTCACAGGAGTTCATCAAGAAAGAAGTGAATTTCCCTGGGCGCAACAACGAATCGCTAGCTGCTCTCTATGCCGTCTTGTCCGGTAACCACGCGGAGTGTGTTGATGAGCTCGTACCTACGCATGCTCGGGCAGGGGTTCAGCTTATTGCATCAACTTCGCGCTCGACCGCCGCTGGCGTAGACGGCCTTGAGAAGTGGCGCGAGACTCTGACTCTCGTTTTGAGTAACAGGAGTGCTGGCGATGTTCAGGCCCTGGACGCTCTTGGGAACTTGCTCTCTGAGTACGGTCGGGCAGAGGCGGCCCACATATGTTTCCTGTTTTCTAGAACTGCGACCGTATTTGGTGGCCTTGACGACCCGAAGGCTCAATTTGTGCTCGTTGGTGCAGACCACCGTAAGCAGGCGCAGCAATTTTTCAAGGAAACCGAGGCGCTTCTGCTCAGCGAGGTGTATGAGTACGGACTGACCCTCTCTGGAGCTCCACACTTCGCAGTTGGAGTTCCTCATCTGGCTGTTTACAAACTGCAGCACGCCATGACTCTAGCCGAGTATGGCTTGACAGAAAAGGCTATGCAATACTGCGACATCATTTCGAAGGACATGATTGCTCAGACCAGGAGGTCACCATACCACCACGTGCTGTTGGAGACCGCAGTTGAGGACTTGCGGCAGAGGATCGCACAAAGCCCTCACAAGGAGACCTCGGGCTCTTGGATCTCCAAGCCAAGCATGAACAAGGTGTCTGATTCAATGTGGAGCCGCTTCAACAAGTTCGTGGCTGGTGATGAGAATGAGGCCCCTGGGCAAGGATCACCGAAGCTCGGCGAAGAGTCTGGTCCCTTTGGTCGTATCGCCGGTGGCACGCCGACCATCAGCCGCCCCGCCTCCGCCTCGAATGCTACCGGCATGGAGATGTTCGGATCGCCCAATGGGTACGCAAACGGAGGCGCTCCGCTTGCGCCGGCGATGTCGACTCCGGCGATGTCGCCTCAGTTAACAAGAGCGTCTTCGAGATACGCACCCGCGGCCCCATCTGCTTATGAACCTAACGCGGCTTACACCCCGATGGGACGCTCATCGATGGAGCGGACGTCTGGCGAGTACAGTCGAGGTCCGTACGAGCCTCGGCGACCTTCCTCTGATGTTCCAGCGAGCCATATTAGTGCATACACTCCCAACAATGTGCACACACCAGCGCAGAGTCTCCCCGATCCTGGACTCGGTATTTCGAGCCAATCTCCCTACCAACCAGCTCGGCCGACTTTCAATACGACAGCTTCAGCCCCTGCACCAGCTGGGCCCTCGGTTCCAACCACCCCGGCCTTCTCACCCTATGCTTCCTTCTCCCAACACTCGTCACCTTACGCGCCTGCGCCACCCACCACAACCAATGCGTCGCACTATACCCCGATTGCTCCTACCGCTGAGCACACTGTAGCTAGCAACGACAGTCCGTCAGAACCATCGTTTGGATACCAGCCCCCATCGTACGGCTATGAGCCACCAGCGACCAGCTCAGTGGAACAAGGACCCACTGAGATAGAGCATCAAGATTCTAGCGGCGGCTATGAACCTCCTTCATACCAACCTCAGGGCTTCGAACCTCCGTCTTATGTGCCAGATCCTGAGCCTGATAATGAGAACACAGAGGGCGGGGATGAGCCCAAGCCGAAGAAGAAGAGTTTCATGGACGATGATGATGACGACTTCCCTCCCATGAGGTCAATGACGCCAGGTGAGAAGAGCAAGGCGGAGAAGGATAAAGAGAACGAGGAGATGTTCCGCAAGGTCGCGGAAGAGGAAGGTCAGTAACTTGATGCCATCACTGTCTGGCTGTTTTCCATTTACTAACAACGTCTCAGCCAAACGAGCCGAAGCCGAGAAAGCAGCCAAAGCCAAGAAAGGATGGGGTTTGACCTCTTGGTTCGGCGGCGGCGCAAAGAAGGAGTCTCTCGAGAACTCCCCGAACAAGCCGATCCGTGCCAAGCTCGGAGAAAAGTCCAGCTTTGTCTATGACCCCGACCAGAAGCGCTGGGTCAACAAAGCCGCCGGGGCGGAAGAAAGTGCCCCCAAGTCTGCCACGCCACCCCCTCCCCGCGGCACGCCTCGCCCAGCCGGTGCTGGAACACCACCGCCGCCCTCGAGCTCTGCGCCGCCGATGAGGCCCACCCCGCCAACGAGCTCTGCCTCGTCACCCAACCTGTCTGCCCCATCAGCCGTGCCGCCATCCATGATGCGCTCCACCTCAAACGCTAGCAGCGTGGGAGGTGGCCCGCCCTCCGCGCCGCCCAGCAGGCCTGCGACGAGCATGAGCAACGCCAGCAGCATTGATGACCTCCTGGGAGCAGCGGCGCCGCGTAAGGGTGGCGCCAAGGGCAAGAAGAAGGGCGGGCGGTATGTCGATGTCATGGCCAAATAGGGCGTTTTGACATCTGGCGTCGCTGCCAAACGATGAGTGGAAGTGAATGACTGGTGGTGCATGTGGAGCGTTCTAATACATAGCTATGGGCAATGGAGACGGGCGAGCCCAGACATAATTTAGCGCCTTGTGCGTTAGCGCCTCTGGTCGTTTTGACAACCATACTGAGCAAGCCGATGAGAGATGGAGTATATGGATACACGCAAAGAAACGACGCATAAATGGGACAGGTAAAGCAAGTGATCGCTCTTGCTGGAGAACGGTGCACCTCCGTTACTTGGGGCAAGAATCATGAGGTGGAAGTGGGCATACTGTAATAGAAGTGTTGTAATGATAAAAGTTGTTGATGACTCTACCACTGTCCCATGTGCAATGAAGATTTTAGATGTATTCATAAATGTCTATTTCTACAGCTCACATCTCATGGCTTGGGAAGCAATATTGTGTGCTGGCTTATACCCTAAACAGGACCATGAATGAGGAAAAGAATAGAGTACATATGTGCTTACTCCTAGGTGTGCCCGTATTCATCCCCGTAGATAGAAATCATCATTTTGGCTGAGGCTATCTGGAGGAGAATAGCATGGGAACTATTAGCTAGGTCACGTCTGTGCAAAAACAGGAGGTAGACTGATTGGCATAATCATCTACAACGTCAATACTGGGATTCCAAGGTTTACATATGGGCCTATTAATGCCACTCATTGACAAACGACTTTCTCAAAATATGTCCACTCGTTGAGCAATTCAAGTTTGTCTGTATATTCAGTGATGCAGAAACTGCCCACTGCTTGTGACTCCCCTGTGCCTTTCACCTCTCTTCAGAGAAAAAGACAAGAAAGAAGTGAAACAAAGGAAATGTCATCTAGAGCCTGATTTTGCTTTCATGAAAGAGATATTTTGTCCCTAGAAGATGAAAACACAGGAGCCATTTGATTCTCTGAAAGTGTGTCAACACCATAATCATCTAGTAGATCTATCAATTTGCAGCATACAAGCATGATCTCAACTCTTCCTGTGTGAGCCAATATTTCCATCATGTACTGGATCCTTGCTGCCAACATTTGGTCAATTTAATTGAGCCTTGGAGAAACCCCGTTTTCTAATATTTAACCTATATGATAGTGCTTTTAGGAGTTTGAACTAGCAGCAATTGGAACTGGTTTGTACTTGTTGTAATTGTAACTACCGCTCATGTATAATTTGAGGTTACTCTGGAAAGGTTTGAACATAGAAGAAATCATTGATGCGGACTTTGTTCTTATGTTCTTGGACACCAACAACTTTGGAATATTCCGCCTGTCCCGCAGGGCATCAAAGAACCATAGACAGAGAGTACACGCATAGCTGGTCTTGAGTTGACATTTACCAATTAATAACAATCATGTCCCTAAACATGAAAGAAATCCGAACAACCGCATCGTAGATGTGAATGATCACGACAATCACATTGTTTCACAATATATTTCTTGTTATCAATTACTATATATTCTCAAGGCTTATTCGGCGTCAACGATACCTGATGATTAGCATCACTAAGGACGAGTAACCCTCACACAAACGGACAGAAATCTGACTAAGGACGAGTAAACCTCACATAAACGGACAGAAATCTGACAGCATGCAGTCATCATACGAAGACCTGCAGCCATCATACCAAGAAATGACCTCCACGAGGAAATTCAAGTTCCGCAGGAACAACATCCCACGGGTCCTCATCCGAGGCTGGCACACAGGAACCGCAGCCACAACCCGGGGCCTCAACACCGACAGGGGGGTCTACCCCTTCGCATGGCACTTCAAAGTGCTCCCGCCGGCGGCGGAGCCCGCCCCCGTCCCGCCGCCCCTGACCGACCTCACAAGGGGCGAGGTCATCTCCCGGTCGGTGACCCACATCAGCGGCGACAGAAGGGACCCCTCGGTCTTCACGTCCTGGACGGCCGACCTCCCCACGGCGGTGTTCTTCGCGCTGGGCGATTTCGACCACTCCGGCTGGATCGTGCACGCCGAACCCGGCCACGTCGCGGTCGTGGACCCCTCCCGGCCGCCGCCGCCGCTGCCCGTCGCCCACGCGGCGGACCTGGGCTGGGGCAGCCTGCCGATGGAGTACCTCGTCCACGGCCCCGTCACCGAGGGCCTGCGCGTGGTGTCGATCACCGCGATCAGGGGCACCCTGAACTGCCCGCTATTCCCCTTTTGCTACAACGTGCCGCGCGAGCCGCACCCCGTGACGGAGGAGGAGATCCGCGACTCGGTGAGGGTCGGCCTCATGTTCCTGAGCGCCGCCGACACCCACGTCGACGTGGCGCTCGTCATCGCCGCGTCCCTCCTGTCCTGGGGCCAGGTCCCGGTGCGCAGCCCGATCCCACTCAATGAGGCGGACATGGCGCGCATCAGGCGGCAGCAGACCCGGCCGTGGCCGCAGGCCGACCTCGACACCATCATCTCCTCGAGGCTCCTGGTGCACGACGGGGCGTTCCCGCCCCTGAGCGGGGCTGCCCTGGCGAACCCCCTGACGAGCACGGTAGGTGCGGCCCAGCTTGACCTGACGTTGGGTTTACTGACACGGATGCAGGAGGCCTGGGGGGGACGGCCCGCGGGCGGCGCCGGCAACAACACGGCCGGGGCGAGCCGGCCCCGGCTCACTCGCGAGCAGTGGGAGGCCGCCTTCAGGGACGCGGCGGGCCGGCACACGCCTCGTGAGCATGAGTGTGGCCAATTTGTCTGCAAAGGTTGCGGTAAGAGCCGTGCGAGGGAGGAGCCGCCCGACTATAGTTTGCCCGAGACGCTCTTCCATTGCTCAAATCGTTGTGCAGCAATGCATGATGTGAGGGGAGCCGTTGATACTGCCCCAAGCCCCTGGTTTACTGCCCAAAACCCCTGGTAGGTGGGTGATCGGGGAAGTAGCGCATGGGCGAGTGATGCTTGAACTGAAGCTCTAACTCAGAATGGTCCGAATGTTAGATAGCACTCAATGTAGACTCACTGCCAATTTAGAGCTCGATCCGACAGCTGACTTGCGTCCAAATGTGAAATGCTTGTGCTGACCTGTTATTGTTGTGAAATGCAATACCCCCTTATAGCTAGTATGTCGGTAGCAGAGCGTTAATCAAGCCATTATTCCATCTCCGTGACGCCGTCCGGAACTCCCCTCATGGACACCAGCTATGCAATGAGACAATCAACCCACCTCCAACCCCCCCCCCCCAAACCAAAGATCCGTTCTTCAAGCGCTGTAAGAAGAAACATAGTACGTGACCACGGCATCCTCGGCATTCGCATCGTCAAACTGCGGCACGTACGCGTACAGGATCAGCGCGTGGTCGTCGGCAAAGCACGCGATGACGCGGCCCTCGAGGCGGCCCACGCTCAGCACCCTGCTCCAGTCCTTGCCGTCGACGCGCACCGTGGCCCACCGGTCGGGCCCGGCCTCGCGGAACCGCGTGCTGGGGTGCTCGGCGAGCGGGACGGCGAGCTGCGCCGGGTCCAGCTCCGGGTTGTCGAGGTTGCGCCAGACGCTCTCGATGTCCAGGGCGTCGGTGGCGATGCGCAGGCGCAGGCTGCCGTGCATGTTGGCCGACAGCTCCAGCTTGGGCCCGTTGGCGCCGCCCGCGAGCCCGCCCCCGCCGCCGCGCCCCGTGGCGGTGCTGGAGGTGCTGGTCAGCGCCAGCTTGGTGAAGCGGTCCGAGACGGCCTTGAGCTGCAGCAGCGGCGGCAGCTGGATGTGCACGTCGGGCTCGCGGACCTTGGGCTGCATGATGGTCTCGACCGTGTCCGGGTGCAGGACCCTGACGGGGATGTCGTGCGTGATGACCTTCTCGCGCTCGCGCTTCATCGTCAGCTCGAGGGCCTCCAGGTCGGCGTCGCCGAAGGGGTCGTCGTCGTCGTACTCGTCGTCGTCACCGCCGCCAGCAGCAGCTGCAGCAGCAGCACCCCTGTAACCGCTGTCTGGGCCGGCGCGGCGGCTGTGAAAGGGAGCTGGGGGCGGGGCCATGTTTGAGCGCTGGTCGGGGGTGGTGTGGATGGTCATGGACAGCACCGGGATGCTGTCCTTCTTTGTGAGGCGCAGAGTCGCATGGTCGCTGTTGATGGCGGACTTGAGGGCGCGCTGGAGCGGCCCAAGAGGCAGTTCGAGGTTGATTGTGTTGGATGGCTCGGCAGACTGGATGTGGTACTCGGAGAAGACAAAGTCCATCGAGAGGGATCTGCGAGAAGGACCGTGGTAAGTTCGTGCCCTTCAGCCAAAAAAAGGCGGTTAATTAATTGGCTGGGAGGCGCGAGGTACTCACGCCCAGACTTGGGATCCCGTCTCAGGCATCACCGTGAAACGTGCCGTGTCATCGTCGAGGCGGACCCAGGCGATCTTTTCGAGTGTGTTGAGGGCGGCGATCAGCTTGTTGAAGGTGCGAATGTTCTTCAGTTCCGTCTTGAACCTCATCTTTGGCCAAGTTCCGGCCGAAGGCCCATTTGGACGCGTCGCGACGCGTCCAAAGTTCCCACTCGTCAAGTCACTTGCTCTGGCCAGTCAATTACTCTCGGGCCAGAGGGGAGACAACGTTGCGGTGGAGAGTTAAGGATCGCAGATAGAGCAGCGGGGCTGACTTGCACAACTCGGGGTGGATCTTTTCGGACAAGACGTTGTATGCTATACTCGGTAGCGTGGGAGCGGCTATCGACTGACGACGTCGGTACTTGGCTACTGTGGTGCTAGGAAATTTACCCCAGTGTGGCCCCCACCACATTAGGACCCTTGTAGTGTACAAGTGGGGTTCGGGGTCGTAGGAAGGACAAGCTACCCCGCCTGGGGTCATCCCGTCGTCTCCGCCCGCACCAGCTCCCAGCCTCGCCCCGCCTCGCCTCAGTCATTGCCCGCCTCACGTTCCCGGTCTCGCTCCTGACAGAGCCCATGATGCAATGAGCGGCCTTCCAGTCCACCAGGGCAGTGATAAATGATGAGAACCAGACTGCAAGAACTCCTCGTGGGAAAAGAGAGAAACCCAGATCCAAGCGGAAAACCCCATTCACCGAACAGCCTATTCCTGAGTGCAGCACAGCTCGAAGAGACAACCCGCCCTCGACAAGACCATAGTACCAGCCCAAGGCGCCGAACCCACATATACCCATACCCCCCCCCGGACAAAGGCCCTGTCCGGGTCAATGAAAACTGCAATTGCTCCCGTCCTGCCATCCTGTAGTGCCCGCAACGGTCTCCTTGTCTGTGAATGTCACGACACAATGCATCCTGCCCGGTACAATCTTATGAGAACTGATCGGCGGTGGTCTTCATCTTTGGCTCCTGCGAGTCGTAAAACGACAGGAACTTCCAGTCCGGGCCCTTCCTAGCCACGTCCCAATAGCCATATGCGCCGGGCACAGGGGGGAGGTCTCGATTCGAGGTCGGTACCAGCTGTGGGGAGTCGTTTGCGTCGTTCTCGTAGTCATCATCTTCTTCGGGGTGCAGCGACTTCATCTTCCTAATATGGGTAACGTCCAGTGTCAGCCTTGCCACGGCGTTTGCTATGCGCAGTGCTGACATTGCCCACCTCAGGCCCTTCGTCCTTGGCGTTCTGGTCCCCTCCGTGTCGCCGTCGCCGTCGGTGTCACTATCGCTGTCGCTACGGTCCTCCGTCGGCCCACGCGGCCCGCCCTCCAGCATCTCCTGAACCCGTTGGCGCCTCGCCAGCTTGTGTCTCTGGTGTCGGCAGTAGGAGCAGTCGTTATTTCGGACGTCACCGGGGAAGCTCTGGCGTGCGGCCTCCTCGCGGGATAGTCTTGACTTGTTCGGGTCGTAGGCTGCGGGCAGGACTGGGTGCGAGCAAATGTGGAAGAGGTCGGTCCGGCAGACCGGGCACAGCGGCTTGTCGGTTATGGAAAGGTAACGCTTGATGCAGACGTTGCCAAAGACATGACCGCACGGGGTGATTGACCAGCCCTCCTTGATGCCATCCGGGGACTTGGTGCCCACGTCGACCTGGCAGATTGCACAGGACGGGTCGAACTCGTCATGATCAGGATGCTCGTCGTGGCGGGCGACGGAGGTCTTGACGGGCGACTTGAGCTTGACGGACCTCATGATGGCCCGGCTGAGAGGACCGAGGTTGGGATGACAGCAGGAGATGTAGTCGAGGAGGTCGGCAGTGGATGTAAACGACACCAGAGGGAAAACGAAGGGGTGTGTCAGCAGTGCGGCGGCCAGAGCCCAGCAGAAAGGCGAGGAGGGTGAGTTTGAGGTGTTGGTCTGAGTGAAAGGCAGTCGCAGCCTGCCCAACATGGATGCGACTTTGGGTATCGAGAAAGGAACGATAAGGCTTGAGAGCAAGAGGCGGATCCGGAGACGGAAGGGAAAAGCGCACAAGTCTGTGCAAATGACTAGTTATCGTCGAGTGATGCAGTTGTCACTCCAGCTAGGAGGGCGTGCCACACGGGCTGACGGGTCACAGGCCAACTTACTCTTGGAGGGTTGGGTGTGTGGGTGGAGAAGGGGTGCGGCAGACCAGGGAGAGAGATAACCTGGGCACGACTAGAGCGGGCAGGAAGGATAGCGTGCCCGAAGTGAGTTGGCCAGGCAGGACGGCAGCAAGGCAGGAGGGCAGGCAGGCAGGCAGGCAGGCAGGCAGATAGGCAGATGGCTGGGGAGTGGACGCAAGTGGGTTAAGCTCAAGCTTGGTTGGGGGACTTTGTATGCTGCTGGCCCGGCCTTTTGGCGGTTTCGTGCATGTGCATGTGCAGTCAGTTCGTGCGTGCGTTCGTATGTGCAGTAGTCGGTCGGTCTTATGGTGGGCTGGGATGGAGACGGGACGCGGGACGGGGGGACGATGGGCTGAGGATATGGGCCGAGCAGGTGGAGGGGCCGGGCCCTCGGACAGCACAGGGTGACGGCACAGGATGACGGCACAGGTACTCTGCACCCAGCAAAATGCAAGTCTCGATCAGGTCTCGTGCGTGGCTGACCCTCCAACCGAGCCGGCTTGGACGGATGACTGGCGAAACGACGTTTCGACCTGTGGCGCCGGCTGTGCGCCCACATGTGGGAATAAGCTTCACCTTAGTCGTCAAAGGCCGTACCGGGTGCCTGTCACGGTATTATCAGGTGCTCAGTGGTGACCAAAGTGTGCTGTGTACCTGCGAGCACGGCTGACCTAGGCTTGGATGGACCTTGGCGGCGGTGCGAAATGCAGTGAATCAATCCACAACACGTCAACGAGCTCACACATGTACAGTATTCCCGAAAGGTGAAAGAAAGGTGGCGGGGGTAGACGCACACAAGGCTGAACCGACTAATACATGTGTAGATAGATTGCCCGCCAACCCGCTTATTTTTATGCAAGTAAGTGGATAACCTTCATGTTGTAAGTGAAAGCGACCGGGGCAGGGGTTCTCTACCTGCATGTTTACTATACAGGATTTACCCTTACATTTTATTAACGCAAGTACAAGGTAAAACCCACAATATTACCCTACCTAACCAATTAGAACCTTTTAAATATCCTTTTATAATTAAATATATAATATTAAAGGCCTTAAAAGCTTAATATTATATATATTTAATAATTTATTAAGTAATTTACTTAAATAGGTAATAAGTATTCTAGTAATCTTTAAATTACCTAATATCCCTTAAAAACCTCTATTTAAAGGGTTAGAGTTTATAAACTAACTTAATTTATTAATTTAACTAATTATTAATCTTAAACTCTTAATTTATTAACTATTAATATTTAATTAATTATTAACTCTATTATTATTTTAAATTTCTATAATTTAATATAATAAATATATTAATTAATTTTAATTTACCTTATTTATACTCTTTTTTATTAATTATAATTATTAATATAAATTATTAATAAATATAATATTTTTATTTATTTTTTATATTTTATTACTTTTATTACTTTATAAATTTATAGCTTTTAAAATCTACTTTTATAAAGTTAAAGTTTATAACTTTAAGCTATTTAATTTAACCTATTAATTTATTTATTTATTATATTAAATCTATTAATTTATTAATTATAACTCTTAACTCTCTCTTAATATTATTATAATAATAATTTTATATTATTTAATTTAATAATTATATTATTTACTTTTAAATTATTTTATTTATATTTTTTTAATTTAAAAACTATTAATTAAAAAATAAATTATATTAAATATTTCCTTTTTTATTAATTTTAAATATTAATTAACTATTTTATAAACTACTTTAATAATTTATTATTATCTACTTATTACTAACTCTAATTATAAGGTTCCTTTAATCTATTAAACTATATAATAATTACTTCTATTTATTAAAAACTATTACTTATAAGTAAATAATATATTTATATTAATATAAATTATAATAGTAAGTATTATAAAACCTTATAAAAGGTTAAAAGAAATAAAGGAAAAATAAAAATACTCTTTTAATACTTTATAACTACTTAAAATTAATAATATTTTAACTTTATTACTATTAAACCTAATTTTCTAATTAAATATTTTAATATAAAATATTATATTAATAAACTTAATTTTATTACTTTTATATTAGTTAAAATTTCCTAAGGTTTATTAAAATATTACCCTTTTTTATTAAAAACTAATTATATTTAATTTAAAGATTTAAAATTTTAAATTAATAATCTACTTATTAGTATATTTTTATTTATAAATAGGTTATAATTTAATAATAATAATAAATACCTTTTCTACTTTATTTAAATACTTTTAATATATTAAATCCTTTAAACCCTTTAAACTTTAATTTATTATTTTTAATATTTTTACTTTAATTTAATAAACTATTATAATATATACCCTACCTTAACTTAACTTTATAGATCCCTCCTTTATAAACGTTATTTATTATAATATAGTTATCTTTCCTTCTTTATTTATTTTAAACTTTAACCTTTTTATACTTATAATAATAAAACCCTAAATAATATTAAACCTAATATTTACTTTAAAAATAATAATAATAATAGTATTAAAAATAGTTAAATAAAAGTAGTATAATAAAGTCTATCCTTTATTAATATTTACTTTATAATACCTTTAATTTATACTTATTAATTAATTATATTAATATAAAAACTTATATTAATATTTTAATTTTATTAAATCTTTTAAGCTTAATTATTTTTAACCCTTTTTTTTATATTTAAATTTAACTTACCTTATAAATACTTTAATATTATAAAGTCTTTAATAATCTAACTAATACTCCTATTTTTAATATTTTATAAAGCTTAATACCCTAACCTTCCCAACTTTTATAAACTAATTATTCTTAATAATAAAAATAATTAATACCTTTTTATTATATATATTTTTTATTAAATTAGGATTTTTAATTAATAACTCTATTATAATTAACTTTTAATATAATAAATATAATATACCTTTTACTTTATTTTACTATTTATATTAATATATTTAATTTAAACTTATAATTATAATTAATTAAAGAAAACTTTATATAAAAACTTTATATTAATTAAAAATAATATATTAAAACCTATACTTTATTATTTATATATTAATTTTAAAAATTATTATTATAACTAGCCTTATTATTTAATAAATTTAATATATATTAACTATATAACCTTTATCTTTATTTTAAAATTATTACTATATAATCCCTTTAAAGGTAATATTTTTCTCTTCTTTATTATTAATATATTATAAAAATAAAATATACTATTATATATATATAGTTATAATAAATATACTAAACTTATTATTATATATTTTATAAGTATTATATTTTATTATATTTATTAATAGATATTAATATATAATATAACTATTTTATATTCCTTTTCTAATTAAATATATTAAACCTAATTTAAATTTACCCTTTATTATTTTATTATTTACTTATTAATTAATTATATTAAATTTAAACTAATAAAATATAATTTAATAAGTTTAATATAAGATATTAATTTATTATTTTTATTTTAAATAAGAATATTAAAGAGTTTATTAATATTTAATTTAAATTAAATAATTAAATATTTTAAACCTATTTTATAAATAATAAGTAAAACTTTAGTTTAATTTAAAAGAAAATTAAGAGAAAATTAATTTAAAATATATTAAATTTATATATTACCCTATTTAAAAATTCTATAAATTCTATAACTTTTATAATTTAATAAGATAATACTTTAATATATATTTTAAAGTTAATAAAGATTTAATTTATAAAATATATAAAAATACCTATTTAATTATTTAACTACTCTACTTATTTAACTTTAACCTTATTAAATATATTTAAGTATAAATAAAGGTATAAATTAAATAAAATTATAAGAAATAACCTAAAGATAAAAATTTATATATAGCTATTTTATAAGTATAAAAAGCTATTTTTCCTAATATACTTTAAAAACTTACTATAAGTATACTAAAAAAAATAGTAATAATAATTATAATTAAAGAAGGTTATATTAAAATATAATACTATAATTAACTACTTTTAAATATACTATATTCTCACCTATTTATAAGTCTATTTATTATATATATACACTAATTACTAAAACTTACAAACTTATGCAATTTATTAGATTTTAGTCTAGGGGCCCCTCTCAAAGCCCTTAAAAGTCACTATTTAACCTTATTACAGGCAAAACCCTGTATGTTTGTATCCAGCCCCTGCTCCCCTTACCTTACATTATTTCGGTGCCAACCACTTTACCGGGTATTGTACATGTTGATCAGAAGAACGACCATACAAATCTTTCTCCGGTTGGAACATAGTCTTGGGGGAAACAAAAAGAAGGCACGCGTTGGTGCATCCAACCGTTGGTCTCATTTGTATTGCAATCACTCAATGTGCCGGGGCCACTTGCTGCTGGCCTTTGATGTTCCATACCTGAAGCCCGGCCTCACTTATCAAATGGTCATTTTCTCAACGGAGCCATGGTCATGGTTGCCTCACCGCCGTCCCTGGAGAGACATGTGAGGCCCACCCTCTTTGTTCAGTTGAAACATGTGCAGCCATCCACAGCACCGCCTTGGACAGGTCACAATGTTGTAGGCCTATTGCGCGGCCGTGGATCTTCAGGCTTCCACCGGGATGTCGGGCTTCCGCTTCCTCGCCTCAATCATTTGCCGCCCCGTGGATAGTAGCCTGAGGGCCTGGGCTTGAGGTTAAGCTAGGCTGTACGGGCCATTCGTGGGACAGTGTAATATGGCTGCTAGCACCAGTGATGGCCATGCATTGATCGCGGGACCCTACTCCGTCAAACTGTGGCGCAAAAATACGTTCATATGCAGGTAAAGGACATTAGTTGGGTATCGCTCAATTATCGCTTCATGTAGAATGCCCCGGTCTGGGCTATCGCGATCTCGTGGTATGGTCGATTTCCTCGTCGCTGTCATCCCTGAATCCCTCCTCCAGGCTGTTACGCGTTTAGCAGTTGGTCCCCAGGGTTCGACCAAGTGGCACACTTACTCCCGACTCAACCTCCGCTCTAAATCCGGCCTGCCACTGCTCCTGGTTCTCCTGGCCTCTCTTTCCAGGCGATTCCTGACGTCCTCATCCTCGGGTACCTCGTCTAGCTCCTCGCCCTCGTCCGAGTCATATCCGTTGTCGGAACCCGGGCCTCCGGCTATGACCAGCCGGTCTTGCAGCCTCTCCCGCCAGGTGGATGGTACGAGCCACCGTGCAATTTGATCCTGTACCCTGGCCCGGAAGGACTGGGTCCCATTGGAGATGGTGTCGAGTGGAAGGTAGGCGCCGTATCGGCTATTACGAGTACGCTGCCATAGGGGGTAGATGATGTACGTGGCGAGGAGGAAGACGATGAGGGCTATTATTGCCGGGACGACGAGAGTCTGTCGGCCGGAAGGCCAGTCCTGTTAGCTGTGGGTCTGGTTGCATAATAAAGGGGCATCGCAAGAGAGAGAAGTAGCGAGCTTGCCTTTGCTGTGGAGATGGTAGAGCCCATGCTGGAATTGTCGGACTTGATTTGTCGCGCCCTGATAATATGCTAGAATAGCTGCTTCGTAGCGATTTCCACCGGGACGGATGGACGAGAAGATGATGACGTTGCAAATGGCCGGTCGAGAATCGGTGGACGGGTAGTCTCGACTGGTTCTATGGCGACATCCGGGACCGGACTGCGTGTTTCTTGACAGGACTCTACACGGGTAGAACGGTTCCTGATCTGATTGGAACGAATCTGCCCTCGGAGTCCAGTAGCAACTGGGCGTAGACCCGAAGTTGATGCCCCGTGGTAAGAAGCGGGCGGCTCGGAGATGATCGTCGTCGGCCACACTGGCAATGTGTTTCCGATGTCTTACCCGGGCGACCAAGGGTCCAGGAGCACTTTAAGCATTGAAGGGTTAGGGTAAACGTACTGCGAGTCTGCAACCGACTGACTGGGCAAGGCATGTGATCGCATGTATTATTACCATAACCACTACACTTTATGAAACCTGGCTTATCTTATGAAATTCGATTCTATGAGAGGTTATCCTATCGGTCGGTATTTCATAGGAGGCAGCCCTCCAGTAGGTTATCTATATGTAAGAGCAGGGCGATGGATGCTGTAGCTCAAAGCGGACAGACACCTGAGCATAACCCGCAAGCCGAGAATGTATGTCATATTGTGGAAACACCAAGCTTGTCAAATGGTGCCTTGGAGTCAATGCTTCCTCTTCCCGCCGCCTTACCCAGCCTGGCCGGCTCCGCGTCCCCAGCTTCATCAAGGGCACGGGGATGTCACATCATGCCGGGCCGGGCTGGGCTGGGCTATGCTCCACGTGGACCCAGTTCGAATCTGCAATGTCTCGAAGCCTTCTCGGTGCTCACAGGGTCGAATATGCAGTGCGGCTGCTACTCCGCACCTGCCAGGCTACTAGGTGAAGAAGAGCATGGCGGCATCTGATGGTGCTGGTTGAAACCAGATTGGTTTCAGGGGCACAACCAAACAATTCGGAGTGGGTTGCATTTGCAGGTCGCATGCCCAAGTACTAGACAATAACGTGGGCGCGCAGGTCATAAGTGGCTATAGTTAGATAGCTAGCTGCGAACAGAAACGGAAATGAGGACGACGGGGATTTGGACTTGGGCCTGGATGGAGATGGAGACTGCTGTACGAGTTCATCTCCGCACCCAGCTGACTCGACCTCAGTGCTCGTTCACACCTTGTCGTGGCCTACGGAGTACGGACGGTCTACGGACGGTCTACATAGTACAGTACTGCTGCTGTGCTCGGCGGGCAGGGGGATATCATTCGTTCGTGGCGTACAGAACTGCCCAGGGACTGGATATGCATGCAGCAGGCATGTGGACTGGACCTAGCTGCCTAGGCGCCACCACAAGCCAGACGAGTGTCGATCCTGTAGGACCTTGCCGTATCAGTCCTTGACTCCTTGCATGTGGTTGATGCTAGGCAAAAAGGGTCGTATTTGCGCAGGTGGGCCTCCAATTTGGGAAATTAATCCATTGTCTGGCAGCCGGTCTGGTTGGGCCTCTCTGCCTCTGCGGCTCCAGTCAAGAGCAAACGTTACCACAGCCATGGCCAGTCACAGCCAGCCGTAGCCAGCCAAAGCCCTCCAGCCAGGCCACCTGCCCACCCAGGCGTCCAGGCACACACACCCAGACACCCAAAGCCAACAGACCGGGGCAGCAGTCCAGACCGAACCTGGCTCGTGTGTGTGTGTCCCTTGTTCTTCGGCACGCACGCACGCACTCGCCCACACGCAACCGACGCAGGGGCTCGGGAGGACCACAAGCTGGGCGGCAGCTGGGCACGCACGCACGAACCACCCACCCACCCTTGGACTGAACCCGACCCGTCGGCCATCATCTCGCGAAACCTAAACCAAACCCCCAAGGCTTCGTTCGAGATTCCCGCAACGTCGTGCCTCTGTTTCTGTTTTCTCTTGCTCCCTGTCCCAACCCTCCCGTCCACACCAGCGCCCGCACTCGACCCATCCCGTCCAGAGTACGGATGATGCTGGGCACCTAGTCTGCTCAGTGCTGGCTTTCCGGGTTTGCGGTGCATGCTAAAACAGCTCTGATTATGCGCCTGCGGTCCCTCCTTGCCAATACCATCCCGCCCTCCACTCCACGCCGGGTCCCCCATCCGATTCGAATCGGCGGGTACAATGCGATCGGCCTCGAGCTCTGAGACTGACACAGAGACACACGCCGCTACCGCCGACTCCCACAACCCTGCTCGCCCTGTTCGCAACACCCCTCCAACAGTTTGCGACTCTCCGTCACCACCACCGCCCTTTCTCTCCCTCCAACCACCGACTGACCCCCCAGACCCGTCTGCAGACCCGTCTGCCCTTTGATCTGCTCTCCCAGCGGCACACGCAGCACACCACAAAGGACTGAGCACCCGGGCTCCACTACCGCCAGGAGGCTCGTCCTCGCGCGACCACCACCATGGCCTCGTTATTTTCTAGGGGGAAGCACAAGGCCGACAAGAGAGCCACAAGTGACGAGGGTCGCAACTTGGCCGTGAACCAGCAGATCGACGCCGGCAGCTCATCGGGCTCGCGGTCCTCGCGCCACAACCGGGACTCCTCGGTCGTGTCCGTCGACCGTCCCAACTCAGCCGAGGGAGGCGGCATCAACGAGGTGGCAGGCGTCTTCTCCACGATACCGTATGACAGTACCGCAAATGGCCGTCGCTCCCCCGCCCCGGTCGATTATCTGCCCAAGCCTGACCAGATGCCCGTCCGCAGAGAACCGTTGCCCCATCAGCTGAACAAGGCCACTGCCGACTTTCACCAGTATCCTAGTTTCGATCCATCCTCCCTCCCAAACCATGCAAGTACCCACCTCTCCGGGCCCCGGCCCCCTCCCGGGAGGGCCTCGAATATCACAATGGCTTCGACCGGCCGCCAGACCCAGTACCAGCAATGGGGCCCCACCACCCGGGAGAGCTCCCATCCAGCAGGATCCCATGGTTCCAAGTACACCTCGTACGCAACCTCCGCGGGCAGGACTTCGACAGACCAATCTAGCATATTTTCAGGTAACGGAGGCTCCCATGAATACGCGCGCATGTCCGGTCGCTCATCCAGAACAGCACTCCCTAGTGCCTCCTCTCAGAGTAGCTACGCCTCGAACCTCTCCACCCGGGATTCCCACCGCCTGACCAAGTTTCCAGGAGGCCTTTCACCCACGAGCCCCGGCGATGCATTCTACTTTCCCAAGCCCGAAGACCGGTTGATCGACGACATGTTCCTCCAGCTGATGCAGAAACGTGGTTGGCACAACCTTCCGGAACAGGCCCAGCGCCAGATGCTCGCATATCCCTCCGCAAAGAAATGGACACTTATTTACCAGGATAGGCTCACCGAATGGCAAGGCGAACAGAAGCGACGAACCACCGCGAAACCCGGGCAATACCAAACTTTCGATGTCGCCGCATCGGCTGCCGAGGAGGGAAGTCCTGAATGGTACGTTAGGAAGGTCATGGACAATAGCCTCGACACCAAGGGGCTCGGAAGCCTGGAAGTCAACTTGAGAACACAGCAGATCGGCTGGGTCAAGCGTTTTATTGAGTGTCAAGGACAAGTCGCCCTCACCAACGTTCTTATGAAGCTCAATCGAAAACAGGCAGTTGGGCCAGCGGCGCCCGAGACCAAGAACGACACCAAGAACCTCGACCGCGAGTATGATATCGTAAAATGTTTAAAGGCATTGATGAACAACAAGTTCGGCGCCGACGACGCGTTGGCGCATCAGCAAGTTATGGTGGCCTTGAGCACATGCCTCATCTCGCCACGACTGAGCACGCGCAAGCTTGTCAGCGAGGTTTTGACCTTCTTGTGTCACTGGGGTGATGGCGAGGGCCATGTCAAGGTTATCCAGGCCATGGACGTGGTCAAGAACCAACAGAATGAGAATGGGCGATTCGACGCCTGGATGCGGCTGGTCGAGGTTACCGTCGACGGCCGAGGCAAGATGGGTAGCCTGGTTGGTGCGAGCGAGGAGGTTCGAAGCGGTGGTATCGGCATGGAGAACCTGCTGATGGAATACGCCGTTGCAACACTCATCCTCGTCAACATGATCATCGATGCCCCTGAAAATGACTTGCAGTTGCGGATGCATATCCGGGCCCAATTCGGGGCTTGCGGTATCAAGCGCATCCTCACCAAGATGGAGTCGTTCCAGTACGACCTCATTGACAAGCAGATCGAACGGTACCGCAGCAATGAAGCCATCGACTATGAGGACATGCTTGAGAGAGAGAATAGCAGCATCAAGGATAGTATCGAAGGCGAGGTTAAGGACCTCAACGATCCTGTTCAAATTGCGGATGCAATCCAATCGAGGCTACAGGGAACCAAGACGCAAGACTACTTCATCTCAGCTCTGCAACATCTGCTTCTCATAAGAGAGGGCGATGGCGAGGAGAGATTGAGGATGTTCCAGCTGGTTGACTCGATGCTCAGCTATGTGGCCATGGACCGGCGGTTGCCGGATATGGACCTCAAACAGAGTCTGAACTTCACCGTCCAGAGCCTGTTGGACAAGCTACACACGGATTCGGAGGCTCGTCAAGCTCTTGACGAGGCCCTTGAGGGCCGGCAGATAGCGGAGGCTGCCATGGCCGAGAGGGATGAGATGAAGGCGCAGCTGGAGCTAGGCGCTGATGGGCTCGTCGCAAAACTTCAGAAGCAACTGGATGAGCAATCCCGGTTCATTGAGGCACAGAGGAGGCAAGCCGACACGCTGAAATCCGAGCTCGAAAACATCCAAAACCTGCGGGCAAAGGAGGCCCAACGGTACGAGCTCGAGACGCGAGAACTTTACCTCATGCTCCGAGACGCCCAAGATGTAGCAGCCTCAAATGCTGCTAAGGGTGGCACTAACGGAACCGAGGATCCAGCCCGTATGCAGGGCATTCTTGACCGCGAGAGGCTCATGGACCGCCTGGCCATGCAAATTGAGCGGCAGAAGACCCAATACAAGCTGGAAGGCAGGAAATGGGGCGAGGATGCTGGCCCATCGGACCGCTTGCGTGCGTTGCGTGAGGAGATGGAGGGCTATGGCCCGGCAACAGGTCTTGCACCACCTGGCCCCAACGATTTTACCTACAGCGTGCTCGGTAGCGTAAACCACCGCAACACTAGGATGAATCGTAGGCGCGGATCTCAGGACGGCTTTGGAGACGAGGAGGCCGAGGGTGAAGAAGGAGAAGTCATCTACGAGAAGCCCCAGATTGTCGAATACCGCCGGCCACGCCTTGATCCCAAGCAGGCTAGCGGCCTCATGGGTGAAATCAAGGGCACGGTCAAGCGATACGATGGCAGCGACTCCGAGGGTGAAGATGCGACCACTGGCCCGTCTCACCCGAGTCTGGAGACCCAGTCACCCATCACGCCCAGCGAAGACACACCCAAGATCCAGATCACCGGGGAGAATGGAGCTCCTCCACCACCCCCGCCACCGCCGCCTCCTCCCATGCCTGGTCAGATCCCAGGTGCCGCTCCCCCGCCTCCGCCGCCGCCTCCGCCACCGCCTATGCCAGGACAACTTCCTGGTGCCGGCCCTCCGCCGCCGCCTCCTCCACCCCCTATGCCAGGAAGCGGTGGGCCTCCACCCCCACCTCCACCGCCTCCCCCTGGCATGCCCCGAATGCCAGGTGCCCCGCCTCCACCACCCATGCCTGGTGCTGGTGCTCATGGTCACTACTTGCCTCAGTCACCTGGGTTACCAGTGTCAAATGGTCTTGGCCTTCCTGTCGTGCGGCCGAAGAAGAAGCTCAAGGCTCTCCATTGGGACAAGGTCGACGAGGCATCTTCTACTCACTGGGCTGCTCACGCTCCTACGGCAGAGGAAAGAGAGGAGAAGTACATCGAGCTCAGCAAGAAGGGTATCTTGGACGAAGTCGAGAAGCTGTTCATGGCGAAAGAAGCCAAACGGATTGGTGGAGCCGGTGCTAAGAAGGATGACAAGAAGCAGCTTATCTCTAATGATCTGCGAAAAGCATTCGGTAAGTTATCCCCGCGCCGGCCTGGCTCAGTTAGGACGCAATACTTACAAGTCACTAGAAATCGCTCTTTCCAAGTTTTCTCAGTACTCTGTTGAGAAGGTTGTGCAGATGATCATCCACTGTGACACTGCTGTGCTTGACAACCCTGTTGTCATGGACTTCCTGCAGAAGGATGACTTGTGCAACATTCCAGAGAATACTGCAAAGGTCATGGCGCCATACAGCAAAGACTGGACAGGGCCAGACGCCACGTCAGTTGCTCGTGAGCAAGATCCGGCTGAACTTACGAGGCAAGATCAGATCTACTTGCAAACCGCATTCGAGCTCCACTACTATTGGAAGAGCAGGATGCGAGCTCTGGCTTTGACCAGGAGTTATGAAGGTGATTACGACGAGATCACTGAGAAGATGCGCCAGATCGTCGAAGTGTCCGAATCCCTCAGGGACTCGGTCTCCTTGATGAATGTCCTTGGCCTGATTCTCGATATCGGCAACTACATGAACGATGCGAACAAGCAGGCTCGGGGTTTCAAGCTCAGCTCCCTCTCCCGTCTCGCCATGGTCAAGGACGACAAGAACCAATCCACGCTTGCCGACCTCGTCGAACGAATTGTCCGGCAGCAGTACCCCGAATGGGACACATTCGTCAATGACATACAGGGCGTCATGACGGCCCAAAAGATCAACATCGAACAGCTGCAAGCAGATGCTAAGAGGTACATTGACAATGTTCGGAACGTCCAAATGTCCCTCGACAGCGGCAACCTGTCCGACCCCAAGAAATTCCACCCACAAGACCGCGTGTCCCAGGTTGTGCAGCGCTGCATGAAGGAAGCTAGACGCAAGGCCGAGCAGATGCAGCTGTACCTGGAGGAGATGTCGCGGACCTACGATGAAATCATGGCGTTCTACGGCGAGGACCCGACAGATGACAACGCCCGGCGAGACTTCTTTGCGAAGCTGGCACTCTTCATCTCGGAATGGAAGAAATCGCGGGACAAGAACGTCACTTTTGAGGAGACGAGACGCCGCAATGAGGAGTCGATGCGTCGCAAGAACGCAGCACTAAATGTCCGCGCAGACCGACTCGCAGACGGCGGACCCGTCAGTCCTAGCAGTGCCGGAGCGATGGATAGCCTTCTCGAGAAACTGCGCGCGGCGGCGCCACAGACGCGAGACCAGAGAGACCGCAGGAGGCGTGCGAGACTCAAGGACAGACACCAGGTGCGTGTTGCCTCGGGACAGAAGATCCCGGAGATCAACGAGATTCCCGACTTGGACACCGGTCTCCCGAGTGCCAAGAGCGTCGACAGCCACGCCACGGACGACACGGCAGCCACCAGCAGCGTGGGCGGCAACCTGCTGTCGCCCACGTCGGTCACCTCGCCACAGGAAGGAGAGGACGACATCGCGCAGCGAGCAGCCATGCTCCTGCAAGGCATGAGAGATGGCGACGAGGGCGAGGGTGACGAGGATAGGAGGGAGGCGCTGAAGCAGGCCAGGCGGAGGACGGCCCAGGACGAGAGGAACTCGAGGAGGCGGAGGAGGGAGAAGACGAGCAGCTCGCAGCCGCCACCGAAGCCGGCGAACGGGACAGCGGAGGGCGAGGCCGAGGGCAACGCGGCCGAGGGCGAGCCGGCACAGGGGGACAGGGACGAGGCCGGCAGCACAGCAGCGCACAACGGGGAGCCCGCAGCTGCGGCTGAGGAAGAGGGAGACGTGCCGACGCCGAAGCCAGAGGAGGAGGCGGTGCCGGCGTGAGGGGGCGGTGTCCCTGATGTCGTCTGCTGTTGCCCCTATGACAAGGTTTCCCCCGGCTGTAATAAGTGAGTGCTCGCGTTTCAGGCTTTCGAGATGAGGGGAGGCGGGTCGCACCACGCTGAATGGAAAGGATCCAGTCAGGCAGGTTGTCGCCTCAGCTGTCCATATCTGCCTGCCTACGTATACGTATGTAGCAGGTGTATATATCCATATATATCCATATAATGTTTACCCAAGGCATGTTGGGAGGAGCGCATGATGTGGCCTTCCCTGCTGTGCTTGCTGTCTGCCCCGTAGGAGAGATGAAGCGATGTCCACAGGCTTGGGGCTTATTGGTCTGGTCCCTTTCTGTTTGATGTTTTGGCGCCCCGTGCTGTAGCAAACCAGGAGGTGGATTTCAGGTTGAGAGGGCGTTGGGATACCTAGACGAGACAGAATGGAATTTCTGGGAGAGGTGGAGGTCATGCTGATGTACATGGGATGTAATGTGAGGTCGTTGTTGTTTGGTTCTCATGGATTCAGGGGTGGCATTGTGTTTCTCATGAAGCCTTGCATATTCCCAGCACTGAAACGACCTCAAGCCGCAGCTGAGTTGACGTGGATGAGAGTGCCCAAAGGGTGATGTCCAGTAGGAGAGAGCCCTATAGAAGGCTTTTCTGTAGGACTATGGAGACAGACCCCGTGGTCGCAATTAGTAAAATTTTCCTAACCCACATGGATGTCACCTCGTTGTGCCCAAATAATGCGTCGCCAGACCATAGTATCTAGGACCTCTGTAGACGACTGCAAAACTTGGGGAAGGTGATTTTGTAACTCGAGTCCCAAGCTGGACAACCCGCTACCAGAAGATAAGCCATGTAATAATGCTGAACCAACAACTGACTCTTTTCCTTCACCAAAGACAACGGAAACGATGCCATTCTCTCGAATAAGCGGTAACAAGCTGGAGCAAGATTGCAATCAATGCGACCAGAATGCGTAGTGTGAAGAAGATTCCTATGTCTCAGGCCAAAGAATTCTTTACAAAAGTTAAGAGATTACCACTTAGAAGATGCTTGCAAGAACGAATCCAAACATTAAATCGTGCAGGCCCTGGCCGCATGAAACGTTATCATGTCTACCCGCATAACCCAAAATTCAGCACAAATAGGGGAGTGTCTCGAGGTCACACCAATCATAGCCGCATGGCAATGCGAGAACTCCAAACTGTCTCCACCAAGCGTACTCACGAACCTATCTCCCATGGATCCTAGTCTCATGGGCCGATGAGATTCGCGGTGAGATCGTTGTTGAAGGGGCACCTGGCACCGTCGATCGGGCGGGCAACAGGAAGGATGCCCTGATATACGAACGAGGCAGCGACCGTCGACGCCGGGTCGAGGGGGAACCGCCACGTCTGGCCGGTGTTGGACTCGGTGGCGTAGATGTTGCCGTCGTTGGCGGTGTAGACGGCGCCCCAGTCGGCCAGGCCCCCGAGCAGGCCGCCGGCGACGTTGAAGAAGGTGCGGACCTCCACCCAGGCGAGCGCGATGGTGTCGAAGTAGACCAGGTGGGTGTTGTAGGTCACGAGGAGGCCGAGGATGACGACCTCCTGGCCGAGCGCGTAGAGCCTGTTGGGATACTGGGGCACCCAGGCCCAGTCGCCCACGTTCCATCTCTTGTTGGCCGCGGCCCCGTAGCCGACGACCTGCCCGTATGTGGCGCTGGTTGCGTCCAAGTTGACCCGCACCCAGCCGCTGCCGCCGCCGTGGCCCAGCCAGTATTGCTGGGCACCGTCGATGTCGCCGATCAGGAGCAGTTCTGTGGTCACGCTCGCTGGGATCTGGAACGTGGGTCCTGCGAACTCGTATAATCCACCAGCGCCTATCCGCACAATAGCTTGCGGGCTCAGGCTGAAAGCGACTCCATATAGGTAGTTTTGCCCCGAGTGGTATCCTATGGCATTGATCGGTGGGGCAAATAGACCGGTTATCGTGTCCACCAGACTCCTTAGGAGGCCGAAGAGACCGCCACCGATGTTCAGAGTGTAAAGATCTCTGCCAACGATTTGGTACGATGGCCCAACGCAGGTGAGAGGTATCAAGGGCGAGATGAAAGGGGTCGGGCTTGATCTGAGGCATATGTTAGCGAGTGTCACGGAGACCGGAATTAGTTTCAGACGTACGACGCAGAAGAGATTGAAGATGATCCCGTCGACCCGCTCGATGAGGCACCTCCATTGCTGGTCGTCGGCGTGAGCCCAGGTGAGGATGAAGTCGCCGACGTGGAGGACAGGCTGCTGCTATTATCGCCACCGCCGTTATCTCCATTGCTGGTCGTTGGCGTGAGGCTAGTTGAGGATGAAGTCGCCGACGTGGAAGACAGGCTGCTGCTGCTATTATCGCCACCATTGCCGTCACCTCCATTGCTGGGTGTTGGCGTGAGCCCAGTTGTTGGGGATGAAGTCGCCGATGTGGAAGACAGGCCGCTGCTGCTATTATCGCCACCGCCGTTATCTCCATTGCTGGTCGTCGGCGTGAGCCCAGTTGGTGGGGATGAAGTCGCCGATGTGGAAGACAGGCTGCTACCGCCATCACCACCACCACCACCGTTACCTCCACCGCCTCCAGCAGATGTTGTTGTAGTCCCGTCGCTGCTTGGGTTTGGAAAGGGTGGTAATTGTGAACTGCTGCCTCCGCTGCCATCTCCACCACTTCCAACAGATGTCGTTAGCGTGAGCCCAGTTGAGGATGAAGTCGCCGACGTGGAAGACAGGCTACTGCTGCCACCACCGCCGCCGCCGCCACCGTTACCTCCACCACCTTCAGTAGATGTTGTTACAGTCCCGTCGCTGCTTGGGCTTGGAACGGGTGGCACTTCCGAACTACTCCCCCCGCTGCCACCTCCACCACCTCCAGCAGATGTTGTTGTAGTCCCGTCGCTGCTTAGGCTTGGAACGGGTGGTACTTGTGAACTGCTACCCCCGCTGCCACCTCCACCTCCAGCAGATGTCGGTATAGTTCCGTCGCTGCTTGAGCTTGGAACGGGCGGTACTTGCGAACTGCTGCCCCCACTGCCACCTCCAGCAGACGTTGGTACAGTTCCGTCGTTACTCGGGCTTGAAACGGGTGGTACCTGCGAACTGCTACCCAGGCCACCTCCGCCACCTCCAGCAGATGTTGGAACAGTTCCGTCGTTACTTGGGGTGGTTGGAACAGGGGGCACCTGCGAGCTGCTAGATGTTGGTGTAGTTCCGTCGTTACTTGGGTTTGGAACGGGTGGCAGCTGTGAACTGCTGCCCCCGCCATCTCCACTACCTCCACTAGATGTTGGTGTAGTTCCATCGTTACTTGGGTTTGGGACGGATGGTATTTCCGAACTGCTGGCCCCGCCACCTCCGCCACCTCCACTAGATGTTGGTGTAGTTCCGTCGTTACTTGGGTTTGGGACGGGTGGCAGCTGTGAACTACTGGCCCCGCCGCCTCCGCCACCTCCACCTCCTCCACTAGATGTTGGTGTAGTTCCGTTATTACTTGGGCTTGGGATGGGTGGTATTTCCGAACTGCTGCCCCCGCCCCCGCCGCCACCATTACCACCACCAGTGGTTGATGGTGATCCACTGCTGCTGGGATTTGGTACGGGAGGTTGTCCCGTGCTCGAGCTATCGCCACTGGGGTTTGGAGTAGGCGGTATTGGAGGGTTGTTGGTTGGAGAGCCGTTGCCATTGCTGGTGAGTTGTCCCGTACTCGAGCCATCGCCACTGGGGTTTGGAGTAGGCGGTATTGGAGGGTTGTTGGTTGGAGAGCCGTTGCCATTGTTGGCGGGTGTTGTGGGAATGAGGTTGCCGCTTGTGGTAGCTGGGCCAGGGCCAGGGGTAGGAGGAACGATAGGGCCGAGAATAATGATGTAGAGCTGTACGGTGACGCTCACACTCCCGTAGACCAGCCTCGCCTCTCCTGCCTGGGTAGTAGTTGTCAGAGTGGCAAGGATGGTAATGGGGTAGCTTGGGTAGTCCGGTGGAACAATGCCAATGATTTGTCTGGTTGATGTATTCAAGTCGACGTTGAGAAAGGGCGTGTCGGGGCTCGTTGTGAGTCTATTCACGGTATCTGTGGGAAGCTGCAGATACTTAACCAGGTCTATAGCGAAGGGGCTGCCGACATATATCGTCTCCCTTGGCAACGGTCTAGGAGAGACGGATGAGCTTGGTGAAGGACCAGTCGGTGTTGGATTCGGCCCTGTGCCAATTGTAATATTGAGTTGGATCACGAAGGAGTAAGTGAACCTAGTAACTGGGTTGGTTACTCGTACGAAGATCTGAATGATGCCTGCGGGTTGGTTGGACGGTACGATGCCGTAGAAGGACTTGGTAACTGGATCATAGAATATCCAGCTCACCGGTGGGTTCGTCGTGAAGGCCACGACCTGGTCGCCTAGACTGCTGAAGAACGAGGAAATGCTGACGCTGAATGAAGATCCGGGAGCAACAGACACTGTCGTTACGATTGGGCCCGCCCCAGGAATCGTTGACGAACCGGGAGGGCCAGGGGGCCCAGGAGGTCCGGGAGGTCCGGGAGGACCTTGGGGCCCAGCTGGCCCTTGCCCATATGGACCAAGAGGAACTGGAGTTATGCCCGGCGCGGCAAGATATTCTGTCGTGTATGTGAAGCAGATCGATGCCGCCCCACCGTACAGATCCCGCTCGTCGACGGCGGCCAGGTTCCCAACATCAACCGCAGCAAAGTCTTTTTGTCTCCGACGAAGGGGTTCGGCTGCAAGGGGGGACGCAAGAGCTAGCAACCCAAGAGTGAGCCATGCGCGGATTGTTGGCGCCATCTTCTTGCTCGAGTACAAGGGCAAGGAAATAATGCAAGGCAGAAGAAGGTCGTGCTGAGGTTAGCAGATGAACGGAGGACTGGCCGGTGGCCACCCACCAGATATATATTCCGACCAAGGCTGATACGATTCATATTCTAATGGATCTGGGACGCGTTTTCGTCTGCGAGCGAAACAGGAATGGGAAAGATTCGCGTTTCGTGTTCCAGCATTGGGAACCCATTGAGCAGCATCGACAGTGAGGCTAAGCAGTACCATTGGCATTCCGACTCGTAAAAGGCACTTAAACTCAACCCCGCGACGCGACCACGCGACTTGATCTGATCGGCGGGGATATATAGTGCTGGAGATCTCGCCTCCAGATACACCAATATAGTTCGTCATTCGGGTAGAGCTCCAGGGCTTCAACGGTTGACTCAGCCAAGAACCACAGCGCCACGGAGCGGCTAAGGCCGGTACCTGAGACACCGCCAACGATGAAGCCACAACGGTGACAGGCTGACAGGCTGATTCCAGCAGGATGAGGCTGGAATGCTGCTCAGATTGCTCCAAAGGAAGTTCCCATATCTGGAGGACGGAACCGATCGTTAGCAACAGCCAGCACCTACCGCCCGGTTAGAATGTAAACTATGCTTGTTTGGACGCGTCAAGAGAATAACACGACGTGGATACTGGCCACATGCGCCACCCTCATCTTACCTTTCTATTTAACTCGTTTCTCCCGGATTCATCTTCCTCTAGCGAAGACGAAACCAGGCGATCGCTTCGGTAATACTCGACAGTCGCTTTTTATCACACTCTTTTTCTGAAGCCAACGCCCCTTTGGGTCAGCACTAAGACGCTTCCTCGTCTTGTCTCCCAGTCCACTCTTTCATTAGGCCCTCTTGTTCCTGAAGCGACACAGCGACGATCAAACTGGAGAAAATGAGCACCAACGTCCGTTCCCTTTCCGCCTTCATGGCGGCGGTCATGCTGGCCCCCATCGCAGCGGCGGAATACTGCCCACTTGAGGTCCGCACCGCGACAGTCACCGCTTGCTTTACCAACAAAGGGGCTGCGGTCAAGCCCACCTGCGATGTTGCCTGCCCGACCCCTGTTGCAAAGCCCAAGGAAGATGGCCCCGTCAAGGTGTTCGTGCAGGCGCCCAAGTGTGACAGCTGCGGCTGTGACACATGTGCCCACACAAACATCTACACCACGACCTACGACGTCTTCTGCCCGACCGGTCTCTCCAAGCAAGAATACGTCGTCACCGAGGTTTATGCCGGCATGTCTGCGAAGCCCAGCGTGACTGAGGCCCCTCAGGTCCCCTTCGGTTTCGCCGTCGGCGTGCAGACCTGCCACGAGTGCGGCGAGAAGCCCGTCATTGCCACTCTCACCTACCCCGCCGAGGGCTGCCCTTACATGAAGGGTATGTCCGAGCCCATGGGTGCACCCAAAGGTTCGCCGGCATACGCCGTTTGTATCGACAGCCCCGCTGGACCCGGACAGCCTATTCTTCCCGGTCCCCCAGGCTCCCCTGGCGGAGGCCCCGGCGCCGGCCCCAACAATATCCCAGGTACTGCCCCGGGCGGCGCACCTCACCCTGACGTCGGCCCACAGCCTGGTGGTGGTCAGCCCGGAGCTCAGCCCGGTGCTCCCGGTGCCCCAGGTGCCCCAGGCGCCCCGCCTGCTGGAGGCGCTGCTCCGGCTGGAGGCGCTCCCCCTGCTGGAGGCGCCCCTCCTGCTGGAGGTGCCGCTCCTGCTGCTCCTGCCGCTCCTGCTGCTCCTGCTGGAGGTGCTGCCCCGGCGGGCGGAGCTGCCCCGGCTGGAGGTGCTGCCCCGGCTGGTGGAGCTGCCCCTGCTGGCGGCGCCGCCCCTGCTCCTGCGCCGCCGGCCAACGAGAACGACGTATCACCGGCGCCGCCGCCGCATGGTAAGTCATCAAGCGTGCCCTTCTTAACAGTGGCGAAGCTAACAGTGTTCTGCAAACTCAGATGGCGCAGCTCCTCCTCCTTCTGAGCCAACAGGCTCGTCAGGCATGGTGCAGGTTGCCGCGGCACACCCCGCCTTCGTCCCAATAACCATGGGCAGTGTCCTGGGTTTCTTGCTTTCCTTCGTAGCGGCTCTATGACAGGCGGCCAGCCTCTAATACTGAGATTTATAATGAGTAATGTTTCTTCGTGATGGGCGATTAGAGAAAGGGAGCGGACAGCCCAGCCTGGGCTGGAATACAATTACCTGGGAATGTTAATGCATACGTCTTGCTGCTTTAAAGGGTTTCATTTTGTATAAAGTTGCTTTTCATCAATCAACAGGATCTGCCGTCGCTTGCAAAGTCGGCCGCATATCCTCTTTCATCCATGACCTGAATGAACCTTGGAAGCCCATGATCTTGGTATCAGACTCCAGTGACTTGTTGCTTTGGGCAGGAAACCAACCACGGCTCCTTTGGTTTGTAACGTGGAACGGTCCGAATCCTTCAAGCGATCACAGGACCAGCCATCCAAGCTCCTTGCCGATGTAAGACGACCTCGTCAGGAGCCTAGTGGTAGAGCACTGGACTCGTATGGGAAATTTAAGCAACCACAGGTGGGTCGTCTTACAGGAGGTTCTCGCCGACCTTTTCGCCAGGAAGCGCAAGCTTGAGGGCCTGGTTGAAGTCTCTGGCCATCTGTGTTGAAGTGATCGAGACGGATATTCGAAAAGACATCAAGCTTGTTGTTAGTCCTGCCATTTTCGATGAAAGTGGTCGACCACTGACGAGTTGAGCACAGGACTGACAGACGCCAAGACACGTGCAGTTTCGAGATGGGGCCAAGTCAGGCGAGCGGGAGCCGAATGCTGGTTGAGGGTTGGGGTATGTACGGGGCTGGCGAGCAGTTGGGGGGAGCCCGGGGGGGGGTTCGCTTCCTCTACGCAACTGATCACATATATTCCAAGATTATTACCGTAACACCACCACATCTAACTTGATTGATGTTATAGAGGAGGTTCCTCAAGTTAAATGGCTCCAGTGTATTTTTTAGGCGCTATTCTATAAACCTATCTAGATGTTTACCCAAGGGAGTCATCCCTCAGGAGCACTTAAGGGATCAATCCCATAGGATGGCCTTACATAGTTGGGAGATAGACGCCGTGGCCGCAAAGCAAACACCCGAGCAGAGCTTGTAAACTCAATGAAATTATTATGTGGGAAGTGGTTTGCCTCAATATATCGATCAGTCACTATGGCAACCACATTAGTAAGTATGTTTTCAGTGTTGAGGCACGTAGTAATTTCTCATACCACGGCACTTACATCCGGTTGCGTTGCTGGGGTCTAATTTAGGTCTCAGCCACTACTCCTCCTCAGGCTCAAAGAATCCGTTCTCTTTCTTAGTCCTGCTCTGGCCCCTCTAGGCGGCGAGGTTCCGCAAGAAGCTTTTCCTTGTTCCGCTCTCTGAGATTGGTAATGGCGATCTCCTAGTCGCAGACTAGACTCAAGGCCCTTTGATTGCTCAGTGACCAGTGACCACGTGCGTTGAGGTGGTCCTTTGTGCGGAGATAACAGATGGTCAGACGCACCTGACCATCGTATTTCTTGACGTTGTTGGGATTTAATGCACCGAAGCATCATAGAATGTTGTCAACACCAAGGGCAAACTCCAAGGTTTTTTCACAAGTGGAAATGATCAAGCTGCGTCTATCACGGCCGTCACTCAAGCGGCTTCCAAATACTAGCTCTCATCATCTAAGTAAGACGAGTCCCATCCATTCACTTCCCTAGTCTATTTTTAGCAGCTTGGGCTGCAGCGATGTGATCATTCTCTCTTTTGAAAGCAATAAAATATTCCGTCAAAGGCTTTCGAGCAATTTGCCAGTGCGAGCCTAGGATTTGAAAGTTATATGTAGCTCACGCGGAATTAGGTCGCGTCGACCCCGTTGGAATGCAAGGCACGCCACTGAAGTGGCGCCGAAATTCACTGGTGGAGGTTCGCTGAATAAAGAGGCTCAGACTGGAACGCGTAGGGCGTTTTCCCGATCCTAATCAGGCGAGCCGGGCTGCCGGCGCACGCGTATTTCGCGAAGTTGGCGTTGGAATGTATGGCTTGGCACCTTGTTTGGATGAGCCTCGTTTTTAGACTCATCTTCAGCAGCTTGATGGCACCGAGCAATGAAAATGTCCCGATGTTATTTCTTTGACGACAACTTGGAATCCAATTTGAAAATTGACTTGAGACTCGGTGACATGTGTTCGTATGTGGCTTACACACAAACCACTTTTTCTCCACGTCCCAAGCTGTTGGAAACCAGCCTTCAACGGCGTGGCTGACTTACACGTGGCGCCCGTCAGACTACATGTGTGACATTGGTTCAATCGCTCTTGGAGAAGAGAGCTTCTCAAGCACTTGTGTCTTTGTATGGGCTACGATTCCATGTTGAGACTCGTAGGAAGACTGATTCCATTGGTGAACGAGTGTAATTGGTTAAGAGTTGTTTGTATTATTAGATTTGCCATTGAGTGAAGTATCAAAAGGCACCTAGTCAGTGACCTGAGGATTTGGCCTGCGTGATTGAATTGGATCGTGATTTAGATCTTACGGGGATAATAGCTGCAATTCTGTATTTAGCCGCCACGGGTGATAGAGGTTGACAGCCTGGGAACCTTGGAACCCCACTATTATTCCCCGAAGAGTGACATGGAGCAGCCCCTCAACCCCAAATCCGTCTAGGGCTGCTGCCAGGACAGGAAGAGACCGTCTGTTGTGCAACTGGGCCGGTCGGGAGAATGCGACGCGAGGGGTTCTTAGGCAATAGATCAAAGAAGGGTTGGCAGCCGCTTTTTTACCCAGACTTCAACGTGCCCTCAAAATCAACGTCCTGTTCTCCCCCTTGCGAACTTGACATTTCACGTCGGCTGGACAAAACACCGCAAAATGGGTTCCAAGACGGGTCTGGTGATCGGCTATGAAGGGGCTCACCCTTTCTCAGAAGTCAACGTCGTGGACCGCGCCTCAGTGCAAGAGCTACTCCGCACCCTGCTCGACCCCCTGGAGCCGTTCTTCTCCCCCAACAAGGCTCGCGTGAGGGTTCCTGGTGCCACAGCTGTACGGTTCGACCAGACGGCCTCCGAGGTCGAGGGGATATGCCGCCCACTATGGGGCCTGGCGTGTTTGTTGGCTGGCGACGGAGACTACAAGGGAAAGACCTGGTGGATTGACGGCATCAAGGCCGGCACAGACCCTGAGAACCCAGAGTATTGGGGTTATCCTAGAGATAACGACCAGAGAATGGTGGAAATGTGCCCTCTAGGTGAATGGTCCCCTCGAATTCCTAAGCTGTAATTCCTGGGTGCTAAAACCGACCAAAATAGGTTTTGCTCTGGCCGTTGCCCCTGAAATTTGGGGTTCTATGTCATCGAAGGAGAGATCCAATGTCGAGAACTGGCTGGGTAATTCTATCAACGAGAAGAAGTACTGTCGAGACCTGACATACCCTATCTGTCATGGATTTTTCACTAATCATCAAGTATAGCATGCCGAATACCAATTGGTTGTGGTTCAGAGTATTTGCCAACCTCGGGCTGAAGAAAAATGGCGGACAGTTTTCTCAGCAGCGACTGGATAGCGACATCGAGCACCTCAATACCTTCTACCGTGGGGACGGCTGGTCAAACGATGGCCCAGAACACATTCATCGTAGGTGACACCATGACGCGTTAAATTTTCGACGCTGCTGCTAACATGAACTCACAGAGATGGATTACTACTCATCCAGCTTCGCCATCCACTTTCTCCAGCTGCTATACGCCAAACTCGCCGGGAAGGAAGAGCCAGAGAGGGCCGCCGAGTTCAAGAAGCGTGCCCAGGCCGCTGCGCTCGATCTGGTCCACTACTTTGACGAGGAGGGCCGAGCGATCCCATTCGGACGCAGTGTCGGGTATCGTTTCGCAATGTGCTCTTTCTGGGGAGCTCTGGCATACGCAGACGTGGAGCTTCCGAAGCCCTTGACATGGGGTATGGTCAAGGGCATCGTGATGCGTCATCTCCGCTGGTGGCAGACACAGCCCAATATCTGGAGCTCATCTGGGACTCTGACCATCGGATACTCATACCCGAACATGTACATGGCTGAGAATTACAACAGCCCTGGAAGTCCGGTAAGAGAGAGCTAAGGATACCTTTACAAGGCCATCTCGCTAACAACTCGCCGTAGTACTGGGCATGCCTCGCCTTCATCTGCCTTGCTGTTCCAGAGACTCACCCCTTCTGGACATCCAAGGAGGAATCCCAATGGGATGCCATTCCAAGGTCGCCCAAGCCCTTGAAACAGCCGGGTCATATTATGACGTGAGTTTCAAATAGTCCTATTGCTACGTTGACCGTGCTGACGTTTCCAGAAACCTGGGGGGTCACTGCATGCTCTTGTCATCAGGACAGGCATGCGGCTATCCCATGAAGGGCACACACGCGAAATACGGCTGTTTTGCCTACAGCAGTTCTTACGCCTACTCAGCCCCACCAGGTCTCTTCACTTTGGAGCAGTACGCCTTGGCGTCCCAGCTTGGCCTATCCGACGACGGCGGCGAGTACTGGAAGACCCGGAGGATCTCCGACTACGCAGGAATCGAGGACCGAGAGGGAAAACCGGTGCTTGTATCAAAGTGGCGACCCTTCCCGGACGTCAGCATCAAGACCTACCTCGTACCCTCTGAGGAAGCCACGCCGAACTGGCACCTGCGCGCACACCACATCGAGGCCAAGCGCGAGGTCATGACGGCCGACGGCTCGTTCGCGATCTGCAACGAGCGCACACCCGACGGGCGGTTCCTGGACCTCTACGACGCAGAGAAGCTCGAGGGCACGCGGCCCAAGCTCATAGGCAACTACGACGTGAACACACCCGAGGCGTGGTCGACCGGGGTAGAGGGCGCTTTTGCGGTCTCAAAGGGCGCGGTGGGCATCAAGGCGATCGAGGGAGAAGGCGTGGGCCGCATGGCGACGCTGGTCAACGCTGATCCAAACTCGAATTTGGTCGAAAGCCGCACCGTCATTCCCACGCTGCAGCACACGATCAAGGCGGGGAGCTCGGTGTGGTACGTCTCGGCTGTTTATGCCAGGCCGTCAGGAAAGACTGTGGCCAAGGAGACATACTTGAATGGATGGGACAACCCGCCCGCAATTCCTGGGTGGTTAAAGGCCGAGATTGGCAAATAGTTAACAGCATTGGACAATTTGACTTTCTAGCATGATTGCATCTAGAAGACGAATATCTGCTGCATAAATACACCATCAGCGCAAAACAGCCACACCTTCAGAAGTGATACAACGTCATACCGGAGCTCCGTAGCTTGCGTGAGATTTTGGAGTTGCTTTGTGGACCGCTTCTCTGGAGGTCCACCGAGAGACTTACCTCCAAGATATTATTTTCTTAGAGATTATCCTATAGGATAAGACTTTGTGGGAAACCCAAAACTTCAGTATGTTGTAGGACGCTATCATGATGATATCACCTTATAAGATGCTAGCCGGTTGTCTTATAGGAGGATACAGTGATAGCCTAATAATGAATGAATGCTGCTGGCCAACCCCCTGAACGTCTAAGTAAGTACTCTGCCAACGACTAGCTTTCGAGACTTCCCAGATCAATCTCCTCCTGGCGCCTCCGGAACAATAGCTTGCCCTCCGGGTCAGGAACCAGGGCCATGCCGAAGGGGATATACTTCGGATCGTGCCCTTCAGGGAGCTTCCACTCGTACTTCAAGAGCATGTGGCACAGAATTATCTTGAGCTCATTGGATGCGAAGAAGCGGCCAGGACACGCGTGTTCCCCGTGCCCAAAGCCGATATGCTCGGCGCTAGTTGTCACGAAGTGCGCCGTGTGCTCCTTGTCTGTCCCGCGGAGGTCCTTGAAGCGGTACGGGTTGAACTCTTCCGGATTCTCGTAGTGCTCCTCAGACCACATGTGGGCGACATCAACCCACACATGCTCACCCTTGGGGATGACCAGTCCATTTGAGAGCTTCAACGGTTTGACGGTTTTGCGCCGCATGGTCGCTGTGGGGGGGTGAGATTGTCATCAGCGGATCAGACACCACACATCACCTGTGCTTTCAAAAGTTTGGAATCTGCTTACTGAGAGTCACAGGCTTCAGGCGCTGGCACTCCTTGATGACGCTGTCCATCAGCTTGAGGTTATATAGTGCTGTCTTTTTCAGACCATCTCTGCTGAGAACTTCCACAATCTCTTTTCGGAGAGGCTGGAACATCTCGGGGTGGCGAGCAAGCTGTATCATGATTTCTGACATGAGATCTGATGTTGTATGGATTGCGACAATGGAAAGTGTAATCCTGAATAGCAATTCGTCTTCGTTAGCTTTGTTGTGTGAGAAACATGAGGGCCAGAGTAATTCAAATCAGGAACAGGAGTTGATCAAGCATCGATATCGGTATCTGCTGACAGCGTGTGGGGAGAAACGTACAGAGCTGTAGCGGCGTCGTAATGTTTATACTCCTTCTCGAACCACTCCAGAGAGTCATTAAACACTGGGGGTTTCTCTCCCTCAGCTAGCGCCTTAGCTTTAGCAGCCCTCCGTGCAGTGACATATGGTTCCAATATCTCTTGGCAGCGTGCCATTCTTGCGCGCATTTCCTTGCATTCGGCAAGGAAGGGGGCTACCCAGGGGCGCAATATGGATGGCCAATCCCGCAACACTTCGACGGCGTTGAAAGCACATCTGGTGTACAAGGCGGATTCATTGAGCCAGTCCTCGTTGCGACAAAGTTCCTCTCCCATGAATATTCTCGTGGAGACCTGCGCGACGATTTGAAGCATGTCTGAGGAGGGTTTGAATTCGAGCCATTCTATGATGCACTTGGGTCAGACTCCAGATATCTAGAACCTGGACTTTTAGGGGATATAGTTAAGCATGCTGACCTGAAGTTGGTTCCCCGAACTTCTTGGACAGTGCTAGTTTTGCCTCATCCGATAACGCCTTGGTCATTTTATCTGCAAGTTTTCATGCACGATTAATTGGGGCTTCGAGGCAGCTAGGGGAAGGCAGGTCATCATCGCTTACTAAGTGCCTTGGTCAAATGCCTGTTGACGAGCTGCGATAAATTCTCATCCCCAATGAGGCCTTCAAAGCCCTGGACATGGGCATGGAAGTCCTATGCACATTTTAGTTACCTCGAACACTGAGACTTGAATACCTAGGTACCTAGGTAAATCAACTTGCCTCTTTGAACGACACGCGAAAGCTCAGGGCCTGCTCATTGCGAATGTCGTTGATGAGCCTTGGGGGAATTATAACAGCGTCAGTGGCACCGATGTAACTGCCAGTGTACAAACGATATGGCTCATCAGGGAATTTGGCCCGGCCAGCTTTGATGAACTCCTTGCTATGCCGGACAAAGCTCTGGGTCTGCTCTGCCGGCACACTGCCAAACAGCCTCAAACGAGACTTGGGAGCGTTCAGCTCGGGTACATTTGCTTTCCTCTGCCCGGTGCTGTAAACTGCCAGGAGAAACAAAAAGGCAACAATGACATATGCGACACGTTGGTCTATGGGAGATGAAAATGTGAAGAGCTCTGGCCTTAGATTGGGGGCCTCTGTAAACGGTTGTTGTGTCATAGTGAGCGAAATCTGAGGGATAATAACACTTGCAGTACGAGTATTCAAAATGTAATTTTTTTTGAGATTGCTTAAACGAAGATTAGTTTTCAAAGCACAATGGCAGATGCTTTATACCCAGATATCATTGAGCAAGGTGCCCACATGTTTACATTTGCCCCTCGCCCTAGTTCTCATTGAGTCACGTCACATCGAAGAGGGTCAAGCTCCGTTAATGGGTTTTCTTGTCCCGCCGTTGCAGCAGTTCTAGGGCCCACCCACACCGGTCAAAGCATGCATGTCGCTCTCGAATGAACAAGGTTTTCCGGAATTGTGGTCGCAGAGTAACATCTTATGAGGTCAGGAAATGATCCCTTGAGTTGGGTTTAGATCTGTGCGTGTGGACAGATGAATACTAAAAGATACCGCAGATTCAAATAGTATGGAATTCAGGTAGCTATTTCGCAGTGTTATATTTAGAACATGTGAGGAGGATAATTGATACTTAGTAGGAGAGGTTAGAAGTGCCTATATCACATAGATTAGGGGGAAGCCCTGTAATTGCATGATCTAGTGATTGCCAAAGTCCTGCCGGAACGGTCTCAATACTGTTTTCCGGGAGCCCGGAAGCATATTGTAGTATTTATGCGGGTCTTGGAACCTAATGGCCAATAGTACAGTTCCAAGGTTCCCGAGGTCATTTCGTAAGACTGATAAACAACGGCGCCGAAAGCCTTCCGAAGCCCCGCAAGCAAATACACGTGTACATGCACTATTCTTTGCAGGAGTTCGAGCTTAACATGCCCTAACCCAATGTAGGCATGGGTATATTATGGACAGAGCTCGTACACTGTGGGTGAGCTTTTCCAAACAGAGGATTATAAATAATCAATCGAGGAAAGAGCGGCATCGTGTTCAATACGTACCGTGGTAGCTATGCGTTAGAAGAAGGCTTCTGGGCCACCTTAACGTCATGTCATATGTTCAAGACCGCTGACTTCATTTCTTACACCCAATACCTTCTCTAAAGCTATATTGTATATCTTGCTACCTTAATTAGCGCATAGCAGATCTAATCATGTCAATATTGGCAGCATCGACAGCTTCGAGTGCATATCGACTCCAACCAAGCAGAAGGAATTGTATTTTAGCCCTATTTCAGAACTTACTTGCTTTCCTTGACTCAGTACACCCTGGAATTTCACACTGCAACGCAAGAAGACTTCGCGGTTTACAAGAGAACTTGGTACTTCAAGAATCACCATAGAGGAGGTATTAACGCATCGCTGGTCATAGGACTCTAGTTATACAGCGACCCTAAGTATTACAGCTTAGTGCGACTGTGAAATTGACGAAAAGTCAACAAAAACGCGCCCAACTTTGTGTTAGGATACCAGTTCCTGTGTTACATTAGCTTGCTATTACAAGCTGCGTTGCAACCAGCTCTAAGAGTCACCCACCATGCATCTCCGACCGTCGACAAGCTGAAGTCGCCTTCGAAAGGTGGAATCACCGACCAAACAGGGTCGCAAGTGGAGAGGCGCTCCACAGCTTACCAGCAATCGGCAAATCCGCTTGAGCGTGTTGAGCCACGCGCCTGGCTAGATCCCCGTAATCCTCCTGCTTTGTCCTGTCACTTACGAAAATATTTTTGGGACGGAATACGTCAGCGTGGCCAGCAATTATCAATGGTTACGGGAGACTCGGAAGCTGCCCAGGTGCTTATTGATAATGAGCGCTGCTAGCTCATTAGAGAAGATTCCATTAAGCGAAAAGCGCAGAGAAGTGAGTAGCACGCGCTTTGCGGTATAGCTGCCTAGGCCTGGGATCCCTTGATGCATGCCGTTTTGCAACGGGCGTGCCAACATTGAGACAATGTCCATGCATGTCTGTCTGTCTGCCTACCAACCCATTGTGACACAAATGGCCCCCACGTAATGGTTGGCGTGAATACTCGGTGCGGCTACGGGCCCAGAGATCTACACTTGACCGCGCCCTGTCTGGCCACCTTTATCGATGACTCCTTACTATTTTTACTTGGTGCCATAAAACTAATTTCCGGTTGCAGCGTCGTACAAACAGACTCTTGTGTGGTGAGTACATTTGACTGGCTAGTTCCAAATCAGATGCCTTGCTGGCCTTTTCTGTCGTGCTGGGATGAGCAGCTCTGATTGATTCAAATGCAAGTCGATTGGGGGCCATTGGAGGCGAAGCATCTTTCCATGTGTTACTGCCCTTAGCGATCAGCCAGAAAAAAGCAACCATGACTGCTTGCCAAGTTCAGGTGAGGTTGTTTTTCATCCATCATGCATAAGGCTGTGGACACTGTTCTCAGCTCTGGTTGCCACACAACATCATGGCTTCCACAGGAGGCTGGGCAACTCTTCGATAACCAGATTTCCATTTAACTTAACTGACACCTCCAGTGTCTTCCTACGCCATTGTCTGCTCTTCTTTTTCTTAGACCATTCCACATTCTAGCACATTTCATCTTCGAACTGTGTAATTTTTTGAACAGGCATCTCACCGTCTCTCAGTCTCCCACGATGACCAACCAGACCGCATGGGCAGATGCGGCTTCAACGGTGACATACAATGTTCACCTAGGGACTTGGATTAACTGGTCTCGGGGCCGTCTTATGGGAGCAACACTTACCCTCAACCGTGTGGACGGAAGTCTTCTTATATCGTTTACTGCCGTCTTTGTTGGTATAGTGGCTGGACGATTTTGGCGCATTGCTTGCATGTTAGTCAAAAACTGAGTGTTCTTTTTTGTCACAATCTCCTTATACTGTTGTTTCGCACCCCCCATCGCTCTTCTTGTTCCCGACAAGATTCGTTGAAAATCCGGAGTCTTTTCTCCGGTCTCGGATCAATGACCCCGATTGTTTGCAATCCCATACCACGTATTATGACGCTGACATAGGTTGAGGTAGATTGTTCTATAGATGCTATTCATCTCCTGACCCGCGTGATGCACTCTACCACCAGCAACAAGCAATCCTGCGCAATTCCAATTGTATGTTACCTTCAGCATTAACAACCCCCCCACACTTCGTCCTAATTTAGTGAGGTGTGGTGGAGGTTTCGCTTCTTTGGAGGCTCATACCTCCTCTGGTGGTTCTTCGCCCAATCTTCCCGACACTGTGTGCCACAGCCTTGGCTAATCCGTTCGGGTTGCAGCTGCAGTTTCCGCCATCTGGACCTTTTCACAGCTGCTCTGGGCGTGGCAAAATATTGCTAAGCGATGCTTCGTCCGGCTTCTACCTACAATACTGACGGCTACACTGTGTCTATGCGCTTTCACAGTTGCCGGAGGGTTCTCTTCATCTATTTCCTCTGGTATTAGTGACGAAGTGCTAGTGAACGGCACCAACTGCGCTTCTATCGTAACAACATCAGCTGACCCGAAATCCCGCCACTTTCTTGCCCCCTACGACTCGCAGTTAACTCATGCTGCTGCGACATATGCACGGCAATGCTATTCTTCCGCGCCCGGTAATTTTGACTGTACATCTTTCGTTCGAAGTCAACTGGCCAGTACGGTTGATAACCAAGCCGCTTGTCCTTTTCGTAACGCTAGTATCTGTCGCAGCAACACCTCTAATACACTGCTAGACACTGGATATATCGATCTAAATAAGGACTTAGGCGTCAATGCTCCACCAGACCAGAATTTTCAGTTCAGAGCAGTTCTGCATTGTGCGCCTTTAGAAACGCAAGGTTACACCGAATCTATAAGGGGGGCATACACCAATTTCACCACTTATAATTATGGGCCTCGGTTTTCCGGCGTCGCAAATTACACCCACATGGTTGAGACCCTGCGAGCACAATATACTCGGCAGCCCGAGAATATCCTCCGTGGTGAGGGTAGAAAATTTATCTTGAGGTGAGCATCTGATCTCTTCGTTCTGTGGGTCGGCTTCTCCCAGATTTTGACAAATTTTAACGGTTGTCAGTGTCACGAGAAATACAGTGTTCCAACACCAAGATCAGATGGAAAACGCGACCTTCGTTCCAATTCCTGCACTCTTCCGTCCCGATGGTGACACCGCCTTGATTTTTCTCTCAGGTAATGGGATACAATTCTTCGAAAAGTCCAACGACCCCTGGTACCGTGGGACTTTACCAGGTGATAGAGCCGTCTCGCCCGGCGCAGATGGGGAGAATTCCTTATATATCCCAGAAGAGGCAGCTTCGCCTATGGGCTGTGTCCAACAGTTCCAGTTCTGCAACCCTTCGCTATCAAGCAACAGCTGCTCACCGCTTGGCAGTTGGACCGATGCACAACTTGAAGCGGCTCATCTTTTCGGTATATCAATATCCGGCGATGATGAGCGGGATAGTTTTGAGAACAATGCTATTGGTTCCCGATACCAGTGGCTACTGACGATCCTAGCATCTGTGGACATCATTAGCGCCGTGATAAATAGCCTCGGCCCAGATGCTTTGACTTCCATGGACTCCCTCAGCAACGGGTTGATGGGGCCCCTCCCGGATGATCAGTGGCAACAAGATGTCAGCTTCTGGTGGGCTACATACTTGGCAGGTATACAAGCAGCAGTCGTCGAAGTTGCTCATGGTCCTGCGAATCCAGCAATGGATCCCTATAAGAGGCTGCCGTTCAACTCGTATGTGCAAGACATGTGCAATAACCAGGTGAGGAAAATACAAGTGATTCATGATGTTTCAAGACCAGAAGCTGATGTTAATTTTTTGAATTGTTAAAGAAGGTTCGCAGTACCACCTACATATCCTTCAGTCTCTTTGGGCTCTATTTTACTTTCATCACCGGGGTCCTGTTTATTACCACCTCTTACACCTTAGAGCCCATCTTCCAGTGCCTCTACCGCCGCCGGAAATACAAGGAGTACACATACCTCGAATGGGCAGCATCGGAAACACTTCAACTTCAGCGCATCGGTTTTCAGGGGGCCGGATTGGGTATTTGGTCTGGCTACACGAATAACGTCCCCAAGACAGAACCGGGCGAAATCCTCGAAGGTCTAGCTTTGAAATACCCTGCGGGTACAAATAGCACAGATGGCGATTTCAAGACCCCGGAAAAGACGAGCAGTAATGCGAACAGTGTAGTACATGCAGCCAGTTCGGATCAAGAGGCTGAGGAGGCCTCTTTGGATGAGTTGCTCGGCACATCAGGATCTCAAGCCGATGAGGATCAAAGTCCTCCGATTCATCCTACCACCTCGCGAGTTATTCTTGAAAGCAGAGAAACAAGCTCTACTTCAATGGCCAATTCTCGAACGGGTACATGAATGATTCAAAATTTGTTCAAGAGAGTGTGGCAAACTGGCTTCTGGGATCGAGTCAATAGATTTTAATGGAAAGGTAGAGATTTTTATACTTCAATTGAGCTTTAGATATTGATGATCACCCTTTTCTTCACCCTGAGGATAACAAAACTTGTATGTGTGAGGTGGTCTGCCAGTTTGTCTCTGCTGAAATTCATGTTTTGAACAATGCGCCAAGTGCAGTGTTGAATAAATGCAAGGGAACTGACTTCAGTCCACTGAATGATGCTGTCGTGAACAGCTTGCTCACATCCTCGTAGACGAGGCCATCGTACAAGCTACATCGATAGCTACACTTGCAGTAGCGGAATTCGACGGGATGGCGGTGGTGTCGATGGCGTCGAGCCAAGTCATTTAAGCCACCACTGGGTATCAGAACGCATCGTATAAACAGGTCGATCATCTCTTGCCTCTGACTCACTAAGACACCTGCACCCGAAGTTCAGTCAGACGGGCTTAAGACCACTACCCATTCCGATCCTGCGTTTTCAACCCTCTCACACTCGCTGATGAAGCCTCTAGTAACCCAGCGGATCACCCTCAGTAACCTTCCCAGGGTCCATTTGGCCTCGAGTGCGCCTTTGGAGTGCCACAAAACGAAGGCCGTAGCTGCAGGCGATTTTGGTTGAATCAGGCGACTACTGAGAGAAAAACGCATACAGAGCCTAGTAGAGACAAAGGCCATCAACGACTATGATGATGCGTGCCTTTGTACCTCAAGGCAACCCGAGGACGAGACATTTGACGTGTTGCTCTTCTTATGTTTACCTGCGAACTCGGAGCCACCACAGTAACAACTTCCAATATTGAACGCTTTGAGCAGTTTGTACGAAGAAACCTCGAAATGACTGGCTCATGACTGATTCTTGTTGGTGGCGTCAGTGATGGTCGATGCCGAGAGGCAGGATATTGCAATCTCGTTCTTGCCTTAAATGCCCCAAGATTCGAGGGACGCCCCCGGCAAGCTCCAACAGCCTGAATTTCTTGAGCCAAATTGCAAGGCAATTTCGTTTTATCTCGAGCTTGAGCAGATAGACATAAATAGGTGCCTAGGTACCCAGGTACCCAGGTATTCAGGTAAAGTGGAACCCACGCACGAGCACGGGGTGCTCGATTGTTTGTCCATGGTAGGCAGTCGTCAGCCACTCTTGCCTCGGTCACTCTCACAAGGTCCCTTCCTGCAAAATCCACCTTGTTTCGGCGTTGGAGCCTCCATCTCCAACACGCACCATCTCATTCCCAGCTGAGCGCAGCTTGCACCCAGACAACGCCAACCTCCTAGCCAAACGCCTTGATGGAGTCTCCCAGCAGCGTGCGACCTGCTGCGCGCATCTCCACCACAACACAATGCCCCAGTCTTCCAGCCGAGTTATGGAAAATCATCTTCTCTGTTGGATACTACCACGAAGAGGACGGCAGCTTCTGGAGCCACTATAAACCCCCTGACTTGGCTAGTATCTGCCGTTCCTGCACCCTGTTCTGTGGTCTTGCCCGCCCCATGCTCTACCACGAGTTCGACTCTCATGTCTTGACCTGCATTAACTACGATGACAACAATGAGTTCAATCGATTCAGCATTGTCAAGTTCGCGTGGACGATTTCTACGAATCCTCTCTTGGCATCTATGGTCCGCCGAGTGAACATCGAGGGAGTGTGTGATGTGTGGGACATGGGCATGGCCTCAGGATCGCCTGTTCCTTCAAAAGACCATCCTAATCATCCTATGGCCTCAATCTTGGCCGATAGGGCCGCTGAGCTGAGCGTTGATTTTAGCTACTACGAAGTGTACACAAATGTACACAGCCCGCAGAATGTGGGATTTGACCTCGTCGCACTCATATTGGTCCAACTCCCGATGTTGGACACGCTCAGCCTCAAATGGTCTGGAAGACCCCCGGTGACCCGAATGCCAGATCCTCGTGGCGCGTGGCCTTGGAAACAGTCTAGTAAGTAATTTCCATTGCTCGGTCGCTGTGGTCTCGAGACTTTATGCTATAAACCGCCCGCTTCCCTGGACCTCGAAGAGGACATTCACGAGATGCTACCGGAACTTACTGTCGATTGTTGCGGTCGGTCTTTCAAAATATCCACGACTAACCAGGTGCTGCAGTTCGAAACATGCACTTGACCTATTCGAGAACGAGTGACCCCACGAAATTTCGCATCATTGGACGTGAGAGGCGTATACCTGGCTACTGCTTAGATCCGGTCATACCACTCTTCATCAGTGGAACAACTCTCACGCGCTTGACGCTGGAATGCAGTGCTGGCCCAAGTTTCGTCCCGCCGCTAGACAACTTGCGAGAAGTGATCATCATAGACTGCGACTTCCGCCCGGGACAGTTTCTGAATCTCCTGGATACTTGCAAAAGCCTCGTCAAATTCGCCGGCAGAAGATTTAAGCTGTCCTGGGGTTCGGAGGTCATGGAGGCTCTCGAGCCAGCCAGCAGCAGCCTGGAAGTCCTTGGTCTTCGCTTTTCGGGTATCGACTTTTTCCGCGGTCAAGGTCCAAGGATTCCATCCTTTAGACAGTTCACGGCACTCAAAACTTTTTCCCTTGATATGAACTGCGTCTGGGACTGGCAGGTGGTGTTGAACGGGGATACATCGCCGAACCCAGATACGTTGTTGACGACTTTGCTGCCAGAATCCATCGAAGAGGTTGCTCTTCTCAATGAGGGTCTTGATAATCGTTTCAGATTCCAGTTCGAGGCTCACGTCAAGAGATTGGGATTGGAAATAACGTTGAACGGGCGATTTCAGCACTTGAGAAGGTTACACGGGGTGGAATTTACGCCAATCGATTTCAACCTGCAAAGAGACATCAACGATGCGCTGTTTGAGGGTGACCGGGACGGAGCACGAGAGATCCAGAATCACGCTGCGCGCCGCTTCGCCACATTGAATGAAGCAAGAAACCTCATGATCGATGCAGGAGTGGAATTCTGCATTGACTGCCCCAAAGAGCTGGAATGCGACTGCGAAAATGACCCCCTCATTCTGGGTCACGGTATTTGACGACAACACAATATCAGGATCCAACTACGGTACAGAGAGAGAGTGAGAAGCCCACATTCGGGATCGCAAATGAAACGGGTCAAATGAAACGGGTCTTGAAACCGTGATTGAGCATAGCCAATGTCACAGCGACATGTCAACCTCGAGTGCAGCCACGGCCATTGCATGGGGGAAAGAATGTGGTTTTGCTCATATGTTTTGATGCTAAGGGATGCTTTCTATGTAGTATCATTGATGTTCTCCGCGGCGGTTGCCTGACCGGAAAATAGTATTATCAAATTGCGTGACGCTGTCTACTTTGCCTGGCTGACTCGACATGACGAATGCCCAGGCAGCTTCAATAGCTTATTGGTGTCAAGCCAAGCCCAATGAATGAAATCCATGTGCCCGAGACAGAGGACAAACGCCCCAGCTGGCGGCATCTTACCATCCTCAGAGGCACACAGGCAAACGCCCTGCCTCGTTCGACGACATGGCCTGCCAGTTCATGTTCAAGTCCGATCCATCAGATCCAATCGATGTTGGACGATACTACCTGAGCAGGGCACAGAACACGAGGCACCCCCTTACAAGATTTCGAACTAAACCTGTGGGGTCGCTGGGGCCCGAGACTGGTCTACAGGCTCGAAGCTGAGGCCAAGTACCGGTAGAGTCTTCTTACACTGTTGTTTATTTTAATTTTAATTTTATTTTCGTTTTTCAACGCTGGGTCTTTGAGCCACTATGTGAAGTGACCGTATGCCTCCGGAATGTATGCGGATGAAGAACGAAACCACTCGTAGATAACCGGATAATAAATCCAGACAACAGAAAGAACAACACTTGTTCAAATGCTTATTCTCTATTTCAAATACGCGCTAACCTCCATCTATCCATGCGTGCAAAGTACCAACTCAGGTAGCTAGCTAGACACCCTCCCTCGCCTATACAAAACACCGGCCCCCACCATCTCACTCCACAGTGCCATCCGGAAGACACTCGACAACATGGAACCCAGCGCTATCATCACTCGCACTCGTATCAGACAGCCCCACAGCATCACCAATACCGTCCGGCCCAGGCCAGCCCTACTCCTCCTGGTCCCGAACGACAAGGTGGCACGGCTGCCGCGAGTGCCAGATGCGCCTCTCCCGCGCCCCGAGGACGAGGTCATGCAGCTCCTGCGTGGCGGACCGGGGCCGCCCGTCGGCGCCGAGGCGGCCCCCGCTGCGCCGCGCCGACTCGCGCCGCCGCTCCTCGTCGGTGGTGGGCCGCCACACCTGCGTCTCCTCGACCGACGCCGTGATCTCGAACTCGCCGCGGCACAGCGCCGTCACGCCCACGACGACGTCGGCGCTCTGCTTGCCCGGCAGCAGCGGCAGGAACTGCTGCAGCGTGCCGTTCCAGCCCAGCTTGCGCGTGTAGTCGAGCGCGACGTTGAGGGGGCGGTGGCACAGCGCCGGCATCAGCCGCAGCGTCGGGTGGATCGGCGCCTCGGTGCGGTTCGTGATGTGCACGCGGATCTGCACAAAGTCGTCGACGCTCACCGTGTTGCGCGAGGTGCGCTGCGCCTTGGTCCTCGTCGCGTCCGAGGCGAGCGTCGCCGAGGACGAGGGGTCCTCCACCGAGACCTCGATGCCCACCTCGTCGACCTTGACCGCCTCGATCATCCGCGGCGTGAGGCGCATGCTGCGGAGCTCGATGGTCCCGGTGCGCGTGGGCCTGCTGGTTGTCTTCCACGTGCCCTTGATGGTGTCGAGGATCTTCTCGCGGTACCAGAAGGCCTCGCGGTTGGCTCGTTCGACGTCTGGGGAGATGTGGCTGGTGCTCACCACAAATTGCCGCTGGCGCGACGGGTTGAGTGCTGGTACTGATGCGTGTGGGTCTTCGAGATATATTCTTTTCACCGGCACGATCACGCGGCTTGTGTTGCCAGGCAGGATGTGCTCTTCGATGATACTGCCGTCCTCAACCTCAAGGTGCGCGATCATGTTGCTTGGCCAGGCATTGCGCAGATCAAGCAGCAGCAGACAGTACTTGTCTGAAGTTAGCACATGGCTTTGGCCGCTGCTCTTGCTTGTCCTTGCCCATAATGGCTGCGGTATGCTTCCATGGAGAGGAAGCACGTCCATCCGTGCGATCTCGACGCTGGCATTGACGGTGACCGTCATGTTCAGCGACACCTGGCGCGTGAAGAATTTCTGCTCAACTTCTTCGGGCGGCACCCCGAAGTGAGCGTAATCGATTTGGACTATTGCGTTTGTCAAACCTGGCTTGCCGAGTATTTCAAACTCGAATGTTGCAGTGTCGCCAGGCGCGATGTATCTTTTGCTAACAGCCTTTGAGAGGCGCAGGGCCTGTTTCTTGGCCAAGATGAGCTCGTACTCATAGAGTTCGGCTGGCGTTGCATCTCGGTTGCTCAGGGCCGCTTGAAGCGGTCCTTGGGTGGAGTCTTGGAATGAGAACAGGAGGAAATCGGCCGGTGTGCTCGAAAGGTTTTGGAGCGTCACCGAAAATGTCTGCCGCTCCCCTTCTAAAATCATGACTGAGGACTGGGGGAGGGTCGTTGACTTGACTACCACCACAGGCTGTTGTGTAATGACATTCAGCTCCATCTGGTGGGGCTTTGGGAGAGGATGAGATGGCACCGGCAGAGACATGTGGTAATCGAGTGCTTCGAGCCCCGTGGCCTTCACTTTGACCTCGTTGCCCGGGGACCAAGCATCCGAGAAAATAGGAAACCTTCTTTCCCTGCATCCTCGTACGCGTATTATTGCGCCTGTAACGCGAAGGGAGCCTGAGCCTTTGGGAGTGCCAGTGACCCGCATTGATTGCGTCCGGTAGGACCCAATGACAACCTTCTCCACGTTGGACTCGAACTCGACCCCCTCAGTGGCTAGGCGTGCGCTAACAATGTCTATCTCGGTGTCGTAAGGATTTTGTATTGTAAGTTTGAACGTTGCCGGCTCTCCGGCGATGAGGTTGCTGACCATGGCCACCTTGTCGGGTAGCTTCTGGAACGGGTTGTGTATGAATGGGTTGACATCCTGAGACGTCCTGGTCGTTGAAAACCCGGGTAGCTCAGTCTTTGCGTGCTCTATGGGCGTGCGGGTGATGGGCATGGGGTCGAGCTTGATGCCTCTGAGGAGGAACTCATCCCAGTATTCTGCCTCCATGTGACCCAAGCCTATCCTTTCCGTGAGACCGTGTGTCTTGGAAATGTTTGTCATAAGTCGTACTTGCTCCTCCACCGATATCCGAGGTGCTGCATCCTCTTGGCGAAGCCCAGGAGCAATGCCGCTGCCGGCTGTCCGCATGAGATCACTGGAGAATTTCAAGACACCCGCGAAGTCGGGCAACGCCTCGGAAAAGTTGATGCAGGCCCTGAGAATATTAAGCTTCAGCTGCCGCATTCCGTACAGGCGAGCTGCACCTTGTTTCTGTATCCGCCTCAGGCATGCTGCGTCGGAGTCCAGGTCAAGTGTTTCGTCTTCCGTGGAACTGTCAGTACCAATTGGAGTGTCGAAAGCCACCGCACCGTACGTTCTCATAATTAATTGCAGGAACGACTCAATTCCTGATTCGATGTCAGTCTCGGCAAGCTGGAGGACGCCACCTTTGGACTGGCCGTTGATGTTGTTCAAGGACACAAGCCCTGCGGCCGGATGAATGCCAACCTCGGCAGCTCCACGAGTGCGCGCATCGACCAGACCCCCTATGACGACCGATATCAACTCTCGTATCACCATGGCCTTCTTTCTTTGGTATCCAAGTAGCCCCAGAACAGACGCGATGCCACTCAAGATCAAGGCACGATCGGGCGTGGTCAGCAGCTCGGACCCAGGCCCCGGGAACGCTCGCATTAAAATGTTGACGATCAACGTCCGAGGCGGGTTGACGGTCAGTCTCGGTGATGTTGTGAGAGGTCTGTCAGGGACAGTTCCGAAAATCATCATGTCCAGAGATTGGCCGCCAAGCTTGCCATCTGCGACGTGCAGCGCTGCCAGTATCCTGCAAAATCTGATGATGGCCTCGGACATTGGCAGCGGTGGAAGATGCTCTGCTGATATCCTAGAATATAGAGCAAGGATTCTGTCCAGCAAGTCCGGGAGGGCCGTCTGGAACTGGCGGAGGTACTTTGGCTGATTAGGATCCACATTCTCCTCGTGCACACCATTTGCCCCCCCTTTGTCGGGCGGAGTGATGCAAATCTGGGGGACCTGATATTCCACCCCGGCGAAACTCAGAAGAATTAAGCTTATGACGATAATCTCGAGTGCCTTTCCGTGCCAAAGATGATCGTTAATCGATTTGGAAACGGTAGCGCCGTCGATAGCCTCCTTTAGTGAGTCGGTCCACCGGCCTGCCTGGAGGTACATCGAGGCCAAGAGAATCGTGACCCTGGCCCTCCCCTTGTTGCGCCAGCGCTCGTTCACGCCCCCAGACCCGAACCCATGCACGGAAATCCGGTCCTGGCTTGCGCTGCGGTTCGACTGAGCATTACTGGGTGCCTTTGACTCGGGGCTCCCGGGACTCTGGGCTGCAGGTATGTCATCGAACGTGGTGGGCGGGTTCGCGAGCCCACTCTTGACCGGCGTCGAGGGCCGGCCTGGCGTTGAGCTGGCCGAGTCGAGCCCCTTCGGAGAAGACTTGAAGGGCACAGGCATTGACATGCGTGCCTGGCTCCGGTCGAGGGCGCCGCTAGCTGAGGCGGACCGGCCGATCGGTAGCGCAAACTGCGAGTTCCGTCGCTTGTCGGCAAGGGCAGAGTCCACGCCGTTCGCCGCGCCCGTTGTCTGCCCTGGCGACTCGATATATGACAAGGCCTCAAACGACTTGGCCAAGGAGGTCATTTCACCTAGCAACAGCGATGTGATGTCGCACATGACGGTCCGCATGGTCGTTCTTTTGCTCTGCGCAGGAGGCGGTATCGGAATGATGCCATCTGGAAGGGCCACAGGGTGGTCGTCTGGGTGCACATAGTCGAACAGCAAGACATTATGGACTAATGCTTTGTGATAGGTCTCCCTCAGGTCATTGAGGCCTTGTTGTAACGCCAGCAAGTTCGTCTCGGCGATCGTTGTCGCCCCGGACAGTCTCTTGTCGAAGGCGGCGTTCTCGAGCTCGGCCCCGTCCGCAATGCCCACGACCACGAGCGGCTCCCTGTAGAAGTCGAAAGGCAGCAGAGCCGAGTGCGAGGCGGGCGGGACATGGGGGCTCAGCTCGTAGAAGACGGCGCCGTCGGGGAAGGCGAGCGGGGAGAACATGTCTGCGGGGGCGACAAAGGGTCAGCGTGAGCTCGTTGGGCGTGGCGGGTTCAGGGGCTGGCGCGCCGCAGCATACTTCTGTTTGGGCGCTTGTCGGCGCTGACATCGCGGAGGTGGACGACATGTTCTGCGTGGAGCCTCTCGAGGAAGGAGTTGAAGCGGGCTGCCTTGATGTGGCCCAGCGGGAGGGCCAGTGCCTTGACCCTCGCAGGGGCGATGGGCAGCAGTGAGTCTGCGCTCATGGTTCTGAAAGCATTCCCCCGTCCGTGGAGCTCTATCTGGGAGCAATCGTTGGAGTCGCGTGTGGCCTGGTGCGCATGTCGGCAGCTACTGGGCGCGGGTGGGCGAGGGGCGAGGGGCGAGGGGCGTTTGGGCAGCCCAGGTGCAACCCAGAGAGTGTTGTGTTGTTCTTTCTCGTCAACTGCAGGCGAAACAGGAGGACCGAGGGGCGTATGCTAGGCTCGAGAGCGCGGGCCTCGTGGTGGGCCCCAGGGTCACGGAGCCGTGTTGGTGATGGCAACTCGAGAGCTCGCTGCGATTAGTGACCCAGCTAAGCTATGCACCCGGATAGGCTATCTGGCCATGTCGCTTCTCTTACTCCTAGCCTCCACCAGAGACATGGTCGAGTCCAATGCCAAGACCTGGTCCAAGCGTCTATCAACCTAGTCAATGGGGCTATTGTGTCTGCACTCTGCAGGTCCTCTCCAAATGACGAGAATGAATCTACTACTAGTGCCCAAGTAACGCCCCGTACCCGTTTCAGCTCCGTCGTACGGACCACTTACCCGCCAAGCGAGGCCACGAAACAAACGGCCACTGAGGTTTCTCCGTCTTCAGCCTCCAACTCGACGCAACCCAACCCAACTCCGCGACCGCGGCCCGGAACTCTATTGAGCTGTGTTGGTAATCCCGCTGGGAGCTGGCGAACAGACTCGCATGGTCCACTGTCAAGTGCTGTGTTTTGGCAGGGGTGTGAAGTTGATCCCTCAATAATAACATCTCCAATGAATGTACAACTCTATTTACAGGAGAAAGTTATCTTTTGTCTCGTAGCCCGGTGCGATCCGCGCAATTCGCGCAATGTATGTATCCTGGCTGGCAGATTAGGTTGACATAAAGTCGAACGCCTCCAACCCCTCGGCTTCAGGACGTAAAGGTGCGTCATGGACTCTGCCCTCTGTGGCCTCGGTCTTCAGCTGGCTCTCAAAGATATCGACTGCCACGCTCGCCTCGACAAAGTCCTCAAGCTCTTCCGTGACTGTCTTGAGCTTCTCCTTCACGGCGGCAGCTCCTTCAAAGCCCACAATGTGTCTCGCCGGCGGGTTCTCGTGGCCACCGATGGCCGTAAGTGCATGCACCGTCTCCATCACCAGCCTCTCCGTGGCCGAGGCGGGCAGCTTCGGATAGCGGTGCAGGATCTCCGTGTCGGACGGCTCGACTGCCGTCTCCGGGTCTGTGTTGAGCACATTGGTCATCATGTCGCGTACCGACGGCGCCGGGTTGATCTCGCTGTCGTACCACGGCAGCTGCGGCGCCATGATAATCTTGTTGCTCAGGCACTGTATCTCCTTGTTTGGCTGCACGATCGTCACCTTGATGTTAAAAGGCGCGATTTCATAAGCCAGGGAGTCACAGAAACCTTCCAACGCCCAAGTCGCCGCTGTATGTGTGGGCATGCCGGGCGTGCCAATGTGACCACCGATGCTGGTGAGAATCACAACGTGCCCGGTGTGTTGCGCCCTTAGTTGTGGTAGTGCAGCCTTGATAAAATTGACCTGTGAAAAAAAGATGGTCTCGAACTGGTCCCTGACGAGGTTCTGTGTTGCTCTTGTTGTCGACAGCTCCTCAACCGTGCCGACAACGGCTGTAGCAGACGAGATCATGGTCAGCACGTGATCATCCACCTCGACCCCTTCTCAAGGGGGGGAGGGGGGGTGGCAGTACGTACATTCAAACTTGCAGCACAGCAAGATATCTACGCGGCCAAAAACCTGGACGGCCTCGGCAATGGCCGCGCTGCACTGGCCCATGGAGCGGCCATCGCAACGGATGCCTCGTATCCGGTCTTTCCAGCCCTCACGGTCCCTGCGACTGCTCTTGCACTCGTTGATGAGCTCTCTGAAATCGGCACTCCTGTCCTCGTGCTCTATCTCATGCGGCGGGAGGCAAGCCACGACATAATCCCCGTGGGCCAGCAGCAACCTGATGAGCCTGATGGCTAGGGGCGATAGAGCCTGTGTCAGGACCCATGTCCTGGGGGAGTTGTGTGTTGCTGAGGCTCAGCATTAGTGAGTGGTCCGGTGCCTTGAGATGGGAGAACCTTATCAGACTTACGGAAGGAGGCGGGTGGCACAGAGTGGCCATGCCTTGCTGAGCCGCCCTCGGAGCCTTTTCGTTCTGCCATAGCTGGTGTTAAACAAGTGATCTCGAGGACGGGCGCACATGCCAGATGCCAAATATATATAAACAGGGCACAGCACACGAGGAGAGGCGGGGGCTTCTGTGGCAGAAACAGACAGACGGGCCAGACAGGGAGCGATCACACAACAGCATAGCACAGGAGGAAGCAAACACAAGCACAAGCCAAGATGATGCAGCGTTGGGGACATCAGACGGCAGCAAGCACCTTCACCGTGCCCATGGCGGCGTTACCCTGTCTTCCCTGGCTGTGGGTCGCTGTGAAACATTTGACGAGGAGAGGGGGGCAAACTCGGGAGCTGCAGTCGCATGGGAAAAGTGTAAAGAGGGAATGGGCGGCCATGTGACGGGGACAGGCGCAACGGGTAGCCGTTGCAAAAGCTCCCGTTGAAGGTGTTCGCGCCAAGAAGCCAGAGGGTCCCATCTGGGCCCGGGTGGACTGGGAGCGGCATGAGCAGGAGGGACAATGCTGGTCTGCACGGGGCATCCAGCGATCGACCTGGACGGGCTGGTACAATAATGGGCTCATCTCCCCTGGGCCGAGACTGCGGGAGGCTTGGGGGGGGGGGCACGGAGAGGCAGAGAGGCAAGCGGGCGGCGGGCGGCGCAGAACATTGAACACACGGTGGTCATAGGTGGGAGGAGGAGACCCTGGTTGCGCCGGTGTTGCTCGCCGTCCATCCAATGTGGACCGATCAATCACGGCAGTTGATCATCCGGCTATTGGAGCCCGTATGGGAGCGCAGAGGCATGGTTTGCAGATCCGAACGGGGTTGTTAGGTTGGCATGGCATGATGTTGCGCGGCGTTGGGTAGAATCCTTGCGAGAGTTTGGCGTCTGTCGGTGGGAAGTTTGCAGACCGATATGACATGCTGATAGGACACGAACAAGCAGACGGGATGATGGGGCTAAGGTGAGCGGCGGACGCGAGGGATCCATGGCTTGGTGGGATCGCGCGGCCAGGCAAGGCGAGACAGGGCATGGGAAACACCACAGACTCGGCGTGGGCATGGCATGGGCATGGGCATGGCGTGCCCTACTCCGCGCTCCGTACATGGACATGGGCTTGGGCAGCTCAACAAACCAACCCAGCCCAACCTGGCCGGGCCGGACGACCCAGCCTGGCGGTCTCGAGCGACGGGAGACGGCCAGGAAGGGGAGAGAGTGGGGGCCGGGGAGGAGCGCGAGAGGCAGGGAGAATAGCAGAGAGGGCGTATACGATATGAGAGCGTGTCGTCGGAAGCGCCAAAAGATGACATGGAAAAGCTAGGGAAATGAATGTAACGTACCGTGGCCCTTGAGTTCGTCATTCTCCTGCCCAGAGCCCGAACCATGTCCGTTCAATGCCTCGTGGGCGCCGTCCTCAGCGTGCTGGGGATCATGCTGCCCCTGCGGATCAGGATCTCGCTGGTGATGCTGCTCCTCATGCTGGCCAGGCTGAGGGTGAGGCTGAGGTTGCTCCTGGCCCTGGTCGTGGTGGTCGTGGTGGTCGTGGTGCTGCTGCTGCTGCTGCTGCTGCTGCCGAGTCTCGATCCGAGTCTCGATCTCCCTGTCCTCGTGCTCCTCCCCTGCAAGCGCGTGGGGCAGGATCGGGGGCTCAGGGGTGTCGTCGGCAGCGACCTCGATCTCGTCTGCAATGGCGACGTGGATTGCCGCGTCTGAGGCAGCGGCAGGAGAGGCAGCTTCGGCGTGAGCAGGAACAGGAGCAGGAACAGGAGCAGACATCCGACCTGGCACCAGGGCGACGCAGTGCGACCCGAGCGAGTCGCCCTGCTCAGCTGTGAAACCAGTGTGCCCCCGAACCCAAGACTCAGGCCCCAGGACTTGTTGCCCGGAGTGGTTTGTCGGTCCTATGTCGCGTCGGGGACGGTGGCTGTCGCCGTCAGAGGTTGGTTAGAGCTCCCCCGTCTTAAGGGCGGCACAGTAATAACAACGTCCAAGGTTCCAAGGTTGTTAGTAATTAGCGGTCGTGCTCGGGACCGAGAGGTCAATTGTGGGAGGTGGGCATGTGGACAAGGTTTGGAGATGATGGGGCCTGGCCTGTCCTGTCCTGTCCTCGCCTGTCCTGTTCAAGTCCTCTCCTGTTCTGGCCTGGCCTGTAGTGGCGGCTGCGGAGGAGGAGGTGGTGGCAGTTTAAGGTGGTGGTGGCAGAATAAGGTGGTGTACAAGTGGTAGGTGTGTCGGGAAGTCTTGTCTCTTCTGTCAAGCAGTCCAAGGGCCGGAAGCAGTCTGCCCCGTCTAAGCTCTAACCTGTGGCCCTTGGTCCATGGCACCTTCCCGTCTTTGCTTGCCTGCCTCGTGGTCGGGTCGCAACCGAAACACCGTCGTCCGAACCTTGGATGCTCGCTCCCTCGGCCTCTCAGGCTAGCGGACTGGCGGAAAGGCCAAGCTACTGCGTGTTTAACTTTGTCTGCTCGCCTTCTCAACGGCTGCTGCCCTACGCGGGATGGCCAAAGCCACACACGGCCTGGAGATCCGACCCCGCCCCACCTCCTCCTCCTCCTCCACCAATGACTGGATGAGGGCGGGGAGGAGACCTGGAGAGACCTGGAGAGCGAACTCTGGCAATCTGGGAATCCCATCCCTTCCTCCCCCGGCCGCGGAGAGGCGCAATGCGCAATGCACATGCACGGCACAGGCGCCGCCCGGCAGTCAAAACGCCCCCCGGCCCGCTGCTGCTGATCCTGCCCTGCCCTGCCAACCTGCCAGCCTCTTCGTCAGCCTGCATGGCACGCCAAGCAACAATACAGACCCTGAGACCAGACTCGAGATGTGCGCGTCTATTAAGGCCCCGGATATGCCTAAGAGTGACTGAGTCACTGACGCCATCATTCCAGATGCCAGCCCGGCTACTGCTCGTCCGATCGGGATGAGACTTTGCTGTCAGCCTTTCTGCCAGTCTGCCAGTCTGTCTGCCTGCCTGTACCGTAGCCGTCAGGTCCGAGTCCGAACAGCGACGTGTCAAGGGGCACGCCACTATCACCGAGCCATGTCTACTACCCTAGTACCAGTTGACACCACCACAGCATCCTGTCGCCTCACGGAATCTTGCCTGTGATATCTGCGTGCATTGTTCTGATTTGCGCAAAATCCGACGTGATAGTTCCCATGCGACGGCTGCCTTGTGCTTGCGCAAGTGATTCGCGTCTCCGTGACTCCCTGCCCTCAACCAATCATGCTCCAAATACACCCTGGATCACGTGGCTTCTGGAACAGACAGGCACGCCTGCAGAAGTTTCAAAAAACAACCATATCACGCAGCACATATTACTGTGCTTCCCAGATGCAGGCCCCGCGCGTCGGTCGGGCCTCGGCGCTCTCATATTACCGGGCGTGCTAGTGAGACAAACTTTTCGACAATCGTCCGATTCATCTTTGTAGATTTACTTTTTTGGCACAAGGGTGACGTTCTCATTATTAGTACAGGCCTGCACATGGCGTAATGCCCCAGGACCAAACTACAACTGCCAGCCTGCTGTGCACGGTTGCTACTTTCGTCCCGACTCTTCTTTTGAAGTGTGGCTCGGCGTGGACAGATGGGGAAGGCTGTTGCGCAGGGACCACTTGCTCGTGCTCATACGCGACGGCATTTATAGAAGCATGTCCAAATAGGAAGGCCATGGTCAAACACGACGAACACTATATCGCGGCAGGCTCCCTGTGATCAATGACACGCTGGGTCTGTGTGTGTTGACCACCGTGTGAAAGGACCGTACGCCTTCGGAATGTATACGGATTAATGAGAACGAAGCCACTCAATTTGCACAATAGCGGTGGCCAGAAATGTAATTCATGACCTCTGATCCGGATGGGTTCAGTTAGACTGCACATATGGAGGTCGTTTGGTAAGTGCTATCCACATCTGACTTAGAAAGTCAGCAAGACATTCACATTCAGCAATCTTGGGACAATGTACTTAAGTATGCAAATGCTTTACTCTAAAACTCGAATCTTGGCCTCGGCCATTCACGAGAGGAGAGGTAAGATAAAATGTACAAGTCCAAAAACTGAGACCAAGAGGGTCTGTCTCATCGGGGTACCATGTCCATCCCCAAACGCGAAGCCAGCTTCATTCAAGCCACCACATCGGGCCCAAAATCTCAACCTTCCACCCCTCACGCGTCTTGGAAGCGTGCTTCCGAGCATGCGCCCGAGCCTCCTCGGCAAAGTCGACGGGGTCGTGGAAGAACCCCAGGGTAGTCGTGGTGTTGACGGGGTCGCTGGACTCGGGCTGGTAGAGGAGCCCGTAGATGGTGTCCAGGACAGTCCCCATGCTCGTGTCGCTGGTCCAGTCGCGGTCAAAGATGCTGTGGCAGATCCTGCCGTGCAGATTCACGTTAGGGTGCTTGATCTTGGTGACGAACCGCACCTTGGGTGCGAGCCTCGGGTAGGCCTCGTCTGCGTGGAGATAGAGCAGGAATGCCCCGTCCGAATACGGGCTGCCTTCTGGCCCCTCTACGACGATCTTCCAGAATGACACGTCGGCTGTACTGATGTAGATGTCGTATTTTCTGTGACCCCCACGAGCTGCTATTGTCCGTATCTCATTCATCAGACGCGGCACCCGAAGCCCGCGACGCGGATTGCTGGATGTCGTCGCAGACACTGCGGAATTGCCATCTGGGGCGAGAGAAGTCAACTGACAAAATTTATCTGCCATATTCGGATGATCCCTGATTGGCGGAACTATGTCGTCGGTGACCAAGGTTGCCGTGGCGCGATATCTTGATAAATTAAACTGCGTCTGAATGTTGGCCCCGCTCCACTGCAAAGGAAGAGTAATTGGTGGCCTCTGAGACAGAGATAGGAAAGGCTCCATCTCGCAAATTGCAAGTGTGTTTGTCAACGATGTTGGGTGGAATCTGTATGAACCAAGCATGTATGACAACGTGCGCAGATCCGTATTGTCCTCGTCACCAATTGAGACGCTGTCGACTGAGATTCCTTTCCGCAGAAAGCTCGAGACGATGCCGTAGCACGTATTGGTTGACGACTTGTTGTCTTGTCCGTCCGAGATAACGACGATGCGCTTCTTTGCACTGGGGAATCTGGTTGCATACTGATCTATCTGATCCCCGGCAAGGGCCAAAGCATCCCACAAGGCCGTGTCACCCCCGGCCTTCAGTTCAAGGGTAGCGCGTCTGAAGTTCTCCAAGACATGCGATATCGGCATCTTGACTTGAGCATTGCTTGAGAAGTCGACTAGTCCGACATGATTCTTGTAGTTGTAAGCCAACATACGATTGATGAGTGCGTCAAGCATTTGCTTCAGAACACCAAGTCGAGTGAGGCGAATTATGGGTTTGCGCCCGTGTTCTGGACCGATCATTACCTTGAGGACATTATGGCTGGAGTGCGATATTCGGGCGTCGCCATCTCCACTGCAGAGCCTCTCGGGCTCTAGCCGTCCGGTGCATTGACACGATGTGAGGAAACGTGACAGTCTTGCAGTCTGCTGCGGACTTTCGTATGTCCAGGATCTCCTAGTATCACCGTAAGGTCTCACGTTCGTCAGGACACTTCTCATTTCGGGCGTAGGACAGACTCCTTTGTCAAGCTTGTGTCGCCAGTACATCCAAATGACCGAAAGCAGCAAATCAGGGTTGTCCTCACGGACCCAGAATGCAAAGAGCTGCTCTTCACACAAGTATTCGTAGACCTTCATAAGGCACATCTCTGGGGTGTCATCTTGGAACATCCTACCAGAATCATATGATTCTGTTTGCAAGGGAGCTGTATCTTCTGGAAGCCGTATCATGATGCGGTCGAGACTCTTCAGCCCGAGATTTGACACAGTGACGTTCCTGTTTGGTAACAGAGTGCCCGTATTGTGGGCTGAAAGCTCGAATGCTTCGAATTCTGCTTTGAGCCCACGGTATGCAAGCACGTAAAGGTCGCTCGAAGTCGCCGTGAGCTTGACGATTCTTGTAAACAATCCAATCCGGCTTTCAAATTTCACGGCAATGACATCGACAGTATTCGTTTCTCTGGGGCCAGAAATCCAGGACAAGACCTCGCTTCGAATATCTGGTCTTACCCTCAAGGAGAGGTCGTCAAGCGGTGCACCATGCAGTGGAGATGTTTGTCGTATTGAGAACCACCGCTCAATTGCGCTGCGAGAATACGTCTGACCATCACAGGCTTCCACCGCATCTTCCATCAGCGCGTGGGAGATTGGACACTTGAGGTGGCTCGGAACGTCGGTTATTCTTTCGGGTAAGACTGGAAGCCCTCTTGGTCTAGATACCAAAGGAACTGGATCGCCGAAAGACCAATTCCATCGCGTGACAGCTTCTAGGTCCAGGAAACTGGCCCGAAACATCAGAAATTGGGCCAGGGCCTCCTCGTTTGCTTTCAGGCTGGCACCGAAAGCCTTCAGTTCTCCCAGCTCAGACTCCAGCGTGTGGATAGCTGTATGCCAGACATATCTTGAAGACACAGATCTTCGTGCTCTCTCGAGGTTGTCCTCCTTTGCGTTGATCTCCAAGCACAAGAGACAAGCAAACAAAGACAAGACCTCTCTCGCCATCCTGTCTTTGGATTGCCCGGAAGTCTTGGCAACAATGGCGATCATGTCCTCGAAGCTGTTGTGGGCCATAAGGCCCTCTTTGCTCTCTTCTAACGACGATGCCCGGTGAAGTTCTTGCTCTATCAGACGGTGTGGTCGGCTACTTATGCCAGTGTCATCTTCGTTAACCTCGCTGAAATCCGTGAGGTTTCCCATGCTGGAACTGGAGTCGACGCAGAACACTGTCATTCAAATATGAGTAATGCTCTCAAAGATCGGATAGCAGGTGTATGGGATGTTTTGGCAACCATGCCGAATCACTTACTGATTATCTCATCTGGATCTTGAATTATCCGTACTTGTGCACCCCCGTAGGCATCAAAAACTGCGGATCCGTCTTGTTCATAAGATTTGACAATTGGTGCAATAAGCCGCTCCATCACCGAAGGATCAATCGTCTCTTCTCCGTGCTGTGGTCGGAAAATGATAGAGGAATGGCCGGGTCTACCACATGGCTCCTCGCCAGTATATACTGCCAAGTGTGCGTTGCGATCGAAGGTCAGACATGGCGATATTGCAGCTGCCAGTTGACTAGGCCCGTGTACAGCCAGGTTGTTTCCACTGCACATTTCAGCCAACTGCAATAATTTGCGAAGTTGATTGAGGTCACAAGCGTGGCTGAGAGCACCCGTTTGTGAGCCATAGATGTTATTTAGTGCACCCAAAGATAAGACGAGGACCTCGGGACAAGTGCCACCGCTTTGCAAAGCGAAGCGAGCCAACCTCGGCTCAGTCTCCGCTTGAACAAGAAATGACTGCAAATGAGTCTCGGCCAATAAACCTCCGTCCTGGAGGGACTTGAAAAGGGTTTCTTCGATCAAACCATCTGATGTCTGTAACGCGTGGAGGACCGCTTCATGAGTCTTGTGGTCACGGACGTCGTAAGTGCAGAAGACTGAAGTATAACGCAATTTCTTTGCTACTTCATCATCGCTGTGAACCTCGGTGTCCGAGTCTATGCGCAGTGATTTGGCGGACTCCAGAATATACCCGAACAGAAGACGTGACCCTTCGAAAAGGCGAGCCGAATCTTGCGTAATTGTGTCCACCGCCACGTAACTCCTGAGAACCTCCAGAATTGTTTGACTCAGGGCAATGCACTCAAAACTTGTAGGTGTCTGACCGCTCACAAGTAGGTGCAGACAACGAAGTGCCGGGGGGAATTGGGTGAGCTCGTCAAAAACGTAGTAAGCTGCATCCTGGGCATTACCGTCACTCTGCATATCCTGCAGAATAGAGGCAAAGACGCGCAGCGAAGACAAGAAAATTGCCATGCCTCGATCAGACTGGGCAATTGATGGCTCCCAGTGAGCCAAGTCTCGAAATATAGCCGACCTTCCCTTGAGAAGAGGGAGCTGAGCGGAGGACGTCCGATAAACAGCGAAAATGTCCACAACGCCATTGACTGCAAGAGCGCTGAGGCCCAGCATATCCACGCTGGAGTCGAAGCAGGCGGGATGGATGGGGAGCTCAGATGTGTGCAGATCAAGGACTTGTGGTCTTGTTCTGTCGCTGCCATCCAGCTCGACCCGTGCGTGGATCGGGACGTGCCGTTGTTTGGAGCAGATCGCGACCACGGGTATCTTGGTGTAAGTCCTGCTGTCATCTTGGTCTTGTGTTGCTCCATGGTACGTGACCCTTTTTCTCGTCTCAATATCCTGGCCAAACCTAGAGAAGAGTGCTTGCTGCAGACTGCCCACACTGGCAACCTCGAGCGGAAACTTCTCCACAATGCTCTTTCCGCGAATGACCAGGAAATGGGTAAGATCTAAGTATCCTAAAGCCAGCTCCTTGGCCAAGTTGCAGTTGCATTCCCAACCTTCGACTGTCTCTTGGGTTTGACCCGTGCAGCCCAGGGTGTTCGCGATGCTGAGATGTAGTTGGCGGACAGTGGCAGATATTGGCATTGTCAGGATGGGACATGAATCTCTAATCTTGGTTGTCGATGGGGTGATGATACGGAATGATAGGCTGTCCGTATCATGATCGCTCGGTTGTGTCAAGATTGGGGCCACCTGTACAAGCAGAGCGTTAGCAAATGAAATGGGCTCGGGGGCTGCTACCGTTGAAAAGATATTTCGTACATGGGTGGTTGCCTGTATCACCGTCGCGATATCTTTCTTGTTTTTGAAGACGGCGAAGATTTTTTGCCTCTGAGAATCGGCGATGATATCGACCAAACGGTCTTCGATGTCGATGGCTGGGCCATTCTCACCACCGAGGTGGAGGGAGACAACGTGAGTCTCTGCTGTGAGAGGGATGGCACCGTCATGTCTTGCAAGGCGTTTCCAAATCTCAACGACGAAAGACGAAACGATGGCCTCGGGGTTGAAGGGTATCAAGATTGATGGGCGCGCGCCAGGAGACAGCAATGCTGCCTCTGCCTGCGGAGGCACAATGACGACCAGATACCGCTGGTTCTCCATTCAGAAGCCTGGGCCCCAAAATGGATGGCTATGATGATCAGTGTTGATTTTGTTGCGTAATAATCCCAAAATGAGGCTCTTTAATGGTGAATCTCGTGGAGTTGCGGCCATCAAAGGAGGTAGAAAATATGCGTGTGGTTGAGCAAACGGCGCTCAACAGTTTCGGCCAAACAAACTGGCTGATGAGCAAAGGGAAAGAGGGATCAAGATGGTAAGTGGATTGAGTGCAGGTGTGGTAGGTGCGTACAATCGATTGCACACCTGGGCAGTCTCACAGTAGCTTCCATCCACCTTGTACCAAATACTTGCTTCTCATCTCTAGCCCGGTCTCAACTGCCACAAAAGATACCCGAGATGCTTTTTCAAGCAGCTACATGTTAGTCCCAAACATGGACAGTTTTGATATGGCGTATTTCTTTCATAAGAGACTCAATTCAAGGTTACCGTTTTGAATTCATGTAACTTCAGTGTGACAAGTATATCACTTACAACAATTGGGTCCCATAGGAAGTGGTCCCATAAGAGATTATACCCTAGGGTGTTGCTCCATAAGAAAGTTTATTCCGAATTGCCAGTGATGAGCGGAAGTAGCTGCTGTCCGTGTCGACTCGAGTGCTGTCATTGCACCAGCCCTCAAGTGCTGCTGAGTGCAAGGAATGATGCCATCCTTTGCCTGGACAAAACTAGATGGGAGCTTGGAGTGTACATGAGAGAGTAGTTTTAACGGTCATTAACAGGCTGCCATCCCCAGGGTTTTGACACTGGCACTCCGGGTCCATCAGAGTAATCAAGAGGTCCCGCGCGTCTTCTGGAGAAAGGCTGGCTCTCACCTGTTGGTAGAGCACCCAGCTGGCTATACTTGATTTACCACGGAATAACTGATTTACACATAACACAATACTACTAGAAATGGCGAGCCTGGCCCAGTTGGACAATAGTATGGATTCTATTCGCCATCCAGATGTCCCATTCGTGGCTTGGTCGTGCGGGTGATCAGCCCGGGACTGTGGCAATATCTTATAGTAGGTTATTCCATAAGAGGCTGTTTCATAAAAATTTGTATTTTAATAGGAGGTTGAGACAACTTCTCATAAATGTTGTTCTATGTGCTTTTCTCTCTTTTGGTGGGGGGTATTGAGACGACGCAATGGACACCCATCCGAGCAAAGCTGCAAGGGGGAAATCGCCTGAGCTTTGCACAATCGGCGGGGCCGTGAAGCTTGTGTTGCTGTCTTAGAGAGCCGAACCAACTCTGTGCCACAGATGAGAAGAACGGTTTCTGGGAAGACATGAGAGCCGAGGACCAATTTCCGGTCGTCCAGCACTGCCAGGTACGGGCGGGTGGTCGGGGGGGGGGGGGCAGTCCCCGCATTGCGTTGCCCCTGAATGCGAGATCAACGGGAGCGAATCTATCTGAATTTCCAATAAGCTCTGGTCGAGGGGTCCGGCCAATTTCCAGATCCCCGTATAGCCTTTCTGTTTGAAGCTTCAGCTTTGCCCATATGTCTGTAAAGTCTAGTTATAATGGGCTCATCTCGTTTTTATGGTTTCCTGGCCGAGACAAAAAGGAAAGAACCACGTAGCTGCACGTGTATATCACTGGAGCACAACAACCCGGGTCTCACTGCGGCTCTTCAAAATAGCTGGCATTCCACGGTCCAGGATCTGACACGAATCTGGACAATTGCCGTTACCTAGGTTTCTCTTTTTGGCTGCCATCCAGACCGGGCCATGTTCCTGTTTTGTGCTCTGCTTCTCTTCCGCCTCGCAGCGTCCTCGTCCAGCCATGCGCCGAGAGCTGCCACCCCGCACCGCCACTATGAGCGGGACATACTCCTGGCAGATCAACGCCACCTCGGCAGACGACAGTTCCCGAACTCGAGCCTGGTATCGCAGGTCTTCGAGGTGACACCGCCCGTGCTGGGCTGGGACGGGCAGGTCGTTGGGGCCGGGAGGCCAGTTCCATTCACGGGAGTTGGCACGACCATCGAAACAGGTTCATCCGATGAATGCAAGGTGACTCTGGCCGTTCGATCCTTTGCGAACTCTTTCAATCAACCTTTCGTGGGCCAATACATTCCGCCCGGCTGCCTTGGAGACAGCAACACGGCTACCATGAACCTCACAGTCGAGACAATCGGTAGACAGTTTGATCGACTCTCCTTCATGTAAGCACAACTTCCACTCGTTTTCGACCCACATGGTTTCTGAAAACTGGAAAGCTTTCTCGGGGATACCGAGCTTCTTCGTTGGTCGACCGCTCAGCCTCGTAGAAACGGCGTGAGATACACGGCGATCAAAGACGTCTCGTCTTTTCTGCCGCTGTGGCGTGAACCGCAGAGAGTTATCTTCGACCTCGGAAACTTGCTCAATGAAAACGTATGATCCCTGTCTTCGGTCTCATCGATTCAAACTTCGTTCCTGTGTGAGACACTGACATGCCATGGTGTCCCAGTTAGATGGTATATTTAACACCACCCTGGAGGTCACTTTCTTCCAGGCCCCTGGAGCTCTTTCTTCCAACGCAGACAAAATCATCCCGATCTCTAGGCGTGCAGGTCTGAACGAGTCGAGGCCAAGTGTCTTCAACACGGCTGATGTCAACGCAACGACTATTGTCACGGACTTCCCCCGCAATGCTAGGAAAGCCATCTTCACAATCCAGTCATGCGGCCAAATTGATGAGGAGTTTTGGTGGTCAAATCTTCCCAGCTCTACGGCTCTGTCTTTCAACGCGACCGGGAATCCGTCGGGGAATTACTCCGCGTACAGAGAAACACAGCTGTATATCGATGATCAGCTAGCGGGGATTCAGGCCCCATTCCCAATAATCTTCACAGGCGGGCTGAATCCCTCGTTCTGGAGCCCGGTAGTTGGTATCGACGTATTCGACGAGAAAGAGACCGAGATCGATATTACGCCGTTCTTACCAGTGCTGTGCGATAGCAGACCCCACAACTTCACTCTTAGAGTTGTGGGGCTTGATGACGACGGCAACAATTCCCAAGGTTCCGCAATGCTGTCTACAGGTGTGGACAGCTACTGGCAATTATCTGGGAAGGTTTTCGTCTGGACTGAACACGATGCTTCATTCATCACGACCGGATCGGCGCCCGTCATTGCTGCTATCGACCCAGTCATTGCCCTCAATCAACGCCTTACGAAAAATGCAACCGGCACCAACGAGACTCTGAAGTACGACCTGTCTGTCTCACGTTCCATCCGTATATCCAGTGCTATAATGACCGCAGCAGGCCTGGTAAATGCCACGTGGGCACAGGATGTCACAACCACTGCCAATGGCTTCATCAGCGACTTCGGTAATACCTCGAGTGTAGAATTCAAGACAACCGCCACAAGCTCCTCAGCCCGCAATGACGCAGTCGAGTTTTCTTCTTCTGCTTCATATCCTCTTATTGTCAACACGACGCAGTTTGTCTTGCCTAATGGAACAGTACGCACGGACACTATCCTCAGCCGCTCGAAAGATACGAGCAGGACCGTGGGCCAGGAAGATGTCTTCCCAAGTGGGCTGCAGGTTTTCTCCGTGCTGCCCGCGACGACTGATATCGTGCCAGACATTGCCCAGTTGTCCCTCTCGACTTCTCAGGATGCTTCAGGCACACGCTTGGTGTTTCCGGGCGGTGGTGCACAGAACGGTAGCTACGCTGAGGCAAGTGTCACGCAGGATATGTTGCTAAGCGGCACTGCGAGCGGCGCGGCAAGCGTTACTGAGTTCTATTTTAGACATGTGTCAGTCCGCAGTGATGGAACGATCGTTTCTGATACTGAGAGGGTAACTGGCAGCGAGGTTCCCCCGGGCAGAGCTGGATTAAGACCCGGGGCATGAGCCAAGCGCTTCTGTCTGAAATTCACCTAGGACAACGGAGTACCTCGGACAACGGCGCACAGGACATTGCAATAAATCGAATGGTTTCAACCTCATAACCTCAACGTATTAAGTCAATTCAGGATCCTATTTCAGATAGACGTCCTCAGCAACTATCTTCCCCCTGTTGAGATCATCCTCGATATTTCCATTGTACCTCACTCCTAGTTTGACACAGACCTCCCTGGGTCGATCTGCCCAGGCAGATATGGTACATAGTCGATGCCCGGCTGACATTGACGAGTTTTCCACCGAGTTAGTTGCCTAAGTGGATGTCCCTGACGGGAACCTTGGAATTCCCGGTCTATGTGGAGGTCCTCGAGGTCAGCTCATCTACGCGACCTGAGATGCTGTCCAATGTTCTATGGAGGGTATGTATTCCTTGACAACTATGATCTCATTAGTATGCTTGCAGAAGTGATCAAACATTGAATGACTCGGAAGGGCATAGAGCACATGGTTACACGCAAATACATTCAGTGCACATCACTTAAACCCTTTGAATGGGCTACTTACATATATTAGTTCAAGAATCGCTTAAGGGTTATTGAGGTGTTGACATACTAGCCCGCACACGCTCATGCCGATGGGTTTCCCATATTTATCAAGGATATCGGTAGCTAGAAACTCACTTCTTCAAATGACCGCATGTTCTGTAGTGCCATTGACCGAGTAAATGACATGATACATTGCTCTGATCTGTCAGATTGCAAGATAAGGAGAGAGTACTTCAGTTCGGTTTCTGCTTTTAAGTAATGAGTGGAAAGGTACTACTAATAAGCTCGAGTCTAGGTGGTGGAGGACATTGGTGTACGCGGCATCACCTCGATACATATCTGATGGGCATGCCCCGATCTCATGTTCTCATAAGGTCATGCTTGGGATACCAAGTTTAATTCAAACAATGAACATGGCACAACCCACGACTTGGCCACTACTGCCAGAAGCCAACCCCGACATCACTCAGCACCGCGCTTCATAGCCTCCTGAATCCAGCCCGACCTCTCTCGCCCAATCCGCTTCAATTCCTCATCAGGGAGCTCGTTGAGTTGAAGGTATATGTGAGGGTTCGGTACGTTGCGGCCCTTCTCAAAACCAGGGCGAGCGAGAAGCCTGTACATCCATTCCTTGACATGGGGAAACTCGTCGATCTGGGACAGACCGCTGTACTCTGAAACGCGTTTAGAATTAATTTTCGTTCATGTGCATGCATGAATTTCCAAGGAGGGACTTACTGAATGCGGTAGTCCATGGCCAAATGGCAATGTCGGCAATGCTGACATGATCACCCACGAGATACCCAGAAGGGTTTTGAGCGAGCGCCTTGTCCATGGTGCGATAAAGGCGGCGTGTTTCGTTGACATAACGCTTCAAAGAGTATGGATGATCACCAGCAGCAGACACTGCATGATTCAACCTGGGTCAGCGAACGGTGTTTTACCCTCACCGCCGTGACACAATCAGAACTTACTTTCAAAATGGTTTGCCTGGCCTTGTGAAGGGCCGAGACCACTCACTTGCCAAAAGAGCTATTAAATCCTCAGTCAGACACGAACTTCTGAAAACGAGGCATTCAAGTTTCGACAAATTACCCAACTCGTCATCTCCCAGTGCTCTTTGGTCCCGCGAGGGTACGATATCTTGTGGTCCGCATCGTAACGATCCACAAGATACTGCAAGATGGCACCGCTCTCCCAGATCTTGAGCTGCTGGCCATCCTCCGCCGTGTCAACTATGGCCGGGATCCGACCGTTGGGATTAATGTCAAGAAACCACTGCTCTTTCTGCTCATGTTCAAAGAGCTTGATTTGGTGCGCCTACATGCAGACCTACGTCAGTTGTCTCCAATTCTGTTCTCTTTTTAATGGGCTATCTTGAGAGGGTGTGCAATCGTACATTGTACTTCAAGCCCAATTCTTCAAGGGCAATGGAGATCTTGAGAGGGTTGGGAGTGCCCTCGCAGTAGAGCGTGATGCTGTGCTCGTACGTGCTCATGGTAGCCCAGGGTGAGAATGCGGTCCACGGGTGCCCAGGTGATGCAAGACACTGGCACGGGAAGATTCAGAGCTGACCAGCGTCCGGATCGTCAAGGAGGAAACCAGTAGTGAGGTTGTAAGTATTAGTGGGATTCCGTCTCATAATTTGATCTTCCTCGGCCATGGCTCATATTTATATTCATTTATTCCCTTGCGATCATGTATATCTCGCGAAGCAAACGGTCATACGGACCTACACAGAGCGGGATCCAGTCTGGCCTACGCCAAGGAAACGAAGTCATTTCAAATCACCTCACCTCCGACATTGCCTCAAGAGGGAAATGGTCTCGTCAAATCAGCTTAGCCAGATGGTTATCTTCTGCGCGTCTCATCCACTTCGTGCCAATCGGAGTGCCAAGAACTTAGGATCAACACTGCGTGTAAATAGACCACTGTGCAGGCCATGTCTGACGTCGATGCTGACGGTGTAGCCTCAAGTCGCCCCAAACGGGTAATGGTGCATCAGAAACGACAGGGATCGTGGGAGCGAGTACGGCTAGTAAGTATTAGTGGTCAATGGTGGGCAGGAAGATATTGACATGATTATCAATCATGTCTTGCGCCTTTCTTTGAAATCATCTGCAGAATATACATAGATGTAGCATAAGGTCTCGGCATGCGATTCATTGCCATCTGCTCTGAGCAGTTATGATTCGTTACCAGGCGCGGCTTATTAATATTACCTGATTCTCTCGTGGTTGGAATACCGTGTTGATGCTCAGAAATCCCCGCCTTCTGCCACAGCAGAGTGTCCAAGAGTCCTTGATCCATTTGCGAGAACAATAATCGGCATTTGAAAAGAGGAGGCGCATCATGTTTGGGTGGCCCTCCAATATTGTTGCGTTCTAATCCTGACATCTGTTGAGGTGTGACCATTGGACATTCATTGGACAACAATAATTGATATGCTAACAGATAATGCACGATGCCCTTCACTACTGAGCGTCGCACCCGCGGCAAGTCATCTCAAAGGTCCGCCTGCGGGCCGCCATATAATGGTCGACATTGGCAAGTCCCGAAGGAAACCATCGAAAGCGTATCAATTCGATACCATCGTGTGCGGTACGAGGCTGAGCCACGTGCCTACAGACTTACTGCATTCTCTTTCCACTCCAGGGCTGTCATTGGCACTGTTTCTTTTTTTAGACGCTGGGTCTTGAGCGTTTACCACTGTATGAAGGCGCCACATACATTTTATATGTATGGGGATTAAAAACGAAACCACAACCGTCACTTTTCACTATCTGGAAGACAAAACAGAGCCACTCCAAGGCTAAATTCACACTCACACACAGGCCACAAAAAAATCACAAAACCACTCATACTACCTAAGCCTAACACAACTAACATGAACAGCTCCACAGGCTAGCTTAGTTTTATATATAGATTTCTTTACACATAAACCTCTAAATTAGACATTTTAAAAAGGGAATATATTAAAAACCCTCTTTCTTTTTATACTAGTCTCTATTATATTAAGATTGTATCTAGAAGGTATGTTTTTTTTTTGTGATTTCTTTGGGGCCTGTATGCGAGTATGAATGTGGCCAGGGGGCTTCTATGAGAGCATGCCAAGGTGGCAATTAGTACCACCGTGGCGCAGCGGTACTCTAGGGTTGTTGGTTGTTAGGACAAGACGGCACCACCATATCCGTCCACTCGCACACACAGCCAACCGCTCAAATGGGTCGGATGGGGTGGAGTGCTATTTTTTTCAATGTTGTCTAGCAGGTCTAATCCATGTAGCGCATTAAGCCCCACTGGGGGCGCTAATAGAACATGGGTTGGTTACATTTGCGACCAACAGGACGACGACCAACAGCATTGATATTTAAGCCTCTGCCACGATCTGATTCACACCCCCTCTCTTGTTCAAGTCATCAAGATACCTAACTTCGTTTTGGTGGAGCCACTGCTTAAGTCGGACAGCTCGTACAACCATGGCCAGCCTCAACTCTTTCATCTACGTTATCATATATGGAGTCGTGCCGGTGGTATGAGCACAATGCCTTTTCTTGAGCGCATTGATACTGATATCATGGTGACTACAGCTAGCCTTGCTGGTGGTTTATCAGCTCAACTTCCACCCACTGAGCAAATTTCCTGTAAGCACGCGTCCCATCGTTAGCGATTGTTGGGATCTCAGTGGATCTTGTCCCGATTCTGAAGAAAAACATGCTAACTGGCGTAGGGGCCATTTTGGGCGAAGATCACTGATGCCTACGGGGGCATAAACGCTATTGGAAAGCGGGCTCATCTCGCCACTCATCACAACCACTTGAAATATGGTAGGAGGCATCGCGAAGCGACCCCTCTCAAACAACGATAAGCTAATTCCAGCGCGGATAAAAGGCCCCGTTTTCCGTCAAGCCCCGAACCGGCTCATGTTCAACTCGGTTGGCGCGCTGCAAGGTACGCTGGTTGGTGTGAATCCAACGGTCAATGCCCCGCCAGCATCTTCTCCCGCCGGAAAGTATCTAAAGAAGTCAGCTAATGAAACACCCCTAAGATATCTTTCTCAACCCTGGAGTCACGAAGGGCCAGGCGTACGTTGACTCTCGCCTGGTGCCAAGTCCTAGTCTCTTTGACACGCTGGACCAGGCGGAGCACGGCCGCAAGCAACGCATTATTTGGAAGGTGACCTCGGAGCTTTCTATGCGCTCGTTTGAACCAGAGATGAGGTCTCAAGTGGATATCTTCCTCTTGCAGCTCCTCAAATCGGCCCAAAAGGGCGAGGTGGTAGACGTTTCGCCGCGGTTCTCACGTCTCGCGGCTGATGTCATATCCTCCCTTGGCTTTGGCATTCCTCTGCGCACTCAGACAGAAGAGACGAACCGCCAACTCCTAGACGCCTTTGGACAGGTCACCAGCCGTATCGCCTTGTACATGAACTGGCCGTCCACCTCGAAGCTTCTGGACCCCCTTATCGCGTGGTTGGCCCACAAGGCCTCTGAAGACTTCCGCAAGTCCATCCAGAATATGGTTGAGGCTCGCATGGCCTTGGGAAAAGATGCGAAGCACGACTTGTACAAACTGGCTCTGAGCGACAAGAAAGGCAGCGAGGAGGGCTTACTCGAAAGTGAGCTCTGGGCCGAGGCGGTTTTCTTCATCACAGCTGGTAAGTGCCCCCCCCCCCCCAACATGGGCGGTTCCACACTCCAATATGTCCGTCATGCTTACCCGGATGTGGTTTCCTTCAGGTGGTGCAACAACTTCAGCACTCATGAGTGCAGTGCTCTTCTATCTTTCACGGAATCCTGAAATCTACCGCAGGCTTGTCTCTGAGATTCGGACCACATTCTCTTCTGGCAACGACATCCAAGGCGGTCCTAACCTGACAAGCTGTAAATACCTCCGAGCTGTGATCAATGAAACGCTGAGGATGTCCCCTTCATCTATTGGCACATTGTGGCGCCAGCAGGATCTCACATTACCTTCTCAGGCTGGTAAGCCTTTTGTTGTTGATGGGCACGTGGTTCCACCAGGGACTATGGTTGGACTTAGCCCGTACAGCCTCCTGCACAACGAGAAGTACTTTCCGGAGCCGTTCGTCTTCCGGCCTGAGCGGCACTTGGAAGGTGAGAGCGGTAGTGAAGGTAATAATATGCGTGCCTTTGCACCCTTTGCCGTTGGGAGTAGGAGCTGTGGGGGAAGAGCTGTGGCGTATCTGGAGGCAAGTCTGGCAATTGCGAAGACAGTCTGGTACTTTGACTTCGACAGGGCCCCAGGTACAGCCGATGCTCTCGGCGAAGGCGGCCCGGGCATGGGCATTGGGAGGGAAAGGAAGACCGAATTCCAGGTACACGATGTCATCACAGCTGAGCATCATGGGCCTAATTTAGTGTTCAAGCCTAGAGGGGAGTGTTGGAAAGAGTTGGCTGAGAGAGTACGCGTGGACTAGAGCAGATTTCCAGGCCAATCCACCATATCCACGAGTGGCACTTTTAAAGGCGAAATTGAATATTCTGATTGAGGCTCCCTTGTTAAGATGATGAGACTGATAGTTGAAAGCCAGTAAGACTTGTTCTGACTGGCCATTGAGTTGGGTGTACATACATATTTCGATCGGGGCATGCGAGACACATTTGCCTGGATTGTCTTGCAATCTGTATTTATCCCGCCATGTCTGGATTTAGCTTCCAACAAGCTACCTAGGAAACAAACCTGTATGGGGCAGGTTAGCAATCTCCTTGATGGTGCAGGTCTGGTCACAGAGAAGAGATTCGAAGAAAACAAAGACGTTGGAGTTTTGATGCAGCTTGGTCAAACAATCAAATTGCTGGGTTGGCTGACTGCCTGTCCCGAGAAAAAGCCTTGAACGCATGAGTTCAGCACCAGGTGACCAAAATTGTTCCAATGCAAATTACTCTTTCTTCCAATCACCCACAATCAGATCCGCCGCCTTCTCCGCGAACGCATACACAGTAGCCTGGAGGTTCGCAGTGCTGACCAATGGGATCGCACTCGCGTCGACGACTCTCAAGCCTTCCACCCCGTAGACCTTGAGTCTCGAGTCCACCACCCCACCCTTCTCGCGGGGCAGCATCGAATTGGTCCCAGCAAGGTGCCACATCGAACCAAGATTCGCGCGCGCATACTCCTTGGCGGCCTGAAGGTCCCCGTTGAAGTCTTCGGATGGGAAGCGGAATGCAAGGGGCTGTTTGAGGAGCTTCTGGAAGGGTGTTGATGAGGCAAGGGGTTTGATGCGGAGCAGATGTCGTGCGATGACCTCCAAGTCTAGAGGGTTTGTAAGATAACCTGGGTCCACGACAGGGGGTTCTTGGACTTTCGAAGAAGCACTGTAGCGGCTGTCAGTGTATGCTCTGTGTGGTCAAGATTCCCCGTCACTTTAGTCGACAAGTTGGTGAAAGTGGTGAGTAACTAGTTCCTTTTGCGGAACGGCATTTCGTGGAAATTCAAACTGAAAAGCGAGAGGCTTCAATAGGTACTCACATATGGACGCTTCCACGAGACAAAGGTGCAGAAAGCATTGCTCCAAAGGTGATAAATTTTCCGGGCGATGGTTCTGAAGTTGCCGACGCATTGTTGAGATCCTTGGGGTAGTTCGTCTGCCCAATGGCGGTCATAAATGCAGCCGATGGCTGGTTGGGATCAAGAAGAGTATCCTTAGCAAGTTCATAGTAGGCTTGTGACCTTGGGTCTTCAGGGATCTCTTGCTGGTCCAGTTCTGCCTTGAGCGCCTCTTGGTCCTGAGCAGGAAGAGGCAAATATGCATAAGTGTGCACCCCTAGGGAGGCCAGCGGTCCATCCTGTGTGGCGATGTACTCCTGCATAGCCTGCGCTATCGCTTCCGGCTCCTGCCTTACAAGGGCATCTTTGGTCTCGATATCGTCGGCGGCGTGGAAGGCGGTGTAGGAGATCAAGTGGTCCTGGAGGTTCTCTCCAACCCCGGGGAGGTCCGCCACGACATCGATGCCGACCTTGCGAAGGACATCCGCATTTCCAATGCCGGACAATTCGAGTAATTTGGGAGACTGGACGGCCCCGGCAGCAAGGATAACCTCCTTGTTAGCTGTGGCGACCTTAGTAGCATTGTCCTGGCTGTATTGCACCCCCACGGCCTTTGGAGAGCCTTGCGAAGAATCGAATATAATCTTCTCCACTTGTGCGTTGGTGAGAATTTTGAGATTCTCCCTCTGCTTGGCTGGTTGAAAATAAGCCGAGCCAGCATAGCTTCGTACGCCCTTTGAGTCGATACTCGCGAGGCAACTGAACGCGCCAACAGAATTGTGGATAAAAGGATCGTTGGGCATCAGGCGGCCATGCTCGCGGAATGTCTCAGCCCATGCCGCGCGGATGGAATGATTGTTGTTACCAAAAGAGGTCTTGATTGGACCTTCAGCACTGTTCAGAGAAGGCCAGACATCAATCGCGAGGGCCTTTTTGGCATCATCCGTGACTTCAGGGCTGCTGTACGCTTTGGAAAAGTAGAAGTTGAAAGAATCCCACTCCCAGCCAGGGTTACCGAGGGTCTCCCATGCATTGATAACATCGCTGGCGGGCGGGACGAAGACATTGGCATTGATGGCACTGGAGCCTCCGACGGCCTTTCCTTGGTTGAGGCCAATCACCCTACCACCGAGACCTGACTACTCCAATAATTAGCAATTAAAAGATAATATGATCTTAGAACCGAACAAGGTGATTTTATGCATCTGTCAAGCTTGTTGCTTACTTGAGGAGTAGTATGGAAGTTCCAGTCAGCTTCAGATCCGAGCAGTGCGGCATAGAATATGGGAATGTTCACGCGGGCGTCATCTGACAGGTCACTTCCGGCTTCAAGCACAAGAACAGACTTGGCTGGATCTTCAGAGAGACGAGACGCAACGACCAGGCCAGCTGTACCGCCCCCGACGATGATGAAGTCATACGAAGGTGCCATGACTGCTATGGGTGCTGGTTCGAGTGAAGTCAGGGGGACAGGTTGGGGCTGACTTCTCTATTCCAAGACTGGCTCGAGAATAGACCTCCTATTTAAGTACGAGTGTTATACCATGCAAAGTGTTGCCAGGATTAGGTAAGCCCTAATGGTTGGTGTAGCAAAGTACCTAAGGTAGGTATCGGTTCTGTGTGAACAAGGCTACCAGATATGTATGAAACTATTGGCCTTGTGCTTCACTGTTTTCGGGCCCATCGGACTTGGTCAATTTGTCTCAAAGGGGGAATAACTTCATATTCCTAGCCGAGAGATGGGAATGACAATCTCTGCTGAGGGGAACTACCCTGTCCTGATTTGTCTTCAGAGCCCTTTCAGTTGATTCATAGGATGGGGGCGACAATATGCAGTGATATTTCTCCCTGTGTAATGGAACTCCGCATGCTGCGCCGAGTCTTGAGCAGAATTAAAATAATTTCTCAAGTTTCACCACTTGTCAGCGTGCGTGTCTGGTTGGAGTTGATCGCTCGCACTCGCCTCATCGGTTGGGAAACCAACCGGCCACTTTTGTAGTTGCGGCAAAGTGATTGGTTGCGCATTGTCTTGGGTCGTCTCATGCTCCGCGTCCATCTGACTTATCACTTACTGGGCACCTGGGCATCTTCAAAGTTACTTGCGTGCCAACGTTGGAACCTGCATTGCGCCGACAACTTGCCTGTCCTGTACGTCGAGGTCTCCATTTTGCACATCCCACACACCATAGGTGCATCAATATATGCACAACCAGCAGGATCTCGAGGTCCCTGGACAGAAAAGGCAGCGAATGAATACCATGAAGGTCTTTGGTTATCAATGCAAAACCCTGGCCGGCGTTTAAAACTGCGAGTTGGTACTACAACACCCATGACACAACGCACAATTTGATACGTTCGGGCTTGGCGGTCCAAAACTTTCTGAGTTCGTGGGAGCCTCGCTATGTTGTTCCATGTTAGCCATTGACGGCCATGGGCCGTACACTGAGGAAAAGCGATGATGATACATGGGACCTGACCGTTCAAGGTCGCCCACCACCTCGAATCCTTCATCGTGGGCGGTGGGCATTTGCAGCCTAGGGTGGGGAGGAGGCCTTTAAAGAATCTAATCTGCTAGATAAATAAGAGAAGGAGGATTCGGAGTCACTGTCTGATCCAAAATCCTCCATTAAATCTCCCTTGAACCACATCCTTCTAGCTTGGCCATCTCTGCTGTCCGAGTCTTTGAAAATCCAGCATCAACATGCCTCGCTATCTGCCTCAGCGTCTCAAGCTGGAACAATTGGCATCGACCATGTTTATACAATCTACCTGTTCAACTGCAACAACATCAAGGACATCATCTGCTTGGGCTTCATGTTTGGGGGTTTGAATGCCTCTATTGCCTCTCAGTTCGGAATGGGCCCCGACCGCTCTGTGAAAGAAATCCTCGCATCTTTACCCGCAATGCTTCCATGGTCCTGGTCCAACCTCATCATCTTTAACTTGCACAATCAACGGGGCCACATTGCTACTGCTGAAGACAGGATAAACAAACCATGGAGGCCAACTCCGTCCAGACGAATCAGCTCTAATCAGGCCACTTGGATAATGTACTGTATGTATCCTGTCATATTTGGGGTGTCATTCACATCCGGAGGGTTGGGACCTTGCCTCTTTGAGGTATTTTCCTGTCTGTGGTATAACGAGTGGGGTGGTGCATCAGATCCCTTCCTGAAAAATCTCCTCAACGGCTTGGGGTTTGCATGCTGTTTTGCTGGGCCAATGGAGGTCGCTACAGGTCACTCCATATTTTGTGGCCAAGGAAAAGCCGCCTTGTGGCTCCTTGTGTTAGCAGCCACGATCACAACCACATCTCATGCTCAAGACTTTCGAGATATGGAAGGAGACAGAGCTTCGGGCCGCAAGACAGTTCCACTTGTCATTGGAGACGCGAAGGGTAGAGTTCTGCTGGCAGTGGGCATATTGGGATGGACCTTTGTATTCTGTTGGTTTTGGGGTGTTGGCATCACGGAATGGAGAAGATACATTGTGGCATGTTTTTCAGGGTCGGCAATGGCGGGAAACTTCCTTCGGGATCGGACTCGGGAGGGGGACACATTGTCGTGGAAGCTCTTCCACCATGGGTCGTTGGTGTTTCCCTTTTGCCCCTTCCGATGAGTCCCAATTAGGCGCCGAAAGAACAAAGGCGCGCATCTGGTTTAACGAAGATCGTTTCCCAATAGGTTGCGAAGTTATCTAGGTATTAAAAACTTGGTATGCTCGTGGAGACTGGGCTGACCGGCCTCAGAAGGTTTTTGTCCCATGTCAACTTCTCTGGGCAGCTGCCAACTCATGTGTAAAATGCTCCATCCTATCGCTCTACACCGTGCTATTTCCCAGCAAAGTCTTTATTCGAGTATGCTATGGTACCATTTCAGTCACTTCAGCATATTTTATCATGGTGCTCGTTGAGACTTTTGCACTCTGCAAACCGGTCGAATACAGCTGGGATAAGACGATCGAAGGCGAATGCGCCGGAGAAAACACAGCTTACCTCATCGCCGGCATCGTCAACCTCGTTATCGACACCTTCATTGTCGCACTTCCTATGCCACAAGTTTTCCGGCTCCAAATGACCTTGACTAAACGGATCAGTGTAGCTGGTATGTTTAGCCTTGGTGCCCTGTAAGCCAGAACATACAGAGAGTCTCTGGCGAGTACTGCTAATGTCCTTCTCATGTCTGCAGGATCTGTATCATCTCTTTGCTCAGGATCATCTGGTTGTACACATGGGACCTCAGCGATTTGACATACACGGTCACCCCCGGTGCTATCCATAGCGTGCTAGAACCAACCCTAGGCGTTGTCAACGCGTGCCTACCGACAATCAAGCCAGCCACCACAAAGATATTTGGTTCCGGAAGGCTGAACTGGAGCCGCAAGGATCCTAACAGCAAGAATTCAGGCACCAGCTCGGACGCCGAGGAAGGTCAAGGGCAACATCACGCGGGATTTTGAACGGCTCGACGACGAGTACCCTCTTCACGAGATCCGCATTGAGTCAGGAAGGCACCCCGACAATACCGACAGTCTTGGCTCCGGCAACATACAAGTCGCCCGCGCCTTTGGGGTTGATAGCGGCGAACATGGCCATCGTACACAGCCTGGTCAGTTTAGTACGAGCATGAAGCCGGCCTCCGAGTCGCTCCGAGCTTAGTTATGGGCTCTACATGGCAAGTGAATGAGCTCCTAGCCCTTCCAAAGGCCTCAAGGACTTTACAGTGTGTGTCGTCCATCCCTGCAGGTACTGTTCAAGCCTGGAGCTAAGCTGCAACGAATCTTGGAAGCTCATGACAACGATGACATGTGTGATCGTTAACTTGGTGAGAGCTGCATTGAGTCTAGGTTATAGTAGATCTGTGTCTGAGTGAGGTGCTAGATGGAAGAATGAGGTCTCAATCATCGTTTCCAGGTCTGCCAGAAATGTAGTTACTGCTACGTGGTGGATTCTTTATACTTGATCACTCTGCCTGAAAGGACTTGGATAAGACAGTATCGCGCTCTAATCATTTGATTTGATACTTTTGACATATTATGTTTGCATATAATAGAAATAAGATTCATTGGATAACTGTTTGGCGATATCAACCGGGACCGCACCTGCGGGTATCAAAACCTTACAGAGGTCAACAGGTATCATTGATCTATGCAACCCCATAACATTAACCTTCGTCGCCTGTGCCTCCTCCGCCTCCGGCGCTGCCTCTCGCGTTCGCGTTCACGTTCTTGGTGCTCATATTGCCAGTTGCTGGGCTCGTCACGGCTTACCTCGCGTGCCTCAGCTTGTGTAGCCTGGCGATAAGCCCCGGTGTTCTCGTCAAAGATCCACGTCCCTTCTGGACGGAAGCGCTCTGGCATGTGCCGAAGATTTTCTTGTTCCTCCGCTCGCGTCGCTAGACGGAGTGCCCCTGTTGTGGCATCCCTGACATACATATCAACGCGTCCTGGCATTTTCATAGACAATGAGTAGACAATTAATTCCGAAGAAATATTCGTTGATCTATTTTCCTTGTGCGCTCGGAATGATTGTTGTGACAAGGTCTTCAATTGTAGATGACGGAAAAGGTGGTATTTTAATTGCAGAGTTGTTTATCTCCTCCCATTATGTACTGGAATAGATGCCATCATCCATGTGAGGAAGCGTCTTATATTGACTCAGCCGGGGTGCAGTGACTCGTCTTAATCGGTGACAATGCCGAGTTACATTTGAACTCATTCAGAGAGGCAAGTGGCTGAGTATCGCAGAAACTTGTGAGACGCTTAAGTGCACTTCATTCGTGTGCATATATATGTAGAGACGACATACAAGAGAAAATCAAAAGCGGAATTGAATACATGTAGAGGCACCCAATAGAAGTTGCCTGACACCGACCGTTGCATTGCCGATAGAGGACCGAAGCATGCGCTCTGACGCGGTTGCGATGCCCGGAGGACGGAAGCCGAGTCATTCTTGCGGCGGCTCGGCAAGAGTCGGTCTAGTCCGCCGACTAATACTTTGTCAAAGACTTTTGTCGACGATAAGGCCATCCACTGTCTTGCCCTTCCTTGACTTGGCTTGTCTCATGGGTTTTGTTTCACGCTGAAGGAATCACGACCACTGCATTGACGGTATCGGCATCCGATCAGAAGCTGAGTCCGTCGGGCCTGACACCGACCGAGCGGCTGACCAGGACCCCGAAGGCCTGACCCGCCCGTCTCCCGTCCTACTTCATCCCAGCACGGGGCACGCTTCCTGATCGTTTCTTCTTTTGCCACGATTTCGCGAGCATCGGCTGGCCCAACTTGGATGAAAGCTTGGGTTCTCGTCGGCTAGGGCCTGGAATTCCTCACAGCTGATCACTGGAGATCTTACGATCGGCCCACTCATTTATCCAGCCTGGGTTGAGCAATCGGGGAGATGGGGTCGCTCGGGGAGTCACCGCCATCATCTTCAAGCCGGCCAAGAATTCTCTTCATCGACGCGTACGACTCTTTCTCAAACAACATCACCTCTCTGCTGGCTACCCTCTTGGATGTGGAGGTTTTCGTCCTCCCCATCGACACTGCCATTTCCAAGGACGACTTCCGCCGCGAGCTCTCTCATTACGAAGCCGTCGTTTGCGGACCCGGGCCGGGGTCGCCTCAGAATGACGCCGACGTAGGGTTGATGAAATGGCTCTGGGAGCTGCCTGGTGATGAGCTGCTGCCAGTACTTGGGGTGTGCTTGGGCTTCCAGAGCCTGGTACTCTCCTGTGGGGGCAAGGTGAGGAGGCTGAGGAGAGGACTGCACGGGATGGTCAGGAGAATTGAGCACCGTTCGGCGTCTGGAGACTCAGAGAGCGGCGATATTTTCCACGGTGTTGGGGACTTCAACGCGACACTGTATCACAGCCTATGCGCTGACGTGGGCCAGGATAGCGTGGAGCAATGGCATGACCGGAAGTGGGATCGTCCCGAAGGCCTTCACGACATTGTCCCGCTCGCCTGGGTTGAAGAGGACAGGCTGGATGGCCAGGAAAAAGAGAGGATCTTGATGGCGATGAAGCATGACCGGAAACCGTTTTGGGCGGTGCAATATCACCCCGAGTCTGTCTGCACGGAAGAAGAAGGAAATCGCGTGATCCGCAACTGGTTCAACCAGGCTTTGCGATGGAATTCGAAATACAGGACGACCTCAAGCCTACGTACAGACGACCTCCAGGCGAGAAAAGCCTTCAAACCCAGTCTCCTGCAGCAGGTCGCCGCTTCCGATGTCAGCACAGGCTCGGGGAGGGACGCCTGGGAGTCATTCCTCCACGAAAGCGACCGACGGATTCAATACAAATCCGTCAGTATCGACACCCCTCTATCAGCAGACCTCGAGATCCCGGATATTGTCGAGGCGTTGGGCTCAACCAGCACTAGCCACGTCATACTTGACTCCGCGAACGGCAATCAGCCTAGGGCGAAGACGGGCGTGGACGTCCGTGGACGATTCAGCATCATTGGCCTGGAAATCGATGACTGTGTGCGCATTGAGAGTCACACGGGAGAAAGATTCATCAGCATTGTTTCTCCTGGAAAGCCCTCGCACCAAGTCACGTTCGGGCCCAGGGAGAATGTTTGGCACCTTCTTGCCGAGTTCCACGGGTGCAAGCGCTCGATTATGGAGGAAAATGGCGACAATGTTCCACATGAACGAGACGTGCCGTTCCTGGGTGGGTTCGTCGGCTACGTGTCTTATGAACAGGGGCTCAGCGATATTGGTATTGCGCTGGGCCAGGAAAGAGGACATCGTAGGCCGGATGTGTGTTTGGCCTGGGTCACCAAATCCATCGTGGTGGATCATGAGGAAGGAGTGCTGCACATCCAGGATCTGGAAGGCAACGCACAATGGACTACCTCAGTAGCATCGAAGCTGCAAGGCTCTGACTTGTGGCGGCGCGGGCTTCGTACAGAATCGAAGAACGGAGCCAGGTTTCCACCTGCTTTGGACACGCAGATACGGAAACCAGAACATGCCAAGTACGAGGCCAAGGTGCGCATGTGCCAGGAGTTTATCGCAGCAGGCGACACATATGAGTTGTGTCTGACCGATCAGACTCATATCGCGAGAACCATCGCGACCGCGAACAAAGGTCAACGCGCGGGCCAGCCTGATGTGCTGCCCCAGCGGCTGCCCCCCAGTGCCCAGAAGACCGATACACGTTCGGATACGTCCTGGGATCTCTACCGCACGCTCAGGAAACGCAATCCCGCACCATTCGCCTCATATATCCGCCTCGGCGGGGCGACGCTCGTCAGTTCGTCGCCCGAGCGCTTCCTGCAATACGACCGCTCCGGTCTCTGCTCCATGAAGCCCATGAAAGGCACCGTCAGGAAATCCTCAGAACCTGCAGAGGGGTGTGCGATGAGCCTCGAGGAGGCCGAAGACATCCTGCACGTGCCCAAAGAAGAAGCCGAGAACTTGATGATTGTGGACTTGGTCAGGCACGACATGCATGGAGTCTGTGGGGCGGGCCGGGTGTGGGTGCCAGAGCTGCTGAAGGTCGAGGAGTACCAGACGGTATACCAGATGATCACGGTGGTCGAGGGGCAGCTTCCACAGCCTGACAAGTGGGATCCCCAGAGGCGTCACTCCGGACTCGACGTGCTCTCGGCCAGTCTCCCGCCAGGAAGCATGACGGGCGCGCCGAAGAAGAGGAGTTGTGAGATTCTCCAGCAGATCGAGGGAGACAAGGAAAGAAGTCTCTACTCGGGCGTGGTCGGCTACATGTGCATCTCTGGCAGGGGAGATTGGAGCGTCACTATAAGAAGCATGTTCCGTTGGGACGACGAGACCCAAAAGGGAGACAAGGATGGAGAAGAGAAGGAGACTTGGCACATTGGCGCCGGTGGTGCCGTCACTATTCTCAGTACCCCCGAAGGGGAAAGAGAGGAAATGGTTGTCAAGCTCGCACGGCCATTGAGTATCTTTGGCATGACGTCTTGACATTGCAGTGCAGGAATTAGCGTTGACACAAGGCTGGGGCGTTATTCGGAAACTGGGACAGGCTGCTTATGGTTGAGCGAATGGGGGCCAGGCGTTTATCACATTGGGAGAACCTAGAAGGATGCATGATACTCAACGTATCGAATCGGTTCAACAGAAGACACAGATTTATAGACTCAACGAGGCAATCTGGGCCACCAGAGACTCAACTCTAGATTTGGAAATTGAAATCATTCATGCTGTCAACTATTTCCATAGCCAACCCCTTGTACCCGCACCCAAACGCAAAACCCGGATGAAGCGTCGCTTTAGGAAACCCACCAATGATTGATTCGTACAGAGATACAGTTTGGCGCAAGCGCCACCGATTCTATCGCATTCCTGCCCGAGCTACGGGCTCCGTTGTGCTCATGCAACACACTCTCAACCTGCTCATTAGGACTCCGGCTCCGCCTAGAATTCCGACTCCTCCTGGAAGAACATGCCGAAGGAGATGATCGTTCCGTAGATGAGAAGACCGCCAGCGACCGACATGACCATGGCGCCCATGGTGATTAGGTTCGAGTGTGCGAGGACGATGGGGAGTGCTGTCACAAGAAGGGTCAGCGCAGGCCCGGCTGGTATCTGGGGTCGCTCCATCATCAGCACCAGAAGAAAGACCTACCTATCCCCATAACGACCATAAATCCTGTGCAGAAGCGTCCGAGATCCATGATGCCGGCGCCCGAGCTCTCAACAAAGTCGTCGGGGTTGGAGCACCGGCCGCAGATCCAGTTGGGCAGCGGCGCGATCACGTAGGTCGCGACGACCAGCAGCGGGTAGTAGACCTTCCATAGTGCGCAGGAGAGGATGACGAGGAGGAATCCAACGGCGAGGACAAAGGACAGGGCGATGATCGTTTTCAGGCCGGCGGCGGGCATCTTGATCGTCTGGATTGGAGGAGGCGGGAGAGTCTGTGTTACAGCTGAGATGGGGGCCGAGCCGAGGCCGGGAGGCTGGGGCGGCGTTTGAGCGGCACTTCGTAGGGAGGAGGGTCGTCGTGAGGGGATTCGTTTATAGATGGTGGGAGTACCAAATCGCCTTGGCAGCTCGCGTATTCGTTGAGGTTGTCGTCGTCGTTGTCGTCGTCGGGAGGCTTGGAACAGGCAGTTGCGTGGGGTCGGCTGTGATGTCGTAAGAGCTCCGTCCTTGGTGCTGCTTGCTGCTGCTGCTGCCCGGGTCAGCTTGCCAGCCGCGCGGCGCTTGAGACGTGCCCCAGACCTGCCAAAACCCTGGCCCCCAGAGCCCGATAAGCGATAAGGGGGCCGCTGGGGTAACGGCAGGTGCAGCCAGGTAGGAGGTACGAAGCTCTGAGCTGCCTGCTGCTTGCTGCATCATCCCTCTCTCAGCCTTGGAGCTTGACCTCACCTTTCGCCATCGCCGTCGCGACACCACACTCACCGACCCGAACCTTGCCCAATTATCGACTACACGCGATCGAGCCCCCTCCCCCGTTCAGCCCACGAATATCATCTTGCCGCATCACAGTTGAGTCGTCACGATGTTCAGAAACAACTATGACAACGACTCGGTCACATTGTAGGCACCCCAGCCAGGTTGCTGTCGCGACTGTTTGCCCGGTCTAGCTGACCCAAACCCAATCCTCTAGCTCGCCACAAGGCCGGATCTTCCAAGTCGAATACGCCGCGGAGGCAGTCAAGCAAGGTTCCGTCGTCGTTGGAATAGCAAGCAAGACACATGCAGTGCTGTGCGCAATCAAGGTACGGTCCGCACCACCGGCTCCGTCCACGCATCCTCCGCACGCCGCCCACGTCCGCGACGAGCTCAGACTAACCTGGACGCCCGCCCGCAGCGAAATGCCGAAGAACTCTCCTCATACCAAAAGAAACTCTTCCCCATCGACTCCCACGTCGGCATCGCCATCGCCGGCCTGACCTCCGACGCGCGCGTGCTCTCCAACTTCATGAAGCAGCAGTGCCTGGGCCACAGGCTGACGTACGGCCGCGACATGCCCCTGCGGTCGCTGGTGGAGATGATCGGCGAGAAGGCCCAGATCAACACGCAACACTACGGCAAGCGGCCCTACGGCGTGGGCCTGCTGGTGGCCGGCGTCGACGACAAGGGCCCCCACCTGTTCGAGTTCCAGCCTAGCGGCCTGACGGAGGAGATGGTGGCCTTCGCGATCGGCGCCAGGTCTCAGATGGCGCGGACGTACCTGGAGCGGCACATCGACGACTTCGAGAAGTGCGACAGCGAGCAGCTGATCCAGCACGGCCTCAAGGCCCTGAAGGAGAGTCTGGTGCAGGACCGGGAGCTGACGGTCGAGAACACGAGTGTCGGCGTGGTTGGGGTCAAGAGGACCGAGGACGGCATCAAGAAGGTCGAGCCATTCAAGGTCTACGACGGTCAGGACGTGAAGGCGTGGATCGACCTCGTCGCTGACGACAAGGAGGGCGGCGGCGACGGAGAGGGCGAGGGCGAGGCCAGTGCACCGGCTGGCGAGAGCATGGAGGTCGACAGCTAGACGTGTCCCCGACGCCCGGGCTCTCCCGGTGAGACCAATGGCACTCGCATGAGTGCAGATGACTGAGACGTTAACATGATCATACGCCGCGGTTGGGACGGAATCGCTGCGGTCATCAGTCTAAAGATGTACGAGAGGCAATGAGTTTTGCCGAACCAAGGCGCAACATCGTCCGGTTGCATAACACCTTGGACGTAGTTCTAAATCTGATCTATAGACCCTTCAGAAGAACCTACCCGCATAAGAGACTTGATGGGTGCCACAACTCGCAAAAGTGTCGAACGCCTCTATGTGGTTAAACATAGCAGCATCCATTGAGACATTAGTCGGCCTGTGAGATGATCACAAACCGCCGCGGATTGAAGTCACGGACAATACTCAATGTCTATGACGTACGAGTCGAGGAATGATGGGACATGAATGTGTCAAGTGTATGATGTAACAGTCTATATAGAAGCAGTGCGGGCTTTCTCACTATCCCTTGTTCAACCTGGTGAAAGTGCTCTCTGAAGTTTTGAAACGGTATGTGCCAACGCCGCAAGGCAAACAAGCAATCCTTCCCAGCACCTACTCATTGCCCCACTGCAGCTTGTACTGCGACTCGGAAACCTTGTAATTCCTCAAAGCCTCTATGGCGTCCTCGGCATTCGTTGCCGACACCAGAATAGACGCGTTCGCGGGCCGGATGAAACCCTCCTCGACGCTCTTGTCGATCCAGCCCAGCAGGCCGTCGTAGAAACCATTGACGTTCAGGAGAACTATGCCGAGCGACTGGATGCCGAGCTGGTTCCACGTGGCGGCCTCGAGGAGCTCCTCCATGGTGCCGAACCCTCCCGGCAGGGCGATGAAGCCCGAGCCGGGCCCGCCGGCGGCCACCTCCTGCGCCATGAGCCTCTTCCGCGTGTGCATGTCCGGCACCACCGTCGTCCGGCCGAACACAGACTCCTCGGGGATGGCGAGCTTCTCGCCGCTGCTGCTGCCGTTGGTCGTCGTGGAGGTGAAGGTCGGGTCGCGCTCGAACTTGACCAGGGGCTCGGGGATGATGCCGTGCACGGCGTCCGGGCCGGCTAGGGAGACGAGGGTCCGGGCTATCTCCCCCATGAGGCCGACTGTGCCGCCTCCGTATACTACATGGGGCCGTTAGTGGTGCTTGCTTCTTGTTGCTGCCGAGTGCTGGACGGGGAAGAAAGGGATAAGATGCAGGGGGCGTCGGTCCGCTGACTCACCGAGGCCAATGTTGTTCGCCGCCATGACCTTTGCTAATTGGCGAGCAGACTCCATGTGCTCTGGTTTGGTTCCTGGAGATGCGCCACAGTAGACACAGATCTTTGTCTTCCGCTGCTCGCCACTTCCGTTAGAAGCTTGTGGCGTCGATGCGCCGTTGCCCGTGCTGGCCATTGTTGTTGAGGTCTGGGATATGTGAGGATCTGGGGCAAGTACAAATGGGCAAAACCGAGTGTGCAGCCCCGAAATCAACGAGTCGTCGAGTCTATATAGGGAGTAGGGTCTTTTATTTAGGACCAACAAATAGATTGGTGGTCGAGTGTCGGGAGTTGAGAGGACAGGGCGAGTATAAGAGAGGTATGTGTGACGCAGACGGCAAAGGGGCTATCAGGGGCAGGCAAGCCTGGGAGGCAGGAAAGTCACGATATCAACCGATTTCGGTTAGGGGAATTTTGTCCTATCCCAACGGTTGAAAAGAGAAGGAATCAAGAATTAATACTTCTTGAAGGAGTCCACACACTCTGTTACTGCGTGGTATAAGCGCCGCTCGGTCTTGTGCACGATGGAAAAAGCAGTTATGTTGAAGAGTGCAGCGAAGAGGGACAACTCGATGCGTTGGTCAAGACTGGCCCTTGCGCTTGAATCATTGGGACGAGGGGCGTGGTTGGGACCATCTTGTGACTTAGCTATGACATGGGTGGCCATGACACTCTGTGCAAGTCCACCTGGCACCTGCCAAAACACTTGTTATGGGTGGTGAGGCGACGGCATTGCAGCTGGTGGGTGAAGCAGCAACATTGTACGGGAGAGCAACAGCAGCAGTTGACGACATCTTCGGCCCGCAGCAGTGGCGCATGTCGTCTGCTGACGTGAACAAGTGCTAACAACCTGGGCAGAGGAATGCGCCAGCCGCTGCTAACCGTGGAAGGGGACGCGAGAGCGAACGAGGGCCGGCCGTAGGGGTCGATCCCAGCGAGTGTGGTTCTGGCGCATGCTGGTGTGAACACACTTGGACAGGGAATGATGTGTGCTTGATGGATTGGCTCCCAGAAGATGAAGTTGACAACCTTGGAAGTTTACAGAGTACCACCGCCGTCCACCGGCCCCCATGTAGTGGTATGTTGCATCTCAAAAATGCGTGCCCGGCGGCGTGTCGGTGATTCGCCATGTGCTCTGTTGTATCGGCAGGCAATGCCGCCGTTTTGGGCCCGGAGCACCCCTGTTCTGGGCTGGATCGCTTTCTGGGGTCCTGGCTAGCAGAGCCTGGGGTCCTCCCCGGTTTGGTACGTCTGGTACGTGGCTTGTGCGGCTGCTAGGTTGACCTCGACCTTACATCTCCCACTCCCCCAGCCCAGACCTCCTCCCCCCCTCGGCTTTGTGTCTGACGATCGCGGAACCAATCCACATCTCAGGGCAGGTCAATCTCTCGATATGCCTGAAGGAAACGCAGCAGCAGGCGGCGCGCCTGCTGCTCGGCAAGAGGAAGGTGGCGTAAGTGGTCCATGTCGAGCTGCTCCGAACCGGACGGCCAGATCTGATGACTGATGTCTGATGCTAACTCGAACGTTCAAGACCTCCCTCATGTCTAGAATAGGATGGGGCCTTGCAATGTATATGGGAATGCAATTCCTCATGAAGCAGTTCGTGCCAGCCGCACCGCAGAGCAAGACCGTCACCGACGCCTCGGGCCAGACGGTCCAGGTCCCTGCCAACACCGCCGACGTTCCCCCATATGCTCTACGGCCCAAGACCCTAGATGAAGGCGCCACTTGGAATCCTGTCCCGCAAAAGGTGGCACCGATATGGCCCGACGACAGCGTGGTCGATATCATCATCACCCTTTCCGACTCTGTCAAGCCCACCCCACTCAAGGATACTCCCGAGGACATGCTGGTTTTCAAGGAGCAAGAGTTCAAGATTGGCAACTGGAGCGAGAAGCGTTCCATCGACACCACCATCAACGTTCCCGAGGCTGTTCAGAACAATGGAACCCTCTGGGGACACTTCTACATTGGCCTCCACGGTGACTCGCGTCTTGATCCAACTCAGCCAGGCTACGATCCGGCCAAGGCCTACTACTTTGTCTACCCGTTCACCCAGCACATTCCGAGGAAAAAGGTCAAGAAGATGCACAACCTGCTCGAAACCAAGAACATGACCGAGGCAGAGCAGGTTGAGGAAGAGGAGGCTGGTACTGTTGTCGTCGGCAACTACTATCATCCCAACACCTCCTTGTCCTTCGTCCCTGGTGCTGGCACTATCATGTACCCAACCGCCAATGGTGCCGTCCGTACATTCCTCCATCTTGAGCCTACAGGGGCCCGTGATGGTTCCGGTCAGAACTCGTGGTACTACCCCATCTTGTTCGCCAACGGCTTTTGGCAGCTGAAGAGCCACCACAGCCTCGTCAATGACACCGTCAAGACTCTTCCCGTCCACATCGAGCTGAACAACCTGGCCCAATGGAAGTTCCAGGTGATGGCCTCCATCGAACTCGGCGGCAGGGAAACTGCGCGTCAAGCTGCCTACGGTAACCCTGTCGCCGGTGGTGGTGATGGGAGCGAGATCGAGATGATCAAGGAGATTTTCCTTGACACCAACCCAATTCTGCTTGGTATCACCATTGTGGTCAGCATTGCACATCTCGTCCTCGAGACTCTGGCGTTTGGCTCAGATATTGCTCACTACCGCAAGAAGAAGGACAACGTTGGTATTTCTGTCCGATCGATCCTGGCCAACGTCTTCATGCAGACAGTCATCTTCCTCTACCTCGTGGACAACTCCCAGAACACGAGCTGGATGATCCTGGGGTCCCAGGGTGTCGGGATCGTCATCGAACTGTGGAAGATCACAACAGTCGTAAACGTCAGGGTGCGCGATGCGGAACCGGGCTCCTGGTTGCCGAAGAAGCTAGTCTTCGAGGACAAGCACAAGCTCAGTGAGACTGAAGAGAAGACCAAGGAGTACGACGAGATCGCCTTCAAGTATCTGTACTGGATTGGCGCCCCTCTGCTTGTCGCATACGCCATCTACTCCCTCGTTTACGATGAGCACAAGTCGTGGTACTCGTTCATCATCGCCACACTCGTGGGCTCTGTCTACGCCTACGGCTTCTTGATGATGGTTCCCTCGCTCTACATCAACTACCGCCTGAAGAGCGTTGCCCACATGCCGGGCAAGGCAATGATGTACAAGTTCCTCAACACCTTCATCGACGACTTGTTCGCCTTCACGATCAAGATGCCCTTGCTGCACCGCCTTGCGACCTTCCGTGATGACATAATTTTCTTCGTCTACTTGTACCAGACCTGGAAATACAAGGTGGACTACACCCGAGTCAACGAGTTCGGCCAGGGCGGAGAGGACGACGACGCAGCAGAGGAGAAGAAGGACGGAAAGGAGCCGGCCACCGAGGATGTGCCGGTTGCCGTGAAGGCTACCGCTACCTCTGTCGGCGAAGGTGGTGCTACAAAGAGGAAGTAGAAAGGGTCCCACAGTGGAACACCTGGACATTTACCGGCATATAGGTTGTTCATATAGCCAAGTTTTAGCAAGGCTGCTTGGGCAGACGGCTATCGGCAATAGACTGGTCTCACTGTATGGCCCCCCTCGCTTAGGTCTTAAACATGCTCGCGTGTGCTCGGTAACCACAAGGTGGAATAAACGTTTCGGGAGTAAGTGCCATCGTCCTGCCATGTGGCGCTTGAACATGAACATTGAAACGCAAGATAAGTGGTCCCAGATAGATTACTTGCCAAAGAGGTACTGCCAAAGTAGGCAATCCCGAACTAGGTAAATCCGAAAGACGAGTCTTGCGGAGCCAGTGAACTAGTCGTAGAAAGTAAGGGGGGTATGGGTCATCATTTCTGTGAGCCAGCCCACATTCCAAGGTTCGGAACACCAGCGAGATGCTCTCTGGCGTTCCAAATCTTCACTGGTGCCGTCGCTTCCTTGGCCGGCCGCGGTGGTTATGATGAAATCTGTCCGCTCCGGGCCCGCGTTCCTTTCTTCACCGCGTGCCTCTCGGAGAACGGCAAACAAGAACTGGACCCCGAGAAAAAGCCACAACTCCACTTGCTGACATCGGCATCGAAGTCCCGAGTCGCTGTTTCCGCAGGCCCTGCGGGAGTTCCCCTTACCCACTTATCCCCTGTTTCCGCAGTACACTCGCAGCACGCACGGAGCCATGTGATTTTGGGCGTGGCGCTTGGGCCGAGCATGCTGGTGAGATAGATAGTCAATCCTAAGAGGTCGGGACCAAAATGCCGATCAAAGAGAGAGGTTTGCTCGTCGTATCTTTTGGTGGTAATTCGGAGAGAGAGAGTTACGTGGCCTCGAGCTTAACACGCCCACATTAGGCAACTCAGAGATCGAAGGTACAGTACTCAGGTTCGCACCAAGCCAATTGGTCACCTCATAGGAGGTTGTCCCACAGGAGTACCAAAGCTACCCTATATGAGGCTTTCCTATAGGATGTCACCATAAGTTTGTCCTGTAGGAGGCCGTATTACAAGAGGTTGTCTTATGGGGCTCGGGTACCCTCCATTTTTGCGGGTGTGAATCTCCATTCTCCTCACAAATACTATTGCCTCTCTACGATGCGTATGTCTGCGGGATCCACTATCGCATCACTAGATTCCGCAGTTCGCAAGAACATGGGTCGTCCTTGGAAGGGAGTACACTCAGCGGGACGTAGCAGCCCGCATTAACGAGCCGACAAGCTCCACACGTTCATGAAAAGACGGCATTCAGCTTGCTGGGATGTGTTCCGCGCGAGTTTGATATTCCGGGGACTGTGCTGGTCTGTATGCAAGCATGGCACATCAGACAGCCAACAGCACCTTGGCGCTGACCAGTGCGGCCCCTGAAGAGCAAGATTACACGCCAGTGAACCAGCTGCCGCCGGCATTAAGCTCGCAGAAGCCCCTCGCAGGATGCACACAAACACCAACAAGATGCCGTGTTGGTGAATCCCGAGGGATGAGAAGGGATGAGACGGCAAAGACTCTGCTGTCCTTATCTTGTCACAGCCCGGGAATGGTCGGCCAGACTAATGTCGCCAAGTGGCGCGACAATGCGTCCCACGCTGAGAAAGAAAGACACCCCACGCCCGTCATCAATAAAGGGGAGGTTATCGCCAATGGTCTGCCTGCAGGTGGGATGCAGTCTGTCTGCACGGGGGCCTTGGAATATTTCGCATCGGTCTTCCAGGATAGGACTCGGGGACGCGGCCCTTGATATGATGCGGTCATGGCCCAGTATTTCACGTCAGTCACAACGGGGAAGTGAGGAGAGAAATCTGAGCCTCAAGAATGGAGCCCAGCAGCAGAGCCACGGCCCCACAGTGGTACCGCACATCGAGACCCGTATTACTGTTTCCGAGCCACGTGAATAGCGGGCGGCCGCTTCAGGAGACCGTGCCCCCGGGCCTCAGGCCTGCGAGCAGTGGGAAGACCCTGAATGACTGTGCCTGGGTCCTGGCTTCCAAGGGTGACTGGCTCCAACAGCCTGCCGACTACATACTGTGTACTTGAGCAGATAATGTTGTTCACAATATATACTCTCATCCCACCCTCTGATACAACCTCGTGCACAGAAGAATAGACTTTAACTTTGCCAGAAATAGAATTGGGCTGACAGTCCGTCAACGAGGCCAAGAAGCCAAAGGGGTAGCACAAGAGAAATAAGAGAAGGGAAATACGACCAGTGAGCCCAGAGCCTAGACCTTAAAACGGTCGTGAATGCGACATACCCGCTAGCTGGAAAGTGGGCAGAGCTCGCAGACAAGAGCCGTGCTATCAGCGAGAGCGAGTGAGCCCCCACCGCCTGGGGCTTCCCGTAGGGCTGTGCAACGGACAGACCAGGGCAGCCAGGGCAGCCAAACGACAAAACGGGCGGGCCGAGTGGGCTCTAGCTGGCCTGACTGCCTGATTCGTCACCTGGGGACAGCCAAAGCTTAGGGATGACCCGACCTGCCCACCTGCCCACCTGCCCACCCACTGCCCTTGGGAGGCCCCGTCACTCCGCAGCCAAGGAAGCTAGCCCAGATCAAACCAGACACATGCGAGTGCTCCTCCCCGATTGACCCGTTGACGACATCCATCGGCTGCGCACGCTGCACGGGGCTTTCTGCACGGTAGTACACCACAGGACTACTCCGTACTACATCAGGGCCCTCTTTGCTGCTTTGCCCGCTCTCTCTTTTAATATGACGGCTGTCGCCCTCAGCCTCAGTCGCCACCAGCACCGACCCGCCACCAGCTGGAGCAGGTTCGACGAGCTCGAGTTGCCGCTGCCCAAACGATGAACAGGAGTGGCCACCCCAGCCGACGGGGAACTTGGTCAAAGGCCACCGACAATGACACCGCCGCCGGCTCCACCCCAGACTCCGTCGGCTCGCTGCTGGCCGCCATCGCCAACTCCATCAACGATGCCCTCCGCCTCCTCATGTTCGCCGACAAGGCCCACTGGGGCCCCGACGAGTTCGAGCAGGTCCGCGCCCTCGAGGCCACCCTGGACGAGGCCAAGAAGGACTTCCAGGAGATGGGGCCCTTGCTCAAGGGCTCCGTCTACTACGAGAACGACCGCAGGAGTATGTACCTTTTTTCTCTCTCACAGTCTCTCACCTCGTCCCCCTCCATTTCTTTTCATGTCTTCTCCACACCAACCAGGACCGAGATGGAGGGGCCATGCTGCCGGGACCTAGGGCGGGATGCGGCAACTTGCCGTCGGACACCCAAACGAACGAACCCCCTGGTCCTGTGCTACATTCCCATCTGCATCAGGCTGTCTATCACTCCGTCATGTAACCCCTGTCTTTACAATGCCACAATTTCGCTGACTGGACAATGTCGGTCACACAGTCGAGTCGCTCGAGGAGCTCGGTGAATTGCGCACGGAATTCGCGAACCACGCCCGGGTCTTCAAGGACTGGCTGCGACAAGGTGGACCTATCGAGCCCCTATGGGTCAACGACACCGTGCGACTGAGACGAGAACTCCATCGAGCCCAATGTCGCGCCGCCGCCCGAATATTCGCATCCCAGCAGGCCGACATAGCAGAAGGGCCCGGCCAGCGATGCCTTGGCGCGTTTGAGATATACCGGCGGCAGCGACGACTAGACGACCGACGGAAGCAATACGAGCAACGACATAGCCGGCCGTCTTCTAGGTACGAGTCGACGCGGGACGAGGTGGCACAGGCGCAAGGCAAGAAACCAAAAAGGATACAGAGCTGGGAGCAGGGGACCCCCGTGATGGGCACCTCCATCGGCGAGGCGGTCGAGATGGGCGCATGGGGCCAGCAAAAGGCGCCCTCGGTCCACTACAGCGAGCAGCTGGACGCCGTGGAGCGGGAGGCCGAAATCACGGAGGCTATGGAGGAGCTCGTGCCCGTCTGCAGCACCGTCGGTCACTTCGAGCGCTTCGGCGACCGCGACGTGGCGTTCGAATGTGATTTCTGCGAGGGCTTCATCGTGTGGAACGACCTGATGGTCATGCCGACGAGGCCGGACCCCTCCGCAATCGCCAAGGGCGTCACCGAGCAGCCGAACTGGCAGTCCTGCGGCAAGAGCGTCTCGACCGGCGAGGACAAGACGGTCGTCTTTGCACCCCTCGCCATAGCGAACCACCTCGCGCCCGAGATCGGCGGCTGGCAGGCGAGGATATTGTGCCCATACTGCGATGACTACAACTACTTTGAGCAGGGCGAAGGGGACGAGACCAAGTACGCCCAGGACGAGCGCGGCTTCGGGAGCCTGGAAGAGTTCCAGGCGCATCTGGAGTGGTATCACACCTCCACTTCGATGCCGGGCCTGCCCTCGGCCAAGAACTGCGTGGTCATGTAGGCGCCCACGAGGAGGTGCGTGTCATGAGTATCAGGCATCTATGTCACTGCAAATCAAACACTTGGAAGGCGTTTTGTCATCGAGAAGGGATTTTGCTTGGTCGGCGTTACTAGGTATTGGAATGAGCCCTGGCGTTCGGGGCACTTGAGATATGGCTCGAACCCACATCAGACGTGCCACGTTGGATAGGACACGAAGGTTAGCACAGCCTGGCCAAGGTGCAGTGAGAGAGGTACCGGCTGGCAGGGGCTCATATATATGTTCAATGCTTAATATACCCATCTTTTTCCAAGGCGACATATGGTTGCACAAAATCTCAACGCCATTGGCACCATGAAGTTACAAGGATGTCGATCTCATCCTCATACTTGTTTGAGTCAGATCAGGAACCATAATGGTTCAGAGCATCTAGTGACGACCTCATCATCTCGGTCTCGCATCCGCTTGCTCCAGTAGAAACATGAACCAAGCCTGGTCTGATTATGGATTTGTATATTACGCTCTTCGTTGCCTCCATAGACTGAGCCTACCGCTATGCAATCAACGCCGGAACTCCAATAGCATATATCATGCCACCCATATGTGACAACCCATCAGCGCCCGACCGTCAGTCGCCGCCCCTCCCCCCCCCCCACCCACCTCCTTACCCCCAGCCCCAGCCCTGCTCAGAAGAACCTCCACCACAGGAACACGATTATGATGAACCCCAGCCCGCCGATGGGGCCGTACTGCTTGAGCAGCAGGTCCCAGTTGATCTTGACGGCGGCCCTGCGGTACTTCTTGCTGTCGTCGCGCAGGCGGGAGCTGATCTCGCCCATGCGCTCGAGGGAGTCGCCGCGGTAGAGCAGGTCCTCGATGTTCTTGTGCATGACCTTTGTGACGTCGCGCAGCTCGTCGTTGAGCTTGTCGAGGTTCTGCGTGGCGCGCGCGTCGCTGTAGGTGCCCTTTGTCTTGTTGATGAAGCTGTCGAACTCCATGAAGGCGTAGGGCCGCAGGGTGGGGCTCATGAGCTGGGCGGCCGGGTAGGTGGTCGAGAACTCGGCGGCCAGGTCCGAGAGGTAGGTGAAGGCCAGCTTGCGCGGGTACGAGCGCTCGGTTATGCAGAAGTAGACTATGTCGTCGGCGATCAGGTAGTTGATCGTGTGGTCGCCCGACTCGATGGACGCCTGCGACTCGGCGTTGCGGTTGAGCCGCCGGAGGATGAGCTTGATCTGGGACTTGATCTCTGACAGGGAGGACTCGGTCTATTGGCGGGCGTGGTGTTAGTTATTCGAGCTTGATGTGACGGTGGTGATGCTGTTGGGTTGTCGAGTGGGGGGGGGGGGCACTCACTGCCTCGTCGTCCACAGACGCGCATAGGTACAGGCCGTCAAGCCGTGCTATTTGCGTTGACCTGATCATCTTGGATTATAATCTGTCTGTGGCCGTATGTGTGTCTGTGTATCGGAGGAGAGGCTCCCGGAAAGTATGGGAGAGGCTGTCGTCGTCTCGTAGCGTCCCAGAACGGAGGTATGTATTCTTAGTGCCACTGTTGAACGTGTCCTCAAGACGATGACGCCACCTTTGCCTTTCTGCCTGCTTAAGCTAGATCAAAGGTTTGCTGATAGAATTTTTGGCAGTCTGCTGAACAGTGGTGGTCAACAGGACAGTAATTGGCTTGTGATAACGGTGAAGGGGACAAGTTTTGAAACTGGAGGCCGGGCTTAGTTGAAATTGGATTGAAGTTGATGGGACAGGGTTCTAGGCATGGGTCTCTTTGGGGCAGCACATCACAGTTGCAAGGCCGCCAATCAGCACACTATTCCCCCAGGATGACATTGAGTTGTGGAGCGGGACAGGGGTAGCTCCTCCCCCAGCCTTGCTCAACCATGACCACATGTCTGTGGTCCTACCTCTTTAATACACTCATTGTACAGATAAGGAAGCCACCGTCTTCCATTGTGTTTCCCCCCTCATAAGATTGCCAGATCTTCTTTCTCTCAGTATGGGCCCCAAGGAGCCATTATGAAATTGCGCTGTCTTTGTCTGTGTTTGTAATCCTTGTAGCTTCGTGCCAGTGTTCTTCTCTTCCCTTGTGCACCTCAGCCCGCAGTAAGACGTCATTTCACACCTGAAGCCTGGACAGGAGAGCAGGAATTCTCGATCCATAGGCTCTTCAAGTACCGTCTGTTCGTTTCTGCCTTGAGAAGCTTGTTCCGTCCCATCTTTCAGCCTCACAAGCGAGCAATCACCTAGCGGGGTCTCTCGCTCTGCCTGCAGGCAGTTCATCTGCAATGGCAACTTCTACATCAATGGCGACTTCTACATGTGGCCTGCCCCCGAGCAGCCAACAATCAAACTCAGACCTTTCCGAACCTCCAGATTTTACTGAAGAGGAGATCACAAGTTTCGCAGCCACGATGGCTCCCCACACTCGATCTCGGTCTACTCGGTCTCGGTCTCAGAGCGAGTCCAAAGATGACGTCTCCGGCGATGGCCAGACGCAGACAAACGGAGACTCGGTACCGACTCACAACCAGACTGGTAACAACGAATCCTCCGTTCAGGATGATGAGATTGTTGCAGAAATCTGCGTTGCGACTAGGAGCAGCCGGCGAAGAGTCCCCACGAAACGTGCCAAGGTCACATTCTTAGAGCCAGAGACACCTGCCACCAAGAGACCAAAGACAAGTGCCAAAAGGTGGACGGCAGAATACGTTACCCAGAGCAAGCAGTCGCCTTTGGTCAACAAGGACTTGAGGGTTAGTCATTGATGCCAACAAATTTAACGTATTAGTTTTCTGACATACAAGACCAGGCGCTGCTACTACACCCTCAGGCCTGGGATGTCCTCAGCGACGAGGACAAGAAGGAGATACTTGACCTGTTCCCTGACACAAGGCACATTCTGAATCCCAACACACCCGAAGCTCGTCCAAACGTCATGTCGCTCCAGAACGACGACAACTTCCGCCATGACACAGAGGAGTACGTGGCCAACCTCAAGGCAGGCATACATGACCCGGCTTGGCTTCAGGATGCCTGGGCCGCTCACGAAGCCCGCGCCGCTGGTCAGTTTGACGAATATTACATTCGGAAACTCGAAGTTGTCTGGAACACAAAGATCCCCGATGAGATGAAGCCGGAGCACCTGCGGTCTGTTCCTCCGGCAGAACCCCAGGAGGATGCAAAGGGTGAGCCCCAGGAAGAGGGTTCATCATCTCCTGATCCGCTTGCCGAGGATACGAAAGCCCCCATTGCCACCCAGGAGGATTGCATTCAAGTGTCCGTTGATGCCAAAGAATCTACCGGCCCGGCCAACGTCATCGCATCTGAAGCGGTGGAGGGTGATACCAAGACCACCAGCGACGACGCTGTCCAGGATGCTGTGATGGCATCGAGTGAAGATGGGTCTACCGCAAGCGTCACGGGAGGTCTTGGAAAAGTCACTGTTGTTAACGAACACGAGAATGCGGAGGAAAACCCAGGTCACAAGGACAGCTCCGCTGGTGCAGACTGAAAGCTCTGTGCCCTATGCGATCCAGTGGACACGAGCACTGTCTCGCTTCTGACAGTGCTTAGAGAGGATGATTCAGGTGCAAGGTTGCTTCCGTATGAGCTTGCTGTGGATGTGGAACAGAGACGTACTATTTACACCAGCACGGGATTCACTTCGCCCGACTGCATCGATTGAGGATAGGCAGGATTCACAACTAGAGACGGGCATCAATTCCGAGCGATTAGGGTGTTTCGGCGGGGAAGCATTCTGAGCAAGCCTGCTTCTCATGGCCGGCCAGTATTGTCCGGTGATAAGGATTGACTTGTTCAGAAGCTGAAATGTGAGAGCGAACCAAGAGTGACGTGAAATATGGGCTTGAGGATCCCCTCATCAATACGTTGTTTGCTGCTGCCCAGGGGACAGCTGCCCAGCATGGCATGAAGAATTGTCTTCAACAAATAGATATGATGCCAATGGCAGCAATGATATCTGATATGTCAGGTCAATGGCCCAGATACCGTCCAGTGCAGAAGATGTCTAAATCTCATCCTCCTCATCGTCAAAGTCGTCCTCCCGCCCCATCTCGTACAGGATCCTCCCGCCCTCTCCGCCGCCCACATCCTTCTGCGCGTCGAAATAAGGCAACACAATGCCCTCCCTGTCCTTCCGCTGCTTCTCAGTGAGGCCCAGGTTGAAAGTCGTCTCAGCAAGATCCTCATCCTCGTCATGGCCATCATCTGCGCCGCCCACAGGCGCAGCAAACAGCGGGTGATCCGAGAGCAGCGACAGGGTGCCAGCAGCCGCAGCAGCAGCCGCAGCCGGCGTGGGGCCTCCTCCTCCTCCTCCCCGGGCCGGCTCGAGGACGAACGTCTCGACGACGGCGCGGCCGCTGCGCCTCCGCAGCTCCATCTCGACCACGACGGCCCTGCCGCCGCCACCACCCGCGCCGACCCCCTTGAACCCGACCAGCACGCCCTCGCGGCCCTCGGCGAGCCCCCACGCCGGCGCGGGCAGGCTCCTGTCCCTGGCGCGCTTGGCCTCGGCGGCCTGGTGCAGGCTCGAGACGCGCAGGACGGCGGTGGCGAGGTGGTTGAGCACCGTCAGCGGGTGGGGCTCGTACTCGCTCAGGGCGGGGGCCGCCGGGCCCAGGGCCAGGGCCAGGGGCACGTCGGCGTGGTAGGTCGCCACGAGGGAGATTGTGGGGTGGGTTATGAGGCTTGATAGGAAGGGGGTCAGGAGCCGTGGGTGTGTTGTCGAGAGGGGGTTGAGGGTGTCTATTATGAGGAGTGTTTCTGGGGGGGGGGGGTCCGGGTCAGTCTGTGGGGGTACTTGGTTTCTGTTGGGGAGGGTCTGTCGTTCTCTTACTCTGTGATGAAGATGAAGCTGGAGGGGCATTTCTGGCTGCTGGAGGGGACTGGGCGGGATAGTGAGATGTGATCTCGGCGTGCAGCTTCTGCAGCGGCTTGCCGGTTGCCCTGACGAGAATATCTGCGTTTGCAGGCTTCTTTATTGTGGCGAAGGATATGAATATGACTTTGGTGCGAGATATCTGTGTGAATGTTAGTGGAGGGTCGTGATATAAGATATAAGATGCCAATGTCGAGGAAACCCACCTTGGCTCTTGTTGTGAACTCTTGCAGCACTGGAGCTGAACCCTGCTCCAAAGTGTCAAGAACCAGCGTCAGAGGGCTCGCATTGTCTCTGAGGTTGAGTAGTTTCTGTAGCAGCAAGAGGCTGTGGGATCGCTTGTGGGCTTGGGCCGAGGGTGCCATGACGGTGACGGTGACGGTGACGGTGACGGGCTGTCCTCAGTTGCAACCGCAGGTTCAGACTCGAATTTTCTGAGCCTGGATGCTCTCTTCATGAGCCTGAAGTATCTCAGTGTGAAGATGGCTCGAGGTGGGTCTCTGGCTATTGTGCAAGTACCTGGGTAAGTACCTGGGTACTGTGTAGACAACTTCTTCAGCATGTGAGAACATTTATTAGTCTACACAGTCAGATACTGAAAGCAGCAGCACACGCCGGTTGCAGGGGTCTTTTAGTGGATCACCCGCTAGAGAAACCCCTGCCACAGGCTACAGCCCTACGGCTGATCTGCACTCTTAGCCTTATCTCAGCCGCAGTGCCTGCCACAGCCCGAGCTCCACGCCTCCGAAGCTCGAGCCCAAACTTCAAGAAGACCATCTCCTTGCATACAACACTGCGCCATCTCTCCTCCCTTGGCGCCACGTCTCACTCCTCCCACCATGGCAGACCGATCCTCTCGACGCGGCGGCGGCCGACCCCCACGAGAAAGAGACCATCAGTCAGGACGCAGCAGAGGAGGAGGAGGAGGAGGAGGAGGAGGATACAGAGACGACCGCAACCAGGACCGCGACCGCAGACGGTACGACGACGACCGTGACGACGACCGTGACGACAGGCGGCGCTACCGATCCAGGTCCAGAGAGCGGAACGGTGACAGGGACAGGGACAGACACAGGGACCGCGACGGAGGGAGACCTGCGAGGGACAGGGACAGCAGGCGTGACCGATCCAGGTCGCGCGACAGACTTCCTCGCGACGGGCGCCCGCCACGCGACGCGCACGATGCCCGGCGCGGGCGGGACTCTGACGGCAGGGACGCGAGGAACAGGGGCAACGGTACACCCAGACACAGAGAAGGTACGGGGAATCCCGCCGCTCAAAGATCTCACCTGGAGCTGACTGCTGACTTTTCCCCCTCCAGATCCTCGTCGTAGGTCCGCATCGCCTCGGCGCAGTGGCAGCCCTCCCGTTGCAGACCTGCCTCACCGAGGCAAAGGCGGCGCCGACAGGCCCAACGCGAACTCATCCATGTCATTTAGGGTGTCGCGAGAGGATGGGGAGCGGGAGCGCGACCGCGAGCGGGAGCGCGGCCGACCAAGGGACGACGAGCAAGAGAGCTACTACGATGATCGCGACAGGCGGCGGGAACCCGAGGGACGGAGAGACGACCATAACGACGAAGATGTTGCGGAGCCGATGGACCAGGATGAAGAGGAGGTCGACGTCGAGGACGGCGGCATGGACGACGAGATGGCGGCCATGATGGGCTTCGGCGGATTCGGCACCACCAAGGGGAAGAAGGTGGCCGGCAACAACCTCGGCGCCGTGAGGAAAGAGAAGAAGACCGAGTACCGCCAGTACATGAACCGTGTCGGCGGTTTCAATAGGCCGCTCAGCCCGGGCCGTTAAAAGTGGCCACCGCACAAGAGCAACCCTTTGGTCGGATGTTGTCAGACGTCCTGCTCGTCGGTGAGGCTGCAGTGGAGCCCATAAAGATTTGATCACAGGCAGAGGTTGGTAGCAGCCTATTGACCCACAAAGACAACCACGGGACGGTTCTCGGTTAATTATTTTAGAAAAGATATGCCATACCCATCATCACCACCTGACGCCTGCCATGGAATCCAGGTTGTGTCCCATGTCCAAACCACAATTACACGCATTAATATTTAGATGAGAGCGGGGTGCAAGTCATTGCGCATGATCGACGCTCTCCTGCTCGATGCTCGATCCTGCCACATCATCCGGCCAAACCTGTAATCAGCACAGAGGCATCACATCAGACCCGCTACCATACTCGCACACGCCAGCGCCACGCAGATCAAAACCCCGGGGCCGGCTCTCCCACCCCCGGACTCCACGCCCGCGCTCGCAGCCGAGGTCGACCCGGTCCCCGAGGCCGATCCGGTCCCCGTGGGCGGCGGCGGCGGCGGCGGCGCCAGCGCAAAGCCCACCAGGCCCGTGGGGTCCGGGCACCCGAGCGAGCTGAGCACCTCGACCATCCAGGAGTTGAAGGGGTACGGGTTCATGGGGTACCGCAGATCATCCCAGACACCCGGGAAGTTGCGCCCCGAGCCCTCGAGCCCGGCGCCCGTGTACCCCAGGGGCACGCGGCCGCGCAGCATGTCGCAGCGGTCCAGGGTCGACGCGGTGGTGGCGGCAGACGCCCCCGACGGGCCGGTCGCAGACGCCCAGTGCGAGCAGTTGCCATCCCTAAAGCCCTCCGTCGCGTCGGCCAGCTGGTACATGAAGTGGTGCGGCAGCTCGCAGCGCCACGTCGTGGCGGGAGCCGCGGCCGGCGTGAAGGTCCCGCCCCAGATGTTGTCCGTGTAGTAGCGCCCCATGTCGTGGGACACCACGGCGGGGAAGAGGTCCGCCCGCCGGCACTCGGCGTTGCCGTCGAGGTCGTGGAAGTCGGCGCTGTAGTTGGCGGTCGGGCAGTCGACGCGGAACCGGGACATGCCGCCGTGGTCCGTCGCCTGGCTGAAGACGTGCCCGTCGAGGCTCAGCGGGCGCGCCCCGAGGAGGAAGACCGGGGGGGCCGCCTTCGGGCTGTACGGCGGCGTGGGTCTCGGGGTGGTTGTCGCCGGCGACGCTGCCGGCGCGAGGGTACTGGACGCTTCCATCTTTGGCCTGCTGGTGTTGTGGGGCTCTATTGTAGTTCGATATTGGGGGGCCCGGAAAGGAAAAGAAGACACAGGGAGTGGGCTGACGGACACCATATCATGTGCGTGATACTCTCTCCTGCTGCAGTGCCGCTTGAGCCGGTTCCTGCTTGCCAAGATGCTGTCAGACCACCCGGGCGCCTGGGTTTGCTGGGCAACGACTCCTGCTGTGCTCAAGAAGTTGGCTATACCACTTGTGGTGCTTTGATTCGTCTCCCGTGCTATCTTATGTCCAGATGTGGTGTCAGTTCCAAGTTCTTCTCACAGCTCAACCTCGCCGAGGACCATTTCTTGTGCTTCGTCCCAGTCGACCCCTCCGTACTGCAGTCCGCCCTCCTCCCCGGGCTGCTGTTCCTCAGCCCCCTTGATACCAACAATGAAATAGTCCTTGACAATAGCCGTCCCGTCCCTCAGCGCCTCCAACTGCTCCCTGCTACAGGTCATGGTCTGGAGTATGTAGCACTCGCCCTCGGGCACGGGCATGAGCTCGTTCCTCTTCCACCACGTGTCCCGGGGGCCCTCCGTCCTGAAGATATCCACGCCGTCCCTCCACCCGCCCGTCGCCGTGAGGTCGACCGCCCCCGTGGCGATGTCCTTGTTGAACAGCGCCCTCTCGAAGATGCGCAGGCTCGCCTCGGGCTGGTAGCTGGGCACCATGTGCCCCGCCTGGTAGACGCGCGTGAAGCTGAGGTTGCCGTGCTGCCGCGTGAGGCCGTACGGCACGAACGGCGGCGCGTCGGGCGCCGAGACGGTCAGCGCCGTGTACCCCGCGCCCGCGAACTCCCTCTGGTGGCGGTGCGGGATCGCGAGCGACGCCTGCTCGCCGCCCATCCAGTTGCAGGCGAGGTCCCTGTCGCCGTACACCATGTGGACCTTGACGCCGCCGTCGAGCAGGCCCGCCAGGCCCTCCAGGTAGCCGCCGCGGGCCATGTCGCCGTGCTCCGTGAAGGCCTGCGACACGGTGGGCGACACCCAGGTGAAGTTGAGGGGGACGCCCAGGGCGCGCTGGACCCACTGCTGGTTCAGCCAGCCCAGGTGGTAGTTGGGGGGGAAGGGGTCCGCCGAGGGGTGTGTGACGTCGAACCAGCCGTATTTGCCGGATTCCATGTAAGGGTTGACGAGGACCTCGGAGGAGAAGAAGGACGCGTTGCGGCAGTAGGACTCGACGTAGCTGGCGTCTAGCCCCGGGCTCTCCGCCGCCTCGAGGGCCTTGCTGAGGCGCTGGCACTCCCGGGTCTGGTCGAGGATGCCGCCGGGCCGGTGGAGCTCGTACAGCTGCTTGTGCTTGATCGTCTCGTTGACGGCCTTGACGCCGTACGTGTTGTTCCAGGCAAAGGTCGAGTAGCTCTCATCCTGCACGAGCACGTCGATGCACGCGTTGACGAGCCCCAGGGTGTCGAGGTGCAGATAGTGAGTCCCCGGGCCGGAGATCTCACCATCGGCGATCTTCTGGTTCTGCTTGTGGAAGAAATCCATGAACCTGGGCCCATAGTGGCCGCCATAGCTCTCGGCCCACAAGCTGATCTTCTCGTCGTGGGGCTTATACTGGGGGAACTCCTCGAACCAGGTCTGCGCAAAGTGCCACAGGGCAACGGCAGCGTGCGCCGTTGAGTTGGCCGTTCGCGTGGCGTTCTGGCTCGCAAAGGTGCCGACGTAGAAGGTTGAGTTGGTCTCCGGGACACCGTCTGCAAAGTCATCCAGTGTGATTGGAAAGGCTTCCGAATGCGAATCGTCCATTGCATCCAGCGCCAAGAGGTCATAGGTGCCATTGTTGAGGCTATCATACGAGAAGCCAACCTGGACGGGCTGGTCGATATAGAGGACATTGACCTCATTGTTCCAGCTCCACGGGTTCAGAGTTGAGCTGTTGCTATCTGCGTTGATGGCGCAGGGCCCGTTCTCAGACAGCATACCCAAGAGGCTCGAAGCCCCGGGCCCGCCGTTCAGCCAGATAGACAGCGGCGCATGGTGCGGGTCCTTGCGGGACTCGATGAACCAGAAGAATGTGTTGATGGGGTAGTTCTGATCCTCGCCCTTCTCGTTCACCGAGTTCGGCGGGAGGTGGACATAGCCGCTGTAGCTCTTGACGCCCGGCGTAGTCTCGCATATCTCGGGGTTCTTATAGGAGATGGTGATGCCCTCGTGGTGCTTGGACCGGACCGTCTTGACACCTTCACGCGGCGGGGGGAATTGCGCCTGTGCGAGCTGGGCGAGGGCCGCAGCCGCCAGCAAGGAGGTGGCCAGCATGGTAGGCTGGACGCAAACCTCTGACCAAGTTGCCGTTTCCAGGCGCTTTCAGAACCTGCGACCCAGGCTGGTATAGACCAATTGATGGGTGAGAACTGTGGTTGCGATATGGTAGCTAAGAGACGGACGTTAAGCAAGGCCCGAGTTAGAACAAGTCAGGTTCAAAACTAATAAATACTTGATGTCGACCGATCCAAACGTCCCAAGGCTGGGAGATGAGGAGGATTCAAGCTCGCACTCAACCTCCCCTGTCCGTTAGCTGATTTCCTAAATAGGGAGGAGGTTCGCCTTGTCTGACCAGGTGGGGATGGTCTTCTGCAGCAGCGGAATAAGAATCGGCGTTACTGAGTGACGGCTTCGCTACACGCCGGATCGAAAATGTACCGCATTCCAACTCCGACCTGCAGGGCTTATCTCTCTATGCATGGCGACGCGCAAAACTCTAACTGACACGACCAAACCCACTCACTACACGGGCACAAGCTCATTGGCGCCTTTCCGTTCTTCATTATCTATCGTGATTTTGTGCTATGCTACTTCAACTTCTTCATTGACCGGTACGGACGGGATCACACAGGAGCTGCTCAGTCGGTCTGGTCTCTTCTGTCTCGCCGGTTGCCTCTCCCATCTCTGGCTAAAGATGCCCAGTCACATCTCACCTTGTCTGCCTTTCGAGGGATCCACAAACGGCTACCGCGTTGTCCGTAACTGAGAGAAATCTTGGCTCTTCCTGTTTTGTCCACGGCCTTGCTGTTTCTTTTGGCTGAAGATGCTTGATATTCTCCCACTTTAGCTGCTGCTCAAAGATCCAGCCGCCGGAGGAGTCGAGATAGCGCATCTGGTCCTTCTCCTCGTGCTGCCAGCTAGGCGTACGTGTGACCGATCCTGTCGTTCTCCTCGCGCAGCTGCCTAAGCTGTCTCTCAAAGTCCTTGTTGACCCAGTCTAGGTATGCTGACCAGACTTGACACTGCCCACTGGCGAAAGCTCCCTTAAGCTTGTCAGACAGGAGTAGGGTCGTCCGGAGCACACTACGCGCCGCCTCCTCCTGCTTCTCATATTCTTGCTTGACTGCATTCTCCTTAAGCTTCGTGGAAAGAGTCGCCCGGAAGGCCTCCGCAATGGTGTCAAGTCGACGTTGAGTCTCTGTTGGGTCAAAGACTGCCAACTTTGAGAGCATCAGATTGCTGAGCGCCCGAATGTCGTTGTCATCCTTGAGTCCCGCCATGATTCGGTCGTAGAGTTCAATAATGCTGATTCTGGGCATGGCAATTTCCATCAGTGCGTACAGTGACTCGTATGCGCCTTTGCGGAGCTCAAGTCCGTCATCCACCATGATCTTGAAAGGACCCATCATCACTTCGCGGATCAGGTCTGGCTTGATTGTGGACTCTCTAAACACGTATGGCATCAACTTATTGAGATGACCCAGAACCATGTCCGGCTTGTTGTTTGCTGCCGAGGTGAATGTTGTCATTGCAAGGCGTCGGATATCCATCTCATCATCCTGCAGGATTTCGGTGAGCATGGATATCAAGTAACTCTGCAGAACAGTGTCGAATTTGTCACCGCTGTCGGCAAACGTGTAACGCAGTGCTTGCACAGCAATGCCTCGCACAGCTGCGTCCTGGTCGCGGAGAAGTTTCTACAATTGCAGATTAGCAGCTTGTCTGGGGCGAGGGACCGGAGTACTGTGTAACTTACATCCAGCTTGGGAATGAACGTCTCAGGGTCAACGACCGCCAGGCGTCCGATGCATTCTGCACACACCGCCTTGTTGTCCTCAGCTTGCGAAGACTCCAGCAGGCAGGCCCAGATGGGTTGCGCGAAACCGCTGATGTCAGTCCTCTGCAGAAGGATTTCCTTGATCGACTGCAAAAGCAGGTATTGTTTGGCACCGGCATTCTGGAAGCTTTGGAGAATGACAGGCAGGTATGCCTGCACATTGCCCGCTGCAGCACGGCCCAGCGCCATGGCGGCCGTGAGTGAGAACTTGTCATACTCGTCACCAAAGTGCTTGGTGAAGATTTCGGGTTTCAGGGGCGACTTGGCACCCAGCCTCAATGCCGCCTCACCAAGGACACTGAGGGCCAGGCTGCCTCTTGCCTTGTCCTCTGCGGTCTCGGCCTCATTTATGAAGCTGTTGATGTCTACACCGCCTGTTCCACCACTGGCAACAAGCAGAGTTCCAATCACTTTGCCTACCGTGGACGGGTCCCCGCTGACACCCACGTCCTTGAGCATCCTTTCCATCAGTTCCTCGCCAACCCCAGATTGACCAATCTGAGCGACAAGATCCAGCAAGGGCGTCAAGACGGCATTGACCACGTTCTGTTGAACATAATCGCAGATGGCCTTGTCGAACTTGGAGTCAACAACCCTCGTCGCGTCCACTTTGACCAAGGAAGTCAGAATCCGGAATGTCGCCCCGTGCAGCTGGGCATCGGCATTAGCGATGATCGGCAGGAGGGCTTCAATGAGGTTTTCCAGTGTCGTTTCGTCCAGAGCCTGCTGGCCTGAGGTGGAGAGTAGAAGATGCTTCAAGGCCTGGATACTAGACGCCCTCAAAGCTCGATTCGCCTTCCTCACGTGGCCCGACAGCTCCACGACCACATCTCGCGCCCAAGCAGCATCGAAGTTTGGTGAAGGATGAGCGGCAATCTCCTCAACTGCCCCCACAGCGGCGAGACGCGTAGTCTCGTTCTTGAGCCTGTCCGCAACTAGAGACAGGCCCTTGTTCCGCTTTTCGGCAGGGAGCAGTGCGGCTCCTTCAGCATCGCCTGTGCGGGAGAGGAATGTGCCCAACGCATGTATGGCCTTTTGCCGTACCTCAGCGTCTGCGTCCGTGGCTGTAGCCCTCTCAACGACAACGTCGTATAGCTTTGATAACTCTGATTTGTATTTCTGAGCAGTCTTCTGGGACCGCGGCGGCGTGATAGCCTTGCCGATCTCCTCTACCGTCCCGATAGCCTGAGAAGATATTCTGTAATATCGGTCTGCCACGGCATCGACGACACCGCTGACCATCTTCGTGAGGTAGAGGTGTAGTAGGCTCGATGAGTGAGTCTTGGCAATGTCACTGAGAAGCTTGAGGGCTGCAACACGCAAGGTAGATGGGGTTGCAGAGGCGGCACCGCCACTTCCTGACAACGAGGTCGACGTGGTGGAAGCTACATTAGTCTTGGCCGAGTCAATGACCAGATCAAAGATCTGGTCCAAGTGATCTGAAAGCCCGCCTTGTTGGACAAGAATCAAGTCATCCAACAGATTCATGGTCGCTTGTTTGGTAGGGATCGATTTGCCCTTAAGCAACTTCGTGGCTGACTTCACCAATTGCGGCGTGAGTTTGGCGAGGTCAGCACGGGGTCCACTGGAGGGAACCTTCTCGAGAGTAGGTGACACCAGCCCACTGCCATCGGCGCGGGCCGTGGCGGACACGCCGCTGCTCTGTCTCCTACGCTTGCGGCTCTGGGTCTGTGGGGAGTGGCCGTCGAGATGCGTACTGTCTAGCAGAAATTCGGGGATGATGCCCTCTCCTGTCTTCCGAACGAGGAGAGAGAGGGTAGAGATGACCTCCAAGCGGACATTGTCCTCTCGCTCATCGAAACGCTTGATTAATGGCGGTGCGATCTGGCTGTAGAGCACGCCGTCATCCAGAAGATCACCGTTGGACCTCGTGGAGACAAGCGTATGAAGGGCTTTGGCGGCGCATCGACGAGCCTTCCAGCTTGCGTCATCGTCATCATCGAACCCGACTCCGGCTTCGAACTCGTCGTCGTCGCCAAATTCATCATCTTCGTCCTCGCCCTCGTCCTCGTCCATATCCTCGTCTTCGTCCAGAGCATAATTTGGGTCGTATTTCAGATACCGGAGAGATGCTGCGATCGCCTCATCCGTGTACGGACGCATCTCAGAAGGGCATGCTGCCAAGTAAGCCTCGAGCGCAAGCAACGCTGCCTCACGGACCTCGGAAAACTCCAAGCCCACGTCGTCGCCTTCACCAATCTCCTCGAGGTGGCTATGCAAAGGCTCCTCCGCCAAGAAGGCCAGAGTCAGCTGGACAACATCGCCGATGTGCTTACCAAAGCGATGTGGGATAGACCGAGCCATGGAGCCCATGATGGTCAGGTAGAGCCGCTGTGTGGTGGGGTCGGTCTTTGGGTTCTTGAGGACAGCCACAGCACGATTGAGGAACGCGACCAGTTGATCATCCTGCAGGTACACAGCCAGGATCGAAAGGGCTATCACAGCCTTCTTCCTGACAGCCGAATTTGCTTTCTGGTTGTCGAGAAGTCCTAGGATGACATCCTGTAGCGCCTGGACTTCTTCCGATGGTGACAGCATGGTTCCGAAACACTTGACGACCTCGATAATGACATCCACAGCATCGGCATTCACGAGGGCATCGTCCTGGATGATGCCCTGTCCTGCTGGGGGCAGACGAATGGTGCCACTGGATTTGGCCGCCTGGGAGGTGCGTCCAAGCAGCCTCGGCATCAACACCCTGCTTATGCTAGTGTATGCTTCGAGGACTTCTTTGGTAGCAGCCTGGCCGGGCTGGGGTCGTGGTAGAGCTTCAATGACATTGCGAAGGGCCAGAGCAGGGACAGAGTTGTCGACCGAGTTCTGGAGCTTCAGAGTGGTGAGCTTCTCGATCAAGGGCGCGATGAGGTTGGAGGGCGTCTTCGCGACCAGAGGCCCGAGGCTGGTTTAAGCGAAAGTCAGTATGGGAGCGTTCGCATCAGGTACATGATGAAGAGGAACTTGCCATTTTATGGCCTGGTTCTGGACCTCTCCGTTCTGATCGTCCAGGGCCTTTACGACGTGGTCGATGGTGCGGGCGGCTGTGTTGTAGTCATGGTGCAGCATGTCGTTCTTAGCGTTGGCGAAAACAGCTATCAGGTCGTTCAGGGCCATGAACCTAAAGTCCGGGTCCGTGTCATTCAGCTTGCCGAGCAGCTGGACGACCGTGTGCGAGGTCGGGTTTGAGGGTATGCTCGTCGCCATCTTGAAGGTTGGAGGGCCGTGATGCCCCGGCGCGGGGGTTTGGTGTTGATACCCAGGTGCGAAGAATGCAGAGCAGATGGGTCGGTGGTTTCGAGGATGACGATAAAAAGTGAATCAATAGCTGACGTCTCCTCCTTGCCGTTATTCGTAATCGTGAGAACAAGAAAAGATGACCAGGTGTGAAACAAATGCAGATGACAGCAGTCAATCAAAGGTGTTGTCGTGGGAGCAGCAACAGCAGCAGGCGGGAGCTCGGCGGTGGTGGGGTGCTTGCCCGCTGGGTCAGATGTGGGGGAACTTGAGAAAGTCCCCTTACCCCCCCCCCCCTCCACCTTGGCCGTCCGTGTGATGGGGGCGACCCCACCCGCATACCAATGCACCACATGCATCGACCTAGGTACCCACCATTCAGGCAGATATTCAAGTTGCGCAGATGCCTAGCTAAAAAGTGGGCGTAAGGGATTTGTGCATCAAAAACTGTAATATCTATGTCTGCGAGTACTCATGCCATACCTAGGTAGGTACTTGACCAAGAGCTTTGCGTAAAAGTGACCACTCGTATTGGTACAACAATGCTGTGCCCATGGAGACACGACTGAGTAGACAACGGGGCCGTACATGGCTTTTCGTGGGCATCTTGTTATCGAAACAATTCATTGTTGGTATAGAGCACAAGCTCAAAGTCGCAGGTCTCCTAGCTGCAGAGATGTCTCTGCAATGCCAGCACTAAAAGTTGGTGAGGTTGTGGGTCTCGGTATTAAGACACATCCTGCACTAATTGATGGGACACAAAGCGCAGTCGTGAGAGGTATGGCATTTCATGTCGAAAGATGTCGAAAGGGTAGTGCCAAAGAAAAGGTTAGCTCATTGCAGAGTGTTACATGAAACCGCAAATCTTGATCAGCGTTGATGGGAAGATGGGGAAGAAGGCAAGGTACTTACCTAGGTACTAGGAAGAACTTTTGTTTGGAACGGGGAACGCGTATGATCTGGAAGAAGTATTTTTTTTATGTTGTGTCCGGGGAGGAGCAAATGAGTTGGATACTCGGCCGCCCAGTCCGTCACGTACACCATAACAATGATAGAGCCATAGGTTCAAGGAAAACATTGTGACATCCTCCAGCAGGCCCAGGCAGCTAAAATACCTTCGGCGCTCGTAATACATAAGACTTTAGGAGCATACTGAGGAATGTCTTTGTCCCTAGTGCCCGGGACTCTAAGGCAGTTCAAATGGTTTCATTTCTGATCCTCATCCACGTAAGGTTTTTGCGGTGCGCCTTTTACAAGGTTTGTAAATACCGTCTATTGAGCTCTTTTGATCTTCAAAATCTTAGCACAACATGTTCATGCTCTCTTCTTGGAGCTCTCCAGTACACTTCGCTTATCCTACGCAAGTATCAATTTGAGCTAGGGCAGCCCCAGGGAACAGAAGACCAGGTTAAAACACACCGTCACTGGGATCGACCTTTTTTTTGTGCTGGAATTATGATTACAATTGCATGATGGATGTTGCTGAAGAAATTTGAAAGCAAAACGTCGAAGTGACCGATCCACAACTGGTGCAGCAGTTGAAAGAAGTAGTAAGTAAACAGACTTGATTTGACCTCATTGATCAAAGACAGAATACGAGCGCTCTAAATGACTTGCGGGTGACGTCAGATCTATAATCGAAAGACGTCTCAATCGTATCTCATCGCAATTTGAAAAAGTACTTCTCAGCTAGAGCCTCATGTCGATCGGCGCTACCAGGCTTGCTAGCCTGCCTCACATCCAAGTCTAATGGTCATACATAGCTCGGATCCGGACCCCGGGCCCAGGATATGGCGTTTGCAACTATTAATGTATTAATGTATATTATGTCTCGTTATTCCAACCAATTTTGCGTATGGTGAAATGCAAATGAGATACACCATTATCTGATTTACTTTGTGACCCGCTTTATATTTCAACATGTCCAGCATCAGACTTAGGATCATGAATCCGACCTCACGGGCTTTGCTGCGTCCTCGATTGCAGCCCCTTCCGACGCGAGCGACCATGTCCAGGAGGTCATACGCGAGTGACATGCCTGACCATCCACCATCACGAACGGAGGGCACTAATGGCCTGCCGTGGTATGTCACATCCTAGAAGTGTCTTTTGATCGAGACAGCCCAGGTACTGATGGACCACGTCGGAAAACAGGCTCATAGGAGCCGTGGCAGTTGCCCTTCCGACGACTTTCTGGTTGTTGAGCAGTGGCCAAAAAGCCGACAGGCACAATGATCATGAGCAACAGAAGGCATTGCGATCCTCGCATCCCGGGATCATGAACACGCCCCACAAGGACATAGAGACCAAGGCAGATGGCTCACAGTCTGAGCTACCCGAGGATGCCCCGAACAGGCCGGATAATCGTGAGAGGGTGCGTCGACTTGTCATTCTGGACTTACGTCTTTGCCACGGCGCTGACCAAATTTCCAGATTGAGAAGAAGCTTTCTGAAAAGCCGGCTACCAAGAGGGTAGACCCTATGAAGTAATTTGGTTGTATCTCGGTCGGAAGTAGGCTCCGTCTGGCCATGTGGCCATGTGTAGGATTACTGACGCTCAAGAGTCCAAGGGCTCACCTGGCTCACGATCTAATTACTGGCATACAATTGTATTTCGATATTCTGTGCTCAACAAACGGCACCCTTTTCATACCGGTGATCAAAGGCCGATATCACCGCACAGGTGTATGTGAGCGCCGCCAGAACCACGAATATGTGCATCAGTTGATGGCTCGCCCCAAAGAGATCGAAGCGTCGAGGGAACCATCTCTCCGGGAACTGGTTCATCCAGACGTTAGCAACAGGCTCTGGGTTTTGAGAAGAGACTTCTTAGCCGTGACGGCGTCACCCAGCGCAAAAAGACAACGGATTCAACCGGCTCACCTTCAGCCCATATACCAGGACCCCAACACCATCACACACCACCGTCCACAAGACCCAGCCCAGCCCAACCCTCTCCCACTCCTCCCCCAAGCCATGCCTAACTGCCCCATGCGCAATAGGCAGCGCAAAACTCCCAGCGCCAAAGGTCCCAAACAACAGCGCGCGATAGGGGCCGAGGTGCGGCCCACTGAAGCGCGGCAGGAACGTGACGGCCGAGCAGGTGACCGCGAGCCCGGAGATGAGAGCCCAGTAGCCCGCCCGCAGGTACCGGTCACCCTCGCAGGGAAAGGTGTAGTAGACGAGCGGGACGGTGGCGGCCCACATGAGGATCAGCACGCCCTGGAAGTCGAGCTTCATGTTGAGGAGGTAGACGGCCTCGCTGTGGGCCATGAGGGTGTGGAAGGCCGTCGACAGGGCGAAGCATACCGCCACGCCGACGAAATAGGTGCTGCAGACGGCGAAGTCGGCGGCCGTGGCGGCGTGGTACCGGGCCGGGATCTCGGTCAGGACGAGGGCTGTGAGGCTGGTGAAGACAAGGGCGCCGAGGATGTGCGACCAGATGTTCACTGTCTCATCTGTCCCGGAGACAAGCAGTTAGTGGACTGCCTGGCCGATTGGGGGTAAGGGTGTGGCATGTTGTCTTGAGAGGGTGTGCTCTCAGGGCAAACATGGGCTGGGCCCTGGTCGACGAGATCCTCACAACCTCCACTTACTGTGGATGTAAGTCCAACTCAGAAGGCAACCCTTCACGTTCCCGCAGGCCCGCCGATACCCAGTCTGGATGTGGTCACTGCCGCGCTGCTGCCACTCCTCTGAGAAGCCGTCAGCTCGTCTGTCCTACGCCGAGCACACGGACAGCGGGACACTATCCTACTCACCAATATCAGACCACAGGAGCAGCTCGACAGCTTCTTTCGATTTAGATTTGCCCCCCTCGGGCTGGTCCGGCTCAGCCCATCTCTCAACCCGCCGGAAGCTCAACCTGCGCCGCGTCCCGCCCGGCGCCGATCCCGCGACCAGCAGCGCAGCCGTAGTTGAGGCTTGCATGGCCCCCTAACAAAGCAGTCTCACAGAAAACGGCAAGAAAACCCAAAAACCAATGGTTTGCGCGGAGCAGCTGAAACTGCGTTGACCGATACCTCGTGACTTGGAAGAACAACTGGCAAACATTCTGGAGCGAAGTCACTTGTCTGGGAAGAGAGGGGATTACCTAAGAGCCCTTGTTCGGCTGTTCCTGTCCCCGGACGAGGTAGCATTGACCCCCATCTAGAAGATCAGCGTGGGTTAGGTTGATGCCGCACGGTTTTGGGATGGAGCCTCCTTGCCAAGCAGCCAATCACCTGTTGTTCACGATGTTTCAAGGACGGACGGGACTGGGAGGGGCGGGACGGCAGATCGGACGAAGCTTGAACGTACCTACCCTAGGGCACGCCCGGGAGCCCGAGCTGGCAGTTGGCAAACATAACCTAGGTACCGAGTACTAGTAGAGTTTAGAACAGCTGGTGTTTGCACAACGAATTTAGCATGGGAGACAGTCCTGAGGCTTGCCCAGGTGGGTGTCTTCGTTGAAACCTCACGCCATCCTTGCAGAAGTCTTTCCAAGTCAAATAGATCGGAATCGAGAAGTAAAATAGGTGTAATTTCTCTTCATCCAGTCTTTTATGCATCATTATTCATCCACTTATCAATCATATTCCAACACGCCCAATGTATGTACAAATATTGCACCCTTGCCTGGACCTCAAGCCAAACACCCCCAAGCCTACGAGCCGCCCGCCTGGTACGCACTCGTGCTGACTGTCGGCTGCTTCCCCTTCACATCATGCCTAGAAGACCCGACAACAGACTCAACATCATCTAGAGGACCCACATCCCTCTCCTCGGGCGTCGCCATGAATGCCGGCGGCCCATAGACATCACCACTAATCTTCCGGCTCCGTCTCCTCGCGGTGCGCTGGGCGCCCTGGTCCTTCCACTCATTCTGCCGCCGCTGCTGCTGAGAAGGCCGGGGCCCATCTACCGACGAGTCCCGGCTGCTCGCCCGCTTTCCATCCCCGCTGGTGGTGGTGGTGGCAGCGCCAGCGGCACCGGCCTGCCCCGTCTCGGCCGCGTGCTCCCTCATGACGTCCAGGACCCCCGCGTACTTCTCGGCCTCCTGCATCAGGTCCTGGTCCTGCGGCCAGAAGATGCGGCGTACCGCGCTGACCGAGAGCTCGAACACGATGACGATGGACAGCGATATGATGGCCGTCAGCCACCACGTCGGCCTGGCTCCGAAGTTGTGGATGAACGCATCGCGGACAATGTACGGCCCCGGCCGGGGGTTATCTGCGATGTGTTAGTGAGCTGTCTCAAAAAGATGGTTGATAAAGTTCGGCTTGAAATCACTAGCTCGACATAGTAGGGCTTGAACGTACATATGGCCGAGAGGAGCAGGTTCCAGACGAACCAGCCGCCAACGCTGATGATAAAGCCGATAAAAGTGACAATTGTCTTGTTGTGCAGTTCCAGGATCAACAGCTTGACGTTGATGAATAAAACGCACACCGTGAAAGCGAGGTCGCCCATGGCGAAGAGTGTGTTGTCCTCGTTGAAGTTTATGGCCATGTAGATGCCCCATATCGAATAATAAATAAGCACGGCTTCGATCACGGCCACGGAGCTCCAGCCGACGTACAAGTAGTAGTTGAATGCCTTGTTCTTCTGCCCGAGCGAGTAGAGCTCCGGTACCGCAAGAAGAGTCTCAGCCTTGATGTCTTGTTCGAACATGCCCAGAAGGATGACTGCCAGAGAGGTGAATAGGGTGTTGAACACAGCCAGAGAGGCAGACTCGTAGAGACTTGTTCCCGTGTACCCGTTATACCTCTGGTATAAAGCCTGAACGATGTAGAAGACAATTTCTTTCCAGAAAGTGCCCAATATGTACTTTCCCGTTCTGATGTAGTTCCAACGCCCATGCACGAACAGGAGCTTCTGGAGGAATCTGAACTGCGCGATGGAGTAGTCCGATATACGGGCAGCTTGGAGTCCCTCGCGGCCCGATATGCCTATTCCGACGTGGGAGGCCTGAATCATCGCTATGTCATTCGCGCCATCCCCTATGGCCAATGTCAGGGACTTGGGAACTTGGGTGCGAATGCACTTGACGAGCGTCGCCTTCTGCGCTGGTGAGGCGCGGCAGCAGATGACCGAGTCAACACGAGCCACAAGGTCAAAGAACAACACTTTGAGCGACTCATCGTCTTCGACCACGCTCAGAGTATGTCCATCGATCACGACGACGGGGTGCATTATCATCCCACGTCCGACCTCGACGAGCGTGGCAGCGATCTTGTCTTGAAGGTTGCCTTCGGTGACATCGAGAATGTAGATCTCGGAAAATGGTTTGCAGATCCTCGCAGAATGGGCAATGTTTATTGCCGTTTCCCTCTTGTCACCCGTGAGCATCCAGACTTTGATGTTCGCACGACGGAGCTTGTCGATTGTCTCGGGGACGCCCTGCTGCAACTTGTCTTCGATGGCAGTAGCCCCGGCGAGCTCAAAGCCCTGCTCGATGATTTCGGCCGCAGCTTCAATGCGTTCCTGGCGGTCGACAAGACTTGTAGTGGCCTCGTGATACAAAGACTTCCACTGGGCGTAGTCCTCCTCAGGCACATAGCGAAAGGCATACAGCAGGGTACGCAGACCCTCCGAAGCAAAGTCGTCCAGATGCTGGAAGCAGCGCTCAAAGATCTCGTGGTCGCTCACGGCAATGCTCTCATCGATCATGCCGTCGAAGACGTCATCCATCACGTCTGGGGACTGCAGCAGCTCGATCGATCGCCCCCGTGCCGCGTCCGTCTGCTGAGAGGCATACGTCTCGCCAACCCCCGAGGTGTCCCTTTCGCGATTAGTGATCCACGAATCAACCTCATCGACGACGGCGCTCGATCGCCTCCTCTGCATGCTGGCAGATCGCTTCGTGAAACTCATTCTCCCAAGAATGCCTCCTCTGCCCGCGAAACTACTGCTCACCCGAGCGACGGACGTGCTGTTCCTCGCGCTGTGCATGCTCATCTTTCGTAAAGCCTTCTCCTGCTCCATGCTCCTGCGAAGACTAGCTCTGCGGTCGACAACGGAGGCAGTCTCCATTGCCAACCTGCTCTGCTCAAGCCGGGGCAATATGACATTGTCAGCACCCTTAACGAAGACGCATATCCGACCGTCTGGATTGCGAATTATAATCGACATCCGCTTGCGCGCTGAGCTGAACTCGATCACATCCATAATTTCGTATGTCTCACTTGCGGAAGAACCATTCTCGTCTCTAATCTCAAGCTCAATAGTCTGCGAGGAGCGGTCAATAAGCAGATACCCGAGATCTTGCGCTGCTTCCACAAGCGCGAGTTCGTCAGGCGAAGCAGCTTGGAATTCGATCTTCCCATCGGCTTTCTTTTCCGGTAAGCAGGTGTGACATAGGGCAATGCATAATATGAACTGCCGAGCCTTCTTCGAAAATGGGGAGTTGGGTTTTCGCCTCAGGTAGTGAATCAGATCCTCTGTCCTCAATTGCCCGGCCTCACTGGGTCGCGCTGTAGATGTCAAGATCGAATTCGACCTCCGGATGGGTCCAATGCTTGCCTCGTGCTCCTCTAGAAGCTGGTCTTCGGCAAACTGCGACCTCATCGTGTGCATGGAAGGCCTTGAGCTGTCATGCCCTTTTCCCTTGCCGGACTTAGCCCCTGACATCTCGATGTGTGCCTGTCTTTTCGCTCTCGCCTCAGCCTCACGTCGAAGATCCGCATCGTGCAGCCACGCGGTGCCGGCCACACTCATTTTTCGAAACCTCATGACGTTCTCTGTCAATGTCCCTGTCTTGTCCGAGAAGACATAGCTGACCTGACCGAGATCCTCGAGTATTGTCGTGGTATTCGCAACCATTGGCGTGTTTGAGACGGGATCATACATATCGATGTCTCTTAGCAGCATGACCTGGCCGATTTTGACGATTTCCAGCGAGACGTAGAGACTCAGTGGGATCAGAGTGTTGAAGGCGATGACGAAGGCGATGAAGATCTGGCCAAAGGGCACCGATGCCTCATCCAAGTACCATGCATGCCTCTCGTAGTCATCCACCCAGATGATATTGCCAATGGAGCAGCCGACAGAGAGCATGATGACAACGAAAACCAACAGAATGACAATCTTGTTGACCCTGAACTGCATGGCCGGGGCTTTGGCGTGCACGTCCTTGCTCGCATTCATCCGAATCTTGCATTCTTCCCCAGTATTGATCACAACACCGATGGCTTCGCTCGTGTTCCTCAGCGTCGAGCCCCTGTATACCACCTGGTTCAGGGTAAGAGGCGTGACCTCATCATTGACAACCGCCTTGCCTTCGTAGTTGTACAGGTCAAGATTAGGATCCTCTGAGACCACCTTCGCCTGCACTCCGCTCAGGGCCGAAAGTGACCCACAATGCTTCGTGAAGAGAGGGCAGGCTTGCTTGCTCTTGAGGTTCGTTTCGCCATCGAGCGCCATTGTCTCGATGTAAGCAATGCCGTTTGGCCCAGTGGCATGAAGGAGGACCATATCAGCCGGGATATTCTCATCTCTCCGCAGCCTGATGATGTCGCCAACGCGGACTTCCTCCCATTGCACTTTTGACCAGTGAACGTCTTCGTCTTCAGACCACGGTGGGCTTTCATCTTCCCGCTGCTCTACCCGGTCCAGCTCCTGCATCTCATCTTCCACATCCTCACGGCGCCTCCGGAATTTCTCTCGCAGCTTGCCATACTGTTTCTCACTCAACAGGCTCCTGGAAGGGTCCAACACCCACACCTCGGTCCTATTCTCGAGCTTGTCCAGCTTGTACCTCCTATAGTCATCCCAGCCTTCCTTGGCCATACTCAGTGCAACAAAGGCAAGCAACGGACCGATAGTCGTATAGGTCCCAGTGGTGCTGAGACCGGGTATCATTTGAAGAATGCCAATGGTCAAAAAATATGCATTGGCCAGCTTACTGAATTGGAAAAACAATTGCTTCGGAAGAAATGACCACAGTGTGTATCTGCTGGACCTGATGAAATTCGAAATGTACGGCTTGCCCGTGCGTTCATCCACGAGGCTCTTTTGGCGGGCCTGAACAGGATTCAGAGGAACATGTCTCCCGTCAGCGCTCGGGGGCAAAGGCCTCTGGCGCAGAAGCCCTTCGTAGATCCATTTCTTGTACAGGGCCGCAAGCCTCGCTTTGAAGCGGCCCGTAGGTGACCTTTTGAGACGCCTCGTGCGGGCCCTCTGTCGTGCCACCCAGTCCTTTGCACGGGAGACGGTCGCGCTGGCTTCCGCAGCGCTGGCAACGTTCTTTACCTCCCCGCCAAGCCCCCTGAGCCGCAAGCGCCGGTAGCGAGTTGCAAGTCCGGGGCTGGCCACGGGCTGGGCGACAGGCCTGCCTCTGCCTTGAGCTGTCTCTCCGTCTTCATCTGCACCGTCCAGGGCTGGTGGTGCTCTGACCGACGGGGAGGGTCCGTCCCGACTCTCACGCCATCGCCTTGCGGCCTCGGTGTCTTCAACTCTGCTCTGGATGGGATAAAGGTCCGTGTCAAGCCGCAGATGGGAAGACGGGTGGCCATGACGACGGCCTGCATCTTGTGAGAACCTCACATGTGCCCCGGACTCGCTCCTCCGCGTGCTGCTGTTTGACCTTCGTGCTGCTGAAGCTGACCTCTCCGCGTCGGCTGCTCGAGTCTCTGCTGTCTCGCTCTCAAGTGGCATTGACTCGCCTGTGACGCTCGGTCTGGGTGGTACCAGGATTTCTGCTTCTTGGATATTGTCCAGCTCGGAACGCAGCATGTCAACGCTCGTGCTGCGCCGGTCCGAGCTGCCACCAGCCATGATGCCTGGATGGAGAGGCTCGGCCGGATCATCAGGATATTGAAGTTTCCCGTCCAAGTCCGAAGCGAGAAAGAGACAGACTCATCTGGAGTGAGTCTGTGAATTCCTGAGGTCTTTTTTTTCGCCGTCACAGATTCGGTAGACCCGGGAACAGAGCGGATCTGCAGCGAAGAACAGCGAGACGTGTTGCTGAATATCGAGGGCGAGGGTAGAGTTGCCCAAGACCTTGGCTGCTCGGGAGGACAGGTTAAACCTGGTTAGTCCCGTGCAAGCAAAGCAGGTGACAGTCTAAGACGCTTCAGTCACTCAGCCCCAGCCGAGGCAGCTGCTGCCCTATTGCTGATCCACGGATGTCAGCCGTAGCGCCTAAAACATTCGGCGCAATGATCCAACGATGTGCAAGTGGCACCAAAGGCTAGCGTGAAGAAGCCTCCCGAGTTCAACTCTTCAATTGAACATCAACGGCGAAGTCCACACATTCAGGTCGATCAAGTTGAGGCGGTGCAGCAAGGTTTCAGTGTTCAACGCTGATTGACTGTGTGGCGTACGGAGTAACAATGCAGTAACAATGCGTACACGCGAAAATCTTGCATGGACACCTGACCACGAGGAACCCCGTACTCCGTGCTGTTGCTGGAGTAATTCGGCCGGTGCGTTGCATGCACTCAAGTGCTAGTAAGGGCAGCATAGCATCGTCCAGACAGTCAGGACTGTGCCCCAGATCCTTCCCATCCCTTGAAAATATCCGGATTGGCTGGCAATGCCACCCCACCTGCCCCCCTCGGTAGTCGTGTACGGGACACTGAAAAGTGGGCTGTCGACTTGCCTATCAAGCCTATCTGTCTTGGATTTGCTTGGGTGTGGCCGTCTCTGTGGCCGACAATGAATCCAACGACGTCAGACTTTGCTTGGCCAGTCCCCAACGCGTACTGCACCAAGTAATGCACAAAAGTGTCCTCAGTGTTGGCTCTCTCCTGCCGCCTAGGATGCGGGACAGACAGCCTCACAATAAAACAAGGACTAGTCAATGTGTCTTTCCATATGCAGTCCCCTCCCCCCTCTACCCCCGAGCACTTGCATGTCATTGTGCCTGGCCCAAAGGTCGGGGATCCCAGCGAACTCCATCGCGGGTCTTTGGGCTCCTAAGACTGGCATTCGGCCACTATAGCAAGCCTCCGCCCGGGGTCATGCTTCGAGAAGGACGCTGTGGCTCGCTGGCAGGCTGGGGGCACCGGCGCCACGGCCCACGCTTCCAACTCCCTGCCCCCCTGCCTCCCTGCCTATTTTGGGCAAGCTTACAGCCCCTCGAATACGAGGCTCACTCTGTCTTGGAGAATCTAGCACGGCGCGGTCGATTGTGCCCGTCCCTGCCCTACGGAGTAGTACAATGCGTCCCCACCACTGAGGCTGACGACTATCCCCTTCCCGGGAGCGATGCCGCTCTTCCCTGGGGATCAGTCATGAGTGGATTTGCGGTCGTTGCACTTCACATCAAAAATCGGACTTCACTCGACATGCCAACTTCGGGTCGCTCAAAAGCTTTTGTTTTCAAAATCATGTTTCCATTCCAGCCAGGAACGCCTTGGCCCGTGCAACCCACCCTATTTCCAAAGAAAACTCGAAATCACGTCCGTACGACCGTCCCTATTGTCCATAAAGGAAGAGAAAGGAGACGGAACGAGAGTGAACCAACGTCTTTTTCAAGACATGAGCCCAGGTACATGATCCGTGACAGAAAAAGGCCTCCAAACCATCTCCCAGAGATTATTCAACCCGACCTTCGGAATGGGTGTACAGCAGGCCGGTGGTATCGTGCCGCTGTTATTGCTTGTGTGCTCTGAACCATCCATCGCGGTAATAGTAATTAGCCTCCTGGGCCCTTCCTCCATCCCCCAAACGTGTCCCTCCTACAGACCGGTGTCTGCAGTGAAAGAGGGGGCAAGATCGACAACCCGGAAAGACAGACGCAGTGTCTTTCGCATGTACTCGACAATAGCTATTAGGTGCCTCTGGGTCCATAATAATGGGCTTAGGGCAGCCGGTCAGTCAACATCGCCCGCGCCGATTGTGAGCCGGGCGAATCAGACTGACCGGCAGTCGCGGAGAAAAGAGCAATCGCGGTGCCAGACACACATGATCGATAACCAAGAGGAGATATATCGGTCATGTAGATCGCAGAGTCAAGGATAAAACGAGAACAGAGTCTTGAATGGTGGTGCAAATGAACATAGAGTGCGAACAAGATGTAGCGATGGGCAGTGTGGCGCAATCAAATGCGAACAAGAGCCAGTTATATGAGAGACAAGATCACCTGAACGCCGGTCATACAGACGGCGCCAACGCCCCTCTCCCCCCTCTGGCGAAACGCAAATCCCTGGGTATATACGACAATTCCTTGTCTAGATCACAGCGTCATTGTCGAGCAGACCGGACCTGGCCGACACGTGCTGAAACATCGGTGACAGACCAGCTTTTTTCGATCATGATTCGTTCACGGGCATGTGCTGCATGCTCTCCGGTGACAAACTCGCAGGCTCAACGTGGTCAAAGGACACCAGCTGGTTCATGTCCAAATCCGCTTGCGACGTCTCCACAAATGCTGGCGAGTGTGGCGGATGCATAGGCAGGTTGATGCTGTGCTTCGAGTACATCTCGTTCAAGCTATGCCCATCGTCGGACATGGCAGACTCGTGCACTGGGTACAGATCCGCAGACCCAGGTCTGCCGACCATCGACATTGGTGGCGATTGGTCGACGATGGCTGGGTCACCGTGGCTGGTAAATGACAAAGGAGACATGGCCTGTGGGACGAGGCTCGAGTTGTTCACCATGGGCGAGAGGAAGGTACCGCTGTAGGGCGTGTTGTAGCTCGAGGTTGGCATCGGTGTGCTCTCGGAATGCTGGGCGAAGTAGTTGGGGCTGGAGTAGTCGGATGGGGACGCAGCACTGGGCGCGGTTGTGGCAGACATGGGGTATTGTCGCATGTCGAGGCCAAAGCCAGCCTGTGTGTCGATGCGCAAATTCGGCCCCATACCACTGCTGGGCTGCTGGGGAACAGGGGCGAAGATGTTGGGGCTGTGGGGTTGCGCTTGGTTCTCACCAGGGTGTTGGATGAAGAACGATGGCATTGGGGTCTGGAGCATGGCGAAATCCACTGGCATTGGGACCGACCTGCTACGCTGGCGCTTGTGACCACGAGCCATGCCAGGGTGCAGCGCTGGTGGGGCACCCCATTGTGTCTCTTGGTACATGCCGACGTGAGGCTGGCCGAAGCTTGGCTGGGAGGACGGTCGGTTCGTTGGTGAAACTGGCGCCGACATCGAGATGGCATGCATGGCCTCGTACGGGTTGGTCTGGTGGCGGTTCATGAAGGACTCCAGAGACACAAGCTTGGCGAGCTGGCCGCTGAGAACCTTGGGGTTTCCACCGAGGTGGTGAACCATACACTGGGAAGCCTGCTGGTCCTCGGTGAAGTCGCCACATTGGAAGAAACCGTTGGTGGTGGGAGACGAGTCCATGAAGAAGTTTGGTGGCCTGTTCAGCTCGATGACAATGCCGCCGAGCTTGTTCGGGTCGCCTTCGCTGTTCTCGAGGTAAATCGATTTGATGTGGGCGAAGGGGTACTCGATCTTGTACCCGGCCTGCTCGTTGTTGATGTAGTACGTCATCGTGCACTTGTCAGGCGAGTAGAAGATGATCAAGTCCATGGTGTTCTGGCCAACGCGAGTCCACTTGCCAATGCTGAGAGAGCGGCAGGTCAAATGGTGAATGACTTTGGCGACTATTGTTAGACAACTATATCACGTCTGTAGGAGGCTCGATATCTGGCATGTACTTACGGACTTTGCCCTGGCCACCCTGTTCTCCACCAAGGAGCATTCCGCTGTGGCCATAAGGCATCAAGCCACGTCCCAGGAAACCTGCACCGAGGCCCTTGCCAGATTCCATGGCCTGCATAGCCAGGTATGTGCGCATGGACTCGGGTATCGCGTCGAAGTCTTCGCCTGTCTCAAGGCTCTTCTTCGCGAGAGCCTTGATCTTGGCACGCCTGGGATGTTTGTTAGTCCCCTCCCGAGTTCGAGGTGTGGGGCAAGCGCGTACCTGTTCTGGAACCAGATCTGGACAGAGCGCTCAGTCATGTTGATCTCCTCGGCGATTCGTTCCCGGACGTTGGCCGTGGGGGTGGGATTCTTGTTGAACTCCATCTCCAACGTTGTCAATTGATCTTGAGTTGCTCGCTGTCGCTTCTGGTTCTTCTGCTGCTGCGTCAGGGTGCTCTTGCGAGGCGGGCGTTTTGATGTGGAGCCGGCATTGTGTGAATTAGAGGTGGAGGGTGATGGTGTTTGCGCAAAGCCGGGGTTGCCGGCTGATACTGGAGTAGGGACAGTGGCTGGCGAGTTGGCGGCTTCCAGCTGGACGGTCGAGGTGGCAGACCCTGGGCCTGACATGCCCGAATCTTCAACCTTTGTGGCCATTTCGGGCGGACTGGTGAAGACTCGTGAAGCAAGAGCCGTGCAGTGTTGCCAGGCGTGGTCAGGTGTATTATCTTTCGAACTCGGGCGAGGGCGAGATCGGTGGTTCGGTGTTCGCTGTTATGAACGACCGAGTGTGTAGAGGTGCGCTGTTCTTGTTTTGAATTCGCGACCTGTTATGACCTGTATCTATCTCAAGAGACCGTGCTAGTCCTTATGAGAGATTGGTATGATATCGTGGGTCGGCAGTCCGCGGACTCGACAGTCGGGACAGTGTGGTGGTGATATAAGGAATGTGTAGAATAGCGAAAGGCAAAGTAACGAGTAAGGAGTGTCGTCCTGGCAGCGCACAGTACAGTGTGGGCGGGAGGGGATAGTTGAAGAGGCGAAGAGAGAATAGGGTTCAGGTCGTTCGATACGGAAATCCGAGATCTAAGAGTTTCCCCGTGGGTGCAAAGGCAAGGCAAGGCAAGGCAAGGCCAAGGTGAAGTGGGTTTAACAGCGGTGGTATTTTCGCGTTAGCCGAAAGAATGTAAATGGGACGCCCGGAAGGATTGAACGGGGGACCGAGAACTGGCTGGAAAAGCACACAATGGGGAACTTCAAGGGAGTGACTGTGGTTAGGACATAAAGAAGCGGGGAGGGGGGGAAGAAAAGGAGAGGAGGGAAGAGAGTCTGTCGATTCAGCGACGAGTCGGTTGGGTGGACTGACGGTGAGGGATTCACGATGGAGAGAAGGGAAAAGGAGAGGGCGACGACGGGGAGAAACGGGGGGGAGGGATACAGTAGAAGAAAAAAAAAGCTCGAGCCAGCCAGCCATCCAGGAGGAGGAAGGAGGAGGAGCAAGGACTCGCCAGCACCAAAGCACACAGGCACACCCACTACTCCGCACACCACTCCTGCCTGCACTCCCTCCCTCACACACCCGCATGCCTTGGGTCCTTGGGTACTTGGGTATGCTCACTCACACTCGGACTGCACTGCACTGCACACAGTACGCAGTACGTACACCACGTACAACACCACCAAGCAAGCAGCCTCCTGCCAGACCAAGGGGAGCCGGGGGGGAAAAGGGAAGGAGGGCGAGGATAGGGAACCCCCTGGCTCGGGGCCCTGGACGGGGATTGGACGAGGATTGGCTGTCGGGCAGGGAAAGGGCGGCTCCTGAGCGGTCCTGACTGACGCTGCAGCCCTTGTCCCTGATCGAGGAGGCACAGTCGACCAGTCCCACGCGCTGGCCTGTCGCTCCACGGCCCACTTGGTCTGCAACCCACATGCACTCCCACCTTGGGCGCCCGCCTCCCTGCAGACCTGCAGCATGATGCCCTCTTTGTGAGAGCGAGCGAGCGGCTGTACTCCGTTGAGCGCCGGTACAGTACAGACAGCCCCGAGGGCATACAGTGGGCTCTATCCTTTTTCTGGTTTTCCTTTTTATCCTTTTGCTCTCGCCTCCTCTGTCAGTCCGCCTGTCCGCCTGTCCGTCTGTCAGCCCATGCATCCCATCCCACCAGGATCTCACCAGTTCGAAACTTTTTGCCTCCCGACCTCCCGACTCGCAACCAACACCCGCCCCGATACGAACAAACGGATGGTTGGGGGCGGGTGAGAGACCTGCAGGGCTTGCAGAGCTAGAGGATACATACAGTACGGAGTACTGCAAACAGAGCAAAGCATCGTGGCCACCTGCACAAAGTTCATGCACGCTGGATGGGCCCAATCCTGCAACAAAAAAAACCATGGGGCACACCACACCAAACCACACCACCCCATCCTAGACCACACCACATCACTCACGAGAGCACACCACACCACGCATTGCAGCCTGGCTGGCTGCACGTTGAGGCCGTGTATGGCAACGCCAGCCTACGCCAGCCGTTTGCTGTACTGTGTAGAGAGGCGTCTACTGTGATACCCTCTCCGTGTCTTGCACAAGCACGTACACGACTTTTTTTATTTTTTGGCTGGTTGGTCGTGGCCGGGCTTGAGTGAGTTGTGGTTGCAGGCCATGGTTTGGTCGTCCACCATCCGCAGTCAGCCGTCTGGCCGCCGTCAACCTTCACCAACGATGCATGTCCCTGTCGTCGACGGTGCACGTCTACCACAGCACTGTGTGCGCGCATGCGTCGTCCCCCGTACCTGCATTAGTGTCAGGGGACCGTTTCTCCTAAAAAGGACTGGACGCCCACACTAAACGCCACACGTCCAAGGCCCAGAGGCAGGGTGTGCCCCATTGGCCCGCCCTCGGGGCTACGTACTGTGCTACTTGCACCTCAGGAACCACAGGAACAACCTCCGGTCAGCTCGGTTGTTTGACACCCTCTAGGCTCGCTCTGGCAGACAGCAGACATGTCATTGATGAGTCGCCTCGCTTGCAACCGGCGGCCCTGTGGCTTCTTGCCAGCACTGTGCTCGATCAACAGATCAACGCCATACCACAGGAGCTGGCTGCTGCTCACTGCATGTCTGCATGTCAGCAAGTGTCCGGTATTAATCCGCCCAGCCGCCCCCAAGGTTTCCACACAGACGTGCTGCGAAGATGCGAAGAGGCTGAGTCCGTTTCTACCGGAGCATGTTTCAAACCCAGTCCTGACGGTGCAGATGCCGCACCTGCCGTAGTGCCCTCCATGACCTCTCGGGGGACACACGGCTAGACAGCAGTAGCAAGTGACAAACACGCTCACGATTCACGAATCACGCCGGTCTCGAAGCGGGTCTGCGAGACTGGGTCCGACCCGCGGGGACTTGCCTGCGAGCCGCTGCGCTCGCTGCACTCGCTGCACTCGCCAACGCTGGCGGATTCAGTCACTGGCACTGGCACTGTGCGAGGCGAGGCGAGCTGATGGGGGCCTGTACCGCGACGATGGTTCAACCATCAAACTTTGACGGACACGGTCAAAAGAGGCCTTTTGCACCAGAAACATGATCCAACAGTGACAAACCTCCCCATGGCTGTAGTTTGCGCCGCAGCAGCCGGTCAACTCTGGAACCCCCCCTCCTCCTCCGCTGTACTGAGACGAACCCCATCAGGCCCATCAAGCAGTCTCAATGGCCCAGAACCACAATGCCGTAATACAGGCATCACCGCCCGCATGAACGCTCTAGTAGCTGCAGCAACATGGCTCCGCTATGTCGCAGAATGCAGCAAGCTGAGTCTCCGCGACCTGTCCGGCCCCTCAAAAGGAGTTCAGCAACACACTGCGGCTTCGATTTATGGTTCGCGCGCCTTGCGCCAGGCCCAACACCAGCCCCGTACATCCTGACATCCCACCAAGCGCCAGAACCCTTCAGGCTTCAGCCCCGGGTATTGAGACCATCATCCGTGACAGCATCGGCTGTGGCCAAACGCAGCACAACTCGCCCGGGGACTAGTGCAATGGCGACTCACTGTTGTCCAGTCAGGTTGCGCGCGGTTGACCGTTGTCTTTCGGCCCTATCCACCCCGCTTCAGAAGCGGCATACCCAATGCCAGTGGAAGCCCGGCATGCCGACTCACTTCTGAACTCGCGTCTTGGAGCGAGCCACTGCCGGCGCGTTCTGGAACGAATGGGATGGGTCAGCTGAAAAGGGGGGCCTCGCCAAGAAAAGTTCGACGAAAGCCGAGCGACCACCAGGGGAGTGCGACCCCACCGTGCGACCCGCATATACACACTAGTATTTTCTCAGCCCCTATACTTGAACGACGGATTTACCAACGGCTTCTAAGACACACGGCTGAAGACCTCGACCTGCATTGGCGTTGTGCTTTTGCCCCACGAGTCACGGCATCGACCTACAGTATTAATGCTTGATAGTCAGCCAACCGCCACTGGCGCAGCTCTCGTCGAGGATTTGCTATCAGGAAAACGTCGATGGCCATGCACATGGTGCACTTCCAAGACCACGCCTTCCCTTGCTCACAGATCACTCAAGGTTTCAGAATTGAAGCTTCCGCCGAAATCGACTCGACTCGAGTCTGCACCCGTCCTGCCGCATCGTTGTTGGCCTGCGAGGGATGAGGCGCGTGCTACTCGATCAGAGACAGCACGGGGAATTGTCCAACAAGAGTAAACCGGGTGATCGTGGTGCTGTTATCGCCAGTAGACAACAAGTCGCGCCAGGTTTTCAATTCCCGCATGGACAAGGTGGCGTTGCGGCCTGAAGAAAAGGCGAGGGTACTTATGAGATCCCCATACTGCAGAGTACTTGCGCGGGCGATTGTGACAATCGCTTCCTGTGTGAATGATGCTCGATCGCTACCAGAAATAGCAATCAGAAGCTCTGGACTCAGGAGCGGGTAAAACGACGGCGTCGCCGCGGGACCACTGACGCCTTTGCCCCACAAACAGCACTCGGGCCTGAGGTGCCTGCCAGTCGGAACCAGCCATCCCTGATGGGATCGCTCCACAGCTTCTGCAGCCTCTTGCTACCATACCTTCTCTCGGGCTCCAGGCTGCCTGGATGCAGGGTGCTTCAGAGAGCATTCGCGGCGACACATGCAGGCAGGCTTCTTCCGGGAAGCTCAGGCCAGAGCATCTTGGCCCGGGGGCCGTCTGGACACAGTGTGGAAACATGATCATGCCGCCCCTTGTCACTCACGTAGCTCTGTCCTGCTCGAGCGCGACTTACCCCTGGAAAAATGGGTCGAGACCTAAGACGAAAACGTGTCATGGGTTTGGGGTGATCACTACTCAATACGGAATAGCGCGATCTTTTATTTCGTCTGAAGTTTTGGCTCCACAATCCTTGCGCACTTCCCGCAACTGCTTGGTCCTCTCTGGGGAAAGCCCGAGCACGATTATTACCAACGGGACGTTCTTTTTTGAATGGTAACTCTGATGAGGCTGATGAAGCGACGGCAGTTCTCAAGCCACCATCCAACGCCGCAATGACGCAGCAATCGCATTCGTTCTTGCTTGTGAGCCGTTGATAAGAATAGCCACATGCATCCCAAGGCCCCAGATCGGTCATGTTTTGCTCGATTTCACAAGATGTCATGATTCACTATGCATGTGGAGCTTTGTGACATATCGTTCGGCTTCTACTGTACTGTGTATGTCGTCTCGAGAGATCTTCGTGTCCTAGTGGGCACCAGCCCAGGGCCTGGGGTCGCACGTCCTATCTGTGTGTCCTCCTGAATCAGGTTGTTGAAGCTTCTCACAGGAGGCACACTTTTTGCCTGTCAGGACAGATAGGTTGTGCGTACAGCACTTTGGCATATCGCTTCTCTCCGCGGGTGGTTCGTCTTCGATAATTGGGCGGATGAGTTTTCCTCCCTATTATTTGGAGTCGTCGGCTGTCTCTCCGTCTGCTGGGAAGTCGGCTGTCAGATGTCAACCCCGGTAAAACTGCGCGGCGGTTATCGAGTGCCTACGGCCAGAACTACTAGAATGGGACTCACTGGCATGACGAAGAATAAAGCTTTCCGTCAAAGGCGTAATAGATGATGTCCGAGGCTCTTTCGAACCCTGAGCTCCAACCCCCCGACTTTTATCGAGACAGTGGAGCCACATATCCATTCCCTTGTGCGGCTCCTCCTATCATACACGCTCTCTATCAACCCATCGGGAAGGATGCATACGTCAAAAAGGGGGCCGCTGGCAGTCTTTCGTGGCCATGAACGAGCCATCTTTCCGAGGCGGGGAAGACCCGGCTGACCAATGCCAGGTGCTCGGTTTGGCCCATCAAAAAAAGTCGGAGCTTTGGAGTCCTTGGTCCCTCTATCGTGCAGCCTCCCATCCGAATAGGAAAATTGTCCGACTTGTTGGCAAGTGTCAGCCTTGCCCGAGAGGTGCGACGCGCGTGTGCCAAAGCGGACCTGGGCTGCTACAAGCGTCTCGCGGGGTGCCGCGTCTCAAGCCGACATTCTACAAACGCGCGTTGCTCTTTCCTTCCCGTTGAAATGCCCGTCAACCTCTTTCCGTCTCGGGCTCTTGGGCCCTTCGCCAAGCTTGAAAGCGTCTTGTAAGTGCACGCAAGGCTACTTTGGATCGAAGGGGGCTGAAGGGGGAAACACTCCGACTCGCCTAAGGTGAAGGAGTTCTCCAGAGTAGGATTCATGCGAGTGTGCCTTGCGTAAACTCCGGGCTCCTCCTGCTACCTTGCCCGTGCACCTCGGCACTCCAGGCGAGAGGCGAAAGCCAGTCGCCAAAGTACTGTGCGACCGAGGATCACCCGCATTACTGTATTTGAGTGTTGTCTGTCTAAGACCGAGACCTCTCTGTCCTGCCAACGTGCTTTGTCCTGCGGATGGGTCCCAGAAATGGGAAACGGGATGCGGGACGGGATTGCGGGTTGGAGAGGACTAGGATGCTTCCCCTCGCTCGCCCCATGATTCAACGCTGATGGACCGGACGCAACTCTGTGCCTGCGTATCATCCATCGGTCCCGGTTTTTTCTTCTGAGATCTCCCCATCCGAATCGCCCCAACCCGCCGACTTGGGACTGCGAGTGCGCTGTTCTTCGCGGCTCTACAGTACAAACCACAGGATAAAGATGGCCGGTTGGGTCGGGCAGGCTACAAAAGCTTCAAACTTACCTCTGGATCGGCACTGATGGAGGACAACAAGAGCGGATTTTCCGGGCAGAGAAGTTGCTTGAATAAGGGTTCATGCTCGCCTGCTCCGAGGCACAACATGTTCATCCGATCCTCGAGTGAGCGTTATTCCCACCCGGTCACTGGTCTGCCAGTCTGCTAGTCTAGTCCGCCTGCTCCTGGCTGGCAGAACCTTATCCGCCGCCGATCCCCCTGAATTCACCTTGCCCAATCGAGCCTGGTCACCCTACGGGCCACGGGGGATCCCAACAGCTGACAACCTTGTGCTCCTGCTGCTTTGGACTCGATCGCTTGGGATCACCGGTATGCCTGCCGAAAGAGCGGCATGATGATGTCCGCGGTAACTCTCTGGGGACTGGGGACTGGGGGCTGCGATACTCCGGCCAGCGGAGTCAGAGCCCCAGTGCATCGCCGTTCAACCCGGACACGCCCACTCTGCCACAATGGATGGGTGCTTCACGCACTCGTCGTGGGCTGATTGATCTGCTTGGTCCCCGATCCGGACGCCCTCGGTACCAATCATGAGTGCGGCCTAGGCTCGCAACGCGACCATCCATTCTTTTTTTCCCTCCTTCCCTCCTTTCCCCATTCCTCTGTACGGAGCACATGTATCTACGATACGTATGTACCTGCAGGGCTTTGACGTGGTAAGGCGCTGGGCGCGTGTGTGCATAGCACAAGCAGGCTGTGCTAGCCTCACGCTCGTTTCGCACCCCTTCCCCAGCTGGAGACGCCCGCCGCAAAACCAACCCCCCGCTTGCCACAATAGGACTGGCTGTTAGCTGTCGAGCCCCGTTTCACTCTGCGCGGCTAACTGGCGCAGCCACACAACGTCCTGCCTTACTCCGTACCTTGCCCTGCCCTGCCCTGCCCTGCTGCTCGGGGCCGATAAGGCATAAAGGGACGAGGCCCGTTGGCGGGACAAGGCGGTGTCCCTCTACATGCTGACATGGTTGTACGTCGCACGAACTTTAGGACACAGGGCCGCGGCAGAAATGCAACCCCCAGGGTCCTGTCGCAGGAACTTGTCCTTGGCCCGCTCCCCGGGCATGATGCGCCGTCTTTGCTTGCAGATCGCAGGTGCCAGAACGGGATGTGTCGTCTAGCATGGGCTGTTTCACACCCTTCTAGCCTGCCAGCCAGACGGCCTGGTCAAAGCTTTCCCGGCCGTCTTTCCCAGAAGGGGGAGGAGGGGATAAGATATGGGACGTGGCGCACGGTGTGCGCGAGACGTGATGTTATGCTTTTTTTTTCTGGTACGGTGATCTCGCGGGGTGTTGTTCAACGTTCCCTTGACAACGTCCATGTGGGCTTTATTGTCAAAGTCCTGGGGGCACCCCCGGCGCGGAATTCGCTGCGTCAAGACACAAGCGGTTTGGTCGTCGACTGGCATGCTGGTGACGGGGTGGCAGGGTGGATGGGTTTGAGGCGACAATAAGGGGGCAGGCAATCGCAGGAGGAAGGCTACGTGTGCATTACATACTAGGCGTACTAACGACTTAGCGGGCAGGTGGACTACGATTACGACTACGACATACTGGATGCGGGACAGCCAAATCCATTTCGGTCAGTCGGTTTACTACACACGTCTATTAACAGTGTCTATGTACGACGTCTTGGGTTGCAAGGGTGGGAGAGCCCTCGTGGAGAGCAATCATCGCTCTTGCTGTGGGAGGAGCCGGCTGGATAAGGGGGCTCCTATACTTCACTCCTCGTCGTCTTCGTCTTCAGAACCAGACCCGTCCTCGGACATATCCTCGTCTGAGTCCGAAGCCTCCTCTTCTTCATCGTCTTCGGGGTCCTCTTTGCCATCCTCGTCGTCTCCCTCTAGACCGTAGGCGTCGTAGAAGTCCGAAAGGGACCGGACTTGAGTCTTATATCCCATGTTCTTGAATGCCTTGTCCATGTTCTGTATAAATTGTCAGTGTGCGCTCTCAAATATCTGATAGGTGAGGGAAGGGGGGGGGATAGAAAAATAAAAAAAAGAACGTACCTCTTGCATTATTGGCGCGCAAGTCACGACAACGTTGCTCTTGCCAGGCTGGAAGACAGGCAGGATCAGCTCGGCCATGACCTCCCTGATCTCGTCGCCCGTCACGTTGCGCACCTGCGCGAGGATCTTCTTTGTCCAGGCCGGGTCGAGGCCCCTGACCACGCCGAGGATGTAGTTCTGCTGCGCCGCGTACGACATGGTGGCCTGCTCGTCGGCAAAGCTGGAGACGATGCTGCTGACGGCGCCCTCGACCAGGTGCTTGTCCAGCGGGACCTCGCCCGACGCGATCCTGGCGACCGTCTCGCGCGACGTGTCGATGGCCTTGCTCGAGTCCGGGGACCGGTACACGCGGTACTGCAGGAAGCCCCAGTCCATCTCGCGGCTGAAGTGCGTCCCGTACGCGAGCCCGCTGCCGCGCACCGCGTTCCAGAGCGGGCCCTCGACCGCCTCGAGGTACCCTATGGCGACGAGCATGGCGGGGATGCGCGGGTCCTCGTACGAGGTGAGGCCCTTGGTCGTGCTGACGCTGTAGGATGTGTCGAGGGTGGTCATGGGGATGATCACGGCGCCGGTGTTGCCGGGCGCCTGGCCCTCCTCGTTGAGCATGGTGTGCGTCTTGATGATGGGCTGCAGGTCCTTGCCCGCCCCGTCGCTGCCGAACGACTTGGTGAGAACATCCCAGGACTGTACGGGCTCGCTGAGCTTGGCGATGTCGGAAATGACCAGGACCCGGACGTTGTGGAAGGAGAACAGGAGCTTGCGGAGCTGCTCGAACATGTCCAGGACCTTCTGGGGCTCCTTCTGCAGTAGCTTCTTCAGCCGGCGGAGATAGACGGCTCTGACAAGCGTCCTCTTCGTCATTGGGTACCACTCTTTCTTAATATGCACTGCCCAGTCGACTTCAAGAGACATGGCCCTCCCGTCTCGCTTGGCTTCGGGGATGTCTGCCAATGCCTTTGATATACATGCCTTGATCCTCCTGATGTCGAAGACGCTGTCGAACATGAGAGTTCGGATCCATTCAATGATGGTTGTGTATTTCTCTGGCTCAAGCTGGAGACTGATCAGCATGCTCTCGGGATCGTAGATCTTGCCCCCGCCATTAAGGGTATAGCTGATCGTATCCTTCTCAAGCTCCATCACCACATCCTCAAAGTCGATCAGCTTGCCGTCGCGGTTGATTGGCGTGTTGAAGAAGTTGTCAATGAAGATGGAAAGAAGTGGCTTAAGCTCCACCGGTACCTGGGACGTCCCGATGTGGACTGAGATGTTGACGAAGTTGCTCGGCACGTCTTCAAATTGGATAAACAGCGGCAACCCTGGCTTGGCAGCGTCAATCGCTTTTTGGGCCGAATTGTTGCTCAGGCCGATGTCTTTTGCCCTCCCAGACCTGGCAGTGCTCGATTCGATGAAGTGGATGGATTCGGTTCCTGGAACTGGCCACTGGTCGATGAAGGATCCGGGAATCACGACGTCGTTCTTTGCCTTGGCTGCTTCGACTCTCTCTCCGAGCTTCTTCAATCCTTCGGGCCCTAGTTCCTCTTTCCTCTTTGCAACGCGATCCTCTTCTGCCTGCTTCAACTTGGTCGCCAGAGCCATTGAGGGTTTGCCAAGTGTAGAGATATGGTGGACATCGACGAGCCACTTTCTAAGGAATGTCTTCCACTGTTCCTCTGTCCATTGACCCAGGACTTCGTACTCCTGCAGTGTGCGCAGCTCGTTGAGGGTTGAACCGTCCCGCTTACCGAACAGATAGTCAGTGATGATATTGTTCGAGTAGAACTGCTCAGAACTCTCCGCCTGGAATTTGACGAGTCTCTCCTCTCGGTTGATGCACTCTTTCATGTAGGTCATATCAAGTGGTTTAGACGCAACCTCCTTCAGCAGCTCGTGCAGCCTCTTTTCCACGAACTCGAGCTTCTCGGTTGCAACGCCTGTGGGCTGGAACCATATGGTAGTGTTGGGCCTGCTGTCCCACCAGTATGAGACAGAGCTAGCGAGCTCCTCCTTCTCCACCATGATGTTCTCTAGAACTGAGACCGACGAGCCGCAAAGGTAAGTCATAAGTATGTTCAGAGCAGATGTTTCAATCAAGTTGGTGCAGTTGGGTCCGAAGAAAGCAATGGCAATGTCGCCTGTTGACTCGTCCTCCTCGGGGAACTCAACCGTCTCGACGATGGTCTCCTTTATGGGTGGTGGCTGGGGAGAGTCTATCCAAGGGCTGTTTCAAAGTCAGAATAAATGACTCCCAGATAGTCTTGATCGAAACTGTGACAGGGCTTACCGTCTGAATGGGGAATCCAGTGGAGGTATAGAGTCTTTTATGCTCTCCTCGAATTCGTCCAGGATCTGAAGCAAGTTTTCATGATTCGTCTCTCCGACTATGATAACGGCTAGATTCCGAGGCTGGTACATCTCCTTGTGAAATTCGCGAATCCGCTCGGGCGTCAATGCACGAAGAGCTTCCATCATGCCACCAGTCTCGTAACGGAACCCGACATTCTCGGGGTAGAGGAGCCGCCGTGCGCGGAGATCCATCAGCTCGGTCATGCTGTATTGCAAGGCCTGCATCTCAGAATAGACCACGCCTGCGTCATTGCCATCGCCATCCACATGATGGACCTCGGTGATACAGGCCTCATCTGTGATGTTGGGGAGGATGACGTGCTCCAGATAGACGGGCAGGATCTGGGCGAAGCCGTCCCAGCCTGCGGTCTCCAGGGTGTATGCCGTATGGTCAACAGCTGTCCAGGCATTTGTGCTGGAGTACGCCCTTGACGCCAACTTGTCTAGGAGGCCCTTATACTGGTAGCTCCTGGAGCCCATGAAGACAAGGTGCTCAAGGGTGTGTGGGGCTCCGGAGTCATCGAATATCTCGGTGGCCAAGGTGAAGTAGCCGTTGATCTTGGGCCCTTCCCTGTCGGCCACGATGACCTGCATGCCACTGCGCTCCGACTCATACTGAGTTATGGTAGTGGGAGCATAGTCAGTCTTGAAGCTCTGCACCTTTCGAAAGCGCGGATGTTGAACTGGCGCCATTTTGAGGGCTGCGAGTGATCGGACAAGACGCTTTATTACCCTGCCGAGTATGTCAGAATGGAAAATGCACCATGCCAGAGGAGTCTTATGCAGTGAGGTACATATGCGCTGGATAGGGGACAGGAGACAGGTTGGGCAAAAGATAGGCGCCACCAATAGGGAAACACCAAAGAGGAGATGTAACAAGGAGTCGGCAACTCGGTGTCTCAATGGAACTTAATATCCCAAGAGCTACAGCTACGAGAATGCTGCTTGCACTAGTGGGCGTCTCCTCGTGGTCCCCAATGTTTGTTGGCGCACCAGACAGCTGCACTAGGACAATCTGAGGAGGCTGCAGCAAACGACGCAGTGTCACTTGTAATCTCTGAGAATTGCAAAGAGACCCGTGTGAGACCATCGGCAACAACCGTAATAAGGTAGCGTATATCCTTTGGGCCTTGCAGACAGAGTTTGCCTGCCCAGCCCCAGGGGCTATCAACAGGCAGGCTATTGGCAGGCAGTCTGTTGCGACTGAACACACCAACAAGTCCAAGCTCGCAGCGGGCGGTGAGACGGCCAGGTGGCTTGCTGTTGCTCATGGACAGGAAGTGGAAGACGAAACACAGCCTGTTGGGACACAAGGCAGGGAGGGGCTGCATGTCAGGCGACACAAGGGGGCTCGGACAGAAAGAAGATGGAGTGATAGATAAACAGATGCGCAGTGGACAGCCGATTGCGGTCTGGAACATGCAACAAACAATAATGGCTTACATACCTGGTTCCCCTTTGGCTTCGGGCTCGTTGGCCGGCCTGACAACGTCGCCGTCTCACCAAGAAGGCACCAGTCGGAGACCGAGTGAGGGTGAGAGTGAGAGTGAGGACGGAGGCGGGGGCGGGGGCGGAGATGCTTGGATTCTGCTATGGCAGGGCTGAAACTGGTGTATCGTCAAGACTTTGGCTTGCAAATTCCGGCTCGGCGAGCAGCTTGATGTCGTAAAGACGTCCACGCTGAGACCAAGCTAAGCGAGTCTCGAAAGTGGACAAGGAGCAAAAGGCGGCTGAGATGTCGGTTCCAAGACCTTGCCAGATCCCAGAGGGGTAGGTCGTGGTCAAAACACCAAAGACAGCTGTCGGGATTCGATGACAGGGCGAGGGTGCAAAGGCGGACGGGTGACAGACACGACGAGCCTGTCAGGTTGACTGCTGGATCGTGATTGATATTCAAGAAGTTGTCGAGTAAGTTCGCGATCTACCAGCCACAAGGGTTCTCGCTTTGAGAGTGCTTGTCCAGTTCCGAGGCCCTGGGATTTGGAGGGGTATTTTTCACCCCACATCCGTCGATAACTGATACCGCGGCGTCATCAATGGAGCTGGCACGAGGTACAGAGGTACGTATCGCAGTATCGCGGCGCCCGGATAGGCTCGCGGGTGGGTAATGAGGTACCCCGGTCCACGCCTGATGCGTTCCATCTAGTCGCGTCCAGGCCAAGCACGGACCGCCCAAAGCCTGCTCTCACACAGCAGGGCAGGGGAGCTCTGGGTCTAATAATAAGTGTCGACATCGATCTGACCTGTTGGTGTACGGTGGGAATTCCTAGGCCACTTCTGAGTGTTCATTGCATAGAGCGTGGCGAATATTATACTTTGCATCAGGCCTGTTTATCAATAATTCATATTCACAGCTAGACTGTCGCATGCTGCTGCTGCTGGCTGGTTGTCAGGGTACACAGTACGACTGTTGCAACCTGGCGTTTCCGACCAACCCTGGAGCTCCCGTTTCTATTCCTCGTTGACGGCATTCACGCGCCATCCCCTTCAGGCACACCTAAATAATGAGTACGAAAGAGCCTGCAGGTGCCGTCGGACGGGCACTGGTCGATTTCACAGTAGATGGCGCCTTTCCGGAGGAAGATGTCTCGTCCCTGAAGCTGAGCTCAGAGGAGCTGTCTCCAGCCGTGCAAGCTCTGGCCGAGGCCAAGTCAAAACTCGAGGTGTGTTTTCAATGATGCCTGGCCCTCCACGAGGAAAGCCATTAACGAAGAGAACAGGACGAGATCCACTCGATCAACCAAGAGACCGCCCCCGATGTGTCTTCTTGGATGGCCAACGCCCAGTCAGTACAAGACGACATCAACCGTTCCAAACGACTCGCCAACGACATCGTGCGCCAGGCCGAGGAACCAGTCCTCTCAGGAGCTGCAATACAGGAGGCAGAAGACAAGTTCGTCTTCCTGCAGTCAGAGATCGCTTACAACCAGCGCGTGCGGGAGGCGCTAAGGGGCATAAAAGATGTCAACCAGATTCTAGATCAAGTGGAGAAGGCGCGCGACGAGCGCAGGATCCTTGATGCTCTCCGACTACTGGAGCGGTCATGGGCAGCTCTGGATGCGCTTCCGGCGGGGCACGGTGTCAGGGTGAGGAGGCTGTTGGACCTCCGCGCCTTTGAGCTCAAATCCAACGTCCATGACGTCTTCGAACACGTCTGGAACACCCTGATGAAGGTGGACATTACAGCAAGAACCATATACTTTTCAGCCGAGGCCGACAACGAAGGCATGGGACTTTCCGACGCTGTGCTTGGCCTCCAAGCCTACAAGGAAGTCGACCAGCGCATGTCGCAGTTATGGCACAACATGGACCAGGCTGTTGTGGGCCCTCGCATGGACATGGACCACCCAGGCGCACCAGGCATCGTCGTGGAAGGTGACATACTGCGAGCCGAGGGCCAAGCAGACAAGTCAATAGACTCATTGTTCCAAGACTTGGACCGGCTCTTTTCTTACGTTGCGGCAAGGTTGCCCCAAGAATTGGTCGATTCGCTGTCTGCCCTGATGATGCCAGAAATCGTGTCTCGGGTCATTTCAGTGTGGCTAGACTCGGCCGTACCAGCTTCGCTACAAGAAATGGACAGATTCGAGGCGATCATGGCGTCCGCGAGGCAGTTTTGTGAAAGGCTTGAGGAGTTGAAGTTTTCTGGTTTCAACGAGCTACAAGACTGGGTGGAGAATGCGCCAAGAGTGTGGCTTGCCAAGTGTAGGGAGACTGCACTCGACACAGTCCGCACCCGCCTGTCAGAGGGACTGGGCTCTCCCAAGAAGGTCGAGAGGATCGAGAAGCAGATGGTGTCTCGCGCTGAGGGCCAAGGCCTTGCTGCCGCTCCAGCCACCGCAGCAACCGCCACAGCTGACGAGGACGACTGGGGTGCTGCGTGGGACGATGAGGCAGACCAGGCCGGCGACCCAGCTGGAGAGCCGGAGAAAGCCACCGACAAGGAAGCAGCAGCGGCTGGGGCTGAGGAAGACGGAGCTGATGCCTGGGGCTGGGGTGAAGACGGCGAAGAGGGCGGTGATACTCAACACGCTACTGAAAAACAGCAAAATCAGCAAAATAACGCGGATGCTGATGACGACGCCGGTGATGCGTGGGGATGGGGAGAGGAAGATGTTCCTCAGGAACAGCCAGATCGCAGTGCCGCAAGGCGACCTTCAACTGCACCGGCTGCCCCCGAGCAAAGGGAAATGACACTGAAAGAGACATATAACATTTCGTCCATGCCGGAGCCGGTTCTACAGCTAATATTCTCTATTCTGGAAGACGGCGCGACCTTGACCCAAGCAGGGTAAGTACCCCGAGTCCTGCATCCCACTCCAAGCTGACCCCATTCAGCAACGAAAGTAGCCCCGTGGCTACAGCCGCAGCAGGTCTATTTACCCTACCGACCTTGGCCCTGGCCATGTTCAGAGCTGTTGGGCCATACTATTATGCCCTCGACATTGGTGGCAACATGTAAGTCTCACCAGCCCCTGTTTGATCGGCATGTACTGACTGACTTCCAAGGTTTCTCTACAACGACGCAAACTATCTAGCAGAAAAGTTGGGCGATTTTGCAGCGGCATGGAAAAAGCGTGATAACTTGAGTCCAAGGGCACAAAGCTCGCTGCGTTTAGACAACGACGTCAAGACGCTGCAGAAATTTGCTGCCCGGGCGTACGGAAACGAGATGGGCATCCAGAAGACAGTGTTGAGGGACCTTCTTGGTGGCGAACAAAGCCTGCTTCAACAGGAGGACATTGATAGCTTCGTGGATGCAACTGTGTCCCGCGTGCGATCCATGGCCTTAACCTGGGAAACCATCCTCGCCAGGTCGGCGTGGTATCAGGCCGTCGGCTCGTTAGTCGACTCCATCTCCCTGAAGATCATTGCAGACGTGATGGAAGCACCGTCAGTCAGCCAAGATGACGCATACAACATCGCAAAGCTGATCGCGACCATCACCGAGCTCGACGACCTGTTCCTCCCAAGCCGCGTCACGGGGAGGCGCCCGGAAAAGCCAGAGGAGGAGATACCGCAGACGACGCAGTACGCGGCGTCCTGGATGCGGCTAAAGTACCTTAGTGAGGTGCTGCAGTCCAATCTGAGAGACGTGCGCTTCCTCTGGATGGAAAGCGAGCTGAGCCTTTACTTCACGGTGGACGAGGTCGTGGACTTGATCAACCTCAGCTTTGAGGATAACGCGAGGACGAGGGAGACGATCCGGGAGATCAGGAACAATCCGCAACCACGGCAGGATGAGCAAGGCGAATGGTGATTGACGAGGCTTGTATTGTAGCTTGGTACACGTCCTCAGATACCAATGCCTTGTAGGACTAGGGGTATCTAGACCGCGTACCATATGTTCGTCATCTTCCTGGTCTGACAGTACCATTTCGAATGCTCCACACACCGCTTTCCTGGTCCTAGGTCAACCGACCTGGGCCCACCACTCCGTATCAGGTTCCAGCCAAGAGTTTGCGGGCCCAAATTCCACCAAGTCCCTACGTCTGTCGATGCTGTGCCCCCGGCGAAGTTGATGACCTCTATCTCCGCGAAGGACCGGGTGATCGCGGGCCGGAGCCAGGAGTTTTCTGCGGTGTTCGCAAAATCGATGCCGCCGAGCGACAGAAGAGGTGCGCCCTTGCCCGAGCGACTGGTTCCCACGTAAAACTTCCTGGCGTGAGGCAACTGCAGGTTACCAATCCTGATCATGATGAGAGATTTTAGTCCCGTCATAAATTCGTCCTGTGCGCCCGCATAATCCCTTATTCCTCTCATCTGAGAGCCGGTGTGTTAGCCAGCGCCTCAATAAGTGTGAATCTTCATGGCTTCACCAGACCAGCCGTGTAGGCAGAGGACGCCAAGGAAGTCTACTTTGGAGGGAAAAGGGGGGGGGGGTTGCTACTCACGAAGTTCCCACATGCCACAAGCCTCTGGATATTCTCTACATCTTCTGTGTGTTTCCAACAGCTGATCGTCATCGTGGCCACCCACTCCTCCCAAGGCCGGAAGATTCTGTCGATGGGACCACCCATGCCAAAAGAGGTGTGTGTGACGAGCGCGTTCGATTTTATCACAACGTCATCCTGGTCGAAATTGATGTACTGCCACACACAACGTCAGTAAATGACCACGACTAGTTAAGTTTCACAAGCAAAATACACTGGAAGAATGTATCGGTATACGGTCCACACGGCCTTTCCTCCTGCTGGAAGCCATCCGATCAAAGCCATGGGGCAAACACGTCCAAAGATGACTTCGAAAAGGAACTCGAGAGGGCGGTGTGGGGCGGGGTGTACTTACCACCGCAGCAGGAAACACCTCACACGCAAACGCAGGCCGCCACACCTTCAGCGCGACGTGGCGCGCCTCGGAGCTCACAGACAACATGGTCGGCGGGGGCGTCGGCGACGTCCAGAGGGGCCGGCGCCGCCCCGCGAACTTGGGGTCATCATATTTGGCAAAATCCATCCAGAATTTGAAACAGGCGAAGACGCTGTTGCAGGGCGGGACGAGAACGACGTATCGCTTGTAGCGCGCGGCCTCCTCCCAGATCAGGAGGCGCACCTCCGCGGGGAGGTCTGGGAAGCGGCGGAACTGCGTGGGGGCGGCGGCTTTGGCGGCGGCCATGTGTTCCCTCCGAGGGCTCTTTGTGATGAGGGCTGCTGCTGCTTCTTGGTTCCCTGGGGGCTCCTCCCCGCGTCGTGGGCCTTTTTTCGCGGTAAACTGTTCCCACAGGGCGTTGATCATGATCAGGAAGGTGAGCCCGCCGCAGTTCATGTCCAAACATGTTGGTCGTTCCATTTTGAAAACTGTGAGGTGTCTTCTTTTGTTGTCGGGAACAGTTGGTATGAATTGACTGTAACAATGGGGCAAGAAATGGATGTTGTTGATGGGATGTGGGCAGACTTTGTATGGCTGCTGCAGACTGAAAACTCTCGCAGCAGCAGAATGTCAATGGATTTTCATGATCAGCGGAGGATGGAATTAGAATGGAATTGGGTCAAGTAGCAAGACGAGTTGGATTTTTTAGTACCTAAATAATGTATGATTTTGTAGTCTCCAGACGATGGATACTAGACTCCTGACGAATACTGTTCCTAAAATCTAGCCAGTTGATAGTCTTCAGCCAATTATTTTTTAGATGTAGCAGTCCACGTTAAAACTTCCTCAGTCCAATCTGTAACATTTTCGGAGCTCACCACAACACAACAGCTTTTTGATAAATGGTATCCTTTCGAAGGCTAAGCTTTTTTTCAGGAATACTTTAAGCTCTTCTGAATGTGTTGATGAAAGACAATTCCTATGTCTATTTTATGCTGTTGGACCATGACTATGTTTGGCTTTACATTAAGCTATGATAACCCAGCTTTTAGTAGACAAGTAGTGCGCACTCGCCTACCACTATGGACTCACTAACCGTAGCTAAATTGCACCAGACCATCTTATAGAGTGGATAGTCGAAAGTTGATGCCTGAATTAGCTGGCAGTTCCAATTGGACCCCAGCACATTGTATAGCTACCTGTATTCTTGTGTCAAAATGTTAATGAGACTGGCTTCCAAGGTTGGGGGAGGGGTTAGTGGACATCCGAGGATTCAATAGGTTACAGCTTTGTGTTGATCAAAAGATGTCACCTGATCAAAACTCGAGAATGAATGCCATTTTTTTCATCTGCTAGACTGGCTCAACCCAGTCATATATGCTCAGTTTGAATTCAGCGCATCAATGGACCACGTTTGTATCAGCCGTTGTATAGCAAGACGTCAAAATAGTCTCGGGCGGCCGGTCTGAAGCGAGTTGATTGCCTGGCACTCTGTACTGGCCCGTAAATGATGCTGAATAAGCCCCTGGTATGGGTTATCCCTACAAACGGTTTACTACATTGCAAGCATCACACACATGACGGTTTCAAGATTGGTGCATGTTCTTCTCCATCCATCGCGGGTTGGTATACACGTCCGTCCGTCCGTCCGTCAAGGCGGCACAAGATCCCTTGGGACATGGGTTTGTAAGCCGCCTCAGTAGTCATCGACCCAGACTGGGCAGGTCTCGGCTCGGGTTGTCGTCTTCTCCGTGATCAACGCCTGATCCTGGCTCTCCTCCTCCGCTCATTCCCTCCGCTCCTCCGGCACAGTCGGCGGTGGGGTGACCGGTGTCAACTGACCTGCAAGGGGCTGGGCTTGACCATCAGAGACCAACCGAGTCCCGGCGATGGCTGGTGAGAAGAAACGGGCGCGGACAGAGGCGACGCTTGGTGATGACGACCACTTGTACGAGGCCCACCGCCCAAAGACCCCACCGGCTCCTGGGACATCACAGAGGGCTGGCTCGCCACACCCTTTGAGAGGGGAGGAATCGGACGCAAGGAAACGCAGGGAGGCACTCCAGAAGATGAAGGAGGAATTTTCCGACTTTGATGAAGACCCGGTGAGCACCTATAGCCGAAAGGGATCTGAACCTCCTCGGACCTGGGACTCTGCGACTGATCAGAATGCCCGGAGACATGCAGGGGGCCCCGAGAAAGCTCGGAAAGAACCTGTGCGATGGGGCCGATCCGGACGACACAGTCCTTAAACCCTTGGAACCATTTCCTTACTAATACTCTCCAGCAACGACTTTAAGGTATATCAATACCTTTCTTCAAGATTAGAAATTCTTTAAAACCAGAGGATTCTTTAAAACCTTCCCTTTCCATTTAAGACATCCATTCCCTTCCCTCTTAAAGCCTCCTCCTAGAGCCCTAGAATATAAGGGAAGGAACCTAACTAAGGGCCACAATATATAAGTAAGTAAGTAGAGGGCCAGCTAGGGGCTATTCTAAAGGGAAGACTACTAAAGGAATAGGAGAGAAATTCTCTCTCAGCTAGTCTTTATACTAAAGTAAAAGCTTAAAGTTTAAGAATTCTAAAAACTAGTACCCTTTAAAAACCTTATCTAGCCATTACAGTAATTACCTAGGTACATCTTCATCTGGTTGCAGACCCTTCCAGTGGACATGAGAAAATCAATACCAATTTAGGATAACTTGCAACTTTATTTGCAAGGTGAGCAGGATCCCCGTAAGCCTCGGCGTTAATCCCGGCGGAGATGATTAAAGAGAAAGGGAAGTAATGGACTGAGTTTCATGATGGGCATACCTAGGTAGATGAAGTGTGGGGGTTTGCCCTTTGGGAGGGTGAACTTTTGAGGGTGAAAGTCCCTGGTATGGGTTATCCCTACAAACGGTTTACTACATTGCAAGCATCACACACATGACGGTTTCAAGATTGGTGCATCTCTAAAAGACCTCCTTCCTACCTAAAGGTATATTAAAGAAGGAAGGACCGTTAATAGTTATAACCGTCACCAGACCGTACTATACTAGAGACGGTGTGCAAAAACCCCCAAGTGTGCGGTACGGTACATACATACTATCCTTGGTCTAAGGGAAGACAACCACAGGGGCCCAAGGTGAGTCAAGACATGGATTGAGTGAAGCACAAGCATAGTGGACCATACTGTCATCGCTGAATGTCCTCAATCAGACAAAGGTTTCTATTAATACCATTTGAATTACACGCTGATCTATAGAACCTGAGGCACGCCGGCTGCCCGAAAAAAAGTAGGATATCATAGAATGTCATGGATCAGCTGAATCATCAAGCGCCCTTTTTTTACCGAGACGCCTACAACAAACAACGCAGACCTTTTTGATCAGAAGCAGAAGAAGCCGGAGGGGAGCCCGTTCTTGTAATGAGCTTCTCCTTTGGGACCGGGTGAATGTCATCGAAAGCTCGGTAGCCTCGCAGGTACGAAGTCATCAGCGGCACCGTCAGCTCGGTGGTGTGCCGCGCCACCTTCGGATGCCGCGCCGTCTCGTGCCGTTGGCCCCGTCTCTTCCTCGGGATCCCGCCCTTCCGAGCCCTGCCTTGGCCGGGGGCTCAAGGGCTCCGGTATCTCCTCCACGGGCAGCATCGAGCTCTTTGCCCACGCCTCGGACTCGCCCGTGTCGAACGTCTCACTCGCGGACAGCCCTCTCTGCCGGGCCAGCTCCGTGGCTACCTCTCTCTTGCGGGCCACTTCCTGGTCCTCTTCCCTCTCGACCGCCTCCTCCTCGCGCTGGAGGTCCTCCAAAGACGCCTCGACGATGGAGTGGATCGAGCTCTCCATGGCTTGCATGGAGCCGTGCGAGCTCTTCCTCGCCCTCAGCGACGAGTTTGATGTGCTGGATGATAGTGTCGTGGAGGATACGTTCCTCGATGCGGGCCTCTTGCCCTTGCTGCTCCTGGTCCTGTGGCTGGATCGGTCGTCCACCCTGTTCAGGTTCATCGCGAACTCGTCGTCCAGCGGGATCGCGTCCTCCTCCCCTTCGCCGTCGCTGGGGAACAGGTCCCCCCTGGACCTGTACGAGTCTGACGTGTCGCCGGAGCCTGCCGTCCCACTCCGTTTTCTCATCCGCGCCGTGACTGCGGGGTGTGTGTCCCCTTCGTCTTCGGAACCACCAAGCAATGGCTGGTTCTCGTCCGGATGTGCTGCCGCACCGGGGTGGTCCTGCAGGAACGCCGCGCTGGGCTTATACCGTAATGTGCCCCCAATCTTCCACGGGAGCCTCCCCAAGAACCCGAGGGGTGCAGTGCTAGGAATGATGGTCGGGTCCTCCTCCTCGTTGGTCTTCCTCCGGCCGCCCCTCGTCCCGTAGCTCATCCCCCTCTTGCGCCGCGGCTGGTCGACCACCTCCGGCGCGAGGCTTCCCTTCCTGGAGCCCGCGCCGGAGCCGCCAATCAGCCTGTCCCAGTCGTCGCCCCTTGAGCTCCCGCCGCCGGCGCCCCAGCCGCCCAGGATCCCCCCGCCAGCGTGGCCGCCCCCGGTGGCCAGCGCCTCGTCGTCGTCGTCCCAGTCGTCGTAGAAGTCAAACGTGTACTCTGCCCTGGCGTCATAGTGCCCTCGCGCCCGTGCGCGTCGCGCTCGGTCCTCGCGGTCGCCGAAGCAGGGCGCGGTGCACGACTCGAGCGATTCGGCGACGGCGCCGAGGCACGGGTTGATATAGCGGTGCTGGAAGGTCCAGATACCCTCGGCAGCGGACTCGGTGACGGTCTCGGCGTTGTGGGAGATCTGGTTCCAGCGCTGGCGGAGGCGGGGGTCCTCGAGGAAGGCCATGGTGGCTCGGCTCGGCGGTTCGGGCTGCAGCTGCAGCTTAGGTCGGGGTCGTGGAGAAGGAGGATGCGTTTGTACTGGGTGGAGGCTGGCTGCTCGTCGCAGCGGAGTCGCGTGGGTTCTGTCAGCTCGCAGGACTGGGCTGGCGACGTCCGTAAACCGCTTGAGAGTGAGTGAGGAGGGGAGAGGCTGCCCCGTGGGATTGTGCGTGTGCGTGTGACTGTCACGACAGCCGGGTCGGAGGGCGAGCCCGAGCCTTGGAAATTATGTCGGGCGCTGAGTCGCAAAATGATGGGAGTGTTGAGACTTGAGAGTCAATACTGCAGGTAGCAAGGATTGAAACGGCCCAGCCCGCCCGACCGTGTGATTGACGATGACGTATTGTGTTAGCGTCGAAACGGGACGGTCACTGCTCGGCGCTAGGAGCGAAGAAGAGCAGTCGGGACTCGGAACATGGATACTCGGGACATAGGCCTAATAGAACAACAAATAATGAACAATGAGGAGGACGGAGGTTGACGAGAAAACTGGGAGTCGAGACGGAACGGAGTAGATACACGTCCAATTGTTTCAGTCTCACCACACTCGGGGCTCAGGGACGCGGGCTGGCGGCTGCCCTGGCTGCTCACTCATTCATCCCACCTGCCTAGGCACTTTGGGGCTGGGATGACAGGCATCCTTATGCAGGGCCCAACCCGTGGTGCCACATGCGAGCTCCTCACGGCGGGGAAGCACCTCGTCTGCGTCCCCAGGTGGTACTGCTGTGGACCTCTCTCCCTCAGCAGCCACCTGCCTGTGGTGCATTGCACGTACAAGCGAACCAACAGCTGAAGAGTGAGCGAGGCTGATAACATCGGCGGTAAATTGGAACCCTGCAACCCCTCACTTATCTCACACTCGGGTCACCGTGCTGCTATTCCCGAGTCATTCAGATCTTGGGCGGGCTGCCGAGCGCGGTTGGGATCGACGTTGTTCAAGAATGGGCTGCGCAATCGGCAGGTCGGGCGCGAGACAATACAGGCACGAGGAGGCGCCGCAAAACCAACTCTAGATACATACTTCACCGTTCGTGGCCGAGCTGAGCCGCCTCCATACTGGTCCGGTAGTCGCCGTGAGGATGCCAAGGTGAACGCAAACAGGAGGACTCTTGTCAGCGCTGTTGCCAACCGCTGGTGTCTCATACGACTTTCTATACTACAACGCCCAGGGCTTGCCCAGATGACCTTATAGCTGTCCAATGCAACTTGAGGAGCCGGCAGATGTCAACTTCTGAAGGGCCTGATGGACCCGATTCCTGTACGAGTACATTGTAATAACCTGACGTCTAGAAGCACCTGCTTGTAGGGATGATGTTTAGGTGGGCCACTTGGCCCATCATGAGGGACCGGCAAGCAGGACTCACAAATACAACACGAACCACCGGGCTGCGTCAAACGAGGTGGTCGCTCCAGCTCTGCACAGAGGACAGGGGCCATTCCGTCCGGGGAGGCGCGGGCTCAGCGCCGTCCGTGGCGCAGCCGGAGGAAGGAAGACCGGAAGGGAATCGGGAAACAGCACAGCGAGGCGGAATAATGCTCCTCCTAGTGATTACTTCCGTTAGTCGTCGCCGGAGGAGGAGGGCGCTCGGGACCGAATGGTTGAGGCTGGTGCTGCGACTCAGTCGGTTTGGGCGGTCCTTCGTCCTCGGTCTCCTCGTCATCCTCTTCGTAGTCCTCCTCGCCCTCTTCACTGACCTCGTCGCCTTCCTCGTACTCCTCGTCGTCCTCGTACTCGCTCTCCTCCCCGTCCACCTCGCCCTCGCCCTCCGCGTAGCAGCTCTCCACGGTGCCCTGCATGCCCTGCGGTATGCCCCTGCCCTGCTGTTGCATCTGCGTGATGATGCTCTTGAGCTTCTCGTTGTTCTTCTTTTGGTCCTCGATGTCTTTCATGTGCTTGTTCCGCTCGTCTGCCATCTTGAAGATGTTCTGGTTCATCTTCTCGTGTTTCCGCTTCAGGTTCTCGTTCTCCTTCTCGAGGCGTTTCGTCTTCTTAGACATGTCCTCCATCTCCTTCCGGAACGTCAGGAAGAGGTCGTTGCTGTTGTTCAGCGTGTCCTCCACCTGCTTGAACTTGTCGACGTACACGTTGAGCTGGTTTCTCAGTTCTGCCTCGGTTTTGGAGAAGGTTTGCACCTGCGCGTTGAGCTGCCGGGCCCTCGCTGCCTCCGCCTCCGCGTTCTTCTTCTCCTTGTCGTATTTTGACAGGTTGAACTGTAACTCGAGCTCCTTGGTCCGCATGAGCGAGTGGAAGTGCAGCTCCCGCAGCTCATACTGGTCGATGAGACTCTTGAACCGGGACTTAAACCTGCGAAATATGAGACACGGTCCAAAACCGCCAGGACGGGACACACGCACAGCTCTTCCAGGTCCATATCCACCACTTGCTTCCGCGGGTTGTCCTTCTCCTCTTGGTAGTCGTCCAGCGTCTGTAACAGGGCGCTGTACTTCTCGTCCCAAGCCGTCTCGTTACGCCGTTGAGTATCGGACAGTGTCTTGTTCTCGTTCTGGACGGGGTGTCAGCCAAGCCCTCGACGAGCTGTACGCAGAAGCAATTATGCAGCAGTAGATACCTTGAGCTTGTTATTCTCTTTTTGAAGTTCTCGGCAGAGCTTCTCCAGCTTCTCTCGGAGTCCAGTGTTCTTGGTGAGCTCGTTCCTGGCGTGGTCCTTCTCTTTTTGGAGCTGGTCCGCGCGCTTCTTGTTCTTGATGCTCTCCCGCTCATGACGCTTCATTTCGGACAGTAGATCGTAGCACCGTTTCTGAAGATGGTCGATTTTCTGGATGTCGTTCATTTTTGACGTCTGGGCCACAAGCTCACGATTCGCCTTGCGCACCTCCCGCTCTGTATCGGCAGTACGTTAGCAAGACCGTCCCTGAATGGCACAACTGGGTCCATGGCTACTGGACTGGTTCTTTTCGCACCATGCGCCCGGCGCCGATCCCTCTACCTCATGGGATGGATGGTGATGCTTCAATCTCAAAAGGCAGGTTCGGACGGCCAGGCTGACACCAGACGCCATTTGAACTGCTTCCCCCACCATGGCCCGCGTGCCTCAAGCTGCCTCTCAGGTCCACCTATTTCAAGCCCTCGTGACGCCGTAGGCGGGGAGAATAACACGCACCGATCTCAGCCTCTTGGTCCTTCTCGCCTGCAGCATCGTGTTCGAGTTGCGATATGCGCTGTGCTACGAGTTTGGAGGCTTCATTCGAGTCCAAGGCCTTCTTCGCCTTGCGGTCTTTCTTGCTGGGCGTGCCGGCAGCAGGGGGCGCAGGGGGTGGTCCGCGGGGGTCATTGTGGACGTGGTTTCCGTTAACAGCGGGAGCCTCATCGTGGGCATGGCCGATCGGGACATTCGCTCGAGGTGCGAGGGGCGCAGTGGATGTCATTGTGCAGAGGTCAGAGGGGTCCCAGGATGTCGGGGGCCCTTCGGCACTACAGCAATGTCGGGACCGAGCTGTGTTGTTCCAGTGGAATGCTCAGTGTGTCATTGGCAGGCAGTGTCGGCCCACGGGGTGGCTTCCCAGTGCAGTTCGGTCTGATTGTGGTGCTTCTCGTCGTTGTCATGTGTGTTGATTTTTTCGGGTTGTAAATTGAGGTTGAGGTTGGTCAGCGGCGATGGGGTCGCGGAGCAGAGACTAGCGACGGGGCACGGACTGGGTGCTTGGTGCAGTGCGGTGCAAGTGCAAGTGCGGTGGAAGACCAGGTACAGCACAGCACACACCTCACCTGGGCAGCACGGCACAGGTGCCCCATACCTGGCTGGGGACCTAGCTGCCTATGATCGAATTCTCTACGTCAACAGGGGGTGAGCTGGCTGGCTGGCAGGGGCAATCCCGCGGTCTACAGCAGATACATTGACTGCCCTTTGCCCCTCCCTGGCCGGCTGGTTTGAGATTTATTTGGATCTTCTGCTTTCTTTAGAAGACAGCCATCTGGTCAATGGAGAAGCGAGACAAGGCCAAGGCGCTTCAAGAGGTGTTCCTTTGATCATGTACTTGCGGTACGGCACTATCACCTTTCATCTGCAGCATGCACGCGAAATGAGTCACCAGATATTTTCCCTGTGCTATTATTGTCAATAATAGCACAGAGTACACAGCAGAGCAAATGCAACATGATCCTGTTGAACCCTCCGAAACTTAACCTGGCTGTTTGGGTGGCTGATTGTGAAGCCCGTGTGAGCGAGTGCCCATCGCACCAGCCAGGCACAGCACCGCTGCTTCGGAGCCCGTTGGGCCCGTAGCCTGCTTCCGTACCGTAACGTAACGTAACGCACCCGTCCCGAATTGGCGGAAGAACCGGCTTCGATTGCCACACAGCTGCCCAAAGGGGTTCTTGATCACAACTCCGCCGTGATTTGCAGGGGTTCTGTTAGTGGCCCGGGCTCAGAATGCCACACGTCACCAGGTCCTAGCCACCTAGCCGCGCGCGCCTGGTTACCTGGGTACCTATTCTGACTGCCTGCAGGCTCAAAATTTCCAAGCGCCACCGCGTCACGTTATGTCGAACGGTTTCTCGTGAAGACCCTCCAGCCTTCAACCCCCACCGCGCGCAACGGAGGGACAATATCGTCGCATCTTGGCCTGTCCATCGCCAGTAGTCGGCGGATCTCACGACTTCACGGCGAGATGCAGAGGACAAGAGCCTTGCGCCATGCCGCTGTCAACGGAGCCAAGAGGGCCGTGACGGAGCTTTCAAACTACCCCAGGGCAGGCGAGAAGCTTCACGGCTTCACGCTGCTGCGCTCCAAGCATGTGCCTGAGCTCGAGCTCACGGCCCTGCATCTGCAACACGACAAGACTGGTGCTGAGCATCTCCACATAGCCCGAGATGACAGCAACAATGTCTTTTCCATCGGCTTCAAGACCAACCCTCCAGATGATACCGGCGTGCCTCATATCCTGGAGCACACCACTCTGTGTGGCAGTGAGAAGTGAGCATGAGAACAGCTTTGGTAACTGGCCATGTGTGGGACAGCAAGCTTACAATGTCTCAGGTACCCTATCCGAGATCCATTCTTCAAGATGTTGCCACGCACTCTGTCCAACTTCATGAACGCCTTCACTGCATCGGACCACACCTTTTACCCCTTCGCCACCACCAACGCCCAGGACTTCCAAAACCTGATGGGCGTCTATCTTGACGCGACCCTTCACCCATTGCTCAAGCAGACAGACTTCACGCAGGAGGGATGGAGGATAGGCCCGGAGAATCCCCAGGCCATCGCCAGTGGCCAGGACGCCAAACCCGAGGATCGGAAACTGGTCTTCAAGGGCGTTGTCTACAACGAGATGAAAGGGCAAATGTCCGATGCTGGCTACTTGTACTATATCAGGTTCCAGGACCACATCTTTCCGGACATCAACAACTCGGGCGGTGACCCTCAGAAGATAACCGACCTGACCTATCAGCAACTAAAGCAGTTCCACGACGAACATTATCACCCGAGCAACGCCAAATTATTCACCTATGGCGACATGCCGCTCGGCGACCACCTGAAGGAGATCGATGCCCAGCTCAGTGCTTTTGAGAGGATACAAGGAGATCTGAAGATCCACCGTCCTATTGACCTCAGCCAGGGGCCCCAGGACATCACGGTCCAAGGCCCAGTCGATCCATTAATGGACGCGAACAGACAATTCAAGACCTCAGTCTCATGGGTGCTAGGTGAAACCACAGACGTTGTGGAGTCGTTCTCGCTATCTCTTCTCTCTGCGTTGCTCATGGATGGGTATGGATCACCCCTCTACAAGGCCATGATCGAATCAGGGCTGGGCCTCGACTGGTCACCGAATACCGGCTACGATAGCTCCAACTCTCGCGGCATATTTTCAGTCGGTTTGAGCGGCGTACAAGAAGCAGACGTCCCGGCGGTCAAGACAGCGCTCCAAAAGACGCTGCGCGAGATGCGCGACAAGGGTTTCGAGAGGTCAAAAATCGACGGCTATCTACACCAGCTTGAACTTGGGCTCAAGCACAAGACAGCCAAATTCGGCATGTCAATGCTGCACAGGTTGAAGCCGGGCTGGTTCAATGGCATCGATCCGTTCGACTCTCTTGCCTGGAACGACACCCTCGCAGCATTCGAGGCAGAGCTGGCCAAGGGTGGCTATCTGGAAGGTCTGATGGACAAGTACCTCTTGAATGACAACACCCTGACGTTCACGATGACGCCTTCGCCTGATTTTGGGCAAGACCTGGCCAGAGAGGAGGCCGATAGGCTTGCCACCAAGATTGAAGCTGTGACGAAGCAAGCCGGCGGCGAGGAGGCTGCCCAGAAACAGCTCGAAGAGAAGGAGATCCAACTACTCGAAGAGCAAAACAAGACCAATACGGAGGACCTCAGTTGCTTGCCAAGTGTCCACGTCCAAGACATCCCGAGGCGGAAGACCGGTCCAATTTTGAGGGATGATGCCGTCAATGGTGTCAAGACTCAATGGTACGAGGCCCCGACCAATGGACTGACATACTTCCGTCTGGTGACAGCCTTGGATAATCTGCCGGATGATCTAAGGCTGCTGGTTCCCTTGTTCACCAGTTCAATCATGCGCCTGGGGACAAAGGACACATCTATGGAGCAGCTGGAGGACCTGATGAAGCTCAAGACTGGAGGTGTCTCTGTCAACTATCATTCTGCCCCGTCAGCGACCGATTTTACTCGCGCCACCGAGGGCTTCGGCTTCACAGGCATGGCGCTAGATCGCAACGTGCCTCACGTCTTCGACATACTCCACAAACTAGTCGTCGAAACCAATTTCGACAGTGCCGAAGCTGTACAGCAAATCCGGCAACTTATCCAGGCATCGGCCGATGGCGTCGTTAACGACATTGCATCGTCTGGTCACTCGTATGCACGTCGTGCTGCCGAGGCCGGGTTGACCAACCACGCATATCTCTCCGAGCAGATTGGTGGCTTGTCGCAGGTTAGGCTGATGACCTCGCTCGCGAGCAGACCAGAGTCAGATCAGTTGGAAGACATCATTGCGAAGCTCAAGCAAATCCAGCAGCTGGCGATGACGGGCGGTAACATCCGCGCAGCGATCACGTGTGGGAGCGAGTCTGTCAAGGCTAACACGGCTGCCTTCTCGAACTTCCTCAAATCCTTCTCTGGTCCGGCCAACCTCCCGGCACAAGCACCAAGGAAGTTCGAACGCAACATCAAGACATTCTACCCGCTACCCTATCAGGTTTACTATGGTGCCCTAGCTGTCCCCACGGTCTCATACACGTCCGCCGATGGAGCGCCGCTCCAGATCCTGTCGCAACTTCTCACACACAAGCATCTTCACCACGAGATCCGGGAGAAGGGAGGCGCGTACGGTGGCGGTGCATACCACCGGTCAATGGAGGGTCTTTTCGGTTTCTACTCGTACCGCGACCCCAATCCAGTCAACACGTTAGGCATCATGCGTAACGCCGGTCGCTGGGCGGTTGACAAGAAGTGGAGTGACCGCGATCTGGAAGATGCCAAGATCAGCGTTTTCCAGTCTGTCGACGCGCCGGTGTCAGTGAACGAGGAGGGCATGGGCCGCTTCCTCTACGGCGTGGACGAAGAGATGAAGCAGCGGAAGAGGGAGCAGCTGCTTGATGTCACCAAGGAGCAAGTTCGCGATGTTGCGCAGAAGTACGTCGTGGAGGCGCTCGACAAACAGGCCGAGAGGGCAGTCTTCTTGGGCGAGAAGCAAGCCTGGGTCGACGGTGAGTGGAAAGTCGAGAACATGAATGTCAATGGCGGGGAGACTTCCTCGTAAATACTGCAACGATAAGAGACGGTCGTATGTACAACACGATTGACTTCTGGGCTGCCTTCGAGAAAAAGCGTTGGCTACCAGGTGTATAACATGCATATATACAACATATGACCAAGATATAGAAATGATACCCTTCTCTCAACACCAGCCGCTGCTGCTGTCAGCGCAACCAGGGCCGGATGGGTCCATCAATCATCATCAAGACAGGGGGTGGAAAGCCTAAGCACAGCGTTCAGATACGATACGTCTTCTTGCCTTTGTTACCATGGCACTGAGACCACAACAAGACGCGAGATCAAACCCACATCACGAGGAACGGAGCCGCGGTCATGCGGCTGGTTCTGTCCCTCGTGCGCTCGTTTATCAGACCCGTCTTCCTCAGCTTACTGGATGTGCGGACTATTCAACAGAGTACATGTGCGTGGTGGACACCTTCCTGATCTGAGTGGGATGCAACACGTGAATTTGTCAACCGCGGAATTGAGAGGTGCAGAAACCCTGGACTGGGTGGACTCATCGATCTCGACATGTATGACCACGCTACCCCTTGCGAAGCCCAAGCGAAGCGAAGGGATGGGTAGGTTAAATTCGGTGGCCGAAGCCGGACTTGGTTTTGAAGATGAGCCTTTCTTGTTATGCTGGACGGTCTCTCCGCCGGCAGTATTTGAAATACACCCTTGCAGGTGCTATTTGAAATATCAACCACATGCAGGGCATCGACAGATGTGCGCCCGTTTTAATCTGCTGCATAACATAACCTTCCTTGTTGATGAGTGGTGACTCCGACAGACGGACGGACCACTTGGATCGAAACAAGGGACCAATTGACCTACGTAATGTGGGGGTGGGGTATTGGGGGGGGGAGGTGGGATGATTCTGGCCGTCAATGTCCTCGTCTCTACAGCTCTGCAAAATACTTTCCCAAAAGAATGAGTCAACCTTAGCTTCACACCCCAACAATTGGCAAGTATATACAGCCAAAGCCGCACCCGAGGTTCCTGCCACTGCCCTGTTACTGTCCTGTGGCCGTGACATTCTTCGACCGTGCCAATTGATCTCTGCCCCGCCCCCAACAATGCCTACCCGCGACGAGATCACCTACTTCGGCGCCGGCCCCGCGCTGCTGCCCACAGACGTGCTTGAGCAGGCCTCAAAGGCGCTGCTCGACTACAATGGCACCGGCCTGGGCATAGCAGAGCACTCGCACCGCTCTGCGCTGGCCACCGACATCATCGACAACGCCAAGGCCGACCTGGCTACCTACCTCGACCTGCCCGATGACTACGAGGTCCTCTTCATGCAGGGAGGCGGCAGCGGCGAGGTAAGCTCGCCGTACCAGTACCACACCTGTTTGTTGCTTTTGCGCGGGTGACTGATCGCATCTTGCCACACAGTTCTCCGCCACCGTCTACAACATGGTCGGCGCCTGGGTCTCGCGCAAGAAGGCCGAGCTGCTGAAGTCCAACCACCTGGCCGAGGGCGACGCCGCGCCCGAGCTGCTGGAGAAGGAGCTGGCCAAGGCCGTCCAGGACCTCAAGCTCGACTACATCGTCACGGGGAGCTGGTCGCTCAAGGCCTACCAGGAGGCCCAGAGGCTGCTGGGGCCGGAGCACGTCAACCTGGTCTGCGACGCCAGGACCGCCAACGACGGCAAGTTCGGCAAGGTCCCGGACCAGAGCACGTGGAAGCTGTCGCCCGACGCCGCCATGGTGTACTACTGCGACAACGAGACCGTCGACGGCGTCGAGATGCCCAACTTCCCCGAGATCCTGGCCCCCAAGCCCGACGGCACCGGCCCCATCGTCGTGGCTGACATGTCCTCCAACATCCTGTCGCGGAGGTTCCCCGCCAAGAACTTCTCGGTCATCTTCTTCGGCGCGCAGAAGAACCTTGGCTCGACCGGTATCACCGTCGCCATTATCAAGAAGTCCCTCCTTCCTCCCACAACCCCACAGCCGGCACCGGCCCTGCTGCGGAAGCTTGGCCTGCCCATCGGGCCTATTGTGCTTTCCTACGAGACCATTGCCAAGAACAACAGCTTGTACAACACACTGAGCATTTTCGAGTACGTATTCTTGACACCCCTGTGAAGCAGCCCACATACTGATGCTCCTTTAGCGTCTATGTCGCCGGCTCAGTACTTAAGAAGCTGCTTGCCACGTTCCCTGACAAGGTCGACGGGCAAGAGGCCGTTGCCAACAAGAAGGCTGCGCTCATCTACGGGGCACTCGAGGCCCACCCAGAGGCATACAAGATTGTGCCTGACAAGAGTGCCCGCTCAAGGATGAACATCTGCTTCCGCGTCACCAAGGTAAGCTTAACACGCCCCCCCCCCCTTCCCCCGAGCAAAACCCCCGGGACTTCAGCGCCCTGATTCTAATTTTGTAATGGTAGGGTGGCAACATCGACGACGCCGAGAAGGCCTTCCTCAAGCAGTCCACCGACCTGGGCCTCACCGGCCTCAAGGGTCACAGGTCTGTGGGTGGTATCCGGGCCAGCAACTACAACTCGGTTCCCCTGGAGGGTGCCCAGAAGCTGGCTACCTTTATCGAGAAGTTTGCCACTTCGTAGGCTGGCCTACAGCTTCTCGGCTGCTTACGGTGCGGGGTGCTTGAAAAAAAAAAAAAAGAGTGAGGTTGCATCTCATCAGGCGTTGTGGCAGGGCAAAACTGTGTAAGGGGGTCATCAATGTACATACAAATGGGAGGATCCCAACACGGATAGGATTTTTATACCACATACGTTTCAACACGTCGCATATTGGCTGGTACAGGTCAGATCGTTGTACATGTAGTACCGAAATCAAAGTGGAATTAGTACGTGCGTGTGACGAGGCCCAGTCCCAAGACGACAATTCCAAAGTGTTGTACAATTTGCAAACAACGTTGTATGAGAGACTGTCTAGTACATGAGGATTGATGCTATAGGAACTATTTAATATGTTGTATCAGTCGACAAAGCGCCGTTTGTACAGAGCTCATTCAAAGGGCAATTCGCAACCGAGGCCCAACACTGCGGGCCACAACACGTGTGTCGATGACCAATGGCCATAAAAGGCACTTATACTCCCACCGAACGATTGGGAACCAGCTTAGAAGCACCGAAGCTGTAATGTTGACATGCTCTGAGCGGCGGCCGTCTCGTGTGCGCGCAGTGTTACAGAAACCCCCATCGCTTTTAACGTTTCACCATGCCCGACCCTATCAAAGTTTCCTTCCAGCACCAACCTAACGCGAACGCAGATCCAGGGCCTAGACAAGCGAGCACTAATGGAAATAGGGCAACCGGGAGAATTATGCTGTACTTTCCTTCGATTCCTGCAGCCCAGAGGTCCAGAAACGAATACAAAAGCCAGATGAAACAGCTCGCGAAGCCGGACAGTTCATCAAGCTGAAGAGCCCACCGGGTGTGCGGGATGAAATCAGAATGCCCACCTCGGTCGGGTACAAAGATATCCGAGATGGGATAAGGGGCACAAAATCTCGTATAAAGCCACACGCCCGTGGAGACCGAGCCCAACACAGCCAGCAACTTCGCAGGAGAGACGCCGCTGTTGCGAGTGGTCTTGGCCGACGCGAACAGCGACAAGAGCAGCGACATGACCGAGTTGAGCACCCCCACCTCCAAGTGCGCCATCTGCCACGCCCAGGTCCAGTAGTGACGGGCCTCGGGAGTCGGGGCACAGAACGCGGCAAACACCTCCGCGGTGTGGAGGAGCAGCATGAGCGGGAGCAAGAATGAGATGCCCCCGGTGCTCAGCTGGCGGCCGCGGCCCGAGCGGGCGAGCTCTGACGGCGAGGGGCTGGCGACGAGCACGAGGAAGTAAAAGACCGGGGCGGCGGAGCCGATGCCCAGCAGCTGGCCGGCAAATATAAATATAGTCGGGCTGGCCCGTGAGGCGCGTGTGTCAGCGGCGAGCAAGTCTCTCTCTCTCTCTCTGATGGGCATCTTGTGGTCTACTCACAAGTACGCCAGCGTGAAGCGGTTCCCAACGCGGCAGGATTCAAGAAACCAGACGGCATATACGGGGCCCAGATCGTGCAGGAAGGAAAACACCTGCCAGGAGCTTATGCTGTCGTATCCGAGCGTGGAGGGTGAGAAAGTGACCGTCGCCCCGCGCCAGATGTTGTCCAGAAACTCGAAATGATAGAAGCGCTTCAGGATTGTGATGGAATTGTCACTGAACTCGATCTTTCCGGACTCGAGGGACGGCTGCTGATGGGCCACAAGCTTTTCTGGGTCCATGGCCAGGAGGCACAGTGCTGCGAGGCCTAGCAGTGGCAGCCCTAGCAAGAAGCGCATGGTCTTCGATAGTCCTGGTGCCATGCTTTATGGGTTTCTCACTGCGGTACAAACAAGAGGGTTTAGAGAGGCAGAGATTTAAAACCAAGTTTAACTGAGTTCAGTTCGAAGTATAAGGTAAACTTGAAATCCTGCTCAGATTTTATATTGTGTGATGTGCTACTATTATATGGTTATTTGTGTAAAAGTGATGCCTGCATGTGGGCAACCCCAACATCCCAAATAAATACAGGATTCTGACATGTCAACATTGTAACAGAACCTTGGTACCAAATGACAGCCTATACTGTGCCGTATGAGCCAAGCCTCTCAGGCAACAATCCTGTAGCCTTCTGCAAGCTTGCCGTGGTGTTACGAATGATTGCGTGTTCAAGCTCGATCTTATTTCTACTGCCTAGAGTATTCATGTAATCAATTCGCCGTTATCATACTTCACACATTCCACTAAGAACTTCAGATTCCTCGCCCACAGCCTTCTTCAATACAACCACTAACTCGTCTATTGTCCCGAGCAGCGACATAAAAGAAGTCAAGGAGCTGGCCCAGAGTCGACTTTCGTCACCAGTCAGAATCTCCTTGATTGTCGACCCCCCTGATTCTTCCGGAGCGGTATCGTGTTCCTTGGATGTTGCGGCCCTTTTCTGAAATGCCTTCCCCAGCAGTGGGGTTGGGAGGATTGCAGGTAAAGGATTCCCAGAGATCAAGGCCCCCTGAATAAGTGAAAGTACTGCCATCAAGTCCGAGACGAAGCTTTCGTGGTTCGCACAGGTTAACATCATAAATCTCGATCGTAAATGTGGTGATAGGCGCCTCGTTTGAAGAACAAGTTGAGTAATATGAGTGTTCAAATTATTGCAGAGGGTGCAGACCGCCGACATAGTATTCGAGTCGATATTGCTGGTGGAAAACTCAAACTTGAGGGCCTCAATCGAAGGAAGAGAAGCCTCGAGGGTGTTTTGTGATGACAAGAATTCTGCTTGCATGACCTGTACCAAGTCGGCCGGGGCGACTTGCCAAGTAGACAGGTGAAGAGCGTATCGCTCTTTAACAGTAGCAATTTGCCGTGACAGAAGTCTTCTGTAATGTCGACTCCCTGACGGCGGTCGAGGGAAGAACAGAACAATGGTTGCCGCTCCGAACCCGACCAGGACAAGCAGCAGCCGCCTCCAGAAAACGGTATATCCAACACCCGGATCGCCATATGATGGGCTGTGAGTATCCATCCAGCTGTAGCTGACGACCAGGTACATTGTCGCAGCCATCATAATCGGAGCCTGCATCTGGTCGGCAGGCGCAAATAGGCGCCACCACATAAGAACAACTATGGCGACGCCTGTCACCGCTGCCAGACCGTACGGATTACCAGGCCCGGACCCAGCACCAATGTACCAACACACGAGGCCGATCACGCCGCCGCCCACCGTTCCTGCTACTCTGATGAGGAGCCCGGACACGAAATCCGAAGTGTACGGAACGAGGACCATTTGTGCCATGATGAGCGCCCAGAAGCCTTTCTCCCGGTAGTAAAACCCAGCGGAGCTTTTAAGGACGCCCGGTATCGCGAGCGCAATCGTGACTACCAGTGTGCGTAGAGCATGGACTCCCTCATCGTTCGTGAGCCATTTGAGGACAGCCAACAGCGCAGTGCTGGCCCTAGTCCGTCGACGGGCCCGAGAAGATCGTATATTCTCGAGTTGCGCCTGTGCACTCAGGGTAGGCTGGGTTCCGGAGGCTCCCTGCCCAGATCCATTGAATGCCGTCGGTCCGTATTCATCCCGGTCTGACTCTGGAGTCGTAAGCCCATCCGGGGTTTGGGGTTCCTTCTGGGCTGTTGGAGCCGCTTCCTCCTTGGCTAAAGCCCACCCGAGAAGCTTGTCAAGGCCACGCGGCACCCATACGCGCTTCTGGTGGCGTTCTTTGTCGATCTGGGCTAACTTCATGAGTAGCTTTGAAAGCGCGTCCTTAACGCTGAGAATCCGTTCCTGATAAAGGAGACCCAGCAGAAACGGAACAAGGAGGCGCGCCTCGCCGGCGTTCTTCAAGCCCCCGGATTGGTTGAACAGATGAGAATGAGACTCGAGCATGAGACTAACTGATTCAGTTTTGAACACCTCACCTTGTTCCTGTACAGCGGAGATATTCTGTTCAATCATCTGGGCAGAGTGCGTTACTCTGGTCCCTGATGCGTGGCTCATTCCTTCAGTGATGGTCTGGATGGCATTCGAAAACACCTCGAGAAGAGGGTTTGCACACTTTGAAAGGACTTTGTACATGGCTATATGTAGTTCTGCTGTCTCAGGGCGTCTGGAAGCATTTTGCATCGAGAGGGCTTTGACTAGTTGGCGATGAGCAACGGGCAACCGAGACGCGAGCTCTGTCTTATCGTTGAGTATGAGAAATTCGTCCAGGAGCTCTGCTTTCTTCTCTCTAGACCTTGAGATGCTCAATTGGAGCTGTACTAACTCGCAAAAGGCCATAGCGAATTCTTGATTGTGGGAGTAAAGGGTTCCAACATCATCAGGACTCCACCGTCCGTAGGAAAAGTCCAGGGGAAGAAAAGCCACAGAAGGACCCACGGCTTTGAACGTCGCCATCGTCTGAGTTTTGAGCCGCTCCAGCCGCTTTGTATCAAATTCGCAACTGGGATCCGAAAAGTGCTGGCTTATTGCACCGAAGAATCCAGGGATCGGGGCTAAAATGCCACACATAGAATCCAGAACCAGTGAGGTCGTCGATTGTGGGAATATCAGGACGTTACATAGTAGTCCAACTGCCACGCCTATGACAGTGGGCAGTATGAGAACTTTCGGAATTGTGCCTTGAAATTTCGGTATTAAAGGGGCGTTTGCAAAGTATATGTCCGCAATTATCAATGCGAACATGCTAACCAGTGTCAGCTTTGGAGCTGCGATTCGTACTCGTGACTATTTTCCCGTTAGCAAAACCAACCCGGAAGGACGCGGAACAACTGGAGGCTGGCTCACCATGAGGTAAATAAATAAGCCACACATGCAGAAGTAACATAGTGTGACTCTCGTGTCGAGTAAGAATCCTTCGTAGATTGCGACTTGCGAAGCTGGTGTGGGCCCGGACGCCTGAATGCTTCCTTGCGAGATAGCTTGTTGGAGCTTAGAAAATTGAGCTTCGAGGTCTTCGTCTGGTCTTGACGCCAATGCTGCTTTCATCGTGATGATGCCCCATACCCAGCCCAAGGCAATCCCGACGCAAATGGAGAAACCCATCATCACCTGGAGCGCCACAACACCAGACGGCGGAGCAATGAATTGGACAATGCTGCCTTTGTGTTACTAAATCTCCCTGCAGCCTCCTGGCCTGACTCGATGATTTCCACATGTGGTAAACTTACCCAGCAAAAAAGGCCGCTTGACCTATCACATCGAGCGTCGGTTTAATGAAGATGAAGAGAGTCGTGATCCAGACAGCTAGCGATGTCTTGAAGAGGATCTTTAGGTCCTTCATGTTGAAATGATCGAGCCATGGCGGAATCCGGCTTTGCGTCTTGCTTGTTCCATTGACGAATAACTCGCCGCTTACTGCATCATGGACAGGTGGATTGATTGTTTTGTTTTGTTTCTGCCTATGAGGCTCGCTGGTCCCGTCCTTCGGATCCATTATCACCGCTCAAATCCACTTTGGAATATCCAGATGCTCAGATTTGGGAACCAACGCTGGAAAGAGTATTCTATCAAGTCAGTGAACGCAAAATAAATAAATAAATGCATTTTGGTCCAAACCAGCGACCCAATAACGAGGCAACTGAGTCTATGGTATTCTCAGCCTTCAGGGGTCCACGAAGGCACAAAGTTCAGCGCTAATAAACAAGCGGCCTTTCGTTGTGCACGGAAGAGGTTGCCGAGACAGAATTATGCGAAGCCTCTCGGTATCGTATTATCTCGTTTACATGACCGAACCATACCGTGGATATTCGGCGAATAGGATCTCGTAGTCGCTGCTCAGCAAACTTGAAAAATGGAATAGTGTGCCTCAATTGCTACAGCTGCTTAGTTAGTAAAACTCAGTACCTACTCAAGTAGGTATGCCCGCTATTTTTACTTGTATGAATCTCTGTAATTTATTTCATACATTCTTCTATGACGTGGAAGGTCTCTCATTCGAAAGTGGCAAAACCTAGGTTATAATAGTTTTTACATTTTACTTGATTCTATATATGGTCTTAGTACTTGAAGACGTACTAGTATGTATCGAAGCAGGAGCCAGGAAGATACATGATCAGCTCTCAGCTCACCCTGACCTCCCACCCTTGCTTCACGGAGATGGCCCCTTGAAGCACCTGCTCATCCGTAGCCCCGCTGCGGAAACTACTATCCCTGTCACGGCCGCCAGCACGATGGCTCTGTATCCTGACAGAAGTGCCAGCGGCATCAGGTCTCGTTGGTTCAAGCGGCCGTAGCTGGTAGTCAGACGAGTCGTCGTTATCTTCCCCCAGCGCCGTGAAGCCCAATTTGCTCGTGCGCTTCGCCGACCGGGAGCCGTTGGAGATTATTCCTGCCGAGTTCCCCGTTGTGTTGCCAGAGGGCCCTACCCTCGTACCTGTTGAGGAGTAGCGGCCACCGAGCAGGGGCCGCATCACGGGGATGCAGGCGAGGGTGATGGACATGGTCGGCTCGAGGACGGAATAGATACTGGGCACGACGGCGTCGTAGGTAAGATCGGAGTATGACATGCTGGTGATGGCGTGTATGCGAAGGGCGCTGAATATGCATGTCCTGTACGTGGTTTTGTTAGACTCGTCTCGTCCGGCTGTTGTCCTCGGCGGTGGGGAATGTGGAAAGAGAATCAGGTAGATAGCCTTAGGATTTTAGGAGCTTGAACACTTACACAAAGCCTCCAGCAAAGGTCAATATCAGGATGATCTTTCTATACAGGGCCATTTCGAGCGTGCAGAGATACGGCATGGGCAGCAGCAAGACAAGAATATCCAAGGTGACGTTGAAGGCTCCGGTGATTTTGAACGAGAGGATCTGGTCGCCGCAATGACCCCCTGGAATGGTCTGGTCCCAATTATATGCAAAAGGCTGGCACTGTAGCAAGGCGCCCAAGACGGTGGCGAGGCCAAGTAGGAGTATGAGGACTCCAGTGACTCGGGCAGCTGTAATGAAAAATCGCATTGTGAAGACCCGCGTGTAGAGCATGAGTATGGAGACCTTTGGCAGGCAGACTGCCACGGCCCACAGGATCTGGTTGGCGATTGTCATCTGCAAGGGCACTCAGAGTATCAGTAACGGCCATAACAGCCCGACGCCAGTGTACGGCTAGCCATGGGCTGGATTGAACTATACCTTGGTGTATGTAGTCAGGGGAGCAGCGCCATAAGTCCCGACGACGTCCTCCAAATGCATTCCCGCACCGGTAAAGGGCTCTGCCGCAATCAAGCCCGAAAATGCTATGGTGACCACGAGAGCCGCGACTATGACATAGTCACTGGCATCAAATTGTCTGTGTGATACCCGCCGTGCGAGAACCCGTAGACCGACCGCTACCGTAGCGAGGACCGCGAAGGCAACGGGAACAACGATGAGTGCGACCTGCATGCCATTCTCGATTGGTAGTACGGGATCGAAACCCATGATGGCGACGAAATGTGGCCGAGGCCCCAAGAAACACTTCAAAGAAAACCTGGTGAGTGGCAGCTCATAAGGAGGCAAGCAGACAAATCGCACTTGAGCTCAAGGCTCTCCGGGTTGAGGATATACCCTCGCATGGGCCGGCCAGAGTCGTGAAGCTATAACATTTGAATCACCCCCGGGTATAATATTTTTGCTTTTGGGGATTTGGGAGGATTCTGAAGGGCTATGGAGAGATCAGCTAATGGGCGGCTCCAGGATCCACACCCATGCTTGAATCGAGGGGCTGGACATTACTTTTCCGGATTCTTCACCGGTCTCAAACCCGTGGCGATATTGGCACGGCCCCGTCGCGGCCACACGGGAGCTGATCTGTGGAGCCGGGCGCCGGGGACTCCCTCCCGCTCAACTTGAAGTGCAGATATGGGGATATAAACATGCAGGACTTGATGCGCTTTCGAACACATCACATTACCTTCGGCCTTACTGAATAGAAGCGAAACCCGTCACTGCGCATCTCTTCTTCCCCGTTCCTCTTGTTCTTAGCAGGCCAGTCTCCGCATGCAATCGACCTCAGCCCACAAGGTTGAGTCGATGTGGTTGCTGTGACACACATTTACTGTGTAATATTATTGCATGTGTGTCGCTCCAGGATCCGAAGACCCGGGGTTATGGAACCGGGTTCTCGGGCATGCAGCAGAACGCAATGAAGCCGTCTGATTTTTAAAATTATGTAAGCTCAACAGACTCATTAGTCATGTATCATGCCACTGTATGTATTGCTCGAACTAGTTTGGGGATTAATCCGGGAGCTGTCATTTCTCGATTCTCAACCAACAGTTAAACAAATAAATCACATTAGAATCTGCAGCGCTGTGGAGTCCCATCTTGCAGAGCCAATGGCCTTGTAGATAATTGGAAGACTCCATAGACTTAGTGAACCAGCCAACCAGTCAACATGACCCTTGCATAAGTGATGCCACAATTATGGAGGCCGGGGCTCATGAAAACTGGTCCCTGGACGACTGGGGGACGTTTGAAGCCTGCCACATAGGGAAGGTCGGCTGCGAATACCTTGAAAAGGTACCGGCGACGACCTCGCTCCATCCGTGACCTGGGCTTGGCTCGCTGCGCTTTACTCACTCCGTTGTATTCGTTACCATACGTGCATTTCTCAAATGCTTGGCTTTTGAAGATGGCAGCCATGATGGACAATAATACGATCTCCGGCGCAAGCTTGGCCATTGGCTCGGTGGTCCTACTCATCACCATAATCATCTACCGTCGATACTTCTCTCCACTCAGAGACATCCCTGGCCCGTTTTGGGCATCCTTCTCGAGGCTCTGGCACCTGCGGATCACGATCGATGGCAACCAGAACGAGCAGTTGAGCCAGGCACACGAAAAGTACGGGCACTTCGTCCGCCTGGCTAACAATGAGGTGAGCGTGAGCCACCCTGACGCCGTCCGCAGGGTGCTTCTAGCACCCCTGAAGAAAGGCGACATGTACAAGATGAGCACATTTCCGGATTGGCGCTTCGAGAACCCCATGTCTATCACCGACCCGAAGCGTAAGGTAGAGCTGTCGAAGCAGTTCGCCTCAGGCTATACGTTGACGAATGCCCTCAAGTCCGAGGAGGCCATCAACGGTCTTGTGGAGAAGCTGTCCGGATGGATGGACAGCTACGCCGCCTCAGGGCAGGCCATGGAACTGGATCACTACATCACCTATATGACCTTCGACCTGCTTGGGGAGGTCCTCTTCAGCAAGCCGTTCGGGTATCTCGACGCAGGGGCGGACATCGGCGGCAGCATCGCCACCAACGTCAAGCTCATCTCCGTGCACGCACTCGTCTCGCACTTCAGGGGCATCCAGCTGGCAGCTCTCAACCCAGTGACTACCAAGCTGCTTCCGTGGGGCCACCTCTTCAACACAGCCTTCAACGCGCTGGAGGAGCGCCGCGCCAACCCGGACGCGCGCTTCGACGTCGTGGCGCACTGGCTCAAGACCTCAGCCGAGCACCCGGACCGCCTCAATGACAAGGACATCCTTGCCAACACCACGGCCAACGTAGGCGCCGGCTCGGACACCATCTCGTGCGCCTGTCAGAGCTTCTTGTACTACATGGCACGCCACCCGGCGCTATGGGCGAGGGCCCGGGACGAGATCCTGGCGTCCCAGGAGGCCGACGGAAGCTGCAGCTCCAAGGTCATCAGCTACAGCGACGCCATCAACCTGCCCTTCTTCCAAGCCTGCCTCAAGGAATCTCTGAGGATTCACAACCCTGTGCCTATGGGGCTGCCGCGTGTGGCGCCCAAGGGAGGCCTGACCATTGGGGACAAGACGCTTCCCGAGGGCACCACCGTCTCGGTCAGCCCGTGGGTCATTCACCACTCCAAAGAGATTTGGGGCCCGGACGCGGTACGAGTTTCCCCAAATATATGCCATTCATTCGAAGGCGAGTAGACACATGACTGACATTGCCCTGTCCTTCAGCTCGAGTTCAATCCCGACAGATGGCTCGGCCCAGATGCCGCTCACCTCGACAAGTATTGGTGCCCGGTAAGTCTTTGCACTGCTGTTATTCCTGTGTACTTGCCTCAGGAATCTGTGGGCTGATCACAACTGCGATCCTAGTTTGGTGCGGGCTACATGTCTTGTCCAGGCCAGCACTATGCCAAGATGGAGCTGTCCAAAATTCTGTCGACAATCGTCCGTGATTATGACATTCGTCTCGTCGACCCTAGCAAGCCCTGGAAGTTCCGAGCCTATTTCATCATGGCTCCCTACGACTGGCCCGTCTATATTAGCAAGCGATCGTCTGCTTAGATCAATATTGATACTGGCATCAAATATCATGCCATGCACAATGATGTCCCATATATTGGCGTGTCCAGTGACTGCCATTGAATAGAGGTACCTCCTGATGTAAGTGCTCTGAATAATTTGCAAAACTTGATTTACTGCCAGAGATGGAAAGCTGACACTGGCATATCAAAAAAAGTAACTACAGGGTGTCTCAGGGCATGCGGTACTGAACAGATAGCACCTTCGTACAGAAATTAGTGAGATTCAACTGTGTAACGCTGTAGCAGCCACAATCATAACCACTTTTGCTTTCAAACATACATTTTATGTATGGGGATTAGAAACGAAACCACCACCCCCTTTTCCTTCAACCCACTACTGCCCCCTCAACTATCCTGCAAGTCTCCCTAAGTGATCTCCTACACCTTCCTCTACAGCGGGGGTCGAGGCCCCCCCGGGGCTGCCAGCAGAGATTATGTCCGGACGGCCGTGTCGTAATTTTGGTCAACCACCCACTCCACCCCCGTCGAGACCTTGAGGTAGCAGGTCAGCTGCGAGGGGCTGTACGAGACGCGCGTGCAGTCCCAACCCCGGCTGAACCTGGCGCCGTCGCAGATGAGGCCACACTCCCTGACGGACTCGATGTTCGGGATCTCCTCGCGAGTCTCGCCGCGGTAGTCGGTCCCGTAGCAGATCGAGTACTGCCGCCCGTCGCCGACCAGTGTCGAGGCGTCCCCGGGGCACGACTGGATGCCCGCATGGGCGACGTCGGCTATGGCCGCCAGGGTTGTGAATAGGGCGAGGACGGTCTTGGTGATGGAGGGCATCTTGTGTGTGATTGCTGCAAAGATGTGGCGGAAGACTTTTGATGTGCGTGAGCTATTGATAATGGGGGTGGATTGGCAATGTTTTTTTTTTGGATGAGTGATCGATGATGATGCGTTGATGGCTGCGAGTATCAAGAGGACTTGGTCTTGGTTCAGGAGTGATGGGACGGATTTATATACTTGGACGAGCGGTAGTGCAGACTGTGACAGGCAAACATGCATTGTGTTTTGCTCTACAAGCTTGGGCCGTTGAAGCGAAATTGAGTGGAAGAAAGTTGAATACGGCACCTTATTGATCCACTAAGGTTTTCAGCTGTCATTTATGGTCGCATCAATGAATTGATACCGAGGGGGGAATCTGTCAGGGCATTTGAGTTGTTCAAGCACCAGCCAAAAATAGCTGTTCCGGTTCAATGGGAAATCTTAAACTGACCGCAAAAGTCTAGATTGTCACTACCCTAGGGTAGATACCACCCTTTCACTTCAACAACATGAGACAATTATGCCCACGGATTCACTCGGATGAACAGGATGCTGGAATTTCACAAAATGTAACGAAGCTGGAAATCTGACTATTGAAGCTTAACGATCGTGTACACCTCAAGTCCGCATCCAGGAGTAACTCTTCGCCGTGCTGCATACCAACCAAGCACATAATCCCATCACGGCCACCAAGAACTCCGACGATAATCATTGTGTTGGTCACATTGACCTTCACAAATACACGACTGGAGATATTTTTAGCATGTACTCATAATGACCCCCGCTGTCAGACCCATCCTAAAACAAGTATCAATCTGGTGTAGACTGTTAGAGTTGCTTTCGTAGTTTTGGCATGCCTAGGTATGGAGCAATAATTACCACTGTAACCAGAGTGAGGACTAGGAGGCAAGCTACCTTGGTACGGTCTGATGCTTTATATGCCAAAGCCCGGCCATCTTGCAATGCTTTCACCGGACATAGAGAGCAAAATTATCAACTGTAAATGCGGAATCAAGTGCATAGCCCGTGGCTGTTAAAGTACTCGTAAGGGCAGCATTGTGTGGTCAAGATGAACAGCCAAGATAAGCACGATTGATGAACACCAGCGGAGTGATATTCTACGAGTGCCCAGATGAGATACTTGTCGTGAGATATATTACGTGCCACGTTTCGCAAAATACCGCAAGGGCATTTCCAAGGCTGTACCAAACTCAGCAGTAAATAGGAATTTCTTAAGATTGATAATATGAACAAATAGAATAATAGAAATATTTGAATTAAAATAATCCTCCCTAATTAATTGAAGCAACCCTCTACTTTACTACTATCTCCAACGTCTGCAGTTTCAGCTTCGACCACAAAGACCAACACAGACCACAAATAGCGATATAGACCACAAAGGGCAACACAGTGACCTTTGTGACGACCTAAAAACCCCTGTTCGCATTTCTCTCTGTCCTATCTCTTAACGATAGATCACTCACATCCATGGCGACGCGGCAGAGTCGAAAGCGACAGCGCGCCCAAACAAACTCGCCAGCCAACATCGCCAAACGTCCGGCTAAGAAGCTCAGGACAACAAGCGAGATCGAGTTTGACGCCTGGGCATCGTGGCAATATTCTCCCGAGTTCTGGGACAGACTATCTAGGATCTCGCTGACCCATGGAGCGGTAGAAGAGCACAATCGCAGGACTAGCATTCTGCGTCCTTCTGGTGCTTCCACCACTACTTTTACTACCACTAAAGATCTTGCTGGATTTGCGAGACACGGAGGCCCAGACCTGTCCGACATTCGCGGGGTAAGATGGACTGCACGATTTGCAAGTGATTGCCTGACGAGTCTGTTCAGTATCCTCACCCCCCAGTAAACCGTCCACCTAGCGCCATGAGCGCAAGCCAATCTTCGCGAAGCCAGCACTGAGAGGACTAAGTCCACGGCTCCAACCTCCACACTGGCACGACCTACCTCGGCGACGACCAAAACGACCAAGACCAAGAGGCCGACGCCATATGACCGCGACTTCGACTTACACCTAACCGATCATCGCGTCCACCCTGTCTATTCTTCACAAGAACCAGACTTGGAAGAGGCCATGGGCGGCAATGGTCATACCTATGCCGTCGCTCACTCCGTCCATACTCTCTGATGGTGCCTTCAAAACATTTCGGGAGAGCAACACCCGAGCAAAAGATGAAGACGACATAATAGAGAATGTCATTCCGACCATACTCGGACCCGGCCAGACTGCCCACCCTTCGGCTTGGAACACGGTGTTCGGAAATCTCGAGCCGCTCACAGACGGGACGATTCCTCCAGCCAAGCCGGATATATACTACGTAGCATATCCCGAGCAGCTGTCTCGTTCTGTCCGCGACGAACTTGGCCGTGGCGTCATCCCATCGACCATGCAGGACAAGCCTCTTGCGCCTAATTTCTTTCTTGAGGCCAAAGGCCCAGATGGCAGTGCAGCTGTGGCAACACGCCAAGCTCGTTACGATGGGGCGATTGGGTCTCGGGCCATGCATAGTTTGCAGATTTATGGCAAAGAGGATCCTGTATACGATGGGAAGGCCTATACTTTCAGTTCTGTCTATCATGGCGGCCCTGGCACGCTTCAAATCTACGCCCACAACATCACGGCGCCGACGAACGAAGAGACGCCGCCCGAGTACCACATGACCCAATTAAGGTCCTTCGGCATGACGGACACCCGAGATACATTTGTTCAGGGAGCTACCACATTTAGAAATGCCCGAGAGCTTGCCAAGCGACATCGAGATCGTTTTATTCAAGCGGCGAACGCAACAGCGTCGCAACCTGGCACAGTCGCTTGTCAAGCGGATGCGGCCGAAACAATACGATGACGAGGTCTTGGATCTTCTTGAATCTACACATCATTCACACTATGTAGCTTTGCAAGACGCTGACTACGAACTCCAGCATTTGATTGCTGGAAGCTACTGCGATTCGGAGGACGATGACGAGACATGTCCTGTTCCTCACTATCCAGAACATGATTTCCAAGAAGCGAGCCCTGGATATGTGGCTCCCAGGAACCCTCAATGCGCTTTAACACCAGCTTTACATCAGGCTTCACCACCGACCGGACCCAATCCAAGCGGACTAGACCATCCGTCAGCCCGACCTCAATGGCTAGTGGGAGCCATGGGTCGAAACGATGGACACGATCAACTTGAAGTGCATTTCATTTGGTCAAGAAATCAGACGAAGTGTATTCAGACCTCTCATGGCGAACACAGCGCTGTCTAGGCAATGCCAAACCGGACAAAGCTGTCCCGGGAGCACTTGAGTGCCTTATTATCATGTGCTCCTTGGATTCGTTGGCCTATTGCTCGCGGGAAATTGGCAGTTGTGCCCAAGTCTGCGTCTGTTGAGTGTGGAGGCTGGCCTTCTATACCTAGGTATTTCCCCAGGAAATGGTTTAGGGACTGGGTGATGACATCCTTAGAGTTGATGAGAAGTCCATCCATGTATGTCAAAGATACATGCACGAACCGTGGGGAACCTGTTTGTAGTCCTGGTTGGCTTTAGGTTCCACAGTAGAGCTACTTTGGCTCCGTTCTGCCACATAGCAAGGGTCTCAGTTTCTCATCGGAATCCACGTGTTTGTTTATATGTGAGAGAAATCCAATGTGATTTGAGTTGACTAATAAGTAATTAGGTATGTAGAGCTGGAAGTAGGACGAGAGTCAAGGGCATCCGACAGCGCAGTGCGTCACCAATGAACCCGTGGACGGGAAGGGTTCATTAGTCGCGTATGCAGCATGGGTCTCGACTCTCAACGGTGCATACAGGTTTCGCACAAGGTGCGTCCATTGCAGCAAGTAAGATCCGGACGTGTTGTGTGGTTAATTGTTTATCAGCATAACTCACATGTTTATCTCACAAGTCCCCAGGGACACTTGGGCTCATCTAACCAGACTGGAAAGTGAGAACATGTGCCTGCCCATCAGCTCGCTGGACAGCTTTCAATGGAAAATTAGTAGCTTCTTTCTGTTCTCGGGAGGTGTGGGGAGGCCACGAGTAGTCGATGTTCAATGGACTCCGTAGACGGAGGTATATTGCACACATTTGTGGAACTGGTTGATTGGCAACTCCTAAGATCTGCAGCGGTAGGAACACACACATACTTAAGTATGTACCCAGGTCGCACCTGATACACAATGCAGGGGTCGATGTTGATTCCAAGTTTCGCAGCCGTTCAACCGTTCTGCCGTTTTCACGCGGGTAGGGCGTCGTGGCTGGGGCGTGGCTGCAGGTGATCTGTGCACCGTTCGTGTGACGGCTGGACGGGCTGACGTACCGTGTAGCGTGGCTTTGGCTTCCGTTGTTGGTGACTGCTGCGACTGACTGTTTGGCCGACTCGAGTGGCGGGCCAAGGTTTGGGGCCATGGGGCCCCAGTTGCGGCCAGTCTGCCAGTTTGGCCAGGCGCAACCATGGCCCCGCCGGCTCCCGCCATCAACAAAAATTCGAGGGCACAAAAGCAAGGAGACAGGACCCACTTGGTGCCAGACAATTCCCTCCCGACCCCACTGCCCACCACACAAGGTTTCCTACCACATCGGCCAACATCATCAGCGTCAGCCTCCATCCACAAAACTTCACCCCGTCCAACCCGACAACAGCCAGTTCTTGCTGCCCCCTTTCCTGCCGACACTGCATCACACTGCACCCAGAAACTTCACCGCTCAGGCTCTATACACAATCGGCACAAACCGCGCCGGTGACTCAATCTCTTCCCACCGCTGTCCAGCTGCAGGTACGTTGTGTCCAGGAACGGAAACACAGCCCACAGTCTCTGCACCCGATCGCGATCCCCCTTAGGCATCAAGCATTTTGCCCCCCCCCCCCCAGGCGACAACAGTCCTCGCGACGTGCCATCTTCATCCATCTACACCACCACCCATCTGGCCTTCGCCGTCCAGACATCGCTCACAAATCCTATCCTCTCCCTGCTCCCCGTCTCACCAGCAACAAAATCCCATCATCTCCTCATCGCGCACTACGTCAGTGACGCCAACCAATTTTTTTCGACAAAATAAAACAACCACAAAACTGACGAGAAAATCCCTCAGCGACCTCCAAACCCCCCAGAACATCCTCGTTCGGACTGCCTTTGGTCTAACAAAGGCTCGTCGCAAAGACGGCTTCCTCGGCCGTAGCTTTCGTATCTGACCAAGATTTCGCTCACCGGAAGCCTTTCCACATCCTCTGCGTGGTTCCACCTCCACCTGCTGAAGTCTACTAAAGGCCCCGAGTCTTTGCCGTTTTTCGACTTCCCGCACCACAAACCGGACCCCGAGTTCACCCCCCAATCTAAGCTGCCGAATAAGAGTCTTCTAGAGACCCTCTCTCTTACGGAGGGAGAGTCGCGGAGGCCTCGCCAATCAATCCAGGGAACAGTTTGCTACCGTTTCCGACCCCCCTAACACCAGTCTCGTTCCTCGAGCCTCCTTAAATCAACAACGGTCAATCCTCAAACGGACCACCACCCAAGACCACACATCGCGTCTGTCGGGCTCAGCATCAGTCCCTCCAACAAGAGTCGGGATATGGTTATGGCAATTACCCTCGTCGATACAATCTCACCCATTGACTACATCAATAATCGGATCTTTCCGACAAAGTCCATCAAAGACCATGGCGATGTATTCAACAATGACGACGATGCCAACTATGGCCGTGTCACTCCCAAGCAGCTGATTGGTGACGCCCTGCGCCAGCGCGTCGAGAACATCGACCACGAGTTCTGCGAGCCTGGCGATGAGGATACCTTCTTCGTGGCTGACCTCGGCGAGGTCTACCGCCAGCACCTGCGGTGGAAGCTGAACCTCCCGCGCGTCAAGCCCTTCTACGCCGTCAAGTGCAACCCGGACCCCCAGCTTCTGCGCCTCCTGGCCAGCCTGGGCAACGGCTTCGACTGTGCTTCCAAGACCGAGATCGAACAGGTGCTTGACCTGGGCGTTAGCCCTGACCGGATCATCTACGCACAGCCCTGCAAGACCAACTCTTACGTGCGCTACGTCGCCAACGCTGGTGTCCGCCAGATGACCTTTGACAATGCCGACGAGCTGCGCAAGATCGCCAAGCTGTTCCCGGGGGCTGAGCTCTTCCTGCGCATCCACACCGATGACTCTTCCAGCCTGTGCCGCCTGAGCCTCAAGTTTGGTGCGTCCATGGATATGACCGACGGCCTGCTGCGCACCGCGCAGGAGCTCGGTCTCAACGTTGTCGGCGTGAGCTTCCACGTCGGGTCCGGGGCTTCCGACCCCAGGGCATTCCTCAAGGCCGTGCAAGACGCCCACACCGTCTTCCAGCAGGGCGCCGCGTACGGCTTCGACATGAAGACCCTGGACGTGGGTGGCGGCTTCTGCAGCGACTCGACCTTTGAGGGAATGGCTGGCGTTCTCCGCGCGGCACTCGACGAGTACTTCCCGGCGCACTCGGGCATCAACCTGATCGCTGAGCCTGGCCGGTTCTACGCCTCCACGGCTTTCACGCTGGCCTGCAACATCATTGCGAGGCGGACCGTCGAGAACCAGCCAGGTGATGACAACAGCTACATGGTCTATGTCAACGATGGCGTCTACGGCAACTTCAGCAGCATCATGTTCGACCACCAGAACCCCGTGGCCCATGTTCTGCAGGCCGGAGGCCGCAACTATTACAACACCATCGAGGGTCGACCCGTCGAGGGTGGCGGGATGGAATACAGCATCTGGGGCCCGACTTGTGACGGCATTGACCGCATCAGCGAGAGCATTCGTTTCAACCAGACGCTGGATGTCGGCGACTGGCTGTACTTTGAGGATATGGGCGCTTACACCAAGTGCTCTGCCACTCGCTTCAATGGTTTCTCGGACAATCACGATGTGATCTACGTCTGCAGCGAGCCTGGTGCTTTGGCAGCCCTTGAAAATGCCATTTTAGCCGGCACCAGCGGTCAGGAAGCGGACATGAATCATACAAAAAAAAAACCAGGTGTGAATATTGGACAGGAGTGAAAAAAATACTGAAAACAGGAAGTATTCTTTGCGGCGAGCAGTAATTTGGAGGAATGGGCGGGCCTTTTGCTTTCTAGAATTGTTGCGTTGATAGACGATTCCCAGCGAATCATTCACAATCTTTGCATACAATATACACATGTTACCTTCCGCACGTGGTGCCTTGACGGCAAGACATTTATTTGGCGAGAGCATCTGAGCAGGAAGCCGAGGGGACCCACAATAAAGATGCAAGCAGTGTCCATGTCAGGCCTCAGGTGGTTTGCCGTGATTCCCCAAGGCATGTGGGTGAGATCTCTGGGCACAACCTCCCGCGCGGACGGGGGGCCGTGAGCTGCATGCCAGATTGGGCAAAAATCATGTAGGGACTGAAACAGAACCTATGGCTGCGTGGGCCTGACAAGCCAGACCCCAGGAAGGACAGCCAGCCCTCCACACAGCTGACATAGTGACGGTAAAAAAGCTACCCCGGGCTTCGAGAAGGCGGGGTGCGACCCCAAAGATGCCTCGGCAGCTCCGCATTCCTCGAGAAACCCATATAGCCGTTTACAGGGGGGTGGGTGTTGGACAGAAGGGGCAAAAGGATGCATCTTAAATGCCACCTGAGCTGGCAACCTCTATAAGAACGATGGGCGAGCCCTGCTGTCCTATCGAGGTGGATATCGGTCTGGTCCATATGAACACCGAAGGGCACCTGTGTGAAGTTTTTTGAGAGCCGCCTCTCACAAGGACCCAAGTCAGCAACACGATCTCGACACACAAGACCGAGAGGTGGTTAACAAGACGGAGTTTACTCTTGGTCTGAATATCACGATCACCAGCCCACCCAGCCACTCACTCACAATGGCGCCAACGGGACCAATAACCACACCAATAACGACCCTGCTGGGGATCCAGCACCCGGTGATCCTGGCGGGGATGGCGCGCGTGTCGGGCGGCCGCCTCGCCGCCGCCGTGTCCAACGCGGGCGGGCTGGGCGTGATAGGCGGCTTCATGTACACGCCGCAGCAGCTGCGCGACATCATCGCCGAGATGAAGGCGCACTTCACGCGGCCGGACCTCCCCTTCGGCGTGGACCTGGCCCTGCCGCAGCTGGGCGGCAACGCCCGCAAGACCAACCACGACTACACGGGCGGCAAGCTGGACGAGCTGGTCGACATCACCATCGAGTCCGGCGCGCGCCTGTTTGTCAGCGCCGTCGGCGTGCCGCCCAGGCACGTCATCGACAGGCTGCACGCCGCGGGCATCTACGTGATGAACATGGTCGGCCACCCCAAGCACGCGGCCAAGGCCCTCGACCTCGGCGTGGACATGGTGTGCGCGCAGGGCGGCGAGGGCGGCGGGCACACGGGGGACATCGCCAACAGCGTGCTCATCCCGGCCGTGGCGGACGTCGCGGCGCGGTACAGGCCGAAGCTGCTGGGCGGGGACAGCCCCGCGCTCGTGGTGGCGGCGGGCGGCATCTCGGACGGGCGCGGGCTGGCCAGCAGCCTGATGCAGGGCGCGGCCGCCGTGTGGGTCGGGACGCGGTTCGTGGCGAGCGACGAGGCCGGGTGCAGCAGGGACCACAAGGAGGCCGTCGTGGGGTGCGGCTTCCAGGACACGGAGCGCACGCTCGTCGTCTCGGGCCGCCCGCTGCGCATGCGCACCAACGAGTACATCCGCGCCTGGCACGCGCGGCCCGACCGCATCCGCGAGCTGTGCGACAGCGGCGTCGTCCCGCTCGAGCACGACATCGAGCAGGGCAACGAGGTCGACCTGCCGCACCTCATGGGCCAGGTGGCCGGCGCCATCCAGAAGGTGCAGCCCGCCGGCGAGATCGTGAGGGAGATGGTGGCTGACGCCGAGAAGATGCTCAGGCTGGGCACCAGCTACCTTGGTGGGGGCAAGAGCAAGCTCTGATGAGGGGGTGGGTGTGTGTGGTTGACGGGTGGTGACAGCATCTTGTACAAATCATGGCAGGACATATATCTATTTCTTGATGAATCTACCCTGTAGCCAGCATCTATACATCTTTAGGCGGCGGGCGCGGTTGACAAGCATGCGGCGGTCGAAGTCGAGGCTCTTGACCTCGAACAGCGGTGGCCTCTCGGCCTCCTCCTCCTCCTCTTCCTCCTCCTCCTCTTTGCCCTCCTCGGACCCGAACTTCTCGCCGGTCCATATGGAGGCAAGCTCGTCCTTCTCGAAGAAGTACACGCGCGTCCCGTCGCCGCGGATGTAGAAGTTCTCCTCGAGGTACCGGCCCTTCTTGAACCGGACCTGCGCGAGGTCTCCTCTCCCATAGTCACGGAAGCAGACCTCGCCGCCCGGCTTGAGCAGCCGGTGCACGTTCTCGACGGCCCTCTTCCACTGCAACGGGGACAATGCAGAGAAGATGAAGACGAGGAGCGCGATGTCGACCGAGCCCTCCTCCAGCCCGGGGGGCAGCTCCTCCGAGGCGACGTCCCACACGTCGGCCTGCATGTGTTGGGTGTCATAGCCCTCGTGGCTGCGCATGACCTCGACGGCCTTCTTGGAGAAGTCACAGGCGTGGACCTTGAGCTGGGGGTTCTTGTTCTGGGCCAGGATTGGGAAGGCGGTGTTGCCGGCGCCGGCTCCTATCTCCAAGAGCGTGACGGGGCCGGCGTCCTCCTTGGTTACCTTGTCAAGCACGGGGAACTCCTGCTGCAGCCACTTGCGGTTCTTGAAGAAGTTGGAGGTGTTGTTCTTGTAGAACAAGTTCCACCACTTGGCAGGGTCCGAGTTGAAGCGTTCTGTTTGATGATTGTCAGCGAGCCGCTTTCGTCAAAGACACAGCTGACAAGAAGGGTGCAAAGTGGATGTGGCCAGTCAGATGGGAGCGAAAGACTAATAACGAGTACAATGTAGTCATCATGAAGTCAGATGAACTATGCTATGATATGTAAATCATCACAAGAGGCCGTGGGTGTGTCAAGACCAGTGCCGACTTACTCTTGTCAAAATCGGACACGGGAGACTGACGCTGCAGCTCGTACTGCTGCTCAGCAAACTCCTTGAACGCGTCGTCAGTCTCCACGTGGTCCCAGGCGTTGAACTCGAAGGGGTCGTCGCCCTCTTCGAGGAAGCGAGACCCGAACTGGAAGGGGTCGGAGCGCTTCTGGTTGAATTGGGGGTTGTGGGATCGGTGTGGTGGGAGGGCTGCGTCGCCGCCGCCGTCGCCGCCGACCGTGAGAGCCAACACGCCCTCGGCAAGCTCCTCGTGCCCATCAGCAGCCCTAACCTGAGGCTCTGACGGGGTGGGAGGAGCCGCCTGGGCTGCGACCTCCGGTGCTGCGGCCATAGCTGCTGCGAGGGACCTGCTCAGTCCTCGGGTGTTATCGAAGACGGTCTGACCGGGTGTGGGAGCGACACAGCATGGTGTTGCAAGAGCACAAGTCTTGCTGCTGTGGACGTGGGAGGTGTGAGGAACAGACGAAGGTGATATTGAAATTTTCGGCAGCCTTTTTGATGTCGCGGTCTATGGACCCTGACCCTCTCTTCAAAAAAATTGTGGCCCAAGCTGAAGAGTGGGGCCAAACTGCAGTGGGCCTGGCCGATTGCGATTGCCGAGGTCGGAACCGACGGGAATCTCAGAAGTCTTGACTTGTTTGTCTCGTCATCATCGCCAATTCCAATAATCCAAAAAAAAGAAGAGGCCCCGCGCATCGCCCAATTAAGTGCCAGGTACAATGATCGCACAATAACAATAGCCGGCCTTCGTCCTACCACCGTTCGGAAATGGCTGCCACGGCTACCGGACCCCTCAGGCTGGCCAGCAGGGCCTTGATCGCCCGCCGCCCATGCCCTCCCGCCCTCGCCCTCGCCACCGCCGCCCAGCGCCGGACCTTCCTCGACTCCGTCTTCCAGCCGAGCAAGCCCCTGACCATCAACGTCTCCCGCACCCTGCCCTACCCGCGCGAGAAGCTGTACGACATGATCGCCGACGTGGACGCGTACTCGAGCTTCCTGCCCTACTGCCAGCACAGCCGCGTGACGAGGTGGTCCGAGGCCGACGGCGGCGGCCGCGCCTGGCCGGCCGAGGGCGACCTCACCGTGGGCTTCGGCCCCATCACCCAGTCGTACACGAGCAGGATCGTCTGCGTGCCGGGGCGCAGCATCGAGGCCCTGAGCGGGCGGCACGAGGGCATCCCCGGCCCCGCGGGGAGCCCCTTCGAGAGCCTCGTCACCAAGTGGACGGTCCGGGACGCCATCGTCAAGCGCATCGGCACCTGGTCCACCGTCGACCTCGACCTCACCATGCGCCTCGCCGACCCGCTCGTGCGGATGATGCTGTCCAAGGTCGTCGACGAGACCGCCACCAAGATGGTCGACGCCTTTGAGCAGAGGGCCAGGGACTTGTTTGGGGACGCGGAGGGCTGATTTGCGGTGGCGCATGTTTGGATGCACAAGAGTTGGATTCAAAAAACTACTCGGCGGAATGTGAAGGCGCCACGGCGTCGCCGCCGCCGCCTCTGCTCCGTTTGTTTAGACATTGGCCTCCCTGGGCCACGGCACGCTCGAGGTGAGAACAGTACGAGGTGGCAGAATATGTGTTGTATGATTAAGCAGACTCTCGCACGGTAGACAAAAGGACAGATATAGATCCAAGCGCTGTATAGACATAAAGGGCCGATGAAGGGCACCCTCCGATCAGGGTCCCTGGGCCGCACCTTAGATAATAAACACCATCCCCGTTCATTCATGTTCAGTTGCGCCTTGCTCTCATAAGGTTATGGCTTACTCGGCGCCGAGGGAACTTTTTTTTTGCGTCGGTGAAAGTGTGGTATCCAGGGGTCATGGTCAAGAACAAAAACAAAAGCAACATCGCGAATAGGCTGCTAGACCTCTCCTCCCCTTCTGTTACCTGCCTGCGCACTCCCGTCCACATTCCAGCTCGCGTCACGCGTGGAATTGCTTGTCTCGTTTCGTCTCGTCTCGGCGCGTCGTCTCGGCGTCATCTCTTCCTCGTTCACGTTTCCGTGTCTCGTCCCTCGTTCCTTCATGTCCTTCGTTCCTTGATCGATAATTCCTCGCAGGTCGGCCCAGGGGGGGAAAAAAAGAGGTTGTATAATTGTTAGAGCGGCGGGGGGAATTGAGAAGAAAAGAATATGCTGAAAATCAAAAAGGTATCGCTGGGTAAAGAGCTGAGAGAAGTGCTGCAAATGTCCAACCAAAAAGACCAGCCAGGAAAATCTGGCCAGAACCCACGAGATAGATAGTGTTGCTCAAGAAGGAAATCTTCCGTAAGAAAAGTTTTCCCGAATTAATGCCTGCCACTCATTCCGTCAGCGTTGAGGATAAATAAGAGGATCCTCGAGAAATACAAACTTCTTTGAACTGGACTTCTTAGGTTTGGCACTTGCACCAGAAAAGAAAGCCATCGTCTTCTTCGCCTTCTTGCCCTTGTCCCTCTTCGGCTTGCCGCCGTCGATGATATCTACCCCCTGCGGTCGCATCCCCTCGCCACCCGGCGGCGGCGGTCTCATCATCCCAGGCGGCGGCGGCGGGTTGCCCCCGAACGGCGCCCCCATGAAGCCAGGCGGCCTCATGGGCGCGGCGTGCCCACCGCCATGGTGGTGCCCTCTGCCCTGCGCCATGGCCGCTTGTCGTCGCCGCATCTGATCTATCAAGAATGCCCTCTGTTGCTCAGGCGACAATCCCGGAGGCATCTGGGGTGGCAACGGGTGCTTGTCCATTGGCCACATGTGCATGCTAATCTGGAAGCCCGGCTGGACCGTCTTCTCCCACACGACAGGGAGAATGATCTCGCCGTCAGGCCCGATCAAGTCATAGTGGCCTTGCTGAACGTGCGGGCCCGTAACATCGACGTGGTGGAAGGCTTGCTTGATGAGCTCCTCCATACTCTGGACGCACAGAGGTTAGCCCAGTACGTAGTGAGGTTTGTAAAGGGGACAAGAGAGGGAGCGAGTGGGGGAGGGGGCCTTGTACGTACACTCCAAGTAGAGCAGAGGTTCCATGGGAAGTTGAACTTTCTCCCCAAGGCATCCTTGAATTTGAGGGGCTCCTTGTCGTCGCCAGCCGACTTCTTCGCCTCCTCGGCCAACTTGGCCTTGGTCTCCTCGGCGATCTTCTTCTCGAGGTCTTCTCTGTCTTTCTTGGCGTCCTCTTCCTTCTTCTTGGCCTCTTCCGCGGCGAGGCGCTCCTTCTCGATTTGCAGTCTCACTTCATTCTCATATTTGAGCCTGGCCGCCTCTTCGGCTGTCTTCTTGTCCTCCTCGGCCTTCTTGTCGGCTGCGATTTTGTCGCGGAGTTGCTTCTCCGCCCTGACTCGCATCTCTTCCTCGAGGAGCTTTTTCCGCTCGGCCTCCTCTTCCGCTTTCTTGGCGGCGAGTTTTGCCTCCTCTTCTTTGGCCTTCGCCTCCGCCTCAAGCCTAAGGCGGACGTTCTCTTCCGCCCTCTTCCGCTCTTCCTCCTGCTGTGCCTTACGTTCCTCCTCGGCCTTGAGGGCGGCTTCGTACTTTTCTTTGGCCTCCCGCTCGGCCTTTGCCATGGCCTCGGCATGTTGTCGCTGGCGCTCGGCTTCCTCTTTCCTCTCCTTCTCAATACGGTCCCTGGCGTCGCGTTCGGCCTTGGCCATCATCTCTGCATGCAGCCTTTGGCGCTCGGCCTCGGCCTTGCGCTCTTCTTCGATGCGCTCCCGTGCCGCCCGCTCGGCAGCAATCTTGGCGAGCTCGATCTCCTTCTTAGCCTCTTCTTGTGCCCTCTGCATTTCCTCCATCCTGATCTTGAAGGCGCGCTCGGCGTCCTCCCTGATCTTCTGCTCCATATCCGCTCGCTTCTTGGACTCTTCCTGCTCCTTGCGTTCGGTCTGGAGCAGCTCTAGCTGCTTTCTCATCTGCTCCATCTGAGGGTTTGGTCTCTCCTCTGCCGGCGCTGGGGTCCGCGGCGGGCCCGGCGCCTCGGTAGGGGGAGGAGGTGGTGACTGGTACATGTATTGCGCAACATGGGGTGGCGGCATTCCGTAACCCGGGGCGGCCACGGGGCCTGCACCGCCGAAGTAGCCGGGTTGTTGATAAGGCATCATGTCGTACGGCCGCTGCTCAGGGAAGTAGCCGGCGCCTCCTCCCGGTGCCATCGGATTAAAGGGATTCGAGGCGAAGGGGACCATCTGCCCCCCATACCCATGATGCGGGGGCCCATATCCGCTAGCGATGCTCTGGGGCCCTGGATAACCAGCCCTCCCTCCGTAGAATCCTGCGTGTTGAGGCGCGAAACCTCGCGAGCCGTACATCGAATCTTCATATGATTCGCTGCTCATGGTTTGGATGTGATCCGGTGGTGGTGGCGCCCGAAACCTTGACTGCCGGGGAATGCTGTGTTGGCGCGGTGGGTTGCGAGGAGGCCGACTGTGAGGTCGCGGTTGCGGGACGTAGTCTCCTGTCGCGGATGCCGAGTCGTTAGGGTCTATGTCGTCTTCTTCGGCATGCGACGACCACTCCTCCTCGTCCGCCGGAAGATCGCTCTCTGAGTATTGCGACTCGCCGTCCCCGTCCGTGATCGAGTCCCGTGATGATGTGTGTTCTATAGTAATTGTCGCCCTTCTTTCCCTGCAACCAAGCGAGAGGGCAGCAGCGTCAGCAAATGACAAACCCCGGAGGGCGGAGGGGGCGAAAAGGCAGAGCCTTGCGGCCGAGTCCGAGGACTTGGTTCGAAGCAGCCGCAGGGGCGCGTAGGTCACAGAGAGATGTGGGAAGAGGATGGCTTACGACATTGGGAAAATAGTGGTGGGATGAAGGCCCTTTGCGCCGGACAATCTGCAGAGAGATGGCCGGTACAAAGGTGCTCTCCCTTGGACAGCGGCTGCAAGCTAGTGCGCTGGTCTGGTGCAGCTGGAATGACACCCAGCCGATATCGTGGCGACAGGATTCGCGAGGGGGGGTAGGGGGGCAGCGACGGCCTCTACTGTGTGTATAAGAAATAACCCCGCAGGACGCGACCCGGCAGACAAGGGTGTTGTTGTGTAATGATGATAGCAACCGGTGTATGGGCGCACCGCCTCCAGAGAGCATAAGCTTTGGTCCGGGATCGTCACGAGATGATGGCGTTGGAGCTGTGTACGCAGGGGCAAGGTGGGAAGGAGGCAGGAGGCTGAATGTATCGGGGAGTGGTGTGTGAGAGGATGCGTGTGAGTGTGCGTGTGCGTGTGCGAAGTTCCAAGGTTCGTTTTGGGGCGAGTGACGAAGGCGTGGCGGGTGGGTGGGTATTTGCCCAGGTGGCCGTGTAAGTCTGCTCAGGCGACAAGAAAGATCTACCTGCACAGCGTTCTCGGGTGCAGAAGGGCCCAGAACCTGACCGGGCTGACCTGGTCAGATAGAGCGTCAAAACAACGTTGGGCTCGAATAGGAACGGGCACATTGGGTTGCGTTCAGCCAGGGTTGCGGTGAGAAGACCCCCAAAGTACCAAGTGAGCCTTGGCCGGGACTTGTCTTGGGCTCGTGCAAGTCTATTCCACAAGCTGATTTTAGGCGGGAATGCTTCCTTGCCCCTTCGGTGTTGGTCTCAAACAAGGAAAAGAACACCCTGCTGCCGCCCGAGGTAGTGCGCTGGCTGGCTGGCTGAGCACTAGGAACCGGAGCGACTGCTGTGTTGCTATGCCGCAGGATATTTGCTCCAATCCCATACATAAGCTGGCGCAGGGGGCCCAAGGGAGAGGGACAACTGCCCCCCGGGCGAGATTCTGTAGGTCTTTTTTCGATTCCTTTCTTCTCTAATAATAAGAGCGCGGTAGCAACTTTTCAGAAGTCCTCACACACTTTCATGTCTCGCTCATCGCACAGTCCGGCAGCGACAAGTCTGGCCAGGGACAAAGATGGTGTACATCGAGTCAGGCGGTCCAAGTGCTGGTGTCTAATCTTGTTGCCCAACATGAAGGCGGCTAGAACTTGTTAGAAGTCTGAGAAACACGACGACCCCTCCTCGTCGACGGACCCGCTCAGATCGGCGAGGCATTAAGGTCGACCCACCTTTTGAACTTCCTTCCTAGCCTCTCGAATTAATCGACGGGCGAAGCAGCAGTAATCGTCATTGAGAACCACTGCGAGCTCGGTTCGGATACCCGCAGAGGGCAAGCCTCCAGGAATCGGTGGAGAGATGCTGCCCACCGAGGAATCGAAAGAGGGGTGGGCGCCATTAGACCGTCAGTACTGCACAGATAGAGTCGGCTGACCTCTTGTCCAATAACATCGGATTGGAGCTCCCGTGTAAGCCGGACATTTCGGTCGGAAGCGCCATGCTCTGCCAACTCTGCCGGACGACAACCGTTACAACGGTGGGAAACAGACCCCAAGGGACTAGATACCCATGAGGCTAGCCAGATCCCAAGGCCTAGACTATCAGACCAGACTTGCGCACGGCATCTAGCCTTGACCGGACCGCAGAACAAGACAATTGATTGTCTGCCCACATGTCTGTTCTTCGTTCATGCCTCAACAACCAGCGCTTGAGCCGGCCCTGCATCTATTGCAGATGCGCTGATCTAGCCCCTCGCAGTCTGGCAGTCTGTGTGTGTGGGCGGTGCCACTGCAGTCGCCGGGGCAAATCCTTCCTGCAGGTTGACGCAGCCCAAGACGATGAGATGCTTCGGCGCGGCCAGAAGCGGAAGTCCTGCAGGTGCAGGCGTACCACGCCGACATTTGACAGGGCACGAGGACACAGCTGCTTCGCGAATTGGCCCAGGGTCTGCAACCAACTTCGCTCGTCTGAAAATTTGAAGTGGCCTGACGGTTTATCCGTGGTTTGTTTCACGTCTTTTAGTGCGAGATGGTGTCCGAAGGCCCGATTCCGCCGCGCATCCAAAAAGGCGGTGGGATGATGACAATGCAGATTGCAGCCACATTTATGCAAATCTTTGGGTCTGGCTGCAGTCCTGCATTACCACTCGCAGCTGCGCGAGAGAGCCCTCATGTGGCCTGGGGAAGCACGTATGCATTAAAGTTGTATGTGGTTTGTCTAAAGTAGACGGCGCGCAAAAGGCACAGCCAGCCGTCTCACTCCACCGTCGGGGAGCCGCATTGCGATAGCTCACAATAAGTCTGACCTCATGGTTGCATTGCCGTTCGACGGAACACAGACGGCAACGAACTGAATGCAAGGGATCAATCAACCAGGGGATGCACGAACTGTTTGCCCCATGCCTGTCCCTGCGACTGAGTGAAGATCCGGAGACCCTACCGAGTTGCCTCGTTTGTAATCCATTTCGACGGCACGGCGGCGCCTCGTCTGGCAAACTTCTGCGAATGCCTGGATCTTGAGCATTGGAAATCTTGGTGCCGCCCGCTTGCGTCCTTTCAGATTACCTGTCCCAACCTCGACTGGCGCCACGTGCTCATGGCACTGCCAGCTCGCACAGCTGAGTACCCACCGGTCATGCAAGTTTATGATACCAGGCCCAATAGGACCCAAGTTCTCCCTGACTGGTCCTTCGCTCGGAATGCACTGCCATGCTTCTGCTCTGTGACTCACAGATGGCGATCCAGATCCCGTGTAAGCTGTGCTGGTAGCAGCTGCGCTCATCTGACAAGACCAGAAGATTCCTTTGAGAGAAGCTCGCGAGCCGCCTCAACTTCGGATTCCTCGTATCCGCACCAGCCTCTCTCCTTCGCGGTATTACGGCGCACGATTTCAGATAATTTGGCAGTGCTCTTTTCCCGAAGCTTCTCGATGGTGGCCGTAGGCGGAATTGCAAAGTCCTCTGGATCCGTTTGTTTGCTAGACTTTGATTCCAACAACTTCGAAGTAACCTGCAATATGTTACTACAGGCCATGCAAAAGCTCCCGTCATCACAAGCGTCTTACCAGGTTCAGCCCGTAATATCCACGCAGGTAGTCGTCACAAAGTTCAATGCTTCGGCAGAACCTCTTTAATGACTCTGCAAGATATTTGCGTGAGGCGGCTTCGTCGGCACCAGAAGATGTTGAGGCCATGTACTCGACCTCGCCGAGACGAGCGTGGATCTGCCTCGGCTTATCAGCATTGGTTCGCAGTCGGGTGCGAGGTTGCGGTCACTTACATTCCAAGCATTAGGAGCCAGCACCAGTACTTCCTCAAGGGCATAGATAGCTTGCGCATACATCCCCTGAGAGCAGTAAATGTCCGCCATCTCTGCCCAGGACTCGGCGTCGACGGGGCAGAAGTCCAGCAGGGCTGAAAGGCCAGACACAGCATCAGCGGGCCGGCCCAGTGTACGGAGCAGTGCGATACGTCGCTTCGTGATGGGCTGCAGGCATGAAGTCAGTCTTGTACAGTTCACGAGCAGTGACAGTCTGGTCCACTGACAATGTTGGTCTCGTTCTTGGCCAGAATATCGTCGTATTCTTTCAGCACCTTCTCCAACGCAGCATTGTCAGGAGCATCTGCCTCCTTCAAAATCCCTTTGAAAGCCATTATACGCTCGTTGTCCTCGCCGAACCTCAGGATCAACCTCTCGAGGCACTCGTGGGCCGCCTTCTCGTCGCCTGTACGCAGACAGGAGAGCAGCAAGTTCTCGACAGTCATCCATAGCTCAGTGTTTTCTGGTGACGAAAACAGAGATGCTAAGGGTGAGGACGAGATCGTGCGCGGCGAGTTCTGGAGGATTGCGGGAGCGCGTTGCGAAAGCTCGAGAGCTTGCGCTGGCGACAGATGGCTGGGAGGATGGAGGAGTGAGGGGGCCATGATGTGTTATTTATTAGCGAATCAGTCGACTGGCCGAGTATATAGATGATGAGGACAGTCGCTGGGTGGTCGAGCAGTGCGGTAAGGGGGCGTCTGTCGTGGTGAAGCCGAGCTGGTGGATGGATAGATGGGATGAAAGCTGTGGAGACTAGAGCTGTCGCTGCACGTATGCACTACGGCCGCTCGTTGCTGATCGGAGGCAGGGACAGGAGCTTCCCTGTGCAGTTAGTTGCTCTTATTAGCCGCTGGTTGGTGCTCTGCTGCGGCACAGTATGGCCAGGGGAGATGACCCGAGCTATGAGGCTACTGTCCAGGGTACCTAGGTACCGATTACGCCGTCTGCCCGCCCCGACGCTCAATACGTGGGGCAGCTGCAACGCAGGCCGATGATGTGCTGCTAACCAGGCCGCAGCCAGCCCAGACAACCAAAAGCAACCACCACTATCAGCAGCTGACAGCTCTCAGCAAACACCTAGTACTTATACACCTTGCCAGAACCACCTTGCAGACCAGCTTGACACCTCCCAAGACGATTTGGAACGGCAGGGACTGCAACATGCCAAAAGGAGGGATGCGTCACTGTCTCACGCGCTGAGCCCGAATACCTCGTCCCTCCTCTTCCCTCCCCCCCTCTCACCAACCGTCACGGCTTGAGGGGCGCCGTCGCCCTGTGGTTCAGACAAGATGTACGCACAGTCTCTGATTTATGGGTCGTCTGCTGTGAGGATATCAGTGCTGATACCATGGCAGGTTCGAGAAATCCCTCTACGACCTCATCCGCGGTCTGCGGAATCACAAGGGCCACGAGAAGGAATACATCCAGAATTGCCTGAAAGAATGCCGCGCCGAGATTCGAGGCCAGGACATGGGTCAGTCGATGAACTCTCCGAGTCGCATATCACCATCATGGGTCTAATAATTCGACACAGACATCAAGGCCACCGCCTTGCTCAAGCTCATCTACCTCGAGATGATGGGCCACGACATGTCCTGGGCCTCCTTCAACGTCCTTGAGGTCATGTCCTCCCCGAAATACCACCAGAAGCGTATTGGATACCTAGGCGCAGTTCAGAGCTACCGCCCGGACACTGAGGTGCTCATGTTGGCCACGAATCTCCTGAAGAAGGTCTGCTCCGAGTCGCGTCCCCTTCGACATCGTGGCCCTGTCAGACTGACCAGTACCTTTGCAGGACCTCACCTCCGGCGCCCCAAATACGATTTCACTACCGATACACGCCCTGCCTCATTTCATCACGCCGTCCTTGGCTCTCTCTACCGTGGCCGACCTTCTCCCGCGACTCACACACTCGAATCCTTCAATACGAAAGAAAACAATAGTCACCCTGTATAGACTAGCTCTAGTATACCCCGAAACTCTGAGGGCAGCGTGGCCAAAAATCAAGGAACGTCTTATGGCACAGGATGAAGACCCAAGCGTCACGGCCGCCATCGTCAATGTCGTCTGTGAGCTTGGTTGGAGACGGCCCCACGACTTCTTGCCCCTCGCCCCCAGGCTTTTTGAGCTGCTGGTGGACGGTGGCAACAACTGGATGGCAATCAAGTTGATCAAGCTTGTGAGCACCCACTCTCCAAGGGTTCTCGATTTGACTGCTAATAACCCGTAGTTTGCTACTTTAACGCCACTTGAACCGCGACTCGTTCGAAAACTGTTACCTCCTCTAACAGACCTCATCCGAACAACGCCGGCCATGTCTCTACTATATGAATGTATTAATGGCATCATTCAAGGGGGGATTCTTGGGAGCGATGACGACGTGTCAGGTAGTGAGGAGATCGCGTCACTTTGCGTTACTAAACTGCGCGGTATGATCATGGTTGACGGAGACCCTAATCGTAAGAGACCAATCCACCACGCCCGACTGAAAATGGTTGATCTAACCCAATTATGCAGTCAAATATGTAGCCTTGCTCGCATTCAACAAGATCGTGGTGACACATCCATTTATGGTAGCGCAACAGGAGGACGTTATCATGGAGTGCATCGACAATCCCGACATCACAATTCGCGTTCAGGCGCTTAACTTAGTACAAGGCATGGTCAGCAGCGACAATCTAATGTCCATCGTCGGCCGCCTGATGAGACAACTCAAGAGCTCTGCTGCAGCTGGCAGATCAGCTGCTCAGAGACAGGATGGCAGCTCTGATTCGGATGCGGACGCCGAGGTAAACATTGATCTAGCAGAACACGAGATCGAGCAGACACCGCCGTTGCCAGACGATTACAAGGTCGACGTTATCAATAGGATACTGACGATGTGTGCCCGGGACAATTATGGCAATCTCGTCGACTTCGAATGGTACATTGATATCTTGACACAACTTGCACGGATGGCTCCTGTTCCCGGACAGTCGAGAGACACGGCAGAACAAACTACAACAAATTCCAAAGCTTCATCCGCGGATGTTTCAGCCAAGATCGGAGATGAACTGAGAAGCGTGGCAGTGAAGGTCAAGGCAATCCGACCGATTGTGGTTGGCGCTGCTGAGTTGATCTTGCGCCAATTCTGCACTTCTTCCGGACAACCGATTACTTCTGGTGCTTTGAGGCCCGTCGCATGGATCGTTGGGGAGTATTCCGACCAGCTGCTGGCGTCAGAAGATACACTAGGGTATCTGTTGCAGCTGGTACCACGCGCAAATGACCCAGAAGTCCTTGCATCTTGCCTCCAAGCAACTATCAAGATCTTCGCTCAGGCTACAGGGAGCGATCTGGAGCTCTGGACCTCGGAGCGGAAAGCGAAGACGTCATTGCTCCTGGCGCGAATCATACACGTGCTGGAGCCTCTAGTACTCCACCCGAACTTGGAAGTTCAAGAAAGGGCGGTTGAGTTCACGGAGCTTCTCAAGCTGACGTCTGAGGCTGTATCCGCGCAAGATGCCTCCACGGACGAGATTCAACAAGATCCGCCGCTCCTACTCACTCAAGCGATCCCGTCTCTGTTCACCGGCTGGGAGCTGAACTCTGTGGCGCCTGCCGCCCAGTCCAACGTACCCTTGCCACAAGGGCTCGACCTAGACGAGCCGATACATCCGAATTTGGGCAACCTTTTGTCATTGGCGGACGATATCCAACTCAGAGCGGAAGACGAGGACGAGTTTGAAGTCTACTACCACCAAAAGCCCCCAGCTTCGAACATCTCGTCCAGCGAGCCGGCGATCAACCGGCTTGCCGATGCTCCCGAGGAAATCGCGACATCGTACCAAGCAAGCGAGGAAAGTTATTTGGATGCCGATATCCTGGCCAGGCGAAAGGCTGAGCGCGCTGAGCGAAATAAGGATGATCCTTTCTACATCGGCGAACCCTCAGGTCGCACCGGCACATCGACACCGATCCATAGCATCTTGCAAAACGAGAACGGGCCCGACCTGGACATCGACGCCATACCTATTATGCAGCTTGACTTGGGTGGGGTCGACAACGCACCCGCCCTCACATCCCCAAGACAGTTTGCGCCCCGGCCAAAGCCACGTCAGAGGATCGTGGTCGCCCAAGACGAGAACCTCGGCGGCAGTGGCATGTCTACGCCGCGAAACTATGATTCGGAGGCCAACAACTCCGATAGTCTGGCCAAGGCGAGGGCTAAAAAGATCAAGCAGTCGCTCCTACAGGTCGACTCGAGTAATCTTGGAAGCCTGAGCCTCGAAGGCGAGGACAACGGAGAGGGCGGGTACGACTTCGAGAGGCAGAAGAAGGAGGATGCGGAGATGGTCCAGGCAATGAAGGAAGTGGAACGACTTCGGCTGGAGATGCAGAGGGCTAACGAGAGGATACACGTGGCTCAAGGGGTGGAAGGGACGGTGGTCAAGAAGAAGAAGAAGTCTACGAAGCCAAAAGCCGTTCCTGACGAGGGCGGTGAGGCCGGTGAGCCCGTTGCGACCAAGGTCAAGAAGAAGAAGAAGAAGCCTGCCGTACCGGCCGAGGAGGGCGGCGGGGGCAACGGCGAGACTGGGGAGGCCGTGGTGAAACCGAAGAAGAAAAAGAAACCTAAGCCGCCGGTCGAGATACAGGATGCCGCTTAGATACCCAAGACTGTCATAGATACAAGGCTCAAACGTGGCAAGTTCAGGTGCACTCTCCTTTCTCGATCGTACCTCCCACGTCTGTGTCGCCTGAAAATCAAGGTCAACGGTCACATATGAAGCCGGGCGCGTAAACCTCGCAGGCTGCTAAAAGGAGCCTGTGTTGGGTGACTTTTTTAAAAGCAGCACTTTTGTTCCCACCCCAACTTCTACTGGTACACCATAATTGAGCCTCTACACCGGTCTAATTAGCTTGTGCCTTGTCAATATCTATTTCAGCAAACCCCTCCCTGACCAGATCGGCCGCGTCGGTGCCTGCATCAGGCACGAGGGGCGTCTCCACCTCGTCCCCATCCCCGTCCCCATGGAGGTGCCCCCAGGCGGGCTTGTTCCTCTTCTCGTCCCCGCCCTCGGACTTGAAGTGATACCCCCTCGCGCGGGGCCGCGTCCCCAGGCCCGGGGGGAACTCGGCCTCGTACGCGCGCTGGAACGCCCTGCGGTCGTCGTCGAACGTGCCCCGCGCCAGCGAGGCCCGGACGCCGGCGAAGAAGCCCTCGACCGCGTGGTGGTTGTGGATCTGCAGCAGCGTCCAGGCGAGCATCTCGCGCGCGTTGAGGAGGTGGTTCAGGTACGCGCGGTGGTGGTGCGCGCAGGCGTAGCAGGCGCAGGACCCCACCAGGGGCTCCAGGGAGGTCGTGTTCTCCGGGCCTGTGAGGTCCGTCGCCAATGGGAGCAGGCCTGTCCCGCTGTCGCTGTCGCTGTTGGCCTGCTGCTGATGCTCCGTTGGCGCTGGGAACGTGAAGGTCATGGCCACGCCCGCGTCCGAGGTCGCGTTGATGAAGGGGAGGAGGAAGGTGTCGATGCCGAGGGCTACCTGCCGGAGGATGTCATGGGGTGTTGCTGGGGTGTCGAGGGAGAGCCGTGGGAGGGGCGTCAGGGCTGGGTAGTTGACCAGGTCGGGGAGGATGTCTACGTCGTATATTGCCAGGCCGCTTAGCATGTCGGTCATGTCGTCTGAGAGGCGGCTTAGGTATTCCCACTGCATGGGATAAGGGGCAGGTAGGGTCGGCGCGAAGATTGAAGTGTTTGATGAGCGGAGGTCGTCCACATCCAGGGATCGGTGGACCTCAGACATCCATTCCTCTGTGCGCTCGCACATCCTGTAGATGCTCTTAGACTGTGGCGTCGTATTTGATCCGTAGATTATGTCGGCCATGGGGATGGCTATATCCGGTTTCAACGTCTGGATGGCGTTGATGTAGTCCGGGTTTCTCAGAGCCTGGAAGCCGTTCGAGGTGAAGATCTGGATGTAGTTGTCACTGTTGCCAATGGGAGCCTTGACTGCAGGGACCCTACGCGGCCCCAGTATCGAGACTGACGATGAAGGTAGTGCTGTGAAGGCATGGATGCGCTTCCCATCCGCCGCGGGAGCCTTCTGCACGGCCGGTATCCTCGTGATTCTCTTCTGGGACTTCTCGACCACTAATGCAGATGTTCAGCCTGGTGTACCACCTCACAATTCTGTGTAGACAGACTCACTGTCTTCCATGGCTATGTAGGCACCTGAGAACCCGCCATATTTTGCAATGGTGTCTGGGGTCAAGTGAGGGACAACGCCTCTAGATGCCACGGCAAAATAGTTTGGCGTGTCGACGGCCTGGCGTTGTGGGAGCACAAGCCTACCCAGCCTCGCTACCAGCCCATCGCCCCCGGCTGCCTTCAGGGTCTCGAATATCATACCCTCGGGCTTGCTCGGGTCACTCATTATGAAAGTCCGATAGCTCTCGGCGAGTGACGCGGAGTTACAGGTGAGAGCGTAGCCGGTCAGTAACACAAGGGCATGACTCAGACTCGATAATTGAGGCCAGTGCGGCCAAGAGTTTTTTTTCAAGAATTCTGCCAATGTAAATTCATAAGAGTTGAGCAGTAGAAAGCTTAAACAGATATATTCGAACTGTCCTGGTAGAGTGGTGGGCGCGAAGCAGACTCGGGATATGTGCACTGCTGCCTGTGTGGTTGGTCGATGACATCCCTCCCACCCTCGAAGAGCTGCAGAAAACGGGTCCCTGCCCGTCCCGTCCCAGGATGGGACTCCGTCTAGTGGGGTCCAGGGGCTTGTCCCACCAATGGGCCCGTTCGCCGAACCACGTTGCTGGGACGGACGCTTGTCTCGCACTCCGTCGATCAGCGGCCCTGTGCCGTAATGCACCCCAGCTTGGCAGCTGAGTGACCCTCCGTCTAGGTCCATCTCTGGACCGGCTGACGACGTCTTCAACCCTCCCCGTTTCCCTTCCCGTTATTGCTTCACCTCATCAGTGTTCTCATCCTGTCCGAAATTCGCTCCTTGTCTTCACTCTTATTTGCTGTCCTAGTCATTGCTTTCTACATCTTTACCTACTCAAGTACCTACCGCGCATTTTCATCCTAGACGCCGCGGTCAACTCCTACAACCGAGTCTCGCTCACCCACACTGGCCTCGCCACTCATCATTGCTTGCGATGAGCTCTGCAAATGGACATGCAGAGAACGCAAATGGAGGCATTGATGCTTCCGCGAATTCCGGGGCAGTAGGCCTGGAGTCTCACCCCGACGCCCCCATCGAAGGGCCTCAGCTTCACGAACTGCAAGAGGGCAACCCGACGCCCTTGCCCAGGTTTCTCGAGGAAGACGGTCTGAGTAAGCACTGGAAATGGGTCCCATATCCCATCAGGAAATTCGGCAGGACTGCTGCGAGATGGGCAAAGGGACCCCAGAATCCGGTCGTCTACCACATCGTCCCTATCCTCCCGGCCATCCAGCAACTTCCCGTCACCCTGCTCGACAAGTACTTGCCAAGGAGGAAGCACCGGATCTTTCTGTTCATCGCATATCTGTTCCTGTGGCTCCTGACATTCTCCATTGTCAAGCGGCAGGAGAGCCGCATCACCGAGATCAAGCCCTGGGGTAAGCCACAGGAGATTGGCTGCGGTGCTTACTTCTGGGGCCGGGGCAACAGCTGTGACCTGAACGGAAATAAGTGCCGCCCGTTCAAGGGCAGCGAGTTCCCATTCAGGTGTCCCGCAAACTGTGCGAGCTATCAGCTGAGCGAACCGCGGGCGGTTGGCGATCAGGAGGTCAACTACCGACAGCTCGTCATCGGCGGGCCGGTCAACGACACTGACGGGCAAGGGGCTTATCGAGGCGACTCTATTATCTGTGGCTCCGCAATCCACGCTGGGGCTATTACCAATGCTGAGGGTGGCTGTGGCGTGATCAAGCTTGTTGGCACACGGCACAGCTACAGCAGCACCCTCCGACATGGCATCGAGAGCATCGGCTTCGACTCATATTTCCCTCAGTCCTTCCTCTTTGAGAAGTCGGTTCAGTGCAGAGCTCGAGATATGAGATGGCCCTTGCTCGTGGTTGATGTTGTCTACACGACAATTTTGTCCTTATTCACCACGTCACCGGCACTCTTCTTCTTCACCGAATTCTCGGGCATTTTCTGGCACGTCGGCTTGGTCTCCGACCCTCCAACGCACAGCTCTTTCCGGGAACTTTTTACTATCATCGTTGGGAAATATGTGCCTGTCATGTTTGTAGCCTGGGTCATATATGACAAGATGGCAGTGCGCCGGACCCTCACAGGACTGACAGCACAGATCGAAAAGACCGTCTTGTGGCTCGGCGCATGCTGGGTGGGGGCACTCGATAATTATACCCTCAGCCCTAACATACCTATAAACAGACTGAACGCCCACGATATCTCCCAACAGCCTGGCGGAGTGCTCGCATTGATCATCATCGTCAGCATCATTGCCTTGATCGTGGTGAAACAAGTCTGGTTCTTCCGTCAGGAAGGACGGCTCATCCGGTACGGAGCACTCTACCTCGGCCTTGTTGGAGGCGTTATACTCCTCATCTTCCTGAAGATCTGGGACCTCAACCTCCGGCTCCATCACTATTTCCTCGCGCTTCTGCTTCTTACAGGCACAAGCATGCAGACCCGCCCTGCTCTTCTCTACCAAGGCCTCTTGGTAGGGCTCTTCATCAACGGGATCGCCCGCTGGGGCTGGGACCCCATCCTGCAGACGTCATATGCCCTACGAGGCGATGGGCAGCTTGGCTCCGTGCTGCCCACACTCGCAAACGCGCCGGACATCCAGGTGGGGAGCACAGTGTCAAACATCACCTTCCAATGGGAATCACCACCAAAGAGGAACCTCAGGCTCGACGGCATCAGCCTTCTCGTCAATGATGTGGAGCGGTTCAGAGGCTTCTTCGACGACGACGAAGACTTCGAAGACAAGACCTTCACGTGGAACAGGAAAGCCAAGAACGAGGTGAAGGAGTACTTTCGCTTCGCCTATGTGTCTGGGACGAGGAGTCTGGACTACACCAAGGCCGGGGTGTGGGACAAGGACCTCGAATGGGAAGCTATGAAGCCAGGAGCGTCGAGCATTGGCAAGCGCAGCATTGATGGCGAGGTCAAGATAGAACTCTGAGTGGACTCGCACCTATGAATGTTTGGAAACAAAAAGACCTAGGTACAGGTCGAACTAGAGTGTATAGACCATTGTGCATTTCTTATTCCCAGATAGCGGCTCGATCATATACCGAGATCTTATGTGTTTATCAAAACGGTCCGCAACGTAGATACCGGTATGCACAAGTTCTTCCGCAACATGCTAACAACAAGAGGTAATAGTTGAAGGCCACCACAAGCCCAGCCTACTTGCCACCAGCGCTCAGCCTCACGCGCACGGGGAAGCCATCCTTGACGTGGCCGGTGATCTCGCCGAACCCCATCGTCTGGTACGCCTTGTCGCCCAGCGCCTCGGGCGCGCCGGCGGCGTACGCCGGCTCGATCTCGAGGTCCCGCACCGTCATGGCCAGGATGGCGCGCATCTCGACCTGCGCCAGCTCCTGCCCGATGCAGTTGCGCGGGCCGAGCTCGAACGGCCGCCACGCGTTCTTGCGCGGGTGCAGCGGGTCCGCCTCGTCGCGCGTCATGAACCGCTCGGGCAGGAACTCGTCCGGCCGCGGCCAGTACTCGGGCATGCGGTGCGCGGCAAAGTGCGTCGACCACAGCATGAAGCCCTCGGTCGGGTAGACCTTGCCCGTGGCCGGGTTCGTCAGGAAGCCGCCCGGCTCGCCGACGCGGGCCGTCGCCGCGGGGGGGTACAGCCGCAGCGTCTCCTTGATGACGGCGCTGGTGTAGGGCAGCTGGCTCAGCAGGCTCGGGTCCGCGGCCAGGCGCGCGAAGGCCTGGCTCGTGTCGGCGCCGAGGACCTGGTCGTGCTCGGCGCGGATCCGGGCCAGGACCTCGGGGTGCCGGTAGAGGCGGCTGTAGGCGAAGGAGACGGTGGAGGCGGTCGTGTCGTGGCCCGCGAAGATGAAGATCTTGAGCTGCGAGATGGCCATGTCGAGGAATTTCGGGTCGACGCGCGGGGACGCCTTGGCGGGGCCGTTGGGCTGCTGCTGCACCTCGGACCGGAAGGCGTTGACGGCGAGGTAGTTGATGGTCTTGACCTGGGAAACCTCGCCCCTGTCCAGGCGGGCTATGTCGTCCTCGATCAGAGGGGTGAGGTACTTCTTCATCTTGTAGTTGTTCCACCACAGCATAAAAGGTCTTATTGGGATCATGGATTTGATCTGGTTCGGGAGACTTGAGTCACAGACAAGCCACCAGATCTATGGTGCCCCAGGTCAGCTCACAATCATGGCGGGAACGGGGGCTGATCCTCGAACCTGATTCTGCAAGGTCGTGACAAAGTCGTTGGGTGATGTTTGGCTGTGTAGTCTGGTTCCCCTGTTGAAATAGTCAGCAAGGGCTCGGGTGCCCAGAGGTTCTGATTGATATCCCGAAGGCAATATCTCTGAGTTGTTCACTCACAGTGCTGCCCGGAAGATGACATCGACCGTGGCCCGCTGGATCGTCTCCTCCATCTTGATCACCTGGCCTGTTCCGGCAACCTTGACAAGCCTTTCCTTGAGCACTTGGATCTCCTCCAGAAAGGCGGGCACCAGCGCGGTCAAGTTCTTGGCCGAGAAACCCGGGTTGAAAACGCTTCGCCACGTCTTCCACTCCTGGCCCTCCATCGAAGAGAGGTCATTGAGGCCGGTGAGGGGCTCAAGCTCGGCCTTCACCATGGGTGACTTGAAGTACGACTTGTCCTGAGTAAACTGGGGCATTATCTCGGGGTCGAAGGCAGCGGCGGTCGGCTCCCCGAATGGCCAGGAATCAAAGTACACAATGCCCTCCTTGACGATCTCGGGATAGGCCTGGGTCAAGGCATATACAACGCCGAGCTTAGCGCTTTGGCCACAGTCGTCAGCGATTGTCTTGCAACCCTCTCCTCTTTACCGTCATTCACGTGTCGAGTAGTACTTACAAATCCCTAGGGTAAGCAGCAAGAGCCTTGCCAATGACGACGAGATGACCGAACAGGAATGAGTGAGGCAAGGTGGGCTGAGCACGTCAGTTTCACATTCGTAAATACGTTTTCAGGGGGGCATGTTTCCTCTCACAATGTCATATTTTTTCATCGTGTTCCGGAAGCTCGTCCTGGCTTGAAAGAGCCGCACGAAGAACAAGGCCAGCCCGGCCAGCGCTGCGATGCCGAGGGACCTGAACACCAGGGCCGCGCTTGGCTCTGCGCCACTCAGGAACGAAACAGCCATTGTGACTGTGTTGTGAGCGGAGGCACACACAGAGTAAACCTTGCCGGTGTGGTTCGTGTTCTCGGGTTAGTCTGCACTTCCACGAAAAGAAGAAAGAAAAAAAAGGAACAAGGTCGGTGGGTGTGAGTAGCAGAGGGTGGGTAAATAAAGGTGCCGGACGCTCACGTATTATTAGTCTGCTTTGGTAACTTGAAGGGAGGGGCTCCAGAGTCTAACATTGAAGGCTGAAGCAACAGGGTCCCAAAGTTCACGTCCACGATCCTGGCTTCCCCAATCTGCAATCTGCACCGCAGCAATGCGACCTCGGAATTATCGGGGCATAAAGTTGCCGTACAGCCGAGTCCTCTCAGGTCGTGTTCTAACGGTAGAGAGAGATTAGAATGCACACAGTAGCTAGAGCTGAGAGCTTATCCATAACGAACATGGTGTGGTTCAGCTCTTGAGGCCCAGGCGTGCCTGATTCGAGCGGCCCACTGTCCTGTGGCATTCTGGAGACAAGCTACGTGGTGGGAGACCGGGGGTCATCCGCACTGTTTGACGCCGAGGCTCACGCACTACTTAGTACTCAAGTATCACAGGATACCTGTGTACTCGGTAGTCTACCTACCTATCCGTCGCCTATCTGGCCCCTCCGAGAGAATAAAGAGAGCTAGTCGCTGAGGATACTACATGAGCTCACGAGCAACATCAACATCAACATTCTACCATGTAGAGCCGCATCAAGTGACAGACGCATGATGTAGTGGAGCCGGGAGCGTGATGCGCCTGTTGGGCCCAGGGCTCAGGGTTCAGGGCTCAGCGACTCCACAGGTCTGGAATCCTACAGGCCTAGTGTACTCCGTAGAATGGTTTGTTGGTGCTAATCGAGTCCGGATGGTCTACCCATTGGTTGTTGGGGACCAACCGGTCCTCGTTGGTTCAGCCAAGAGATCCTATACGGGTCCGCCCGTAATAGGCCCATCCACCGCGTTAAATGCTTGTTGACGCCATCCCGAGTCGCCTCGCGTAGTACATTGGGGAAAAGATGGGGGTGGCCGTCTTGTGATATACCGATATAGCTCGATTTTCCACCTTACCACATTTCGCTTGCATCGTGGGATCCGGCCTTGAGAGGTACTTATGACACTCTGACCTTGACTTATCTACCAATTAATCTCAGTTCCAGGAATGGATGGAACTGATGGCATGGCTAGAACCATGCGTGACTTCAGTGGTCTCTCGATGTTTTCTTGATCCAGCAACAGTTTGAATTCCCTCGTGCCTGTACGGTATAAGTAGTAGATAATATTCGATGGTCATAAATGTAGATAAAGCATGTTTCTCAGGCAATTCTGGCCAAATCAGAACATCCGACATCTTCAATGTCATAAACATCAAGACCTAGAACCAGGTTCCCGAGGCGCCATGGGCTTACATTTCTATCTCAAGGCTACTGTTATTGCACTTATAGCTCTTGAAACAGGAATACCTAGGTAGCTAAGTATTCCAACCCCTCCATAGCCACAGTTCCTACGGCAAAACATCAAGTTCATAACATGCTTCATTAAGATTCTACTGATATCAAATGGAGACTGCATCTTGAGACGTCTTGAATCAGTCAATACATTCACTAATCAATGTTGTATTCTGTCCCTAAGGCTCATGTTGATACGCGGAAAGCACTAACGGAAACTATATATAGATTGTGTTTATATTCTATGTTGCATATATATATTTAGTCTGTTGTCATTACATCAACCCAGCATAGCCCTTGACCCAGACATCACTCACACCTCATACATCCTCAACATCTCATCCCCAAGCAGCCTCCCCATCGCCCCCTTCTCAAGACACAAGCTAACATCAAAGTCCCCCGTGCCGTCCGCAAGATCCATGACCTGCAGCAGCCCGTCCATCCGCGGCATCTTGCCCTGCACGTAGACCGGCCTCGTCCCACCATCACACTCACCACCACCACCACCACCATCACCACAAAAGTCAACCTCGTACGCCCCGGCCCGCACCCACGACGTGACCAGCGTGTGCTGGCCCCCGACGAAAGCCTGCCACAGCCTCTGCGGGCTGACCTCGTGCGCCGCGTCGTGGATGTACGCCGCGACGGCCTCGGGCGTGAACAGCGCCATCATCCTGCGGATCCCCACCGCGATGGCGCCAAGGGGGACCCCGGCCCTGGCCCTGGCCCCGGCAGCGGACGACGACGGGGAAGAAGAAGAACACACGTCCCTGCCCCGCCTCGCGACGTGGCCCAGCAGGATCGGCGAGCCCGCAAACGAGCCCGGCAGCGGCGGGCTGACGCGCGCCCTCAGGCCCAGCGTGACGTCCAGGTACACCGTCTCCGCGGCGGCGTGGAGGCCCCGGGCGCGGTTGATGAGGATCCACATGTGCGCGAGGAGGGCGTCCAGCCGGGAGATGGCCGGCGGCTTCTCCTTCTCCTCCTCCTCCTGCTCCCCCTCCCCGCCGTTGTCGCCCTGCGCGGCCCGCCTGATCCGCGCCACCTCGCCCGCGCCGAACCGGATCTGCACGTGCTCCACGGGCGCCGCCATGTCCCACGTCGGCCACGGCGGGAACGTCGACGGGCTCAGCCTCGTCACCACCCCGCCGGGCTGGTCCGGGGGCCTCGTCGCGTCCGAGGACGCGGTCGCCCACGCGGGGTAACCCGGCGCCTCGGTGGCCCACCAGTCGTACCGGTGCATGGGCAGCGAGCGCGCGAGGGCGACCTTTTCGGGGTCCGGCTCGGTGCTGGCCCCCGTGAGCCCGGCGTGCTGGTCGAGCAGCGCGGGCTCGAAGACGGGCCTCGGGGGCGTGCTGCCCGTGGGTTCTGTGAGTCCTCCCCCGGCCACGAGCGCCCGCGACCTCGCGGCCCACGCGTGCACGAAGCCCAGCAGGCACACCGCGTCGGCGAGGCAGTGGCTCATCACGACGCCGACGGCCCACCCGCCGCAGGCGAACCGGGTGATCTGCACGGCGACACCAGGGAGCCCCTCGAAGTCGGCCAGGCTCGCGGTGAAGGCCAGGCGGCGCCGGGGCAGCAGCTCGTCCTGCGGGAAGCCCGTGGCGTGCCACGTCTTTTGCGCCGCCCTGCGGTCCTCGGGGCTGGGCACGACGCCCAGCAGCGGGCGGTCGTACTCGGCGCACACGAGCTCGACGCCCGGGTCGGCGGCCGGGGAGCCGTACGAGACGAGCGGCCGCCCGACGTGGCGGGGGTTGGGGTCGCCGGGCTGGACGTCGTCCCTGGTGGCCCACCGCAGCTGCCCGGCAAAGTGGCGGTAGTCGTCGAGGGTCTCGCGCAGGGCCTGGCGGAGGCGGCTGTTGTGCAGCGTGCTGTCGTGCGACGCCTGCGTCGGGTTGTAGAGCCAGACCGCCCCGCAGGCCGCGAAGCGCGCCACGGACGCATCGATGATGGACAGCCTTGTCACCGTTGGCTGGTCTGTCGGGGCGGCTGTTGCAGGGAACACTCGTTCGCTGGAGATGACCCGAGAGGAAGGCTGCGTTGACCCCATCGTCCCATCACTTGTGGATGAGAAGCGGTTGTGTTATGAAGAAACAACGATTTTGGATGGCTGCGAGTCTTGCCTCATAGCATCGCCCAGACCAGGGCCATTCATTGTATGTTGCATGCATCATCGTGGCCTCTTATACGACCGGCTTCACTGGGGTGTCTGCTCCGCAGCCTGCATGGCTGGTGGTGGATTGGATCGCCGTGTTAGGAAGCTAACTTGGCGGACGAGGTTGGATTCCCAGAGCCTTACGGTGGGTTCGTAGGCGCTAATGCAGCCAAGTTCCTCCCCACGGCGAGGAGTCACAGCACCTCATTATGATTCATAGTTTTGGTAGGTGTCTGTGCAGTTCTGCTGGCGATACATTGCAGCGGCTTTTTCAGTGACTTGTACATATTCAGGCTGCCACATTGGTCAAAAAGTCTCAGCGACAATACATGTGTGCAGTGCACAATGTGAGGAGCCGACTGCTCAAGCGGCAGCCGACTCAACGCTGCCATGAGAACCTCGGAACGTGACTGCTCGAAAGTGGGATTTACTCAGTGTTAAAAAAGAGATGGACGGCGGATGACCACTCCTAGAAAAGGGCCGATATAGCTACACCCGGGTGCGCACTCTACCTGGGTAGACCACCCGGCCACTGTCCCGCGAATGTCTGAATAACTAAGAGATGGCAAACAAGCCTCTTGAGGAACAGGCACGTAATTCCATCGCGACCTTAACTATATGCGATGCTCGAGACAGCAGGAGAACCGATGCAAAATGCCAGCCCCTTGTATCTAAGTTGTATCGCCAGGAATGTAATGCGGAAGTTGACGTCTCATTCACAGACTGCGGAAGCTGAAATTCGCCGAATCAGCATATCTCACAGGGTAACAGGATGTGTGTTGACTACGGGAGGGTTTGCGCTCAGAGCACTCACAACTAGAAAGAAATCTCCGACATCTTGGAAAAATCTACGACAGCTTTGCCTCGATGGCAGCTTTCAGGGCTGTGGACTAATTAGCATGCCGTCAAGGCCCGGTGTTCTGTGGATGAACATACCATTGGTGGACTTGCTGGCATCACCAAACAACATGCGTGTGCCAGGCATGTAGAACATGGGGTTGGGTACGTCAGCTACAATATCAGTCAGCATTGTGCACAGTCAGAACCCCCGGGATCAGGCGGTGGGAAACTCACCGTAGCCACTCGCCATTCCTCTCTTCATCACGATAGTCTGCTTGCTCTTCCAGGCGTGCAGCACCGGCATGCCAGCGATCGGGCTGTTGGGTTCCAGGGCGATGGGGTTGACGGTATCGTTGGCACCAATGACTAGAGTGACATCCGTGTCTCCAAAGTCATCGTTGATCTCGTCCATCTCGAGCACGATGTCGTATGGCACACTCGCCTCTGCGAGTAGCACGTTGCACTGGCCGGGCATGCGGCCAGCAACAGGGTGGATGGCGAAGCGGACGTTGATACCCTTGGCCCGGAGCATCTTGGTCATATCCGATATGGCGTACTGTGCCTTCGCGACAGCCATACCATAGCCGACTACTATAATGACATTTTCCGCGTTGACCAACGCATCCGATACATCCTCAACATTAGTCTGTGTCACGCTGCCTTCGATCTTGTAGTCGCTTTGCTGAGGCGCAGCGATACCGCCAAAGAGAACATTGGTCAGTGACCGGTTCATGGCGACACACATGATGTATGACAGAATTGAACCAGAAACCCCGATAAGAGCGCCAACGGTCGTCAGGAGCGGGTTCTCGAGCATGAATCCCTCGGCCACGAGGGCAAAACCAGAATAGGCGTTGAGGACTGTAATGACAACAGGCATGTCGGCACCGCCGATTGCCGCGGTTGTAGTATATCCCTTGATGAATGACAGGGCCGTGTTCGCTGCGAGCGCACCAGCAGCAATCATTGGCGCCCCGGGTGCCATGGTCACGAAAGCGCCCATCGTGCCGATATTGGTTGCCAGAAGACCGGAATTGATGACATGTCGGCCTGGGAGGATTGTAGGTCGCGACGACATCCTTCCTGCGAGCTTCATGAATGCGACAATAGATCCGGTGAATGTGATGCCACCTGAGGTACATTAGCAGTGATGTCTGATATTGAACCTCGCTTACTTACCAATCAAGACACCCAGGTAGGCAGTGACCAAATGCAGTGTTGATACATGATCTAGATCGGCCATGACGCTGCCAATGGAGGTCAACACCGCTGCCAGTCCGACCACCGAGTGAAGAGCAGCGACAGTCTGAGGAAGATCAGTAGGCGTGATCCGTTTGCCGATTAAGAATCCTAGTCACGTTAGCAAATATTAACTCTGGCTGGGTATACTCGTTTGTACTTACCAAGAATGCTGCCCACGGTTGCAAGAGCGCCAAATTGAGTCAGAACCTCGGGCGAAAAGCCCACAGCAAGGAGAGATGCCAAAACGCCAGATCCTACTCCGAGAATACCGAGCGCATTCCCCATTCGTGCCGTGGCTTGCGACGCGAGGCTGGAGAGACTGCTGATGCACAGCACGGAGCTGACCATGTATCCGGCTTGGACGAGACCGGCTGCCCCAGTTGACGCGGCAGCCAGGTAGCCACCTCCAAACACAACTGCGGGGATTGCGTACAGCCAAGGATACTCCGGAGGGTCAGTTGGGCGCTTGAACATGTCAAGCATTCGCTTCGTAATGACGAATCCTCCAGAAACATTCACAAAAGCGAGGATGACGGACGCCGCGCCGAAAGCTTGAGGGATGGTCTCGGGGAGGTAACCTCCTCCCAGGACGAACAGACCACCGATTCCGACCATGCCGGAGATGGCATTTGTCACAGACATCAGAGGAGAGTGAAGAGCAGGCTGGACTCCCCAGACCACGCGATAGCCAATCAAGCCAGCCAGGCCGAAGGTGAAGGCATTGCTCATGAACGCTGGGCCAGTGAGCTTCCCTAGAGCCAAAGCCGTAGCCATGCCACCTGTAACAAAACCGACTTCTCGGGAAGTCTTTTGGAACGGAGTCAAGGCAACCACTTCTTCCTCTTTCGCTGCTGCTGTCGAAGGGGCGGCCGGGGCGGGTGGGGGTGCTGGACGTGGAGCCGGTGGTATGATCTCTCCCTTTTGGGTGACAATGGAACCCCTAACAACTTCATCGTTCAGGTCGATGCCAAATTCCTTCTCAGCAGGGGTCATGGACAGAAGGAACTTGACGATGTTGTTGGAGTATAGAGTGGACGATTGCGTAGGCAGCCTTGAGGGAAGATCAGTGTAACCTTGGGCGCGTGTTAGCCAGTAAGCTTCGTTGACTATGCATGTTCATGCATGCTAGACTAACCGATAATTTTGACGTCTTGATATGTAGTAAGCTCGCCTGGGACGGTCTTTTCACAGTTCCCGCCAGCCTCAGCCGCTAAATCGACAATGACGGATCCAGGCTTCATGATTTCGACCATGGCCTTCGTGATGAGCTTTGGAGCTGGGCGGCCTGGGATCAGAGCAGTTGTGATGATGATGTCAACCTCGCGAGCCTGCTCGGTGAAGAGCTTCATTTCGGCCTCGATGAATTCCTTGGACATTTCCTTCGCGTAACCGCCGGCGCCGGAGCCGTCTTCCTGGAGTTCTACCTCGATGAATTCGGCACCAAGCGACTGGACCTGTTCGCGCGCGGCAGAACGCGTGTCAAAGCCCCGAACGATGGCTCCGAGCCTCCTGGCTGTTGCGATAGCACTCAGTCCGGCGACACCTGCGCCGATCACGAGGACCTTGCAAGGCGGGATCTTTCCAGCGGCTGTGACTTGACCAGTGAGAAAACGACCAAAGTTGTTGGAAGCCTCCAAGACCGCCTTGTAACCAGCGATGTTGGCCATGGAGCTGAGAGCGTCAAAGACCTGCGCCCTGCTGATGCGAGGGATCATGTCCATGGCAAAAGCGGTAGCCTTCTTTGCGGCGATCTTCTCGACGAGGGGCTTGTTCTGGGCGGGCTGGAGGAAGCTGATGATAGTCTGGCCCTCGCGCAAGCTGTCTGTTTCGGCAGGGCTAGAGGGAGCGCGGACCTTGAGCACAATATCTGACTGCTGCCAGATGGGAGAAGCATCATCGACAAGAGTGGCGCCGGCTTTATCGTAGGCCTCATCGAGAAAATCAGCTTCGGCGCCAGCGCCGCGCTGGACAAGAACCTTGGAGAAGCCCTTCTTGAGCAGGAGGGCGACATTCTGGGGGGTGATGGCAACGCGCTTCTCGTTGGGAAACGTCTCACGAGGAATACCGACAGTCAGCTTAGAGTACGGAGTGGTGGGCGGCACGACGGCGGTCGAGTAGCTCGCACCGGGAGCTGCAGGTGGCGGGACCGGAATGTTGGACAGCACGGAAGCATGGCGGACCAGCTCGAGCGGCTGTTGCTTGCGGACGACAACCGACAGAGGGGACACGGCAGCATTCTTCTGCCCGCGAGCCGAGTGCCATTGGTAGTGTTGGCGGTAGGAGAACGGGCGGTTGCGAGCAACGACAACAGGGGCAAGATCTAAGGATATCAATTAGGGTTCGGTTACACAGATGCAGCCCATTGACTCTAGCTTTGAGGCTTGTTCTCGCGTGGCAGTTTGGCATGCTTACCCAGGACGCGCGAGGACCGCTGGAAAAGAGCTTCAACAGCTGGGGCCGAGGAGAAGTGGTTGTTGTGGGCCAAAGCTGGCCGCGCCACAGTCCACGACGCCATGATAGGCGACGAGGTCCTGACTGACGGACTGATGGACTGGCGGACTGGCTGGCCTAAGGACTGACTGCCCGCAGTCTGCGCGACGAGCGTCTATTCAGCCGGTTGTTATCATCTGCCAGGAGGGAGCGATTGGGCTCGACGTTGAGGGGGCTCCCGACTCCCCAGCCAGACACCAGATAGGCTTCACGAATCTGAAAATAGGATGGAATGCTGTACGATTGCACGATGTTTCTCACATTCCTCGAGGGGCTCTAACAGAAACCCAGACAGGCGCGCATGAGGGCCTCGAGGACACAGTTGCGGGAGCCAGGTTTGGGGAAACAGCTGGCTTGTGAAGGAGACAGAGGTAAGGTCGCACCAGAGGTCAGGACGGACAGGACGGAGAGGGTCCGTTTTAGACTTCGGGCGGGAGGGAAGGAGGAAAGGGCCGAACAGCCTGCACGAAGTAGCATCAGGGGAGCGCGCCTTCTCCAAAATGTTGGAGCCTCGCATCTGAGCTCGAAGCAAAGCAACCCAAGGTTCCAGCTGTGCCCCGTCCCTACGTGTACCATGCCCCTCATGAGTCCCCTCCAGCAGCGAGGTGGTGGGTGGAAAGTGACATGTCGATCATGAGGGAGTCATGCCACTAGGCCCACCGCACCCGCTGTACCCACCTACCAAATCAGGACCGGTAGCGCTTGGCTGGGCCCACCCCCGCATTTTCCAGGGAAGCTGTTACGGTCCAACTCAAGGGCCAGGGATATATCTACTCCGTCGACGAACCAGCCCCTTCTGTACCGAGTACCTGGGCAGCTGGGCAGCCGTGGCTCCCCTGTCTGCCTGTATTGCAATCTAGGTAATACTGTAGAAATCCCAGGTAAGTGCAAACACACTGCAAGCATTAAATGGACGGTGGGCAGCCCATGATGGCAAACACACTTTACCCAGAAGTATGGCCGTCCCTCTGTGACACGACGCCTGGACGCCATCTCCCAATTGAGCAGCCGCCAGGCGGGTGAAACCAAGAAACGCGCTCGGCCTAATCCTCATCGTCGCCATCCCTGGCCTGTAACACCCAGCAATTGTGGGGTAACAATGCGGGGGAGCAGACCTTGGCCTGGCTTCTCTCGGCCAGGTCTGGTGGTGGGCTATTCTTGTCGGGAGCCTGGGCCGTCTTTTCAACTTGCTAACTTGGAACTGTCGTCGGCCAAAGGCTGCCGACTGCGGGCCGACTGGACTAACCTCGCTCCGCCATCAACAGCCGCAAGAGCTAACAAAGATGGTCTGGCTCTAAAACAGAGCAGAGATTCGTGTAGCAAAAAACAGAGGGTACACAAGTATGTTATTTACTCTTATACTATAACTAGGGTATTTAAAGTATATTATTTAACTTATTTAAATAATCTTATTATTTATTTATATAATATTTTTAAATTTAAATTTTAATTAATTTATAAATATTTATTAACTTTTAAAAATTAAAATTTTAATATTTTTTTAAAAAAAAACTAAACTTATTAATATAATTTAATTAATAATATAAATTAAGGAAGAAAATATTAAAATAGTAATAAAAAGAAGAAGAGTATAAAAAGTAAGGAGGTAGGAGGGGAGGAGGGGAGGAGGGGAGGAGGGGAGGAGGGTAAGAAGGGTAGGAGGGTAAGAGGATGAGAATATGTATAGTTAGTGTACCTTCTAGTCTTTTACTATGTGAATCCCTAATCTCTTAAAAGAATCGCTATTTGCTTTAATGGAAAAAGGTCCTAGTGTCACGCAAGGCGGATTTAAAAGCCTTTAATTTATAAGTACCTAGGTAGTCCATTACTTACCATGGGTTAAACTATCGATGCCCCTGCCCTTGCCAGAAAAATACACAGAAAAGAAGAAGAAGAAACAGCAATACAAAATAGCTTCTGAGTTGCTCCTGAGTCTCCTGGCTACTACCCCTATAAGTTATAATAGGCCCCACTGTAAGTAATACCGCTCAAGCGCCCCAGGGCGTTCATGGGCGGAAGTCCAGTCCATCCGTCACATTTCCCCAGCGAGAGTGCAGGTAGTCCGCAAATGGGCTCACTCGTCGAGGCGCCCACGGCCCCTTAACCCCGTATACAGGCAGGCGCTCATCCACCTTCCGACGGTATGTCGAATCAAGCGGCCACACGCGACTCGTCTCGACCTTCGCATCCTCAGGGGCACGAGGCGTCGCAGACGCCGCCTGCTCCTGCTGCATGTACGCGATCAGCCGCAAGAGGATCCGGGCAGTAGCATCGGCCCCCAGCGTCCAGGCGCCGTCTGTGTACCCCATCATCCAGACCATGTTCGGCACTCCGTCGAGCATCGCCCCGTTCCATATCAGCCTCTGGCCCCAGGAGATGGCCTGTCCGTCGACCCGCAGGTCGATTCCTCCTCCGAACTTCATGTTCAGTCCCGTGGCCGTGATGATCGTGTCAGCCTTGACAAAGGTGCTATCCGAGTCCTTCATCAGGATGCCGGACGCGACCACTGTTCCGATCTCGCCCGTGACGACGTTAACGTTCTCGCGGGAGAGGGTCTTGAAGAAATCCGAATCCGGCGCTAGGCAAATCCGCTGAGTCCAGGGCGTGTACCTCGGCTCAAAATGAGGCTTTGGATTGATGCGCTTTGGTAGCGAGTACGCCATCTCTTTCTTGAGCACCCATGCTGCGGCGTTGGGAAATGTCCTACAGAAGAGGACTACGAGGTAGCTGAAGGATATGTGGAAGAAGCGCTCCCAAATCAAAACCCAGGGGAGTGGGAGCAACTTTCGAAGCCACGGGGATAGCGGTGTCGAGTTGGCCTTTTGGGCGATGTAGCTGGGGCTGCGCTGGATCATTGTTACCTCAGCAGCGTCTGGCGCAAGTCGTGGGAGAAGAGTGATGGCAGTAGCCCCGCTGCCAATGACAGCAACATTCTTGCCAGTGTAGCTGTATCGTGTCGGCCAGAATTGCGGATGAATAACATCGCCCTTGAACTGGTCAAGACCGGGGATGACCGTCTGGAGCGGGGTCTCATAGTCGTAGTACCCTGTCCCAAGGACAATGAAACGTGCCCTGATACGTATAGCTTGTTGTTCCACCACGAGTTCCCATTTCCGTGTTTTGGATGACCAGTTGGCCGAGAGAACCTTCTGCTGGTACTGGATATGCTGGTCGATGTGGTACCGCGACACGGCCTCGTTGACGTAGTCCAGTATCAGCTCTGCGTCGGCAAAGACAGTCTTGTGCGGCCATGGGTACCAAGCGAAGCTGAGGGAGGCTAGGTCCGAGTCCGATCGCACCCCGGGGAACTTGAACAAGTCCCAGGTGCCGCCGAGCTCTGCACGAGCCTCGAGGATGCGGTATCTCAAGTGCGGGGCTCCTTGCTGCAGCCGGTATGCGCAGTTGATGCCTGAGATGCCCGCTCCGATGATCACGACGTCAAGCTCCTGCGCTGACATGTTGGATAGGAGCACTTGAGGGTCAGTAGTGGTAAAGGTAGGAATGTAGATGTGAGGGGGCTGCAAAGGACTCGGATACCTAGTGGCCCCTGCAGGTGCCATGTGAAACACTCGGTTCAGTGATGGGTGAGTGTAACCTGAGCTACAGTACTTCCCCCACCTGTTACGCTACTACCGCGCCACAACTTCAAAGTTGGCATTACCTCATAACGGAGTCTGTGGCTGGACCAATTCCTATCTATGAACCTTTATTCCATAGGAGGTTGTCTTATAGGAGCCCTGGAGGGTATCCTATAGGCAGGTATCCTATCTAAGGATGGGAGAGTATCCTATAATAGGGTATTACAGATGAGGATAGGAGGGTGTCATATAGGAATGTGTCCTAAAAGAGAGTATCCTACGGGAGAGGTTGAGCTAAGCTGTATTACATTTAGTAAGATGTGTATTAAGGATGCTCTTCTAGCCTACTATAGGTTCGACCAGAAGCTACCCTAGGGTAGAGACTAAAGTAGTTATTTGGTTTCTATGGGAGTGGGACATTGGAGTCTAAGGAACATACACCAAAATAAGTGCCCAAAGGTAAACGCTCATTGGATTCTTCACGGATTGAATTGGATTGGATGATGTGCTTAGAACTACAAAGAGAAGATAAATTTCCTCACGGCGGTTGGTTGTGAGTTGGTTCTGGCGAATTTTCAACGTGCAATGTCATACACTTCAATTGCAATATTTCCACTTTTCGAAGTCTGAGATAACCTCAGTACTATTTCATTCATCACAGGACACAGCGACCGTCTTATTGTGTCGGCAAGGAAATCTACAGTTGTCACCGTCCTTGGTGCGTTCCATACTTCCATTGGAGACCCATCAATAAGTCTAGTTGAGTGCTCTTAGTCAGTAAAGCTCGCCCTAAAGCTTAATCCCACTGTGTAAGCATAAGCATAGTTTTATTTATTCACTGAGTAGCAGTAATAGCAAGATCTCAGAGGTATGACTTAGGGGCTTTGAAGATAGGAAACGCACAAATAAGACGTCTTGAAGTCGTCAGGCCAATCAATATCTTCAAGGACTTCTGTCCGGGTTGGTTGGAGGGCTTGGATAGTCTTGAGACAAGGGGCCGCATCTAAAGGGTATATCATTTAAAGCGGCAATTTTGACCTGATTCATACAGATTAGCGCCTTTTTTCATGTAGATATGTCACCACTAACTATATTCTGAACATCACCAACAGTCGCTGGTTGGATGGCGCCGAGGTAAGAGGGCGATGTATGTCTGGTCCAGCGTTGTGTAACCCGATCCATGTAGTGGTCATCAGACGCCAGGTAGATACCCTAGGGTACTAGCAGAAACCGAAAGGCGTCAACTGGTGGCCCAAAGAGCTCAGAGATGTTTGGCACAGAAGCTGCCGTGGAAACTTTTGCCATACGTGACCGGGAAGCATGATGGCTATGCGGATGCTCGATGGGACAAGTGGTGTGTCGCCGTCATCTCCACGTCTAGAATGGGTGACGCCATCTCATCATTATCAAGCAGCCATTTTTGGATTTTCTTTGTTTCGAAACTCGCAATGAATCCGCGATAGTAATACCCGGATTTTTACTCCAGGAACAGGCCCGACCAGAAACCCCGGAAGAATTCCGGATCCCATATACTTTGTGTCGCCAGATACGGGGCTCCACATGGCTGGCCACTCAAATTTGTGAGAGCCCCTCTGCAGGAAGCGATACCCAACTGCCCGGCCCGCCGGGCTTTGCCGGCGGAAGTGGCTTAAAAACAACTGCTCCGGCTGCCTATGCCAGATATATAGGAGCGCGCTGTTCCAATCACAAGTATCAGCTGATCGGTCCGAGAAAGTCGACTTTTACGTAGGAGCACTTGTTGACACACATTGTTCCACACTGATTACTCGATTCCATATTCCCCAAGGACAACAACATACATAGCCGGGATTTTCTTCAAATCAGAACATCCCGTCGTCAACATGGCCCCACCAAACAGAGCGGCACTCCTCACCAAGGCGAAGGAATACCCCCTGAAGATCGATGTCGTCGAGCTCCCGACTGCGGGCGAGGGCGAGATTATAATCAAGGTGGCAGCCATCGCCATCAACCCGATGGACTGGATGATCCAGACATTAGGCGATGATCTCTTCTCGTGGCTACAGTACCCATTCATCGGGGGCACCGACGTGGCCGGGACAGTTGTCGAGGTCGGGCCCGGCGTGACGGATTTTGAAGTCGGCAACCGAGTCCTAGGCCTGTCCATCGGCTTCGTCCCGCGCGAGGGCGCTTTCCAGGAGCATGTCGCCGTGAGGTACAACCTCGCCTCTATTATACCGGACACCCTCGGCTTCGCGGATGCCGCGGTGCTACCCCTGGGCTACACCACCGCGGCCGGCGCCCTTTACGAGCCAGGAAATCTCGAGCTTGAATATCCGACCCTCAATCCAACCCCCAAGGGCAAGACGCTGCTCGTGTGGGCGGGTTCATCCAGCGTCGGCACGAACGCCATCCAGCTGGCTGTGGCGTCGGGCTACGATGTAGTCACGACTAGTTCCCCCAGGAATTTCGAATACTGCAAATCTCTTGGCGCCTCACAGGTCTTTGACTACAACAGTCCCACTATCGTGCAGGAACTGGTCCAGGCTCTAGAAGGGAAGACACTGGCCGGCGGTCTCGCCATCTTCCCCGGCTCTGAGCAGTTTGTGTTCGAAGTGATCCTCAAGAGCCAGGGCGCCAAGGTAGTCGTTGCTGCAATGCCATTGGCGGAGGATAAGATCCCAGCGGGTCTGGATAGAGCGAAAGGGGTATTTGCTGGAAGTATCAAGGACAACGAGGTTGGCGCAATCGTCTTCAACAAGTACCTGCCCGAAGCTTTGACCTCTGGCAAATTCAGGAGCTTGCCCGCACCAGAGGTCTTTGGTCAGGGTCTCGAGAGCCTCCAAGGTGCGGTGGACAAGGTCAGAGAAGGTCTTTCGGCTAAAAAGGTCGTCGTGACCCTGTGATGGAGAGTAGGCACGGGAATGGGATCTGTATGTTTTATGGAAGTGTACCTAAGATAAGATTGCCTATAGTGTATATTAAGTAACTGGTTTCGCTTCTATTCCATATACGTCCGATGACACCTATCTTATTATAACTACTGTTATCGACATCGTATTCTTTCCAAGCGCTGGGTCTTGAGTGCTTACCACCGTATGAAGGCGCCATATATGTCCTCGGACGTATACGGAATAGGAGCGAAACCACATACGTCCGACCTCGGGATGACATACATGGCGCCTTCATACGGTGGTGTTGTATATATATTACACATTTTTGGAATCAGATTGATACTTTCAATTTCAGAAAGTAATGTACAGCTTACTTAACTACATTACGGACACTAACACCACCACATCTTCAAGAGTCACGACATGCCACTACGGAGTGGGCTATCTTACAGCAGGTTATCCCATAGCAGGTCATTCTATAGGAGTACCTGATAGAGGGTCATTCTACAAGATATCTTTCTATAAGATTTTGAACAGTGAGAAATGACCAGAAGGCTCATCATTCATGATGTGTCCGCCGAGAACAGATCGTATTTAATCTACGTCTGGATTTCGTGTGGTCCGCGCCGCTCCCCTCCCTGCCAGAGGCTACATGGGCCTCATATTAAACATGTCAGTAAGCCAGGCATCTCCAGATCCAAACGCTGATCCATAAGAAGATCCATATGCAGGTGCCGTGAGAAAGCCGCCCCCGTCGCCGCCCAGGAGGTCAGCACCGCCGCCGCCACCGACGTCGTCGAGGGCAGCAACCTCGTCCTTCCATGTAGCCTTCATGCTCTGGAAGACGGAGATGGCCCAGCCGAAGGCCTCATCCTCCCCGGCGGCGCCGGGGGGCGACACAGCTGTTGCTGCGGCCCTCAGCTGCTCGAACGTGGCGATGAGTTTGTCCAGCGCTGGGATGAGGTCAAGCGACTTGCGCACTGCGGGGCTGTACCACGGAGGATTATCGAGCGTGGTCAGCTTGTGCAGGCACACCATGACGCGCACGAGCTCCGAGTAGCTGAAGAAGACCATGTCGCCGTAGAGGCGGAAGTCGGTGGTGTGGAAAGTGTTGAGCCACGACCTGATGGAGTTGAGCTGGCCCTGGTAGACCTCGAAGCGCCTCAGGTCTGCGGTGTCGCTCAGTGGGGCCCGCCGTAGTGGCTGCTGCAGGTGGGCGATGGATGACTCTAAGATAAGGAGTTCTGTGAAGTGGAAGTGTTCGAGAATTACAGCTGGGAGAATTCTATGTGTCAGTGGATGAATGAAACAGGAGACGGGTGACAACACAGCGGTAGGGCTTACGATGGTTCCATACGGCGGAGCTGACGAGATGCTCGTTGGCCATGATGGACTGCAGCTGGGAGCGGAGGGCACCAAGGTAGACCTCACAGGTGTCTAGGCCGGCAGCTGGCAGGAACAGGGGATTCTGCAGCTGGTTTACGATTGTTTGCATACGAACGAGAGCAATCAGACCCCTGTCCTGGTCCAGGTTGCTGTTCTGGGCAAGATGTGTTGCGTACTCGTCGAGGTGCGAGGACCAGCGAAGCCCGTCGGGCCCCTTGAGTATGTGAGCAGACCTGGGATCCTGTCTGTCAGTGATGCTGATGAAAGAAAAGATCAGCAGCAGATGAAGAAGAAAAAAACATGAAGGGGGACCTAGGCGAAAACTTGCATCGAGGTGATGAGGAATGCCCCCAAAACCGCTCTCCGCTCATCGTTGCTGCGCTCTTGTCTTCCGCTGGGCTGTGGATGAGGACCGCAAAACACTTTCGGAGATTCTTCCGTGGGTGGTGGCTGGTGAAGGCCCAGGTTGTGTATCATTAGTACAATTAGCTGCGAAAATAAAGATGTGTAGATCTTCTCTCTACGCTGCAAGTGTGACCTGTCGATTGCATATTAGTCGTCTTCGTTGTAGGTGATCTAAACAGGAAATATGTTCCAATGGGACGATCTCCTAAAGAAAGGCCTCCTATGGGATAACTAGGTAGAGGATATCTGGGTAGACAAACCAGCCGAGGTAGGTGAGTAGGCCAAGTAAGAGATCCATGCTCTTTTCTCTTTCGATAACCACTCTTTGAAAGATGATGCTTCGGGCCTGGTCACCCAGGGCTAATCGTCTTTGGTTCGAAGTAGCCGTCACACTCATAATGTTGAGGTAGAAAAATGGGTAAGTCTCACAAAGTTGACGCGAGCTGGTGTGTGGAGTAATATAGACGAAGGGAAAGAAGAACTGTGACATCTCAGTACTGATTTGGGCCCCAAATCGAATAGTCTCATCACTCAAAAGTGATCCTGGAAATACTGACCACAGTCTCGTTCCTGAATTTGTTGAGTGCTTCCTGTGCAGCGGCAGAGGAAGGCTCATTTTCATTTGGAAGAACCCATTCTGGAGATGGCGCAGCGGTGACACAGGTCGTCGAGCTTGTGCCATTCGTTGTAGGAGGAGTTGGAATAGCTGATGAGAAGGTCTCTTGGTGATCCTCAGCTTCATCACCGCTATCTTCCTCATCGTGCTGCTGCTCGTCGTCGTCATGCTCCTCATCCTCCTCCACGCCAGGTCTGTGACGGTTGCTACTGAGACTGGGTCTACCCCTTTCAGCTCGCAGCAAAGAGACCAAGTCGTCCAGCTTTTCCTCCAGCCGGAGCGTGCGCGAGGCGTTTGCCGCTTTTCCTCGGGGCTTATGTCGGCGTACCAGAGTCGACGGTACGCACTCTTTCTTTAGCCGGATGCACCTGTCACCCTGGGTCAGAACCCACTTCCTTGGATGTCATCGTTACAGACTGGCAGAATTTACATCCGCCGTGTCGCTGTGAAAAATATAAAACGCTGCTAAGAGTGAACAGCATCTATTTACTTGCCTCTCGCAACCGAGTCCATCTTGACGATAGATGCACTTGCATTTCACCTTGGCGCAGTTCATGCATGCCTTGCTTGCCGGACCAGGGGTCGGGCCCGCTATGAGGGGCCGGTTCATGTTGTGGCCCACGTTCGTACCTGGGCGGGCAGTGAGGATATCGGGGAGCCAGCTGCTGCCGCTGGCGGCGGACGAGGACAGGAGGTTACAATATGTGAAGGTACGGAGTAAAATTGTACGAGCAGGCGACGGCACGGCCGGCGGATGACCGTTGGAACGCCTAGGTATGCGTCAGGAGATGACAGGAATTTTCATTTGCCATTGTGGAACTGTTGGTCTGTAAGCGACAAAGAGGCTGCGCCGCGCGGCAGATACGGCATGCGTGCCGGTTCCGGTTGTATAACACGGTATGGGCCAATGCATTACACTCATGTTTGCCCACCTGGGCACTCCTGTATATGGCCAACTTTGAAAACAATGCGATTGAGACAGAGCAGAACTCAATTATTTTTTTCTTGCACGCAGCTAGCCCTGACTGGCATGAGATTTTAGGATTGTCTTTTCCCAGACGAATCCCTCTCTTCTTTGACCTGTCCTCGAGCACCAGACGACCAATCCAATACGCTCATCCCAAGGCCCAGCTGTATCGAGCCAAGAATGTCTTCAACACCGGAGAAATCCTCTCATGCGGTAGAAGTTGGCTCTAACGGGCGCGACTTGTCTACCAGCAATAGCAGCACCAAGGAGACCTCCGCGGCGCAGTTCCCGGCCTCCACCGAGGACGCTGAGAAGGCAGACAGCAGCGCTAAGGGAGCTGGCGATGGGACCAACTACATCAGCGGGGTCAAACTGGGTGTAGTTGTGGTCTCCGTCTCGCTTGCTTGCTTCCTGACCGTGCTGGACATCTCCGTCATTAGCACCGTGAGCTCATCATGATCCCTTCCGCTCCCCCACCCTAGCCCAGGAGTTGTCCTATGGGGGGATATCCTATAGAAACTTATCCTAAAGGAGGATTTCCTAGAGAAGACTATCCTCTAGGAAAATATTCTATGGGGAATACCCTATAGGGGGCTGTCCTACGTGCAGTTATTCTGTCGAGGATTGTTCTATAGGAGGTTATCCCAACTTCTGTATAGACCATGACTGACAGCGGCTTCAAACTTAGGCTATCCCTCAAATTACCGATGACTTCAAGTCTCTTGTTGATGTTGGCTGGTATGGAAGCGCATACAATCTTGGAAGGTCTGTACCTGCCCCTGCGTGAAATCATCCGACACCGTGGCCCAACCTAAGCTGACACAAACCCTCTCCAGTGCTGCCCTCCAGCCTCTCACCGGAAAGATATACAACCATTTCAAATTGAAGGTACGTCCAATTACAGATCTGACCACCCCCATAATATTGGGTCACCCGGATGCGCCCCACCTACACGGCCAATGGTGCTGACCCGATGTGAAAGTGGTCTTTCATGGTCTTCTTCCTCGTCTTCGAGATCGGTTCCGTACTGTGCGGCGCGGCACAGTCCTCGGCCATGCTGATCGTCGGCCGCGTCGTCGCCGGGCTGGGCGCCTCGGGCATTATCGGCGGGTCCTTCACAATCATCTCGGCTTCGGTGCCCCTGGAGAAGCGCCCGCCACTGATCGGGGCGTGCATGGGAATCGCCCAGCTCGGCCAGGTGATCGGCCCGCTCATCGGTGGTGCCTTCACGACCGGCTACACCTGGAGATGGAGCTTCTACATTAACCTGCCCCTCGGTGCCATCGTCGTGGTTCCATTAATCATCATCCGCATCTCCGAGCAGATGCCCAAGCAGCCTGCTCTCAAGGTCGTCGGCCGGCTGCCACATTTCCTCGACCTGGTGGGCTTCGCCCTCTTCGCCCCGGCCGTCGTCATGTTCCTGCTCGCTCTCCAGTACGGCGGCAACCAGTACCCTTGGAACTCATCCGTAGTGATCGGGTTGTTCGTCGGTGCATTTGCCAACGTGGTCGTCTGGCTTATCTGGAACTGGTACAAGGGCGATGATGCACTCATCCCCGTCTCCATGGCCAAGCGGCGCATCGTATGGGTCAGCTCTCTTAACTATGGGCTCTTCATGGCTCTGGTGTTTGGCGGGGTTTTCTATCTTCCCATCTACTTCCAGGCTATCAAGGGTAAGAGCGCCATTCTCAGTGGTGTGATGCTCTTGCCAAACATAATTCCTCAATTGATCTCAACAATCGGCGGAGGAGTACTACGTAAGTGTCCAGATAGAATCCCAAACTTGAATTCTCTGCCCTAACCATCCCTGACTGGGTGTTTTCAAATTTCTGACAGACAGAACTCTTGTGCAGTTGGCAAAGTTGGTCGCATTCCTCACTTTGCTTTGTTCGCCGCCGCTGTCACCGCCATCGGCAGTGGTTTGTACGGAACCTTCCAACCCGGCACCTCGACCGGGAAGTGGGTTGGTTACCAGATTCTCGCCGGTTTTGGTCAAGGAATCGGCTTCCAGATGGTGAGAAGCTCTCCTGGCGGGCCAAAGCCATGGCCTGGTTCCTATAATATGTCCCTGTGTGCTGACCTCCTTCTTCAGCCCATGGCTGCCGTCCAGAATGACATCGAGCCAAAGCACCTGGCAGAGGCCACTTCGCTGCTCGTCTGGGCCCAATACGTCGGCCCCACCATCTTCATCGTGCTGTACAACACCGTCTTCACCACAAGCTTGCGGAAAGAGATCCCCAGGCTCGCGCCCAACTCCGACGCCAACGCCATCATATCAGCAGGCGCCACGAGGTTCCGCAACTTCGTGTCGAAAGAAGACCTCGACGCCGTCCTGGTGGGCTACTCCAATGCCATCGACAACACCTTCTACCTGGTCGCCGGCGTGGGCGCCCTTGCCTTTCTTGCGGCCTTTGGTATGGGCTGGAGAGACATCCGCAAGCCAAAGCCTGGCGCTGACGCGCCTGATGCGACCAACGGCGGCACTTCCGGTTCCGCCAAGTAGGATGGCCCAGCAGCGGCAGCTTGATTTATGCACAACCTCTTTTGATTTGACATACATTCAGATGTAGTCATGTTCAAATATTCGGCGTCATTTGCCGCTTAGGACTTTACTGACGCTACGGCTGAGAAAAGTTTCAACTTTAGCATGTTGTTCGATCAATGTACAGCGTTTATAGCGGTTTTGCTGGTCCTATTCCGGCGCTGGCCTGGTGGTACCTGAATTGCTGATTGGGGGAGCCATTCGTAATTGCATTATACCGGTCACTGGGATGAAGTGAAATTCCTAGACAAATTTTGAATAGAATGCTGTGTGCGACTTGTTTCGAATCTCTTTTATGTGCGCATTGAAGCATGAGTCTGAGACCTCAGGCTGGCTGATGTCAGAACTGAGCAATTCAGCATCAATTTTGCCACTATCACAACGAATTCATATACGTGTATCAACGAATTCTACAAACAGGGCAAGAAAATAAACTACCGGCAGGGAGTGCATGCGCCAGTATTGACAGTTTAGTTCAACTGAGGCTGTGCATGGATATTCATTCTTTTTGGCCAGGCTTCCAACCCTTGATCGAATATCTTGCAGGTGATAGAGTCTTTCCTGGAAAGGGGCAGGATTGTTGCCCGGCCCCATAACTCGGGACTACTCCTCGGAGTGGCGGTGCCACTGAGCAACAGGGTAGGCAATCCTCCCCATACTACGCTGTTCTTTCTAGGGCCACGAATGCTAATCTGGTTTTCTGCACAAGGGTGTATCATTCGACCCAGATAAACAGACATGAGTTTTTGAGAATCACCGCATGACCATTGGCGCGGGAGTCCCATTGGGTGATGTGTTCCCGAAGATTTACGAGGGACAGAACTAGGTAAGTTTCAACTCCAGTCGCTTCCTGTTGTGACGAGAACTTCGCTGAAAAAGCTTGCGGGACAGCAACCCGCAATGCAATAATATGTGTTGGAGTGGTTGGCCTCACTGTTGGTGCCAGTGGAGGCGTTGGCACGCAGCTAGGAAGTAATCCTGGGAAGTTTTGATGGACCGAGTCCAATCCATCAGCCCCTTTCCATAATTTTCAATCTCGGCACTTTGGTATCGAGCACAGCCTGACGCTCGACACCCTGCTACCCGTCCGCTTGGTGACCTAGACCGGGGACGTCGTCACTGCGTCCAAGACGAAAAGCCCAGACGTATCCGTCACAGCTAATACTTTGTGAGCGACGATGGAATGGTCCTTACATTATCGAAAAGCTCCAATTCGTTTCGAAGCGCCTTCCTATTTTCTCTCAATGATGATATACATGATTCGAGACCATCAAAGTTTTGCTCAGCCGTATCTTTGTAAGCCCACATAGACGGGAATCCAGTCACGGCACCTGGGTTCTGTGCACCCGTACTCCCACACAATCAACCAAGATCAGACGCAGGGAGAGTAGTGATTGTTGGCGCAAATTTTAGCCAGTAGCGTGGCCCCCATGAGGTCTCAGGAGTGGGTAGCTGAAGGGGTGAGACACACTGCAAAGCTTTCCAGCCAGAATGCTCAACTTCTACAGAACGGAGCACTCGGCCATAAGTCAATTGGCCCTTTGTGTACCACAGAGTAAGCAGGTATCTGGGGTCTAGATTAGAGTCTGAGCCTAAATACTGCAAGGGATTGATTGTGTTTGCAGCTGGGACATGTGCTTCTCCATGCTTGCAGCAGCTGAAATCGAATGTCCTCAACGGCTGATGAAGATGTGCCGTGCATCTTCTATATAAAGGTTAATGAGATGTTCCATTCCAGAGAACTGTATTTTTGAAACGTCATCAATGCTACAGCACCAGAACATTTTACTGACATCAAGCGAGAAAATTACGATATAAGTCAAATGTCTCATTCTTCTTCTGTTGACACTACCTTGGCTCCACAAGATGCCCCCAATGCCTCATTAGAAGTGGAACAGCACGGCTCTGAGGATTTTCTCGGTGAGCACCACACGTGCGAAATGAACCAATCTGTCGAGGGAGAAAGTGCAACGCTGGACGCGGGCAGAGGAAACATGTCGAAAACACCCAAACGACCTCAAGAAGGCACCAAAGTCGTGCGTAATGAGAACGAAGAGACCCATGAAACTCCAGCAGCAGTAGTAAAAAAGGACCCCTTGGAAGCTGAATTCGCCAGGTTCCACAAGCTGTCATTGCTGGCCACGTCGACATTCGTTCTAGCGTGCTTAACCGTGCCTTGTTGTGTCGCTTTCATCGGCTTCCTCTGGTCCAACCCCAATGGCACCGGGAATAACGAAATATGGCTCAAGATAGTCTTGCATGGCTGGGTTTTGAAGTCTCTCACGATGAGTACCGTGGTTCTACGTGTTGCCATCGGTGCCCAAACACGGTATGCCCTAGCCCAGCTTGCACGTGGAGAATGCTGTTTTAACTAATTGTCGTAGCATCGCAACCTCAATGCTAGCCAGCATCGTGATGGAGACGAAAGGTGTTGCTCTACACAGATCAGCGGCTGTTTCCGCATTGCGTTATGTCAACAACGGGCCGCAGAGCCTTACTTTCGCCCTGCGAGATACTTACTCCCACGCTGGGCCATGGGCGCTGGTCACTTTGCTTCTCTACCTCACAACACTTGCTTTGCAGTTCGGATCAACAATACTGGTGGGAGATCTCGCTATTGGATCGCTCATTGACCATGGCAAGACTGGGACCACTCTTTCGGCACTATCCTGGTCAGCAGCAATTGGTCAGTACAATGCCACCAGACTAAGTCGACAGACTTCATACTGGGACCATTTTCTTCCGAACTTTCCAGTCTTTGCCGAGTATCGTGAGAATCCATCTTCGAGCGAGATCTTGTCCGACAACCCAGTGAGAGATACAGGAACGACTCTGAGAAGCTTTCTACCCTTCTCAAACCAGTCCGAGCGAACGATGATTCACTCGTATAACGGCACTGCTACTGTACAGGACTCGAGGGTCGTGTGCGTCAGGCCAAAACTTCACCCACATTTCAGTATTGGCTTCGAATCCACTAAGTTGGGCTACCTTTTGAACGGCACCTTGGTGCCAGAATCTGTGCCTCCTGGCCTCATACTTGGAGAGCAGCCAGCTCTGACTGCCGGTCTACTGCCTGTTACATACGACCTCGACACAAAAGAATTCCACAGTTCTTCTTCAGTGAACCTGAGTTGGAGCCAACAGATTCCTTTTGCTTGTGGTGTTGATGAATGGGCTATCGCCCAACACTTCATGTACTCTGGCCCAACTTTGGTTTCCTCTTTGGACCCACGTTATCCAAACATAGCCGCAAATGCAGCTTCTTTGAACTTCACCGCGGAGAACCCGGATTACCTTGCCTGGAACCTGACCTACTATCAAGAAGGAGACGACGTCCGATTAATGACCGGTAGGAGCTACGAGCTGCTCAATGTGACAGCTGCCGATCCCGGCTACAAGACCAACAGGTTCTTCAGCCCAGACCAAGAACACAATAAGCTCGTAATTAGACCCCAAGGCGAATGGCTGGTATTCACAATTCCCGATATCCCAGATTTTCAGCTTTCTGTGTCTCTCTGTTTCGACTCGTTCTTCTCGATCAACGCCAAAGTCAACTCGACAATAGCACAGCCTGGAAATGAGCCCTCTCTTGGGACTTGGAATGCATCGAGCGGGCTTTTAGACACGACTCAAGTACGCGAGCAACTCGATGCGCTTCCGGACCAGAACCAAAGTCCCCACGATCGAGGTGTCATGAGCCTCGAGACCGACGCAGAGCAACTGAGAGACCAGGTCCAAGATTGGTATGTCGAGGCCAAGAACCAGAACGCGGAGAACATATCGTTTCCAACACAAAATTTCCTCGCCATGGCCAGCAAAGACACGTACTCCTGGGGGATACGAATGTGCAACGGATGCCAATTGTTCTGGCCCGATAAGTACACGTACAACATCACCTATGTTAACAACGACGACCTCCAGGTGCAAATTTTCCAGGAGGTGATTCGGTCTACAAGGGATACCGCCAAGGCATGGCAGGCACGCTACACCATCCTCGGTCGCTTGGCTTACTATGAGACACTACCATATTACGATGTTGAAACTGCTTCCTCGGTGGCATCCTTCAGGAATATACAGTTCCCCCAGTCTAGCAGGGGCCTGGTAACCGTTTGTACCATGCTCTGTGCACATGTTGGCTTGATAATTTTGATCACAACTACTTTTCTGACCAAGACCAGGGTGTCCCGAATTGGCGATAACGCGTGGCTCAATTTAGTTCAGGCTGACTTAGCGCCTATGGAAAGCATTTTCAAGGCTTCCTCGACGATGAAGGACAGTGACGTGGAGAAGGAAGCTGTTGCGCAAGGATTGAACCGCAGAATCATACGTCTTGGGTGATCTCATTCATGTGTAATATGGTAACACTTCTATGACATTCATCATAATGCCATTTAATTGCTACTGTGCTTTTTGAATCCAGATCTGGTCTAAATAAACTCGAGATAGAGTGCCCGCTAAGTGCGCAATGCTCACTCCTCAAAAGTTAACAAATCGGACATCACTTCAACGAACAGGGGCTCCATTTCGCCACCTTTGTAACATATCATGTTAGCTGAATTGGATTACTTTCAGATCCTAAGTCCTCTGAGAACCGCTTCTGCATTTTGCTCTCGAGCAGCGAGCGTCCTGTATAGGCCATGAGTGCCAGGAAAGCTTCATCATTCACAGTGGTAGGACAGGGGCTTTGCAAAGGAGGGTTTAAAACATGGGTCTGTGTCACGCCGACTGCAAGGGACAGGACAGAAGTTTCAATAAAACGGTTCTCTAGGCTACAGGCTTCTATGGCATATAATAACGATTTCGGGACGGAAATTATAGTAAGACACTAGCATCCTGCTTGTTAATTCCCTATGTACTTAGTTTGTAGAGATTTTATTTTCCTTATCTTCCTTTAAAAATGTGAGTCGAACTCATGTTTCCAACAATGGAATTATTACTGCTATGATTTCGTAGCCGTGTGGGCTGACCCTCGGTTGAAATTGAGTCATGATTTGCGGCTAAATTCGGAAATACAAGTCTGCCTAGTATAGTGGTTAGTACACTTCGTTGTGGTTTCTGAAAAGAACTCGACGGTCCGAAGAAACCCATGTTCGATTCATGGGGCAGACAACTTCTTTTGTCTTTTTTGGTCAAAACAAGTTAGATGATATTTATTTAATGTACTGTGAATAATTTTTTTCCTTGAGAAAATTGTTTGATAAATGGATAGTTTCACTTTTAGGAAGACTTAGTATCTATTAGTATTTACTTAGCACTATGTTAATATATGTAGTGGCAGGATGTAATATACATACACTCAGAACATTTGAGTTATACTGGTGAATTGGATAAATCTAGCTTGAGAGATGCCTGTATGAATCTGACTCCTGAATGCTACAACCATCTCCAAAATTACCGCCCCCATTTCCAGCTGCCTTGTCACGAGCGATGGGCTTGAAAATGCATGCTACTTAGTTCTAGGAAACCATACTGAGCTTATATTTGGCAAGTATAGTCATGGGTAGAGATATAATAAATGATTTGCAGCACGTGTACTATTTCTCGTCGTCCGGGCAATGTCTTCTTCGAGCCTCCTCCCCAGCAGGAAAGAAACTTCCTAGCTGAAGAAGCTAACAACCAAATCAAACCGTTCCTTCAGAAATACTCTAAGATCAACATGAACAAGATCACCAACATACTTGGTCTGCCAATCCGTACAGATCCGTCACCAAAGAGGACCAGACACCAAACCTTGGAACACAAACGAGAAGCTACCTAATGCGCCCCAGGAGCAGCATCGGGCTTCCGGCAGTCACTGTTGACGCAAGGCGTGCTGCACCGGCCGATATGGTCCCCGGCCGGGTTCAGGCACACGTTCTCCTCCCCGGCAAAGGGCCTCCCGCTGCAGGCACACAGCAGCTCGATCTTGACGGGTCCGGAGTACGGCGTGTCCTCCTCGGCGTCGCGCCTCCTCGGGACCGCCTCCTTGGGCACGCACACGTAGAGGGCCTGCAGGGGGTCGGTGTGGGTCGTCCCCGTCGCCGCGTCGCAGCCGCCCCCCTGGCAGTACGCGGTGAGGATGCTGCCCAGCTCGAAGTCTGTGGGTGATGTGTGTAAGTCTGGTGTCAGTCGGGGTTTCCTGTGGAGTGATAGTCATGGCCCGGGGGGGGGCTGCCTACGTTTCTCCTGCTGCAGGATATATCCGCAGTAGGTGTATCCGACGCCACAGGTCGGTGTGGATTCGTTGGAGAGCTTGGCCATGGGCTTCGCATGCGCGCCAAGCCCGTGAGGCAACGGATTGCGGTACGCGAGTACCACAGGCGCAAGGAGAACAGGGAGGACGACCTTCATCTTATTAGCCGTAATGTGTATGTTTGGGAGAGCACTTCGCGAAACAGGAGCTGATCTGTTTTTTCGGTCTGTTGTCGAGCACCACAGCATAGCATGGCATATTCTCCAGCATGACGTGCTCGGTCTTATAGTACCAGGCCATCAGCCTGGGGGCCGCTGGCCTCCGTGGAGAGTTGTGATTTCAGGTTGCATGTGTCCACGAGTTTGGCGAGTCTGATCGGTCCAGCCTCTTGTGAAGCTTGCGTGTCTTGGATGTGGCTTCTAAGAGGCCCAGGAGGGCTTCCAGCAAGGGAATAGGGCGTCCACGACCCGTTTCTATTATAGACGGTGCGCCCGCGATCTGTGTTGTTAGGCGAGCGAGACCTGAAGAGCCAATGGCATTGGACTGTCTCGAACGGCTGAGTGGGACGATGATACCTCGGACAATGTGGGACTTGCAACCGTTGACGGGATGCCATCGCAGTTTGTGAGGTACGGCCAGCTCACAGTCGAGGCAGAGAGGCCGCCAAGACCTCCCACATCTTGCATGGCCGAGAGGGTTGGGCAAGAGGAATGACAGATCTGTGCTGGCCGCTGTCATGCCACATCTGGACACGATCTCACTTGGTCTGCTCAGAGGAATACAAGCAGGATACAGTGCAACGTGGAAGAGGCTCAGACGTGTGATTTGCCACTGGGCAGTCTGATGGCGGGTGGCCTGTGTATTCGAGCTGCTCGATAACCTGCCTCTAATCGCCGTCGTGTCTCCTCATGCCACCAAGCGTGCGATGACATTGGGTCCCTGGAGTCTTCAAATTCCCTATACTGACGCAAACCAGGTTCACATATGGTTGAAATCGGGAGTGATGACAGCAAGGCGATTGTTATAGAACGGTGTTCTCGGAACATCTCACGCATTCGAGCGAAGGCGTGGACTGTGTCAGTTCCATCGGGTCCAATGCCGCTGCTGTACCTTGCTGCACAAAATGTCGACGCCAGCGAGGACCCCAAGTACTTTCGATGCACCTGTGAGCGAATATTCAGGTATGATGTCGAGTCAGAGAGGAATTGGAGGCAGTCCCACGCAGACAGCAGCAAATGTGAAGTCAGAGTGACCAGGGTTGGGGATTTTTTTGGACCCCTCCATCGCGATAAGCCACTGCACTCACTCATTGCACTGCACCACCTCGCCGATGCAGTCCCGACGTTGAAGGCCTGTCACCTCTCTCGTCACACAAGCCACACAGCAACAACCCATTGGGGTCATTCTCACAGCTTGTCTGTCAATTGAGCAGCGGTTTCCTTGCACTCTCTTCCCCTCCCCAATCCAACCGCTCATTCCGTGCAGACCCGGCAAACAAAAACCGACACAATGGCAGCCGTGGCAGACGCACCCGTCACCACCGTCCGCGTGGGCACGCGGCGGTCAGGCCTGGCGCTGAAGCAGTGCGAGATCGTCATCGCAGAGCTGTCCAAGACGCACCCGCACGTAAAATTCGAGACGGTGACGGTGTCGGTGATGGGCGACCGCGACAAGACGACGCCGCTGCCCAACCTGGGCAAGGGGCTGTGGACCTCGGAGCTCGAGGCCATGCTGACCAGCTCGCCGCCGGAGCTCGACATGATCGTCCACTCGCTCAAGGACATGCCCACCTCGCTGCCCGACGGCTGCGTGCTGGGCTGCGTGACGAGGCGCGAGGACCCGCGCGACGTCGTCGTCTTCCGCGCCGGCCACGCCGGCCGGTACGCGACGCTGGCGGACCTGCCCGAGGGCGCCGTCGTGGGCACCAGCAGCGTGCGCCGGTCCGCCCAGCTGCGCCGCAGGTACCCGGGCCTGGTGTTCAAGGACGTGCGCGGCAACATTGACACGCGCCTGCGCAAGTGCGACGACGAGACCCTCGGCTACGACGCCATCATCCTCGCCGCCGCGGGCCTGCTGCGCATGGACTGCGGCCACCGCATAGGCCAGTACCTCGACTCCGCGAGCGAGGGCGGCGGCATGCTGCACGCCGTCGGCCAGGGCGCCCTGGGCATCGAGGTGCGCTCCGACGACGAGGCCACCCTGGGCCTGCTGAAGCCCGTGCTGTGCACGCAGACGATGCTGGCGTGCGAGGCGGAGAGGACCGTCATGCGGACGCTCGAGGGCGGCTGCAGCGTGCCGATCGGCGTCGAGACGGACTGGGTGCCTGGGGAGGGCGGCAGCGGACAGGCCCTGAGGATGAGGGCCACGGTCGTCAGCCTGGACGGGTCACAGGGCGCCGAGACCGAGGTCACACAGGAGGTATCGGACGCGAGGGCGGCGGAGGACCTGGGCCACAAGGTCGCCTCGATCCTCGTGGAGCAGGGCGCCGGCAAGATACTTGAGGCAATCAACAAGACGAGGGCGGAGACACCGGCTGGCACATCTGCTGCTGCTCCTGTGCAACCGGCGGCGTGATGATTGACGACAGACAACAAAACGAAAAAAAAAGGACCTTGGCTGCATTGCAACTTCTATTAGACTTAGATACCTTGCCTCATTTCTAACGCATCCAGAGAGCAAGCAAGCGAGCCGAGAATCTTTTTGTTGCCAATGCCCAACCGCGCGAGACCTGGGCCCCGTCCTCGCCAGCTTGAAAACGCCTGTCCTTGTGCAAATGTTAAATCAGTTGCCGGTTCACCAGGTTGAACTGCCATGCACATGTTGCCGCAAAATCCCCAGACGTATGTATTATGTACATCACATCGCGCGTCGCACACACACACGCACCCCGCTGCTACATATGCCCCCCGCCCGTCTTGGCCCGCCACTCATGCTCAGTGGTCGCCCTCGGCCGCCGTGAAGGCCTGGTACTCCTCGGCGCCCATGAGGGCCTCGAGGTCCTTGACGCCCTCCTCGTCGACGGCGACCTTTGCGATCCAGCCGCCGCCGGCGCTGTCGTCCTCGGGGACCTTGTTGATGTTGCCGGGCTTCTCCTCCAGCTCGAGGTTGACGTGGGTGATGCGGCAGGCGATCGGGGCGTTGATGTCGGCGGCGGACTTGACCGACTCGACGGCGCCGATGGCGTCGCCCGCCTTGACCTCGCGGCCCTCCTCGGGCAGCTCGACGTAGACGACGTCGCCCAGCGCCTCGGCCGCGTACTCGGAGATGCCGATCACGCCCGTCTTGTTGTCGGCCGACAGGTCGATCCACTCGTGGTCCTTGGTGTACTTCCTTATGGGTTCTGTTTGTTTAAGGAGTCTCAGTCAGTGTTGAAATTCTTCCTTGTGTGTCCTGCCCAGGCACCACGCATGGCAAGGGTTGAGGTTGAAAAAAGTGGCCGGCCGGCTTCGGCGCTGTAGGAAGGGGGGACGTACTGATAGCTGTGACGGAGAATGTCCTGGCAGCATTGAAGCTCTGGATCGGGCGGGCGCAGGCGCTCTGGCGGAAAGCTGAGAGGGCGGATGGTCTTGCGACCCGCATGCAGCGTGCGACTGAAGCCATGACTGTGACGATACTTGGCGGACCTGGAGGGAGAGAATGGGTAGGGAAAGAAAAAGACAAGGAGTAACGGCACTGGCGATTCGGAGCACGATGAATCGTTTCCTGTCGGGTGCGTCGTCCGACGACTCGCCGCTGCCGTAGCCTCTGATAGCCGGGCCCCGATTGGAATTCCACACGCTAATGCGTATTAGGTAAAGCCCCAGCAAGCTTCCGGTCCTAACCCAGGCTTGGCCACAGGAGGGGGACTAGGGGGGGGGCAGGTTCACTCGCAGCAAATCCTCACGGGCTTGCAGGCTACAACTCTACACAAATCGAATGACTTGATGGAAGATAGTTTATTAAGCAGCTACAACGACTAGCATTCAATAGCACTAGCCAATTTGACTTGTCCAGACCAGATGGCAATAATCGGAACTGGACGACTTAGCTGACCACCGATCCGAGTCGGACGGTCTGCCCCTTTCATGCACACTTGACCGAGTGGGCCGTTGAACATTGCTGCCGGGAGCTGGGATGGAAGCTTGGTTGGACGGGGTGGACGCCGAGCCAGTTCCTCTGAGATTTCGTGCATAATCCAAGCAAGTTATTGAGTTATTAAGACGTATGGCTATGCATGTTGGCCGTTTGTTAGTCATTGTGGCATTTATTAGGCTTCCGTACACGGCAAGACGTCTTCATAGTATGTGGGCAGGCAGGCATCGGCAAGGTCAGAGGGTTCTCGGCTCTCGCAAGTGAGGACCAGGTCCGATGACGCTGCGATGACTTGATCAAAGCACTCGGCCGACGTGACTTGAGCTATGTCATAGTATTGTGGTATGTAATAAACGAGGAGCACAAGCTGGCCCCGCCCACTGTTAGCCGTTGGGCTGGGCGGGAAGGTCTGCCTTGGACACACGAGAGTGTGGTACAAATCTCTGGTAGGCTATGCCAGCACGGAATCCGGATAGTCCGTCTATATTCGTGCCGTGGTCTACACTGTAATAGGAGATAGGGGAATTGCGATATCCGGCCGCGATATAGATAGATGGATATTCCGGAAGCACCTTGGGGGCGGGAGGCAGGCATCAGGTGTCGAGGAGAAGACGGTGCATGAAGGAGAGAGTCATAGACAACGCATCTCGATGGCCATAGTAAAATGCCATTGATAATGTGTCGACTGTGGTAAAGTTACCCTATGCCATCTGGTGTAGGTGCACGAATAGAGAGAGACACAACACAGCCTAGCGCTGATTTGCTTTGCTTGGCTGGCCGTTCTCCGGGCCCCTCTGCCGTGGTGATGACCTCTCACCGCCAGCTGTTATTGTTTCATGAGGTCAGAATCCAGACACAGATAGGACCGTGTGACCAGTCAAAGGGCGGCGAGCTGGCAGATAGAGTTGCGGGACCGTGTTGTGAGTATACTCGTAGAGTACACACAGCAAAGGGCCTGCAGGCTGCAGCAACAAAACACGCACGCACGCCATGCATCGCGTCGCGTCAGCCCCATAATTACTACCACAGTAGCAACTCCACTCCCGCAGTCCCGAACTCTCCCTCTCCCTTGTGCGTGCAGCAGCAAGCTTGTCGCGCTATGAACTCCTGGGCCACTTGACCCGAACAGCCAGGCAGGCCGACCCCTCAGTGGAGCCCCCCCCTGCCGTGCCATTGGGTCAAAGCTCACTTGAGCACGACAACACAGGCCACAGGCCGCAGGCCGCAGGCGACACAGCCAGACAGCCAGACAGCTCAGACGAGCGTAGTGTGTAGTGAGAGGCCGCATGCAGGGTCAGGCCAACCACGAGGCGACATTGCAGCTCCCGCGCCGTGTTTACTCTTGTGTCCAGGTAACCTGGGGGATTGAAAACTGCCCAACTTCCCATCCCCAGCATCCAGAGTTGAAGCCAGACGGCACACGGCAAACGGTAAACGGTAAACGGCACACGGGCACTCGATGGTTGTTAAACCGACCTTCTGCCATCAGCCAACCTGCCAACACCCAACATCCCCTCCACCCCGCACACATCGATCGGGCTGCTCCCCTCGAGACGAAGCGTCGATCCTCGTCTGCCCGGGCCAGGCGAGCACTCGACAGAGCCCATCTCATCATCAGCAGGTGCCCACAGCCCACTCACTGCCCAGTGCCCACTGCCCACCAGCCAGACCGTCCAAGACCACGGTCCACCACCCTGCCTGCTCCATGATCCACCGCCCACGGGCCATGATCCACCGTCTTCTGTCATAATCGCCAGCGCATCCGACTGCTGATTATTCCAATTCTTCCTGAGACTTCGATTCCGTCCCGCCCGACGTCCCGCTATACTTTGCGCAGCCCTGCCCTGCCCTGTCAGTCCCAGTCGCAGTCCCAGTCGGTGAGCAACAGTGACGCTGCTGCAGGCAAGCAAGCATTCTGCAGGCTGCAGCACCCCATCAATCAGCCTTGTTTTTGCCCGTCTTGCCGTGCAAACAAGACCCCTTCGAATTCTCCCGCCAGCCGGCCTGCCCGCCTGCATCTGAGATCGACCATCCCCGGTAAATCCATCCATGTAGGTATGTGGCCGTACCTGAAAGTCCCCTCGGACGGGCTTATCCATGTCGCATTTCAGCCCACGCTGCACCACCAAAACATCCCGTCACCAATCATCCCTCCCACATCCTTCCCTCTACCACCCCAGGTGCAAGCACTTGGCCTCGACCTCAACCTTGTCAACCTGTCTTGATGCTAGCCGACTGCTAACGCAACTTGCCCTTCAGCCGCTCCCTCCTGCCCTCCCAACCACGAACCCACGTCCTCCATCTCGTCCCAAGCTACACGGCCGTCTTCTTCATGAAGCGGCTGCTGGGATAGGGCTGCTTTCCCTCCCTCCCCCCTCGAACCCCTCAGTTCTGGTACACTGCTCTCCAAAACCAAGCCTGAGCCCGACACCACCTCTTCCTTGCCCCCACGACGCCGGCGACGACCGCCGCACATTTCACCACCGCCAACCTGGGTAGGTCGAATCTCCCCGGCGCTTAGTCGCCGCCCCCCTTCCGAAACAATGCGCTTCTAGACGCAGCCCTCATTAGACTGTCTCACTCCGGCGCACTTGGTCTCACCCGCCGCCCCCCTTTGCATTTCGCTGACCCGTCCACCACCCGTCAGATTCATCGTCAACTATAACGGCAGGGTCTCCAGCCCACTCGTACCACGCGACCGACATTATGGACGATCAGCCGCCCGTGGACAGCCAAGAGGATACCTTCGGTGGCATCGAGGGCTCCCCGAACATGGCCGGCGCCCACGGCTTCGAGAACGGCAACCCCCGACCACACCCGTCGCAATCATTCGACTCAGCCATGGCCGACGCACCCTACTCCCCAGACGACATGGACCCTGCAGCACGATACACCACTCCTCCCATCCCACAGAACGCCCAGGCAGGCTCCAACATCTCCAGACCGCCCTCACAAGTCTCCAGCCAGGGCTACGCAGATCGCGGCCCCGCTGGCGCACCCTCAGATGCAAACGCCGCCAACGGCCGAAACCATGTCGTAATAAAGGTCGGGATGGTCGGGGATGCGCAGATCGGCAAGACGTCATTAATGGTCAAATACGTTGAGGGCAGCTGGGACGAGGACTACATCCAGACGTTGGGCGTCAACTTCATGGAGAAGACGATCAGCATCCGGAACACAGAGATCACATTCAGCATCTGGGACCTGGGCGGGCAGCGCGAGTTCGTCAACATGCTGCCTCTCGTCTGCAACGACGCGGTCGCCATCCTGTTCATGTTCGACCTGACGCGCAAAAGCACTCTGAACAGCATCAAGGAGTGGTACCGCCAGGGTCGTGGCTTCAACAAGACGGCCATCCCGATCCTGGTCGGCACCAAGTACGACCACTTCGTGAACTTCCCACGCGAGGACCAAGAGGAGATCTCAAACCAGGTAAGGCCGCCTCGCAGCGGTTGCGGCTAGCGCAATGCTAATGTCGGATGCACAGGCACGGCGCTTCGCAAAGGCGATGCGAGCGGCTCTGATCTTCAGCAGCACAAGTCACAGTATCAACGTGCAAAAGGTTTGTCTCCCCTCTCGACCCTTTCAGCCTCGCAAGGTGCTGACCGGCTGCTCCAGATATTCAAGATTGTGCTATCCAAGGCCTTTGACCTGAAGTGCACAATACCTGAGATCGAGAACGTCGGCGAACCCCTCCTCCTCTACCAAAACTGCTAGTCACGGGCCTCTTCATGATCGCCCGCATGCGCAGACGTTATTTGGCTGCCAGGATACATCTACATCCCGCCGGGGCCATTCACCAGCCCGTCTCGCCCGATCACAGCGAAATCGCTCATCGTACGAGCGCGACCAACTGAGGCTGAATGTCCAAGGGGTCCCACACTTGGTCGGATTCTTGGCTACTTTAGGCCTCGTCCTTGCCCTGATCCTGCCGCATACCTCCCATCGGAAGACTTATGCTACGGCTGTTACGAACTGAGGTAGAACAGAAGGCACGATGATGTATATACATCGAGTCTGTGTGGGACATGCAACAAGCTGAAAGGGGCATATGTAAGAGAAAAAGGTATTGCATCACCAGAGATCAGAGGAAACGGCCCACGAAAGGAAAAGAGCGCATCGAGAGCTTTACTCACAAAAAGCTGTAATCGCATGTATGCTACCAGGGGAGGAAAGGGAGGAAGAAAGAAAGAAGACAGACATGGCTGCTGGTTGATTCACATTAAGAAAGCATTAGGGTTGTTTTGCTCGGTATCGGTACAACCGGACGGAAACTTGGACTTCTGATTTGTGATCTTTTATAGGGGGGGTTCCTGAGATTCCGTCGTTTTCCCCGGCCTTTCCCTTTGTCTCCATTTTTTTTATTCTGCCCTTTTTTTGTTTTTGCGCAAATCTGGAAGTTCAGGCGTGTAAGAGCTGAAAGGAGCACAGAAATATCACAAACTCATCAGAGGGGTGATGTTTGCGAAATGGGGGTCTGGGGCCCCCCCTTGAGCCCCTGGGATTAGTTATCATCACATCCCATCAATCACATTCACAAACACACACACTCAACACTGTAATCTCCTATTTCAACAAAGCCATCAGACACAGGAAGCAGGGTTCTGAGGTCTTGTTTTTCCTGTTTCTTTCAATGTACATTACAAGAAGTGTATTGGGCCGCGACATATCGTTCTGCGCATGCCATTACTATCAACTTGTGAGATCACCAAATAAAAAACCTCATTGGAAGAAAGACATCGGTGACTTCTGTTCTCTACTGATTGGTCTACTTTGTGTAGTGGGAAGTTACATCACGGAATATCACTCTATGTAGCATGCACCAGGTAAATGAGCAACAAGGTCAACTATGCCAGCTTTTAGGGGGGGCAAGAAGTGCATCTATCTGTATCGATTCTTCTTGGGTAGTTGTATTAGTGATGATCGTCGTAGGTGATTCGTCATAACACTAGGCAGTGTCATTACTGAAGAAAAGAGTGAGACTGACGCCTCAACGTTCGGTGCGAGACAGTTGTCTTCCGCCCACGGAGCCATGGGACAACAAAAGAGATGACCGATGTCCAATACTGACTGCCACAAGCACTGATATGACCGGTCCTGATCCCCGTACAGCAAAAATCAAAGCCCTCAGGACGGTGACTGACCCTCAGTATCCCCCTCCACCTCAGTAGTCGACAGCTCGCCAGCAGGGGTGGGCGCGGGAGCAGTGGGTTCTGGAATGGCAGCGGGGGCGGTATTCTGCCGCTTGGGGAACATCCTGCCCCAGAACCCACGGCCGGTAGGAGCATCGAATCCTTCCGAGTCTGCTTGTCAGCCGGATCAGAACTCACAGCGCGGCTGATCTGAGCGCGGAGGACACCTCATCTACGTACCAGCATCCAGACCCTCCGGCCGGCGCGCCGCCCGGTTGGCAGAGTCGATCACGGCGTCGAGCGAGCCGACGACATTCCTGCTGGTCCCCACGTCCTCCTCGGATGCGGAAGACGAGGCCCAGTTCCCAGGCATGTCGGCCGCGCTCGGGCGCGGCGACTTGCGGAACTGCGCCCCCTCGCGGATGACCTCGTCCTCCTCGATGGTGTGGGTGCCGCGGACCGCGCCCGACGGCGAGAGGATGCGCACGTCGCGGCTGATGTCGTGCTCGCCACCGGTGGCTGCGGGCGGCGCCGCGACCCTCTTGTCGCTCTCGAGGCCGTGCGCTGCCCCGGACCGGGGCGCGGCCGGCAGCACGGTGTCGGTCGCGAGGGAGTGCGCCCTGGCCTGATTCGCCGCCTCTGCGATCCTCTTATCCGAGTCTAGACTGTGGGGGAGCGACGCCTTGGCTCGCTCGACGACCGGGTCATCTAGGATCTCGTGGGAGAAGACCTGGCGTGGCCCCGAGACGACGGGGTCGCCCTCCTCGAGGAGGTGGCCGGGCGTCACGGCTGACTTGGGGATCACGGTGTCCTTGGACAGGCGGTGTTCCTCTGGGGCCGGCTTCGCCGGGATGACCTGGTCATGCTCGAGGATGTGGGAGAGGCGTGCCTTGTCCAAGGGTACGACGTCGTCCAGGTCAAGGGAGTGCGACCGTTGGGGTCGGGTATCGATGACAAACGTGTCGTCTGAAATAGAATGCACTCGGGCGTTGGCGGGTATTTCCACGATCGACTTGCTTCGGTCCAGCCGGACTTGGGAGAGCCCTCCCAGTGCGCTGTCTGGTTCTTGCGCAGTTTCGTCTGCCTCATCATCAGGCTGCGCACCTTTGGGTATTGGAGGCACATTCTCCCTGTCCACTTGTTTGCCCTTTGACTTTTCACTCTTCTTAATCTCAGTCTTGGGTTTGGTCTTTGGCTTCCTCGGTTTTTCCCCCTTTGGCTTCTTTGGTTTGTCCTCCTTTGACTTCTTTGGTCGGTCCTCCTCTGGCTTCTTTGGTTGTCCGTCCTTGTTGGTTTTCTTCTCTCTCGATGCAAAACTGAAGAAACCTCCTGGTCGATCCTCCCTCACCTCAGGAGGATCACCAGAAAGCGGCCGCTGGGAAGGATCGGGCGTCGCAGGGAGTTCCGTGTCAAATAACTTGCCAGGCAGTTCCAAGCCTTCTGACCCCAAAAGATGTTTGAAACGGTCGACCACAGAGTCAGCCCCTGTCTTTCCATCTTCGACTGGCGTATCTTCGATACCCTCGGGAGAGACGCCAGGACTCAACCTTTGCATTGGGTCACGGGCCGTGGGAGCTTCCGCTTCGGGCACTTCCACAGGCTGTCTCGAGGCCTTTTCATCCAGTAAGTTTTTGAAACGGCCGAGTAAAGAGTCGGCTCTTGTCTCTCCGTCTGCAAGGGCATAATCCAGCGCATCCGATATGTCAATCTCAGGGAGCCGATCCGGAAAGAGCTTTCTCATCTCCATTGGCGCTTGAGACACATATTGCTGAGCCTTCTCAATCTTGTCTAGATGGATAGTCTTTCTGATCTCCTCGCGAATTCGGACCTCGGCAAGGTTACGGAGATTGGTGACACCGTGGAGGACGACATTGAGCGCCTTGTTGCCCTCGAACTCTCCCATACCATAGAAGAGGCGAATCGCATTCGTCAGCTTGATCGCCGGTATTCCACCGCCGAACTCTGCAAGTACCAGTCAGCTGAGTCAACAACTGTGCGGCGCCAAGGGGACTCACAAAGCAAAAGGATGGTGATAGCTGCGTAGCCACAACAGGGCCCGTTGCATGCGTTGAAACTATCCTCCTCGGGTTCTTCCTCACCAGCGCGGCTCTTTTGAGCCTTGTCCAGCTCATGCTTGACTTTTCCGTACGTGATACACGGACAAAAAATACCCTCGGTGGCCTCAGCTTTGTCCAAGACCTTCAGAGCGTCCGACCGGCTGAGTTGTGGCGCACTGGGTAGCTTTGGTATCACGCTGCCGACGATGCCATTGTCAGTGGCCACAAAGTCGTGCAGTTTGGACGGCGCCCCGGTCGGCATCTCTCCCATTCCCTTCACAGCCCGGCGGAGCTCGTCGACAGGAATGGCATTCTTTCGCTTGTCGCTGGAGCTGGCAGGCCCTGGTTTGTGCAGATGCTTGCTTTTCCCAGGGGTCTTTCCGGGGGTGAGATCCTCGAGAGGAATCGATCGTTCAGGTTGTTTGTGCCTCCTCGGGGCAGGCGATGGGATAGGCGCCATGACAGGAGCCATGACCATCGGAATCATGGAGAACATGCTGTTGGACACGATTTGCGCAGTAATGTTGGTATAAGTGAAGAGACGGGTGACGATAGGTCTGACGGTATTTGCCTCCGTTCCAAAGCGGACGGCAAGAAGGCTGTGGTGGGAGAAGACGGTTGTCTTTGTTTACCTCGGGAGCAACACGTTCAGCTTTCTAATGCGACATCCTGCAGTCGCTGCAGTAACGACCCGGGTGTGCTGTTTGGTATCCTAGATAACAGGAAGCCGCACGCCGGCGGATAACAGCCACATGGGGCATTCGGGGCATCTTTAGCTCTCGAAATGGCGAAGGCACACATGGCCAACCCAAGAAAGTTCAACCCACGCTTTTTCAAAGTGCATCAGTTCGCAGTCGGTCCGCAAAGAACTTCATCATGGGCAAGACCTCCTCCTGGCTGGAAGGCATGGTGCTGTCCCGCTTGTTCCACTTGACATCCTCCACGTTGGCAAACTCCTTCCTGAGCAGTTCGACTGCATCTTCGTCCACGGTGTCGCATGACTTTCCGCGGCAAATCAGGACCGGCGTCTCTGATTTTGGCCTTGCACTCAGCGTCGGAATCATGGACGGCGGCAGGTCTCCTCCAATAGACACGACGCCCTTGAATGCCTTGCCCGTCTCAACCGGTTTGCCGTCCTTATCCTCCTTGACCTCCTCAACCTGAGGGCCCTCCCGGATCTTGGAGGCCAGACCCAATGCCAGTGATCCACCCTGCCCGTAGCCGAAGAAGAGGATGTCAGACAGCTCCCATCCACACTTCTCCATCAGAGTCTCCCTGATGAGCCTGTTGATGACAAGATCTGCAGCCTTGGTGAACCCAGGGTCAGCATCCAATCCTCCCGAGCTTCCGATGTTCAGGTCGTCTCCCCAGTGGAAGTTCATGGTGGGGCCACTGTCTGGCGGCAGCCCGAGCAAGGCTGGCGGCAGCGGGCTGGTGCCCCGTACCGAGATGCCCAGGACGCCGGGAAGGTTGATGCTCTCTGCGAAACCCGCAAAGGGGGCCTCTGAATCGCCGAGCCCGTGGAACAAGATGAGTATGGCGGTGGTGGACTCTGGCGGGGAGGGGAAATGCAGGCCAACGGTCAGGGCCGGTTCCAAGGACTTGAAGTCCTCGGCCTTGGGGATTCGAATGCTTGGCGTCATGCTGTGCAGTCGTCGAGCCAGGAACGGACGGACTGTTTGGTTTACAGTGGTTGTGTCTGCCTGGTTACACGCATTACTGAAAGCTGGGTCTGCCGTGCTACTTGCGTCACTCTGAGTGGGACTTGAAGCCTAACCCTGATGCCTACACTGCTCTGTCCCAAGATTTGAGCTGCTGCACATCCGAAGCGAGTTGTTCAAGATTCCAAGTTTCAGCAGCAACTATTGATGAAGGGACTGGAAAGCTCGAGTCTTAACGATCATTAAATCTTATATTCATGTGGGCACCTTCCAATCTATCTACTATTCTATCCTCGACCTGTCTCTGGGCCTCTTGCATTTCTTCATGCACAAAATCTTCCAGCTCTTTGCGAGCCATGTACGTCTGATCCTCAACCTCGGAATAGACTGTGGAACCGACCTCATGCCTGAGATCGTACAACTGCTTTTCAAGATCATCCGAGTGTTCCAGCAGACGCTCCTCGACACGATCGAGGATCCGCCTCTCTATTTCCGGCATTACCTCGCTGAGTAGCTCCTTTTTCAATTCGTCTTTGAGCTCGGCTTTCAAGTCGGCCCTGAGCTCGCTCATCAGCTCTGCCTTCAATTCTGCCCTGAAGACGTCCTTCAGAGCCCGAGCGAAAGCCTTCTTGTCTTCAATGACCTTGCTGTCGTCTTGTCGAGACTCAGTAGCACTGGCTCCTGAACTGGCCCTTCTCCGCTTCTTCCCCGTTGGAGCATCCGCCACGAAAGGCGGACCCGGTCCAATGTCTGAATAAGGGGGCGGCGATGCTCCGTTGCCGGCAGGCCCTGGGGTTTGGAGGCGGTCAAGTTCAACAATTTGCCCGCCTTTACCGCCGTACAGACTGGCTGTGTCAGCAGCGTGCTTGTTGCTGGCGAGCCTGGCATCTGTAGATGCAGCGTCGGCCGTCGTGCCAACGGTCTCATTCCCTAGCGACCCGGCATCGCACAATGCCATCAGTCGTCCCCTGGAAACGGTCCGTGCGGGCAGGCAGGCATAAACGGAGAAGGCGGTGGCCGGGGCGAGACCCCAGAGACCGTCGAGTGGATCATCCGATTGATGCCCCTTCGATTTGAGGTCGTAATCCGGTGGAAGAACTAACGTGCCCGGTCGGTTCAACCTGAAATGCCAACAGACGGTGTTCGCTCCAAGTCTCCTGCTCATACCCTCGTCGACATTGTTCTCGTCTTCCAGAATAACCGTGTCAACTCTCTCGGGTGCGATGTGGAGCCAGGCAGCCGTTGTCCTTTTAGGTCTGCCACCAGTCGCTTTGAACGTCACGGTGGCCCGTAGCTTGAAGAATGCAGTTTTGGTCGAGGGATCGTGATAGATGTGGAAACGAAGGGCATCGAGGCTCCGGCGAGCTCCGGAGGGGTGGGTCCAAGATGCAATGGCTGGCTGAGCCGTCACATCAATAAGGTCCGAGGAACTCATGGCGGACTATCACAGCTTGGCCGCTGGTGTGCCAGATTACGAACTGGATGGCAGGCGAGGCCTAGAAATGGTCAGTTGGAGGACATTCATAAGCGCACAAACCGCGAGAGAACTCTGGCCCCTGTATGGAATCATCCGTTACGATGAAGGACAGGATTCCCGCCCGCCCAGGCTTCTGGTCGGCAGAGCAGCCCCGACTCCTTTTTGAAGAGATCCGAATCGACCACGACGACAATAGGAGAGCCGGACAGACGAGGGCACCGTTCCCGCAAGTCTCGCCCAGCACTAGCCCGACAGCAGCAGTACGAGCAATCACCAAGACCCTGGGTCTTCCGCTGCCCGCAGGCAGCGGGTAGAAGCCAGTGGCGTGAATGGTCTTGGGCGCGCGTCACCGGCCGCTGTCGACGCTCAGCACTGAGCAGAACCTGCGCGGTCACCCGCCGGTGCGAGTACCTTTGAACTGGGAGCGCTCATGTGCGACGTTTTCCCATAGTGATGTTGTGTGGAAGAAAAGAGATGCAGTAAGAGCGTCCCGACCGCGTTGGCGGACACGTCGTGAATGAGCGGGCTGGTCGTCGGAAAACAGGGAGGTTGGGAGAGCTTAGCGTTGAAGCCTTGGCGGATCACGTGAGCATCTGCGATGTGGTTGGCTCGCTTCTGACATGGGTTCCCCACCTAGACGGCAGCCAAAACACCTGCAGCACGAGATGCCATGTCCACCTGGGCAGTACATGCCACGGAAATAAAGCATTACATGACCATTTTATCCAAAAATTCAGCAGACATTTCATTTCCATAGGTGCAGGTCTTCGATGTCAGGCCCTGTGGCGTTGGTATGGATGCCTCGGTGCTTGCTTACAACGGATACTACGTACGACGCAACAATGAGGCCCTCGTCTCTCTCTTCTTATGTAGATTCTTGACTGCGTGTTTCCAAGAGCCTGTCCCCTTTCTTTCTATTGCAATAGCCCTTTCCCTCGTCGATCATCGTCATGTCCCAGTGACCAAAGCATTATTTCTTCACAGCAACCGGGATCCCGCCCGAAGGACCCATCAAGCTGGGTAACATCATGTCATTTCCGAGTCTGGCTGATGCCAGACTTCATTATAGTGTCCTTCTGGCTGTCCCATAACAGTCTTTATGGTGTGTTGTCTGGCCACCCAGATATCTCTATTGGGGGTGCCAAAGTCAAGGCACCGACCGTGAGCCACGTAGAAGTGGTTCTTATCTCCATACATACAAAGCGTATGTGGCGTCTTTATACGGCAGGAAACCCTCAACTGTTTCAGATTCCGGTGTGACGAGTGCGGCGGGCATGTTGGCGTACCAAGGCCTTGTTCTAGATGAAACTAAACCCATCCTGTGCTATTGAAGGATCAAGGCGGCGCAATGTGGACACAGACCAGAGAGGGGACAGCCAAACGTCTGGTTTTGACGGGATACATGGAGGGGGGTTGTCTTTACGACGGTGACACGCAAAATGGCGGAGGGGTTCGTTGCATCGTTGGAAGGTGTGGGGATCCATGGGTGGGCATTGAACCGGCCTGTGGATTGTCCACCGATATGAGCCCCAGCCACTGGACCAAGGACAGATCATCAACCGCTCTACCTCACTGGACGCCTTGGGATCAAGAAAACGAGACCTCTGCGTGTCTTATCGGTCATCAGCATCCCCTGTGAGACTGCACAGCGCCATGAGTTGGTACCTGGCATCTCAGGAGAGGGACACCCTTCTCACGAGTTTGACGGTGAACAAACGGGATCTGCACTGGCTTAACCAGCCCAAGAGATATGTAGGTGGCTATTCTTCCGTGATACGAGTTTTAATCCGTTTATCCAAACGCCCGCAGCCGTCCACACTTGGGCTGCTGCTGTTGTGTGGTCTGGGGTGTCAGGCTTTTACAAGCCACTGTGTCCGGGGTCCTTAAATGCAGAGTACACCACAGGCTGGAAGCTGGCCAGGTCCTTACTGTATTCTCTTTCCACTGTTATTGGCACTGTATTTCTTCAGACGCTGGGTCTTGAGCGTTTACCACTGTATGAAGGCGCCACGTACATTTTACATGTATGGGGATTGAAAACGAAACCACTTGGCCAGGTCCTGGTCTCTCCCCAATTGAATGGAAAATGACAGTCCTGTGGGTCTGTTTGGTTCTTGATGGTTCTGTCCAAAGCTTGGAAGCCTTCTGTGGCAAATGGGATATCTCATCGCATGTCTCCCGTCCAGTCTCTGGGTTGGTCTGTCATCCGCCCCATATCTCTAGTACTGTATCTCTGGTGTTGCTTCTCTCGACCTGGTCAGTATGACATGGACTCAGAATCAATGACTGCTGTTTTAGGAAACGTTTTACCAGGGGGGATTCCTCTGAACAAGATGCCTAGATACTGAAGTATGGAACTTTATTTGAGGTCTCACATTGCAAAAAGGCCTTTGGTAAAACAAAATGTCTGTTGTTCCTCAATGCACTTGCCATTGTGCCAATGAAATTCATGGTTAACATCTAGTTCAAACTGGAGAAGCAAAGGGCCATGTTCTCGAACCTAATTCCTCCACAAACAGCAAGGCCGGCATGAGTAGGCAACTATAATTTGTGGATCAACACCCAGCAGTCAGTTATATAAACAGAATTCTGCGTATCACTAATCCTTTACAGCATTAGGAAGCACTGATCAACACAGACCCATTGGCATGAACATATGAACGAAGCCATTCACGATGAAATAGCTACCTTTTCCCAGAAAAACAAAGAAGCGCCGTCTTTTGATGGCTACAGCTTGCAACTGAGCATGCTTGGAATTTCAAGGGTTCAGGGGCCTGGCTTGCTCACATCCAAGTGACTCGGATGTAGCAGCGCTGTAGGCTATATGGCGGCCTTAGCCCCCGTCAGTTAAGAACAACCTCGGAAGGACGTGGGTACCTACCTGGTACTGTAACGAGAAAGGGGGGTGATCCATAGACACCCTGGGCCATAGACACCTTAGGGGCTATGTTCATGCTGAGGGCTAGGCTCCTCTAGAGTTATAGATTCAATGTATAGAAGTTATGCAACTATCCTTTCAAGTGTGTGGTTTACCCGGAAAAGGAATCTCTTTTGAAGCTATTCTGGACCTCTTCCTGAAGTCTTGTAGGTCTGTTGTCTGATCTGGAGTCTGGCTGAGGTCTTGCTACCTCTTCGTGACTGCTAGTATCTTTTCGTAACTGCCTTATTGTAATAGCTTCTTCCCTAAGTACCTAGGTATGTACTTCTCCCTAAGACTCATTATGTGATTTCTATGTCTAAGGGGAAGGCTCCCCCTTTAAGGAAGGGTCAAACTCTGGGATTCCCTAGCCCAGTGGGGCTACCATAGGTATGGGCAGGTACGCCCCGATACGATAGGTACGATAGGTAATAACATTAGATCCTGTGAAGAGTGGGCAATCAAAATGAACCATCAGAATTGTAAACAACAGCACCAAGGAAGATCAGGCTTACAAACAGGAAGACTCGCTTCTGGTTGTACCAGCCACTGCTACATTCACTGATCTACATTAGTCCCCCTCTTCCAAAATCTTTTCTGCGAACCCATTTCCAATAATTCTCAACTTCTCACCACCTCCTCCCCCTCCCTAACATTCCAATTCTGTGTATTCGGAACACGGAAACATGGCACTCGTTCTGGTTTCCCAAGAGCAGCGGAAGCGCCTTTCAGCGGAACAGTTCAACCAGATCCAGCGCAACTACTGGTCAGTCATCCCAAACACCCACCATCAACACCCATTCTTCAACAAACTGCCTGTGCGCCCAGGAGTATAACCTGAGCTCCATCACACATAGGAGATGCTCCGTTCCGTTTCTCCCCAACCAATGCTTTGTACGGATGTTCTGACGGCATTCTTAACTCTAAGGCTATTGAATACTCCCGCTGGACGCAGCGGAGGCGACTGTGTTGTCACCTATGAGGGCCAAAACGCACGCCTTTATCGAGACATCATCTGTGAACGCAGCAGCTTCTTCCGGCTTCAGCTTCCCCCCACAGTCTTCAAAGTCAGTGGCCACCCACGTCTTACTCCGGACCCAAGGTTGAGTTCAAGGCAGATTTGCTAACATTCATATCCTGACAGGAGAGCTCCTTGCATCAAGTTTCACTGGAAGGGTTCGTGAGCGCACCGTATCTTCGGATGATTATTCAGTTCATTTACCTGTCAAGTAAGCCGCCCAATATGCAGGAAAGTATCTGTCATTATGTTAGTCGCTGACAACGGACCTCACTGCAGTCCCAGAGGCAGGTTATGCCCTGGATATGTACGGGCCGATGAGCGATGCAGTCTTCTACAAGCACATGTTTGAGCTCTACCGTCAGGCCTGCTACCTCATGGTCCCTAGCCTGACGCAAGCAATCATTGCAGAGCTCAAGAAGCGACTTGAGCAGGCTGCCTCGATAGTGTTTCAAAATCAATATACAGCAGATCCTAGGTTCAAGACGGTATTCAGAAACACCATGGAGGTAGTCGTCCATGCCTACGACAACTCCAATGAACACCACGAGGTCTACAACCCACTCCGCGCCTACCTATTCCGCTGGGTCGAGCTTTGCTATCCTGTCCTTTCCCGCGAAGGCGACGACTTTTACGAATACCTGGGTCACGCACCCATGCTGGCCGTCACGATCCTCAAAACGAACCACAACATCCGCAACTCCAATTTCATTCTTCCAGGCCCTGGGGTCCGTTGCGGGTTCTGCGATGTCCGCCTCGGAAGTGATTATGCTTCGAAGGATGTGATTGGGAAGTCTAAATTCGGACTCTTTGCGGATGCAAGGGGAGGTGTCAGATACATCTGCAGCGGCAGTGGCTGCCTCCGCCAGCTCAGCGTTAGTATGTTTCGTGGTGGCAGACCCTAATTGTCCCTGTGGATACTCCTACGTCCTTCTGCCTGGGAAACCAGTGGATGTTTATAAGTTTCCTCTTCCTCATAGCTCTCTTGGAGGCTTTTTCGACAGCAACTTCATTGACAAGAAGTCTCCGGTGCGGCCGATGAGGAGCTCATGGAGGCTTCTCGTGAGAGGAGGCGGCTCGCATCCAGCAGCAGCTCACCGAGGACCAGAACGCTGTCACCAGTTAGTGGCAGCTTCTCGTGGATAGTATGCAGACAGGCATGAAGATGATGGACGAGGAGAAGGACCGCCGTTCCAGTTGGGAGTAGCCAATGCTCATCTCGATGCACCGTCGTCAAGGTCAGCTCTCTATCTCGCAATGGTAGTAGACGGAGCCTCTCATCACAGCGACTTGCGTTTATTGGTTATGGGCTACCTTTATCAGTCTGAACAAGCCTAGCGCGATATAATGAGAACATTGGTCACTAGACAGTGCAGATTGGACCCACCTGCTACCTAGATATTAGACTTCAATGTCCGTAGGAGCGTTGCCAGCCTGACGTCCCAAGGAAGGACTTCAACAACCTTGAGCGGTACTACAGTCTAAGCTTGACTTGCTATGGACCCTGATGTGCTTCACCTCAAAGGCATGTCCTCCAGGGCTCACGGCATACATGAAGCGGGACAACACAGTCATTCTCTAATCCATGACTGACTCTGTTACATCTTGAAAATAGGTTATATAAATCGATGATATGAATTATGATATGCAATAGGGAGACCCAAGACCTTATGCCCTCGGTCTAGCCTCCCGACCCAATGCCAGAATATACTCTCAAGGGCCAGAATATCCCTTCAAGGAAGCGCACTCCTGCCCATTAAACTCAATAAAAGGGGTATCAACAAGAACTCCAAAAACCTCGCCCAGCCCCTCGCCAAAGTCCTCCATCGGCTCCAGGTTCGAGAAGACGGTGCCTTTTACCGGCACCGGCGCCCACTGGCCCTGGCTGATGGTCGTGTTGAACAGCCGCACCATCTTGTCGCACTGGGTGCCGTTGGCGAAGATGGGCTGGTTCGTGAGGTTCTGGTAGACCTCGATGGGGTACGGGCTGGCCTCGCCCTGGCCCAGCGCCGAGAACTCCAGCATGACGTACTTGTCCGAGCCGTCGGTCGCCTGGCCCTTGAAGTAGGTCGAGCCGTCCGGCATGCGCCCGTAGGCCTCGCAGCCCGGCTCGAACTTGGTCGGGTGCACGGTGGTGCCGTAGTCCCGGGAGCCGTTGATGGCGATCTGGTTGTCGTCGCTGATCATCTGGGCGGGCGCCATTGTGAATGACGAGTAGCCGTCGCCGAGTAAATCTATGAATGGGAATGACCAGCCGAAGCGCTGTTTATATACATGTCAGAACAGCGCTCTTGTTCTCCGAGTCACGAGAACTTGGCTCACCTGGAAGTCTTGTACGTTGATGCCGAGGGCGGCTAGCTGGATGTCGTGGTCCAACGCGGCTGTCACAAATGCGGGATACATGCCGGCTGGGAAATCAGGCATTAATGCCCTATAGGCGCCCTCGAGGATGGCGTGCTGTGGCGGTATGATCCTCCTTGCAGTGTCGAGGGGTATTGGCACTATTGCCATGGTGGTGTTCAAGGTCCCCGTGGGTGCATCTGGGTATTGTTGAGCGATTGGATTTGGTTGGCTGCTGGTTGTGCATGTGTCTTGTGCACTTATGCTCAACAGCGCTGACGACAGCACGAGCGTCGCCAGGGCGGTGATGTGGAAGACCTTGATACCGGGCATCTTGGACCAGAGTGTGCGATTTGGATGAGCCCATGTGTATAGGGCTGGGGGCACCCAGGGTAATTGGACGTGGAGGAAAGGTGATGGACGGGTGAGCATGGCTTTTTAAACGACCATATCATCTTATTTCTCCCGCGCTACCGAAGGGCAGAAAAAGATTGGGTCGGCAGTCAAGGAAACTCCGGAGGATGTAAGCACATGAGGGTTGCGCAGAAGGCAACCTACTCGGGCCGTGCTGTCATGTTGTTTATGAAACAAAAAGCCAGCAAAACAAAATCGGCGGCTTGGCTCCCGGAAGTCGAGTACCGGATGAGCAGCGTCCCACGGCCAAGGGTTCAGTCGCCAGTCTGTCAAGTGGGACGGAAGAGCAGAATGGGGAAAGGAATGGTGTGGGATTCCAAACATGCTAGGCCGTGCAGATCTAGTCATAAAAGGAGGCTCCGAACAGACGGGAAGAGTGGTTTCCGAGCAGAATGCTGAAGCGCTGCTCAACGGGCGGTCCGGCCATTGGCTGAAACGTCCCTGACAGGAGCCCAAACATCGCCGCCCAGGCCCCGCGCTTCCGTCGGGAAAGGCAGAGGATGGCCCCTCGTGGAACAAAGGAAGAGTAAACAGAACGGCTTCTGCCCCTTCCGAGGGGAGAGAGGAGGGAGGAGGATGGGCGGGCTCGGGCTTGCAGGAGTGCCAGCCGCCATCTGACTGCAGACTGTTCACATCTGACTAGTCTACTCAAGTACAGTACTTGCATTGTTCCCTCTCCTCTCGGAAGAAGGGGGGCGGTCAGCTAGGCCGGCCATATGGCGCGGAAGCCATGCTTGCCGGCACGAGTACGCGCGACCACATCCACCTAGCCTGCCTGCAATAGACGAGAGCCGGAAGAGCTAGTAGTAAGTAGTGTAGGTTGGGTTGGGTTGAATCACGGACAGGATGTCCAACCAGAAGGGAGAGACTCTCAAGACTCTGCACACTGCAGCAGAACTGGTGACGTGATGATAGTTCGCGGATGATACGTCACTCGGTCTCATGGTGCACCGCAGCCCAGCTTCCCGAGTCAACGAATCGACCACTGTTGCGTTGCAGCACCGAAGTCGACTCGAAGGGCTTCCGTGTTGGGGAATGTGCGGGACCCGTGGCCCCCCGTGGCCGGCCTGGTGGGGGGCGGCCGGAACGTGAGTGATCCGGCCTCGCGGACGGGGAACATTGAAACTTTGATTTCCCAACCCCCTTGCAAACGCGGATTAGGGTTAGTTCAGCTAGGCATCATTTTCAAAGAGAACGGAAATTCGCGCACCCAAAATTGAAAGGCGCGCACCCAAATATAACTAAGTGGTGCCCACATATATATATAAATTTATTTTAATTAGGGCCCATTATAGTAATTAGTAAGGTTATTATATACAACTAGTATTTGGCATTATTTCCTTGCTAACCAATAAAAAAGAGGTTAAAAATTATATAAATTATATATATTAAGGCCTAAATAGGTGGTATTTTAAGTATAATTTATACTTAATTATATATATATTTAAATTTTAAGTTGCATATTTTTATTATTACCGGCAAGGTTATTTATAGTTAAATTTACTTATAGTAACTAGTTAATAGTCCTTTATACCCTTATATACTACTTTTTAGCTATTAGTAGAGTGCTTAAAGATATATTTAAAAAAGTAAATTATTACTTTAATTAATGGTTTGCTTGCCTTATAAGCCTTACTGCTAGCTATTAGTTTTACCAAATAGTTCCTTACTAGGTATTATTATTATAAATATTCTCTTTATTTAAGGATTATAAGGTTAAGTTATTTTACTTTTAAGCTAAATTTATTTGTTAAAAAAAGGCCGTTATTGCCCTTATTTTATTTTTTACTTTACTTTTTAAATTAGTAGTTATTAATTTAATTTGCTTGCTTATTATAGCTATTATTTGGCTTATATTTTATTTAAAAATACCTGCCTTATTGGTTATAAATATGGCCATTTTATAAAGGCGTTTTTTAATTAATTTAACCTGCTTTAACAAGTAAATTATAAGTAAAGGGTTATTAATTAATAAGTTATAATTAAGCTAAAAGAATTTATATATATTAGCCTTTTTAAAGGGCTGCCTAGTTTTTTTTTTATTAGTAATTTAATTAGTATAAATTAAGCTATATTATATAAATATAGGGTAAATATAGGTTAATTATAAATAATTGCCTTATATAACCTTACCTTTAAGTATTTATATAGCCTTTTTTTTAATATTTAAAAGAAGATTTAGAATTACTTATAAAACCTATATTAAAAGGCTTTCTAGCTACTTTTATTTATTAAACTTTTAAAAAAAGAATATTTTTTAATATGCTTTTTTTAATTTAAAGTTATAAGTAATATTTTTTAAAGCCTTATAAATAGTTTTAGCAAGATAAAAAGTATTTTTTATTTTATAGCCCAAATAGACTTTAAGCTTTTAATATATATTTTCTATTAAAAATATTATATATAAGCTAAAATTAAAAACTTTATAAATTTTATAGGCCGCCTATTTAATTATAATTTTTTTTTTTATTTATATAATAAATTTTTAAATATTAAATTATTACTTATTAATTTAAAAACTTTTTTTATAAATAGTACTAAGTTAAATTAAAGACTTAGTAATTAATTAAATATTTTATAAACTTAAATAAATTAAATAGGGCCTAACAAATATAAAGGATTTTATTTAGGACCCTTAATAGAATAGTTATTTTACTTTTTATTAAAATATTAAATAAGGCTATATTTAAATTTTTAACCTTTAAATCCTTTTATTATTAGCTTTTTTTTTTATACTTTATAAGTCTAGTACTTTTACTATTTTTTAATATTAAAAATAATATTTATATTAATATAAAAATATAAAGTTAATAGCAAATATAAAAATATATGCTTAATAATATTAATTAAAATAATATTATAATTAATAATAATAACCTTTAAATTTATAGCTTTATATTTTATTAGTAGTAATTTAATTTATTTTAAAAGTTACTAAAAGCTTGGTTTCTTTTTATTATTAATAACGCCTTAAAATAAGGGCAAGTTCTTTTTTATATATATTATAGCTATACCTTAAAAGTATAGCATTTTTTATTATTAGTTATATAAATATAATTAAAAAAATATTAAATAAAATATTATTTTAAATTTATATAATTTATTGCCTTTTATACTAAAAATATTAGTAATACTTTTTTTCTTATTTTAAATATAATAATATTAATAGTTTTGCTTTTTAAGCTAATTTAATATTATTTATATTAATATATAAATGCCTTATTTCTTTTTCCTTTATTTTACTAGTTAAAACTTTATTATATTAGATTTTAATATAATTATGGGATATTTTTATTAAAATATAAATTTAAGTTTTTTTGGCTTTATTATAAAAGGGTTATAAGTAGTTTAAAAAAGAAATTTATATTAATTTATAATTAATTTAATCTAGCCTTGCTCTACCTTAGCTACTACTTGGAGCCTATAATAGGCATACTTTCCTTTTTAAATTATAAGCTTCTACTTATTTATTATGGCCTTAATTATATAAGCAACTTTTTATTAAAGGTAATTAGTTTTAATTATAATAATATTATAGGTAGTTAAGGCTAAAAGTTATTATATATTATAATTATAAGCTAAAATTCTTTAATTTATTTTAAAACTATAAAAGACTATTAGCTAGCTAGCTAATTTTATAGCTTTATTTAATTTAACTTTAAATTTCTTATAAATATTATATTTATTATTAAAAAGCTTTAAAAATATAAAGAAATTAAAAAGTGCTAAAAGGTAGTAGTTAATAATAGTAATACTATAATTCTAGTTATAATAATTAACCTACTAATATAGCTTAAGCCTAAAATAGTTTAGTACTTATATTATTAGCTATAACGTTTAAAAAATAATATTTAAGTAAATATAATAAAAATTTAATTTTTAATTAATAATTCTTACTATTTAAATAGTTAATTTAACTTATAGTTGGGTGGTAATTAATAAGTATAATTAAGTAGGAAAAAAAGATTTTACTAGGCATATTAGGCGAAATATAAAAAGTACTACTTAAGTGGTCCAACAAGTGAAATAAAGTCTTCTAATTGGCTGCAGCCCTGCTTAGTTATATCTAGGTGCGCGCCTTCCAATTTTGGGTGCGCGAATTTCCATTCTCTTTTTAATGGCCAACCTAAAGACGACAGATATGCGTGCCGACTTACTTACACACAGCAACCTACAATATAGCATAGCACTTACTAAGGGTTGCACATTGGGGAATATGTTACCATGTTGTATTTCGGAGTTGATGTGTCTCGCACCAGCATTAAGGTCCGGTTGGCACCCCAAAGGTTTCCCGTCACAAAATCAAAATAAGTACTACGCACAGTCCTTGCCAGGGTCATAGTTAGATCAGCTCTATCGAATCATCCACTTGGTGCGTCACTCATCCTTCTGTGGGAGGAAATAGCCAGGTAAAAACTGGAGCCTTTTCGCGGATCACCGCCGTCCCGGGATGACTGACGAGGCCTGACCAATTAGCCCAATGTTTCAGCACCTTGGGGTCGTGATAATTAATCACATGCATCCTATATGCGGGGCGTAGGATCCATTCGCTCGGGACTATCAGGTAGGCAACGTTGGGAAAAAGAATATCAAGTCCTATTGGTCACTCCAAGGTTCCGGACTGGACACCGCACCACAGGGCACACTAGCTACAAAGAATTCAAGCCGCATCGGGATTAAATTAGCCCTCACGTACCACAAGAGCGGACATGTGTCAATGGAACGAGCTGTTCTATGAGCAGTAGCTGCAAATCTGGAAAATTCCAGACGTCTTGCTCTTTCTGCTATGGTACCTAGGTGGTACACCTCCAACGTGGTGGTTTCAGCCTTGGTGTCGAGCGAGGTTGCATGCTTCGGGATACAGTTGTTTTATACTCATGGCGACGGTCTTAAAAGCGATGTATTTGCCTTGAAACTCTCCATCCTACGCTACAAGGTCAGTCGTTCGTGTTTCCTAGCAGCTGTAAGCAGAAGGAAGAGACCCCGTATCAAGAAGCTGGGATTTCTGACTTTATCCCAGCAGCAGACGGTCCAAACTTGTGTGACGGTCAAAAGTTCCTATCAAACTTTCCCCCGCGCTATCTCTTGACTATTTCCACGTTTTCATGGGGCTTTTTTATTAAAGTAATACTGTCAATATTGTACCGTTATCAAGTTTTCAATGGCTATAAAATGCGGTTGTCTTGAACAGTTATCGACCACTGAGCAACATGCCGAACATCCCAGGGCCTTGCTCTCGAACAACTGCTGATCAAGCCGATCACTTGCACAAAACGCTGGATAGAACGATAGGATGAACAGTGGTTATCGGAATGAATCCGTGCTGGGTTCTTCAGACTTCAAGCCGGTTGTGGAGACACAGACTCGGCTTGCACGCGCCTCCCTTGTTCTAGCTCGTCTCATCTGCCATCGGTTGAAAAGCAGACCATGGAAGATTTTGCAACCCGGCATCTACTTATCGCAAGTGATTCAGACTAATGACCTACCTCAGCTTGAAATAACTTTATTCGAGACGTCTTTGAGCGCGGGAGTGGATGATAGAACAGTCCTGGAGGATCTTTTTATGTGTGTGTTATCAATCTTCACTCGTCCATGGTTCAATCCGCCTGTCCACCAAATCACATTTTTTTCGATTGTCATTTTCAATGAGTACACTTGATTTTCTCTATTAGAGATAAGTATACTCATAGTATATGCGACGGAACAAATTTCAGGTCAGAGGAATTCTTGTGAGCATGAACACTGTTCAATATTTTCGCAAAAGTCTGGTTCGATTTCATGGATCAGAAAGGAAAGTTGACGCCGTTATAGAACCAGTACTTTGGCAGTCTAAATAGTCGTAGACCACCAATCTCGCTTTAATTCTCGGATTGCAAATAATCCCGCGACTTGTGTGCATTGGTATATTCGTCAGCCTGCCTCCATGCCAACCATACAAATTGGATTCCGTTCACCCGGGACGTGAGCAAAAAATGTCGGCACCACTCGGCTGCAAATAGCATGCGATTCATGGCCCCTGTAAAGCATTGGGTGTGCCCAAAAGGCTGTTTCGCCAGCTAAAGCAGCGATAAGAGCGTTCCTGTGCAACAAGCTGGAATCAATATGGAATCATAACCCACTTTCCAATCGCGTTACTGGACGCTATCACCGTCTTGCGTGATCCGTGGAACAGAAGTCGCAATCACAATTTCTTTCGGATTCAGAAGAGATGAAGAATTTCCCGGGTGCTCTGGGCAGAGATCAGCCGCAATGCGATCTCAAGGGAACAATGATTTTGACTCATAAGCCCAGTGTGGCGCATTTGCGTGGGATAGGACGTTCGTGAACTGCAGCGCTCGTCGTGGAACCGTGCAGTTGCGACTCTAATTATCGTGAGTGTCCAGACATCCGCCATGGGTAACGACCAAAATGTCCAAGCCACAAAGGAGCAGCCCTCCTCCGTGCCTTCGGACAAAGTCTCCATCAGGCAGGCCAAGGTCGTCTCGGAGAGGGGAGCTGATGAGACATTGCAACTGCTTGAGGAGCACGGCGACAAGGTCGGCGAGCTGACCCCTGAGCTCGAGGGTAAGCTCAAGAGCAAGATCCGGAACCATATTCTTACGCTCGTCATCGTTATTGACCTGATGCTCTATGTATGTTCATCGATATACCACCTGCTGGAATTGAGGCACTGGACTTACACGGCTACACCCATAGATCGATAAGTCCACACTGTCCTATGCAGCCCTCCTAGGCATTTATGAGGAGACGGGAATCGACAACACCCAATACAATAATCTCAACACACTCTTCTATGCTGGTAAGATTTTCGTTGCCCAATAGAGGCCGCTTCAAATCATTGACACGTACTCCACCCCCCAGGTTACATGGTCGCCCAGATTCCAGGACACTACCTGATGCAAAAACTCCCGCTCGGCCGCTTCGTCACTATTTCCGTGTTTCTGTGGTCGGTAGTGGTCTTCCTCCACTGCACAGCCAAGAGCTATGGCGGCCTGATCCCGCTGCGATTCTTCCTGGGATTCTTCGAGTCCTGCCTGGTCCCAGCAATGGAGGTAACGATGGGCATGTTCTTCACGCCCGCCGAAGCCGTGCGCTACCAACCACTCTTCTTCACCTCGTGCCTGGCATCCCCCATCCCAGCAGGGTTCATTGCCTACGGGCTGCTGCACATACAGTCCCAGGACGTGCTGCCGTGGAAGTTCTTCATGATCATCACCGGCGGGATCACGCTGCTCATCGCGGTGTATACCTTCTTCTTCTACCCAGACAACCCGGCCAGGGCGAGCTTCCTCACCATCGACGAGCGCGTCCACGCCATCCGGCGCATCCACGCGGCGACCAAGTCGTCCATCGAGCAGAAGACGGTCAAGCGCTCCCAGATCAGCGAGACCCTCCGCGATCCAGTCTCCTGGCTCTTCGTCGTGACCGCCCTGGCCAACCAGCTGTCCAACAACCTCGCGTACCAGCAGAACCTGCTCTTCCTGGCCATCGGCGTCGACACGCTGGGGTCCACGCTCGTGTCCGCGGCGGGCGGCGCCTTCGCCGTGGTCTGCGCCGTCTGCGCCTTCCTCCTCCTCCGCTTCCTCCCGGGCCGCACCGCGCTCTGGGGTGCCTTCTGGTCCATGTTTTCCGTCGCTGGCGGCATCGGCATGGTGGCGATACGCTGGACCGAGCGGCTGCCGCTGCTCGCGTGCATGCTGCTCGCGGGGTCGACCTTTGGGATCACGTATATCATCGCGCTCGGGTGGAACACTGCGACGGCGGGCGGGTATACCAAAAAGCTAACGCGGAATGTCATGTGGATGGTCGGTTATAGCGTGGCGAATTTGGTGAGCCCCCAGATATGGGTTGAAAAGGATGGGCCGCGATACTACGGTGCTTGGATCACTCAGATTGTGGTAAGCTGGGTTGGAGCTCCATTGTGCATGTTCGCGATTCACCTTATCCTGTCGCGGAGGAACAAGGAGCGACGGAGTTGGATTTCAGAACAGGAGGCCTTGGGATACCGGCCAGTGGGCATGGTCCAGGTCGAAAGGGATGGGGCCACAGTGGAGGTTGAGGTAGACGTCTCCCTGTTGGACCTCACGGACTTGGAGAACAAATACTTCCTGTATCAACTGTGACATTCGTGGGGACACTGACCGGGGGGGGCAATGTCTCCTTGTAGTTGATTGCACTCCCAATGAGAGCATAGATAGAAAGCGATTTCCAGCTTCTTAATGCAAGGCTAGTCAATTTCAAACTGTCTGCTTGATTGTATTTGTAAGGGTATCATGTCTCGAAGCTCATCAAGCAAACTGGCCTCGATCGCGGTCTCTCACAACCTGCAGGTCGCTGAAGATCAAGCGTGCAGGGTCCCACGCTTGCGGGCCTGGCCACCGAGGATCAGAGACATTGTCGAAATATCGACGAGGGATGCGGTATCAATGTTGCCCTACGACAGTTTGATCGGCCGGACAATCCTCGCTCATGCGGTCTCTTTGCACCGGAAGGGTCATTCTTGGCAGGACAGATGGACGGCCTGTCTGGCTAGTTGCGCGGCGGAAAAGATGCAAAGTCCGCTGCTCTTATAGCGCACCGCCGACCAACGAAACTATCCACATCGCAAGGCGCACTTTCAAGCTGACTCTCCTCTCCGTTCTGGCAAAGTCATCCCTCGTGACCTGAGCTGCGTGGTCCTGCAACCAGCGCTGCTCGTCACCAAGCCTCTTTTTGAGGTCTTCATTCTTCGTCAGGATCATCGCGTTCGCCTCGATGTCCAACGAGTAACTTCGCTTCGTATAATTCGAACTCCCTACCAGGCTCAGGGAGGGGTTCGAGTCCGAGGGTAAGGTCACCCAGATGCCTTTGGCGTGGTACGTCCATCCGCCTGGCTCGTTGACCGTACCCTTCCTCCATTCCTTGAGCGTGATGGCTAGGTCCTTCTTACGATGGTGCACATCGTGAAGGAAATTTCTTGCGAGCAATGTATAAGCGTCTGGCAACATGCCCGAAACACCCTTAGATTGATAGAAGCCATTCGCGAAGGGAGATGCGGTGATGACAATGTTGTGATGTGATGCTGTGGCAAGTAGCAGCTTGGTGAGTGATGGCGCTGGGTTGAAATATCCAGCGGTGAAGGTCCAGGACGAGTTGGAATACTCAGGAGATGCCAGTGTCTTCAAAACATGGGTGAGGGCAGGTAGTTCCGTTGAGGTGTCTGGCGACAAGAGCTGTGTCATCTGTGCCAAGGGGTAGACACTCGTGTCGAAGTCACCTTTATTAGGTGGGCTTGACTGGGTCTTTCCAGGTGTGATCAGTCCTTTGATGAGGGAAGTGGACTGAGACACAAACTGCTTTGGGCTATCAAGGGGAGAAGGCGCAGCATTCTCGGCCGGCCAGACCTTTTCGAAGCCAGCCGCCGAGCTCGATGGTTCTATCCTGAAGCTCAGGGATGACACAGCATTGTGTAGTCCCCAGAAGAAATCCGTGACGTCTTTGGAGGAGAAAAGGTGGTATCTATCCTGCCGATTCGTAAAGTAATCGGTGGACAGATTCGCCCCAGACAGCAGGATCTCGTCATCGAACCCATATAACTTCATGTGCTGCAGTCCCCAACCCTCATTTATTCTCTTGGGTATGTACTTCTTCCGCAAGCCGGTCAGATTCGGCGTGTGGTACATCCGTATCTCCACCCTATCTGGTCCAAACTCTTCGACCAGAGGAGCCAGAAGCGATGCGCAAGACGGCTGGGGGGCCTCCCGCGTGCCGCGGAGGGCATCGGTCAAGATGCTGAGCTTGAGCTCCGGTTTCCTCCGCAGAGCATCCCGCAAAGTCTCTATCAGCTCCCGCTCGGTCTTCCCTATATAAAGAGTCGACAGGAAGATACGCCGTTCCGCCTTGGAGATCTTGTCCTTCAGCGTCTCGTAGAACTCGGCCGGCGTCTGCAGGATCCGTATCTGGGAGCCATTGATGGGGAACGATGGTGCGATCCTGTCGAGCTCGCTCATGAAAGGCGCGAGCATGCCCGCAGAGCCCATGGTGCTCGATGCAGGAGCCGTGCCGGCTGTCGCATATTGGCGTCGAGCTGGGAGCCTCGAGACTCGAAAGTTGGGCGTGAAGAAGGGCTTTCTGACCCTACCGATGCCACATCTTGTCACGGAACTCCGGGCAAGCATTGCCGCATTGGAAGTCCAGGCGTCTTCGGCCGTATTCCACTTCTTAGGGGCGCAAGATCGAGGGCGTCGGTGGTAATACAGCTGGAAAATGGGTCGAAGTCAGGAGGTTGAAGAGCTAAGGAGCACAGTGCAGGGGGTTGACGGTACGTACCCTTAGATACCGGAGCTTCATGATTGGCTGGGGCAGGCCCACCCACCTCGGGGACTTGGGACCTGCGTCAGGACGACTTCGCTCTATCGCAGCCGACCCCGACTTCACCTCACAGCACTTGACAGCTTGACGCCCATTGAACGTAGTCAAGATGTCGACAATTAGCAGGACGCTCGGCGGTCTCCGCCGGATTGGCCTCAAGGTAGGCACCTTGCGCTCCATGAAATTAGAGACTATGCTAACGTGTTCGATTGCAGGAATACTGGCACCAACTTCAGGTACGTCCTACCCGTTCGATCCCTTGCCGCCTTCCAGATGACGACTGACCTCGGACTTTCTACGACAGTACATTGGTATGATGCACATGGAAGACTTGCGAGGGCCCCAAGGTTGCTGATACTGGAGCAGGCGATACGAAGGCCGGTACCCTGATCGGCACCGACAAGTTCGGCAACAAGTACTACGAGAACATGGCGGATGAGCTGCCTTGTATGGCCCCCAGACTCTATCCGACATGATATTCCAAGAATATTTCTGATCGAAACGGCCGATAGTGCGAACACGATGGGTGGACTACAAGAAGCACGACTTTGACGCGTATGTTCAAGACCGTCCCCCGCCCTTTGGAGGATCCTGAGACAGAGGGAGTCGGCTGACCACTCTTGGACGACGACAGCGCCCAAATTGAGCCTTTCTGGCACGCCTGGATTTCCTACGCCGTCGACAAGCCCCCAACTGAGGACCCCATTGCCAAGATAAACCGCAGCTGGGCGAAGCCTTACCACATCCCGAACTACACGGCCACGAGGGGCGCTTACAAGTCCTATAACACGTATGTTGACGATATCGATAGGGATGGCCGTAGATGATACTGATGTTGTAATAGGACCAAGCCGAAGATCGAGTCTTGGCAGCCCAAGGCTATCGCACGATGAGAAGGTGCGTCCTGGCATGGAGCGACCGCCTTGTACATAGGACAATAGAGAATTTCTTGCAGTCCGTGTCAACCCATCAATGCGTATTTGCAGCTTTTTGGCCCACGTGTGTGGACTGTCTCGTATCTTGAACCATGATAGCTGCCGGGTATGGTTCCAAGGTCTAGTTGTATTGCTGTCGGCGGTATAAGACGTGAGAGCAGATGTATAGACAGTTCTAATTCTTCTGCGAGCGGAGCATGTTGCTCACTCCGCCTTCCAAGTCTTTGCAACTTGACAGCAAGCCCCAACCCACTTCGCAGCTGTAACTCGGGGCTTGTTTGTTGAACATCTGTGGCTGGGCATGACAAGCGAGCCCCTTTGTGGAGGCTCCCGGCGACACACTAGTAAGCATTACCACCCAGAGAAGAGTAGGGTTCGGATTCCATGATCCGCCAGCGCCTTCTTAACGCCAGTCCCTCCTCAAGACCCCGATAGGCGACTCATGTAAACACAAATATCGTGAGCCCGATCAGTCTCTTTCAATCTCGCGTCGAAGTCGGTGTTCTACTCTTGCATCATAACCCGCCCGCGTCTGATCGGCTGACCATCTCCAACCAGCAGCATTCCAATCCTCAGGACCTAGGTTTCTTGCCGATCTGAAAGTTGGTGTCGGCCGCGGACCCCCCAATGATCGCCGTCAGTAGCTCCTCGAAGTCCTGCTTTGTTAAGTCCCAACCCATCTACTCCACCAATACCAGTATGCCGGCCTTCCTGCCGGCCGGGATGGCCTGCTCGACGATCTGTTAAAACGCCATTGGAATAATGGACTTGGAAGCACAGCAGTGTGTAGGTAAGGAGCAGCACTCTATCTTTGCCAAGTACTTTCAGGACACAACAAAGCTGGTATAATGCTGAGACACCTGTGTATGCCGTTCATCCCATCAAACCTGCCTTGTGTGCTATGGGATTTTGTATTCCCGGTCAGTTGGACTTACCTTCAAGTGGGCGATTGTGTTTTGATTCATGGTTAGGGCTTGGCAATCAGTGACTGTTTGGAATTATATGTTCCAAGACGTATCATTGTTTCAACCTGTCAAGGAAGCTCAGAGCAGGGAATATATCTATGTGAGAATCATATGCTGCTATCTTGTGCCAGGAAATCGGCAGACTAGCGGCTTGCTCACATCTGATGAATCGCCAGGGCTACTGAGCCTTGTGATGCCTCAAGCGTCGTCTATGTTGTGCTAAAAGGGCCTGCTGACGACTTCGCCTTGTTACTCGTATGTCGGTTACTCCTCGTTACGAGAACAACACATCTTCTATCGTGGTCCCAATACCGGCTTCCCATCACTCACTTTCATAGTTCCCCACGTACTGATGTCAGCCGCCTGTGCTATATCGATGTTTCGGCCTTTCCTGTGTCATAAAGCACAGGTGTGTGGGCCGCTCATCAGAGCTTGATGTTTCAGGGCATGCGGTTTTTATTGCAATGCTCTTCCCCACCAGACCTAAACACCAAGAACAAGCTGGGTTGTGACGCTGCGAAGCGGCATTGGCAGTTGATGCCTGAGTAGGTGGCCTTGAACGTGAACTGACTCCGTCTCAGCTCTGTGCCGTCTCCTCCCGAAGTTTGACGGGTACCACCACAAAAAGGTAAACTCTAAATATCTACCAATCCCCTCTCAAAAGCCCTTTCGTCGGACATGGAGGCCAAACAAGCACCGGCGGGCTTTGAGCTTACATTCTCCCTCCCATGACCGGCCGGGAAGAAGGTATCGTGGACGGATCAGCAGATCACCAGCACATCTCCAAACATTAAATAATCATAATTTAGGCAGTTAGGGGATGATATGCGCACTTTCAGGACAAGCACAAGTAGCTGTTTCTATTTATCCCCTCGGTCTGATGTCTACCCGCGTGGCTGGGTTGCGAGCGATCTAAGCTTGGCATGTGCCGGGAACAAAGTTAATCTGCTGGGCTTGCTGTGTGCTCTGACTTGGAGAGTCAGTTGTCCGACGTCCAGTGTTTGGGACGGGCCCTGCGAACTAGCTCCCGTCACTTTGGCTTGCGCGCCCCTTTGGAGAATAGGACTCCCACTGCAGAGCCTCGAGGCTCTGAAAGGCAGCCGCCTACGTCAACATGGGTATCGCCCTGTCGCCATATGCGGAAGTGAATGCGGGGGATTATGCTGCGAATTAGTATGGCATCCAGACGCAGCACGGGACGATCACCTATCAACATGGCGCTCGTGACACCAGTAGAATCCAGCGGCCACTGCAGCGCAGTGCCGGATGGCCACTCTCAGGTTGCTGCCGTCGGCCCCGGTGGCATACCTGTTGATGAGGGAAGTCATCATCGCCAAGTGGGATGTTCGGCACCCATCACGACTGCGCGAGATCCACCACTTTCAGACCGCGGGGTTCCATACCAAAACCTTAAAGCTGATCGGCGTGCACCCGCCACGGCTAAACTCGGGGATATTTGTTTCCAAGCTCAAACCCCAAGATGCGAGAAACAGGAGAAAGGGCGAAGCCAATTTATCATGCACTCATGTCGCCCACCCCCCGCTGCATCCGGACAGGAGGCAGGTGGTAAGAGTATGGAGGCATAAATGGCGGCTGCTGTCCCTTGTCCACATCGCTTGGGATGAGGGACCTCATCGCATCCTCGGGACGGATTCATTCGTTTAATACTCAGTTTGTAGTTTCTCAGGGCAGTGCCGCATAACCTCTGTGAGGCCTTTCTTCTCTCGTGTGATATAATAATCTCCAGTCCTTTCCGTCACAATGCGATTTATTCAGCTTCTGTCCGCGGCTACGGCCATCGTATATATCGCAGCAGGGTCTCCAGTCAACGAAAGGCGGGTGAAAGAGCTCCTACCTCGGACCATAGGTGAGTTGTCGCGGCCTTGACTAACTTACCCTTGAGCTGGCCAGCCTGATTAACACCGTACAGAGAACGCAGCAGCACCGGTCGACTCAGCCGTCAAGCCTGCCGAGTCTGCCCCAGGCCAGGGAGCAAGCGCTGGAGGGGAAGGTGCAGCAGCAGGAGGAGCGGCAGCGGGCGGAGCAGCAGCTGGCAACCGGACCATAGTGGTACAGCAGGGCCAGACCCTCGGCGCGATCGCAAAGCAATTCGGCACTGGTATCTGCGACATCGCGAAGGCCAGCGGCCTCGCCGACCCGAACCTCGTCGACGTGGGTCAGACCCTCACGATCCCCCCGCCGACCGCAACGCCAGACAACACGTCCTGCCTCCCGCCGCCGCCGCCGCCAGCAACGGCGCGCTGCGTCCTCGGCGGGCCCGACCGCCTAGTCATCCCGGCAGACGGCATCACGGCCGAGCAGGCGGCCAAGTTCCTCAACATCACGCAGGACGCCTTCGTCGCCGCGAACCAGGCTGCGGTCCCGGGCAACAGCAGCGCGAAGCTGGCCGGGGGCAGCGTCATGCAGGTCCCCGTGTGCCCCAACTCGCAGTGCACCATCAGCCAGGGGACGGTGAAGAAGGGCGACATCTTCGACAAGATCGCGGCCGAGGCGGGGTCGACCACGGGCCAAATCCTGGGGCTGAACCCGGGCATAGACCGCTTCAACCTCGCGGTCGGCCAGACCTTCACGCTGCCGAGCAACTGCCAGAACGTGACTGGCGGCGAGGCTGGGGCCGGGGCCGGGGCTGGTGGCAATGCCACGGCTGCTGCCCCAGCTGGGGAGGCCGGGAAGGGCAAGGGGGCTGCTGCGAAACGGTGAGCAAGACGTGTCGCTTCCAGAAACGAATCCGTCCCGGGATGGGTCCGTGGTGTCGAAGGCTACACGGAGATTATGTCCGCCAAAGTTGAGGTATCGGAAAGTCTGTCGAGGGAATGCCCATGAACTCGGAACCCAAGATGCACTGCCCAAGCATCCAAAATAATAGTCTGCCTCGAAGGCAGAAGGCAAACTGCCGTTGAACGGCCTGTCGAAGTTGGCCTGGTCGGCGTCATTTCCTTCCGCCCTGTGATCGGGTGTCTGCGAGGCTAGAAGCCATTTCGTGTATAGGTCAGGCCAGCTTGAAGCTGATGCCTCTAAATCAGTTGTTTTTCATCTTCAATACCGACTCAGGATCGCAAACTTCACAAACCCGGCCCGCAAGCCCACATATCCACCGCCGAAAGGCAGAAGGAAAAATGTCCGTGGTTGTGTATAGTGTTTCAGGCCACACAAGATCGATCGCAATGAAACGGGTATGTCATTGTTTGCGATGGGATCTGGGGCTTTTGTGGGGCGTCTGCAATGTCCATCTCGATTGCCGTCTGTCGCGCACGTGCGAGCGACGGGCTATTGCAGAGGCAGCTTACCATGTCAGCCATGTTCGCCACAGACCAGATCCAAGGTGAGATGTGCGCATGCCTTTGGGAGGATGGATACAATTGCGCGGAGTAAAGCGAAGGAATTGGAGTGGGTTGATCATGTATGTACTCAGTACTGGCGTGTAGCAGCAAGAAAGTCATTAAATCAAGGTATCTGGATACTTGAACAAGATAAGCTGATAATAGCAGCTAGACCGACCGGGCTTGGCCGTTCGGTCAGGAACCAAGGTGACTGACGCGAAGAATGATTACGGCCGCGTCAGTCAGGGCCAAGGTGGTGCCGCTACTGCTGGCCCTCTCCTCATCCCCATCCAGCCATCTTACTCGAATACGAACAACCCTTGACGGTACGGGCGAGGGCGCCCGTTTTGAGCCTAGGCGACTTTGTACCAAGATTTTCCGTAAACCTTCCAGCCCTGCCAGCCAGCCCAGCCTGGAACAGCTTGGAAACGGTAGTCTCTGATGCAATATTATATGGTAGCATCCAATACTCACAGGCATCACAGCTATGACATAATTGGGCGCTCTGCGCATGAGCAATGCTTGCCGTTGCGTCTGATCAAACTGAGTTTGAAAGCTATGTCAACGAAGAATGAAGGCTTGTCGGTGGTGCAGAAATGGACAGGTAGAAATTACTGGCTGTAGTAATAATAAGTCGCTGGCATGGCCTTGGGATTTGGCCCAGCAACCCTGAGAGACAAATGAGCAGGCCAAGTTGGTCTGCCCGTCGTTCCTGTGGGCGATACGAGGTCTGCACTGCCACGCACCGCGCCCTTGGACCGTCCATTGGCCACGACGACTCGCCATCACCCACAGTCAGCGTTGGTCTTACACAGAGAGTGCCTGTGTGCCTGAATGCCCAGCTGCCCAGAGAGTCAATGACAAAACAAAAGAGAGGGGCTATTACGAACCACTGGAATGGACTCGGCGGTCAGCGGACCGAGCCTTGGTGTTGTTGTGTTGTTGGTGTGTTGTTGGAGGGGCAGAATGACAAAACAGGCTTACTGTTTGCGTATTTGCCGTGCAGAGTACAGCTGCAAGCACCTTAGGCCTTGCAGGGCGGTCGCAGGCATGCAGGGCAAGGATTGTCTGGGCGGTGGGTCCCCCAGCGACGGCCCGCTGATGATCTCGACCATGCTTCTCTTCCCAACTGGGAAGACCTTGGCTGCAACAAAACCTCTTGTGCTGCCTGTTTCTGTCCTAGGGCGGGTCCTCGGACTGCCGCAGGCCCCCAGCAGTCCAGAACCCTTCTGTTTCTGGGGCAGGATTGTGAGGAAGGAGGGGGAGGGGTATCTACCACCTGTATCCTGCTTGTTCCCTGGGCGCTTCTAGCGGTCTGATCCACGGGCGCTGGGGCGCCAGGGCCCTGGGAACAAGACAACTCGAGAGAGAGGCTGGGTTCTGGGGCCTGCCTTCCTGGAACGGACGCTGACGGCCAGAGACGGGCACCAACGTGCCAGATACGGCACCACGGCACCACGGTCCACGGCAGCAGGGGCAGCTCTGGTGAAGAACGTTGTTTAGCGTTTCATTAGCGCCCAGCAGGGCTGTGTCTGGTTGGCTCGACGTTCTAGTGACCGTCTGGGCACCTGGCACTTCCTGGGCACACCCCAACAAACACCCGCTCCAACCTTGCCTGGCCCGGTCCTTGACGTCGTTCCAGCTACTTCTGCTCCTGCTTCCCAGGCTCGAGCCTTCCAACCTCCAAATCACCTCACCACCACCGCCGCCACCACCACCCTCACCGTCCACATCCCGCCTCGCGCGTCAAGCACGGCACACAACGTGGCAGACAAAAGGCAACCGGCCACACCACGCTGCTGGGAGTACGGCCTGCCCGACACTCGCTTCTCGCCGTTTGTCCGGTTTCTAACTTGGTCACTGGCTCGGCTTCAGGACTCGGATTTGACTCTCGCCTTGCCTCACATGCGCCGACCCTCTCTGCCCGGCCTCTGGCAGTCACTCGCTCCGTCATTCCCATCGAGGACCTGACTTGAACATCGACACACTGTCACCACAAGAGAATCAAGACCCGACAAGGGCATCAATATATAGGCCTTGGGCCCGGCCCACCCACGCTCCACACCCGCCCGAGTGCGACCGACCGACCCGAATGACCGTCCATCCGACCGTCGACACGATTTACTAGACTTTGGTGCAATCGTCACCACCGCACACGATACTGTCCATCACCATGCGCTTTCCACAAGCACAACGATTTCCTCTCTTCCTCCTCTGCCTCCTGGGGCTCTCTCTCTCCGCCAGCGCCGAATATGTCCTCCAAACAACGTCGCTCAGCACCTGTCAGGCGAATTCCGGCTTCTCAGCCAGCCTTTTCGATGTCGTCTATACGCCAAACAACGACTCGGTCGCCGTCGACATGACCGCCACGTCCACGGTCGAGGGCTATGTCCTTTTTGACATTTCCATCACCGCCTACGGCTATGAGATCATGCGCAAGACCATTGATCCCTGCACTGCCGGCGACGGCTTCAAGGGTTTCTGTCCCATGAGCCCCGGCAATCTGAACAACCCCTTCAACGTCCCCATCGACCCGAGCGCAAAGTCGCAGATTCCCGGCATTGCCTACACCTTCCCCGACATCGATGCCAAGGTCCGTGTCTTTATCAACAAGACCGATGGTAGCCCTGTCGCCTGCGTCCAGGCTGCCGTGTCCAACGGAAAGACTGTCGATCTTGTTGGCGTCAAGTGGGCCTCTGCCATAATTGCCGGGTTGGCTCTTGCGTCCTCCGCCATCATGTCCGGCCTGGGTCATCAGAACGCTGCAGCTCATGTGGCTGCCAGCGCCCTGTCGCTCTGTGGGTACTTCCAGTCCCAGGCGTTCATTGGTCTCGTCGCGATCCCGCTTCCGCCTTCCGTCCAAGCTTGGACCCAGGATTTCCAGTGGAGCCTGGGAATCATCAAGGTCAAATTCATGCAGGACATATTCACCTGGTATCAGCGTGCCACTGGCGGCACTCCCGCCTCGCTGTTTGATTCCCTGACCAAGTATTCGGTCCAGGTGCAGAAGCGTTCGTTGAACCTCGAGGACACGCCCGTCAATGGGCTATATAGGAGGGCCGTTGCGATGATGCCTCGAAGCGAAGTCAGGGCAAAGGCGGCGCGCCACCTCGCCAAACTCGCGAAGCGGGCGGGCAATTACAAGAGCCCCTCTGGTGACTACGTCGTCACCGGTGTGCAGAGGTATGCCTACCAGGCAGGCATCGAAACCACCAACTTCTTCTTGACGGGGCTCGTCTGGTTCTGCATATTCCTGATCCTTAGTGCTCTGGCGGTGGTTGCGTTCAAGTACATTTGTGAGGGCTGCGCCAAGGCCGGCTGGGTCAAGACAGATGCCTTCGCCGACTTCAGGCGGGACTGGCGTACTCACATGAAGGGAATCCTGTTCCGCATCAGCCTGGTTGGCTTCCTTCCAATGTCGTTTCTCTGCCTCTGGGAACTGACACAGGGAGACTCGCCGGCCGAGATGGTTTTGGCCGTCTTCTTCTTCCTTGGTATCCTGGTATCATTGAGCTGGGCGGCTTTCAACGTCATCCGCATGGCCAGGCGTTCTATCGCGCTGCACAAGAACCCGGCCTACGCCCTGTACTCTGACGCTCACGCGCTCAACAAGTGGGGCTTCCTGTACATCCAGTATCGCGCCTCGGCCTACTACTTTATTGTACCGGTGATCATCCACACTCTCATCAAATCCATCTTCGTCGCCTTCGCCCAGAAGTCGGGAGTTGCCCAGGCTGTCGCACTGATCATCATTGAGGTCACCGCATTGATCGCTACCAGCGTTTTGCGGCCGTACATGGACAAGTCGACCAACGCCTTCAACATCACCATCTGCGTTGTTAATTTCCTCAACGCCATCTTCCTGCTCATCTTCACCGACGTTTTCGACCAGCCTGGTCTCATGACTGGTATCGTGGGTATCTTGCTGTGGATTCTGAACGCGGCCGTCACGTTAATCCTGCTCCTCATCCTGATCATCACCACCGTGGTCATCTTCTTCAAGACAAACCCCGATGGCCGCTACAAGATGGCCGATGACCGCACTTCGTTCATGAAGTCGCAGTCAGTTCTCAACACCACAACGCAGCTCGACGCGCTGGCTGCCACCGCACGCGGAGACCACGAGGGCGGGTATATCAAAGCTCGCATCGAGGACGAGGATGAAGAAGACACTGGCTCCTCCAGGTCAGGCCTCCCACGTCACAATGGCGTCCCGCACACGCCTGGCCACAGTGACAGGCGGAGCGGTCAGAGCCTGGTACCATCGGAGGAGCTGAATGAGAAGGACGCCATGGTTCAGCGACCAGTATCAATACCCAGCACAACAGACTCCGCCAGCTTGAGAGATATGAATCGTGCACCTGTGCCAGTCAGCCCACTGGCTAGTGGCTCAAATTTGGGCCACCAGCATCATAGCGCCATGTCTGCGCAGAGGGGCGGCGATCACGCAGCGTGAGTATGATGACCAGTGCGCAAAAACCCCACTGGCCAATTTAATCTGACGATTTCTGGCAGCCCATGGCAGCGGGGCCTTGGCTACGACTAATCATGAGCTGTTCAAGAATTTTGGACATATTGTAACGTTTGAACATAATACGAGCGAGAGCGCATTCCAGCGGAAGTGGGGTGGGACATAATTGATTAATGTGCCCGGGCCGCATCACACACATCTTGCCTTACACAATAGGCACAATACCGGAGGTCGGATCTATCAATGATTTAGTTCCGGGGCTCGTTCTGATGATTTACCTGACGGAGTTTTCGGCGAGGCAGGAAGGGCCTCTCTATTTTGGTTTTGACTGGGAGGAAAATGGTTGGGAATGGTAGAATTTTGGACAATCCCTGATAGCGCCTTTGGGAGGTGTGTCGCGTACATAGGTTGTACCGCAGAATCACATTCATTTTCTGGAGACTGCGGAGTGGACTGAAAAAGGACTGCTGTGGAGTGCAGGCGGGTTTTGGCGGCTGTGTGGAAGGTTGAGAGAGGAATGTTAATCGTCTCAATGGGCATTGCGGTGAGGGCGGCCGCGGAAATACGCCGTCTTTGTTGTCGGCGGGATCTATTTCGCGGATCAGGTATACATAGCGGAACAGACAAGCTAGAACAATGCCATACTACATTAAATCTGAGAGATCAATTTCCTGTAGGCTTTTCATGGCCATCTAAATCCAGAAATCAGCACATTATGTGATAGCTTGCCTGGAGCTTACGATCCAGCAAGGCATGGTCGTGGGTGTAGTTGCTAGGCCATGCATGTCAGACTCCAGGAATACAATCGACCTTCACAGTGGATGGGGTTTTAAAACGGGAGATCAGCCAGTGCAGTTAAGCTATTCGGAAGATCTCGCAGACTTGGAATACTGAAATGCCCGAGGGCGTCACACTGTTGCCACTGTGCAGATCGTCGTGCCCATCCCTGCAACAACGTGGGTAATTTGATAGCAAACTGCGGACGTCATATTGACGATGTGCTCGATAAATAAAGCCATGCTGGCTGCCAAACCCGCCAAGGCCACTCCTTGATCAACTCATCAACCATAGTTGATCAAGCTATTGAAACATCCATATCAAAAAAACAGGCAATTAACCGCTGCAGTGCATGCACTTCACAAAGTTTCCTCACGCCGCCAACTTCAGTTATTAACATAACACAACCACCGACTCACCGATCGTTAAGCGCCGCCACAGGGTCCTTTTAATACCAAGAGACAAACAACACCACCAACAAACAGCCCTACAAAAATGTCCAAGATCGCCAAGGACGTCAGGGCCGGCCTGAAAGGCATCCGCGGCGCGGGCGACGCGATCCGCGGCGACGCGATGGAGGCCGCGGACGAGCTGCTGGACCAGAGCCCGGACCACCCGCGCGCGCAGGCCAGCGAGGCCAGGAACCAGGCCATCAAGGAGAAGGGCAAGGCGCAGCTCGAGAGCGCCGACGGCGCCATTGGGCACCGGCATGGGACGCGGTCAAAGACCGCCGCGGCTGCGGCTGCCTCGGGTGAGGGGATGTAGGAGTCATTCGGATGTCCGGGCGTGATGGTTTTTGTGCATATGTGCTGGTATGTGTCTAGGTGTTGAGTTGGATTGGATGGATGGGGCACATGTTGATTACTGGAGTCTTCGGGGGCGTGATAATGTTGTATGTGTATGAATCGAGTTTGAATTCCTGTTGGCTTTGATGTTGTCTATCCTTTTGGGGGTTAAGTTTTTGAATAGCGACAGCAAGGCTTATATATATGTATTATGGGGATTAGAACCGAAACCACTTGAGTGCGTGCTCCGCTTATAGGAGAACTCGTGTCACGGTGTACAAAACCTCACGTTGTAATTCTTGAAGCTCAATTTTGAACCTTTGTGGATACTTAGTCAAGCAAAATGGTCTATTTTAAAATTGTGCGCCAACTCAATTTCAACAAAGCAAAGCTGGTGCAGTCTTCTGAGACCTACACTACGGATCCCACCAATTAATCAATAACACGGTCAACCCAACTCATCCATTCCTCGTCTCGCAGTAGCGCCGACATTGAGACCGTGGGCAACGCCAGAGACATCTCATAGAACTCAGACTCCGAGTTCAAGGGCAAAAGAAGCGCGTTCCCCGGACTCACTTCGCCTTGTATACGGCGGACCGCGTCTGGCTTCCTTGAGCCCATGCCTGGAATTTCCCAGACATTATTTCCTCCGAAATACCTCCAGCTGTTAAGCTGGATCTGCCCACGGAGCCTTCGGTCTTGGCTCAGAACGAGACGACGGCAGTCCCCAAGCCTGCGAAACAGCGCCTCACGGCGAAGAATGTCTGCTTGGCCAACACCAGCGACGGCGTCCGCGATCAGGTTCACGAGCTTTGCGAAGGCCGGTAGGTTCTGCTCCCCACAGACCGATATAAGCTCTTTGACTGGAGTCTCTATAGGTATAGTGACGACCGCGTTTCCAAAGTAGTCCAGTGTCTCCTCGTGGAAGCGACGTCTGAAGTCGATTGGAATGAAGATCTTGCCCAGGTCAGCATCTGTAGATGGAGGTGCTGTACACTGTTCGCTACCGCACCTGGCCTTTGTAACGTGTGCCCAGGTTAGCGCTGCTAGAACCATGAACGCTGATGGCTTCTGCAATCTCGCGTTGGGACCCAGAGCCTCGTTCACCTTGGTCCGAAGCTCGTCTATTTTATCGATCCTGAAGACAAAGATCTTGGCTTCGCTCGGAATTTCTCGGCTTGGGGTACCTCCTGGCAGAATGTCAGGTAAGCTTGGAAGAGAATTCGGCTCGAGTACAACCGCGAACTCAGGACAACCCTGAGACAATGTTAGAAGTGTTTCTTCAGATATATCAGGGTCCTGGGGGAGGTCTAGAACCGTACGTGAGGGCTCGCCCATGATCTCCAACCCGCGTGTAGCGGCTGCGAACGCCTCTACGAACTGGCCTAGCCCATAGCCGTCTGCAGCTGAGTGGTGAACCGAACAGAAAAGGAGAAAGCCCCCACTGATAAACCTGACGCGCGCGTGTGCGACGGGTACGGGTCCCTCGTTGAGCTTCAATGTGTTGTTGAGGTCAAAGTCCGGACGAATGAATTCGTGCGCTGGGAACCCGCGGGCCGCGAGGCTGGCGTAGTCTGCACCCCCAATATCGGCAACTAGAGGTATCTCTTCTTGAGATGGGGTGAGGAAAGCCTCTTGTCCGAAGCGCGAGGTCTCAAGTTGCAACTTGGTGGCGAGGACGGGGAAGGCCTGCCCCACGTGGTTGAGTGAGGCTCTCAGGTGCTCGTAGATAGCCTGGGCCGAGGCATCGTCCGCCAGGGGAAAGGCAAGGACGATTTGTATGTAGGTGCGAAGAGACGCTTGGTCGAAATGTGAGAGTCGCTGCATTTTCGCTGAATAGTCTTGCTTTCCGAGAGCTGATGTTGATCCTGGTTTTGATATGATGCGGGTGTGCAGGAACATTCAAGGGCTTCATGAAACACACAATCGGGTGATTACCAAGGTCTGATTTTATACATGTGCACATACTACCAGGTACCGATGATTAGGACTAGTATATGAGGTTTTGGTCACAATGCAATTGTAGTTACTCTATAGAGAACAAGGGAGACAGACTTTTCGGAAGTACAACTTGTCCACAGGTACCTAGCAGTACAACAAAGACTGGTGAAATTGAAATCCTCTCTTTGTCAAATACAATGCACCTGGGCATTTTTCAAAGACCTAAGAGGCATAGATTTTTATTTTTCAATGCTCTTACGTTCTAAGAATTATGTGGGAAGCCAGTGGGCTCCAACTCGGAATCTAATCGCTCTGAAATTCTAAGCGATGCAAGAATTCAACTTTGCCTGCTCATGCTCGTATCCGTCTTACGTGGTACGGAGTACAGTACAAGATCCCGGGAACTCTCTTATTGTTAACGAATCACCCGTCCAGCCCTGTACAAATAGTACCCCCGGACACTAGGTAGATATGTGGTTGTTGGCAGAGTAGCAAATTCGTGTTCCTGTTCACCTGTATGTGGTGATGTATCCATGTGCCCCGTGTCTTCAGCATCCGGATAATCAGGTCACTATCAATTACATCAAGGAGCGGTGCTTGAGCTTGCGAGAGAATATGCGGGCTTTGTGACCCACTTCTCCCTCCATACAGTCTGCACAACCCGTGATTGTCGTCCCGTAGCCCGAGTCATGCGCATCTTCTGCCGCAGTCACACTGATTTTCCATACAGATACAATTGGAAACTGGGACCTTGTTTGAATGGAATAGGTCGGTTGTTACCTGTGATGGCACTGCCTCCTCTGATATAACTAGAGTCACCATTGCGGCCTATGTCTCTACCACTGACTGTTCAGCTCCGGCTCGAGAGGCGGAGCTCCTGAATGTAAGCCCTTCCTTCTATAACTTTCCTCCTATGTCCAAGACTCAGCCAAAGTGTCAGAATCTTGAGTCCTGTGTAAGCCACACAAAGCGTTGCGCTTGAGACATAGTCGATCCGCCCAACTCGTCCTATGTACCACTGTCGTCGGAGACGTCAGCAACATAAATTATGCAATGAACGGAAACCCAGGAAGAAAGGAAGGCATAGGCGATTGCCGAGGACCACCAATGTCCAGGTGCACAGTGGAATTCCTTCTGTAGTTACTAGAGCTACAGTGAACGCAGCACTGTTACTCGTGGAGTAGGCTCAAAGTCAAGCAGCTCTCAGGGCCGGTTGTTTTATTCACGCATATGAAGGCACAGCCACGTCCAAGAGGGTGACATTACACACAAGTTATAGTTGATACCATTAAGTGGGCTATATAAAGCGCCATTAATCCTCTAGTCGCACAGTATAAGTGGATCGCGACGGCTCGTCATCGTAAACAAACGCCGTAGGCTCACGTCGCCGTGGGGTACCCCCGGAATGAGCCTCGCGGCTCACCCGACTGGAACCACGGCTCGCCCGGCTCGCAGGGCGCACGATCGATATGTCGAAGCTGTCCCCGTCGTGGCTGCGGACCTCATTGTCGTTGGCCTTGCCCGTGGTCGAGGCGAGGTACTCGGCCAGGCTCAGATTGTCGTCCTTGTCCTTGTCCTTGTCTGCATACTGCCGCTCCCGCTGCAGGGCAGCCGACGTCTTCCGCAGCCGCCCATCGACCGGCGGCGCGTCCTTCTTCTTGGCGGAGGGCTCGGGCTCCTCGTCGACCAGCACAACCATCCACACCCCGACTGCGCCGTTGCTGCCCAGCAGGGGGGTGCAGTGTATCCAGCGCACCCTGCCCTCGCTGTGCGGCGTGCTCATCCACCGCACCTTGGCCGTGACCCCGTGGCCGCCCGCGAAGGCGTGCTGCAGCCCGTCGCGGACGCGGTTCGACCCGCCGATCTTGTCCATGAAGTTGGACTGGAGGATGCCGGGCACCCTCAGGGACGGGGAGGCGAAGAGGATGCGCAGGCTGGGCGAGGGGCGCACGAGCAGGTAGTACTCGTAGATCCCGGGGAGCTTCCCACTGTCCACCACCGAGGGCGCGATCGACACGCCGTGCTTCTGGATGGACGACGTCTCGTCCTGGAGCAGGATCCGCGGCTTGTGCCAGTTGCTCGACGAGGCGTCCTGGGGCTCGTCCTGCGGGACGCGGTGCATGTTCCCGCCGCGCCGCCGGACCGTCTCTAGCTCCGTCATGTTGAACATGTCGCTCAGGTTCTGGAACTCGTCCGTCTCCTCGCGGTCCTCGTCGTTCGCCCCGCCGGCGGCCGCGGCGGCCTCCCTCTCCGCGATCAGCCTCTGGAGGGCGTCCAGGCCCGTGACCTGTTTCGCCAGGCCCGAAACATCGACCTGGGCACCGATGATGTAGCGTGCGGAGCCACGGCTATCGTACAGCGGAGCAATCATGAGTAGGTTCATGAAGGGTGAGCCGTCGCGTCGGTAGTTGAGGAAGGTCTCAAAATGTTCCTTGCCGGCCAGGACCTTCTCGCGGATACGCTTCACGCTGAACGGGTTTGTCTTTGGGCCCTGAAGAAATCGACAATTACGCCCAATGACATGCTTCATGCCGTACTGTGTTGTTCTGTGGAATTCTTCCAAGGATATCAGCTGCCGTTTCTGCGGGCGATTTTGAATGAGAATGAGGGGCACTCTCGTTACCTTCGGATGCAAAGATGATCGGGTTGTCATGTCTCGATGGATCTGTTAAGCAAAAGACCTCTGCGAGACCCTCCGACATCTCCTTGAGCTGGACGGGAAGGGTGCCTGTGATCCGTTTCGAGATCGACACAGTGACAGTCTGAATCCACAGGTGCGTGACGTAGGCGGGCAAATCCTGTTGAACCAGGACGTCAAAGGCAGCCTCCGCCTTCTTCTCCAGCGAAGTGTTGACCGTCTTGTAGGAATTCTCGCCAGTGAACTCGTGCTCGGGAAGCGTGTCCAGACCCTCGGTGATTGCATTTGCATATGTGATGGCCCGCAGCGCCTTGAGGCAATCCAGATAGTACGACAGAAGGGGCAGTGAATCAGGGCGAACCGCGTGAAGGAAGTCGGTAAACCGCTGGAGCAGAATGTGATCCTTGAAGATGGCCTGGAGGTGGTCCTTGGAGAAGATCAACTCAGACCGGTCCTCCAGGTCGTAATGCTGCCCACTATCTCCGTGTGATGGCACCACAAGGTCAAAGGAGCCCGGTTCGACCTCCTCCTCGGCCAGGGGCTCAAGAATCTCGTCGTCTCCTGCGCCTTTAGTCTGCAAGGCCGGCAACATGGACGTGGCGTTCGTCTGGTACGATGACGCTACTGACCCTGCTCTCGACCTTGACGAATAAGTTCTCGGGCTCATTGGCGGGCTGATGGAAGACGGCCGGCTTTGAACGGGCAGTGGCGGCTCCGGTTGCTTCATCTTTGCTCTGCCCCTAGAGGAGCCCTCTGGCGACTGGACAGTGCTGTTAGAGTTATTAGTGTCATTGTTCTGAAATTCTGTGGACTCGGGGCTGACAGAACGCACAGTCTGTCCTTTTGAGGGGCAATGCTGTTGGGATTGATGGGCCTCTGGGGTCTAAAATCGGTGTTGATCTCGTCACCCCATGCCTCGTCAATGCGTGATACACTGACAGGTGGCTGGTCTGTAGGAACAGCACGGCGCGAGGGTCGTTTAAGAGGGATGTCTGGTATCTCAGCACCGCCGTCGTCCTCCAGATCCATGGCATGCTGGTGACCATTGGTGAGATGAGCAATGTTCAGAGAGCTGTGAGGGCGTTGTTGTTGCTGGCCCTTGAGAGAGTTGAAACTGAGTGAGCTGTGAGGACGGTTGGGCTGGAGGCCGTTGAGATCGACGCCGTGCCTGTGTCGGCGCGGGTGGTTGGGCCCGAGAGCTATTTGAGCCATCTCTCTGCCGCGCCGGAGGAGTCCAATGACTGAACGTGAGCCGGGATCAGACTCACGGGCTAGGGAAGGTTCAGACGAATTCAACATGGCCTCACTCCTTGGGTAGGTAGGACGGAGAGAAATTTATAAAGGGCTAAATGCTGGGGATCAGCGTGAAGGGTCTGGGCCTTGAAATGCAAAACATAAAAAAGCAACCCGCAATATGGGGCTGAGACACCACGTCATTAACTCGGCAACAATAGGCTGACAGTTTTCCCCATGGGCACATGCATCGAGAGGCCAGGCTGATCGACCCTCGGGTAAAGATCGAGGAGAGAGATAAGAAGCAGTGGGCCTGTGGGCACAACAGCAGCGCTTGGGTCTCTCCAGCAGAGTGGGAGCCCCTCTCACGATCGACGACAACGAGATTGACTATTGACTTATTCACGGATGATAGGGCCGTTGGGTAGTCGGGGGGGTCCGTCTCGAGTCGCACACGCACTACCTCAGGTACCCGCCGTCCAATCCAACTCGCCGTTTCCTCCCCAATCAACATGACCGTTGCTGGCTGCTCAGAGAAAACGTCAATGCCGCAGACCATTGTTGCCAAAATGCCTGTTGCTCACGGGCCTGCAGGGTTGAGGCTGGCGCGGGTATCCTGGAAACACACGGCGATGTTACCCCGTGGGACCTTTTGGACGCTGACAAGCAGATAGACCGTCCACTAACCCCCGTTGGGATGCGCTCAGGGCACCTCTGAAAAATGGGCCGGCCGAGAGAGGTAAGTTCACATGTTCTAGCCCAAATGCGCCGAAGCCCTCGGTGACGGGACAGCGTAGTCACGCCTAGACTGAAGCCACAAGTCCTATGGTGCAAATTTTGAAATGGCGACCCCCTCATGGATGGAGCATCGCCATCGCCATCATCATTATCATCATGATCGTGCCCCAGTTGCGTTCGATGGCCAAAGCAACACATATTGAAGCCTTTTCCACACCTGCACGTAATGTTGTTATAGACATGTGCTACGCATGAGGTTAATTTGATATTAGCACGTGCTGAATACGAGAACATTGAAGTGAACATGCGGCTGAGAGGAGCATACTCGACGGCATTGGGCAGAACTGCTAGAGAGTCCAGCCGTGCTAGGCCATATTAAGGCTTGCTAGCTCCCGGCCCGGTGGTACCGTCCCAAAGTGTATGTAATGATCAGCAGCCAAGGTGGAGCGCACACTGACACGGTAGTACTGTGTCTGTGTGTGTGGTATGGAGTCACGGTCGCAACACACTCCATTTCCATAGAGCAAGTAGCATTTGGACGAACAAGCCCCCAAATTGGTCTCTGCGGCCTGCAAAGACCAGCCACCATTTGCTGCTGACCAAACCATCACTGATGTACAGAACGAACTCATCTACATGAAAAATTTCCACATCTTCTTTTCACCTTTGTGCGACAATCAAATAAGGTTAAAAATATGGCACCAACAACAGCGTAACACCAGCAAAGAACTTCCCGTGTGGGAGATTGAGGATTCAGCCGAGTAGAACCGGCCTGAGACTGCACCCACGTATCCAGCCTGGAATACATCGGTGCTTTGTGGGAAATGGCATGCGGTGTGGACGGGACGATGCTTTGTCGAAATGCCATCCCGCGCGGCTGCTCATGGCACAAAGGCACCTTTGCCAACTTGATGATATTTGCTGCTAAAAATTCCTCTTTTTTCATCAGAGGCAGGATACCAAGGTAGCCACGTGACCACTAAAGGGTAGACGACACAAAGACGTAGAGGCCATTTCAATGCATAATGTATTAATAGATCAACACAAATGTTCGATCACTATTGTAGTCAATCCAATTCTTCTATAATTCGATGACAGTCTTGTCAAGTTGGTCGGGCTTGATTAATTTGAACCCTTCAGTAATATTAAGTTTTACTAGTAATGTTGTTTTGATTCAACAATATCTTTCTCCCCTCTTTCCTTTTTCCTAGTGTCATTCTCTCTGAATTTTAACTTCTGTCTGCAATATGAACGCGAACACCTTTGATAATGTAAGACAAGAAGTAGTGCGGGTTAAGCGATCACAGCTACTTGTAAGTACCTATGCATTCGCTTGAACCAACTAGAGGACTAAGAATTGATGTCACAAGGATGATGGCTTCCTGCTCGGCGTAGTAAATGCAAGCTCGTATAATGTGGGGCATATGCCTTCGAAATGTGTTCGAGGCTTAAATTTCCTTCAGGTATGTGCTCTAGCCCCCAAAACAAGTGGCCGACTCTTTAGTGACTAATGTGTTTGTGTCCAGACCGGTCGACAAGCCCCTGTCGATAATGTCGCCCTAGATGAGTGCACTCGTTTCCATTTAGAGTACCTAGATCCGATAGTGAGTATCCCAAGTGCATTTTACTCTCTGCAAGAGGCAAAGCAAAGGGCTTGTTGTGCAATCCGGAGCAATTCCTTCAATGCGACTTAGTGACTAATCAACGTCTTTCTTCAGATGCTCAGTCAGATTCAATATCTCGATAGTCGACCTATGTACATAGAGCTCTTCACGGTAAGCTGGCTTTTTGTGCAAATCTCTATACAGTCTACGTCCTCGTTCACAGTTCGCTGTCCCTGTGTGGTATCGCGCTTTGGTAACGTGAGAATTATGTGGAAACATGACAGCTAACGTTGGAATACGGTAGGACGTCCGGCGGCCAGCACCAGATGCTGATGAGGCCCTCCAGGTCAGAGTCAAGACGCTGGAAGTCTTTGACTCTGACTTTTTCAACAGGATCCGCACCCGCCAATTTACCATTTGGCTCGTAAACGCCGGCTTCCACTGGTGTTCGATCATGCTGCACGCGCAGGATGGCAAGATCGTGGACTATGCGATTAACGATCCTGAGAGAAATGCACAAACCATCAGCCTCGTAGACAGCCGACTACGGCGCGTGCTTGAATTAGGAAAGACAGAGATCGCGCCCACACCAGACAAAAGAGAAGACATGTGGTTCCCCGCACAGCGTAATGATCTCTCCTGCGGGCTCAGGACGTACGAGATCATCCGGGTGATGATCGAGCGCCTCAGCGACCGCTTCCACGAGCACGGCGTGGACAACCTCTACCACAACAGCCTCTGGAACCCCATGTCGGGCGACTTCCAGCCGCACAAGGTACGGCACCTGATGATGGGCATCTCCGCGTGCAGGGTCATGAAGCACCTCAACTACAAGGCGAGGATGTCGGTCACGCCGAGAGACAAGATCCGCGGCTTCCAGGGCCCTCGCGCCGCGGGCAGACTGGATGCCTACGACTGGCTGGAGCCCGTCCAGACCCAGCAGGAAGACCCTGCCCGGCCCCGGGGGAGGGCGAGGAGGAGGAGGAGGCTTGCGGGAGACGCCAAGGCCGACGCTGAGGATATCGTCCAGTTTGTCGAGCTCGACATCGAGATGACAGATGCGCCTCCACTGCAGGATGATGCACAACCGCAGCAGGCTCAGGCGGCGACATCCCGTGCGTCATCCCGCGCGGTCACGCGTTCGAGATCGCGTCGGACCGGGAGTCCGATGGATGTGGATGAGAGCGACGCATCACCGCCACGATATCAAACGCGTTCAAAAACGAACTCCGGAACTGGTTTTCCGTTGTTCGGATGAAGGAGGATATTCACCTGGTTTCGCTTCTATTCCGTATACGTCCGAAGACGTGTATTGAACTTCAACTTCAACATCCAGCGTAGTGCTTTCCCCAGATTTTTCCAGCCTCGCCATGTGTCCTTTAGAACCTGACCCCACAGTCTTCAGTATACCTACCTCGTGATAATGTTGTCTGTGATCATACAAGCGCTTTTTAAATCAAATAGATACTGCTAGTAGTTAATGGAACTAGTATTAAACCGGTATGCCAGTCACTCAGATGTCTTTTGTTTTGTTTTCTTTTTTCTTTTTGGGTCGGGCGGGGGGGGGGGGGAAAGGGTTTATAATGAGTAACACAAGAATCCCCTGAGTACTTATTCCATCATAGTTGCTCGCGGATTATTACATGGCTCCTTGGCCTTGTAAGACTTATTTCCGTTTCGAAGAATCAAAATGATCTAGTCTACTTCTTATTATACTCTTTATTGCGCAATTCCCGTTACTGAAACAGTGTCCTTAAGAGCATTACAACTTGAACAATAATCCCTAACACTGCATAGCGACATGACTGCGTCGTCAGCCCTGGAGCCGAGCTGGCCATATGGCCCTATTTTATGCATGAAAACACACTCTACAGGTCCAGACCGTGTAAGGTCGTCGCTCACAAACTCGCTTCTTTATACATATGTCCTGCCGAGCGTGTTAGAAAAGGGCCATCTTGGAACATGCGGTGAGGCATGAGGAAGGGCAACATAAAAGCCCAATTAAGTTAAATAGAGCCAAAGTAAAAGCGCCAAGGTCCGAATCACATCCCCAAAATTTGCCATCAATTGGCGTTACAGTATGATTCGTTTTTCTTCTATACCTGTATCCCAAACGACCCGTGCTATATAACGGCACCTGAAATACAAAGAGCGAGATGGAAAAAGTGTCAGAGCTCGTGAGCAGACTCACGTAGAAGAAAGGCTTGTCAGATGTGGTTCTACACATGCAGCGACCTAGAGTGGTCAGGTTCCTGGGATTCCCGATTGGATCACTTTAACCATGGCAGCTGCTGTAGAAGTAACATAGAGAAACTGCAGCACCCCAAGTCAGCTCATTAAACACAAGCATTTTTCTAAGAAGTGGGTAGGGAAAGGGCCACAAGGTGGCCATAGATTACGTCGAAGCCAGCTGGAGGAGAGGGAGGTGTTCTTCGGGGCACATGCAACGCGATGAGACAATTATGTCTGGAAGGGGTTCTAAATGGTATCCAGAGGCTGCTTACGTTGTTGCCATTCAAGGGAGCTGTGAGGAACCACAGTTGGTTACGTATGGCTGAGCCACTAAGGCGCTCACCGTCGTTACCAGGCTGGGGATCGGGTAAAATTATGGCCTTATCGTTCATCCAGTCGCAAATAGTAAACACCGACCCGTCAGAAGCATATGAGACGAGGCGCACTTCATATGTAATTGCAGCCCTTTCGGTGGTGCTGCCGTCGGCCATTACTACAGGAACCGTTTCCATGATCGCCATATTGTTGACGTTCAGCTGCTGCCAATCGGACTCAAAAATACTTGCTATCGTGGCTCCAGTGTCGTTTAGGACTGTACAGGTGATAATTGGGCCATCGTCCCTGCCCCCCAACCTGGCCGGTAGGCGTAGCTGTGCACTCAACATGTGTCCAATGAGGCTCGAGCCCGGGCGGTATGAGGCCGGGTACCTGGCGGCTTCCCGGCGGGGGACATCTTGCTGGAACAACAGCTGGTTGTTCAGGGGGTTCTGGTTGTTCTGGTTGTTCTGATTGTTTTGGTTGTTCTGGTCATCCTGGTTATTGTAATTGAGAAGGAGAAGGATCGGATCGATCGTGCCGTCTGACATGTTTATGTGTTTTGCTGAGAGGTGCTGATACCAATGGATGCTCCTGAATAATAAAATGCGAGATTTTCTCGTTACGCCATACGGTTTCCGTGCTCCATGATTCTGTGCAAATGCATTCAAATATTCATATAATTAATCACGTACAAAGGAGCAGCAGAGTGTGATCTGTGAGAAGAGGCGGGCGAGTAGCGATGGTATTAAACAGGCCACCGGAATCGGCTCAAGGTATATACGTACAAAGTCGATACAGGCCGCCCAACCTCCTATATTCCTTTGAGAAATTCACATCGTGGCATTATTTATATCGAGGAAAATAAGTTTGTGCACACATCTTGATGCATTCGTACTGGTGCCCTCAGCAGCTGCGCGGAAACAATGTAAACCTCGAGAAGGGCGGAACACACACGGGAGCCGGACACTCCAATGTCTCTTTGACCGTTCTGTAGTACTTATAATTTCTTTGACACACGCTTTCCAAGGCAATTTCCAGCTCCCCGCGGGGCGTGATTCCTGGCTTCATAACCAGCACCTCGGTGAATTGGCAACAGGAATTGGCAACAAATACAACAGCAAGCAGCAATGGTGTCTGGCCATCAAGCGCGTAGGGCCATGTACGCTCCCCGGCCACAGGAATCATTTTCAAATACTGCACTACCGACCAAGAGTAACAGCACACATATTAGCGGAGATCACACCGGAAAAGCCTGGTCGAGTGAGAGAGGTGCAAAGAGGTTGCCGCGGGACCGGGCAGCGCGGCGGGCAGTATGGCCCGCAGTATGGCACACAGCGCGGTGGGCAGCATGGCCCGCAGTACGGCTCGCAGTGCTTGCTCTCGTCATTGCGCTCATCCCTCTGGCCATGCATTATTGTTCACAGATCCTCGGCCCTGTTGTCCTCGGTCCCGTCGTAAACGTCACGCTACCCGTTGATCATATAATGACCACTATTCTCGACGGCTACGCACCTTTCCTGAGCCCAAGTACTCCACTGTTGAAGCTGGGATCAGTGGAGCTTACCATTCCCGACGATAACACTGGTATGAATAGGGCGTGGCTAGGAGGCATTCAAGGCAAACCTGAGGCGTAAGCGACTTCTAGATATAATCTTTGCCCCTTCAAGGACAAACATATGCGGCCTGCTTACTACCATTTTCCTATGAAGCTACTTCGTGGGGTCTTTTTGATGGCTGACTCCTAATGTTGTAGATGGAACCTGGCCCTGACGGCGAGATCATGCTCGGAGATATGCTTGTCGCCCCTCGTTGCGCGATCCAAACGTGACTCCAACCTCAACAGGATATGTACAGGGCTCGAGGAAAGAGTGAAGTCCACCCGAGACAGGCAAATGGCCGTGGCTTATTCGCTTGCTGGCCCTCTGAAAAAAACAACGCGATGGTTAACTATGGTCGAACGAAGCATCTTCCATACTCTGTTTCCGCTATGGCAAAAAAGACCACTGTATCGAAGCGAAGCTGAAAGCAAAGAACCTCCAATCGAAAGATCTGTTGAAGCAGCTACGGTTCTGCACCGTCTCGTGGAGGAACAGGGACCCTGGCATGCCATCAACAACGAGATGCACATGGAGCTACTCGTGCTCCGGCAGAACTGCACTCGTATTGCTGACGACCTTAGCAAGCTAAACATGTACTATGGCCTGGCTCTTGCCAGCGCTGGGCAGCAGGACGGCGGGCAACACGGCGGTGACGGCCTCGATGAGGCCACGCGTGTGCCAGAGGTGCAGCACATCCAGCTGCTGATCTCAGCGATCGACGACCTATGCCGGCACCTCGAACGCCTCGGGCAGGCTCTTGCTTACCTGCGTGAGCTGCCATGGGCACGTGCACGCCACGCACACACATGGCGGGGGCTGGAGGTCGAAAAGTCGGCGGATGGCGTGCCCTTCACAACTCGCATCATGCTGCCTGAACCATCGCGCATGTATTACAACGTTGTAGATCGTCTCAAAGCAATGTCGAGTGAGGGCGACAAGATGATGGAGACCTGGAATGGTATCAGGGCTGCCGATTCAAGACTGGCCGCCTGTTTGAAAGAAGAAGGACGTCTGCACATGAGCCGCCTGAATTATTGTATCAGTGAGTACGCAGTCGTCGAGACACGGGACTGGCGTCCAGAAGGAGAAGAAGCGGACGCATCTGCGCAGGCCTCGCGTCTCGTGGGTGAGAGACTGCACCTTAACTTTCCAGACTTATTGTAGTATGACCTAGAATGAAAACCCGACTTCTCTCTGTTGTTGAAAGCGGTGTAGCTGCATGTATTATTTACATTGTACTCTCACCGTGATGCTTGAAGTCCAAAAGTACTTAAGTACCCTAGGGTACAGACGTAGACCAAGCCTTGCCCAGTGTTGATCGAGGGTTAGGGCAGCTGTTCGGCGAGCTGCCCTGGCAAGCCTGGCCCCGAACCGCGGTGCGCACCACCACCTAGGCTTGCTAGGTACTGGCTTGATGAACCGGGACTGCGGTTTATTGAGCTTCATCCCCACCATCACTTTTCGAACCCCATCTATTGGTATAAGCACCGAAACAATCCAACCCACTCGAATCACCCTCATGGGCCGGTCCTACCAAACCCAGTAGCACAGGCGACACGACACGGACTCACTCGAAGTGGCGACCGCCGGGCTGAACCTCGCGACGGCAATGGCTGCGGCGCCACCACCCAAGCCGGCCGACGAGCCCAAGCTGCTCTGGAACCCCGAGAACGTGAAGGACGTCGCCGAGTCTGTGGGCATCAGCTCGCTCAACGAGGAGGCCCTCAAGTGCCTCTCCCAGGATGTCGAGTACCGGCTCGGCCAGGTCATCATCGAGAGCCTGCGCTTCATGCGAGCCGCCGGCCGCACCACCCTCACCGTCCAGGACGTGTCGCAGGCAATGAAGGTGCTCGACGTCGAGCCCCTCTATGGCTACGAGTCTACGCGGCCCCTCAGGTATGGGGAGGCAAGCCTGGGACCCGGCCAGCCGCTTTTCTACATCGAGGATGAGGAGGTCGACTTTGAGAAGCTCATCAATGCGCCTCTGCCCAAAGTGCCCAGAGACGCGACCTTCACAGGTTGGCTGCCCCCGCCCACCCCGGCCGCAACACGCCGTGTGCGATACTGATTCCCATGCTGACTTTCCTTCCGCCAGCGCACTGGCTCGCCATAGAAGGCGTCCAGCCGACCATCCCCCAGAACCCAACCACCGCCGAAGCCCGTTCGCAAGAACTCGTCCCCAAGGGCCCCGGCGCCAACCCCGCACTCGCCGCACTCGCCGGAAACGATAATGTGTCGTTCAAACCGCACGTCAGACATGTCATATCCAAGGAGCTCGTCATGTATTTCGAGAAGATTCAGTCGGCGGTACTCGACGACAACCCCGACGACGAGGTCCGCCAGCTGCGCAACGCAGCCCTGCAGTCGGTTAGGTCTGACCCGGGCCTGCACCAGCTGGTCCCCTACTTCGTCAACTTTATCGCGAACCAGGTCACCCACCGGCTGGATGACACCTTCACGCTTCGACAGATGATGGAACTCACGGCCGCCCTGATCGCAAACGACAACCTCTATCTCGACCCATATGCGTCCCCTCTGAGCGCCCCCGTCCTGACGTGTCTGATGAGTAGGAAGCTCGGCGCGGAGGAGGGGATGGACGCCGTCAGGGAACAATACGAGCTGCGGGAGCTGTCGGCATCGATACTGGGGAGCATTGCCAAGAGCTACGGCAAGTCCAACACGAGGCTGCGGCCCAAGCTCACGAGGACGTGCCTCAAGTACCTGCTGGACCCCCAGAAGCCCGCCGCCGTCCTCTACGGGGCCGTCTGCGGGCTGTCAGCAGCCGGCGGGCCCGAGTCCGTGCGCGTCCTGCTGCTGCCCAACCTCAAGTCGTTCGACGATATGATCCTGCGGCCGATGCGGGAGCGGGAGCGGGTGCCCGAGTTTGAGGTCAAGCTGCTGCTGGGCGCCATCGTCAACGCCATCAAGACCATCGATAAGACCGAGATCGGCATGATGAACGGGGTCCACAGCAGCACGGCCGAACACACGGCGGCAGAGCTGACCGATTTCCTGGGCGAGACGATCGGGCGCGAGGTTGCGAACCTGGGCAATGCCAGGCTGAACAGACAGGTCCTGGACGCGAAGGCTTACCGGGACGAGTAGGAGAACCGGGGCTGTGGGCGGCCGTGCACGCGGAGGCAGCTTGAGGAGAGGTCGAAATGGCGTTCAAAGGTTACAGCATTCTGGGAAGGGACAAAAGGCTCTGGTTAATACTCGATACCTAAGTTACGGCGTACAGGTTATCAAATTGCACGCGCAAAAGGTTTCAAATAAACGTTCTTCCTCGTCACGCAGTCCCCCTCGAACAGGACATGACCAGGTTTCGCGCTGGTAGCCATAAAGCAGGCAAAGTAGGTGTCACATGTATTGATTTCATGGTCTCAACCAGGTGTATTCTTGCTCCCAGATCATTGTGTGACTATCACGCCCCGCGTGTCATATGTACACGCGCAGAATAGACAACGAGGTCCCCACCAACACCACCTTGCTGACCCACCCACGCTCCTCTCCCCCATCCGACGCTCTTACAGCAGGAACGCAACACCCAGCGCCAGCACGGCGCTCGACCCCCAGATGAGGTACTCGTTCTGCTTGATGGTGGCCTTGCGGAAGCCCTTGGCGGTGGAGTCGTGGACGAGGTGCTTGACGCCGTTGATGGCGTGGAAGACAAAGGGCCAGGCGAGGGCGACCTTGACGCCGCCCTTGACGGCGAAGGGCAGGGTGGCGAAGGCGGCGGCGACGCTGGCGGACTCGAGGTGCCAGCCGGCGAGGGGCGCGACGAGGTAGCCGACCGAGTAGGCGTACAGGGAGCCCGTGAAGAACATGCCGGTGAAGCGCTGCCAGATGGAGGAGCCGAAGAAGGTCTGGTTCTTGTCGTAGATCTCGAGGTGGGGGGACACGGGCCGCTGCAGGCGCTGCTTGGCCAGGATGGCCTGGCCGTCGGCGGGCGTCAGGGTCTGCGTCGCGGCGGACCGGGACTGCACCTGGCGGGGGGAGGCGAGGGCCGTCGCTGTGAAGAAGGTCGAGGGCTTTGCTGCTGCTGGACGGGCATTGTGTGGTTAGCTGGGGGCCGGCATGGGCGTGGGGCTGGCTGGCTGGCCGGCCGAGGGCAATTGCACGGGGTGCATGTGTATTTGGGTGCGTAGGTGAGGTATAGGTATAGGTGTAGGTAGGCTTGAAGTTGTATCGGCTATATGGATGACGTCTAAGAACTCACCCCGGCGAACGGCCGTCAGGCCTGCCCTTGAAGTGATCATGGCTGGTTGTGTGTGTGTGCGTGTGGATGTCGACCGGTAGTGGTGGGGTTGACTGCTCTTTGGGGTCGCGGGTGGGCAATGGTCAGTGGGTGACCAGCATCGAGGTGTAGTGGGTGGTTGTTTCGGAGGATGTCGACGGCGAGACGAATGCACGGCTGGAGATTCCGAGCATCTCTCGTCGGCAGGGAGTAGCCGCTAGGCCTGCAATCGTTTATCCTCGGTACTTGCCAGGCGGCTGTGAGCCAATCAGAGACCACCCTATTACCAAGCCGGGTCACGTGTCTTTTCTGCCGTTTGCCAGACGACATGCCGTTTTTAGTCGCGAATTTTGGGACCTCTTTTGTTCTTGATTTTCTCTTCTTCTTTCCTCAGATAGTCGAGGCGCCCGACCACAGCACAACAGGACCTGTTCTTGGTTCGATGAAATGTGCACCGCTGGTTGGACATGTTCTAATGTCGCTGGCGTCCTCAAGAGGAAATTGATCCTTCGTTAATCTCTGGACGCTAGTTTTCTCCATCTAGCTTCAGTTTCATTCTGAGATCTACATTCGTGCCTTTCGTGTCTGCCTTTTCCCCCTGTCAGACAGGCGGGAAGCCGAGGGGCAGCTGAAGGGGCAGCCGCCCTGGCTGGTCGCTGGTCCCATAGCTTTTAGTTAGAATGCCTGGCTAAGTGACCTCTGTCCTGTTTGTTAAACCCGTTCTTCGCGCCACAAACTCTGCAGATGCTGAGGTCTCCCTCCTGTGACAAGCTTGGAAGATACGACAGACAGCATAACGGTCTCCCCTTTGACCTTGTTTGCGAGTGATGTATGTCTTGGAGCAAGCGTGACGGGAGTGTGCAGGCTACCTGGGTACGCACCTAGGTGCCTGGCAGGTAGGCAGGCAAGCATACGCTGGGCAACAAGCAGGTGTTAGGCCAGTGCCTTGCCGTGTCTTTTGAGCCCGTGAGGACGAAGTGATAGCGTTGGTGTGGTGGGAAAGAGCGGACGTGAGCAGAGGGAAATCATGACCCCGTTCGTTGTACTTGCCCGGTTGGATGTGCCATATGCCTTCCTGCCTTCCAAGGTTGTCTCAAAGGACGGCGTCTTCCTGTTGTCTTGTGTGTGTGTGTTCTGTGTGTTCTCTCCTCAAGCTCGAACCAGCTCGATGCCCAGACACTCTTTTGGTAGTCTTGAGCCCGCTTTGTTCTGTCTTGATACGGTGCACCACGTCCTGTCTTAATCTGTCTTATCCTGCAGCACTTCTCGACAGCCAGTCCGCTGGGCCCAGAATGTCCATCTAAGATGGACATGATCCTTTTCCTGTGGCTGGTTATCCTGGCTGTCATGATAGTCTTTGCCTTTGCCGGCATTTTCGTCTTGATAATCCCCGTAATCGACCCGGACCACGCAGCTCAGAACGCCAGCCGGTGTTGAATACCACCACAGCCAACCATCCAACAGCGAGCAGTCAATCAAGAGGCGTGACTGAGGCGGGACTGGGCACGCCTGGCCCACACGTAAGTGCTTTGACGCAGCTGTTGCTGAGCAGCACTGCCAGGGGACCGACCTCCTTGGCGTAGCTCATCCATCCCATTACCTAGCTGCCCGATCCAAGATGGTCACCCAAGCAGCATCAGACACCTAGCCACTGCAGACGCTCTCGCATCTGCAACCACTCAACCTCAAGCTTGCCACCACCACTTCCTTCAACTCATTTGCACCATCCCCATATCCCACCTCTCCCAGCTGGTTCCCCCCAACCGTCACCTTTGTGCAGTCATCCCTTCCACTTTTGGCACCTGGCATAGCATCCAGCTGATCAGCCGTCTGCCTCTAGGAAGACGAGTTGTTGAACTCGTGACCGACCTACCAGTAGCCACCAAGTCGCACACCATGGCGCCCAAGAAGAACAAGAAAAACAAGCCAAACAAGTCCCCCTTCGAGAAGCTCTTTTCTTCCGATGTACGGGCCGACAAGGGGCTGCAGGAGATTCGAGACAACATCTACTCTTTTGCCTGGTCTCGCGCTCGTCGCGACGAGGCCAAGTTGGACTGGGCCCTGTCTGAGAACGGCGTTGATCGCAATGTTCTCGTGAAGCGGCCGACAAAAGCCTTGTCTGGGCCAACCGGTGACCACATCGATGCGCTGCCCTGCTGGCTATTGGTCAACAAGCGCATCTCGGCGGACTTTCTTCGTTTCATATACTCGGTGAACCAAGTCGATATCCTTGTGGATCTGAAGGCCACCGATACAGAGTTGAACAGGGCCAAACTTGACAAAATTGTCCATCTTTTGCAGAACGCCAACTTCCAACTCTACACCAAATCAGCCCGTGTCCGTATCCATTTCCCCGACAAATACCCTTTCCAGGACTTGCCCAAGTTCAACCAGCACGCACTCGACAATATCGCCTGTGCCTTGGACGAGTTCCAAAACCTCGAAAGCTTGTGTGTACGCGTGGTCCCAATGCAAGGCCCAGAGGACTATGAGCTGCGGCTCGCGGCCTTCCCATTCTACCCCATGTCTATGACAAATTGGTCGATTTGCATGCTCAACTCGACCACCTTCGAGTGGGAACCCGTGCTAGGAGAGCAGCTCAACCAACTTGATTTGGCTTGGACTTTGTTCCAGGATAATGGATCACTGACAGCGCCTGTCCACGCTCCAATCGTCGCAGAGAAACCTGCCATCCACAATGATCAGACGCCCAGCGCCAAGGGTACTGATGATGCACAGAAGAACAACGAAGGGTACCAGAAGAAGACGAAGAATGGCAGTCAAAAGAAAAAGGGTCGCAAGAAGGGGGCTGCCTCTATTTCCACAGATCCACCTGCGAGCAAAACTACGTCGGAGGTACCGTCTGCTGATCTGTCATTGCGACCAAAGTCGCCTTTCTTGGATCCTCCGACAGGCGTCGGATCGAGTTCACTTCCCGTTCACAACACAAGCTCTGGCACGAAGTCCTCTCCAATCAAATCATCAATTACTGAGATGCATTGTAGCTCCGCTGGAGAGTCTGCTAGTACGGCGTCACCTGCTTACGACGCTGTCGAGCCTGCCCGTCCACGCGCGCCATCTTCATCATCGACCAAGCCAGAATCTACTTCTGCTGCGGAGCATAAGACTCGTCGAGAAATGAGCGATGAAGTGACAGACAACAAAAAGACAGTGGAAGAATGCCCTGTTCCTGCCAGCGTCACTGAGACAGCACCACGCGAATCTGTGACCCAGCTGGGACCACAGAACGCATCCCCCACTAGTTCGGCCGCGAGCTCAGTCACATTGGGCAGAGATCAGAGCGATCATGAAAATGAGGTTCACGACACATTCGAGACATCGTCACACGGGGGAACCACACTGAGGGGGGCAGGACCAGAGAGTGAGAAGCCAGCGCGAAAGAAGAGAAAGAATCGGAAGAAGGGTCAAAAGACTCAAGTGTCTGACACGGCAGCCACTTCCGTGTCACTCGCTGACTCAAATGACGAAAGCGAACAACAGAACTCCGCTGACATAGATGGGGGCTGTCATGCGGTGTTTTTTTCCGCGGAATCTACCAACCTCATCCTCGCGGAAAAGGGCGCCCTCGAGGAACAAGGGTGGGACGGCATGTTTAGACATGGTCACCGGCCCTTTCCCCTGTCAGAAATTGCTGAGCTGAAACCCTTGGATGGCCACACAAGACTGCTTCAGTACAAGAGGACAAATGGGAACAAGGGGATCCTCGAGGCCGGGCCTGATCTCGACAGACTCATGCGTCAGAAAGAGAGGCTGGCCGCCAGAGAAACAGAGAGGCAGGCGGAGAAAATGAGAGCCAAGGGCAAGAGGAAGAACAAGAAGGTGAAAGAGGTCATGATTCGACGCAAGGAGCCTTCTGATGGGCTCAGACGGAGATTCGAGGACACAAAGCAACGGGCTGCCAGCAACCAGGGGAGCGACCTAAGGAAGCGATTCAAAGAAATCACGGCCGAGGGTTTCGAGGATGCCGTACCTGAGGCACAGGGTATTGGCCTTGAGCAGACGGATTCTAGCGACTTCTCCTCAGATGATACCCCGTCCTCTCCAGAACAAGCTCACCGATTGCCTCTTCGCCAGCCCCGGTTCGGTACAAGCCATGACTCCTACCGAAACTGTCCGATGGGTGAGCAACGTTTGATTGAAGAGGTAGAAGACTCGGACGATGACGCATCCGTCGTTCGCCAGTACAGCGACGAAGGACCTCCATCGGTCTCTGATGACGAAAGTCAGAGGACCGAAGCGTAAACGTCTGCTCTTGGATGTTGCTGTGAAGGCTTTGCGGAGGACTTCCCCGGACTTGGAACCTGCGCTTCTTCGACGCAGTTTCACAATCCTTCGATCATCTGTGATTGGTGGTTGTGGAATCTGGGATGCCACATGGACAGGAACTACACCATGAGGCGAGTGCTTAGGCGATGGGGATGCATGATGTGGTCGTGCATGATGATTTTGGAGCCATGGTGCCAGTATTGAGAGTTATGACGAAGACTCAGCGACATCTGCCGGAGCTTCCCCCGTTGGCAACGATAGAAGAGCTATGGACAGAAAGTGAGTCAAGGCAGAAACAACCAAGATAGTGTATTCAAAATGGGAAAGCGATTTCGTGGACCTCAGCTTGTATCGCTTGACTGACGATTTTCCTCTCGGCCGTGCCTGTGTGGAAGTAAATGGTCTGGTCATTGATTTCTCTCTCTGGTTGTATTTGCTGGAAATATTCTAGTCACCATCTCGAGAGCGAGGGCGAGGCCTTAAGGGGTGGTGCCCTGGGCGTTCCTTCCGCTGCCACAGACTGGCTTGAGATCGGAAAGAAGACGACAGCAATGTGAACTCTGGTAAGCTCCCGAGCACCGCGAGCCGGCGACAAGCCAACACGGACAACCCAGGGCGACGACACAACAAGCCACACAAATTTGCACATGGTCTCAAGGGAGACGCACTCTAGTGATGGTAGGGCCGGCTAAGGCATCTTGATTTTCCGTGCCAGATCGTAGCAAGTTGATATTTATTCATACACGTTTCGGTGTTCACCCCCGGAGGCATCCGGGAGACGCAGGATAAAAATGAAGACGATATCTGGTATCACACACACACACACACACACACACACACACCATTTCTCTCCACCCTCTCTTCTCCGCCTCGCCTCAACAATGCCAGACCGAACAATCCAACCCATCAGTCCGCCCGTCCGCCCAATACACCCCTGGATGCGAAATCACCGTATTATTCATTGTTGATATTGTGGTATCCCTGCACTAATGCCGCTGAAAACGCCTTTGCTTGTTACTTTTTTCTCTCTGGACCGCTCTTCTCTCCGTTCTCGTCCCTTGTCTTCCGCAAAATTGGGATATCTCCGCGCCCCTTCTCCCGCTGAGCAAAACAGCTTCTAGATGCAAGCGAGGTTGACAAGAAGTATAAGAAATACAGAGAACAACAAGAAACTAGTTCATACCATGCCTCCCTCCCTCCCCTTATTGCAATGGTTTTTGTCCTCAAAACTCCAGCGTGCAAAACTACAACGTCTAGTCAGGTCGTAAAAAGCGGAACATCATTCCCGTTGATGGTTTGAAGGACATCTTGCCCTGTTTGCCGTGACGCCACACTGTCCAACATGTTTAGTCCCCGTCCAGCAGTGCGTCCATGCCGTTCCTCTCGTTTTCCAGGCTCTCGGCGGTGATCTTCTCCTCGTCCCTGTGGGTGCTGCTGCCTTTGCCGGCAGTGCCCTTGCCCTTGCCCTTGAGTTCGTCCTCATCGTCTTGGTTGACCATGTCGGCAAACATCTGGTCCACAGCGCCATCATCAATACCCGCGTCGTCCTGTCCGCTTATAGTCGCTCGACCGGCATCGAAGGCACCGGGTCCAAAGATCTCCTCAGCCTTTCGTCGGCCCTCCTGGGTTTTGGACAACATCTCGAGAGCCTTTTGTTGGCCTGCTTCAGTTGCCATGTAGTCCTTCAATGTTGCATCTTCCGGCTGACCGCGGAGAAGACGATCTTCGAGCGAAGGTCCAGAAGTACTGTCAGCCATAATCTGGGGTCCTCCGCCTGAAGGAAGGAAGAAATTAGGATGAATGTTGGTGTCAAGATCCATGTTCTCAGGCCGAATCACCGGACCACTGGACTCAGCCCGCCCGTACGGATGACCATGATGAGTCGATGACGATGACGATCCGGGACCACGTGATGGATGAGCGTGAGAGCTGCTTGCAATCGATAGGCCGGGAGTCTGTGGCTGTGAAGATGTGCCCCTCTGGTAGTACGAAGCATAGCTGTTGACACCAGGACTGGTGGCGGGGCCAGTGGCAGAGGATCCTGCGACAGCCTGCTGTTGAGCCTGCGCGGCCATCTCGGCGTTCTGACGCTTGCGCTTGAGGCTCAATCCCTTCGACTTCACGTGCTCTGGCAGATCCTCGACGTTGGAGACGCCATGCTGAAGCAGCAACTTGTCCAGCTTAGTAGGCCGGGGCTTGCGTGTGCTCTTCGACACTTCGATGACTGGGGGAGGATTTGGCGCGACGGGATGCCATTTGTGCAACTCCTGGCGGAAGAAGTTGGTCTCGTTGGCAAGGAGGATTTCTGCGCCCTCTATCTTGCGTAGATAGAATCTCTGAGTCTCGGCCTCGTTCCTTGTGGACAATACAGGGTTGGTGTATGCTGCGATATGGGTCCGGAAATTTTGCGCGTTGTCGATAATCTGCCTCAACACGGTCTCTTCCTCGGGTTGGAAGGGCAGGTGGGTGATCTCTTCTTCCCAGTCGATGAGGTCTTCGAGTCTTGGCCTTGCTGCGTCTCGAGGGATCTTCACTCGCCAGTCACAAATTGGACAAGTGTACTTGTCTTCCTCCTTGACCTTTCCGCGGGCGATCTTCAGACACTTGCCATGGTACCTAGGTAGAGTTAGAAACCGATCCTCGGTGTATTAAGAACACTAGAACTTACCATTCGTGACACAACTCGCACTCGATCATCATGCCTGCTTCGATTCGACGGCAGATGCAGAAGACCTCCCTGAACTTAGGATCATCCCACCTGTATGCCGCGTTCTTCTCCTTATCGGGCGATGGCTCTCGTGAGGCTGGCTCTGCTGGCAGGCGGGGCTTGTCCTTCGTGACGTCAAAACAGTCAAGATTACGCTCCAAAACATACTCCATGTGACTCTTGAGGATGTGCAGCGGCGCGTTCGTTTTTCCGAAGAGCTTCTTGCCTTTGCGCATCCAGTCCTCGTGGCGTCGCTGCTCTTTTTCTAGGTCGAGTGTCCCCGGAGGCTTCGACTGAAGGTCTTCAACCATCTTCATGATTTCGGCGACCTCTGTGTACTTGGGTCTCTTGCGGAAATCGTTGTTCCTCGTTCGAGCATTCAGATCGGCAATTTGTCGGAGTGCCTCTCGCTGCTTGTGCAAAATTTGATCCACCTGGGCCAGGACTTCCGCTGATACCGGAAGGAGATTTTGCATGGCTTGTTGCGAAAGGGCTTCCAGCTGGGGATAATGGATGACATCTGCTTCGATGATCTCCTTGGCCTTCTTCTCCCATTGGAAACCGGCAGTGAGCTGCTCAACATAGAAACTGAGGTGGTCGTTGTAGGCCTCGATCCCGCTACGCCTAGCCTCTTCGATGAGCTCCGCGACCTCCTGGGAAGACATGAAGACGCTGCGGTTGGCCTTGGCCTTTTGATTCCACTTGAGCTTGTCGAGTACCTTGGAGAGCTTGTCCATCTCCTCGAGATCGACATTGAAGCCATTGCCTTCCTCGAGCAATTCCTCAACTGCCTCGACCTGGTGCATGGACTGATGATTGATAACCTGCATCGCGTTCTCCTGGAAGGTCCTGATCGCGTCCGCCCTATCTTGAAGGAGCTGTATTTCCGGGCAGTCAAACCCGATTTGCTCAGCTTCACGCAGGAGCCGGGTGATATTGTCAGCCTTGCGCAACTCGCGTTCTTTTTCGTCTTGATACGCGCTGCCTATCGACTTGCGCAGCCCGGTTTGCCAGGCCTTTTCGTTCTTTCGCCGGTTCTGTTGTTTGCGGATCGTGTAGTTGGTTGCCTCTTCGACCCAGCGGTTACAACGGTCAACAAACGCTCGCAAGAGAGGTAGGGTTTTGAGCTCGTACGGTATGCGTTCTCCTTCGTTGAGTAGATTTCGCAAGGTCTTTAGCGAAGGGGTTGCCTCCTCATCGAGCACCTTGTCGTATTTCTCCTCCCATGCCTCAGGCACATTGGCCTTCTCGAATACCTTCTTGCTGGTTGCATTGATGACCTCGTCCGATTTCCGGAATATTAGCTCGTGGTCCTGACCAAGGTATCGAGTCCCTTGCGTTGCATCGCAACAGGGTTGGCTTCCTGCATGCATTAGACAGTACACCTTGCCAGATTTCAAACACTTGAATCTCGACAGGTAGGCGAACGCTTTGCAGTACGCGCATGAATACTCCTCCTCTGATACGTCTGTGTCATCAATCTTGAACGATAGCGGACACGGCTCTCCCTCAACATCGCCGCCAAGAGCACATTTATGAGGCGAAGCGGCGAGATGGTTTGCGATAAAGTCCTGCCTCTGGGCGAATTCGCGCCGATGTATCCGGTCGAGTGCCGGAGCCAACCACTTCGCTGTTTGGATCGTCAACGTGTTGCTTGTGACCCCATCTGCAGCTGTCCACAAGAGCTCATCGTGGGAGAAGCATGGCTGGCGCCGATAGGCCTGCAGACGCTCAACCCCGTCCAGTCCAAAAGGCTCCCAATCGCACGGAGCAAAGTTGACGGCCTCGTTGAAGTTGAACCCGTGATTGAATCCAGCATGATACGCTGATGGGAATGTGATAACCATCTGGCCAGCACGCTGATCGACAGCATAGACCCGTACTCCGGCTTTCTTGAGCTGGTCAGGAGTGAGCAGCGTGACGAGCTGGAACAGCAGATCAGGGTTGGTCTCAAACAACTCAGGCACGGCTTCCTTCATTGCTTTCTCGAATTTGTCGGTGTCCTCGGCGGGGATGCCGTACCAGGTTTTTGTTGCGCCAAAATGTTGATAATTTGCGGAGTACGCATAGTGATCCTCATTGTGGTAACAAAAGGTGGAGAAAATCATGCCGACATACACCCAAGGCACATTCATTCCTGAAATGTCCGACTTGATGTGTCTGAACAGGCTTTCGTGATGATATGGAAGGACGTTCAGGTTCCACGGGTCGGTCGAGTATTGGTTGGTAGGGTGCTTCTCGACAGTCGGGAATCCGGAACCGTGTGTGGTGCAGTGGATGTCAGCGCCGTATTCAACCTGTACCTCCTCGTCCACATCGGTGACTAAGCGCCAAAACTCGCGCTCAACGTCATCCTCAGTGACCGGTCTGGCGCAGCCCAGCACGGGATCAAATGGCATGCGCTTCTCGAAATACCCCTGCTTGAAGTCGGCAGCCTTCTCTTGGAACTGGCGTAAGGAATACAGTCCGCCTTCCTCGAAGCCGAATTGACCGTCGCCGACGAGACATCTGGGGCAGTTCCACTCCGGGTCGGGCTTTGTCTTCAAAGGAGGATCCAAGCAAGCGCCGTGGTAAGCATGGTCGCACGACTCACAAACAGCGAGGAACCCGTTTTCTTCGGGCTTGCCACAATGTGTGCATTTCTGAATTTGTCCATGTCAGTGGCGTTACATCCAAAACGATCTTTCAAGGTGCCAGCTTACCTCTCCCGGGCCAGATGTGTCTTCTCGGGGGGACAGCCGGGGCATTGGCCTGAACATTGACATATGGGATCCAGCCACAGTAGGCACGGCCTCTGCAAATCAAGGACGCATTAGCCGGGAGATCCTTCCAATGAGGGGTGTGAGATCCCCTGCATCTCGAACACGCAGGCTGAAGCGGCTGGTTGCATGACTCGACCCACACACCATAACTTCCACGCAGGCTGCTGCTCTGCCCAGTAGTCTGAGGCACCCAAATTGAGTTTCGGGCTGGCTGCAACTGGCTTGCGTTATGTAGCGGGACCTCCGCCGACAAGTGGAAGAAACGGTGAATGAATCAAAATCGCCACCGCCGCAAAAATCATGGTTTCTAAAGTGATGCCGGTCCAAACGTCGCAGGTACGTGGACAATTGTGTATTAAGAAAAGGGATAGCGAATTGGGATGCGAGACATACCTTTCTTGAGACGCTTGCTCCTCCTGCTGCCGTTCTCTTCGTCCTTGTCGAGACCGTTCTCTCTGGCTGAATCATAGCTGTCAACGCTCGCCTGCCGCTTCAGCGAATTTGCTGGTCCTAAACCAGAGGGTCGGTATTCCGGCGTATTCTTGGCCGAAGTCATGGGGCTGGTGAACTGTTTTGAAGGGGTGCTTGATTTGACATCAGCGGCAGGTTGCCGATTAACACTGGTGAATCCCGAGTTTACTGCAGTGAAGCCACCGGAATTGATGGCTGTAAATCCACTTGTGGGTGCTGTAGGCTGAGCATCCTGCACCGGCGTCTCCCGCTCCGAATTTACAGAAGCCTGTAGAGCAGATGACGCGAACCGTGCAGGCGATTCGCCTCTGAGGCTGGACGGCGTAGGCATGTTTGAATGCTTCATGGGGCTTGGAGCTGGGCTCGGTGTCAGTGGCCCTCCATTTTCCGTCTCCAATTGCTGATAGACACCAGGCTTGGCGAGTCGCAGGTACTCCTCGTATGGACATAACCACTTCTGGTATGAGTTCTTCAGGGACGTCGACAGAGAGCTCATAATCTTGCCGCTGTAGCCCAGATCGCGGCCTATCTCGGCCCACTTCTTGGATCTGCAGACCTTTTCGAAGCCACCACGGGACTCGACAGCTTTCTTGAGCCGCCAGAGATCCAGAGGTCGCTTGTCGACGTAGGGCATCCGGACCATGTGACCGCCATTTTGCTTGTGAAATTTGAGGAGCGAGTCGACGTATGAGATATTGGCTCGGCTGCCTGTCACAGGGTAGGCGCTGCTTAGTTTCTCTCCAATCCTGACGAACGCCGCACAACAAGGGGTGTGGGATGCTTACTGCCTTCAACGGAGTTGAGATCCTGTTTTCGCGTGCGGAAGTGAAAGCGCTGTGCTACTTGTCAGCCATGACCTAAAGAGATTACCTGGCAGCTCAGAGGCGAGGGCGAGACCGACAGCGGTGCGAGCTGCGCACCAGGAAAAAGCATTCCTTTCATGTCAGGATGGGGGGAATATTCACCTCCGTGTCAATAGCAAAGTCTGGGTTCCAAGAGTCCGGCGGAATGATTTTGCAGATACCGTAGTTCTTGGCCTCGGGGGTAATTTTGCGTATGTAGTCCATAGGGTCTTTCCACTCGTCCTCTGTAGGCTGGTAGACTGGCGCATCCTCAAGATCATATAAGCGGCCTGTCTTCTTGACAGGCTCCTTTTGCGCCGTGGGCAAGCCCCGACGCTCGACCGAGGACAGATCCAACGGCAGACTCGTCATGTTGCTCAAGACAGTGTGTGGGTGTGCAGTAGTGCCGTTCGGGTTGGCCTGCACCGGCTTTGACTTGGCGATGGAGGCTTGGGCGGTCGGGGGGGCGCCTACGGCCGGTGAGGCCCTCGAGCTAGCATTTGCACTCAAGGTGCCGGCGGCGCTGGGGCCGCTTGCGGCGGCAGAATTGGTCGCAGTAAAAGGCATCGTGGAGAGGATTGTTGCGCAAGTGGGTTCGTCGAGGAGGGCGGGCAGCAGGTTTGTTCGGTCGAGAATGAGCGCAGCCTATGTCGCTGCAGTGGTATGGCGGGCCTTCACGCAACACTTGGGAGTCGGGTGCAAGTAGACACGATCGCATCGCAGTGCATGCCGGCCTCCCTCCGTGGTATCGCGCAGCCGACCTAATCTTGTGCTGCCGAGCAGTTCCTCGCTGGCTTGTGGAGTGTCGGTGGTTGTCAGACTTGAGATAGCATATCGACGTGTTCGGGCAGCCTGGTGAATGGGGGTGGGCAGGATTGTCGGCAGGAAGACCGAGGGACGAGAGTTGGCTGGTGATCGAGGCGACACTGGGCTCATGCGCTTATCACTAGTCAAGTCAGACGGATGCGGCCTAGGGTCAGATATATTCTGCGCTGGCCACCTGGGTGGTGATGGTGAGACCAATGCGACTCTTTGGGGGAGAAGGAAGGGGATCTGCCAGGGCAAAAGGGTCCTGATGGCTTGTGAGATGGCAGGTAAGGGGGGGAGGAGTGGCAGAGGGAAGAGGGTGCGATGTCAGAGAGTGAATGGAAAGGCGGGAGCGTGCGTTGCGGTGCTGTAAGAGCGGGAATGGGAGAGGGAAGGTGCGGGCTATGGTAAAGGTAGGTACATGCATCGTAAGGTGGGAATAGGAATGGGCGGGTACGTACTCTGCTACGCTATAGATCGCCAGGCATGGGCCGGGCGTGGGCATGGGGTGGGTGCGGGTCAGATTCGAGAAAAGAGGGAAAGAGGGAAAGAGGGAGAGGGAGAAGGCGAGCAGGCGAGCAGGGCTTCCGACTGCAGACCGGGCTGGCTATCAGAATGGCTGCAACTGTGCGGGAGTGCATAAAGGACGCCAAAACCCGACTGCGAGAGACGAACCGTAGGCTAGAATGGCACGCAGAGCCTAGAGGCGTGCAGGACGACCAGGGGTAGGTGGACGGGACCCTTTGAGAAAAGCTGGAGAGAGAGGCGTGTCACCGACTGACTGACATGGGCGGCGACATTGGACTTGGGACATGGGACATGGGGCATGGATGGGACAGCAAAAGACGTGGGTGGGAGCGGGACGTTCAATCCATCATCATCATCTGGAGGCTGATATGGTGCATGTGTGCGCAGGGGCCCACTTTTACCACGGTACCTGCTGCCCGTGGCAAAACTGGTAGAGGTGCATGTACCCCCACAATCCCACATTGCCCGCCTCCCTGACCGAACCAGCTACACCTTCGGCGGCCTGCACTTGCGACCCCGACTTTGTAGGTCAGGTGGACTCTCTGTATCTACCATGCACCAAACTCCGCAGGCTGCTCGCAAGTTTGGCTGCTCTAGTTGCACGAGTGTGCAGGCGTCTGTCCCTGGCCGGTTCAAGAGACGTAAGCCGAGGTACAAGCACGGATGTACCGTGGCGATGAACGGCCGGCTTCATGACACAAAAACTTGACACTGTCGCATCGCAATGACCACGGCAACTAGCCCGCACTTGCACATGGAGAGGCACTAGGTTTGGTGCTAACATCTAGGTAGGGCATTAGGACTGTGCTTGTGACTCGCAGCTCCCCCAGCTCCAATTTGCACTCTGGCAGAATGCTGCTAGGCGAGCTAGATATGGGAGGGTTGAATGCCTAGATGTACCTAGGTACGCATTGAATGAAGGCTAGCTTCCGGCTACCTAGGTAATGTGGGCTGATTGATGACTGGATCTGGGGTGGGGAGCAACATCAATTGATGACTGCGTGCCAGCCTGCTTGTTGGTGCTTGATTGAGCAGTCGTCGCGACTGGGCACGGGGGCCGGCAACTATCAGGGAGCCTGTATGGCTGGTGCCACAGTCTGGGCCAAAAACCTGGAACCCCCATCTGCAACCCCAACTTTCTCCCGCAGGCTCGGTAACGAGCTTATTCCAACGCCAAACCATCGGCCGACATGTCAGCAATGCAGTCCAGAGCAAAGCAGGATTCATTCAATTGGGCGTCTCGGTGTAAAACAGCCAGCCCTGCGGCGATCAATTCCGTGGCTCGAGCAATGGCATAGGGGGCAGATGGGCTGGCTGCTTCGAGATGAGGTGAGGTCAGGGGGCGACCCTGATATCGGCAGGGGCGGGTGACTTACATCGGCCGACCCCCTGCAGCCTCCGCCCAATAGAAAAAGACATGTCGTTGAACGGGTCCGGAGGGCAGGTCCGACCTTCAACGACACGTCCTCGTACACGCCGTACCTGACCACCCCGCCCCCGGAGCCGCATGTCAACTTCATAGCATCTGTTCGGGTTTTGTTCTCCAAAGACTGATATGGCTGCCGTCCCTTTCCACCTTTGATGGTTTGCAATAAACTGTTGATGCGGAACTGCAAGCTCGCCGGCATCACGATCCCACCGACCTCGTTGACATCGTCGACGTCTTAGTCATCGTCCTGGTCATCGTCAACCCTTCCACACTGCGTGATACATTTGGACGAAGTCGTTCCAAGCTTTCTGAAGCTGGTGTTGCCCTCCTCTGGACCTGTAAGGTGCCCTGGACTCTAGGTTCACTTGCTTTCTTGTGCCGGCTTGCTGTCGACTGACGACTATCTCCTTGTATCACTTTCTTCGATCTTCATTACTTCTATGCGGCATCTGCCGCAAGCGGACTTATAGCCATTTTCCATTCACACTCTCTAACCAAGCAACCGCTGAGAGGCAGTCAGTTATGGTGTACAGCTCTGCCATCTTGCCGTCAACCGTTGCCTCCGCATACAAGACGTCGGAGGCAATGCACCTGCAGGAAGTATACCGCAAACAATAATTTGTAGAGACAGGCGTAAAGACCAATTATGATTAAGAAGTGCCAACCTCAAAAGCAACGCAATTAATCCCAGGGTATCATTGTATGCATCTCCAATCGAGCTTCGGGCGGCACATAGAATCCGAAACATGACAAACAGGCCAGGCTTCTCTCAAACCGGAGCATCAGCTTGAGCCTTTGCCTTAGCCTTAGCCTTTCCTTTCGCTTTGGGTTGCGACTTTGCGATAGCACGCCTGTGCCTCTTGAGAATCCTTTCTACTTCCTTCTGGCCCCTCGTCCTCAGTGTCAACTCCCTCATCATGTCACCCCATTTCACCGGACTACTGCACTTGGGGCATGGGCCATCTACTGGCAAAACCGCCCCATCTTGTTCACCATGTTGGTGTAACAGATGCCGGCTCCAGCAGTCCACGTGGCCCATACCCTCGCATTCGGCGTTGGGGCATATCGCGAATAGCCCCTTGCCGTGCTCGAGGTGCTGGAGGCAGACGACACAGTCCCCCTCGCGCTCGAACGTGGTGACGTCCTGGCCCTTGTCGAGGTACGGTGCCAGCGGGGTGTAATCAAGAGGGAGGGCGTGAATGCCCCATGCTGGACCCTCAGGCCCTTCCTCGTCCCCTTCGACCTCCCCATCTCCATTCGAACCGTCAACCAGCCCCCGCCGCTGCCCCGCCTCCTTCCTCTTGGCCTCCGCCTCCAGCACGGCAGCAGGCTTGAAGTCGGTGACGACCTCGAGCGTCGCCCGCAGCGGCTCCACGCCGTCGGACGCGAGATACCTGGCCCAGCGCACGTACACCTCGCGGTCGAACAGGCGCAGGGTCAGCGGCCACCTCGCGAAGCTGGGCACGCGCAGCAGGAGGTGCAGGTTCGACAGGACGGACGAGATGGTGTGCGTGGGCCGCCTGGGCATGCCGTTGCGCTTGCGCTGCGTCGAGACGGAGAGGCGCTCCTCGGGGGAGATGTGCAGCGAGAGGTGTGGGTTGTTGAGGGCCCATCTGTTGGGATCATATCCCGGTCAGCCACTCCGATCGCGGTAGGGAAAAATAAGGGGAGGAAGGATACCGGGCCAGGATGGGCATACTCGAACTTCAGGGCGCCGACCATGCTCGGGAAGCCAGACACCACGCCGACCATCTCCCATGGCCGCAGGCTGTCACGGGACGTCCGCGCTGCGCCGCCCTTTGCCTTGCCGTTGTGCTGGTTCAGGCGTCGTGGGGGGTGTGGCGTGGATCCGATGTAGAGCGAGGCATGGCGGACGGTGCTGCGGAGGATGTAGACCACGTAGAGGGCTGGGATTGGTTTGGACTGCACAGTCATTTTGGGCTCTGTCGCTACATCTTTATCTTTGGGTGATATTGTTGCGCGACGTCGTGCTGTGTATCTGTCACATCAGGCGAAGTCGGGCGGTGCGGCCTTGGTGTTAGTGTTGATGTTGACGCTGCGCCGTAGGTCGTCCGAGTGATGACGTTGGGGAGTCGGCCCGTGCTTGTTAAACCAAGCATGTGGTGGGTGGGTGGGGCTCTGTGGGACGCGACTCTGGAGTCTGCAGCGTCCGGGAGCGAGCGAGTGGAGTCGGTCGCGACAAGAACAGGGGTGGTGCAATATCTCGCCCATCGACGGACTTCGCTTAGAAATCCCGACCTGAGCTTTTACCTCGAAGCAGCTGCATTCCAATAATTTTCCACGATTGAGGCTTCAACAGACACGATGGGAGCCGACCACCCAGCATTCACACTCGCCGGCCTATGTGAGCTAAGCCATTGTTCCCACGCCTCGGCTACACCGGCCTGAGATTACTCTGTACTAACGTTTATGCCGCGCCACAGTGGCCGCCGGCGGCACGATGGGATACGTGAAGGGCGGCTCAAGACCGTCCCTGATTGCTGGTGTTGGACTGGGTGCTTCGTACGGCCTGGCTGGTATGATTGATCCAAGGCCATCTTCTGTCCGTGCCGGCACAGGTATTAACAACTCGCGCCAGGCTACCTGCTCAGGGAGAACAAGGACTATGGCTCAGAGCTGGCGCTTGGAAGCAGTGTCACCCTGCTCGGTGCAGCAACCAGCAGGTGTATCAAGACCAAGTTCAGGGCACCCGTGCCGCTTGGTCTCTTCGCCACAGGCGGACTAGCCACCTGGTACTTTTTCAAGAAGTACAGGGAGTTCAACTACGGCGTTTGAGTATCCCATCTCAGCCCGGCTGGCTGCAATACACTCCTCTCCACCCGCTCTCAGTCATACTGGGCAAGACGTGATTCTAGCTGTAAATCTGCGTCGAAAGCACACAGAGCCACCAACGACCACCTTGTCGGCATCCTGGTGAGGTCACTGGAGTTCGCTGAGAAGCCATGGGACATGTCTCTGGAGGTGTCTTCTGAGTGATGAATAGAAGGTAACTGTCAAAACAGCTGTGTGTGCTAGATGCTATTAGGGCTGGCACAGTCGATGGAAATTCCCACAACGAGTCAAGTCTTGCACAAGTTTATCTTTGTCTACACCAGGGGGTGTTCTCAGGCAAGAATCTGCGTGGAGAGACAGACTTGTCGCACTGCTTGAATGATCCAACCCAAGGCAAACCTAACAGCTACCGTTACCGCCTGGCGAATCAGCCGCGCAGCGCCGTCAACTTTGGACCCCATGCCGTACTGCCGAACTCCTCCAGCGTGCTCTAGTACAGATGGATATTTTCCTTGATGCCGTTCCCAAATTCAACATCTGCCCTGCATACATTACTCACCATGACTGTTGTACAATGTCCGTCGTCGGCCTATCAAACAGCCAGTCCATCTCAAAGTGCTCTCAGCTTTTCAGGGACGCCCGTTATACGGGCTCTCCAGCCCCCTCCCTTAAATATTCAGCCATTTGAGTGCCTAAATTGTTCACACTCCCCGTAAACAAAAAAATTTGAAATTAACTAGAGGCTTGTTTACGTTAAAGGATCTTGAAGTACAGCGGCGCCTATGGTGCTACGAATGTACTCCCATATGCTCCGAGATGTGAGAGTGAATGTCCAAGTAATCGGGCAAAGGTTGCTGTATTTCTGTTTAGTACACAAGATCATATGAAAGAGATCGGATATTCACACCCGCAAAAACGGAGGGTACACCCAAGGAGAACCTCTAGGAGAACCTCCTACAGGACAACCTCTTACAGGATAACCTACTAGGATAACCTCCCAGGATAACCTCCTCTAGGATAACCTTATTTAGCATAATATACTATAGGATAAGACTATAAGATAACTAATTTAGTACTAACCTGAGTACTTTAATCTCTAAGTTGCCTGGTATGGGTGTACCCTCTGTTTTTGCGGGTGTGAATATCTGGTCTCATATGAAAAGTTCGATAGAATCACGAAGTCCAAACCCATTCAAAGTAGTCAGTCTTGGTAGCAGAGCTCTGTCAAATCCGCACGCTGCCCTCCAACGTTGTGACGTTTCCAGGAGATCTTCACGGGTGATAAGCTTATTCAAAAGAAGTAGTGCCCAGGTTTTATGGATTTGGAGAGGCAGACTATTCCAAAGCAATGCCCTCGAAGAATTGGTAGGATATGATACGTTGCTGCTCCGACTCGGCCTACTCCGCGCACCATATTCTACAGCTTGTTCACGAGCCCTACCATCGTAAGAACAGACTTGTGCTGTACTTTTGTACCCTAGGGAGCATTAGTACAGCTAGCCTAGTCTTCATCCCTCTTTAAGGAAAAGGTAGCTGACGCTTATGCATGACCAAGCTGGGGCCAGCAACCAACATGTCAATTCAATCCCCAATTGCACACCAAGGTCTGCATGGCGTTCATGAGCCTCCCTCCCTCCAGCAAGATCCCTCGAGACGGACCGTGATCCCACGGCATCCAAAGTCTTGAAAGGCATCTTTCAGCTGCTCAACCCATACATAGCGCTTCTTGCTCGCCGGCAAAGTACACCTACTTGCCTCGAAACTTTTATTCCCCAGTACCTAGGTACCGGATTCAAAGCAGCAAGAAGCAACTCTTTCACCTGGCCCCGGTAACAACCCTATGGACGCCTCGTTAAGATAATACACAGTTGAGCCTGCACTTCGCGCTCTGCCCACCATGTGATCCACATATAACTCGACCCGCACGCAAATAGTTAATTACGAGCCAGATAATCGAAAACTGCGGTATTGGAGCTTCGTTTCTTAGCTTTCGTCCAGGCGCACAGCCATTTTACGAGGCAATAAAATACTTGAGAGTATCGTTGAGGGTATCTATAGATTTAAATGTAACATAGTAATGAAAAGGCACTGCTGATGCTTGTTGATTTGCCGCCACCGGAGGCTCTTAGACCAAGAGCCTGGTTGTTTAATGTGTTCCTGTTACTAGAACAGCCTTTCAGATCCGAGATTCAGATACCGTTTCTCACCCTTCCATGGCCTTCCTCACAATTTCCCAGTACCGAGCCTCATCCTTCCTCAGGTGTGCGACGTGGGCCGAGTTCTCAAACTTCTCCAACGCAACGGAGAAGCCCTTGCCCTTGGCCTCAGCCGCATGAGCCTCAACATCTCGATAACTAATCAGTGCATCATTGCTACTGTAGATATACACCCGGCGCACCTCGGCCGTGTTGCCAGGGTGATTGTTGTGAGACTGATACCACTCGGCCAACGAGTTGGGGAAAATCCTTAGAGCCATGGCGGCATTCCAGAAAACCACAAAAGCGTAAAGAAACGGCGCAGCAATCAGCCGCTGGAAGAACGAGAGACTGCTGTCGAAAAATGCCACTGCTTGGGAGATGCCGAAGAGGCCCGGGCAGGAATCAAAGATGGTGACGTGTGGGGGAAGATGCTTGTCCTCGTCGGGGCCTGCCGTGGCGGCGTATTGCTCGTACAGGTTCGCAACGCTGGAGGACCCGCCGTTGGAGAACATGTGTATAAGAAGAGGTGGCGAGGCAGACGACGCCGGAAACTGAGTAGCAGCACGAACGACAGAAGCGGCGGGTTTCATGGCGGGGCCGATCTGTGCTGGGCGGAGGATGCAGTCCCCGGTGCTCTTGAGAAGCAGGATCTGAGCAGCAGGGTACAGGGCCTGGTACTTGACGATGTACTTGGCAACGTGAGCGTCTCTGGCGTCCGTCCACCCGGAGACGATGATGAGTCGTGGTTGATGTTCGGCGCTCGTGCTTGGAGCCCCCGACGGCCGATAGAAGGAGACGAGTGGGCCAAGCTTCTCCATGAAGGACAGCGGCTTTGCCGTGGGCGTTGGCGTTGCAGTGGCCGATGACATGATCGTTGCGAATGCTGAAAGGTGCGACGCGAAAGAAGTTCTATGTCTTGCAGAGATCGGTGTTGTTTTGAAGTCACAAAAGTCCAGCTGCCCAGGTGAGTGGGTTGCACTATGCAGAATTCAGTAAGCGCAGTGATCCTACCAACAGACACGTTGGCGTCTCCCGAGGTCAGCCCACAACCAACATCTCAGCCAACAGCTTAGGGAAACTGTCAAAAGGTGGAGTATTGGCTAGGCTTGATGTACGATTTGTCGATCAACTTACGTCCTTGGTGTTCTTTCTGGGCCTCGTTCGTTGTGTTGGTGCTGGGTTTCCTTGTGACTCGGAGTTCTATGTGGTATGCGTTTGTGTACGTAGTTAGTGACCAGTGACTCGGATATTGCTCAAGTTCTCCAGCTCTTCCTGCCAGTGCTTATTATACCGCGGTCCGCCCGCCTGTGATTTTAAAGCAGGTTTTGGATCCTTCTCGTCAGCTGCCCAGACCTTGGAGTCCAACCATAATCCTTTGAGCCCACCAATATCTCACGTTTCTGACCTCTCGTTCCCTTTGTGGCAGCCGAAGAAACGCCCTGGAGACCCCTTAAGCGTTATCCCCAGCTCTCCAATAGTGGCTAGATTCTTCTTCTTTACACAACAGACGAGAAAGAACACCAATAGAACACTGGTTGCTGCAACATCCTTCACCCACCACGCTTTGTTTACAGAATGGGTGCTCCCGTTATCTGTAAGCAGCTTCAGACACATTGATGCCCGATGAAGGAAGGAGTATCTCATCTCCAGCCTGTGCCTCTGGTATCTGATGAGAACTGCCGGCTCCATCCCCCCTGTGATTAGGGACAACTGCCTTCTTGTGCATCTTGTGCTTCCAATGGCTAATCATAACCGCTGTAGTATGTGGCAAGACCGAGGCCATCGGCGAGGGAGTCATCGCGAACCTGAAGCCCGAATTCGATGGTGAGCCCCCGCACAGTATTCAGCCCTAGCATGGAAGTTCGCTGACAGAATCCAAACAACGTATACAGTGATCCAATTCATAATGACACCCGAGAGCGGGAAAACAGAGATTCCCATGATCCTCCAAGGCAAAGCACTGCCATCATCTGGGTCTGAATTAGGTTCTAAGGACTACTCACAAAAGCCAATTGCCGTGATACTTGGCGGAGGGTATGACGATGAGGGTATCAAGGCGATGATGGAGGCATCCAAAAACATCCATCCTATTCCTTGGCTACGACCTGACTTGAGTGTCCCTACACCACCTTTGGGGCCCGAGTATGGAAAGGTCATGGTTGCACGTGTCAAGGAGAAGTTGGCCATGCTGGAGAAGAATGGTCCGATGAACAAGGAAAACGTGATTTGGTATTAAAGTTGTGCTGGCTTCCAAGGGAACTGCCAGTGTAGCCGACGCCAGCAATGCAGTGACATTGTTGGAACGAAGATGTTCCAACAATTCGTTTTCCCCCATGAATTCCACAAAAATCCGGTCGGATCTTTTCAAATGAGAAATCGCGAGAAATAGTATACAATTGGGAGCATTTTCGGCCGCTGGCCTGTCTTGTAATGCGCACACAAGACCGTGAGACGTTCCATGAAGACTTGTGCTTGCAATTCCACTTCCGGTTACAATAGGGATAAGTTGCTGCGGTACTCATCTCGCTGGTATGACCCGTCCTAAAGCGAGGCTGGCCGCTGAGTTCTTCGATGATGTGCATCTTTGTACATTAAAAGCTGACACGCCTGCACAGCCTGATATCTAACAGCCCCAATTGCTGTGCGCTTACACGTTCCTATGATCTAATCTTGTATTCTTCAAGAATATTGTAGTTGACTTGAGGGGCTTCTATCGGCATTGTATGTTTTTAAAAGCTGGGTATTTGAGTATTTACTACCGTGTGAAGGTGCCGTGTATTGGTTCAGACATATATGGAATAATATAAGTGAAACTGTTGGTATGGGTTATTATGTATGCATATGTAAAGAGTGGTTGGTTGTGTTGGATTGTATAGGAGGGAGGAAGCTAGGCCTAAAGGGCTAGCTATAAGTCCCTTATTATAGTCTACTAACTAAGGTTATATAACTCAAACTATTTACTAATTATAATTACCTTTATTTTTATATTAATAGTTTTTTATTAAATAGTTAGGTAATTACTCTAAAAATTTAATTTTTTTTAAGTTCTTTAAATTAAGTTAAACTTAAACCCTTATCTTTTTTTTAATTTATAATAATAGAATAACTCCTTTTATTAAAGTATTATTAAATAAAAGTATATATAAAGTTCTATTACTATTATTAAAAAGGCTTAATTTATATATTTTAATTTTAATTACTATTTTAAAGAGTTAGGTTAAATATATTATTTTATATATATAAATCTTTTAATTTTAATAAAATTATTTATTTTAAATTTTAAATTTAAATATATAAATAACTACTTTTAAATATATATATAGATTTATACTTTTATTATTTATAAAATAATATAAATAAATAAGGATTTAAACTTTTATAAACCTTTATAGACTTTTATAATTTTAACTTTAATATTATAAATTATTTAATAAAATAAAAGTTTAATTATTTATAATTTTTAAAATAAAAGTTTATTATAATATTATTATATAATTATTATATTATTATTATATTATTATTATTAATTATATTATAATATAATATTTTAAATAAATTAATAATATAGATATTATAATTATAAAATCTAATTAAGGATATTTATTATATATAAGCTAGTAATTTAAATATTTATATAATAATAGATAATATATATACTTTTAATCTTATTAATATAAGTTATTAATTTAAATATTAATTATAAAATTTACCTTTAAAAGGAATTTAAAGCTAATTATAAACCTATTATATAGTTTATTAATTATTAAATATAAGTAATTTATAAAATATAAATTTAAATTTTATTAATTTATTTTATTATAGCTTTATATTTTATTTTTATTAATTTTTAATTATTATTCCTATTTTTAATTTATAAGTTTAATTATTTTTAGTATTTTATTTATAAATTTTAATAACTTTTAGTTTTACTAAAATAAATATTTTTATATATTAAATATTATTAATATTTAAAGTTTAGTAAAATTTAATACCTTTTAATTAATATAGTTTTAAATTTAAAGTTATAATTTATTATTAAAGATAAGCTTTTTAATACCTTATTTAATATTACCTTATTATTATATTTATTAGGTTATTTTATTATTAATTTAATAAATTTTATTAATCTTTTTCTTATATAATTAATAAAGTATTATTATATTAATTATTAATTATTTTTTAGTTATTTTAAGTTTAATAAGATACTTATAAAGAGAAAATAAATCTATATAAATAATTATAAGAATTTATAATAATTTTAAGTAGTTTATAACTTTTAAATATAATAAAAGTATAATATTTATATTAAAGTTATTAATTATATTATAGATTTTAAATATTAATATATTTTAAATAATCCTTTTATATTTAATAAAGAATTAATAAATAATATTATTTATTATATTTTAATAAATATTATTTTATTTTATTTTTAATAAAAATATAATTATAAAATTAATTTATAAATTAAAGTTTATATTATTAATAAATAATTTATTTATAAAACTATAAGTTTAACCTTAATAATATCTATTAATATAAATTAAAGTTTATAATTTAGGTTATTAATTTACTATTATAAATATTTATTTAACTTAATATAGTCTTTTAAATAAATTTTATAATTATATTATTATAAAGAGGTTAAATACTACCTTTAGCTAATAAATAAAGGCTAAATATACTTTTAAGTATACTATTTTATATACTTTTATATATAATTTAATATTTTAATATTAATTAGCTTTAATTTAGTGTTTTAATTTTTAATATATATAAATATTATTATTCTTTTAATAATATATAATTTATAAAAGTTAAAAGGAGTATTAAATATTAATATTTATTTTAATTTATATTTAAAAATTTTTAATTTTTATTAAAATTTTATAAACTTAAAAGTATTTAAACTTAAAGTATTATTTATTTATATTATTATAATATTAAAGTTATTTTTTATACTTTAATTTAATAATTAATAGGTATAAATTATATATAAAAATCTTTATATTAAGATCCTTAATATAATATCTTTAATATATAGTAAACTAATAAACTTTAAATTTTATAATATTATAAAAGGTTTAATAATTTTATAATAATACTTAAAGGATATTTATATTAGATTTCCTTTAATAGCTATATTAAAATAATTCTTTTAATTTAAATTAAAATTATAAATATATTTAAGTAATATCTTAAAGTATAACTATTATTTTAAAAAGTAAATTAATATAACTATAAGTATTAATAAAAGTATTAATTAACCCTTATATTATTAGTAATTATATAAAAATACCTTTTTTCCTTATTTTTATACTTTTAAAAATAATTTAAAACTTTTATATAACTTAATATTCTTATCTTTAATTTTATATATAATATAAATATTAAAAATATAAATTCTATTATATTTCTTTTATTATATAGCTTAAAAATAAAAATATTAGTTTTAATTAAGTTTAAAATTTCTAATATATTTAATTTCTTAAAGGGTTATCTAATATATTAATTATACTATTTTATTAAAATTTTAAGGTAAATATATAGTTTTCCTTCTCCTTTTATTATAAAGCTTATTAAAATCTTTATAAAAATATAAAATATTACTTTTAATTTATTTTTAATTTATATAATTATTCTTATTATTATAATTAAAGTAGTAATAATATTATCTAATTTTATATACTTTCTATAAAAATATTTATATATATAATATAGCTTTTAGTTAATATATCCTATTAACCTTTAGTTTACTAATAATTATATTAAAAGATTATTATTTAGAATTTTATTATTATTTATAATATTATAAAATACTCTTAAACTTATATAAATTAAAATATTATTAATCTATTAGAAAGGTTTAATATTATATTATATTTATTAATTATAATTAGTTTATATAAACTTTATTAACCTTCTTTCTCCTTTTAAATATAAATATTACTTTAAAGTAAGATAAATAAAATATTAAATATATTTAGGTTATTTTAAGTATTTAAAGTATTATTTATCTAATATTCTATATTTATAGAATATAGTACTTTTATTACCTTTTAAATAATAATCACTTTTATAAGTATAAAAAATTAGTAATAAATCTTAATTAATTTAAAAGTATACCTTAAATATAAAAGTATAGGTATAAATTTATTAAATTTTATAATATTATTAATAACCTTAAATACTATTTATAAAATAACTTTTATTAAAAATTAAATTAAGTTTTATATAAAGTATCTTAAATATATATTAAAAGAGACTATAATACTATTCTATTTTATTAATTAATTAATAAGTTTTAATAAATATCTATTTATAAGTAATTCCTATTATTTAAATAATACTTTTAAATTTTATTAAAGTAAAGTTAGTTTTAATATTATAAATTAATTAATTTAATAATTTTAAATATATATTAATTTATACTAACTATAAAGCCTTCTATATATCCTTTATAAATAAAAGATAAGAAAATATTTAACTTAAAAAAGTTATTAAATTAATAATATATAAAATAAAGGTATAAAGGAGATATATTATATTAATTATTACTTTATAATTAAAGTTATAATTATTCTATAAATTAAACTTAAACCTTTTAATACTAAATTATAAAGTTAATAATAATAATAAAACTTAAAAATAGTTTTAAAATAAAAGTTTTAATAAAATATTTAATATTAAAAGTAAATATAAAAATAATTAATAAAAATATTTAAATTATTTATAAAGTTATTAAAGCTTAATCTTTATAAAGAATATTTAAGGTTTATTTAATCTAACTTTTACTATAAACTATAAATATCCTTATTTCTATATAATAGAAAATATTTATTCTAATTATTCTTATAAAGTATAAATAACCTTATTTATAATATTTTAAAGAAAGATATATAATATAATTATATCTTATATATAAAGTAAGAAAGAAATAAGTATCTCTATAATATAGAATATTATATTATTAATTAGTATCTTAATAGTTATAGCTTTTATTAATATAAAATAAAGCTTATTATTAAACTTAATTATTATTTTATTCTTATAAAATATATTAAGGATTATAAATAAATTAATTCTTTATAATATAAAAATTAATTATAACTACTAATAGAGAATTTTATAGCTTTAATATTTAGAATAATCCCTAAAAGTATTTATATAAATATCTATTATTAAGTATAAATATTTATAAAGAAAAAGTATTAATATTAAGTTTTTATTAAAAGATAGATTAATAAAGTAAAGAAAGGTTTAATTTATTAAAAATATAATATTTTATAATTAAAATTTATATTTTAAAAATATTATTTATATCTATTATTTTATAAATTAATTAAGGAATTATCTTTTTATTTTCTTTATTATTATTAAGTTATAAACCTTTTATATTAATAATAAATACTATATAATCTAAATTTATAAATTCTTTATTTTATTTACTTAAATATTAAAATATTAATTATAAATATATTATTATTCCTTTAAAATATACTTTATTAACTAATAACCTTTTAGTTATATATAAAGTAATACTTTTAATAAAAATTTCCTTTATTAAATTAATTATTATATTTAAATAAATAGTTATTATAACTACTATTATAATTATTAAATCCATTATAGTTAGAAAATCTATTATTAAAGTTATTTAACTATATATTAAAACTTTTATAAAAGTTATTTTTACTATAAAAGTTATTATATAAGTAATTTAAGTTACTACTATAATTATTATACTTTTATAATAATAATAATTGAAAGAATTAATTCTATTATTATAATTATAATTCTATACTTTATCTATTTAAAAGTATACTACTTTACTAGTTATTAATACTTATATACTTAAATAGAAATATATAAACTAAAATATAACTTTTAACTAACTTAGGTAGCTTATATAGAGCTATAGTGAATTCTAGTATACCTTTAACTACTTATAATATATTATTTTATATAGATTAATCTCCTTAACCTTATATTTAAATATTTAATAATAAATAGAAAGCTTATTAATTAATAGTTATAAAATTTATAATTAATTTTATTAAAGTTTTCTTATTATAATTTAATAAATATAAAATAATTTAATTTATATAATAATTTTAATAGTTTATTTAATTATTAAATTAAATTTTAATTTTAAATAAATAACTTAAAAGGAATTATTAATATTTATATACTATATATAGAATATCTTAACCCTTTCCTTTAATATATAAAAGAATATTAACTTAAATTAAATTAATATAATATTTATATTTATATAAATAATAAAAGATTTTTATTTTATTATTAAATATATTATATAGGTCTTTACTATATAAATCTTTATTCTTATATATCTTATAAAAGTTTTTAATAAGCTAGTTATTAATTTATTTATTTAGTATTTTAAAGAAAGAAAGTATAAAATATTTTTCTAATAATTAAATTCCTTAAAAGGGGAATTAATATTTTATAAGTTCTTTTTAATACCCTATTTTATAATTTTAAAAGGTAGCTAAAGGGGCTTAGTAATAATAAGATTAAAAAAAGGTAGAATAAATAGCTTTATTTTAATACTATCCTTTTTTTTAATATTTAATTTCTTTTAATTAAATAATATAATAAAGTTCTTTATAATACCTTTCCTTAATAAACTATAAAGGATTTTACTTTTATATAAAACTTTATCTACTATTTTAAAGAAAAATAGATAGTTTTAAATTCCTTAAAAACTCCTTAACTATAAGAATCTTAAATAAATATAGATAATATAGCCTACTTTAATTTTTAATAAAGATATACTTAAATTAAAAACTTATTTAAACTCTCTAATTATATCTTTATTTACTATTATAAAATACTCTTTATTTTATCTATTAAAGTTTTTTAAATTTTATAAAATATCTTTATTATTTAACTATATATATACCTTTATATATAAAGGATTTATATATTTAAATATATAATATTTATATTTAATAAAAATAGAACTCTTTATAAGGTAGGATTATATAATTTAATTATTATTTAAGTAATATATATTCTATTTCTAATAGTATTATATAATAGTACTATTTTAGTAATAGACTATATTAGTACTTTATATAGTTTAAAATAAAGAAATAAATAATAATATAAAAGGAAAGATAAATAAAATATAATAAAGTATTTATATATTTAGTAAATTATATATAGTAATTAGGGATATTTAGAATATTAATTAAAGAATTAAGTAGTTATATACTAAGTATTACCTAAAGATTATTATAATATAGTAATTAAGTTAAAAGTAATAAATCTTAAATAAATATTAAGTTTTAATAGACTTATAACTTAAAGGTTATAAATTAAAATAATATTAAAAATAATTTAATTTAACTTTAAAAGCTTTTTTACCTTATATTAAACTAATAAAGATATTTTTAATATAATTATAATTAAAATAAAAGCCTATTTTTAATAGATATTAGAATTAATTTTAATTATATATTAATAATAATAATATTTTTAACTATTAATTTATTTATTTTTAAATAAGAGAGAATTTAATAATAATAGTATTATTAAAGGTATAATAAGTATAGAGAGAGAAAGAGTTAAAAAAGTATAAAAGGAAAAATTATTATTATAATTATATTAATAGAGTATAATTATATTTTACCTAATAATATAAAGGTAGATATAATATATTCTAATCTTTTCTATTATAATAAAGTTTAATAAATAAATAAAAAAGAAAGAATTAAATAAAGTTAAATTTAGCATTTAATATTTACTTATTTATTAAGAACTAGCTAATTAATAAGAGTAACTTATAAACTATATAAGTTATACTTTCTAATTAAAGTATTACTTTAAATATAAATAAAGTTATTAATAAAAGAATTAAATAAATAAATCTTAAATTTTAAAAATATTAATTTATTCTATAAAATACTTATTAAAAGTATAAATAAAGTTTAATAATAAAAAAGTTTATAAATAAATCTTAAATCTTTAGAAATATTTATAGTTCTTTAAAGTATAATAAAATATATAAAGTAATAAAAAAGTTTAAGGATTTTATTAATATATATCTAACTATCTCTTTATTAAATTAATAACTTTATAATAAATAAATATAAGGATTCTATTATATCTAGCTATATTATTATTATTAAAGTATTAATATAGTTATATTATAGTAAGGATTTATAAAGAATCTAGCTACTTTAAAGTAATTAACTATCTCTTTATATCTTACTATCTATAGTTATCTAAGGTAATTACTAATTAGTATTAATATGGGTTATTATGTATGTATATATAAAGAGTAGTTGGTTGTGTTGGATTGTGTAGGAGGGAGGAAGCTAGGCCTGAAGGGCTGGCTGTAAGTCCCTCGCTATAGTCTACTAACTAGGGTTACGTGACCCGAACTATCTACTGGTTGTGATTGCCTCTATTCCCACAGAAACCACACCAGTTACAGCTGCCCTACAAGCTCGATGGAGGCTTCAATGCCCATTTGCACCATTCTCCACCCGGTGTGTACCAGCGCGAGGCGCACCGTTGCTCACAGTTACACTCTGCCCCTTGGTGACATCTAGGCCATTCGCAAACTTATTCTTCTTATCGGAAGTCATCCCATTATGCGTACCATTAAAGCTCAGACCCGCAATACCATCATACCCCTTGATACCAGTCGCCTTCTCCAGGCGCGTGGCAATGTCATCGTCGACCTCGCGGAAGATGGCAATCTGCCGCCTGATGAACTCCTTCTCCCTGCAGGCTTCCATCTTACCGGAGACGTTGGAGATGAAGCGCTCGCGCGCGGGCTCGTCAAACACCTTCTGCCACAGAGCGCGGGGCGCCACAAAGTCCTCGGGCCGGACCTCCGACAGGAAGGCGATTGCCTCGCCCGTGAAGTGGCTGTGCGTCTTGTCGAGGTCGGTCGTGCGCGCTCGGAACTTGATCGGGTCGATAGAGGACAGGTAGTTCGGCCTGGCGCCCTGGTTGAAGAAGGCCATGGCCCCGTCGCGCTGGAAGTTGCCGAACTTGTAGCCCGTCCGGGGGGCGTTGACCGGCAGCTGCTGGTAGTTGACGCCGATGCGGTGGCGGTGTGTGTCGGGGTATGAGAACAGCCTGCTCTGGAGGACGGGGTCTGCGCTGGGCTCGATCCCCGGTGGCATGTGGGCGGGGTTGAACGCGGCTTGTTCGACCTCTGCAAAATAGTTCACTGCGTTCTCGTTGAGCGTGAACTCTCCGATCTTGGTGAGTGGAAACTGCTTCTGCGGCCAGACGTGCGTCAGGTCGAAGACGTTGATCTTTTGCTTCTCCCAGAGCTCCTCGGCTTCCTTAGGCGTCATGGTTTGGATCTCGACGGACCACTTGGGGAAGTCGCCGTTTGAAATGGCTTCGTAGAGATCTTTCTGGCTGTGGTCTGGGGATTTGGAGGCTGAATCCTCTTGCGTGATGAACTTGATTCCCTGCTGGGACTTGAAGTGGATCTGGCAGTATACCCATTGTCCGTCCTTCGGGACGAGTTTGACTGTATGTCCAAGGTATCCGTGCATGAAGCGATAGCCATCAGGAATACCGCGGTCGCCCATGAGAATCATTACCTGATGGATGGACTCCGGGTTGTTGCATAGGTAATCCCTGTGGCCTTTCATGTTAGCCATGTATATAATGCAAAGGAATGGGGAGAAACACATACCAAAACATGGTCGAGTCGTCCGCATGGGTAAGGTGAGTCGATGGATCCCGCTTCTGCGTGTGGATAAAGTGTGGGAACTTTGCCGGGTCTCGCAGGAAGAAGGCCGGCGTGTTGTTCGCAACAACATCCCAGTTTCCATCTTCGGTCCGGAACTTGACAGAAAAGCCTCTAGGATCGCGGGCGCAGTCATGAGAGCCAGACTCTCCACCGACGGTCGAGAAGCGCACCGTGATTGGGCATTTCTTTCCCTTCTCAGAGAAGATGTCGGCTGCAGTCATCCCTGGAATAGGGTTGGTGCACTCGAAGAATCCATGTGCACCACTGCCCTTTGCGTGGACGACCCTCTCGGGGATCCTCTCACGGTCAAAATGGGAGAGCAGGTCGATGAGATGGAAGTCCTGCAGCAACAGGGGGCCGTTCTCACCGACTCGCTGAGCCTCGTAAGGATGAGGCATCGGGGCCCCGTTGGAAGTGGCATAAAGGGCGTCTTTGGAAGCCACCCCACGGTCCTTCTCGTATGCAGAGAACTGGGTGGCGACGTGGCCAGCGAAGCTGGTATCTGCTGATGGTGCCATGTTGAGTGTTTGCTTGGCTGTTTCGATTGGCTGTGCAATGATCTTTTGCACTGTATCCATTTATGTTGAATTTAGATTGACGCCGTCAAATCGAGAACTTAGAAAAGCATGTTTAAGTCTGGTCATAATGGACCGAACTTATACTCCATCATGTCCTCAGTCTCCAATTTGCCATCAGCCCCAGCCAGTCAAAATACTGCACTTCTCCATGACCACAAGCACAAAAAGCGATTTTGTCGGACGAGCTTCATGACGTCTAAGAGTCTATGACGAGTTTCGACTCGCAGTTGACACAACCCAGAGTGCAATCCAACCCAGGAACGCATCGAGATCGCCTTGCGAAGTCAGTTGGCTGTGTCACAACCCGCGGAGCAAACACTCCGCACGCTGTCCAAAGTCGACTTTTTGCCATGGGGATTTGGTAAAATCCCATCCAAAGCCGTGGTGGCGTTCTGTCGGGAAATTGATGATTGGCTGGTGGTGAGATAGCGTCGATTTCTTAGAGCCGTTCGCACGGATGATGCCATGAAGGAAAGCTCGAGGAGCTCCTAGTTTCAAGGCAGGTCATGACATGGTAACTTAGCTGGCATTGTTTGGTACCTGCATGTGGCCAACTCCCGAGGTCCCTTTGTTTTGTTCTTACCAATACTTCTCGTTCCGGATGATCAATGTCCCTCACCTGGGCGGTGTTGTTGGCCGGCCAGACCCACCCTGCAACTGGACTTTTAGTAAATCTTGGATCGAAGTTTTCACTTAGGATCATTATTAATGTCAGTTGCTACCTGTTACCTAGCTACCTAGGTATTTAGGTGGCCTCCCAAGTGACATACCTAGGTAAGCCTGCAGCCCTGCCACCGCTTGCCGCCACATGAGAACCTGCCTGCGCAGCGGGAGACTAACAATGCATGGTCCCAGGATACTATCTGGGTACACGGCACAAGCTGCTTTTTTGTTTTGCCCGCAAAGTGGCTTACACACTTCCACTAAGATACTTAGGGACTACTTCCCTACTCTACCTAGGTACCTAGGTAGGTAGTAATCACGCCTAGCCAATCGCACTAGATGCATCAGGCGACACTATATATGCCATTTGAGTAGGCGGCAGACGCAGATTATTTGTCTTATTGTCCAATTCGGCCGGCATGTATTTCTTGTAGGATGATCTGTCTCTTCGAAGGATCGAGTTGCAGCCGAGGGTGGCGCAGACTTTCCAATGAAGGACGACCACCGCAGCCAGAAGCGGGCCGGGCAGGCAGCGACATTACCCTGCGCCTCAAGTGCTCGTGATCTGATGTCAGCAAAACTGCAGGCAGTTCGAAACAAGTTGTTCACTCAACATGAGCTCTCTATGCAACTACATGTATTCGTCAAAACCTACAAATCCGGAATATCAGCATTGACGGGCTGGTGCTTGCTTGAATAGACCACGGTTCCCGGAACGTCGACGAAATGGAGGCTGCCAGGCCTGAACCAAATGAAAGCACCGGTCTCTTGACGAGCCAGACCGATGTAACAAGCAACCGTAATGACAGGAGCTCCCCAGCTCCCAGGCAGAGACTTCTACAGAAGCAGTTCGTTCTCCTCGCACTTGTGCTGGCCTCCCTAAGATTGCACACAGTCTTCTTCAGCATCGCCTCTTATCGGGCCAAGTTGTGGAATGTTTGCTACACGTTCGACAAGGAACACCACCCCGACGAACTCCGTGGTGGTAAATCAGATGACCCCCTATACTGCTACCTTGAAAGTCAGATTATGCAGCAGGTTCGCGACTTGCTCAACTGGGAAAGAGGCATATCATTCGTCGTGTGTGAGTTCGTCTACACGCCGTACCTAGGTACCTTTCAAATACGTGAATCCTGAGTCCTTGTCTAGTGCTCCTTGCTGTTGTTCCGTACGGAAAGCTTGCGGACTTCCGTGGCAAGAAAAGGGTCCTCATGCTGGCCTTGGTTGGGCAATTATTATATTGCTTATGGACTATTGTCATGAGTTAGTAAATTCCTTCCACTGTGTAGTGTACTGGTGACTTGTTTCTTCTAACCGAAATGCTCCAGCCTCCTTTTCGGACATAATTCCTCTCAAATTGGTTTGGGTCGCTCCAGCCTTTTGGCTGGTTGGCGGTGGCGTTTCTCTCTCGATGACTTTGATATACCTCCTCGCATCAGAGAGCTTCCATGAAGAAAGGAGGTCAGTCGTAGTATTAGGAGGATTCTATCTCATTTCTGAATGCTACTATAAATAGCTGCTAAAATTTTCTTAGAACTCAAGCCTATTTCTACCTTTATGCACTCACCGTCCTTGTTAAGTTTTGCATTTTCGCATTTTTTGCCGGGTTCCCTTTAGTCTCTACAGCTTTAGGAGAGAAAGTTTTCCTATTTTTATAAAAACTTCTACTATATACAACTATAACTTCTACTTAATAGGGTAGATTAATAGCCTATATTAAGTAGTTTATTTTTTTAATAGATTTATAATATTATAAAATATAAAATATTATTTAATAAAATTAATAAGATTTAATTATAAATAAAATTAAAGTTTATTTAATTAATAAACCTTTTATATTTTTATTTTTATTTAAACTAATTAATTTTTAATTCTAATCCTTAATTTAAACCTTTATATTTTTATAAAGATTTACTATATAATTCTTAATAAAAGGCCTTATAAAGGATTTATAGTATTTTTAACTAATAGTATATTAAAAGTCTTTTAATATAAGGGTAATTTATAATTATAGATTAAATAGGTAATACTTATAGAATAGATAAATATATTAAATAGTTAAAAGTATTTATATAAATAAAGGTTTAAAATATTAAACCTCTTTATTACTTAAAATAATATTTTATATTATATTATAAATAAAAGGCTTAATAATATAAAAACTTATAAAAGTTAAGACTACCTTTTAAAGTTAAATAATAATAACCTTAACCTTAATAAACTTTAATAAATCCTTAAATTAATTATTAAATATATTATATATATTAATACTACTAATTTTTATATAATAAAATAAACTTTAATAATATAAATAATTAAATTAAACCCTTTTATAATTTTATTAAACCTAATTATATCCCTTATTATTTTAATAAATATATTTATATCTTAATAAATAGTATTTAAGGAGATTTTAAGCTTAATATTAAAATAGTCTAATTTATTATTACTATTAAATAAAGATTTAAAGTCTATTTATAAAGATTATTAAATTTAATTAATAAAAATATAAAGACTATTATTAAAGATATTTTTAATATATATCTATTACTTCTTTAAATCTTTAATATATATTATAACTAAATATTAATAAATATATTTTAATAAAAATATTTTTATTATTATAAAATAATTATAAAAGCTTAATCTAATTAAAAATATTATTATAGTTTTTATCCTAACCTATTATATTTTAAATATATATACCTATATATATATAGTTTATATTAAAATAACTACCTATTAATATATAATATATACTCCTCTATCTTCCTATTATTAAATAACTAATCTTATAATATTACTTAAAGCTAACTAAACTATTATAAAATAAAAATAAAAATAAAATTAATAAAAATATATAATAAATATAAAAATAATAATAAAATAAAACTACTACTTTAATAAATAAAGGAGCTAATCTTTTAAAGCTAATATAATAAAGATTATTTATAAAGTCCTAATTTTAAAAATCTTAAAGTAGGAATAAACTAAACTAAACTTTATAATATTCTTTTATATTAAAAGTATTATTATAATACTTTTAATTTATTTATTTATAATATTTAACTTAATAATTATTCTATTATCTTTAAAAATAGTATACTTATATATACTATTATAATTAAATATTTTATATATATTTCTAACCTTAAAAATAAATAAAAAGATTTTAAAATAATTCTAATATAATTTATTAAATTTTAAACTCCTACTTAACTTTATTATTAAAAGAAGGTATTAAATAAATAAGTTAATATTAATATATAGACTTAGAATATATAGTAATTTAAACTAAATAATATACTTATTTAACTCTAATTAAAGCTACCTTATAAATATTAATAATAAAATATACTATATTTAAATTAAAGTATATATATAGAGCCTAACTATAAAACCTTAAAGTTAACTACCTTAAAGTTAACTACTTTAAAATTAACTACTTTAAAATTAACTAACCTAACCTTTATAAGAACTATAAGAACTATAATAACTATAATAACTCTAATAATTATAATAATTATAATAATTATAACCTCTTTCTATCTAACTTTATATATATCTATAAACCTTATTAACTTCTATATAATAGTAATTAATATTATTTATATTAAATAATATATATATACTAATATTAATTAATAACTTCCTAATTTTAAATATAAGTCTATTTATAAACTTTTAATTAGAATAAGTATACTATTACCCTTATAATTATTATAATAAAGTTTAATATATATTAATAGGCCCTACTACCTAACTAACCTTATTAGTAAATTATAATTATACTAAAAAGTATTTAAGTTTTAATACTACTTTCTAAATACTTACCTTAAAATAAATAAGGTTAGTATATTAAAGAATAAATATATTACCTAACTATAAAAATTTACTAATTAATAGAAAAACTTATCTAATAAACTTTAAATAATAGTAAACTATTACTATTTATATAGATAATAATAGCTTTATATTATAAAATAATTAAGTTAAATTAGTTATTTAAATAGAATACTTTATAATTTCTATAATATATAATATTAAATAATTCTATTAAATCTAATAGTAAAATACTCCCTTTTAAAATATAATTAATAATATATATATTCCTATAATAAATTCCTTTTATTTAATAAAACTATTTAGAAGAAAGACCTCTTTAAATATTTAAAATAAAAGTTTTATATTTATAAAAGATAATTATAAAATAATTAAAAGTAAATTTAAAAGTTTAAAAGCTTATTTTAAAAGGAATTCTACTTAAAAATAATAAA